GAATCGAATATGTGGAGAACGAATAGAGAAAAGTTGGTAATATCAAAAATTGAGTATTTGGGGGAAGAAAATGGACAAAAAACAATGAAAATCATCTACAAAAGTATCAAAAATCATACTTTTGGAAGAGAAAATGAATCGAATATGTGGAGAACGAATAGAGAAAAGTTGGTAATATCAAAAACTGAGTATTTTGGGGAAGAAAATAGACGAAAAACAATGAAAATCATCTACAAAAGTATGAAAAATCATACTTTTGGAAGAGAAAATGAAGCGAATATGTGGAGAACGAATAGAGAAAAGTTGGTAATATCCAAAACTGAGTATTTAGGGGAAGAAAATAGACGAAAAACAATGAAAATCATCTACAAAAGTATGAAAAATCATACTTTTGGAAGAGAAAATGAATCGAATATGTGGAGAACGAATAGAGAAAAGTTAATAATATCAAAAATTGAGTATTTAGGGGAAGAAAATAGACGAAAAACAATGAAAATCATCTACAGAAGTATGAAAAATCATACTTTTGGAAGAGAAAATGAAGCGAATATGTGGAGAACGAATAGAGAAAAGTTGGTAATATCCAAAACTGAGTATTTTGGGGAAGAAAATAGACGAAAAACAATGAAAATCATCTACAAAAAGTATGAAAAATCATACTTTTGGAAGAGAAAATGAATCGAATATGTGGAGAACGAATAGAGAAAAGTTGGTAATATCAAAAATTGAGTATTTGGGGGAAGAAAATGGACAAAAAACAATGAAAATCATCTACAAAAGTATCAAAAATCATACTTTTGGAAGAGAAAATGAAGCGAATATGTGGAGAACGAATAGAGAAAAGTTGGTAATATCCAAAACTGAGTATTTTGGGGAAGAAAATAGACGAAAAACAATGAAAATCATCTACAAAAGTATGAAAAATCATACTTTTGGAAGAGAAAATGAATCGAATATGTGGAGAACGAATAGAGAAAAGTTGGTAATATCAAAAACTGAGTATTTGAGGGAAGAAAATGCACGAAAAACAATGAAAAACATCTACAAAAGTATGAAAAATCATACTTTTGGAAGAGAAAATGAACCGAATATGTGGAGAACGAATAGAGAAAAGTTGGTAATATCAAAAACTGAGTATTTGAGGGAAGAAAATGCACGAAAAACAATGAAAAACATCTACAAAAGTATCAAAAATCATACTTTTGGAAGAGAAAATGAATCGAATATGTGGAGAACGAATAGAGAAAAGTTAATAATATCAAAAATTGAGTATTTAGGGGAAGAAAATAGACGAAAAACAATGAAAAACATCTACAAAAGTATCAAAAATCATACTTTTGGAAGAGAAAATGAAGCGAATATGTGGAGAACGAATAGAGAAAAGTTGGTAATATCCAAAACTGAGTATTTTGGGGAAGAAAATAGACGAAAAACAATGAAAATCATCTACAAAAGTATGAAAAATCATACTTTTGGAAGAGAAAATGAATCGAATATGTGGAGAACGAATAGAGAAAAGTTAATAATATCAAAAATTGAGTATTTGAGAGAAGAAAATGCACGAAAAACAATGAAAAACATCTACAAAAGTATCAAAAATCATACTTTTGGAAGGGAAAATGAACCGAATATGTAGAGAACGAATAGAGAAAAGTTGGTAATATCAAAAACTGAGTATTTGAGAGAAGAAAATGCACGAAAAACAATGAAAAACATCTACAAAAGTATCAAAAATCATACTTTTGGAAGAGAAAATGAACCGAATATGTGGAGAACGAATAGAGAAAAGTTGGTAATATCAAAAACAGAGTATTTGAGAGAAGAAAATGCACGAAAAACAATGAAAAACATCTAGAAAAGTATCAAAAATCATAGTTTGTGAAGGGAAAATAAACCAAATATGTGGAGAACGAAGAGAAAAAAGTTGCTAATATCAAAAATTGAGTATTTGAGAGAAGAAAATGCACGAAAAACAATGAAAAACATCTACAAAAGTATCAAAAATCATACTTTTGGAAGAGAAAATGAACCGAATATGTGGAGAACGAATAGAGAAAAGTTGGTAATATCAAAAACAGAGTATTTGAGAGAAGAAAATGCACGAAAAACAATGAAAAACATCTACAAAAGTATCAAAAATCATACATTTGGAAGAGAAAATGAACCGAATATGTGGAGAACGAATAGAGAAAAGTTGGTAATATCAAAAACTGAGTATTTGAGGGAAGAAAATGCACGAAAAACAATGAAAAACATCTACAAAAGTATCAAAAATCATACTTTTGGAAGAGAAAATGAAGCGAATATGTGGAGAACGAATAGAGAAAAGTTGGTAATATCAAAAACTGAGTATTTGAGGGAAGAAAATGCACGAAAAACAATGAAAAACATCTACAAAAGTATCAAAAATCATACTTTTGGAAGAGAAAATGAACCGAATATGTGGAGAACGAATAGAGAAAAGTTGGTAATATCAAAAACTGAGTATTTGAGGGAAGAAAATGCACGAAAAACAATGAAAAACATCTACAAAAGTATCAAAAATCATACTTTTGGAAGAGAAAATGAATCGAATATGTGGAGAACGAATAGAGAAAAGTTGGTAATATCAAAAATTGAGTATTTGAGGGAAGAAAATGGACAAAAAACAATGAAAATCATCTACAAAAGTATCAAAAATCATACTTTTGGAAGAGAAAATGAAGCGAATATGTGGAGAACGAATAGAGAAAAGTTGGTAATATCAAAAACTGAGTATTTGAGGGAAGAAAATGCACGAAAAACAATGAAAAACATCTACAAAAGTATCAAAAATCATACTTTTGGAAGAGAAAATGAATCGAATATGTGGAGAACGAATAGAGAAAAGTTGGTAATATCAAAAATTGAGTATTTGGGGGAAGAAAATGGACAAAAAACAATGAAAATCATCTACAAAAGTATCAAAAATCATACTTTTGGAAGAGAAAATGAAGCGAATATGTGGAGAACGAATAGAGAAAAGTTGGTAATATCCAAAACTGAGTATTTTGGGGAAGAAAATAGACGAAAAACAATGAAAATCATCTACAAAAGTATGAAAAATCATACTTTTGGAAGAGAAAATGAATCGAATATGTGGAGAACGAATAGAGAAAAGTTAATAATATCAAAAACTGAGTATTCGAGAGAAGAAAATAGACAAAAAACAATGGAAATCATCAACAAAAGTATGAAAAATCATACATTTGGAAGAGAAAATGAACCGAAAATGTGGAGAACGAATAGAGAAAAGTTGAGAATATCAAAAACTGAGTATTTTGGGGAAGAAAATAGACAAAAAACAATGGAAAACATCAACAAAAGTATGAAAAATCATACTTTTGGAAGAGAAAAATGAAGCGAATATGTGGAGAACGAATAGAGAAAAGTTGGTAATATCAAAAACTGAGTATTTGAGGGAAGAAAATGCACGAAAAACAATGAAAAACATCTACAAAAGTATCAAAAATCATACTTTTGGAAGAGAAAATGAATCGAATATGTGGAGAACGAATAGAGAAAAGTTGGTAATATCAAAAACTGAGTATTTGAGGGAAGAAAATAGACGAAAAACAATGAAAATCATCTACAAAAGTATGAAAAATCATACTTTTGGAAGAGAAAATGAAGCGAATATGTGGAGAACGAATAGAGAAAAGTTGGTAATATCAAAAATTGAGTATTTGGGGGAAGAAAATGGACAAAAAACAATGAAAATCATCTACAAAAGTATCAAAAATCATACTTTTGGAAGAGAAAATGAAGCGAATATGTGGAGAACGAATAGAGAAAAGTTGAGAATATCAAAAACTGAGTATTTTGGGGAAGAAAATAGACGAAAAACAATGAAAATCATCTACAAAAGTATGAAAAATCATACTTTTGGAAGAGAAAATGAAGCGAATATGTGGAGAACGAATAGAGAAAAGTTGGTAATATCAAAAACTGAGTATTTGAGGGAAGAAAATGCACGAAAAACAATGAAAAACATCTACAAAAGTATCAAAAATCATACTTTTGGAAGAGAAAATGAATCGAATATGTGGAGAACGAATAGAGAAAAGTTGGTAATATCAAAAATTGAGTATTTGGGGGAAGAAAATGGACAAAAAACAATGAAAATCATCTACAAAAGTATCAAAAATCATACTTTTGGAAGAGAAAATGAAGCGAATATGTGGAGAACGAATAGAGAAAAGTTGGTAATATCCAAAACTGAGTATTTTGGGGAAGAAAATAGACGAAAAACAATGAAAATCATCTACAAAAGTATGAAAAATCATACTTTTGGAAGAGAAAATGAACCGAAAATGTGGAGAACGAATAGAGAAAAGTTGAGAATATCAAAAACTGAGTATTTTGGGGAAGAAAATAGACAAAAAACAATGGAAAACATCAACAAAAGTATGAAAAATCATACTTTTGGAAGAGAAAATGAAGCGAATATGTGGAGAACGAATAGAGAAAAGTTGGTAATATCCAAAACTGAGTATTTTGGGGAAGAAAATAGACGAAAAACAATGAAAATCATCTACAAAAGTATGAAAAATCATACTTTTGGAAGAGAAAATGAAGCGAATATGTGGAGAACGAATAGAGAAAAGTTGGTAATATCCAAAACTGAGTATTTTGGGGAAGAAAATAGACGAAAAACAATGGAAATCATCTACAAAAGTATGAAAAATCATACTTTTTGGAAGAGAAAAATGAACCGAATATGTGAAGAACGAATAGAGAAAAGTGAATAATATCAAAAACTGAGTATTTTGGGGAAGAAAATAGACAAAAAACAATGGAAATCATCTACAAATTTTGGTTTTAGTTGAAAATATTCAACAAAAACCGAAATTTTGGTTTTCGTTGAAAAAATTCATTTTTAGTTCTAAAAAAGGTTTTCAAATAAAAAGTTCAATTTCGAAAATGTTTGACAAAATATCAAAGACATATCAGAATTTTTCCTAGAATTCAAATAAAAACAACTAACCTTCGTCTCCGAGGTGGCGAGGCGGAAGCGGAGGAAGAGGCGAGTCGAGTTGTCGAATATCGAATCGACGAAATCCACCGAGCTGCAAAAACCATTTTGGAATTAAAAATTGATAAAAGAAACAGCAAAAAGCTTAATATGAAGAGAAGAAAACAAAAAAAGAGAGAAAAAACAATGTTTTATAAGATTACTCGAAAATCTCAAATACAACCAACAAATTAGTTGAAGTCTAGAACAACACATTTCATTCAAAAGTCAACAGAATAGCCAAAATACTATCAATCCTAACCAAAAAAAGCGAAAAAATCACAAGAAAAAACAAAAAATGACAAGAACAACAAGTGATACAATTAACGAAAAGAGATGAAGAAACAACAAAAATGAACAAGATTCACTTTAATAAAATGGACAACTAGGTGAATGAGGAACGAATAAGTATAAAAAACAATGAATAACAACTATAAAAATGAGGAAAATCAAGCATTTTGAGAGCGAAAATAAGTGAAATAGTAAAGAATGAATGAGTGAACGGAGACAAAATGAAAAACTATGATATTTGGAAGGAAAAATCAACGGAAAACACTGGAAATTAACTAGAAAAGTAAGGAAAATCAAGCATTTGGAAGAAAAAATGAACCGAATATGTAGAGAATGAATAGACATTGGTAATATCCAAAATTGAGTATTTGGGGGAAGAAAATAGACGAAAAACACTGGAAATCAATTAGAAAAAGAGGGAAAATCAAGCATTTTGACGGCGAAAATAAGTGAAATAGTAAAGAATGAATGAATGAACGGAGACAAAATGAAAAACTATGATATTTGGAGGGGAAAATCAACGAAAAACACTGGAAATCAACTAAGAAAGTGAGGAAAATCAAGCATTTTATGAGTGAAAATAAATGATATGGTGAAGAAAACATATACAAAATGAAAAACTACGATTTTAGAAGCTTCAAAAAGCTACAAAAAGCTTCAGAAGGCTGTCTTCCAAAATAAAATCTTCAAGCCCACAAAATTCCCTCCAACTCATATGAATAGGAATATCTCAAATAAAAATATCAACAAAAAAAAACAAGAAAATCAACGAATTGATCTTTTTTGAACGAGAAGAAATTCTGACAAACTCTCAATCACAATGCATTATTTTCGAAGTTAACAACATTTTCAAAATAAAAATATTTATCAGTGTTCAATATATTAAAAGCCAATTAAGAATATAAAGATAAAAATACGTGCTCGATAAATGCGCGCAAAGAAAATTGAAAGAATGTAGCAATAAATGTGAAAATGGAAGAAGTTGGTGGAGATGGTGGTGCCGAGAAGAGTGTAGATGGTTTGGATGGCGGCGAAGGAAGATGGGGCACCAATGGAAGCGATACTGCGAACTGAAAAATGTTAGTTATTATTAAACATCTGATTTATAAACAAAAAAATGAACTTACTTAAGTGCAGTATCGCTCCCAAAGAAAGAGCCTGTAGGACTCAGAACGAGTCCTACAGGCAATCGGCTCGCTGGATGTTGGAATTGGGGCGCGCTGAAAAAAAAAATAATTGAGAAAATGTGATGAATGAGAAAGGTTTTTTGAAATTTTTCAGATTTACATAAAAATATTTATCAAAAATCGTGAAAATGGACGGTTTTTAAAAGTGAAGACTCTATTTTTAAGAAAACGTGGAGTTTGTTTTGAAAATTTAGATTTCTGAAACACATTTTGCACCTTGAACATGATGCTCAAAATCTCAAAAAAGTATTGTGGAATTTTAAAAAGCTAGTCCCTCATAATTATTTCGAAAACTAATGAATGTCGGTGTGTGCGCGCGGTCGCGATGCGGTCGGAATAGAATTGACGATATTGACTTAATTTCGACCGCATCGCGACCGCGCGCGAACATAGACATTCATTTATTTTTGAAATATTCACGAGCTGCCACATTTTTTAAAGATGCCACAATAATATTCGGAATATCAGTTTTCTCAAAAATCTTGAAAAATCCAATTTTGTCTATCAAAAAATTCAGTAGTGAATAGTTTCAATGATCCCAAAAATAACTCACAGCCGATTGTTTTCCCCCTTCCTCCATCGCCCTCAACTTTTGCTCCCGAACCAACGCCTCTTCTTCGCGTTCAGCTTTCCACTGAGCGAGATCGCGGCGAACTTGGCGATGATAAGCGTCGGGCATACTGAAATTCAATTTGTCTTTTGTTGAAAGAACCAAAAACGAGAGGAAAATATCAAATACATACCAAAACGGGGAGGGAAAAATAGTTTTTGACAAAATTGATTTTAAAGGTGCATAAAAATCGAATTTCAATTCAAAAATTTGTTTCCTGGGTAAAAAAAAAACATTAGGTATAAAAGAAAAACCATTAAATTTGCTATTTTCAATACTTTAAACCAAAATTTTGCAAAATTAGCGAATAATCAAGAGCAAAGCAAAAAAAAAACAAGAAAAAACTGATGAGAAACATGGGAGGGAAATAATGTCTCCCCAGGCCAATAGAGAGAGAGAGAGAGAGGAGGAGGAGGGTGTTAGAGAAAGAAAGACAATGATTGGGACAAAAAGAGAAAAAATGAAGAGAAGATTGATAATGTTCCTTTTGAATACAGTTCCAAATTAGAGCAAATGGAAGCAAAATGAGTGAAATTTTTGAAATAAAAAGACCACCCAGTTAACTGGCACGATAGTCTTTTTGCCACTATTTTTTGAATGAGTTTGGACATTTCAATCCTGAATGCCAAAAGAACTCGATTTTTTTTTCAAATAAGCATTTTATTGTATTATACGGTTTTTTGAGACAAAAGTGAAAAAAAAATGGGGAGAAGTAACCAAAACAATAAAAATTTGTGGTGAAAATTGACCAGATTTCTGGAGATTTATAACAAGTAAAATGGTAACTATAAGTCTAAAAAATTGTTAATTTTTTTTGATTTGCAACAAGAAATTCAATAAATGCAGGAAAAAAAATCAATTAGACACTATTAGTGAAGAAGATTTTATCGATGGCTTGAAAATTTCGCCAATGCTGGAATGTTATGATGGGTTCAGTTCCAAATTTTAGATCCTATTGAAGATCAATAATGAATTCAGCGAACAGTTAGGCAGCCTTTGTTAAATAGTATTAATTTTGTTGAGTGAGTGTAGTTCACAAGCTATGTTACAGCTCATTTTTTATTCAAAAAATGAGACAGGCCTAACCATTGTTGTGAACTACAATTAATACTAACGGCACATATATTCACTGAATTTGCGGGGAAAAACGAAAAATCTAGACAAAAGTTATTCTTAATTCAGCGCTGGTAGAATATCAGAAAGCATTGGATATCTGAATGCTCACAATATTCTACCAGTGAATTGAAAAAATCTGGAGAAACAACAAATTTACCTTATTAACTTCATTGAATCGCTCATTTTCTTGAACTTTTCTTAATAATCTTCCAGCGATCATAAATCCTACATAATTTTGAGGCTCTGCTACACAAGTTGATCTTCCAAGACAGCTTCACTTTGAATATCCTTGTCAGCGTTTTTTCTTCGCACCTTATTGAAATTTCCACTCAACCGAAATCCAACGACACGCCAAATCCCGTTGAGCTTCTATGTACAATACCAAAACCAACTGCTCCATTGCGATTTTCTTTGTCTCGATTTTCTAATCCCAGTAAAATTGTCCACCAAAATCCTCAAATTCCTCCTCTCGACGTCATTTCCTGTAAAAATATCGATTAACCAACGGGAAAATTTTGTTGCCAAACTAAAATATCATAAAAATATTTGAACTACTCAACGTTCCAATTGATCCCATCCAGAGAAATCTTGCACTGTCTTCCAAAGTTACATCCTCAACCTCATTGAAAATCATCGCCTCCTTGAAAATCAACACACATCGTGTAAAATCCATGAGTCCTTGCATCAATCACCAACAACACTACGTTCAGCTGACTGCAATCAAGAAAATCCATCAGAAAACCCTCGTCGATCTTCTCTAATCGTCTGGAAACTGTGTAGATGCCACCAATTCGCAGTTGTGCAGAAATTTGTCAAGTTCGAGCTGTAAAACTTCGTCGAGCTTCTTCATCTTCAAAACCAACTGCGCCGAACGCCAAATCCATCATCTTCTTCTTGAAATTCAAAAATCCTCGATTTCTTTCTGTCCACGCAAATTTTGTCTTCTGTAAAATACCAATTAACCAACGGGAAAATTGTGTTGCCAAACTAAATTATCATAAAAATTACCTGATCAACTTTGTCGACTTTGTCTATATCCCCGAGAGAGAGAGAGGAAAAATAACGAGACGCAGACACACCTGTAAACCAATTTATTGATTGGAAAAGGCGTGGTTAGGAGAGAAAAACAAACACAAAAAAGAAGAAAAAGAAGAAAGGTGGCATGTGTGTGTGTGAGAGAGAAAGAGAAAACGAGACGCAGACACACCTGCAGACCAATTTATTGATTGAAAAAGGCGTGGTTAGGAAAGGAAAACAAACAAAACAAAAAAGAAGAAAAGTGGCATGCATGTGTGTGAGAGAGTGTGTGAGAAAAGACGAGACACAGACAAATAAACAAACAGGTAGTGTTTGTTGGAGCGCGTATGGTCTATGTATTGAACAATACATGGAAAATATGCGTTGTACTTTTGGTTTTCAGCAAAAAGATCACCCAGTTAACTGACACGAAGGTCTTTTGAATGAATTTTTCACGATGTGGAAAAATAATGAAAAAGAAAAAAAAACAATTTGTTTTTGAAATCTCATCAGTTTATTGGATTTAACGATAAAAAGAGTTTAACATTAGACAAACAAATTTAAAAATTTTTAATCAGGTAAAAAAAAATGGACCTAGAGGTAACAAATAAATCAGGTACAGGAATAAATCGAGACAAACAAATTTAAAAATTTTTAATCAGGTAAAAAAAAATGGACCTAGAGGTAACAAATAAATCAGCTACAGGAATAAATCGAGACAAACAAATTTAAAAATTTTTAATCAGGTAAAAAAAAATGGACCTAGAGGTAACAAATAAATCAGGTACAGGAGTTCGAAAAAAAATTTAAAAATTTTTAATCAGGTAAAAAAAATGGACCTAGAGGTAACAAATAAATCAGGTACAGGAATAAATCAGGTTCAAGAGAAAAACATGTGAAATAAGTAAAAATAACAAATGAACAAGGTATTAACAGGTATAACAGGAACAGCATTGTCGATCAGTATGGGTAATTAAAGTGATCCAATGACATGAAGTAGCGCCAATTCTGAAATAGAGTAATCATGAATTCAAATTTTTTTGACTTCTGAAGACCTCTAAAGCCTTCGGAAGCCTGCGGAAGCCTTCTGCAGCTTTCTAAAGCCTTCTAAAACCTTCGGAAGCCTTCGGAAGCCTTCGGAAGCCTTCGGAAGCCTTCGGAAGCCTTCGGAAGCCTTCGGAAGCCTTCGGAAGCCTTCGGAAGCCTTTGGAAGCCTTTGGAAGCCTTCGGAAGCCTTCGGAAGCCTTAGGAAGCCTTCGGAAGCCTTGGGAAGCCTTCGGAAGCCTTCAAAAGCCTTCGGAAGCTTTCGGAAGCCTTCGGAAGCCTTCGGAAGCCTTGGGAAGCCTTCGGAAGCCTTTGGAAGCCTTCGGAAGCCTTCGGAAGCCTTTGGAAGCCTTCGGAAGCCTTCGGAAGCCTTTGGAAGCCTTCGGAAGCCTTCGGAAGGCTTCTAAAGCCAAAAAAATAATAATTACCTCTTGCATACTTCGATGACTTCTTCTGATGTGCCGCATTATGTCATCCAAATTTTCCCGGTAATGTTCGTCGCGTTCGGCAGTCGAGATGGTTTCATACAAACGCGACTGGAAAAAAAAAAAGATTATGTATATTCTTGATTCTCCATACGAAAACTCACCATATGCCCATGCAATGCTGCTGCATTTCGAAAAATGAGGCCAGATAGTTGCAACATAAATCGACGATCCCTCAATGGGAGATGATGATTCAAACGATCATCCAATGTCTGTAAAAAAATTGATTTTGTTTCATGAAACAGGCCTTGAAAAAATTAACTTACGATCACAATATGGTGGGCTCTTCCAACTGCACCATGCGCGTAGATTAATGCTTCGCGCTCCCAGGCTTGCAGTGGATAAATAATTCGGATGTTATCCATTTTTAATAAAAGATGCAGATGATCCGGGGGGGGGGTTATACCTGAAAAAACCAATTAATGAAACCAATTAAAGTAGAGTTACAAGATTAAAAAAAATATTCACAGAACTTTTTGTCAAAAAAAAAGCGAGTGAATAAAATTTAAAAAAAAATAAGGATGACAAAACAGCCCGAAAGAAAAAGAAGCAGAGTTTTGTGAGAGAGACGCAGAGAAAAATGTGAGAGAGACGCAGAGAAAGTGTGTTGCTGTGCAGCGAATATTCGAGTTCAATAGAGCGCTTAGGAAAAATGATGATAATATGAATCAAGTCGAAAAAAAACCAACAATTTCGATTCAGAAAATGTCAAAAAATTGTATTTTTTCCACACAAAAATGAAAATATCTCACAGCGAAAATGTTTCAATGAAGAAAAAAATGTAGTTTTTTGACATTTGCTGAATCGAACTTTTTTTTGTAAAAAAAAACAGGAGACTTTTTGCAATTTTCATTTTAAAAAATCAGTGTTTTCAAAATGTATATACTGAAAATTTTCAAAAATATTCTATGAAAAAATTTCAATTTTAGAGAACGCAAGAAATCATGCATCAAACACTAAAAACACACTATTCTAAAATGATGAGAGAAAAAATCTGACAAAAAAATAAAAAAATTCAGCGATCTGAATGTGAAGTTCTAGCATTTATGAAAAATCTGTCAGGTTGAGAGAAAACTGCGAAAATGAACCACAAAACTCTAGAAAAAATGAAAAAAATCCAGCAAAAATAGACAAAAACCCCCCGGAAACCAAAAAAAACACACACACTGCAACACAAGGGTGCAAGAATAAGGCAGGATGAGTGTGTGTGTGTGTGTGTCTGTTTCTCTGCGTCTCTAACTCTCTCGCTACCCTACATTATTGTTTTTTCTTTGAAGAATCTTCTGAAAATCTAGGTTTTATCGAACAATTTTCGAACCATGAGAGTTTTAGAGGTGAAAATACTGAAAACTTTTGAAAGTTTTAGAAAAATGAATCATTTTTCAGCAAAACAAACCACTGGAGGATTTTTCCCTCTGGAATTTCTGAACTGGAAAAAAAAACTTCAGAAAATATTGAACAAAGAAAATATTGAAAATATTGAACCTATATTGTTTGCTATTTTTGTTAATGACGTTAGCTCAATTTTACCTCCAGGGATATTTTGTAAACAATTTGCTGATGATATGAAGTTATATTCAAGAATAGATAGTTTAGAAAGTTGCCAAAATCTTCAGAAGGCAATTAAATGTATTGAAAAATGGAGTAATGACAACTTACTTACTTTGAATGCTTCAAAAACTCAATTTATTAGTCTTGGACGTCGTAAAATTAACTTTTGTTACGAAGTTGATAGCAAACCAATAAAGTTAGAGAGTAATGTACGAGACTTGGGATTCATTATTTCATCTAAGTTAGATTTCGAGGATCATTGGAAAAAGGCCGTTACAAAAGCAAATTTCATCACATATCAAATATTTAAAACTTTTGAGAGTAAAAATACTAGATTCATGATTAATATTTATAAAACTTTTGTTAGACCCCTTTTAGAATATGGTACAGTTGTATGTAGTCCTTCGAAAAAATGCATTAAACTAATGATAGAAAGTGCCCAAAATAATTTTACGAGAAAACTATTTTTCAGATCCAAAGGGAAATTTATAAAATGTAATGATAAGGAATACAAGTATTTCAACTCACGAAACAAAGAATTTGGTCTTGATAGTTTAGAAAATCGAAGATTACGCCTTGATAAACTCTTTTTAAGAAAACTAACCGAAGAAAAAATAGATTTGATTCCCGGAAAACTCTTCACCTTGGAAATGAACACTGTTACTCGAACTAAAATAAGATATCTGTATAAAACTCCGAAAACAAAAATCAGACAACACTTTTTCACCCACCGAACTTGCTCAACACTATAATAAAGACTCATAATAATAATGACCTATGTTACAATAAATACAAGCGCTTACTCGTCCTGGTTTTCATGACCATAGGCCCTGTCTTAACATACTTGTGTCTTTCTACCCATTTTTTTTGTATTTTCCTTCTTCCCGAATATTTTTTATTTTCACGTTGTCCCCCAACGTATTTCAATAAATAAATAAATAAATAACAAGAATTTTCAAATTGTAGACAATTTTTATCATCCAAAAAATCAGAAAACATCAACTTGAGTGGCGAGAGAGTGTGTTGTTTGAAGAGACGCAGACAAACACACATAGATCTCACATTTTTTTGTGTTTTGTTCAGTTTCATTCACGATTTTCAGAAAATCAAATCATCTTCACGGTTGTTTTTTGATCTGTTTTGATACAGGATTTCTTGCGTTCTCTGAAATTGAAAATTTTTCATAGAAAACTTTTGAAAATGTTTAGTGTTTACATTTTGAAAACACTGACTTTTCATGAAAATCGCGAAAAATCTCCTGTTTTTTTTTGAATTTGAAATTTTGATTTGATTTTTGTAATCATAGATTAAACAATAGATTAAACACATTTTTTTCTAGAAAAAAACAACTCAAAAAAAAGATTTAAAAAAATAGGCGGCGAGAGGAGTCGAACCTTGGTCTTGCAGACAGTTTGCCCCGCCCACTTTGCATGCAAAAAATAGAGAGGCGCATTGCCTGTTAGTTGTCGGCGCATGTATAAGAATAAGAGGGGAGACGGTTTATAAAATGCGATTTTCAAATCTTCTTGACATCCAAATAAAATGATAACGATGCGAATGCAAGTTTGATTTTTGTTAAACAGAAATATTTTTCGTTGCTCTAGAAGAGTAGCAAAAAATATTGTTGTATTTCAAAAACCATTCTTGTATTTGCAAAAAACCAGGGGAATCTAACACGATTTTTTTTTGAAATTTGAAAGGTTTTGTAGAATTGGAAAAAAGTGATATATGTCTGTTTGTCTGCGTCTCTTCAAAGAAAGACACTCTCTGAATTTTTGGTTTCACTTCAATGAGTTGTTCTTTATCTGATTTTCTCAAAATCAGCTAAAAGAGAGAGCATTGCTGAAATATTGAATTTTCAGTGAAAAACGAGGAAAAATGTCAAATTCCTAACTTTAAACGCGATTTTCAGCTTTTTAGAAAGAGGTAGACGCGCGGAAAGTGCGAAAATCGGAAAGAGCATGAAAAAATGAAGCGAAATGTATATTTTTTGATAGCTATGAATTTTCAAAAACCAAAAATAATGTTACTCTGACACCAGATAACATCCCATTTTCTTTTCTTAAACTGTTTCCGGATTGGATTTGTACCCCATTGGCACATATATTCAATGTGTCAATGATGCATTCCAACATCCCGGACAAATGGAGAATCTCAATTATTACTCCTATCCCCAAAATTCCTGATTCAAAAACTCCGGGAGATTTTCGACCAATTTCAATCACCAGTCAAATCTGTAGAATATATGAGAGAATTCTCAAACGCAAGATAGTACAACATCTGGAGAAAATTAATTATTTTACTCCATTTCAGCACGGTTTTGTAGTTGGAAAATCAACCACTACTCAACTACTTGAGTGTGTCAATTTATGGACCGACTCGCTCGACAAAAATATCCAAACCGATGTTATCTACTTCGACTTTAGTAAGGCGTTTGATATGGTGAATTACTCTATACTATTCACCAAACTCTCTATGTTAGGTTTGAATTCTTACCTATTAAATTGGATACAACAATATTTGACTGGTAGAAGTTTTGTTGTAAAAATAAAGGACGTATTTTCAAATCCCCGTCCAATTTTTCTGGCGTTCCGCAAGGAGGAGTACTATCTCCCCTTCTTTTTGCAATTTTCGCAAACGATCTCCCAAATTTCGTTTCAAATCCGGGAGTTTCGGTTGCACAATTCGCGGACGACGTGAAAATATTCTCAAAAGTAAGAAGTCGGAATGACTCGGAAATTCTCCAAAATTCAATCAATAAAGTTCATGAGTGGGCTACCATTAACAAACTAATTCTCAACAGTAATAAAACAAAAGTTATCTCGATACATCCAAAACCTTCTGAATTCTCCTATCACATAAATCAATCGGACATCTCTAGAACCTCTCTGATTCGCGATCTCGGTTTTCATATCTCACAAAATCTTGATTTCTCTGAACATTGGGAAATCTTCACCAAAAAAGCCAATTCTCTTCTCTATCTTTTATTCAAAACATTTTCCACCAAAAATCCTAAGCTCTATTTGTCTCTTTATAAAACTCATATTAGATCTGTTCTCGAATATGGTTGCATCGTCACATCTCCTCCAGACAAATCTACTTCAGATTTGATTGAGAGGGTTCAGCGCAACTTTACGAGAAAATTAGTTGGTAGAATTTCTGGGAGAATGATCAGTATTACTGACCCTAACTATTTATCATATGAGGAAAGGCTAGATATGTTTGAATTGGAGAAGTTGAGTGACAGGAGGAAGAAATGTGATCTAAAATTCCTTGAGGACATCCTTTCTGGTAAATCCAAAATTAATCTCAAATCCTTATTTCAAATCCAGAAATCTACAACGCGATCCCGTATTAATTTTTCTTACAAAATTCCAAAAAAGAAAATCCGTGGAAATTTTTTCTCAGTGCGAGTGATTCCTGAATTTTTGAAAAACATCAAATCCTACTCGGATGATTTCCTAGATGTAATTATTAGAAATGCTTGCGATTGATCTGACATTGGTGTACACATTACAAATCAAACTAAAACTTACGGTTATGTCTATGAGTTTCATTTATAATTATGTTTAATACATAAAAACCATAAAAACTATAAATTTCGTGCTATCTCCACTGATTCTGGTCTCCTCACCTCCGATTAGTCATTTTAATTTAGCTTGTGTCATCCTCCCCCCAAAAATAATTGAATTCAATTCGATTTTGTTCTATTTTTTTTTTATTTTACTTTGTGTTCGATTTCATTATATATTGTGTTTTATCTTACTTACTGCGTGATTTTTTCTCTAACGGTGTATTTTCCGCTCATCGTAAATAAATAAATAAATAAATAGCTATAGATGACTAGAAGTGAAAAAAAAACTCACCAAATCGAAGGAGCCGAGAGCAGAAAATGAGCAAAATTGACCTAGATGACGTTTTTTCGAGGAACGATGACATCGACTTAACAAAAAAATGGGACAGCCATTTTCGTGTCGGGACCCGTTACCATAATAATTCAAAAATATTTAGTTGTGATCAGAGTTGAGGGAATATAAATATATGGAGATATAGGTTATCGAGTATGACAAGTTTTTTGGAAGCATTAGTTTCACGTCTAAAGTTTGTTTTCACGTAGTTTTTACACGTGGAAAATGAAAACTCCTCTAAAAATCAATATTTTTCGATGTTTGATATTGGATCAGATAGATAAAATGTTTGCCAAAAAATTTGTGAATTCAAACTTTTTTCTCACGTCACGTTCACTTATTATTTGACGAAAAAAATCGGAAACTTTTTCACGTCTCAAACTTTTTTTTCACGTTTTTAATTTTAAAACATTATAAACAGCTTCAAAATGGATGGTAATTGCTGAAAATTTGTATTTGAGGTTTTCAAATGTGACAAACAACGTAGAACTGATAAAAGTTCCACTATTCGAAAAATAATTTTTTTGACAAAAGGGTCCCCCTTGTGATTTTTTTTTGAAAAATTTTTGATCAAAAATTTGAAAAGATTTCCGTTAGTTTCTGCTCATTTTTTCATCGTATTTTTTGGTTTCTTGGAGTATTTATTTTTTCTTTCTTCTGTCAAATAGTTGTATTCTTATCCCAGTTTTTATTACCCAATACTTATGTTTCCTGTCTTCATCGTATTATTTTTTTGAATTCGTTTTTTAATGCCCCCTGAAGGCTTGTGAAGCCTCATGAAGTCTTGTGAAGCCTCTGAAGACTTCTGGAGCCCTCTGAAGCCTTCTGAAGCCTCCTGACCTCTTCTGGAGCCTTCTGAAGCCTCCTGAAGGCTTGTGAAGCCTTCTGAAGCCTTCTGAAGTCTCCTGAAACCTCCTGAAGCTTTCTGAAGTTTTCTTAAGTCTTTCAAAAAAAAACCAGACTTACAGTAACTCCAGAACTTCCGGTGCCAAAAAATCAAACTAATTTCAAGCTATGGTATCCCCAGAAACATAATTCTCGAAAACAAAAAAAATAAAAAACATTGCACCGGGCGGCATTCGAACCCACCATCTCCCGGATGTCACAACACCACAGAACACATGTTTTTCTCTGAAGCCCTCTGAAACCTTCTAAAGCCCCCTGAAGGCTTGTGAAGACTTCTGAAGCCTTCTAAAGCCCCCTGAATGCTTGTGAAGACTTCTGAAGCCTTCTGAAGCCTCCTGAAGGCATGTGAAGCCTCCTAAAGCCTCTTGAAGGCTTGTGAAGCCTTTTGGAGCCTCCTGAAATCTTCTGAAGTCTTCTGAAGCCATCTGAATTCACAAAAGTGTCATTCTACAATAGCCACTTCTTTCAAAAAAAAAAAAAGACTTACAGTAGCTCCAGAACTTCCGCTGCCAGAAAATCTAACTAATTTCAAGCTGTGGTATCCCCAGAAACATATTTCTCAAAAACAAAAAAAAAATAAAAAACATTGCATCGGGAGGTATTCGAACCCACCACCTCTCGGCTCACAATCCAACGCTCTACCACAACACCACAGGCCTCACATTTTCTCCTCACACACACCTCGGGTACGTATACGTAAAGTCTCCATAACGTACACTTTTTGATTCTCGCACACGTGTACGTTAAGTACACCTGAGATGTCCATATGGAGACTCTCACGTGTACGTAACGGATAAAATTACGGACATAAAAAGTGTACTTTTGAAATTTCAGAATTTATTTTTAAGATTGATAATGTGAATCTATTTCAATTATAGATAAGTTCAAAATTGACTGCAATATAATATTGCTTCAAAAAAACTTCCATTCCCCGGCGTTTTTCAGCGAAACACGCTTTGGGAAATGGAAGCGCTCTGTCTACTTATATAATTCAAGCGACCGACACCTCGCGTGCTGCGCGCTGCGCTATGTTTTCCGTGGGAAGTGGGCGGGGCTTATCTTTTTTTTTTTTTTTGAATTTCGCGTTTTTCTTACAATTTTTGAGTTTTACTAATGTTTAGTTGCAAATAAAAACGTGATAAAATATGAAAATGACTGAAAATAGATGGGATATCAGTCCAGGAATGAAACTTAGACCTAATTTTGAGCAAATTTTTCTTTTTGAGTGGAAAATGAAGACAAAAATGGCCAAAATTGTATAAAAACAATTTACTAGTGAAGAATAAGTACTGAAATCATGACATAGCTTATCTATAAGACGTAGGATGGAAAATTTATAAAAATGAAAATGTATTTTTTATAGGTTACAAAAAATGTACTTAACGTATACTTTATGGAGATGAAAAAGTGTACGTTATGGAAATAATACATTTCCGTTACGTGTACTTTTCAAAAAGTCTTTCCGATTATCAAATTGAGTTTTTGATTCATTCTTTGACATCACAAACATTGAGAAAACAACGAAAATTAAGTTTTTCGAAAAACCTCCAATGATTTATCAATTTTTGCCAAGTCTACTTTACGGATGAAAAATATACACGTTACGTCCACTTTTCCAAAATTTCAACTTTCACCATAAATTTATTCGAAATGGTCTCGAAACCTCGCGAAAAGTTGTTAAACTAACTCCCAAGCTCATAAGGGATAGATTTAGTCCAAAAAAACAGTCAAAATCTTCCATGAAATTTTACACGTTTTGTATCCGTTGAAAACACGTATACGTTATGGACAAAAAAGTATACGTTATGGATAAAGTATCCCTAACGTATACCTAAGGTATACGTAGCCTAGGTGTGTGTGTGTTCAAAATACCCTTGATATGAAGGCATGCCGCTCAAAAAAAGCTTGTCGCTTTCAGAAAAGGTTTTGAATCAAGTAAATACATCAAAATGACCGTATTTTCATTATCTTTTAGTCGGAGAAGAGATGGAAGTCAATTTTTCAAACACATTTTCAAATACAAAAAATTTTATGAGAGAAAGGAAAAATAAAAGAGACGATTATTCACAGCAAATACGAGTTGGAGAGCGGGAAAAAAAATATTATTTGACAGCAATACGGTAACCCCCAAATAAAAATACGGTGGAGAAGCAGGAACATAAAAAATTGGGCTTCGAATACTTATTTGACAGATGATAGAAATAAAAAGACCCAAAAGAACAATACGGAAAAGACTTTGACAGACCAATTGAAATAATACCAGAAAATAGAGGAAAAAATAAAAATAAAGAAAACCCCAAGAATAATACCTATTTTACAAGTGAATAAAAACCCCAAAAAACCAAAAATACCATGAAAAACGAGAACAAATCAACGGCGTCGACGAGATGAGCGTTGTCCTCTTCCGTCACTGGTTGATGGCCCATTCCCATCCGATCCAGATTCATCTTCATCTTGTGTTGGATCTTCTTCGTGTCGTGAGCGGCGTGATTGATGAGAACGAGAAGAAGTAGACGGTTGCGTCGATTCCACCGGCAAACGTCCTTGTCTCCGAAATCGATCAGAGATTCCTCCAGAAACATTCGTTTCCCAACGACTACGAAATTCGGGACCTCTCTGAAAAAATAATTCATTTATCATCTGCAAACTGAAAATCCCTATGAAGTTCTAGAAAACCCTCTGAATTCCTGTCATTTTTCAGAAATCTTTGCCCAAGAAGCCTAAGATAAGAAAAACCCGGAGAAAAAAAACTAACTTCCAGTGGTCGATATGAAGATGAGTTGGCATTCCGGGTCGAATGAGCTGATCGGCGGCGAGAAACTGGAGAACGAGGTTGAGCTGGTGAGCGACTTCGACCTCTTTGACTGTCATTGACACGTCCATTTGAATCTGATCTTCTTCTAGCAGCCGGTGGTGAAGTTCGAGCTCGCGGAGAATGCTCATAACGCTCTTCATCTGAATCTTCATGTGCATCTGGTGATCGACTTCTGGATGGCGATGGAGTTGGAGAAGCTCGGCGAACTTGTGGTTGTTTGACAACAGGCTTCTTCTTATTTCCCGTCTTTTTCGCTGGTCTTCCTCGAGTTCTGGTGGTGGTGCGAGAATTCTTCGACTTCGACTTGGTTTTGGAACAAGATAGAGCATCTCGAACCTTCTTGACTATCCTTCGCACACCCTTGGGTGGCTGAAAAAGATACGGTTCATTCCAAAAAAACATTCAAAATTTGGGGGAGCCTGGGGAAGTTTCTGAAAGCCCTGGATGAGTCTAAGAGAACTGGAAAAGCCCGATGGGGACCTGGAGGCCTGAGAAAGACTGTGAAAGCTTTTGAAGCCTGGGGAAAGCCTGTAGAGCCTAAGATACACTGAGGCCTGTTCAGATAGGATCTGCAGAAGCCTAAATCCATCTGAAAAAGCCTGGAAGTCCTGGAAAAGCCCGGGAAAGATCTAGAGGCCCTGAGAAAGCTTTAGAAGCCCTGGGAAACCCTGAGGGACCTGCAGAATCTAGGAAAAAGCCTGAGAAAGCCTTACATTTATGAGGCTTTGCAGATAAAATGGTCCGGCAACGGAGATTATGAGTACTTTTGAAAAGTTTCAATTTTTGATGAATGAAAGTTGAACATAAATTTCAGAAAAATACAAAAACTGAAAAAAATAAAAGATATATGTGGCCGAACTATTTTGGTGGCCGAGAAATGTCGGGAATTCGGCCAAAGCAACAAACACGCTCTAACAATAAGGGTTTTTGCAACATTAGAGCGCGTTTATTGCTTTGGCCGAATTCCCGACATTTCTCGGCCACCAAAATAGTTCGGCCACATATATCTTTTATTTTTTTAAATTTTTTCTGAAATTAATGTTCAACTTCAATTTTTTTGAAGTAAATGCAATTTGAGATTCATTCATCAACATTTGAACATTTTTTTCATAATCTAAGTTTCCGGACCATTTAATATTTTTGATAATAAAAAACACGAAAAACCTTGAAAAAAATCAAGATTTTTTGTATTTTTTATGACCAAAAATATTACTCTGCATAAGAAACTTAGCTTAAGAAACCCAATCCTAACTACTAGCAAACTAAATCCCAAAAAAACTCACCGAAGGATCGAGGAAGAATTTTCCCGGAGTTTTGGAGGGTGTTGGAAGTGGGGGAAGTCCAGCGGCGGCACGGGCTCTCGCAGCTTCCGCTTCCAAAGCACAAGTGCGGCTGCGAGTTCGAGGAGGTTGGTAAGGCGATGGAGAGCGAGAAGATGATCGAGAATTCGGAGACGGAGATCGACGCGACTGGAAACAAATCATTATTATATCATTTTAATTGCTAATCTGAAAAGTTAACTCACGTTTTTGGATTGATTCTTGTTGTTGTTGCGCTTTGGAGGCATGATGATCGAAAAAATGAGCAAGATGAGAGCGAGAGAGACTGTGAAAATGAGTTATTTCAAATGAAATCGACGATAAAAAATAAATACAACGAAATCCGTGAAAAAAATGAGAAAAAATAACGGAAAATAGGTAAAAATAGGTAAAAAATGAGAGAAAAAAGTGATTTTAGGAGAGTGAAAAATAATTTGTAAGATAGGCGGCGTGGGTTGGGTCTCGAGTGGAAGACCGCAGTGGCGGAAATTCAAATCGAATTATTTGGGCGGCAATTTGAATTTGAATATTTTATGAAGAGAGGGAATGAATGAGAAAGCTTCAGAAGGCACATGAATGATTCAGAAGGCCTATGGAGGATTCAGAAGGCCCATGGGGGATTCTGAAGGCCTGTTCAGGCCTGACAAGGCCCGATGAGGCCTGAGAAGGCCCGATGAGGCCCGAGAAGGCCCGATGAGGCCTGAGAAGGCCTGTTGGGACCTGAGAAGGCCTGTTGATGCGTCAGAAGGCCTGTTGAGGATTCAGAAGGCACATGAAGGATTCAGAAGGCCTGTTGAGGATTCAGAAGGCCCGATAAGGATTCAGAAGGCCTGATCAGGCCAGTTCAGGCCTGAGAAGGCCTGTTGAGGCACCAGAAGGCATGTAGAGGCCTGAAAGGGCTGTTGAGACCTCAGAAGGCCTGTTGAGGCTTCAGAAGGCCTGTCGAGGCTTCATAGGGCTCCAGAGGGCTCCAGAGGAAATTATGTGCTCCGTAGAGCGTTGGGTTGACACCCGGGAGGTGGTGGGTTCGAACCCCGCCCGATGCAAAGTTTTTTATTTTTTTTGTTTTTGAGAACTATGTTTCTGCGGTACTTTAGCAATAAATTCATTGGATTTTTCGACGCCAGAATCTCTTGGATACTGTAGATTCGGTTTCGGTAGGCTACAACAGGCTTGAAAAGGCTTCTGACGCTTTTTGGACAAGCCAAACTGCTTGTGAATTGAAGACTTCATGGCTACATTATTATAGTTGATTGTTTGATTTCACGGTGTTTTTTTTCACATTAATAATCATTCGTCGTGTAAGTTTTGATTCTAAAATGTAAGATGATTTCGAAAAAAACGATAAAAATTTTCACTTTGAAATCTAGACCACTTTTACTTCGGTTCACAAACAGTTTGGCTTGTCCAAACGGAGTCAGAAGCCTTTCAAGCCTTTTTGAATCCTACTGAAAACAAACTACAGTATCCCAGAAGTTCAGGCGTAAAAAATCCGATGAATTTATCGCCAAAGTACCACCCAGGAATATATTTCTCAAAAACAAAAAAAAAACATTGCATCGGGCGGGATTCGAACCCACCTCCTCCCGCGTGTCAACCCAACGCTCTACAGAGCACATAATTTCATCTGAAGCCCTCTGAAGCCTTCTCATTTATTCCATCTGTTCATAAAATAATAAAATTCAAACCGCCGCCGCACTCTCCCCATTTGAATTTCCGCCGCTGCGGTCTTCCACTCGAGACCCAACCCATGCCGACTCTCTTACAAATTATTTTTCTCTCTTCTAAAATCACTTTTTTTTCCATTTTTTTCACGGTTTTCGTTGAATTTATTTTTCAACTACTTGTCTGGATTTTCAAAAATCAATCTAGAATTTCTTTCCATGGGAATACATGAAAGTTCCAAAAACAGCTTAAGAAAGTTGACCAAATTCTGGTTTAAAATTCAAATATTCATCAAAATTAAGCATGAAAAATGAACTAACCTCGATCAATTACTACACAACAAATCGAATAACTGAAGATCGCAATTTTTTAACAAAACCCGTCAAATCCAACAAATTGAGCGATTCTAACACAATCACACAACAACAAGTCGATCGATAAACTGGAAAAAATAGAACTAAACTCCAAAAATTTCAGAGCCATTGTTTGGTTTTTAACAAATTTTAATCGAAAGAAAATTGATCAAATTTTGGTTTAAAAATCGAAATTAAAAATGAGAAAAGAACTAACCTGGATCAATTACTACACAACATTTCGAAATCTCTGGTGATCGCGATTCCATCAAAAATCGACGAATCCACCAAATTCACCAAGCACCAATATTGATTGGGGTCGAGAAAACCAAACGACAACAAAGTCGAAAAAGGACGCCGGCAATGCACTGTGTTTAGTGTGTTTTCTTCTAGTTGAAGAGAGAGAGAGAAGAGACGCAGAGAAACATGCATGCATGTAGCTGGCTACATTATAGTTGATTGTTTGATTTCACGGTTTTTTACAAGGTATGCATGTATGAAGACAATATTTTCAGTATCATGTGGAATTATTGATTATCCCCATTAAAAATTATTCGTCGTGTATGTTTCGATTTTTAAATTTCAGATGATTTCGAAAAAAAAACGATACAAATTTTAACTTTGAAAAACTGGACCAGTTTTTCTTCTGTTCGTAAGCAGTTTGACTTGTCCGAAAAAATTCAGAAGCCTTTTCAAGCCTTTTGTAGCCTACCGAAACCGAAATACAGTATCCAAGAAGTTCTGGCATAAAAAATTCAGTGAATTTATTGCTAAAATACCCTCCAGAAATATAAATCTCAAGAAGAAAAAAAAATAAAAAACATTGCATCGATCGCGATTCGAACCCACAACCTCCCGGATGTCAACCCAACGCAATGAAACCTTCTGAAGCCCCCTGAAAGCTTGTGAAGCCTTCTGAAGCCTCATGAACGCTTCTGAAGACCCCTGAAAGTTTTTGAAGCCTTCTGAAGCCTTTTGAAGGCTTGTGAAGCCTTCTGAAGTCTCCTGAAAGCTTGTGAAGTCTCCTGAAAGCTTGTGAAACCTTCTGATGCCTTCTTAAGCCTTATGAAGGCTTCTGAAGCCCCCTGAAAGTTTGTGAAGCCTTCTGAAGGCTTCTGAAGTTATTGTTATGCGCTCTTTTTTTAATTCTAGAAAAGAATTGTTCAAAAATCATATAACTCCACATGATACTGAAAATATTGTCTTCATACCTTGTAAAACACCGTGAAGTCAAACATTTAGCTATAATGTAGCCAGCTACATGCATGCATGTTTCTCTGCGTCTCTTCTCTCTTTCTCTCTCTCTAACTAGAAGAAAACACACTAAACACAGTGCATTGCCGGCGTCCTTTTTTCGACTTTGTTGTCGTTTGGTTTGTTCGACGCCAATCAATAATGGTGTTTATTGGATTTTGTGGATTCGTCGATTTTTGAAGGAATCGCTATCAACAGAGATTCGAAATGTTGTGGAATTCATCCAGGTTAGTTCTTCTCTCATGCTTGATTTTAAATTTTAAACCGAAATTTGGTCAATTTTCTTTTGATTAAAATTTGTGAAAAACAAAACAATGCCTCTGAAATTTTTGGAATTTAATTATATTTTTCCAGATTATCGATCCACTTGTTGTTGTGTGATTTTGTTGGAATCTCTCAAATTTTTGGATTTGGTCGTCGATTTTTGGTGGATTCGCGAAGTTCAGTTATTCGAATTGTTGTGTTGTAGTTAATCCAGGTTAGTTCTTTTCACATGCTTAATTTTGATGAATATTTGAATTTTAAACCAGAATTTGGTCAACTTTCTTCAGCTGTTTTTGAACATTTTATGCTTTTCCCATGAAAGGGAAATTTAGATTGATTTTTGAAAATCCAGACAAGACAGCTTTTGGCTGTTTTAATTAAAGAATAAATTCAACGAAAACCGTGAAAAAATGAAATAAAGTGATTTTAGAAGAGAGAAAAATAATTTGTAAGAGAGGCGGCGTAGCTTGGGTCTCGAGTGGAAAATGCGACCCCGCGGCAATTCAAATCGGATTATTTGGGAGGCAATTTGAATTTGTTTATATTATGAAGAGAGGGAATAAATGAGGAGGATTCAGAAGGCTCCAGAGGGCTTCAAAGGAAATTATGTGCTCTGTAGAGCGTTGGGTTGACATCCGGGAGGTGGTGGGTTCGAACCCCGCCCGATGCGATGTTTTTTTTTTTGTTTGTGAGAAATATGTTCCTGGGTGGTACTTTAGCGATAAATTCATCGGATTTTTTTACGCCTGGACTTCTGGGATACTGTAGTTTGTTTTCAGTAGGATTCAAAAGGCTTGAAAAAGCTTCTGACTCCGTTTGAACAAGTCAATCTGCTTGTGAATTCTTGTGGAGCCTTGAGAATCGACAAAAACGCTCACAAGCAGTTTGGCTTGTCCAAAAAGCGTCAGAAGCCTTTTCAAGCCTTTTGTAGCCTACCGAAACCGAACTACAGTATCCCAGAAGTTCTGGCATCAAAAAAACCGATGAATGTATTGCTAAAGTACCCTAGAAACATAGTTATCAAAAAAAAAAAAAAAAAAAACATTGCATCGGGCGGGGTTCGAACCCACCACCTCCCGGGTGTCAACCCAACGCTCTACAGAGCACATAAGTTCCTCTGAAGCCCCCTGGAGCCTTATGAATCCTCAACAGGCCTTCTGAAGCCTCAACAGGCCTTCTGAGGCCTTAACAGGTCTTTTGAGGCCTCAACAGCCCTTTCAGGCCTCAACAGGCCTTCTGGAGCCTCAACAGGCCTTATGAAGCCTCATCGGGCCTTCTGAGGGCTCATCGGGCCTTCTGAATCTTCAACAGGCCTTCTGAATCCTCAACAGGCCTTCTGAATCCTCAACAGGCCTTTTGAGGCCTCAACAGACCTTCTGAGGCCTCAACAGCCCTTTTCAGGCCTCAACAGGCCTTATGGGCCTCATCGGGCCTTCTCAGGCCTCATCGGGCCTTCTCAGGCCTGAACAGGCCTTCTGAATCCTCATCGGGCCTTCTGAATCCTCCATGTGTCATCTGAATCCTCTATTTGCCTTCTGAAGCTTCTCATTTATTCCATCTCTTCATAAAATAAACAAATTCAAATTGCCGCCCAAATAATTCGATTTGAATTTCCGCCGCTGCGGTCTTCCACTCGAGACCCAACCCACGCCGCCTATCTTACAAATTATTTTTCACTCTCCTAAAATCACTTTTTTCTCTCATTTTTTACCTATTTTTACCTATTTTCCGTTATTTTTTCTCATTTTTTTCACGGATTTTTTTGTATTTATTTTTTATCGTCGAATTCTATTCAAATAACTCATTTTTACAGTCGATTCCGCGCTCCTCTTGCTCATTTTCTCAATCATCATGCCACCAAAGAAGGACCTCAACAAGAAACAATCCAAAAATGTGAGTTTACTTTTCAGATTAGCAATTAAAATGATATAATAATGATTTGTTTCCAGTCCCGTCGCTCTCCATCGCCGGACTCTCGCTCTTCAACCCGATCTCCCTCGCCTTATCAAGCTCCACGGACAAGATCTCAAACCTGCGCGATGCAGGCCGCAGCTGCCCGAGCCCGTGCTGACGCTGGTTTGCCGCCACTTCCAACTCCATCAAAGAAGGCGGGACAATTCTACCTCGATCCTTCGGTGAGTTTTTTTGGGATTTAATTAGCAAGTACATAGTTAGGACTGGGTTTCTTGAGCTAAGTTCCTTATGCAGATTAATATTTTTGGTCATAAAAAAACACAAAAAATCAAGGTTTTTCGTGTTTTTTATGACCAAAAATATCAAATGGTCCGGCAACGGAGATTATGCGAACTTTTAAAAATGTTCAAATGTTGATGAATGAATCTCAAAAATGCATTTACTTCACAAAAAATTGAAGTTGAACGTAAATTTCAAAAAAATAAAAAAATTGAAAAGATATATGCGGCCGAACTATTTAGGTGGCCGAGAAATGTCGGGAATTCGGCCAAAGCGATAAACGCGCTCTAATGTTACAAAAATTACTGTATTTGGAGCGAGTTTGTTGCTTTGGCCGAATTCCCGACATTTCTCGGCCACCAAAATAGTTCGGCCACATATATATTTTTTTTCAGTTTTTTTATTTTTCTGAAATTTATGTTTAACTTCAATTTTTTATGAAGTAAGTGCATTTTGAGTTTCATTCATCAACATTTGAACATTTTTAAAAGTACTCATAATTTCCGTTGCTGGACCACTTCAGGCGTTTTCCTAGATTCAGCAGGTCCCTCAGGCTTTCCCCAGGCTTCAAAAAGCTTTCACAGGCCTCTTCTCAATTTCTCAGGGCCTCTAGATCATTCCCGGGCTTTTCCAGGACTTCCAGGCTTTCTCAGATGGATTTAGGCTTCCGTAGATCCCATCTGAACAGGCCTTAATATTTCTTAGATTTCACAGGCTTTTCCCATGTTTCTGAAGGTCCCTCAGGGTTTTTCACAGTCTTTCTCAGGCCTCCAGGTCCCCACCGGGCTTTTCCAGTTCTCTCAGACTCATCCGGGCTTCAGAAACTTCCCCAGGCTCCCACAAATGTTGCATGTTTTTTTGTAATGAATCGTATCTTTTTCAGCCACCCAAGGGTGTGCGAAGGATAGTCAAGAAGGTTCGAGAAGCGCTGTCATGTTCCAAAACCAAGTCGAAATCGAAGAATACTCGCACCACCACCAAAACGCGAGGAAGACCGGCGAAAAAGACGGGAAATCAGAAGAAAGTGATCAAAAAGCAGCCAGCAATTCGGACAAGTTTCGCCATCTCCTTCACCAGCAAGAAGCCCATCACCGGATTCGCGCGAAACATCGGACGACGAAGCTTATGATCATGCTCCGCGAACTCGAACTCCACCACCGGCAGCTGGAAGAAGATCGACATCGAATGTTCGAAGCAATGATAGTAGAAGGGGAAGAAGTCGTTCTCCAATTGCCAGTCCATCTCCAGTTTCTCGCCGTCGATCAGCGCACTCCACGCGGAACCCGAACTCGAATTCTTATCGACCACTGGAAGTTAGTTTTTTTTCTCCGGGTTTTTCTTATCTTAGGCTTCTTGGGCAAAGATTTCTGAAGAATGACAGGAATTCAGAGGGTTTTCTAGAACTTCATAGGGATTTTCAGTTTGCAGATGATAAATGAATTATTTTTTCAGCACGGGCCACAATTTCGTGAACAGTGGGAGACAAATGTCTCAGGAGGATTCTCGGATCGATTTAGAAGACAAGGACGTGTGCCTGTGGACGTAACACAGCCGTCCAGTTCTTCTCGCCGTTCTCATCATTCTCGCCGATCTCGACACGAAGAACAACGCACTCAGGAAGAAGATGAAGATTCAGGATCGGATGTCAATCAACCGTCAACAAGTCGCGGTCAACGTTCCTCTCGCCGTCGTTAGTTCTTTTTTTTTATTTGGTTCTTCGTATTTTTTGGGTTATTCGGGTATTCATTCTTTCATTCTTTATGTACTTGTCAAATAGGTCTTATTTTGGGGATTTCTTTCATTTTATTTTTTTCACTTCTTCCTGGTATTTTTCTCAATATTCTGTCAAATAATTCTTCGTATTTTTGTGCCTCCTTCTCCACCGTATTTTTATTTGGGGTATTTTTTTTTCTGTCAAATAGTCTTATTTCCCCCGCTCTCCAACTCGTATTTGCTGTGAATATTAGTCTCTTTTATTTTTCTTCTCTAGAATAAATTTTTTGTATTTGGAAATGTGTTTGAAAACTTGACTTCCATTTCTTCTCCGGCTTTTCAGAATTTTGCGGAACCTCTTTCATTGAAAAGAGAATGAAAATGCGGTCATTGTGATGTATTTACTTGTTGCAAAGCCTTTCTTCAACGCGACAAGATATTTTTAGGAGAAAATGTGAGGCTTCAGGAGGCTTTAGAAGGCTTCCGATGGCTTCAGGGGGCTTCACAAGCCTTCAGGAGGCTCCACAACGTTTCACAAGCGTTCAGGGGGCTTCACAAGCCTTCAGGGGGCTTCAGTAGGCTCCAGTAGGCTTCAGATGGCTCCAGAGAAAAATATGTGCTCTGTGTGTTGCGACATCCGGGAGGTGGTGGGTTCGAACCCCGCCCGATGCAATGTTTTTTTTAAATTTTTGTTTTTGAGATTTATATTCCTGGGGGGTACTTTAGCGATAAATTCACTGGATTTGTTCATTGCAGAACTTCTGGGATACTGAAGGTAGGCTACAAAAGGCTTGAAAAGGCTTCTGACGCCTTTTGAACAAGCCTTCTGTGAGTTTTCAGTGACAATTTCGCCAAACAAAAGTCAAATGGAAAATGATATCAAAAAATTCTTGTTAGATTCCCCTCGTTTTTTGCAAATACAAGAATGGTTTTTGTCATACAAATATATTTTTTGCCACTCTTCTAGAGCAACAAAAATATTTTTGTATGACAAAAATCAAACTTGCATTTGCATCGTTATCATTTTTTTTTTGGATTTTACGAAGATATAAAGATCGCATTTTATAAACCGTCTCCCCTCTTATTCTTTTACTCGCGCCGACAACTAACAGGCAATGCGCATCTCTATTTTTTGCATGCAAAGTGGGCGGGGCAAACCGTCTGCGAGACCAAGGTTCGACTCCTCTCGCCGCCTATTTTTTTTAAATCTTTTTTTTTTATTGTTTTTTTTTTGCTAGAAAAAAATGTGTTTAATCTATGATTACAAAAATCAAATCAAAATTTCAAATTAAAAAAAAACAGGAGAATTTTCGCAATTTTCAAAAAATCATCAGTGTTTTCAAAATGTAAATACTGAACATTTTCAAAAGTTTTCTATGCAAAAATTGCAATTTTAGAGAACGCAAGAGAAGGCTTCAGAAGACTTTAGGAGGCTTCAGAAGACTTTAGGAGGCTTCAGAGGGCTTCAAAGGAAATTATGTGCTCTGTAGAGCGTTGGGTTAACATCCGGGAGGTGGTGGGTTCGAATCACGCCCGATGCAATTTTTTTTATTTTTTTTTGTTTTTGAGAAATATGTTCCTGGGTGGTACTTTAGCGAAAAAATCATCGGATTTTTTCATGGCAGAACTTTTGGGATACTGTAGTTTGTTTTCAGTTGGATTCGATAGACTTGAGAAAGCTTCTGCTGCGTTTTGAACAAGCTAAACTGCTTATGAACAGAAGAAACACTGGTCCAGATTTCAAAATGAACATTTTTATCGTTTTTCAAAAAATCAAAATTTTGCTCCCGAATTTCAGCTTGTTATGCTCTGTTTTTTTTTAATTCTAGAAAAGAATTGTTCAAAAATCATATAATTCCACATGATACTGAAAATATTGTCTTCATACCTAGTAAAAAACCGTGAAATCAAACAATCAACTATAATGTAGCCAGCTACATGCATGCATGTTTCTCTGCGTCTCTTCTCTCTCTCTCTCTCTTCAACTAGAAGAAAACACACTAAACACAGTGCATTGCCGGCGTCCTTTTTCGACTTTGTTGTCGTTTACTTTTCTCGACGCCAATCAATAATTGTGTTTATTGGATTTGATGGATTCGTCGATCAACAGTGATTCAAAATGTTGTGTATTTGATCCAGGTTAGTTCTTTTCTCATGTTTGATTTTGAATTTTAAACCAAAAATTTGTCAATTCTCTTTTGATTAAAATTTGTGAAAAACAAAACAATTACTCTGAATTTTTTGGAATTTAATCATATTTTTCCAGATTATCGATCGATTTGTTGTTGTGTGATTGTGTTGGAATGGCTCAATTTGTTGGATTTGGTCGTCGATTTTTGATGGAATTGCGATCTTCAGTTATTCGAATTGTTGTGTAGTAATTGATCCAGGTTAGTTCATTTTTCATGCTTAATTTTGATGAATATTTGAATTTTAAACCAGAATTTGGTCAACTTTCTTCAGCTGTTTTTGAACATTTTATGCTTTTCCCATGAAAGGGAATTCTAGGTTGATTTTTGAAAATCCAGACAAGACAGCTTTTGGCTGTTTTAGTTAACGAAAAACCGTGAAAAAAAATGAAAAAAGTGAAGTGATTTTAGAAGAGAGAAAAATAATTTGTAAGAGAGGCGGCGTGGGTTGGGTCTCGAGTAGAAGACCGCAGCGGCGGAAATTCAAATCGAATTATTTGGGCGGCAATTTGAATTTTATTATTTTATGAAGAGATGGAATAAATGAGGAGGATTCAGAAGGCTCCAGAGGGCTTCAAAGGAAATTGTGTGCTCTGTAGAGCGTTGGGTTGACACCCGGGAGGTGGTGGGTTCGAACCCCGCCCGATGCGATGTTTTTTTTTCGTTTGTGAGAAATATGTTCCTGGGTGGTACTTTAGCGATAAATTCATCGGATTTTTTTCCGCCTGGACTTCTGGGATACTGTAGTTTGTTTTCAGTAGGATTCAAAAGGCTTGAAAAAGCTTCTGACTCCGTTTGAACAAGTCAATCTGCTTGTGAATTCTTGTGGATCCTTGAGAATCGACAAAAACGCTCACAAGCAGTTTGTCCAAAAAGCGTCAGAAGCCTTTTCAAGCCTTTTGTAGCCTACCGAAACCGAACTACAGTATCCCAGAAGTTCTGGCATCAAAAAAAAAACCGATGAATTTATTGCTAAAGTACCCTAGAAACATAGTTATCAAAAAAAAAACGAAAAACATTGCATCGGGCGGGGTTCGAACCCACCACCTCCCGGGTGTCAACCCAAAGCTCTACAGAGCACATAATTTCCTCTGGCGCCCCCTGGAGCCTTATGAAGCCTCAACAGGCCTTCTGAAGCCTCAACAGGCCTTCTGAGGCCTTAACAGGCCTTTTGAGGCCTCAACAGCCCTTTCAGGCCTCAACAGGCCTTCTGGAGCCTCAACAGGCCTTATGAAGCCTCATCGGGCCTTCTGAGGCCTCATCGGGCCTTCTGAATTCTCAACAGGCCTTCTGAATCCTCAACAGGCCTTCTGAATCCTCAACAGGCATTTTGAGGCCTCAACAGACCTTCTGAGGCCTCAACAGCCATTTTCAGGCCTCAACAGGCCTTATGGGCCTCATCGGGCCTTATCAGGCCTCATCGGGCCTTTTCAGGCCTGAACAGGCCTTCTGAATCCACCATGTGTCATCTGAATCCTCTATTTGCCTTCTGAAGCTTTCTCATTCATTCCATCTCTTCATAAAATATTCAAATTCAAATTGCCGCTCAAATAATTCGATTTGAATTTCCGCCACTGCGGTCTTCCACTCGAGACCCAACCCACGCCGCCTATCCTACAAATTATTTTTCACTCTCCTAAAATCACTTTTTTCTCTCATTTTTTACCTATTTTTACCTATTTTCCGTTATTTTTTCTCATTTTTTTCACGGATTTTTTTGTATGTATTTTTTATTGTCGATTTCTTTCCAAATAACTCATTTTTACAGTCGATTCCGCTCTTTTCTTGCTCAATTTCAACTTCAACATGCCACCAAAGAAGGACGTCAACAAGAAACCATCCAAAAATGTGAGTTTACTTTTCAGATCAGCAATTAAAATGATATAATAATGATTTGTTTCCAGTCCCGCCGCTCTCCTTCGCCGGATTCTCGATCAACAACCAGATCTCCGTCACCTTATGAGGCGCCAAGGACAAGATCTCAAACCTGCGCAATGCAGGCCGCCGCTGCTCGAGCCCGTGCTGATTCCGGTTTGCCCCCTCTGCCAACACCTTCCAAACAGCCCGGAAAGTTCTACCTCGATCCTTCGGTGAGTTTTTTTTGGGATTTAGTTTGCAAGTAGTTAGGATTGGGTTTTTTGAGCTAAGTTTCTTATGCGGATTAATATTTTTGGTCATAAAAAACACGAAAAATCAAGGTTTTTCGTGTTTTTTATTACCAAAAATATTAAATGGTCCGGCAACGGAGATTATGAGAACTTTTAAAATGTTCAAATTTTGATGAATGAATCTCAAAATGCATTTACTTCACAAAAAATTGAAGTTGAACGTAAACTTCAAAAAAATAAAAAACTGAAAAATAAAAAGATAAATGTGGCCGAACTATTTTGGTGGCCGAGAAATGTCGGGAATTCGGTCAAAGCAATAAACGCGCTCTAAAGTTGCAAAAATCCTTAATGTTGGAGCGCGTTTATTTCGTTGGCCGAATTCCCGACATTTCTCGGCCACCAAAATAGTTCGGCCACATATATCATTTCAGTTTATTCTATTTTTCTGAAATGTATGTTCAACTTCAATTTTTTATGAAGTAAGTGCAGTTTGAGATTCATCCATCAAAATTTGAAAATTTTCAAAAGTACTCATAATCTCCGTTGCCGGACCATTTGATCTGCAAAGCCTTCTAAATTTAAGGCTTTCTTGGGCTTTTTCCATGATTATGTGGGTCCCACAGGGTTTCCCAGGGCTTCAAAAAGCTTTCTCAGGGCCTCTAGATCGTTCTCGGGCTTTTCCAGGACTTCCAGGCTTTTTCAGATGGATTTAGGCTTCCGCAGATCCTATCTGAACAGGCCTTAATATTTCTTGGCCTTCTGAGGCTTTTCCCATGTTTCTGCAGATCCCTCAGGGTTTTTCACAGTCTTTCTCAGGTCCCAGACTTATCCGGGCTTCAGAAACTTCCCCAGGCTCCCACAAATTTTGCATGTTTTTTTGTAATGAATCGTATCTTTTTCAGCCACCCAAGGGTGTGCGAAGGATAGTCAAGAAGGTTCGAGAAGCGCTGTCCTGTTCCAAATCGAAATCGAAATCCAAGAATACTCGCACCGCCACCAGAGGAAGAGGAAGACCAGCGAAAAAGACGGGAAACAAGAAGAAGCCTGTTGTCAAGCAACCACAAGTTCGCCGAGCTTCGCCAACACCCTCACCAGCGAGAAGTCCATCACCAGATTCGCGCGAAACTTCGGATGACGAAGCTTATGAACATGAACCGCGAACTCGAACTCCACCAGCTGCTGCTAGAAGATCGAATTCCAATGTTCGAAGCAATGACAGTAGAAGGGGAAGAAGTCGTTCGCCAATTGTCACTCAATCTCCAGTTTCTCGCCGTCGATCAGCGCACTCCACGCGGAACCCGAACTCGAATTCTTATCGACCACTTGAAGTTAGTTTTTTTTCTCCGGGTTTTTCTTATCTTAGGCTTGTTGGGCAAAGATTTCTGAAGAATGACAGGAATTCAGAGGGTTTTCTAGAACTTCATAGGGATTTTCAGTTTGCAGATGATAAATGAATTATTTTTTCAGCACGGCCCGCAATTTCGAGACAGATGGGAAGCGGATGTATCTGGAGCATTCTCGGATCGGTTCCGGAGACAAGGACGTGTGCCTGTGGACGTAACACAGCCGTCCAGTTCTTCTCGACGCTCTCATCATTCCCGCCGATCCCGCCACGAAGAACAACGCACTCAGGAAGAAGATGAAGATTCTGGATCGGATGCCAATCAACCGTCGACTAGTCGTGGACAAGGTTCTTCTCGCCGCAGACGTTAGTTCTTTTTTTCATTTGATTCTTCGTATTTTTTGGGTTATTCGGGTATTCATTCTTTTATTCTTTATGTACTTGTCAAATAGGTCTTATTTTGGGGATTTCTTTTATTTTTATTTTTTTCACTTCTTCCTGGTATTTTTTCTCAATATTCTGTCAAATAATTCTTCGTATTTTTGTGTCTCCTTCTTCGCCGTATTTTTTTTTGGGTTACTGTATTGCTGTCAAATAGAATTTTTTTCCCGCCCTCCAACTCGTATTTGCTGTGAATATGTCGTATTTTTCATTATTCTTCTATCATAAATTTTTTTTGTATTTGAAAATGTGTTTGAAAAATTGACTTCCATCTCTTTTCCGGCTTCTCGGAATTTTTCGGGACCTCTTTCATTGGAAAGAGAATGAAAATACGGTCATTTTGATGTATTTACTTGTTGCAAAACCTTTCTTCAACGCGACAAGCTTGTTTGAGAGGCATGCCTTCATATCAAGGGTATTTTGAACAGTAGAAAATATGAGGCTTCAGGAGGCTTTAGAAGGCTTCCGATGGCTTCAGGGGGCTTCACAAGCCTTCAGGAGGCTCCACAACGTTTCACAAGCGTTCAGGGGGCTTCAGGAGGCTTCAGAAGGCTTCACAAGCCTTCAGGTGGCTTCACAAGCCTTCAGGGGGCTTCAGAAAGCTTCCGATGGCTTCAGGAGGCTCCAAAAGGCTTCACAAGCCTTCAGGGGGCTTCACAAGCCTTCAGGAGGCTTCAGTAGGCTTCAGTAGGCTTCAGAGGGCTCCAGAGAAAAATATGTGCTCTGTGTGTTGCGACATCCGGGAGGTGGTGGGTTCGAACCCCGCCCGATGCAATGTTTTTTTTTAATTTTTGTTTTTGAGATTTATATTCCTGGGGGGTACTTTAGCGATAAATTCATCGGATTTTTTCATTGCAGAACTTCTGGGATACTGTAGTTTGTTTTCAGTAAGATTCAAAAGGCTTCTGACGTCTTTTGAACAAGCCTTCAGTGAGTTTTCAGTGACAATTTCGCCAAACAAAAACACAAATGGAAAATGATATTAAAAAATTTTTGTTAGATTTCCCCTCTTTTTTTTGCAAATACAAGAATGATTTTTGAAATACAAAAATATTTTTTGCTACTCTTTTAGAGCAACAAAAAATATTTTTGTATAAAAAAAGTCAACCTTGCATTCGCAATCGTTATCATTTTATTTGGATTGTAAGAAGATTTGAAAATCGAATTTTATAAACCGTCTCCCCTCTTATTATTTTTCTCGCGCCGACAACTAACAGGCCCTGCGCCTCTCTATTTTTTGCATGCAAAGTGGGCGGGGCAAACTGTCTGCAAGACCAAGGTTCGACTCCTCTCGCCGCCTATTTTTTCAAATCTTTTTATTGGAATTGTTTTTTATCTAGAAAAAAACGTGTCTATGATCTATGATTACAAAAATCAAATCAAAATTTCGAATTCAAAAAAAACAGGAGATTTTTTCCCGAATTTTCATAGAAACATCAGTGTTTTTAAAATGTAAATACTTCACATTTTCAAAAGTTTTCTAAAAGAAAATATCAATTTTAGAAAACGCAAGAGAAGGCTTCAGGGCGCTTCAGAAGTTTTCAGAAGATTTCAGGAGACTTTAGAAGGCTTCAGAGGGCTTCAAAGGAAATTATGTGCTCTGTAGAGCGTTAGGTTGACCCCCGGGAGGTGGTGGGTTCGAACACCGCCCGATGCAATGTTTTTTATTTTTTTTGTTTTTGAGATTTATATTCCTGAGGGTTACATTAGCGATAAATTCATCGGATTTTTTTACGCCTGGACTTCTGGGATATTGTAGTTCGGTTTCGGTAGGCTACAAAAGGCTTGGAAATTTTTCTGAATTTTTCGGACAAGTCAAACTGCTTGTGAACAGAAGAAAACGTGGTCCAGATTTCAAAATGAACATTTTTATCGGTTTTTCAAAAAATCTAAATTTTGCTCCGGAATTCCAGCTTGTTATGCTCTCTTTTTTCAAATTCTAGAAAAGAAATGTTCAAAAATAAAAATTTCCACATGATACTGAAAATATTGTCTTCAAACATGCATAAAAAACCGTGAAATCAAACAATCAACTATAATGTAGCCATCTACATGCATGCATGTTTCTCTGCGTCTCTTCTCTCTCTCTCTCTCTTACTAGAAGAAAACACACTAAACACAGTGCATTGCCAGCGTCCTTTTTCGAGTTTGTTGTCGTTTAGTTTTCTCGACACCAATCAATAATGGTCTTTATTGAATTTGGTGGATTCGTCGATATTTGGTGGATTCGTCGACCAACAGAGATTCGAAATGTTGTTTAATTGATCCAGGTTAGTTCTTTTTTCATGCTTGATTTTGAATTTTAAACCAAAATTTGGTCAATTTTCTTTTGATTAAACTTTGTGAAAAACAAAACAATGGCTCTAAAATTTTTGGAATTTAATTATATTTTTTCCAGATTATCGATCGACTTGTTGTTGTGTGATTGTGTTGGAATCGCTCAAATTGTTGGATTTGTCGGGTTTTGATGTAGTTTTTGGTGATAATTGCCGAATTCATATTGTGTTCTCCACCAGGCAATTTGTTTTGGAAAGGATCAAAGCTTTGCTCAACTCAATAATTATCAACCCAACTTCGAAACGTGATTTATTTGCCGGAAGTTTGCATATTTTGTAGTTTGCTGAAAGAAATTGAGAGTGAGTAAATTTTTTTCAATTCGAAAAAAACGAAACAATCTTCTTTTGCTCTGAAATTTGGGAAAAAATCGACGATAAAATATAAATACAACGAAATTCGTGAAAAAAATGAGAAAAAATAGGTAAAAATGAGAAATAAAAGTGATTTCAGAAGAGAGAAAAAGAATTTGTAAGAGAGCCGGCGTGGGTTGGGTCTCGAGTGGAAAATGCGACCCCGCGACAATTCAAATCGAATTATTTGGGCGGCAATTTGAATTTGATTATTTTATGAGGAGAGGGAATAAATGAGAAGGCTTCAGAAGGCCTGTTGAGGCTTCATAATGCTTCAGAGGGCTTCAGAGGAAACTACGTGCTCTGTAGAGCGTTGGGTTGACACCCGGGAGGTGGTGGGTTCGAATCCCGCCCGATGCAATGTTTTTTTTTTGTTTTTGAGATTTATATTCCTGGGGGGTACTTTAGCAATAAATTCATCGGATTTTTTTACGCCTGAACTTCTGGGATACTGTAGTTTGTTTTCATTAGGATTCAAAACGCTTAGGAAGGCTTCTGACGCTTTTTGGACAAGCCAAACTGTTTGTGAACCGAAGTAAAAGTGGTCTAGATTTCAAAGTGAACTGTTTTATCGTTTTTTTTGCGAAATCATCTGAAATTTTAGAATCAAAACTTACACGACGAATGACTTTTAATGTGAAAAAAATCAAACAATCAACTATAATGTAGCCATGAAGTCTTCAATTCACAAGCAGTTTGACTGGTCCAAAAAGGGTCAGAAGCCTTTCAAGCCTTTTGTAGCCTACCGAAACCGGACTACAGTATCCCAGAAATTCTGGCATCAAAAAATCCAATGAATTCATTGCTAAAGTACCCTAGAAACATAGTTCTCAAAAACAAAAAAAAATAAAAAACATTGCATCGGGCGGGGTTCGAACCCACCACCTCCCGGGTGTCAACCTAACGCTCAACAGAGCACATGATTTTCTCTGAAGCCCTCCGGAGCCTTATGAAGCCTCAACAGGCCTTCTGAGGCCTCAACAGGCCTTTTGAGGCCTTAACAGCCCTTTCAGGCTTCAACAGTCCTTCTGGGGCCTCAACAGGCCTTATGGGCCTCATCGGGCCTTATGGGCCTCATCGGGCCTTGTCAGGCCTGAACAGGCCTTCAGAATCCCCCATGGGCCTTCTGAATCCTTCATGTTCCTTCTGAAGCCTTCTCATTCATTCCCTCTTTTCATAAAATATTCAAATTCAAATTGCCGCCCAAATAATTCGATTTGAATTTCCGCCACTGCGGTCTTCCACTCGAGACCCAACCCACGCCGCCTATCTTACAAATTATTTTTCACTCTCCTAAAATCACTTTTTTCTCTCATTTTTTACCTATTTTTACCTATTTTCCGTTATTTTTTCTCATTTTTTTCACGGATTTTTTTGTATTTATTTTTTATCGTCGAATTCTATTCGAATAACTCATTTTTACAGACTCTTCCGCTCTCCACTTGCTCATTTGCTCCTTCAACATGCCACCAAAGCGCGACGTCAACAAAAAACCATCGAAAAATGTGAGTTAACTTTTCAGATTAGCAATTAAAATGATATAATAATGATTTGTTTCCAGTCCCGCCGCTCTCCTTCGCCGGATTCTCGATCTTCAACCCGATCTCCGTCACCTTATGAGCCGCCAAGGACAAGATCGCAAACCTGCGCGATGCAGGCCGCCGCTGCTCGAGCCCGTGCTGATGCCGGTTTGCCCCCTCTTCCAACGCCTTCCAAAAAGGCGGGAAAGTTCTTCCTCGATCCTTCGGTGAGTTTTTTCGGGATTTAGTTTGCTGGTAGTTAGGATTGGGTTTCTTGAGCTAAATTTCTTATTCAGATTACTATTTTTGGTCATAAAAAACACGAAAAATCAAGGTTTTTCGTGTTTTTTATGACCAAAAATATTAAATGGTCCGGCAACGGAGATTATGAGAACTTTTAAAATGTTCAAATGTTGATGAATGAATCTCAAAATGCATTTACTTCACAAAAATTGAAGTTGAACATAAATTTCAGAAAAATAAAAAACTGAAAAGATATATGTGGCCGAACTATTTTGGTGGCCGAGAAATGTCGGGAATTCGGCCAAAGCAATAAACGCGCTCTAATGTTACAAAAATCCTTATTGTTAGAGCGCGTTTATTGCTTTGACCGAATTCCCGACATTTCTCGGCCACCAAAATAGTTCGGCCACATATATATTTTTTTTTGCAGTTTTTTTTTAAATTTTTCTGAAGTTCATGTTCAACTTCAATTTTTATGAAGTAAGTGCAGCTTGAGATTCATTCATCAACATTTGAACATTTTTAAAAGTTCTCATAATCTCCGTTGCTGGACCATTTAATCTGCAAAACCTTCTAAATTTAAGGCTTTCTCGGGCTTTTTCCATGATTATGTGGGTCCCACAGGGTTTCCCCAAGCTTCAAAAGCTTTCTCAGGGCCTCTAGATCTTTCCCGGGCTTTTCCAGGACTTCCAGGCTTTCTCAGATGCATTCAGGCTTTCGCAGATCCAATCTGAACATGCCTTAATATTTCTTAGGCTTCACAAGCTTTTCCCATGTTTCTGCAGGTCCCTCAGGGTTTTTCACAGTCTTTCTCAGGCCTCCAGGTCCCCACCGGGCTTTTCCAGTTCTCTCAGACTCATCCGGGCTTCAGAAACTTCCCCAGGCTCCCCCAAATTTTGCATGTTTTTTGTAATGAATCGTATCTTTTTCAGCCACCCAAGGGTGTGCGAAGGATAGTCAAGAAGGTTCGAGAAGCGCTCTCCTGTTCCAAAACCAAGTCGAAGTCGAAGAATTCTCGCACCACCACCAGAGGAAGAGGAAGACCAGCGAAAAAGACGGGAAATAAGAAGAAGCCTGTTGTCAAGCAACAACCACAAGTTCGCCGAGCTTCGCCAACACCTTCACCAGCGAGAAGTCCATCACCGGATGCAAATGAAGATTCGGATGATGATCGTTATGAGCATTCTCCTCGAACCCGAACTCCTCCACCAGCTGCTCGAAGATCGACTTCGAATGTTCGAAGCAATGATAGTAGAAGGGGAAGAAGTCGTTCTCCAATTGCCAGTCCATCTCCAGTTTCTCGCCGTCGATCAGCGCACTCCACTCGAAATGCCAACTCGAATTCTTATCGACCACTGGAAGTTAGTTTTTTTTCTCCGGGTTTTTCTTATCTTAGGCTTGTTGGGCAAAGATTTCTGAAGAATGACAGGAATTCAGAGGGTTTTCTAGAACTTCATAGGGCTTTTCAGTTTGCAGATGATAAATGAATTATTTTTTCAGCACGGCCCGCAGTTTCGTGAACAGTGGGAGACTAATGTCTCGGGAGCGTTTTCGGAGCGTTTTAGAAGACAAGGACGTGTGCCTGTGGACGTAACACAGCCGTCCAGTTCTTCTCGACGCTCTCATCGTTCCCGCCGATCCCGCCACGAAGAACAACGCACTCAGGAAGAAGATGAAGATTCTGGATCGGATGTCAATCAACCGTCGACTAGTCGTGGACAAGGTTCAACTCGCAGACGTCGTTAGTTTATTTCTCATTTTTCATAGTTTTTTTGGGTTTATTGGGTATTCATTATTTTCTTGTCAAATAGGTCTTATTTTGGGGATTTCTTTATTTTACTTTTTGGTTTTTTTCCGGTATTATTTCAATTTTTTCTGTCAAATATTTCTACGTATTTTTGTGTCTCCTTCTTCACCGTATTTTTATTTGGGGTCACTGTATTGCTGTCAAATAGAATTTTTTCCCGCTCTCCAACTCGTATTTGCTGTGAATATTCGGCTCTTTTATTTTTTCTTTCATAAATTTTTTGTATTTGAAGATGTGTTTGAAATATTGACTTCCATCTCTTCTCCGGCTTCTCAGAATTTTGTGGTGACTCTTTAATTGAAAAGAGAATGAAAATACGGTCATTGGATTTGTGAGCCGAGAGGTGGTGGGTTCGAATCCCACCCGATGCAATGTTTTTTATTTTTATTTTTGTTCTTGAGAAATATGTTTCTGGGGATACCATAGCTTGAAATTAGTCTTTTTTTGGCAGAGGAAGTTCTGGACTTACTGAAAGTCTTGTTTTTTTTTTGAAAGAAACGGCTATTGTAGAATAACATTTTCTCGATGTCAGAAGACTTCAGGAGGTTCCAAAAGGCTTCACAAGCCTTCAGGGGGCTTCACAAGCCTTCAGAAGGCTTCAGGAGGCTTCAGAAGGTTGTAAAGGGCTCCAGAAGACTTCAGGAGGTTCCAAAAGGCTTCAGGAGGCTTCAGAAGGCTTCCGAAGGCTTCACAAGCCTTCAGGAGGCTCCAGAAGGTTTCACAAGCCTTCAGGGGGCTTCACAAGCCTTCATGAAGCTTCAGAAGGCTTCACAAGCCTTGAGGAGGCTCCAGAAAGTTTCACTAGCCTTCAGGAGGCTTCAGAAGGCTTCATGGGGCTTCAGAGGAAATTATGTGCTCTGTAGAGCGTTGGGTTGACACCCGGGAGGTGGTGGTTTCGAATCTCGCCCGATGCAATGTTTTTTTTTGTTGTTTTTGAGAAATATGTTCCTGGGGGGGTAGTTTAGCGATAAATTCATCAGATTTTTTCATGGCAGAACTTCTGGGATACTGTAGTTTGTTTTTAGTAGGTTTCAAAAGGTTTGAGAAGCCTTCTGACGCCTTTTGAACAAGCCAAACTGCTTGTGAACCTAAGAAAAAGTGGTCCAGATTGGTCCAGAGGTGAAAATTTGTATCGTTTTTGTTTCAAAAATTTTTTTCAGAATTTTGCGAAATCTCTTTCGTTGAAAAAAGGATGAAAATGCGGTCATTTTGATGTATTTACTTGTTACAAAACCTTTCTTCAATGCGACAAGCTTTTTTTGAGCGGCATGCAATATCAAGGGTATTTTGAACATGGGAAAATGTGAGGCCTGTGGTGTTGTGGTAGAGCGCTCGATTGTGAGCTGAGAGGTGATGGGTTCGAATCCCACCCTATGCAATGTTTTTTGTTTTTTCTTTATTTTCGTGTGCACAGTCTCCATTTCCTTGTGTGTACACTAAATGCGCTCAGCGCACTTGGCTGACGCTTTTTTTGTGTCTCCTCCTTCCTCCTTTTCTTCCTGTTCGCATATTTTGAATATTGTTTTCCTCCATTTTCGGTGTTTTTTTTTTTGATTTTGAAGCTTTTTTTTGCGCTTTTTCCTGGAAATTTTGAGGTTTTATTCCATTTTTCTAGAAAATGTTTTTGAGAATGTTCTAGAATACATTCTGACTGTGAAATCTTCTAATTTTTCTTGTGATTTTCTGTTTTTTTTTTCTGATTTTTTCGCTTTTTTTTATTAGAACTGATAGTATTTTGGCTATTCTGTTGACTTTTGAATGAATTGTGTTGTTCTAGACTTTAACTAATTTGTAGGTTGTATTTGTGATTTTCGAGTAATCTCATAAAACATTGTTTTTTCTTTATTTTTTTGTATTCTTCTCTTCATATTCCGCTTTTCGTTGTTTATTTTATCAATTTTTTATTTTAAAATGGTTTTTGCAGTGCTTCGAAGTCTTTTGTGGATTCAACAAATCGATAAATCGACAAATCGCTTCTTCCGCCTCGCCATCCCGGAGACTAAGGTTAGTTGTTTTTATTTGAAGTCTAGGAAAAATTCTGATATGTTTTTGATATTTTGTCAAACATTTTAGAAATTGAACTTTTTGTTCGAGAACCTTTTTGAAACTAAAAATCAAATTTTTTTTGTGGAAAAATCAGTTTTAGATCCAAGTTTTAATAAAAATTATGAATCCTTTTTGAATTAGGAAAAAAAAATGTTTGAGTTCGAAAATGTTTGACAAATTTTCATTGACGTGTTTAAAAAATAGGCGGGAAATGTGGAATTTTTGAATTTTCAATGGGAAATCTATATATTTTTCTGGTAAAAACTCTAGGCTTCTTGCATAAAGAAACTGCTCTTAAAATTTGAAAAATCTAAGTTTCCCGCCAATTTTCAACACGTCATCAAATAATTTCATATTCAAATTTTTTCGGCCAAAAACTCTGAATTACAAACTGAATTTTATGCTATAATTTTGGTTTCATAAAATATGAATTTGAAATTTCTGATGACGTGTCAAAAAAATATTCTGGTTGATTATTGTTGTCTGATTTTTCTGCTGATTTTTGTCTGTATTTTTGTTTCATTTTTTGGCTGAATTTTTATCATCTATTTTGTTTTATTCTGAAAATTTGATTTTAAAATTTTTATTGAAAAATTTCAAATTTCAAAATTTTTTGGCTTTCAAGAAAAAAACTTTTCAAAAAAAATCCAACCTTAGTTTTGATGAATTCCAATTTCATTATTCATTTTCTTGATATTACATTTGAATTTTTAGAAAACTTTTCGGAAAAAAAAACTTTCTAAAACCTATTCTAAATTTTTTCGTTGAATTTTCGTCTGATTTATTTGTTGATTCATTTGTTGATTCCTTTTTTTTCATTCTGAAAATTTGATCTTAAAATTTTTATTGAGAAAATTTCAAATTTCGAACAATTTGGCTTCCAAGAAAAAAAGCTTCTAGGAATCTCCCTAAACCTTCAACTTTAGATATCTTTGACTTATAAGAACTTTTTGAGTTTCTAGGAATCTCTGCGAGCCTTGAAACTTTGCCTGGGCTATTGGAAATATTTCTGACTGTGTTGAATTCTTCTCTGAGCTTCTAGGATTATCCCACAGTCTTCAGAAGCAGCGTCAGCTTCAAATGTTGGTTGAAATTTTCCCTGACCTTCAAAACCTTCTTTGAACTTCTTTGCACACCCATCCACATAATTATAACCTTACTTGATTTTTTTTTGAAAAATTCCATATTTTGAGTTTTTTTTATTAATTGTACTCGAAAGATGTTAAACACACGAATTACAATTGAATTCATAAAAAAATTCAAGTTTATTGATCGAAAAATGACTCGTGGCTAAATCAGGAAGGCTTCCTAATTTTGCCATTGATAAAGTCATCGATCAATTTTTCAAAAAAAAACTTATTGAATCAATTTTTTGTATTAAGTGTACTCGATAGGGACTGTTAGCCCCCAGGCGGAAAAATAGTTGATCAAAAAAATAGAATTCTCTTTAGACAGTACTCAATAAATGCTCACTGAAAATTTCGCATTTTATTTCACAAATAGACTCCAAAGTTTTGCGAAGTCTACTGTAGTCTTGGTTTCCTAAGCGATTTCGGTTCTCTTCCAAGGTTCTTTTTTTTCGGATTGACAATAGACTATTTTTTTCACGTCAAAATTTTTCTGGGGGGATTTCTAAGCAAATTGATGGTTATTTCTTATGTCAGAAATGGTCTAGTAGTTAGATCACGTGTTTTTTGTTCAGAAGGTCCTGTAGATTTCTTCACCGACTTTTTGGAACTTTTTTTTGAGTTTCTAGGAATCTCTGAGAGCCTTGAAAAGTTGCCAAAACTTCTAGACTGTGTTGAATTCTCCTCCAGCGAATAATGATCGAGGAAGTACTCTCCTAACTTTTTATAGTTTCCCGAGTTTCCGAAAATCGGTAAAATTTTGAGTAAAAAAATAGACCAAAATTAAAAAAATCGTTCCATAGCTGAAACTTCACGGAATTTAGCGTTCAAATAAGCAAAATGAAGCTGAAAGTGTAAATTTTTGTGAAAAAATTGAGTATGTTTGTGCGAAACAAAAAACTTATTTGAAATATGTTGAAAAAATCTGACTATATTCACAAATTCATATGAACTTGATTCTGGAAACTTCTTTAGAAAATAGTTGAGAAAAATATTTTAAGCTCCAGCTGTGGATTCCAACATGATTTCAGTAAAAAATAATTAAAAAAAATAGAAACAAAGATAAATTTGAGTTTGAATTTCAGGTTGCTCCTGTGACATCACAAGTCGATGATTCAACACAGCGAGGAAGAATTTTAAGAATCCGCTCTCAGCTTCAAAAACACGTGCTGGAAAACATGCCGTTTAATTTTCAAGTGATTCATCGGTTAGTTTTTTTTCATTTCTATATTTTTCGAGAGCGTGGAGATTTAAAAAAAAATGGAATTTTTCAAAACTTCTTCACAAGCTTCAGGGAAACTTGAGAGATTTCATAATTCATCGGAAAAAAATAATTCTGAACTTTTAGGATTCATCAAAAAATCAAAATAGTTTTCCAAACCAATTTTTGAAAAAAAGGAGTTTTAGAAATTTTATTTGAATTTTTTGAATTTTGTTTAGATGAATCCTAAATTTTTTGAAGTTTTTTGTGGGCTCAAAATTAATATGAATTATGAAATCTCTCAAATTTCTCTGAAACTTGTGAATTTGAATTGAAAATAGCGAAAATTTGTTGAATTGTTTTGAATATTTTTTTTTGTTTTTTCAAACTGAGTTTTAGATGAAGCTTGTGAAAAAAATTCAGTGGTTCAAAAGTTAGGGCTAAATGTGATTTTTTTTAGTTTAGTAAAAAAAGTTTCTTCAAAATTCGAGAAGAAAAATTTTCTGAATAAAAGTGATATTTTTTTTAGTTGCAAATGAAAATTTACTATAAATCAAAGTAAAACAAAATTAACCTTTGTCAATTTTCCAGATTTCCATTGATGGCCTTCTGAAGTTGCAGCTGATCTTCTTAAAGATGGAACATCTGCAGGGGTTTTGGCTCTTCGCCGAGAAGCACGAATTAATCCTGATGTTGGGAAGACGGATTTCGATCTCGATCTTGTGGATCTCGTGTCATTCGACTGCGAAGCTTTCGGAACCTGAAACTTCAATCAACATTCTCCGTTTTTTCAAATTTTTTTAAATGATACTTTTTTCTGAAGTTGTTTTGGAAATCTATTTTGATTTTTTGAATTTTTTCAAATAAATCCTGAATTTCCAAAGCTTTTTGAAAAGTTGGGTTCAAAAAATTCAAGAAGCTCCCACAGTCTTCAGAATCTATCCAACCGAAATTTTTTGTCGAAGTCTTCTCTGATTTATAGAAGGTTTCCAAGCTTTTCGGAATCTCCGAGAATCTTCAGAATTTGCCTGAGCTTTCAAAAATATCCTTGACTGTGTTGAATTCTTCTCTGAACTTCTAAGAATACCCCACTGTCTTCAGATTTTGCCACGATCTTTTATAAATTGCCTGAACCTTGTAAATTTCTTGTCTGAATTCTAGTAATTTTTTTCAAGCTTCTAAGAAGCACCCAAAGTCTTCAGAATCTACCCAAGCTTCTAGAAAAACCTTTGCGTTCCTTTATTTCTTTTGTACATACCTCTTATTTTAACCGCTCGTTATTATTTCTCTTTTTTTTAATAATGAAAATGTTTTCAGAAAACTCAACAATGGTTACAACAAGAAGTGGCGTTAAATCTGGAAAAGCTGAGCCAAATGAGGCGAAAAATGGAGAAACAAGCGCATCAGGAAATACGAGAAATCGTGCAAGAAGTGCTGTAGCCGCAAAATCATCGCAAACATCAACGAGAAAAAGAGCGAAGAGCACAGCGCCAACTTCGCAAAAACGACAAAGAGTGAGTTTTTTTCACCATATTTTCGAATATTCACGGGAAACTGGTCGATTTCGAAGAATTTTCTGTTTATTTCAAATTAAAAGTCATAGGAAAAATTGGAAAAATCTACAAATAAGAATTCAAACCGAGATCAATTTGAATTTGAATTTCAGGTTGCGTCGAATGATCCAGATGTTTCACCTGATCTTCAACAAAGGCAAACACGTTCGATGACACGTGGCGTTTCTTCGAATTCACAAGGTTCGAGTTCAATTTCAAACGCAAGATCTGCTCAAACTTCGGAACAATCGGTCAGTTCAATTTTCATCTCTGGGAAATTAGCATTTCTTCAAACTGTTCAAAGCTTACAACAAAAAAGGAGATTTAAGTTTTTACAGTGAAAATTGAGAAACATCTTCTTGAAAATTAGACTGAAGCCTATGTAATTCTGAAAGTAATCTCAAACAAATTTTTCAAGGACAGAATCTAGAAATATAAACATCTACAAAAAAGGATACAAACAGAAATCAATTTTTAATTTTTAGGCTTCGTTCGCTCAACAATCAAATGCACGAAAATCGCGATCAAAATCGATCTTGCCAAATACAATCGCAGCAACTAGGGCAGCAAAAAAAGGAAAAACAGCAGAATCGAATGCAGGAATTTTATCGAGAAGAGGATCAGTTGTTGGAACTCAAATCGGAGATGATTCTGGTGCCGGATGTTCTACTAATGTTAGTTTTTTTTTGTTTTTCGATTAATAGTAAATTCCCATCGTCTTGGAGAACATTTTAGAGAAAAATTCTCACAAGGAAACCAGTTTGGAGTTGTTTGGACCAACCAGATGAAATTTTTGTACATTTTTCATTTTTTTTCTGTTTTCTATTTTTCGCTGAATTAATGAGTTTGAAATTAATTTATAAATATGTACAACAGTTTTTAATCATCATTTTCCAGGTCAAACATTGCTCACACCCCAAATTTCGTAACAAAATCATTTTTTTTTCAAAATTCGATGAAGCTACACAAGTTTGATTCAAAAAAAATTGCATTTTATTCGGATTTTTCAATGGAACTCAATCAGGCTACAGACAGAATGGTTAATTTTTGATAATAATTTTTTTTGTGAATATTTTTTTCATTTGTATTTATCACAATAAACGTTTTTTTTTGATACGCATAAAATACTATTCAGCCAAAAAAGATACTGAAAACGAGTTCCAAACAAAGCTCCTCAAAATCCGCCTCCTTGGAATTCCCACCAACGGGAAGTTCCAATGGATGTACACGCTTTGAGTTACAATCAAACTCCGAACTGGTTTCCTGGAAATTGAGAAACATCTTCTTGAAAATTAGACTGAAGCATATGTAATTCTGAAAGGAATTCCGACAGAATCTAGGAATATAAACATCTACAAAAAAGGATACAAACAGAGATTTGAATTTCAGGTTGTTACGATTACTGGACAAGGCAATGATGGAGCACATCGTGGAAGACGTTCTCAAAGCCGCTCAACAACACGTGCAGATCGTGCTCCTTCTACTTCAACAACACGTGCTGGACGAGCATCGGAACTTGCAAGTGTTGAATCGGTTAGTTTATTTTTCATGTTTATATTTTTGTGGAAAACTAACACCGCTTTGAATATTCCAAATTTCTCGTGGAAACCTCAAACTTTTCTATTTTCAAAGTCACCCATTTTTTATCAAAAGAGAAATCCAAATCAATTTCAGATGTTTTTGAATTTTTCATTAAATTTTATAATTCATCTGAAAAATCATTCTGAAGTCTCAACTTTTTTGACAAGCTCAATGATAACTTGAGAACTTTATAACTCATCTGAAAATTAATCTTAAACACAAAATTTTCTTTATGAAGTTTAGGATTTAATTTTGAATAAAAAATAATTCAAAAAATCAAAATAAAATTCCAACCTAATTTTAGAAGAAGGTATTATAAAATTGAAAAATTCAAAATGTAACAAAAAAGAACAAATTGAGAAAAGTTAATAAAAACAAATTATTATTTTTCATCTCTATATTTTTGTGGAAAACGAACACTGCTTTGAATAATTCAAATTTCTCGTGGAGATTTATTGTTAGAGAAAAAAATTGAAGATTTTTATAAAATCAAATTTTCTGAATCAAAAAAGAAATCCAAATCAATTTCAGATTTTTTTTTGAATTTTTCATTAAATTTTAGAAATCTCTATATTTCATTTTTCAATTTATTCAAAATTTCAAAAAAACTTTTGAACTTTTTTCAAGCTTCAGGGAAACTTGAGGACGCATCTGAAAATTAATCTCAAACCCAAAAGTTTCTTTATGAAGTTTAGGATTTAAGAGACGTTATTCATAAAAACCAAAATCAGTCGGCACAAACAAAAAATTCGAATTTCGGTTTTTTTATTTATTTGAAAGCCCTTTGGGTAGGAAGCAAAACGCGCATAATATGACGTCATACAAACGTCTCCTCCTCCCGGACTACACGGTTTTGTACCGGAACGGTATTTTTTCGATCTAACGTAACTTTGCTCTACGTTCACATTTTTTCATGTTTAAAAAAGCAAAAATGCTTATTTTCTTGCGATAAATCGACTGGAAGCAACGACGAAATCATTAGATTACGTTTAAAGAAAGTTCTAAAATGACCCCCCAAAAAATATGCTTGGGAGTAACGACGTCCTTTCAACTCCTTTTCCATTCGATTCCTCTCGATTTTTTAGGTATATTAACATAAAAAATAAATAAAATCATGACACCTTTCATATTGTGATATACCGTCAAAAACAACCTATCTGCGCGCATGCAACAAACACATGTTCTCACCTCTCCCTTTCTTGCTTTTTTTTTTCACTATTTTTCATCATTTTTTCTTTGAAACAGCTAGTTTTTGACTTTTTAATATAATATATACAGTATTTGTCATTAAAAAATCATCTATGATGAAATTCAAAGATAATTTATCTTTTTCATGAAAAAAAATCAAATAATATTAATTTTGAATATTTTTTTGAAGTTTCACTTTATATGGAATGCTGATTTGAGTAACTAAATTAATTTTTTTGATTCTTCATACTTCTTTCTAGCCTCAAATAATTTTTTGAACCATTTAAAGGCTTTATCTGAATGATTGTTTCCAATTCATTACAGGATATTCAAGAAATTTCGAAATTTCAACACACACCTGTTCGCACCTCTCCCTTTCCTGTTTTTTTTTATCGATCCGAATTTTTTTTTGTTTTTTATAAAGAGGGGACAAACTTTCCTTGACTCGTACGATTGAAAAAAACACACTTGAACTTTAATCAAACTACACAATGTATTGGTTTGATCCTTGATGAATTCTAGCTCTGTTTATTTATGTAGAGCAAAATCTTATTCTTTTGGTTCCTCCGTTTTTTTTCAATCGTACGAGTCAAGGAAAGTTTGTCCCCTCTTTATAAAAAACAAAAAAAATTCGGAAGGGGAGAGGTGCGAACAGGTGTGTGTTGAAATTTCGAAATTTCTTGAATATCCTGTAATGAATTGGAAACAATCATTCAGATAAAGCCTTTAAATGGTTCAAAAAATTATTTGAGGCTAGAAAGAAGTATGAAGAATCAAAAAAATTAATTTAGTTACTCAAATCAGCATTCCATATAAAGTGAAACTTCAAAAAATATTCAAAATTAATATTATTCGATTTTTTTTCATGAAAAAGATAAATTATCTTTGAATTTCATCATAGATGATTTTTTAATGACAAATACTGTATATATTATATTAAAAAGTCAAAAACTAGCTGTTTCAAAGAAAAAATGATGAAAAATAGTGAAAAAAAAAGCAAGAAAGGGAGAGGTGAGAACATGTGTTTGTTGCATGCGCGCAGATAGGTTGTTTTTGACGGTATATCACAATATGAAAGGTGTCATGATTTTATTTATTTTTTATGTTAATATACCTAAAAAATCGAGAGGAATCGAATGGAAAAGGAGTTGAAAGGACGTCGTTACTCCCAAGCATATTTTTGGGGGTCATTTTAGAACTTTCTTTAAACGTAATCTAATGATTTCGTCGTTGCTTCCAGTCGATTTATCGCAAGAAAATAAGCATTTTTGCTTTTTTAAACATGAAAAAATGTGAACGTAGAGCAAAGTTACGTTAGATCGAAAAAATACCGTTCCGGTACAAAACCGTGTAGTCCGGGAGGAGGAGACGTTTGTATGACGTCATATTATGCGCGTTTTGCTTCCTACCCAAAGGGCTTTCAAATAAATAAAAACCGAAATTCGAATTTTTTGTTTGTGCCGAGACCTATGCGAATTATTATGATTTTACAAATAACGTCTCTTAATTTTGAATAAAAAATAATTCAAGAAATCAAAAAAAAATTCCAACCTAATTTTAGAAGAAGGTATTGTAAAATTGAAAAAGTCAAAATGTAACAAAAAAGAACAAATTGAGGAAAGTTAATAAAAAAATAATAATTATTTTTCATGTTTATATTTTTGTGGAAAACTATTTGAATAATCCAAATTTCTCAAAAAGAATGTGGAGATTTATTGTTAGAAAGAAATATTCGAAGCAAAATTTAAGATTTTTTGGGTGGAAACCGCAAACTTTTCTATTTTTAAAGTCACCCATTTTTTATCAAAAGAGAAGTCCAAGTGAATTTCAGATTTTTTTTAAATTTTTCATTAAATTTTAGAAACCTCTATATTCATATTTCAATTTCTTCAAAATTTCAAAAAACTTTTGAACTTTTTTTCAAGCTTCAGGGAAACTTGAGTACGCATCTGAAAATTAATCTTAAACCCAAAATGTTCTTCATGAAGCTTAGGATTTCATTTTGAAAAAAAAATAATTCAAGAAATCAAAATAAAAATCTAACCTGATTTCAGAAGAAGGTATTATAAAATTGAAAAATTCAAAATGTAACAAAAAAGAACAAATTGAGGAAAGTTAATAAAAAAATAATAAAAATTTTGAAATAACACAAAAAATATTGATTAAAATTTCAGGCTCCACCGGTTGCTGAATCAAATGATATGAGATCCACGAGATCGAGATCGACTTCGTTCTTCCCCGTTAATGTATCATCAACATCAGTTGCATCATTGCGTTCTTCTCGTCAAAGATCATCGACTCCTGGTCCACAAGCAGATACAAGAGGAGGTCAAACGAAATCTCGAAAGTCCATGAAGGTTAATTCAGATACTGAAAAAAAAATTCCAAACAGATTTTTTGAACATCTGAATTGTTCACAAGATTTAGGAAAAATGGTTAGAGTCTATTTATTTTACAAAAATAGTCTTACACATTTTCTTTCTATATTTGAGCTCTAAATAAAAATTTCAGGTTCCGCCAATCGATTTGCCAACTCCAGATGTTTCACCAAGAAAAACAAGATCGCGATCAAAAAGCGTTGCTCAAAAATCTCCAGAAGCTTCGACTGTTGATGAAATTTCCGGAAGACAAACGCGATCTCGCTCCAAATCTTTTGTACAATCTCAAAATGTTCCGAAATCTACTGGTAAAGCAGCTGAAGATGTGAGACGATTGGAACTATTGCAAAAAAAAATGGTTAGTTTATTTTTTTTTGAATCGGAAATTTTGAAAAAATGAGAAAGAATGTTGGATCATTAAACACAAAATCCGGAATGATTTCTAGAAAAATTTGCAACTTTTTTCTCTATTTTCACGGCTTCTAGAAAAAAATTCCAAGGACCTTTTTTATTGTTTAATGTTTTTTGAAAGTTGTAAAGAAAAATCCAGCTAAAGTTTAAAAAAATTAAAAAAACATTTCCATATCAACTTTGTTCTGAAACTTCTAGAAAAATTCTAAAGACTTTTTTTGATAATTAAATTTTTATTTTGAAATTCTAAAAAAAATCGTGGGACTTTATTTAGTATTTGGGAAGTTTACAAGAAATGTGTGAATAAAAAAATGAAACAAAGAAAGCAAATTAACCAAAATTTCAGATCCCACCGGATGTTGAGCAACATGACGATGATTCGCGACGTGTTACACGATCTCGATCGAAAAGTTTGGTTTCAAACAATGTTCTTTCGACGCCAAAACCTGCGCCATTTCGAAATTATGGTAAAAGCAATGTTTTGGTGCTCGCAGTAAAGTATCACAAATTGGAGATAATTGAAAAGAAGAAAGCGATAGAGGAAAAGTTGGAAATTTTCCAAGAATTTTCGAAAGCCGAAGCTGAACAAATTGGGATTGTTGTGGAACAAGAGGAGGAGGATACTAGGGTTTACTGGGGTGAGTTTTTTATTGGGATTTATCAAATTTATTTTCAAACTCATTTTCAAAAATAAAACACTTTAATTCAAACTTTGTCAATTTCTGCTGAATTAGTATGAGAAAGTTGAAAAAACTATTTATAATTTCTTCATTAAAATAGTTAATGAATTTTGGAATTTCGATAGATGTTTTCATCAAAACATCTCAAACTTCTGAATAAATTGTTGGATATAAAATTTTGAAAAAAAACCGCAAAAAAAACTCCAAAAAACCTCGAACATAATTACAGAAAAAAGATTGAAAAAATTAATCAATATTTATTGCAGATTGCCCCTGCTGTCGACTTCAATACAAATTGATATGCGGAAAACATCCGCATTTCATTTGTAAAGAAGCCGCGGCAGGAGTTGGAAAAAACGGTTTGCGAAAAATCGACGCCACCAAGTTTTCGAATTGCCCCATCGACAATTGCAGGAGCTGGAAGAGGCCTTTTTGCGAATATAGACTTGCCAGTTAGTTTTTGCATCTAAAAAAAAACCAAAATTTCTAGAAGCTAATGTCAGAAAAAATCGATAATAAATTATTCATCACATCCTAAAAAATATTTAAAATTTGGATTTTTCAGATTGGTTTCGTTTTCGGACCGTATGTTGGAGTTCGGTCGTCGCAAGATCCCACTTCTGGCTACAGTTGGCTCATCGAAGGCGAACATGGGGAAGCTGACACGTATGTCGACGCTCAAGACGAAAACAGCAGCAACTACTTGAGATTTGCTAATGGTGCCAAGTCGGCAAAAGCGGAAAACGTCACAGCGGTGCAATACCAAAACCATATTTTTTACATGGTATGTCATCCGATACCAGCAAACGGCGAACTGTTCTGTAAGTTTTTTTTGGGGAGATTTGGTCTAGAAAATTTAAACTTCATATATTTTACAAGGGACTTCTATTAGGGTGATAATGGGTTTCGAATTAAGGCAAGTATAGTATTCTCTGATCACGTCGCCAAGATTTTCTGAGCAAAATTTGAAGCTCATTTGCGCGGCACGGCTCAGACGGAGCTCATAATCAGCAGATATTTTTTTCGGGATCGTGATGAGCACGTAGACTTACCTTATTTCAAAACCCGTTATGTCCCTTCTAAATAAAGAAATCTAGAATCTAAATATTTCAATTCATCAAACTCCTAACAAAATATTGAAAAATACGTTTTTTTAAGGCTTCTATAGCGAACAGTTTGGCCGTTTTCGCAAGACTCCTCTCAATCGCGCCCCGTTACAACCGCATCGCTCTTCATCTCGCCGCACAAATCATCGTGAAAACCAGCTCGAACAAGACGAAGAATATGACGACGATTTTGATGCTAGAGAACCATCGACAAGCACAAATCAAGGGCAACGCCCAAACCGTCGCTGAATTTTGTGCAATTTTTCTTCGTCTCTTTTTCTTGGCCCATATATTTTTTCTTCTTTTTTGCTCAATTTGGGGGTTGTATTTTTGTCTTTCGCAAAATCGCTCAATTCTTTCGTCCCCGTGTTTTTGGTCCATTTTTAAGCCACGCCCCTTATTTTCGCACAAGTCATGGATCTGCATTGATTTTTTCCATTTTTTTTTTGTTCTAATTTTTCCCAGCCTTTTTATTTCCGGTTTTCATTCTTCTTTTCGGTTCACACTTTTCTCAGATTTTCCACAAAATCTGAAGTCATATTCTGTTATTTCTAGTCCACTTTCTTCTCCTGCCCAAAAACCTCAATTTTTCCAAGTTTTCCAAGTCTTTTTCCTATTTTTTTTCGCTCATTTTCTCCCCTTTGAACAAATTCTCATCATATTCTATTTATTCATTGATTGATTTATTCATGTACGATAAGCGGAAAGTACACCGCTAGAGCAAAGTTTTTTTTATTTATTTTATCCTCTCAAATTTTTTGACCCATTCTGTACCATATATTTTTTCTTTCGCGCTACAAAAATTTTTTTGTTTTTAAAAAATCTGACAGAAAAGTTTCAGAGGTAATCCTGATGTTCACTGAAACTAAAAAGATCTCACTGAAGTTTTATTAATCTTGAATCAGAAAAAAGTTTTTTTCAGAGTCGATGCATCTCTCCCAAAAACCACACATTGTTCTCGATTTGTAGTGACCATTGGAGAATCATCACGGCATTCGAAAATCTTTCGAAATTCTGGAATTTGTGAAATAACTGCATTCACACGAATGTTTTGAGGAGCAGGATTTTGCTGGAATTTTTTTTTGATTTTTGAATTATTATGTGAGGAAAAAGATACATACCTCACACCATCCAATTGCGAATGCATAGAAAAATAATTTTTCTTGGGATATACCACTTATTGATTGTTTTTCGGAATATATTTTTGAACTTTTGATTTTATATAGATCGTAGGCAATTCTGAATCCAATTAGATCGGCACTGAATTGGGATTCAGGAACATGGCAGAAGCTCTGAAAAAAAAATGAAAAATTCATTTGTGAAATCAGACCAAACAGAAAACTAACCTCCTTAAAAATATCACATGAATTTGCAAATTGTCGCTGAATACAATCTTTGGTAACATTTGAAAATATCAAATTTATATCAAATTGTGCCAAAAGAGAAGCTCCAACAAAAGCCATCTGAAAAAAAACATCCAGAAAAACTTAGCGATCAAAAAAAAACTCACAAATTCCGCATCATTCTCCAATTTTTCAGCAGCCCAATAAAAGTCTGTGATTTTTGTGCCGAAATTTGAACCCATGGAACCTTTTTCCACAATATCAGGCAGTGTTTTTTGGGTAAATTCCATTTTTAAAATACACAACACTAAACTGATATTTTCATGTTTTCCGGAATCATTTACACATTTGAAAAAAGTTTGTGTAACTTCTCCAAAATATTTTTCATGAGCTCTTAAGATTTCTTCAAATTCATTTAGAAATTTGGTTTTGTCTGCGAGATTTTTGAAAATTTGGGTTTTTTGAGAGTTTTTGATCCAAGGAGTTTGCTGAAAAATTGATTTTTTTTTTTTAATTGAGGAAAAAATAATTTTGAAGCCTCCTGAAGCCTTCTGAAGCCCTCTGAAGCCTTCTGAAGCCTCCTGAAACACTCTGAAATCTTCTGAAGCCTTCGGAAGCCTTCTAAAGTCTCCTGAAGTCTTCTGAAGCCTTCTCAAGCCTTCTCAAGCCTCCTAAAGTCTCCTGAAGCCTTCTGAAACTTTCTGAAGCCTTCTGAAACCTCCTAAAGTCTCCTGAAGCCTCCTGAAGCCTTCTGAGGCCTTCTGAAGAATTCTGAAGATTTCGGAAGCCTCCTAAAGTCTCCTGAAGCCTCCTGAAACATTCTGAAGTATCCTGAAGTCTTCTGGAGCCCTCTGAGGCCTTCTGAAGCCTTCTGTAGTTTCCTGAAGCCTTCTGTAGTTTCCTGAAGTCTTCTGAAGTCTTTTGAAGCCCTCTGAAGCCTTCTGAAGCCTCCTGAAGCCTCCTGAAGCCTCCTGAAGCCTTATGAAGCCTCCTCAAGCCTTCTAAAGTCTTCTGGAACCTTCTGAATTCAAGAAAATGTTCGAGATGAAAACCTTGATCAAATCGATTGAATATTCTCGAATTTCTTCAATAGTTTTGTTGAGGCGTGTGATTGCATTTTGACCTTTTTCAACTATCCAATTATATAGATTTAGTCTTGGAATAAGTTCATTGTGAATATAATTGCGCCGATTTTTATACTGAAATTCCAGACATTTTTTATATGTTTTTTCACTTCTCAAAACAAACCTGCTCATCAATAGAATCCACAAAAATAAGCACACATTTATAAAAATTCATCCGAGTTCTCTCAACTTTGCCACCCAGAATATCTTCAACACAAATTCCAGCATTTTTTGAATATTTTGTAAACATTTCTCCCATATTTTTCAAAAATCCCTGATCTTCACAATCAGAATATTCCTTCATTATTTGATTTCTGAATAAAATCATCGATTTGTCCGTTGGTACTTTGAGAAATTTATAGAATTTCATAATCTCCTCATTTTCATTGAAGTAGGGTTGATCTTCAACAAGTTTTTTGAATTGACCTCGTAGAACAAAAGAAAAATCTGGATTATTCAATTTTCTACAAGCATGTCGGTAGAAATTATCACAAGGTTCCACATTCCAATCAATAGAACTGCAAAAAAAAATCTTGAAACCAATTTTTTTCTGAAATTACCTTCTTAAATATTCTGAAAACACATTTGCTGTTGAGAATGAAATATTGAAAATTGATAAAAATATTATTAATTTTAACATTTTTTTATGTAGAAATTTTGGGTTAGATGAACACTTTTATATGATTTTTTAATATGAATATTTTTCTATCAATTCATTGTTAGAAAAATCTTTTTTTTTTAAATTTTCTCTTGAAAAAAAACAGCAAAAAACTTTTTCAATCAAACAAAATTTATTAAAATCACCGGGAAAACATTATAATTACTTAATTAAAATAAGAGGAGAAAATATAAAACGGTCTAATAATATTTTTGATATGGCACAGGAAATGACTGGTTTTGAGAAAAAAATACGGGGGTTTTAAGAAAATTGAGACCAGAGAAAGCAATAAAAAAGAGGAAAAAATACGATTTTTGGGTGGAAGCGGGTGAAAAATCAATAAAAATCAAACTTGCGAAGATAATAAATTATTTTGAAGATTTGAGAGACATATTCAGAATTGCCAGAAGTTGCCAGTGACTGCCGATTCATTTCCATTTGCATCCATGGTTCCTGAAGTTGTTGGCTGCTCTTCACGAAGTTGTTCCCAAGTTTCAGCAACACCACCAGTTTCAGCAACATTTTTTGGATGAGCAAATTGTGAGAGCTGGAAAAATATTGGTTGAAATTTTTGAACAAAAATATAACTATAAACGTTTTTTGAAAAGAACTTTTAGTTGAAAATGATTCAAAATAGTTACCTGCTGGTTCATTCCATAAATTCCAGACGAATTCGCAAATCCAACATCATCAACTTCAACTTTGATCGATTTTTCGGCAAATTCAGGAACAGCCGCTGCATAATTCGTCGATCCTGTTGATTTTTGATGTTCAGCAAAATTGTATCCAACATTTTCCGACGACATCATCTCCAATTTCACCGATTTACTGATGAATCCAGAAGTTGCTCCATGAATCTGTGGATGTTGTTGTTCTGGTAATTTGAATCGGACCTTTTTCTCCAGATGATTGTCGAATGAGGATTCTCTCCAATTTGAGAATTTGTCCGACGAGCGACCAAGTTCTGGAATGATAAATATACTTTTTTTCTCAAAAACTCCTGGAAACATCTAGAAAATCTACAAAATTCAGGAAATATTTCTGAATTTTATAGAATCTTCAAAAAAAAATCAAAGAATCCTGGGGGATTTCTAAATTCTGCTAAAAAACCTAGCTCACCTGCATTCTGTTGATCTTCTCCTTGTTTCCAATATCCAACATGATTCAAAGAGTTTTTCAGAACATCTTGTGGAACAACATCTGAAGATGGAGCTGAACTTCCAGAATCGATGCTAGCAATAAATCCGGGATGATTTGGCATAACATTTGCAATTCCACAATCTTTCAAGTTGAGTTGCTCTAACTTCACTGATGCAACTGACAAATTGTCTTTCCAAATTGAAACTTTGTTTGACGAGCAACCTGGAAAAATATAATTTTCATTTTCAAAAACTTTGGAAACATCTGGAGAATCTAGAACTTTCTAGAAAAATCTACAATGTTCAGAATATGTTCATGAGTTTGTGAGAAGCATGAGAAAAATCTCTTACCTGACTTCAATACACTTTTTCCATTTTGCTTCTTGATTTTTCCGGCAGATTCAGATGCTTCAAAAGGTTGTCCAACATCGAATGTGTTTCCTTCATTGGCATTGATTTTGCGGGATGGCGCATCAGTTATTCCCGATTTAACATGAGCAACATGTTCTGGTCCCTCGATTTTTCTGATCTTCATTGTCGACTCAATCCCTTCAACAGTTTGGGTTCCGAAAGATCTTTGATTTCTCGAGGACGAGCCTTGGTTCTGAAAAAGTATCGATTTGTTTTAATCGTAGTTGAAATAAAAAAAAACTTACATTCCAAGCACGGTTTTGATGATTTTTGGCATTTTTTCGTTGGTTGTTGTTGTTTCTGTTGTACGGGCGAGTTCTGCTAGATGTTTCGGTGCTATCCTGAAAAATTTTCATTTTATAAATTGTCTAATTTTCATTTCATTAAAAAAACTCACATTGTTGATAGCACTTGAGTTGGCGTAGGGCAAGAATCGTCTTGGGTACATTTTTTTGGCAAATTAAGGGGCTTTTGAAAAAGGTTTACCTGAAAAATATGAATTAAAAAAATATTTTTTCTAGAAATCGAAAAAAACGATTTCGAATCAAAATTCGAAACAAAAGAGAAGAAATGAGCCAAAAAACTGTCTGCGCAAGAAAATAATTCAAATTCAAACAATAAAAATGAAGAAAATTATCAATGTTCTAGTCAAAAATCAAGAAATTCCTGCAGAAAAACGAACAAAACAGAAAGAAAACACAAAAAAAAACAAAAAACATGTGTATGATGACAAAATAAATTGAATACTCCCCATCCCTCGAGGGTGTGCGACAGAGCGCGGTTGCTTGCTTGAAAAGGGGGAGAGAAAAAATAAAAGAGACAACAGAGAAAGAAAGAAGAGAAATGAGACATTTTTTTGACAATGAGAGAATATTTTGAATTGAAACTTATTTGAAAATGAAAAGAAATGTTTGAAAAAAAACTGGAAATGGAAGAACAAACATGGAAAAATTGATAAAATGTAACATTTTTGAAAAATAAAAAGAATTATGTGAAAATGAATACAGAAAAAAGTTAGAAAACATCTTTTAAAGGTAGCAAAAAAATTAGAAATCAACAATAATAAACATACATAGAATAGTTTATTTGATATAAACAATTCATATAGTTTCTACAATTTATTTATATTTTTAGTATGGGTGATACTACTGGAAGCACATCTGATTCTTTCTTATTTCAATATCATTATCATATTATTACTTTTTTAATTTTTCTGGAGTTAATCGCGTCATGTGTTATCATTTATGTTCACAATATAGATTGATTGCCAACGAGATTTTGTTCAAAATATCCGGATTTATAAAAAAACCATTCAAAAAACTCCAATGTATATATTTTTGTGAAACTAGAGTTATTATCATTGAAAGGTTTTGATTTGTACAATGAAAATTTACCATGTTTTATGTTCCTCCTCTGCTTTTCATAACTTTTTTGAATCAAACAAAACAATTTTGAAATGTCTCGTGTTAATCACACAAAAATCTCAACACGACCTTTCAAAGTTTCTTCAGATTTTCCTCTGCTCAAAAATCACTTTTGAAAATCCATTCCACCCTGAACTTCAGCTCGATCTTTGAAACTTTTTTCAAAAAAAATCGGCCCGAGTTTTTTCAAAAAAATCGGCCCGAGTTTTTTCAAAAAAAATCGACCCGAGTTTTTTCAAAAAAAAAAATCGACCCGAGTTTTTTTCAAAAAAAAAAAAATCGACCCGAGTTTTTCCAAAAAAGAATCGGCCCGAGTTTTTTCAAAAAAATCGACCCGAGTTTTTTCAATAAAAAAAAATCGACCCGAGTTTTTCAAAAAAATCGGCCCGAGTTTTTTCAAAAAAATCGACCCGAGTTTTTTCAAAAAAATCGGCCCGAGTTTTTTCAAAAAAAAAAAAAATCGACCCGAGTTTTTTCAAAAAAATCGGCCCGAGTTTTTTCAAAAAAAAAAAATCGACCCGAGTTTTTCCAAAAAGAATCGGCCCGAGTTTTTTCAAAAAAAATCGACCCGAGTTTTTTCAACAAAAAAAATCGACCCGAGTTTTTCCAAAAAAAATCGGCCCGAGTTTTTTCAACAAAAAAAATCGACCCGAGTTTTTCCAAAAAAATCGGCCCGAGTTTTTTCAAAAAAAATCGACCCGAGTTTTTTCAAAAAAAATCGACCCGAGTTTTTCCAAAAAAAATCGGCCCGAGTTTTTTCAACAAAAAAAATCGACCCGAGTTTTTCCAAAAAAATCGGCCCGAGTTTTTCAAAAAAATCGACCCGAGTTTTTTCAAAAAAAATCGACCCGAGTTTTTTCAGAAAAAAATCGACCCGAGTTTTTTCAAAAAAATCGACCCGAGTTTTTTCAAAAAAATCGACCCGAGTTTTTCCAAAAAAAAAAATCGATGTAGAAATTTTGGGTCAGGTGAACACTTTTATATGATTTTTTTATATGATAACTTTTCTACCATTTTTTATTGTTAGAAAAACTTCTTTTTTTCAATTTTTCTCTTAAAAAACTTCACTTTTTCAATCAAATAAAATTTATTAAAATCACCGGGAAAACATTATAATTACTTAATTAAAATAAGAGGAGAAAATATAAAACAATCTAATAATATTTTCGATATGGCACAGGAAATCACTTAAAAATGGCAATAAATATATGCTTTTGGTTTTGGGAAAAAAAAGCGGGGGGTTTTGAGAAAATTGAGACCAGAGAAAGCAATAAAAAATACGAAAAAAATACGATTTTGTGGGTGGGAGCGGGTAAAAATCAATAAAAATCAAACTTGCGAAGATAATAATTAATTCAAAGAAGATTTGGGAGACGATCAGAATTGCCAGAAGTTGCCAGTGACTGCCGATTCATTCCCATTTGCATCCATGGTTCCTGAAGTTGTTGGCTGCTCTTCACGAAGTTGTTCCCATTGTTTGGAAGTTTCAGCAACACCACCAACATTTTTTGGATGAGCAAATTGTGAGAGCTGAAAATTTTTTTTTAATTTCAGGAAAATCAATTATCACACTTTTTTTAAATTAAAAAAATCTGAACTTTTTTTGAAAAGAAATTATAGTTTCTGAATTGAAAATGATTTAAAATAGTTACCTGCTGGTTCATTCCATAAATTCCAGGAGAATTTGCAAATCCAACATCATCAACTTCAACTTTGATCGATTTTTCAGCAAATTCAGGAACAGCCGCTTCAAAATTCGACGATTTTTGTTGTTCAGCAAAATTCGAAAAATTGTATCCAACATTTTCCGACGACATCATCTCCAATTTAATCGATTTAGTGATGAATCCAGGTTCTGCTCCAAGAACCTGTGGATGTTGTTGTTCTGGAATGTTGAATCGGACCTTTTTCTCCAGATGATTGTCAAATGAGGATTCTCTCCAATTAGAGAATTTGTCCGACGAGCGATCAAGTTCTGGAATGATAAATACACTTTTTATTTTTTTTTAAACATTCCGGGAAACATCTAGAAAATCTTCTGAATTTTATAGAATCTTCAAAAAAAAATCAAAGAATCCTGGGGGATTTCTAAATTCTTCTAGAAAACCTATCTCACCTGCATTCTGTTGAGCTTCTCCTTGTTTCCAATATTCAACACGATTCAAAGAGTTTTTCAGAACATCTTGTGGAACAACATCTGAAGATGTAGCTGATCTTCCAGAATCGATGCCAGCAACATAACCGGGATGATTTGGCATAACATTTGCAATTCCAGAATCTTTCAGGTTGAGTTGTTCTAACTTCACCGATGCAACCGACAAATTGTCTTTCCAAATTGAAACTTTGTTTGACGAGCAACCTGGAAAAATATAATTTTTATTTTCAAAAACTTCTAGGAAATCTAGGATTTTTTCTGAACTTTCTAGAAAAATCTACAAAGTTCAGGATATGTTTCTGAATTTGTGAGAAGCTTGAGAAAACATCTCTTACCTGACTTCAATACACTTTTTCCATGTTGCTTCTTGATTTTTCCGGCAGATTCAGATGCTTCAAAAGGTTGTCCAACATCGAATATTCTTCCTTCATTAGGATTGATGTTGCGAAGGGTAAGAGATGGCGCATCAGTTTTTCCCGATTTAACATGAGCCACATGTTCTGGACCCTCGATCTTTCTGATCTTCATTGTCGATTCAATCGATTCGAGAGTTTGGGTTCCGAAAGATCTTTGACCCGACGAGCCTTGATTCTGAAAAATTATTGATTTTTTTTAAATCGTAGTTGAAATCAAAGAAAAAACTTACATTCCAAGCACGGTTTTGATGATTTTTGGCATTTTTTCGTTGTTTGTTGTTTCTGTTGTACGGGCGAGTTCTGCTTGATGTTTCGGTGCTATCCTGAAAAATTTTCATTTTATAAATTTTCTAATTTTCATTTCAAAAAAAAAACTCACATTGTTGAAAGCATTTGAGTTGGCATATGGCATGAATCTTCTTGGATACATTTTTTTGGCAAATCAACGGCGAAAATAGAAGTTTACCTGAAAAATATGAATTTTCTCTTTCGAAATGTGGTTGCAAAACAATATAGAGATTCCCGAAACAGTTTTCTAGGAAAATAAGCGAATTCAGGAGGTTTTTATCAGAAAAAATCATGAAAACAAAGAAAATTATCAATATTCTAGTCAAAAATCAAGAAATTCCTGCAGAAAAACGAACAAAACAGAAAGAAAACACAAAAAAAAAAACAAAAAACAAAAAACCATGTGTGTGATGACAAAATAAATTGAATACTCGCTTGCCCTCAAGGGTGTGCGACAGAGCGCGGTTGCTTGCTTGAGAAGGGGGAGAGAAAAAAGAAAAGAGGCAACAGAGAAAGAAAGAAGAGAAAGGAGACATTTTTTTGACAAAGAGAGGATATTTTGAATGGAAACTTATTTGAAAATGAAGAGAATTGTTTGAAAAAAACTGAAAATGTAAGAACAAACCTGGAAATATTGATAAAATGTGACATTTTTTGAAAAATATGAAGAATTTTGTGAAAATGACATTTTTTGAGAAAAAGTTAGAAATCAACTATGTATGAAGAATCTTCAAAATTTCAAGATGAAGCATTCTTGATGTTGAATCTTTGTGTAGATTCAGTGAGATGCAGTGAGATGGACAATTTTTGAAAATCAACTCTTGAACACAAACATCTGATTGATCTTAACTTTGAGATCTTCTAAATCACACAAAAACGACCTTTCGAAGTTTTTCCGACATTCAAAATTACTGCCAAGAACTTCTCTGCTCAAAAATCACTTTTGAAAATCCATTCCACCCTGAACTTCAGCTCGATCTTTGAAACTTGTTATTTTATTGTTATAGTAACAATCTTTTTTTTCATATATTCTCTTGAAAAAACTGCACTTTTCTAGTCAAATCACTTTCATTCAAATTATTGGGATAATTAAAAAAAATTAAATAATTAAAAAATTAAATTAAAAAATATAAAGACAAAAAAAGAATATGGGGGATTTCTCAAAATGGCACAGGGGACAACAAAAATAGCAATAAATTATGTAAGAATATGTATGTGGTTCTGGATTGAAAAACTAGAAAACTAGTGAAAAATTAGTGAAAAAAAAACACATTTTTCTCCGGAAAAAAAGCGAGAAGAAACTAGAGACAAAAGATTTCGTATTATCAATAATTTTTGGGTGAGGAGAAAATTTGTATGAAAAATGAACACAATCTATCAGAATCATAAGAAGAGAAAGGAAAACATTTGTTTTCCTGGAAAAAACCTTTAAATTGACAATAAACTATGAATAATTTTAGTTTGGGCGAAGAAAAAGACGGGGGTATACAAAAAGTTTACAATAAAAATTAGCATTTGCTGAAAATGGATTAGAAAAAATGGGACAAGTTCTAGATCTATTGTTTTTTTGACAATTGGCGAACTCTCACCGGGATCCAGATTTTGGGTTTGGGTGGAATTGGTGTCACAGCTGCTGGCAAAGTCAATTTCCGAGTGGTCACCTTCATCCTTCCCTCATCAATTATTTGTTTTTCTTGTTGAGTAAACTGTGGTGCGGTTATTGGATTTTCAGCAGCTGTTGACTTGTATCCATTTGTCAGAACCCGTGGATGGATTCTATATTTGACAATTGGTCTTCTAAATGTTGTTGTTGTAGTTGTTCCTGTATTCTGATTAGAGAGTTGTCGAACAATGCACGGGATCCAAACTTTCTCCGCCTCGTACTGAAAAAAATATGTATTGATTTTTATTTCAAAAACTTTGATCAATTTCTTAGCGGATTCCGGCAAAGCTGACAAATCTTTTACCTTTTGTTCAGCGAAATTGTGAGTCTGATGGTTAACATCTAAGTGTGCCGACGGCGGATGTTGTTGTGCTGGTGATTCGAATCGATTCTTTTTCGCGAGATTAGGTACAAAAGTCGAACATTTGTCCGACGAGCCACCAAGATCTCCTTTGTTCTGATTTCCAATATGATTCAAAGGGTTTTGGGGAACATCGTGATGAATAATTTCTGTAGATGAAGGTGATTCTCCAGAATCAATTCCAGCATTCACAATTCCACTGAATCCATCATCTTTCGAGTTGAGTTGATCTAACTTCATCGTCGAAACTGACAAACTGTTGCTCAATTTTGATGATTTGACTGACGAGCATCCAATATCTGGAAAAAACAAATTTTTATTTTCAAAAACTTTGGAAAGCATCTAGGAAATCTAGAAAAATCTACAAAGTTCAGGATATGTTCATGAATTTGTGAGAAGCTTGGAAAAATTGTAGAATCCTCTCTAGAAAAATCTCTTACCTGACTTCCAAACATCTTTTCCATTTCTAACCACCACCTTCATTCGATTTCCAGGCATCAATTGTTCCTCTTGAGTGACTTGTGGTGCGGTTATTGGATTTTCAGGAGCCGACTTGTTGCGATTTGTCAGAACTCGTGGATAAATTCGATATTTGACAATTGCTCTTTTAAATGTTGTTGCATCTTCTTGTGTTCCACTCAATTCAACAGTGCCAACATTGCCTTTGATCAATTTCTTAGGAAAATCTGACAAATCTTTTGCCTTTTGTTCAGCGAATTCAGCGGAATCGGGAGCCTGATGATTAACAGCCAAGTGTGCCGATGACATTATCTCCAATTTCATCGATCTACTGATCAATCCAGTTGTTGTTTCAAAATTCGGCGGATTTTGTTGTGTTGGTGATTCGAATCGATTCTTTTTCGCGAGATTAGGTACAAAATTCGAAAATTTGTCCGACGAGCCACCAAGATCTCCTTTGTTCTGATTTCCAACATAATTCAAAGGTTTCTTCGAAACATCGTGTTCTGTAGATGAAGGTGATTCTCCAGAATCGATTCCAGCATTCGCAATTCCACCAAATACATCATCTTTCGAGTTGAGTTGCTCTAATCTCAACGATGCGATTGACAAACTGTTGCTCCGATTTGATGATTTGACTGACGAGCATCCAATCTCTGGAAATATATAATTTTTATTTTCAAAAACTTTGGAAAGCATCTAGGAAATCTAGGATATTTTCTGAACTTTCTAGAAAAATCTACAAAATTCAGGATATGTTCATAAATTTGTGAGAAGCTGGGAAAAATTCGTAGAATCCTCTCTGAAAAAAATCTCTTACCTGACTTGCAGACATCTTTTCCATTTCTAACCACCACTTTCATTCGATTTCCAGGCATCAATTGTTCCTCTTGAGTGACTTGTGGTGCGGTTATTGGATTTTCAGGAGCCGACTTGTTGCGATTTGTCAGAACCCGTGGATTAATTCGATATTTGACAATTGGTCTTCTAAATGTTGTTGTTGTAGTTGTTCCAGCATTCTGATTAGAGAGTTGTCGAACATTGCACGGGATCCAAACTTTTTCCTTCGTCTCGCACTGAAAAAAAATATGTATTGATTTTTATTTCAAAAATGTGAAACGAGTCCTATTCCGGTTTCTTATCTCCACTCACCAATTTCACACTAGATGAATTCGAGCTTGTTCCATTTTTGACCAGGGCTTCCGAGACATGTTCCGCTTGCTTTTCATTAACCATAATTCCCGATGCCTTTTTTGTGGAGAGACAACGAACTTCACAGGGATACTTAATAATTTTACGAGATTTGTTCGGAGCAGATTGTGACGTGTGCTGTTCAGCGAGTTCAGCGAATTTGGAAGCCTGATGGTTAACAGCCAAGTGTGCCGACGACACCGATTCCAATTTCATCGATCTACTGATCAATCCTGTTGTTGTTTCAAGAATCGGTGGATTTTGTTGTGCTGGTGATTCGAATCGATTCTTTTTCGCGAGATTAGGTACAAAATTGTAAAATTTGTCCGACGAGCCACCAAGATCTCCTTTGTTCTGATTTCCAATATGATTCGAAGGTTTTTGGGGAACATCGTGTTCTGCAGATGGAGCAGATCTTCCAGAATCAATTCCAACATTCACAATTCCACTGAATCCATCATCTTTCATGTTGAGTTGATCTAATTTCAACGATGCGATTGACAAACTGTTGCTTCGATTTGATGATTTGACTGACGAGCATCCAATCTCTGGAAATATACAATTTTAATTTTCAAAAACTTTGGAAAGCATCTAGGAAATCTAGAAAAATCTACAAAGTTCAGGATATGTTCATGAATTTGTTGGAAAAATTCGTAGAACTCTCTCTCTAGAAAAATCTCTTACCTGACATCTTGACACCTCCTTCATTTTGCTTCTTCATTTTACCAACAGAATCGGATGTTTCGGCAAATTGTCCAAGATTCAACATGTTTCCTTGATTATAATTGACTTGGCAAAGTCTCAGAGATGGAAAGGCATTTTTTCCCGAAAACCCGAGAGCATTGTATTCGGGTCCTTCGAGTTTTCTAATCGATTCAATCGCTTCAACCGTTTCGAGATTTTGGGTTCCTGGAGAGCCTTGGTTCTGAAAAATTATTGATTTTTTTTTTGAATCGTCGTAGAAATTTGATAAACTTACCTTCCACGCGCGATTTGGATAATTTTCGGCATCATTTTGTTGGTGGTTATAATGGCGAACTGTGGGAGATATTGCTGAGCTATCCTGAAAAAATTTCATTTTATATATTTTCTAATTTTCATTTGAAAAAAAAAAGCTCACATTGTTGACAGCATTCGAGTTAAAGGGCATGAAAAGTTGTTGGTTCATTTTCACAACGTGAATAGCAATTCGACAAGTATTACCTGAAAAGTAAAAATTGAGTTCCAAAATATTTTCACTGCACTTTCTAGAAAATTTCAAAAAAAAAAGAAAAAAAAGGATAAGAAACAAACATAAACCAAGAGAACACAAAAAAAACAAAAAAACAGTTGTGTGTGTGTGTGCAACACAATATTGAATACTCGCTATCCCTTAAGGGTGTGCGGTAGAGCGCGGTTGCTTGCGAGAAAAGAGGGAGAGAACAGGGAAAGACATATATACATATATATATGTATATATATATATATATATTATATATATGTATATACATGTAATCTTGTTCTTTTCCTCTTTTCCTCTTTTTCCTCGTGTCAACACCAAATGCGCCAACTGCGCTTGGCTGACGCTTTTTGTGTGTCCTCCTTCCTCCTTCTCCTTCTTCTCGAATTTTTTGAATTTAGTTTTCTGTTTTCTTTGTTTTTCTTGTATTGGAAGCTGTTTTTTACCCGTTTCACTAGAAATTTTGTGAATTTTCTTCATTTTTCTAGAAAGTTCTTTTGAGAATGTCATGTAACTTGTTTCTATAGGTTATTTTTGAGTTTTCTTTGATTTTTTCACTTGTTTTTGATCAGGTCGAATTTCGGATTTTTTTAAGGCCTATGGAGAATTCAGAAGGCCTATGGAGGATTCTGAAGGCCTATGGAGGATTCTGAAGGCCTATGGAGGATTTTGAAGGCCTATGGAGGATTCTGAAGGTCTATGGAAGATTCTGAAGGCCTATGGAGGATTCTGAAGGCCTATGGAGGATTCACAAGGCCTTTGAGGATCCTGAATCCCCCATAGGCCTTCAGAGTCCCCCATAGGCCTTCAGAATCCCTTATAGGCCTTCTGAATCCCCCATAGGCCTTCTGAATCTCTCATAGGCCTTCTGAATCCCTCACAGGCCTTCTGAAGCCCCTACAGGCCTTCTGAATCCCCCATAGGTCTTCTGAATCCTTCATAGGCCTTCTGAATCCCCCATAGGCCTTCTGAATCCCCCATAGGCCTTCTGAATCCCCCATAGGCCTTCTGAATCCTTCATGTGTCTTCTGAATCATCCTCATATCTTCCCTCTCTTCATCCAAAAAATAAACAAAATTCAAACCGCCGCCGCACTCTCCCGATTTGAATTGCCGCCGCTGCGGTCTTCCCCTCGAGACCCAAGCCACGCCCACTCCCCTACAAATTATTTTTCTCTCTCCTAAAATCACTTCTCTTTTTCATTTTCTCTCATTTTCGCTCATTTTTGTTGGTTTTTTTTTTGCTTCTTCTTTTGTTTTTCGTTGTTTCTTTTATGAATTTGTGATTTAAAGTTTGTTTTTCAGCTCTTCACCCGCCAGCTTCGATTGTCATTTGTCAAGATGCCACCCAAGAAGGTCAACAACAACACCAAAGCCGCCGCCGCCGCCAAGTCAACGCAGTCTAAGGTTAGTTTATTTTCTTTCGGGGTTAGGAAAAATTAAAACATGTCTTTGAACTTTTGTTGAATGATTTCGAAATCAAATTTGTTGTTTGAGAAACTTTAAATGAAAGAAAAAATCTGAAATTTTTGAGAAAAAGTCATTCAGTTTTATACGAAAATTCAAATGTTTTTGCGCAAAAACCAGTGAAAATATGTTTGAATTCGAATGCGTTTGACAAACTTTTATTGACATGTTTAGAAAATTGGCGGGAAACTTAGAAATTTTGAATTCTCTGAACAATGTTGATTTTCGAAACATTTCGAAATGTTTCGAAAATCACTTTTTGGGAGATGTTAGGCTGTGTCTAGTGAGATTTGACTCTAAAACGCATTTTAGTGTTTAGAAATGTCATTCCAAGCTCTTTTAATGAGTCTAAAAGACAAATAAAGACTTTAAATTCAAGTTGTTGATTTTCGAAATGTTTCGAAACTTTTTCGAAATGTTTCGAAAATCAACAATTCTATTTTTTGAGAGATGTGAGACTGGATTTGTCTTTAAAACGCATTTCAGTGTTTAGAAATGTAATTTCAAGATCTTTCAATGCGTTTAAAAAACAAATCAAGCCTCACATCTCCTAAAAAATGAAATTAGTGGTTTTCGAAATGTGTTTTTAATTTTTTGAAACGTGTTTTTATTCCGTGAATCAGCACAAAAACTGCTTCAGAAATTTGAAAAATCTAAGTTTCCCGCCAATTTTCAACACATCATCAAATAATTTCATATTCAAATTTTTTGACTCCAAAAACTCCGAATTACATACTGAATTTTATGTTATAATTTTGGCGTCATAAATTGTTAATTTGAAATTTTTGATGACGTGTCAAAAAAAATTCTGGTTGATTATTGTTGTCTGATTTTTTCTGCTGATTTTTTGTCTGAATTTTCATTTTATTTTTCGGCTGATTTTTTATCATCTATTCTGTTATATTCTGAAAATTTGATCTTAAAAATTTCTATTAAAAAAATTTCAAATTTCCAACATTTTTTGGCTTTCAAGAAAAAACTTCTAACTATAATTTTGATGGATTTTGATTTGATTTAAAATTTTTAGAAAACTTTTCGGAAAAAACCTCAAAAAATTTCTGGTTGATTGTTGTTATCTGATTTTTTCTGCTTTTTTTTTGTCTGAATTCTTATTTTTTTTTCGTCTGAATTTTTATCATCTATTTTGTTATATTCTGAAAAATTGATCTTAAAAATTTTTATTTAAAAAATTTCAAATTTCGAACATTTTTGGCTTCTAAGAAAAAAAAACTTTTCAAAAAAAATCTAACCATAAATTATGGTCCATAATTTTGATGAATTCCAATTTCTTCTATTTTGAATCTTTAGAAAACTTTTCGAAAAAAACCTAATTCGTCAATTAATGCATAAAAATTGCTTTACATAGAAGTTTGAAAAATCTAAGTTTCCCGCCAATTTGAACATGTCATCCAACAATTTCATATTCAATTTTTTTTGGCTCCAAAAACCCCTAGCTAAAAAATGAATTTTATGCTATAATTTTGGTGTCATAAATTGTGAATTTGAAATTTTTGATGGCGTGTCAAAAAAATTTCTGCTTGATTATTGTTGTCTGATTTTTTCTGCTGATTTTTTGTCTGAATTTTTATTTTATTTTTTGTCTGAATTTTCATTTTATTTTTCGGCTGAATTTTTATCATCTATTTTCTTATATTCTGAAAATTTGATCTTAAAAACTTTCACTTAAAACATTTCAAATTTCGAACATTTTTGGCTTTCAAGAAAAAACTTCTAACCATAATTTTGATGAATTTTATTATTATTTGAAATTTTTAGAAAACTTTTCGAAAAAAAACCTTCTAAAACCTATTTGAATTACTTTTTTAGAAAAAAACCTCAAAAAGTTGTTTGATTTTTTCTGCTGATTTTTTTGTCTGAATTTCATTTTATTTCTCGTCTGAATTTTTATCATCTATTTTGTTGTTTTCTGAAAATTTCATCTTAAAGACACGTAGAAAACTAGAAATCGTTCAAAAATCAATATTTGCATGTTTTTTATCATCTTCCCAATAGTGGAAGTACATAAACAAAATTGAAAAATATTGAGTTTAGCGAAAGTCAAAAAAAGAAATTGCCTTTTTTGAAATCGCTCAGCCGACGCGAAATTTGGTGTTTGCACAAATGTTCGTGATTTGCCGCACATGTGTGCATTCTTAGCATACCGTACCACCACTTTTTATTCGTTTTTTTCTTTTTTCAATCGAACAACACACAACTTTGAAAAAAGGCGCGCGTTCAAATTTTGAAGATTACGAACACACATTTCTAGTTTTCTATGTGTCTTTAAAAATTATTTATTTTTGAAAAAAACTTCTAAAATCTATTCTTAATTTTTTTTTGTTGAATTTTTGTCTGATTTATTTGTTGATTTCTTTTCATTTTATTTTTCTGGAGTTACAGTTTTCAATTTTTCTTTTTTTGTTACATTTCACTAGGACCTATAGATTTTTTCCAAGATTCTAGAAACCTCCTTTTCAAGATATTTTGCGAGCTTGAGAAAATACTTTAGACTTTCTATATGTTTCCTTTTGTCTTTAGAATTTTCCCGATTTGTTGAAAATACCCTAGATCTTGTAGATTTCTTCATTGACTTGTTGATACTCTGGTGAACTTCTAGAAACCTCCCATAGTCTTTAGACTTTGCACGAGCTTTTAGAAACCCTGAATCTTATAGGTTTCTTCGGTTATTTATAGAAACTTTTTGGGCTCCTGGGAATATCCCAAAGTCTTCGGAATCCCCCCAATCTTCTAGACATAGCTCAGATTTTGTTGAATTATTTCTGACTTATATAATTTTATGTGGATTCTATCGCCACAAGCTCATAGAAAAATCTCAGTTCTTGTTGAATTGTTCTCTAATTGTGATTTAAAGAAACTTTAATGAGCTTCTAGGAGACTCATGAAGTCTTCAGAATCTACCCGAGCTTCTAGAAAAACTTTAATATTCCCTGACTTATAGAAACATTTTTGAGTTTCTAGGAACATCTGTAAGCCTTGAGAATTTTCGTACGCTGTCATAAATATCCAAGACTGTGTAGAACTCTCCTCTGAGCTTTTAGGAATCACTCAAAACCTTCAGAATCTGCGCGATCTTTTGGAGAGCTTAGAACTTGTAGATTTTTTTCATCTTGCAGACACTTTGATGGCCGGCCATCATGGCCCTAAAGAAATATCCTAGAGCCTTCAGAATCCGCCCAATCTTCTAGAAATAATCAAAATGTTGTTGAACTTTGGTAATTTCCCAAAACTTTCAAAATCTGTGCAAGCTTTCAGAAAAACCTCAGTTCATAATGATTTCTTCCCTGATTCGTAGAAAATTTTTCGAAATTTCAAAAATTTCGCCGTCAGAATCCACAACCTTCTAGAATTACCTTAGTTCTTGTTGAATTCTTTTTTCGACCTATAGGAACGTTTTAAGGCTTTTAGGAATATCCAAAAAGTCGTCAGAATCTGTTCGAGTTTGAATAAATATCCCGAACCATGTAGATTTCTTCTCTGGTCAATAGGAACTTTTATGAGCTTCTTTCTAGAAATCTCCCAGATTTTTCTGAATTTTCCCAAGCTTCACGACAAAACTCAGCCTATGTTGATCTCTTCTCTAATTTATAGAAACTTTTTCGAGCTTCTAGGCATACCACGCCCAGGGTGAGGCATATGCACGGCGCCAATAAAAATTTACTGGAATTCACCTCGCCAATTCGAGATTTTCTTGAGAAATAGCAAATTTTTGCTTATTTTTCCGTTAAATAGTGGTCTAGGGACTTCTTCAGAATCTGTCTTCACTGGCTTATAGAAACTTTAATGATCTTCTAGCAGACTCATAAAGTCTTCAGAATCTACGCGAATTTGTATAAATATCCGAGACTTTGTAGATTTTTTCTCTTACCAATAGGAACTTATACGAGTTTCTAGGAATCTCCGAGAGCATTTACATAGAATCTGCCCAAGTTTATAGAATCTTTTTTTCTGGCTTTTAAAGAATTCAGAGTTTGTGCAAGCTTATAGAAATGTCCCAAACCTGTATATTTCTTCTCTGACTCATAGAAACTTTGATGAAATTCAAAAAATCACCCATATACTTTTGGATGTGCACAAGCTTTCAGAAATATCCTTGATCTTAGTGGATTTCTTCTCTGACTTATAGAAACTTGTTGAAGCTTCTAGGAATCTCTGAGAGCCTTGAGAATTTGCCTGATGTATCATAAATATCCCAGACTGTGTTGAATACTCCTTTGAGCCTCATGAAAATTCCAGTCTTCATAATTCGCACGATCTTTTAGAAATCGTCTAGATTTTGTTGATGTTCTTTCTGGCTCATAGAAACTTTTTTGGGCTTCTAGAAACCTCCCAAAACCTTCAGAATTTGCACGATCTTCTAGAAAAATCTAAGCTTTTGTTGATTTATAAAAATTTATTTGAGCTTTTAAAATTTTCCCAAAACCTTCAGAATTTTCGCGAGCTTTTAGGAATAGCCTGAACCTTATGGATTTCTTCTCTGACTTATAGAACCTTTTTTGGGCTTCTAGAACTCTTCTAGAATCTTTTGAACTTCCACGATCTTTTAGAAATTGTCAAGATCTTGTAAATTTCTTCTCCGACTTATAGGAACTTTTATGAGCTTCTAGAAGCTTCAGAATCTGCCCAAGTTTCTAGAAAAATCTCAGCTCTTGTTGATTTATAGGAGTTTATTTGAGCTTCTAAAATTCTCCCAAAACCTTCAGAATATGCACAATCTTTTAGAAATAGTCTAGATCTTGTAGACTTTCTCTCTGATTTATCAAAACTTTTTCGTTTTTCGAGAACTCTTCTAGAACCTTCAGAAGTTGCACGAGCTATTAGAAAAACCTCAGCTTTTGTTGATTTCTTTTCTGATTCATAAAAAATTTTGGAGCTTCTAGAAACCACGAGCTATTAGAAAAACTCTAGACTTTGTTGAATGTGTTCTGAATATGAGTTCCTATAAGTCCCCCAGAGCTCCCAAAAAACTGTAATTCTAGAATAAATAAAAATCAACAAGAATTTCAAGAAAATGAAAATTTGGAGGGATTTCAAATCAAAAAAAAAACTAAAAAGCTGTCAGAAAAAAAAGACATTTGATTGAATTTCATTATTTTTCAGGGACGCGGTCGCCCTCGTCGCTCGGCTTCTCAACCGGTTCCTCCTCCTCAACAACAACAACCTGCTTCTCGAAATCGCGCACAATCGAACACATCAAGAAGAGAGCCATCACCATCGCCATCACCAAATCCTGCGCCAGTTGTTACTAAACGAATCACGAGAAGCATGACAAAGGATGCGAGAGACGCGGAAGCGGCGGAGCGACAGCGACTTGGGAAGAAGCGCTATTCAGTTGGCAAAACTTTCTTGCCACCCACTGTTAGTTTATTTTCTTTTTTCCTGTAGCAAGCCTAGAAAACTTCAAATCTCGTGGGAAAAATTCATAGTTCATGTACATATTTCAGCCACCAAAATGCACAAGACAAATCGCCGAACGATTGTCCGGAATATTCAGAAAGTCTAAGGACTCGAAAAATTCGAAAGCATCGAAAAACCCGGCGAAAAATGTTCCAAAGCCGCCTGCAACTCGACCAGCACCAAGAAGATCTGCCTCGCGAACTCGTCAAAATCCGGATGTTGGAAATCGAGCGGAAGTTGTCCAAGAAGCTGCAAACCAAAGAAGCTCGGAAGAAGAAGAAGATCAGGATCAAGAGTATACTCATCAAGAAGGCTCGCGAAGATCTTCCACTCAACATCGCCGTCAAACTGATTCGAGACGCTCGTCGACAAGTTCAAGAAGATCTTCCACCAGCTCTTCTCACGGTGAATCTTCAACTGGATCTTCTGGCGCCCAAACTTCAACTGGATCTTCTGGCGGCCCATCGTCAGATGACGATGACGAGTATCGGCACAGTGATCGAAGATCACGAACACCATCTCCAGACAATCGCCGCCAAAACTCGTATCGTTCAAGATCTCATGCACCAGCTTCGTCTCGTCCAGCTGAAAATCGACAACCTCGAACACCAGTCCGCCGCCACCATTCAGTTGCTCAACTCAATCATCCAAGAGTATGTTTTTTTTGGGGCTGGGGCTCGAAAAACCCTCTCTCTTCTTGTGATTTTCCTCAATCAATTCATTTTTTCCAGGCACCTTATCTTTACATCACGAATCCAAGGGAATTCGAGAATGATTGTCAACTCGACGAGCATTTTCGTCGCTTTGGCAATTTGCGAATCGAATCAACACAACAATCGGTTAGTTTCAAATCCTCTCATTGAATTTGCAATTATTTCAATTTCGCCATTTTCAGGGATCATCGTCGAGAAGAAGACGTCAACAACAAGAAGCCAGGACACAATCCGAATCGGAATCAGGAGAATCTTCGGATGCCAATCGCCCATCAACATCAACCAATGTTCGCCGCGGAAACCGTCGCCACTGATTTTGGTTGGTTGATAGTTTTTTTCGAATTCCCCGCTCTCTTTTCATTTATTTTTTTGTCTTTTGTATTTGAATTGGTCCCGCTTTTTTGATTTTCTGCTGGTTTTCCCTCTTTTTCGCTTTTTTGTCCCCCCAAACTTTTTCTTTTTTCATCAGATTTTTTCGAAAAATCTGAGCTTCTCCCCGTATTTTTTGCCAGATTTTTTTATGAAAAAATCTGTTTTTTTTGTCCCCCAACTTTTTTCCGCTGAGATTTTTCAGAAAAATCTCCGATCCTTTTCCAACTATTTTTTTTGTCCCCATCCCAATTTTATTTGTCTCCAAGTTCTTCAAGAACAGCCTTTTCCCATGGTCAAATTGACCCATTTTTCTGTTCTTCCTTGGATCATAGTTATCCTAACTCGTATTTCAATTCTTTGGTCAATATGTGACCCTTTCTCCGCGAATCTGTGCCATGTATCTCATTTTTCTCTTTTTATCCGGGCTTAATAAATTTTTTTTGTCTTTTTAGAAAAATGTGTTTGATTGAGGAAAAACAAATTATAAATTCAATTCAACATTGAAATTCAACTTGAGAAGCTTACTTAGTTCGAACATCTCACTGATCTTCTAGATTTGATGGGACTTCGGGAGATCAAGATGAGATTCTTAAGATCTGTTTAAAGTTGATCCTGAAGATCTCACTGAAGTTTCAAAATACATTCTGAAGTTCTTACTTGAAACTTCTTCAGATCTTTTCCCTGAAAATCAAGTTTAAGTTTTTGAAATTCAATCACTTTTTGATCTGAAATAATACATGTTTCACCTGCTTGTAATTGAATAAAATGCCAATTTTTAAACCAAAAATAAACATTTTTGAAATTAACACCTGCACTTGGAAGTGACAAAGATCATGTTCAAAAATCATGCTTTAAAAAAATCTGAAAGCTCAATCTTCAGGCTCCGCTCGGAGCTCACGTCAGCAATCAGTTTTAAAATTTTCATCAGCTAATTGAGTTCTGAGCTCGCAGAAATATTTTTTTTTTGATAATAATCCTGATGTATTTGCGTAGTTCTCAATTTTTAGCCTCCTAATCCAGGTGGATTATGAGAAGAAAAAAAAAATGTATTTTTGCCATTTTCAAATAAAGTTTCAAAAATCTTGACATTAAACAAGGAAAATTGATAATTGGCAGGTGTAAAGTTGTATTTATTTGATTAGATTAGAAAAAAAAGAAAAGGAACTTGAGATTTTGAAATGAGGAAGTTTTTTATGGGGGGAAAATCGAAAAAAATGTGAGTTGAGATAAATTTCCAACAAAAAAATCCGAAATTTTGGTTATGAGATTTTTGGGCTAGACTAGACTATAGTGAGGATTTTTGGCGCGAAAATGCTGAATTATCAGAACGCCAAAATCTACAGTAATTCTCTGACGAATGAAAAAAGTTTTGTTTCAAAAAAATTTTTTTTTAAATCTGATATACTTCTAAAAAAAGTTCTGGAAGATATTAGAAGTTTCGAGTTTTCAAAAAACTTTTGAAGTTGAAAATTTTTGTGGTAGTCAAAGCCAACATTTTGAAGAATTTTGTCAATCTCAGGGTCACGGGTTCGATCCCCGGTGCCCGCTATCTCCGAAAAATTTTTTTTTTCATTTGACATGGCTTTCAGAAGGCTCCAGAAGACTTCAGAAGGCTTCAGAAGGCTTCAGAAGGCTTCAGAAGGGTTCAGAAGGCTTGATGAACCCTCAGAAAGCTTCAGAAGGCTTTAGAAGGCTTGAGAAAGCTTAAGAAGGCTTCAGAAGGCTTTCGAAGGCTTCAGAAAGCTTCAAACTTCACATATCACTTTTCCCTTTTGCTCTGAAAACTCCACCCCTTTCCAACTCAAAAAAAAGGCGGAGCTTGCTGAAAATTTTTCCAGCACCTCATTCCAAATTGAGAAATCTTTGGAACCGGTGACAAACCTCACAAAATGCGCCTCTTTCTTACCTCAACAATTCTGCTTTTTATGATGTTTGGAGCTGGAACTTTGGCAACATATCACACAATGAGTGTTCGAAAATATGTTGTCGATCTGGTTCATGACGGGAAAATCAAAACTGAATACACTAAAAGGTAAGTTGAGGATAAGATGAGCAATGTTTTTTGAAAATAATAAAAAAAATTCCAGCGTTCCAAGCGCTCTCTGCCAATCTCGCAAAAACGGACCACTGTTCTTCAAAATCAAAATGCTGTGCGGTGAAAATCTTCTTCTCCCAAAAGTCAGTGAAAACGGGGCTCTTCTCCTACTTCATCGCAAAGTTGAGGATGGAGAAAAACTCAAGAAATCGGATATCTTGAGATTGTGCGATCTTCAAATGGATCATCTCTCAAAGATCAGAAACGAATTTGTTCTTGACATTTTCCAGGATGAAAAATTGTTCATTTATTGTTAATTTGGATTTTTGTTTGTTTTTTTGACACAAGTTATTTTTGTTTTTATTTGAGAGGATTAATAAAGGTTGGATTGGGAATTGAAATATGTAAATGTTGAGAAGTCTCCAGAAGTCTTCAGAAAGCTTTAGAAGGCTTCAGAAGACTTCAGAGGGCTTCACAAAGCTTCAGAAGGCTTCAGAAGGCTTCAGAAAGCTTCAGAAGGCTTCAGAAGGCTTCAGAAGGCTTCAGAAGGCTTCAGAAAGCTTCACAAGGCTTTAGAAGTCTTCACAAGGCTTCAGAAGGCTTCAGGAATCTTCAGAGGGCTTCAGAGGGCTTCAGAGGGCTTCACAAGGCTTCAGAAGGCTTCACAAGGCTTCAGAAGGCTACAGAAAACACTGTGATATCAATTTTCTCAAGCAAAATTAATTTCGATGACGCAGATTATTTCCAATGAAGCGCAATAAATTGTGTGTTCAAAAATAGTTTTTTTTTTCAAAATTTATAATTTTAATGGAAATTACTGTAGCCTCAATGTTTTTTTAGAACATATTTATTAACGAAAAGGGATTATCCATCCTACGGACAACATCTGCTTATCTGGGTTTAGTATAAGATTAATCTTACTGTAGTTTTGATCGAATTTGAACTGGGGATTTATTTTTGATATTCATAAATGAGCTTATTTGGAATTTGTTTATTAGTTTATAGTTAGTGTAACTCAAGAAAATAGTTCTCGAGATTCCGAAAAAAAATGTTAAATGTTCAAATTGTAAGCTGAATTTTTCATAATTTTTTTCGGGTTATAAATATATGTACATACATAGATATAATAAATGCCAAAAATAAAATCTTAACTTTCTGCTTCATCAGAACTACAGTAAGATTAATCTTCTCTTATTAAGCCCAGATAAGCATTTGTTGCACGTAGAATGGATAATCTCTTTTTGTTGATCACTTTTTTTCTCAAAACCAAAACTCAACATCTACAGTAATTTTCATTAAATACATATGAATTTGAAAAAAAGTTATTTTTGAACACTAATTTCATTGCGCTTCATTGAAAATCATTAGGTTCCTTTTGCGTCATTGAAATTAATTTTGCTTGAGAAAATTGAGATTGTTTTCAGCCAAAATGTGAAAAAAAAAACTTCAATTTGAAAATCGAGGGCAAAAAAACTGAGCTGGGACACCTCACATTGTCTTCCAAACCTTTCTTAAGCCTTCTGAAGCCTTCAGAAGCCTTCTGAAGCCCTTTGAAGCCTTCCGACGCCCCAGAATTCTTCTGAAGCCCTTTGAAGCCTTCTGAAGCCCACTGAAGACTTCTGAATTCAAGAAAATGTTATTCTACACTAGCCGCTTCTTTCAGAAAAAAAAAAACATACTTAAAGTAACTCCAGAACTTCCGCTGCCAAAAATAAAACCAAATTCAAACTATGGAAACATATTTCTCAAAGGCAAAAAAAAAATAAAAAACATTTCATCGGGTGGGGCCCGATCCCACCACCTCTCGACTAACAATCCAGCGCTCTACCACAACACCACAGCACACACATTTTCTCCTGTTCAAAATACCCTTGAAATGAAGGCATGCCGCTTTTCTGTTTTTCTTTCATAAATCGAACAACTTTCATTTTTTCATTTTCAATTCAAAACTTTATGACTTCACTTCAAAATATAAACTGTTCAATTATATTTTGAATCAATCCAGTTGAATTATCTGGAACACCGACAATCACAAGGGAAATAAAATTAAATTGATTTTCGCCCAAAATTTGAGCAGTGAAGTAAACACGAACATCATCTTCGGTTTTGTCAATGTTCAAATAATGATTTCCAAACGACTCATATAAATTAAATTTCAAGTAATTTCTCGGAAAAACCTGTTCAATATTGATATTTTGAGGAAATCCTCCAAAAATACGGAACAGCGATTCTTTTGATGCTTCTCCGATTACAGTTCCACTTTTATTAAAAATTGGAGCGGTGAAACCTGAATAAAAGATGGAATAATTGTTTGATCTTGCTGCATTCACTAATGCGTTCAGAAATTGATATCCAATTATTGAACCATCTTGTTGTTGAGAAGGTTGAGTTGTAGTTGAAAAATCGGAGAATCTCGGAAGATACTGGGCAGATCTCGAAAGAACAGCAGGAATAATAAGGAAAATCAAAATTTTGCTCATTTTTCAATGAAATGAAATATGGCGGGCGCTTTTAAAACGAATTTTGTTGTATAAAAATTTTTCAAATAAAATGCAGCAACAATTAGTCAAGGGTCTCGTGATTATTTTGAAAACATAAATTCAAAGACCAAATATTGAATGGAAATTTTGTAAAAAGATCCCTCTGACGCCTTCTGAAGCCTTCTGAAGCCTTCTGAAGCCCCCAGAAAACTTTTGAAGCCTTCTGAAGTTCCCAGAAATCTTCTCTAGCCTCCAAAAGTCTTCTGAAGCCCCCAGAAATCTTTCGAAGCCTTCTGAAGCCTTCTGTAGTTTCCTGAAACCTCTGAAAACTTCTGAAGCCTTCTGAAGATTTCTGAAGCCCCCAGAAATCTTCTGAAGCGTTCTGAAGCCTTCTGAAGCCTTCTGTAGTTTCCTGAAGCCCTCAGAAGCCTTCTGAAGCCCATTTCCCTACTCCAAAATTCCATGGTTTTTTGTTTTGAAACTAAATTTTATAACTGGAAAAATATGAGAAGAACTTTGTCAAATTTAAATTTTTAGAAGTGATCAAAAATTTAGAATTACATGACTCTAGGGAAAAAATGGGATTTTTTTTAGAAATTTTTTTTTTCAAACACCTGCCACATTCCAAAAATTTTGGAATAACAAAAGACTTTCAAGGTTGTTAAAAGTAAATTTTTTGTTCTTTTTTTTTGTTAAGAATCCCAATTAGCAAAGATTTGGTTTGGCTAATTAAAAATTTTTTTTTCTAATTGAGCTTCAAAAGCTTCTTATTATTTTTTGGCCCTAATAATATATGTATATTTTTCACATAATTTTCATATCAACTCATATTTCCTTACATAAATATCCGAAAAATTGTTTATACAAAAAAAAAGTGCACCATTACTCATATCATTTTCCTTCCCTCTCTCTCTCCCTTCCCGCTTTGAAAAAACCGAACAGACAGACAGACACAGTCATTCATCCTTCCTCTTTTTTACTTTTTCTTGTTCTCTTTCTTTTTTGCTACTTATTTACATATGTTTCTGTGAAATATTGCGAAATTTTTTTTTGATTTTTGGGCCTAAAAATTTTCGAATTTTGATATTTGCAGGGGGTTTTTTGAGAGATGAAACTTATTTTTGATAGAAATTTCATGGGCAGTATTTTTTGAAAGGAAATTCGGCATATTTTAGATAAAAACTTTTCATTTTAATTTTTCTGGCCAGGATTTTTGAGAGAAAATTCCAGGCGCCTTTAAATTTCTAACTAGAAATTTTCCGAATTTTTTTAAATTTAGTAAATTTAAAGCTTCATTTTTGGCCCGAATTTTTTTCTCATTCTGATTTACCCGAAAATTGATTTTTTTTTTCTTCTTTTTGTATATCATTTTTTTCCTGAATTTTTGAATTCTTCCAAATTTTCTCTTATTTGAGTTTCTTGTAGAAAATCAAAAATTTGATCTCTAAAAAATACCGTAATCTAGTGAGGCATACAGTAGGTTTTTTTTGAATTTTTTTTTGTTTATGACTCATTTTTGTATATCAATCAATAATTGTTTATTTTTTGTGACCTTTTTTTTCTTTGATTTTTTTTTCGTGATCTTTTTTGGTTGTGGGACTTGGGAAGTGAGAAGCTTTGAGGCATTTTTTTGGGTTCTTCATGAATTAAAAAAAATTAAACCGAAAATTGATTCACAAACGGTATTTTTATTGATTTTTCACCATTTTCTCAAATAATTCTTAACTGAATAAAATGAAGCTAAAACACATTTTAGTGTACAGAAATGCTATTTCAAGACCTTCAAGTTAGCCTAAAAGACAAATCAAGCCTAACAACTCCCAAAAAATGAAATTGGTGATTTTCGAAACATTTCGAATATTTTCGAAAACCAATAATTTTTTTTATCAATCGATATGGACTTGTGTGTATGAATAAATGTACGGACTTTTTTTTTGTTTTTTTTCAGTTTTCATTGTGTTTTTTTATTATTTTTATTTAAATTTGTACGAATGAACGGAACTTAAAATTACGGAAGTAAAAAAATTTGAAAAAAAACTATAAAAATGGCTGGAGCGATCTTAAAAAGATGAAAAACTCGAAGAATTTTCATTAAAGTGACAGGATTCGAAACTCAACAAAGTCATCGAAGGGAATCCGTCGATCTCTACCACTATAATCCACCCGATTCAGATTCAGAAGATCTCGAAGAATTTGAAGATCACATTCAAGTTCGACCAACTCAAGACTTTCAAATTCGAAATGCGTAAGATCGAGAATCTTATGAAAATCAAGATAGATAGGCTAAATCAGGTATTCCTCAGGCCAAAACGACCGTATAGAAGACGAATTTTGGTGCCAAAATGCGGAAAAAACTGAAAATGAAGATGAAGCCACGAAATTCCGACGGAAAATCTGGATGTTTATGAGGATTACGATCGGGAAACAGTGAGATTTGATAAGGATCGAAGAATACGCTGATCATTCCAAAAAATCAATGAGTGGAAAATATTATATTTTTTGGAGCGATTGGCTAAAATCCAAGAAGCACAACTAACATGGGATAAAAGAGTCATAGCAGATTGTCTGAACCTTCAAAAGTTACCACAAGCCTTACGATTCAAATATTTGGAACAAAAATGGGAAGGGAGACACTACGGAAACCTGAATTAAATGAAGACATACGAGAAAGGAATTCGCAAATTACGAAAATAACAATCAATGAGTGGAAAATATTGTATTTTGCCGAGTTTGACATTGGAAGAGTTTTGGTGGCCTAGAAAACCAAAAAAAATAACAATTTTCTAGTCCCCAAATCGTTCTGAATACATATTCCAGATGAATCAACGGAATCAGCAAAGTCATCAAAGGGAATTCGTCGATTTCTACCACTATAATCCACCCGATTCAGATTCAGAAGATCTCGAAGAATTCAAAGATCACATTCAAGTTCGACCAACTCAAGATTTTCAAATTCGAAATGCGGAAGATCGAGAATCTTATGAAAATCAAGATAGATAGGCTAAATCAGGTGTTCCTCAGGCCAAAAAGACCGAAGTTCGAGGAGTTTTCATGAAGAGTTTCATGCAAGTTGAAGCTCCAGAAACATCGAAGACAACAAAATCAATCAGTGGAAAATATTATATTTTGTTGAAAATATAATAAACTGGGAGATTTAGTCCGATCTCTCACAAGAATAGAAAATTTATTCTATTTATTCAGCAGGGAAAATCGAAATCGAAATTGACGGAAACCTGAATTAAATGAAGACATACGAGAAAGGAATTTGGAAATTATGAAAATAACAATCAATGAGTGGGAAATATTGTATTTTGCAGAATTCGACATTGATATATTAGCAAAATATTAAACCCGACTCAAACGTGAATGGATAGAAGGCCAATTGGAAAATTAATGAGTGGAAATTATTATATTTTGGTTAAAATATAATAAACTGGGAGATTTAGTCCGATCTCTCATAAGAATAGAAAATTTATTCTATTTATTCAGCAGGGAAAATCGAAATCGAAATTGACGGAAACCTGAATTAAATGAAGACATACGAGAAAGGAATTTGGAAATTATGAAAATAACAATCAATGAGTGGAAAATATTGTATTTTGCGGAATTTGACATTGATATATTGGCAAAATATTAAACCCGACTCAAACGTGAATGGATAGAAGGCCAATTGGAAAATTAATGAGTGGAAATTATTATATTTTGGTTAAAATATAATAAACTGGGAGATTTAGTCCGATCTCTCATAAGAATAGAAAATTTATTCTATTTATTCAGCAGGGAAAATCGAAATCGAAATTGACGGAAACCTGAATTAAATGAAGACATACGAGAAAGGAATTTGGAAATTATGAAAATAACAATCAATGAGTGGAAAATATTGTATTTTGCGGAATTTGACATTGATATATTGGCAAAATATTAAACCCGACTCAAACGTGAATGGATAGAAGGCCAATTGGACAATCAATGAGTGGAAAATATAATATTTTGGTATCTCAAATTCGAGAAGAAAAACAAGAAATTTTGTATTGCATTTGGCAGAAATGAAGAAAACACTACTAAAAGAGATGATGGTGGATCGGAAACCAAGAAAATGGAAAAAAAATGTTTCGAGGGACCAACACTTTCCAACTCCTAGAAAAACCTACTTTAAAAAATTCATAAATCAATCATTTTTCAACTGATATTTTTTGTTTGAATAAATATTTACATATCTATATATTTTTGTATTTTTTTTGAAAAATCTGGAAAGCTTGAAGATTAATTTTCTCACATTTGAAAAAAGGTTTGTTTTTGGTCCTCATTGTCTCTTCCAAAAATAATGTATTTTATATTTTCAGGCTCGAATCAACATAAAATCTGAAAATTATCTAGATTTCGGGATGTTTGACCAACAAGATTTAGAGATTTTAAGGTTGGTCCACTCCAGAAATTTGATTAAAAATTCAATAAATTGTATTTTTACAGTTCTCAAAAGCAAAAATTTCTTGGATCATAAAAATGAGGAAAAAATCCCGAGCCTGCATTTTTTTTGAAATTAAAAAAAAATGGAAAGTCTATTTAAAACTTTCAAACTTCTATCATTTTTTTTCTGAAATTTTGTAAATCTAGAAAATTTTTCAACGATTTTTGAACCATATATTTTTGTATCTGTATAGGACTTTTCATGTATTTTTTTTTAATATTTTTAAAATCAGATTTTTTCTTCATTCTTCGGTTTATTCAATTTTTTTGTAAAATAATTTATTTTTATTTTTTGAATTTAGATTTTTTTGCTTCCCTATATTTTTCCCCTTTTAATGTGATCCAGAATTTGTTTTTTTTCCTTTTTTTCCCAATTTTTTGTTAGGGAAAATTTATATTCATTTTTTTATGTTCGAAGTTTTCCCATTTCATGTAACTCAAAATCCTGACATCCCTTATCTCCCAAACTAACTTGACTTATGATAACTTTTTTTTTTATTATTGTCACACAACGTGCAATTCGAATTATATAATAAGGTACAAAGTCTTTCAGAAAAAAACATTACTTATAAAAATTATTTATTTTTTCAGATCCATAACAAGTTCAACAACCTGGAATATTGAAATGCAATCAATTTTTCAAATGTTCAAGGCAACATCAGCGTTAGGACCTGAAGGTATTTAGAATTTTGAAAAATTTGTGAGCTAGGAATTTTCATTCTTCAAATTTTGTTTTCTCTGCGGTCTATCTCTAAAAACTCAATCTCCCGCGCGCTCTGCGAAATAGTGGGGATAGGAGAGAGAGTGCCAGACACAATTGTTTTTTGACTCCCTGCCATATGCATTTGTAGCTTTCCATTTTTTTCTTGTAGTGTGTGTGTTTGAGAATTTTTTTTTAGAAAAAAAAATCATTTAATTTTTTCCAGAGATATCGGTTGAAAACAAAAATGTTTTTACACATGATAATAATCAAAATTCTTATTATCTCAAGTTTGGAGAACATCAGTTTTCTTGGTGAGTGAGACATTTTGGGTTTTTTTTATTAGAGTAAATTAAAGAAAATATTTTTTGCAGCTTCTCAAAAGGACTCATTGGCATGAATTTAAACGAATTCATTTCCGAATATGTCAACAAATATTGAACAAATACCGAAAAAGTTTCAAAATTGTATCATCGAGACAACTATGATAATTTAAATATCGATCAAGTCACATGCTTTAAAAAATTATTTTTTCGAATGGAATCCTGCTTGTAGTGCTCTTCGAATTTATGAAAAATCAAGAAATCAGTGGATCATATTCGGATTGCAATTTTAAATGGAAATGCAGATGAACTTTTGAAACAACTGCAGGTATGGATTTTTTTATACTGAATTTTCAAGATTTCAAAAATTTCAACAAAAAAATCTATATTATTTTGTAATAAAAAACCTAGAAAAAAATCGAAAAACAAAATATACAGTTTATTATTTTTGAATATAGACAATGTGATATTGAGAGAGTGCAGACATACAAATTGATTTATCGCACAAAAATACTAAAAACTAATTTTTCTGTCTGCACTCTCTCAATATCACGTTGTCTCTATTCAAAAATAATAAACTGTATATTTTGTTTTTGCAACGTTTTTCTGCATAGGAAAAAAATGTTTTTTTATTAAAACATATTATTCTTGGGATTTTTAGGTCCCAAAATAAATTTGTGAGTTCAAGACAAATTTGTGAGTTCTAGAAAGTTTCCAGTCTCAAAAGCTCCTAGAGCTTCTCAAAGCCATCTGAAACATCCTGGTGGACTTCTAAAGCCCCTAAAGCCCCTAGAGACTCCGGAAAAGCACCATGAATCCCCTAGAGCCTCCGGAAAGCCTTTTAGAGCCCCCTGAATGCCCCTGAAGCTCCCCAGTATTCTGATAGCAACATTCACATTTTTCAGCCAAAAAATCTGATTATTCGACACAATATTTTGAAAAGAAGGATGATGTTCGTCAATTTTTCCAATAATGTTTTAAACATAAGAAATTTGCTTGCATATTCGGAATATTGATTTTTTTTTAAATTTTACTGTCACACTTGGCGAGAGAGTGTCCCAAAATTTTTGTGCAGCGTGAAATTTTGAATTTTTTTGAATATTCTCATCAATATCCGCTGAAAATCAATGAACACTTCACTTTTTCGTGAAAAAAATGGCTTTTGAAAATTTTCATTAGCTTTCCGCCCGAATCGAAATTTTGATTTGGGCGGGAATTTTTAATTGGACACATCTCGTCAGGTGTGTTTACTGTTGAATTTTTATGTTGTAAAACGTTCTATTTTTCAATAAAAAACATTATTGTTATACATATAAAAACAGATTTGAAGTTATTTTCATTTTCCAAAAAATTCAGATCTACAGTACTTCCCACACTGAAAACATCAAAAAAAATATTTCGCAATCCACTTTATTAAAAAATATTTGATGGCCGATATTTTTCAAATCCTAGTCCCTTTCTCTCCTTTCTTTTTTTCTTTTCCCTCTCCTCTTTTTCCTCACTCTTCTAATATACAAATTTCATTGTGTTTTTTTAAAGTTCTTCAAAACATACAGAATTTTGATTTTTCGGCTCTTTCAATGAAACAAATTAAAAGAAAATTACTCGGACATTTTTTTTCATAAAAAAGTTATTGATGAATAAATGAATAAAGAATATAAAACATAATAATAACATGTACATAAAAGAATAGATAAGAAATTGAAGTATTCATTATTTATATAGTGCACAAAGTGATAAGATACCAAAAAATATAAATATCATTAAAGGGTTGGTGCTGCGCCAGGGAATCTTGCTTGGTTTAGATAGGAATAAGATGCTCCTGGAAGGTTCCAGTTTTAGAAAAAATTCTAGTATCAATTCAGCCCATGTTTTTCCTCAAAAACACAAGCGAGTTAAAACCTACGAAATAAAGAATGTAAATGCGCTCTAGCGCACAACTTGTTTTTGAATTTTCGTGCGCGTGTTTGCACACAACTTTGAACATAACACGGTGACGCCTTTTTGCAGACGATTTTTTCACCAGGAAAACACCAACCCTTTAAGAGAGACTTTTTGTAAGAACGTAAATCGAGATGTACAACAAAATGGATCGAAAATTTAGAATGAGCCAAATTTTTTTTTTATTTGAAAGGTATGATGTTTGAGTGTTTTGTCCGCACAGTAAGACCTTATATAAAAAATTGGTTCACGGTGTATAGGTCGATGTTCGAATTTTGGTCTTGTTTTTGAAAAAATCGTAACTAGGCTCAAAGTCAATATTTTTCGACGATCAAAAAGTGATTTTTCTCCATTTTTCATTCCGGAGAAGCTGGAATTAACGAAAATTTGGTGAGATTTCGTCCTGACTTTTTCCGAGAAAATTTTCAAAAAAAATTTTTTTTAATTTGGGAGTCAAGAGCCCAGAGAATAAGTGTTTTTAAAAGATTCTTCATGCAATTTTACGTATTTTCGAACAATCAAATCAAAAATTCTCAGTACCCCCGTTTTCAAAAAAATCACTTTAAAATGTTCACTTATTTTCTCCTCTTGAAAGGTTGAATAATTGATTTCAGCACATTGATCCGTGATAAAATGCTGAGTTTTAACTATTTCTGATCATTCATATTTGTTTCAAAACAGTTCTGATCCTTTATCTAGATTCTATGTCCCTGTATGCCTCAAAAACCTAAAATATGCACTTTTCAAAAAATGAACATACTTTCTCCGGAATCCAGCTTCTCCGGAATGAAAAATAGAGAAAAATCATTTTTTGATCGTCGAAAAATATTGACTTTGAGCCTAGTTACGATTTTTTCAAAAACAAGACCAAAACTCGAACATCGACCTATACACCGTGAACCAACATTTTATATAAGGTCCTACTGTGCGCATAAAACCCGCAAAAAAGTTTGGCCAAATCAGAGAATATCACTTTTCTTGTACAGACCACCCCAGTTTTATTTACGTTTTTACAAAAAGTCTCTTTTAATTACAGTACACGTTATAAATATTTTTTGAGCAAGTGGTGTATTTTTTGAAATAATCATCTCTTGAGGTGTTTTTTCAATTCTCTCGTGAACTGTAAGGATCTTTTCAGAGGTTTTTTCTTATTTAGAGGATTAAAAAATCTTATTTTTCCACAGAAAAATCAAATGTTCATCTTCACAAAAATTGTTCAATGAAGAAAATGCCAAGAGAAAAAAGTAAATTGATTGACATTGAATGGTTTTCTTTTTTGTTTGAAAAAAGTTGGTTGTCGTTCTTTCAGAATCATCTGATAACATATGATGGTTAGTATGATGACATGCAACAATTTTTCAACGAAATTTGATTTTCGTCTTCTTCTTTTTTGAGAATGAAAAAAAATTAATCAACCAATTGAACATTTTTTCTAACAATTTTTAGTTTTTCTTTCATTATCACATTTTCCCGTTCCAAGATGCCTTTGATGGGCGGAGCTGAACACACACACACTATATAAACTCTCGTTTTCAGTAAAAAAATTGTTAGCTGGTTTGTTTTCAACGTCTAGTTTTAGTCGCGCAATCAGGATTCATAGTAATATTTTTAGTAGACTTGTTTCAATGTAAAATCTGCCTATTTATTCAATTTCTTCATATTTTCTAGTAGTCATAAAAAAGGTAGGATTTTTTATTATTTGCGGGGAATCAATGGCAGTTCCTGAACAGGAACAATTTAATTAGAACTTTTTCTATTTTCATGGGAACTGAACGTGGGAACAGGGTGTAAATAATTTTTGCAAAAAGTAATATATGTTATAGCCCTCCAGCCGCTCGCTCGCTAGCCACCCAAGCCGCTTAAGGCGCTCGAGCGGCTCGATGTTCTTCGATTTGCCTCATTCCAAAAAACATCGGACATACATGAACTAGTCGCTCCGGGGACCCTTGAGTTAACCTCCCTTCCAGGGAAAATTTTCGAAAAGTCCAATTTTGTTATCGACACAGAACTAATCATTTTTATATTCCTGAAAAATTTGTACCTTTTCAGAAAAAGTCATTGATTTGGTTGTTGATGCACTGAAGGTTGCATTTGATGCAACCTTCAGTGCTTCAACAACCAAATCAATTATGATGTTCTTCAAAGTTTAAAGTCAATGGGACCAAACATAAGAGCATTGATTAATTCGTCCGTACCAATCGGAACATATGTTCTACATCACTTAAACCCGCAGGTATTGTATCTACTCCACTGCAATTTACAAGTCTTGTCCTTCCACAAAGTCTGAGTAGCTTGGTTTTGCTGGAAAACACTTCAAAAATGGCGAATTTTCACCCAAAAACTCGAATAGGTTACTTTTCACGTACTAATTTGATAGATATTATTTGATGTATTGATGTCTTTCAGGCTGGTAATCGATAGATTTTGACTTTCGGGGACACCTCTTTTCATGTGATTTTCGCTCATTTCGAGCCTGAAAGACATCAATACATCAAATAATATCTATCAAATTGGTAGGTACCATCATAATCGTCGTGAAAAATAACCTATTCGAGTTTTTGGGTGCCTGATCAATTCAAGTCGTGTACCCGAAATCGCACATTTCAGAGAATAACCATACCACGTTCATTGATGACGGATAGGAACAACGAATTTCTTGACCCGAGAAAATTCAAAGATGATACGTTTATCGATGACTTTAGCAGAACATGCAGAGATGAAGACACGTACGTTTTTTGTTTAGTCCTTACTTACTTCGTTAGATCAAATAAATATACTTTTCAGAGCATCAAAAAAAAAAATACTGAAGGTATGAGTTTTGTTGATTCAGAGGCCACTTGTAGTCCGTCTAGAAATCGGAGTCACCCCGCAAAGATTGAATTTTAGGCTGCAGGTTTCGTCACTTTGGATTGGCTAAATTTAGGAAATGCGCTCCAGCGCACAAAGGGGGGGGGGGAATTTAATTGTTTGTTTTGGGTGTTCTAGGAATGCCTTTTTGAGGTTTTATCGACTGTTTTGAGAGTGAGTTTGCCGATTTCAACTATTTTCAAGGAAGTTGAAAGCATTTGTCAATCTTTTTCGCCTTCTAAATTAGCTCAAAGCCTTACAAAGTCCCCTGAAGTCTCCTAAAGCTTCTCGAAACCTTTTAGAGCCCTCTGAAGCCCCATGAAGCCTCTCTAAGCCTCAAAAGCCCCCCAAAGCCCCTGAAGCTCTCCAGTTTTCTGATAGCAAAATTCACATTTTTCAGCGAGAAAAATCTGATTATTCGACACAATATTTTGAAAAAAAGGATGATGGTTCCCAATTTTTCCAATAATACTTTATACATAAGAAATCTGTTTGCATATTCGGAATATTGATTTTTTTGTTGATTTTACTGTTGAATTTTTATGTTGTAAAACATTTTTTTTAAAATAAAAAACATTACTGTTATCAAAAAGAAAAAAAATCCACAATTTTGTGAATCATTTTCATCGATTGTTTCATCAGCCAATGCCAATTTCTCTGTTTTTCCCGAAATTAAGATCTACAGTAATTCCCACACTGTGAAGATCAAAAAAATTATTTCGCAATCCACTTCGATAAAAAAATATTTGATGGCCGATAATTTTCAAATCCTAGTCCCCCTCTCTTTTATTTTTTTTTCTTTTCCCTCTCCTTTTTTTCCTCACTTTCTTCTAAAATTCAAATTTCAATGTGTTTTTAAAGTTCTTCAGAATCAAATATAGATTTCAAATTTTTTATTTTCTTCATCGAAATTACAGTACCTTGAGTTAGTTACAGTATCCCTAATTTAGAGCCCTATCTAGCCCAAAATTAGCAAAAGCTGCTTTATGATCTATTTGAAAGTGAGAAATAGGAAATTACATCCATCTAACAATTCTAGACTTCTAGAGATCCCTAAACTTCAGATTCATTTTTGACTGATAACAATTTATTTAGTCAAAAATGAGTCTGAAGTTTAGGGATCTCTGGACGTCTGATTGAAGTCTAGAATTGTTAGATGAATGTAATTTCCTATTTCTCACTTCCAAATTGATCATAAAGCAGCTTTTGCTAATTTTCGGCTAGAGTTAGAAAATTTTTTGAAGATGGAGTTTGAGCAAAAAATAGGTTATGCTCATTTTAATTTTTCACAAATCCCAATTTTTCAACAAAAAATCGTTCCATTTTTCCATGAATTGCGCTACAAAAATTATTTCGCAATCTTTTTGATAAAAAATTTTATGGCCGATATTTTTCAAATCCTAGTCCCCTTCTCCTTTCTCTTTTTCTTTTCCCTCTCCTCTTTTTTTCTCACTCTTTTCATGTTTTCAAATTTGAATGCGTGTTGTTTTGTTTTTAAAATCAAGATTCTGTATGTTTTTGAAAAACATAAACAATTTGAAAAACTTTAAAAACACATCGGAATTTGAATTTTAGAAGAAAGTGAGGAAAAAGAGGAGAGGGAAAAGAAAAAGAGAAAGGAGAAGAGGACTAGAATTTGAAAATTATCGGCCATCAAATATTTTTTATCGAAGTGGATTGCGTAATAATTTTTTGATCTTCACAGTGTGGGAATTACTTGTTGCCAAACTAAAATCTCATAAAAATTACCTGGGATCAACGTTCCAATTGAATCTCATCCAGAAAAATCTCGTTGATCTTCTCTATGGAAATCCGCGCTGTCTTCCAAATGCTCCTTCTGAACATCCTCGACCTCATTAAAAATCATCGCAATTCTCCAAGTCAGCGTATTTTTTGGCAAAATCTCGATTAATCTACAGTAGGAAAATACATAGCTGCGGAGCAACACATTTTATAAAAATGTACCTGGAAAAAACGCGGCCGAAACAATTTCATTCCAAGAAGCCAAAAATGTGCTGTGAGTAGAATTGTCCTTCAGAAATCCCGGCTCCATTCCCATCTTTCTTTTATATATTTGTTGTCGTCTCGATTTCATTTTCCTTATTATATGCAAAAAGTTTCGAATATTCTCTATTGATCTTCTTTTTGCGATCTTGAATTCTGCAGTTCATACACAACTTTGTTGCACCAAAAAGTCCTTCATCAATTTTTTCTATTGAAAAATTGGTTGTTCTTTTTCACTTGAACTTCCATTTGCAATCAAAAAATTCTCTTGACGCCAATTTTCTGTGAAAATATTGATTTAACAACGGGAATATGGCGTGGCCAAACTAAATTATCATAAAAAATACCTGAGAATAACAACATCCAATTCATTTTCATCCAACACAATCCTCCTTCTTCACAATCTGATTTTGTCCAAACGCATTGAAATCTTGTTGTCGCCATGATTTTGTCGCAAGTTGGATGAGCACTTTGAGACAATTCTTTGTCGTCTACATAAGCAGCTGATTTCTGACCATCCATTTTGTCTTTTTTGGCAAAATCGATTGATTGTCCGATGAGCAAATAATTGTTGAGCTTCTTCCATTTTCAAAACCTCATCAATTGATACATTTGTTGTTTCTCTTCCTCACTTCAATTTCTTTCAAAGCCTCTGAATTCCTCTTGCCCTTCTTCTTCTTCTCGTTTTCATCTAGAATCCTCGAATCCCTCTCGCCGATGCCATTTCCTGTAAAAATACCGATTAACCAACGGGATAATTGTTTAGTCGAACTAAAATATCATAAAAATTACCTGGGAATCAGAGCCAGATTTGAAATACTCAACGTTCCAATTGCATCCCATCCAGAGAAATCTCGTGGAAATCCTGCTCAATCTTCCAAAGTTGCTGCATCTGCACATCCTCAACCTCATCAAAAATCATCGCAATTCTCCAAGGGAATTGGCACCAATCCACGCCATAATCAACACATCGTGTGAAATCCTTGAATCCTTGCATCAACCATCAACAATACTACGTTCGGCAATCAAGAAAATCATGGGAAAATCCATCATCTTCTGGAAATCGTGTGGACGTCATCGATTTGCAGAAAGTTGTGCAGAACTCTGTCAAAATCATCCAACTCGAGAGCTTCTCCATCTTCAAAACCAACTTCTTCTCAAAATTCAAAAATCCTCGATTCCTTTCTGTCCACGCAAATTCTGTCTCCTGCAAAAATATCAGTTAACCAACGGGAAAATTGTGTTGCCGAACTAAAATATCATAAAAATTACCTAATAAACTTTGTCGACTTTGTCTATATCCGACTTTATCTATAGACACACCTGCAAACCAATTTATTGATTGGAAAAGGCGTGGTTAGGAGAGAAAAACAAACAAAAACAAACACAAAAAAGAAGAAAAAGAAGAAAGGTGGCATGAAAAGAGCGAGAGAGTGGAAAAAAAGGAGACGCAGACACACCTGCAAACCAATTTATTGATCGAAAAGGGCGTGGTTAGGAAAGAAAAACAAAGAAAAAGAAGAAAGGTGGCATGTGTGTGGGAGAGAGAGTGCAAGAAATAGCAAGACACAGACAGCCAAACAAACAAGCACTGTTCGTTGGAGCGCGTATGGTCTATGTATTGCACAATACATGGAAAATATGCGTTGTACTTTTGGTTTTCAGCAAAAAGACCACCCAGTTAACTGATACGAAGGTCTTTTGAATAAATTTTTCACGGTGTGGAACAATAATGAAAAAGAAAAAAAAACAATTTGTTTTCAAAATCTCATCAGTTTATTGGATTGAAGATTAACAAGTGTAAAACATTAGAAAAACAGTTGGAATAAAAAATCTAATAAGACCAGGTAACTTTTTTTGGACATTTTAGCCGGGAAAACAAATATATTTAACAACTTTGAGTACAGTTTTGACAGAATTCGGGGAAACATGTAAACTTAACAGGGGGATGAAAACTTAACAGGGACATGTAAACTTAACAGGGTGATTTAACAAATTCTTTAACAAAAATCAACAAAATTTATAACAGTTTTAACATGAGAAGCCTAAGTGAAGCTTAGAAGTTGATATTGATGAAAAAAACATCCACATCCATGAAGTAGCGCCAGTTCTGAAATAGAATAATTGTGAATTCAAATTTTTTTGACTTCTGAAGACCTCTAAAGCCTTCTGAAGCCTTCGGAAGCCTTCGGAAGCCTTCGGAAGCCTTCGGAAGCCTTCGGAAGCCTTCGGAAGCCTTCGGAAGCCTCCTAAAGTCTCCTGAAGCCTTTGGAAGCCTTCTGAAGCCTTCGGAAGCCTTTTGAAGCCTCCTAAAGTCTCCTGAAGCCTTTGGAAGCCTTCTGAAGCGTTCGGAAGCCTTCTGAAGCCTTCGGAAGCCTTCGGAAGCCTTCGGAAGCCTTCGGAAGCCTTCGGAAGCCTTCGGAAGCCTTCGGAAGCCTTCGGAAGCCTTCGGAAGCCTTCGGAAGCCTTCGGAAGCCTTCGGAAGCCTTCGGAAGCCTTCTAAAGCCAAAAAAAAATAATTACATCCTGGATGCTGCGGTGAGTTCTTCTAATGTGCCTCATGATGTCATTCAAATTGTCACGGTTATTTGCATCGCGTTCTGCATTTGCGATAATCATCTCATACAAGCGCGACTGGAAAAAATAAGGTTATGTATATTCTTGATTCTCCATACGAAAACTCACTAAGTTAGAGTGTAATGAAGCAGCTTGGCGGAAAATCAAGCTTGCTAATTGAAGCAAAAAAATACGATCCCTTGGTGGCAAGCCATAATTGAATCGATTATTCAATAACTGCAAAAAAAATTGATTTTGTTTCATGAAACAGGCCTTGAAAAAATTAACTTACGACCACAATACTTTGCGCTCGTCCAACGGCGCCATGCGCAAAGATTAATGCTTCTTGTTCCCAGTGTTGAAGTGGATGAATAATTGGATAGTTGTCCATTTTGACTGAAAAAAAAACCAACACATATTTGTTGTCTAGAATTTTTTGCTAAGCTTCTTGAGCTTCGAATCAAAAAAATCCCAAAGCTTTAAGATTAACTCTGAATAAGGTCACAATCATGAAACTTAACTTGATTTTCAAAATTCAATCTAGAATTCCCTTCCATGGAAAAAACATAAAAGTTTTTTAAAAACAGCTAAAGAAAATTGACAAAATTTTGGGTTAAAATTCAAATATTCATCAAAATTAAGCATGAAAAATGAACTAACCTGATTACACAACAATGCAAACCACTAAGGATCACTTGATACACGATTTCACCGATCAACAAATCAACACAATCCACCAAACAGAAATATCGCTTGGCGTAAATAATCAAACGAGACAACAAAGTCGAGAAAGGACGCCGGCAATGCACTGTGTTTAGTGTGTTTTCTTCTAGTTGAAGAGAGAGAGAAGAGACGCAGAGAAACATGCATGCATGTAGCTGGCTATATTATAGTTGATTGTTTGATTTCACGGTGTTTTATTTACAAGGAGAATAAAAGGTTTGCATATAAGAAAACAATATTTTTGATTTTTGAACATTTCTTTTCTAGAATTTAAAAATGAGGACATAACACGTTTTTCAAGTTGGATATCAGAAGCAGAATTTTGATTTTTGAATTCAAAAAAAAATCTTAAAAAGCTTCGGCTGGATTTTTAGATTTTTTTGTTCAATAATTTATCCCGTCAGAAATTTCAGATAACTGATATCCAAATTACAGCTAAATTTCTATAATGTTGAAATCAGAAAATTCAGATTTTTTTCATGCTGAAAGTTGTAGTTTTCAGTTATGATAAGTTAGTGACAATTTTTCAGCAGCCCTAGAATATCAGGAGCATCGGAGGCTGTTGATATTCTATTTCACATTTTCCGAAATCTAACTTTTAGATTTAATCTCCAACATTTGGAATTCTCAATGGAGATAGAGTCCATATTTTAACAGAAATCAGAAAATTTCTTTGATATTCTGAAAAAAAAAGTTCGGTGGAAATGTTCGCAAAGGATGAAAAACTGCTTTGACAATTTGAAAAATCTAAATTTCCCGTCAATTTTCAACACGCCATCAAACTATTTCATGTTCAAATTTTTGGGGCTAAAAACTCCCAATTACGAAAATTTGAAATTCATAGTATGATTTTAGCGCCAAAAAAATGTGAGTGTGAAATGTTTGATGATGTGTCAAAAAATTATTTTCTGAAAATTGAGTCTGAATTTACTTGTTCATTATTTTTGTCTGGAGTTTATTTTTATTTGAAAATCTATGTAGGAAAAATTTTGTCAAACATTTTCAAAATTGAACTTTACACGCATTCTCAGAAACAACCAAATTTGATGATTTTTTTTGTTCACACAAAAAAATTTTTTGGATCACGCGAAAAAGATATTTTTCGATTTTTGTTTTTTTTTTCAACCAAAAAAAATTTGGATTTTTTTGTGGACTTTTTTTTGGGAAAAAAAGCATTTTTGAACATTTTACCAAAATTCACTCCAAGAAAAATTCCAAATTTTGTTTTGCTATTCAAAAATAAACAACATATGGCTAAATCTCTGAGATTTCAGTTTGTGGTTAGAATGAGATTGGAATGGATCTCAAAACGATAGCAATATCACTTCATTTGAAACTGACAGTTCATATGAAACTTGTGAGCTGGAATCAGTCGTGAAGACTTTCTCCAGAACAAGTTTCAAGTTTAAATTGGTCCAGAATTCAAGGTTTTAGGCGTATTGTTTCCTAAATCGGTAGAAAACACGTTTTCAACAAAATCTTTTGAATTCTGAGCCAAATTGCGAAAAAAAGTTTAAAGCAAGGAAAATTATTTATTTGCAGAAAGAATTATTTGAAAATCCATCGTTCAAAATTTTTCTGAAATTCTAGCGATAATCATACAATTTCGAACGCCAGCTCACCAAAGTCGTTGAATTCTAGATGAAGCGAAAACCAACCCTGAAAAAATAAAAGAATTAGACGCTTGGCGAATTAAAATTACCGTAGTTCCAGTTGAGGCGAAACATCTGTTGTACTGTAGAAGCGAAATCTGAGAAGAAACCCGTTTCTTGAATTATTATTTTGTTCACTCACCACTTCCCGAATGCAAATAATTATTAATGACTGGACAAAAACGAGAAAAACAAGAGAAAAGGCCGACACGTATTGCCACGTATATGACAAAAGATACGTGGCAAGATTTTTATCAGGTTGAAAAAAAACAAAAATCGAAAAAAAAATCTTTTTCGCGTGATCCAAAATTTTTTTTGATGTGAACAAAAAAAAATCATCAAATTTGGTTGTTTGGGAGAATAGTACTTTGAACTTTTTGTTTGAGAACCTTGAAATGAAAGTAAAAATCAAATTTTTGTGTGGAAAAATCAGTTTTGGATCCATATTTTAACAGAAATCAGAAAATTTCTTTGATATTCTGAAATTAAAATGTTTTGGCGCTAGAAAACCCGGGAAAAAATGTTTGACAAAATCTCTGTTTTTGTTTGGTGGAAATTTTCGCAAACATGTTTGGATGAAAAAACTGCTTTGACAATTTGAAAAATCTAAATTTCCCGTCAATTTTCAAGACGCCATCAAACTATTTCATATTCAAATTTTTGGGGCTAAAAACTCCCAATTGCAAAAATTTGAAAATCTTAGCGCCAAAAATGTGAGTGTGAAATGTTTGATGATGTGTCAAAAAATTATCTTCTGAAAATTGAGTCTGAATTTTTTTGTTGATTATTTTTGTCTGAATTTTCCTGTCTGAATTTTCCTGCAAGTGTTCGCTCGGAGGGGTCCCGTTTGACGTACGGGGAGGGGTGTGTGTCATGGTGGGAAGATGATACATGTGAATGAAATACGCACAAAAAAACAAGATTTATTGTTAGACTTATTGACAACTCGAGATCGAGTTGTGAGTGATTTCTGAAATAAAGTGAGGTTCTTTTAATGAAACAAATTAAAAGAAACTTACTCGGACATTTTCTGATTTTTTACGGCGATATCAGTACAGGCTTCGGCATACAGCAACGTTCCGATTGATCCTTGGACGATGGGGACAATTTTCCCTTTGTAATTTTTGTTTGATTTTCTGAAATATTATTCAAAATATGTCTCATGAAAATATTTGAATAAAAACTTACAGAAATATCGCATACTATCGAATTGAAAGTATAGAATAGAATTCACTAGCATTTTTAATTTAAAAGCACGAGTACTGTAGTCTAGATACAGTTTTTTCTAATAATTTTTATTCATAATAAAGTTATTGCTATAATAAATGGTTCATGATAAATAAATGGAATATATAAGAAATAAAAATACAAGATTTTTATATAGTGCACAGTGTGATAAGATTACAAAAAAATACATATCAATAAACATTGATTTGTATGTCGATATCACAACTGATAATTTAATATTGAAGATTACTGAAGTTCAGATACAGTACTAATTTTTCTAAAGATTGAGGTAATGAAAAAACACAATTTTGGGGTTCAATACAATTTCCGAAATTCGGCACAAATCTTATATACTTTTCTGGTGATGTTAGCCATTTGATTAAATTTTTTGCAAGCTGAAAAACATGTTGCTGAATTTTGTTCAAAAATTCGTTTTCATTTCACTAACCTTCAAAACCAATCACATAGAGCTAGATATTCGAAGCAAGAGTACTGTAGTGTAGATACAGTATTATAAATCTGAAAATGGTAAGACTTGAGAATGAAATAAAACTAGAAAAAATTGACTTACTGTAAAAATATTGATCTTCATTTTTTATTCATTATTCCATGTTTCATTAATTCTTTATTTTCAGGTTTTCCGCTTGTTGTTTGTCTAACTTCAAAGTTTCCAAGGGTATCGCAGAATTTGATCTCATCTCCTCTAGTTTTTTTCTGAAAACTTCAGAAATTTGTAAGCAGTAAATTAAAACTCATTAAGAATATTTTTTTCGAAATTCACATCAAAACTTCTAAAATTTCACTTATTTTCATTCGAAAAATTCAAAATTAAACAAAAATTGGGTCAGCTGATGATAAAATTCCCGAAATCCCTAAATTTGAGTGGTTTTTTCCCCAAAAACCCAACCAAAAAACTTACCAAAATTCAAAAATATTTCCGTTCCGTTGATTATTGGGCGTTCAGACCTTGATAATATCCAAATTTGTATTTAGGAAGCTAGTAGTACTGTAGTATAGATACAGTAATATGACCCTGAAAAAAAATTTTATAAAAAATAATATGAGGATGGAAAGTGGGAGCTTTTATTTTGTGTTGTGTAACATTTGATAAAAGACACAAAGGCAATAATGATTTGGGAGACCGTGTAAAAATAAACAATGGTTTGAAGTTATGACAAGTTCTATTTTTTGAAAACCGCAAAAATTCTAGCCCCATACAAACACACACAAAACATAGTGCTAGCCTTTTCCGTTTTATTGTCTGCCGTTAAATTTCTTACCGAAATTTTTTGTCTGCGTCTCCGATTAATCATGTTCTGACATGACTCTTCCTTGATGTGTTGTTGCACCTTTTCAATCGATATTCAAAGCAAGAGTACTGTAGTTTACATACAGTAATATGAATCTGAAAAAAAGGAAAATTTGAAAATGAAAATAAAAATAAAATTCTCGAAATTTCAACTTGCTTTGAAAATATTGATTATCCACATTAATTGAATTACGGTTGATAACAATTTTTTTTTTCTGAAAAAAAAATTGAATTTGAGTTTTTGAAATGCCGTTAAATATTTCGAAACTCACAAAAAAAAGTTCTTTACATATTTGAAAGGTTCGAAGAAAGAGTACTGTAGTTCAGATACAGTAATACAGTTCTGAAAATGGTATAACTTAAACATGAATACTATAGGAAAAATTTTAATTACTGTGAAAATATTGATTTTTTGTTTGTGGTTGTGGCGATCTGAAAATTCAAACATTTTCAATGTCGAGAAAAAATTGACACCAAATTTAAAAATTATTTTTGAAAAAAATCTCAAAATTCACGAATTTCATAAATTTTTTCACCCAAAACCTAGCCAAAACACTTACGTATTCCCAAAAATTTGACAAGTTTTTTTCTTGATTCCATTTGTAATTTTGTGAAGCAATAGTACTGTAGTTTAGATACAGTAAAATGAATCTGAAAATGGTATAATTTGACAATGAAACCTATAGGAATCAAATTTCACTTACCGTGAAAATATTGATGCGAATTTCGTCGTTTGGAATGTTGAGATCTTTTTTTGAATGAAAAATAGTTGTTGATAAAAGAGTACTGTAGTCTAGATACAGTAGTTTTTTGATAACATTTTGCTAGGAATCCAGATTTTGTTGAAATTCATCTGAAAAATCAGAATTGCTTGTTGATTCACAGAATTTTAGGGCACAAAATTTGAGAAAATACCGATCCTCACCGAATTTCTCGAGCGTTTTGCGCGAGTGTAGACCACAAGCTTCCGCGTGTAGACTGCAAGCTTCCGCGTGTAGACCGCAAGCTTCCGCATGTAGACCGCAAGCTTCCGCGTGGTCTACATATTCCAAATAACACCCAGACATCCTAAAAAATAAACATTGTTTATCCAAAAAAAAAAGAAAAAAAGAAGAAAAACACATCTGGTTGACCTAACTCCGCCTTCTAAAATATGCATACTCACAAAAAAAAGAAACAAAAAACAAATTTTCTTTTATTTTTTACAATGTAGAATAATAAAATAATCCAACAAAAAAAAAAGAAACAAAATCAAATGTATTGATTTTTCTTGGGCGCCGTTCTTGGCGTCCTTCCCCCTTTTTTTCTTCGAGAAGTTTCTTTTTCCAAGCGATACCCGTTTTTTGACTACTGTAGCTCCTTTAGCACCAAATTTTCTTCTCATTTTTTGCTGTTCCTAAATTATTTTCTCCGTTTTTTTGACTAGTTTTCAAGGAAATTTCTGAATACTGTTTTTTTTTAATTTGATTACTGTAGATCCTTTAACACATGTTTTGCTGATCAAATCAATATTTCATTTCCATTTTTTTGCAGATCAATTTACTGTATCTAAACTACAGTACTATGGATTAAAGGAACAGTTCGAATTCAAAAAATATTGGACAGGTAAGTAGGGGTTTTTCATATGAAAAATATGGTTATCCGGAAAAAATACCGTATACATGTTGAATGTGTATTTGAGAACAGGAAAATATGATTTTTATCAGATGTCAATGTTTTTGAAATCAAAAACTGCTCCTTACTTTTTTAATTTCAACCAACTTTTCAGTATTTTGAATTTTGACAAAATTTAAAATAAAAAGAAAGTTTCAAAAAATGTACCAACCCTCAAAATGATTTTTTTCCAGAGAAAATCGAATTCAGCAAACAGTTCTGGGCAAGAATATTATGTAGTGGAGTATTCACAAAAAAAATTCACCACCACGAAATTAAAGTTAGAAAGTTCAGAGTTAGATATGGAAATGGGCCCAAAAAATTTCCCAGGTATTTTTTCAATTTAATATTTTTCAACAACAAAATTGCATTTTTCAGATTTAATATACTGTATCTAAACTACAGTACTATGGATTTCAAGATTTGAAAAATAAATATAAACATTTACTACCACGAGATCGAAGTGAAAAAGTGCATTATTCGCTATGGAACCCGAATCAATACTTCCCAGGTATTTTTTCAATTTAATATTTTTGAAATACAAAATTGCATATTTCAGATTTCATATACTGTTTCTAAACTACAGTAATCATATATTGACTGAACAAAAACCGACCGATCGAATTGAGAAAAATTTTTTCTATCGTTCGGGACTTCTCACTTCATCGGAAAAAAAGAAATCAAAGGTTAGTTTTTTTTTCGAAATGTTCTAGATTTTGAAAAAATGTAGTCAGATTTCAAAAATTATGTTAGCTTTTTTGTTTCAAAACCTGAAATTGTAATATTTCAAAGTATCAACCAATATTTCAGTATTTAAGAAATCAAAATTAATCACAGTAAAAAAAATTTCCCAACCCTCAAAATTTTTTTTCCAGAAAATGTCAACACCCAAAAACTATAGTAGCCAGAAGAACATGAGATTATTGGTGCAATATTTCACAGGTACTTTTTCAATTTAATATTTTTCAACAACAAAATTGCATATTTCAGATTTTATACACTGTATTTAAACTACAGTACTATGGATTTCAAGATTTGAAAAATAAATATAACCATTCTATCGAGGTCAAAACGTCCAGATTTTGATATGGCAGTTAAATCAAAAAATGTCCCAGGTATATTTTCAATTTAATATTTTTCAACAACAAAATTGCATATTTCAGAGTTTATATACTGTATCTAAACTACAGTAATCATATATTGACTGAACAAAAGCCGACCGATCGAATTGATAGAAATTTTGTCTATCGTTTGGGACTTCTCACTTCATCGGAGAAAAAGAAAAATAAAAGGGTTGGTTTTTTTTCGAAATTTTCAAGATTCTGAAAATTGTAGTCAGATTTCAAAAAATTATGTTAGCTTTTTTGTTTCAAAACCTGAAATTATAATATTTCAAAGTATCAACCAATATTTCAGTATTTCAGAAATCAAAATTAATCACAGTTAAAAAAAATTTCCCAACCCTCAAAATGATTTTTTTTTCAGATCAAACCTAATTCAACAAGCAGTTCTCGATCAGAATATTATGTGATGGAGTATTCACCAAAAAACATTCACGACCACGAAATTAAAGTTAGAAAGTTCAGAGTTAGATATCGAAATGGGCCCAAAAAATTTCCCAGGTATTTTTTTCAATTTAATATTTTTCAACAATAAAATTCCATATTTCAGAGTTTATATACTGTATCTAGACTACAGTACTATGGATTTCAAGATTTGAAAAATAAATATAAACATTTACTACCACGAGATCGAAGTGAAAAAGTGCATTATTCGCTATGGAACCCGAATCAATACTTCCCAGGTATTTTTTCAATTTAATATTTTTTGAAATACAAAATTGCATATTTCAGATTTCATATACTGTTTCTAAACTACAGTAATCATATATTGATTGAACAAAAACCGACCGATCGAATTGATAGAAATTTTGTCTATCGTTTGGGACTTCTCACTTCATCGGAGAAAAAGAAAAATAAAAAGGTTGGTTTTTTTTCGAAATTTTCAAAATTCTGAAAATTGTAGTCAGATTTTAATTACAGAAATCAGTAGTTTTCCTCTCGAAAAAAGTGTTTGGGAGATTATCGATTATGAAATTTGGAAAAAGGTCAGTCTTGTCACTGAAAATTGATATTTGAATTCAAATTCTAAATTTTTGTAGATCGAATCACAGTTCAGAATGTGCGCATTTCACTACTGTATCTAAACTACAGTACTCTTCACATCATTAGAAATCATTGGACTAATTCGCGGAAGGCTAGATACATTTTCATGCAGGATTTTGAAATTTTATTTGAAATAAAAAAAAGTCAATTTGGTCCAATCAATATTTTCACACTTTTTTCTTTCGAAAACTCAGAATTTTTTGTTTTGGGAGAAGCTTTGTTGATTGATTTACAACTTTTCGAACAAAGAAAAGTTGAGAATCGTAAATTTTCTTCGCGCGAAAAATTTAGGATCTTTTGTTGCTGAGGGACCAAGTTTCCAGCTTATTATTTTTTTACAGAAAAAAATTGTAAAAATCTCAGCTTTTCCACCAAGAACGGTCAAAATACTATCATTAAAAAATTAGAGAAAATATAAGGCAAGCGAGAGAGACGCAGACACTCTCTGTTGTTTTTTTGGCAAGCAGCGAGTGTCTGCGTCTCTTCTATTTTGTGTTGTCTTTTTTTCTACGATTCTTGGCGCGTTTTGAGCTTTTTGGGTGTGAAAATATACTAATTGTTATATAGAAAAAAATTTGAATGAATAAAATTTCAAATTTATTTTCGAAATTCGAAAAACCAGAAGCAAGCTGATTTTTTTCCAACAAAACATATTCAAAATATGATTTTTTTTAGAAATGTTTTCTAATTAACATGATTAATATCACTATTTTTTACAATTTTCTTCCAAAATGCAACAATTTTTATCATTTCCAAACAATCTCCTTCAAAAAAAATTCAAAAAAAAAATTCTGAAAATTTTTTCTCCCAAGCCAAAAGACAATTTTGCTTTTGACAAAATTTTTTCTAAAATCCCGTAAACTCAATCATTTTCCAAGATCTTTTTTGGAAAAAATTCAGAAATTTCAAGAATACAGATTGGGAAAACAAAAAACCCAATTATGTTTCGAAAAACCCCGGAAAAATATAATTATTGGTTTTTTCGTCATGATTTTTCTCTCCTCGTAAATCGAAAAGAGGAGACAAAAAATAGTGTGTGTTTTGAGGAGAGTGAGAGACATAAAAGTGAGCGATTAGAGTGTGTTTGCTTGCTTAACTGGGCTGTATTTTTGTTAGATTTTGTCCAAAAATTGAGGTCTAGTGGAATTTTAACACTTTGTAAAAATATGAAATTTTGATTGATCTCTAATTTCAATAATTACTTTCGTATCTCTCAAATTCAGATTTCAGCTTAAAACTTCTCTTGTCTGAAAAAAAGAGAAGTGAGAGAAACAATTTATCAAAGTGCATGTGAAAATCTGCAGAGGATTAGAGAAAAATAGCCAAAGCTGAAAAAGGGCGGAGCATAAAATGTGCTGCAAAATCTCTCATTTCTTCAGGTGAAGCTGCTTTATTTTTTTTTCAAGTTTTTTTTGTTGGAAAATATTTTTGAGGTAGATTTTTAGATGCTTTTTTGATTTTAGCAACCTAAACTAATTTTTAATATTTTAAAATTGATATTTTCTAGAAAAAAATAGGTTGCCATGGAAAAATTGAAATCTTCTGAGACGCAGACAACGAGAGTGTTACTATGAAGTTTTATTGATCCTTTTTCGAATTTTCTAAATTTGAATCCTTAATTTTAGATTTCAAATGTCAAATTCTTTCAGAAAATGTCATCGTCATTCTTCACAGCTGGTTCAAAAATTTTCAGCGAACTTTGGGGCAATATCTATCTTGCTGAAATCAAAACAGTCAATAACGAAAATCCTAGAGATCCTATCTACACAATCCACTACTTGACATGGGATGAATCACTTGATGAAACTGTAAAGCACAGTGAAAGCACTTGTAAAATCGCCAAATCAAGTCTAGATGCGCTAGATGAAGCAAGACAATTAATAATGCAAAGTTCTATAACAGAGCATAGCTCATCAGAGGCGAAAGAAAGATGTTCAGCGGTTTATTTGAGACCTCCTTCACCAGAAGTTCAGTTACTTCTCCTCAGACATGAAATGAAAATGCTCAGAGAGATATATGATGCAGATTTTCATGCGAAATTCGATGAATTGAACCCATTTACGGAGGAAAATCAGAAAAAATTGCTTGGAAATTACACTTTCGAACATTACATGGCGAATTTGAATAAACCAGTAATCCCGAAACCTGTTAATGAGGAACTGAAGAACAAACCGATTGATGAATGGACTTTTGAAGATTTGTATGGGGAATTCTTGTGAAATGAGAAATGAGGTAGGCTTTTGTTTTTTTTTGGAGTTAACAATGAAAAATTGTGAATTTCAGAATCTTCTGTCAAAAATATGCTAATCTACTACATATCAATCAATACTTTCATAATTATTTTTAATTTAAATTATTTTTTCAATCAATAAATAAATTTTGTGGGATCAGATTAATCTACTTTTGTTTGGAATTTAAAAATTTCTAAATCTGAAATTCCGTGCTGAAATCATTTCAAAGGAACATACATATGTTTTTCCCAAAAAAATCCTCTGCAGTTTCTGAATCAGGAACTAACTCAAAAAAATTTTAAAAAAATTTAGCGCCAAGAGAGAGAGAGAGTGTGTTGCACACGGAGACGCAGAGAAACACATTTTTTTCTATCGAAAGCTTTTCTAATGCCCAGGCTGAAACAGACCAAAAAACTAGAATTTTCAAATTTTCCATCATGAAAATCTTGGGCTGCAAGAAACTGCAATCAAATTATCGATTTTTGAGAAATTTGACAAGATTTTGGACTTATTTTTTTGAAGTGCCATGAAAATCGATTGATTTGAATCAATTTGTATTCAAAAGTGTATCTCCTAGTTTATTGAAACACAGCTCCAAACTACTGTACATCTGGTTTTTACACGGTGTTTCACTGTTTTTTTTTTCGAACTTTGAAAATTTCATAATAAGAATGAGAGAGAGAGAGAGAGAGCAGAAATGAGAGACGCAGAGAAAAAAAATTTACCTGATGAATTTCGTTGAATCTCACTTCGAATCTCTTGATGTTCTTCTTGCAATCGCAAATTCTGCTCGACACCGTGAACTATCAAAAATCCTTGCCAGCTTGTTTTTTCTTCAATGAATCCTTGAAGTGCTGCAAAAATATCAATTAACCAATGGCAAAATCCGAACAAAAATATCAAAAAAAAAAATTACCTGATAAGCCAAGCTTTGTCGAGTTACTCCAAGTCCACTCAAACAAGAAGAAAAAATGGCATGTGCGATGAGAGAGTAGGAGAAATAGCGAGACGCAGACAGCCAGCGCATGGTACAACCAAAAAGAGTTGTTGTTCCCTACAGTGTAGTTGTAGGGAAGAGGAGAAAAGAGACAGAGACATTTATCCAAATTGTTGTGTATATGGTTGACCTGACCCCGGAGGAGTTTATTGATTTTTTTTGCAGGTGTTTTTTGTTGTGATAGTCTTTTGATTCTTTTTTGATTGTAGATTCTAGGGTTTATGCTCAATGAGCATTGCTCATGAATCCCCATAGGCCTTCTGAAACCCCCATAGGCCTACTGAATCCCCCATAGGTCTTCTGAATCCTCCATGTGCCTTCTGAATCCTTTTCATATCTTCCCTCTCTTCATCCAAAAAAACAAAATTCAAACCGCCGCCGCACTCTCCTCATTTGAATTGCCGCCGCTGCGGTCTTCCCCTCGAGACCCAAGCCACGCCCACTCCCCTACAAATTATTTTTCTCTCTCCTAAAATCACTTCTTTTTCTCATTTTCTCTCATTTTCGCTCATTTTTGTTGGTTTTTTTTGCTTTTGCTTTTGCTTTTCGTTGTTTCTTTCATAAATTTGTAATTTAATAATTGTTTTGCAGCTCCGTCTTCGATTTCTCCTGTTTTTTGCCACCGGAGAAGACAGCCGCCTCGCCATCAAAGGAGACAAAGGTTAGTTTATTTTCTTTGGGAGTTAGGAAAAATTAAAAAATGTCTTTAAACTTTTGTTAAATGCTTTCGAATTTGAACTTGTTGTTCGCGAAAAGATCAGTTTTATACGAAAATTCAAATGATATTTAGAAATTTTGAATTATCTGAACAATATTGATTTTCGAAACATTTCGAAATGTTTCGAAAATCACTTTTTGGGAGATGTGAGTCTTGATTTGTCTTTAAAACGCATTTTAGTGTTCAGAAATGTCATTTCAAGCTCTTTCAATGCATTTAAAATACAAATCAAGCCTCACATCTTCTAAAAAAATGAAATTATTAATTTTCGAATATTTTCGAAACATCAAAAATTTGCTTTTGAAGTCTTGATTTGTCTTTTAGACCCACTGAAAGAGCTTGGGATGTCATTTCTAAACACTATTCTAAAAGATCTATATAGTTTTACCAGATTTTCAAATATTAGCCAGAATATATTTTTTTTTCAAATATAACTACAAACATATTTTCAGAATTCACGAAATCGAACAAGAATTGATCCAAAAACAAGACATCGATTTGTTTGTGACTTTTACGAATTTCGAGCTAATTCAACTTCATGTTGCCAAAATTGGTTGGAGCGAATGCTCAAAAATTGGACATGGAAATGGTGGATCGAATTGGATGGGCGGCCATTAATCATATCAATCAATTTGAAAATTTATTGTTGGACAGTGAAAGAACTAGAAGAGGAAAACGAATGATAATGGAATATGAGCGAACTTTCACGGATCTTGATGAACAACAGGAAAAATTGAAAAAGTCCAACAAATTGTGAGTTTTGAAATTTAGAAATAGTTTAACTTTATGTTTTCCCCCCCCCCCCCCCATAGGCCTTCTGAATCCTCCATGTGTATTCTGAATCCTTCATGTGTCTTCTGAATCATTCTCATATCTTCCCTCTCTTCATCCAAAAAAAAACAAAATTCAAACCGCCGCCGCACTCTCCCGATTTGAATTGCCGCCGATGCGGTCTTCCCCTCGAGACACAAGCCACGCCCACTCCCCTACAAATTATTTTTCTCTCTCCTAAAATCACTTCTCTTTTTCATTTTCTCTCATTTTCGCTCATTTTTTGTTGGTTTTTTTGCTTCTTCTTTTGCTTTTCGTTGTTTCTTTTATGAATTTGTAATTTATAAATTGTTTTGCAGCTCTTCTTCGCCTGCTCCGATCGTGTTATGTTCAACATGCCACCCAAGAAGGTCAACAACACCAATGCCGCCGCCAAGTCAAAGGAGTCCAAGGTTAGTTTATTTTCTTTGGGAGTTAGGAAAAATTAAAAAATGTCTTTGAACTGATATTTAGAAATTTTGAATTATCTGAACAATATTCATTTTCGAAACATTTCGAAATGTTTCGAAAATCACTTTTTGGGAGATGTGAGTCTTGATTTGTTTTTTGAACGCATTTCAGTGTTTAGAAATGGCATCCCAAGTTCTTTCAATGAGTCTAAAAAACAATACAAGACTTTAAATTCAAGTTGTTGATTTTCGAAATGTTTCGAATATTTTTGAAATGTTTCGAAAATCACCACTTTCATTATTTGGAAAGATGTGAGTCTTGATTTGTCTGTAAAACGCATTTTAGTGTTCAGAAATGTCATTTCAAGCTCTTTCAATGCATTTAAAATACAAATCAAGCCTCACATCTTCTAAAAAATGAAATTATTAATTTTCGAATATTTTCGAAACATTTCGAAAATCAACAATTTGATTCTGAAGGCCTGATTTGTCTTTTAGACCCACTGAAAAACCTTGGGATGTCATTTCTAAACACTATTCTAAAAGATCTAGATAGTTTTACCAGATTTTCAAACATTAGCCAGAATATATTTTTTTTTCAAATATAACTACAAACATATTTTCAGAATTCACGAAATCAAACAAGAATTGATCCAAAAACAAGTAATCGATTATAATGTGACTTTTCCGAATTTCGAGCTAATTCAACTTCGTGTTGCCAAAATTGGTTGAAGCGAATGCTCAAAAATTGGACATGGAAATGGTGGATCGAATCGGATGGGCGGCCATTAATCATATCAATCAATATAAAACTGCATTGTTGGAAAGTGAAAAAACTAGAAGAGGAAAACGAATGATAATGGAATATGAGCGAACTTTCTCTGATCTTGATGAAGAAAAGAAACAACAGGAAAAATTGAAAAAGTCCAACAAATTGTGAGTTTTGAAATTTAGAAATAGTTTAACTTTATGTTTTTTTTCCTCCCCCATAGGCCTTCTGAATCCCCATAAGCCTTCTGAATCCTCCATGGGCCTTCTGAATCCTCCATGTGTATTCTGAATCGTTCATGTGTCTTCCTCCTCATATCTTCCCTCTCTTCATCCAAAAAAAAAAACAAAATTCAAACCGCCGCCGCACTCTCCCCCATTTGAATTGCCGCCGCTGCGGTCTTCCCCTCGAGACACAAGCCACGCCCACTCCCCTACAAATTATTTTTCTCTCTCCTAAAATCACTTCTCTTTTTCATTTTCTCTCATTTTCTCTCATTTTTGTTGGTTTTTTTTGCTTCTTCTTTTGCTTTTCGTTGTTTCTTTTATAAATTTGTAATTTAATAATTGTTTTGCAGCTCCGCTTCGATTTATCCTGTTTTTGCCACCAAAAAAATGCCGCCAAAGAAGACAGCCGCCCCGCCATCAAAGGAGCCCAAGGTTAGTTTATTTTCTTTGGGAATTAGGAAAAATTAAAAAATGTCTTTGAACTTTTTAATTCAAATGATATTTAGAAATTTTGAACTATCTGAACAATATTGATTTTCGAAACATTTCGAAATGTTTCGAAAATCACTGTTTGGGAGATGTGAGTCTTGATTTGTTTTTTGAACGCATTTCAGTGTTTAGAAATGGCATCCCAAGCTTTTTCAATGAGTCTAAAAGACAAATCAAGACTTTAAACTCAAGTTGTTGATTTTCGAAATGTTTCGAATATTTTCGAAATGTTTCGAAAATCGCCACTTTCATTATTTGTAAAGATGTGAGGCTTGATTTGTCTTTAAAATGCATTTTAATGTTCAGAAATGTCATTTCAAGCTCTTTCAATGCATTTAAAATACAAATCAAGCCTCACATCTTCTAAAAAATGAAATTATTGATTTTCGAATATTTTCGAAACATTTCGAAAATCAAAAATTTGCTTTTGAAGTCTTGATTTGTCTTTTAGACCAACTGAAAGACCTTGGGATGTCATTTCTAAACACTATTCTAAAAGATCTAGGTAATTTTACCAGATTTTCAAATATTAGCCAGAATATATTTTTTTTTCAAATATAACTACAAACATATTTTCAGAATCCACGAAATCGAACAAGAATTGATCCAAAAACAAGTAATCAATGATAATGTGACTTTTCCGAATTTCGAGCTAATTCAACTTCGTGTTGCCAAAATTGGTTGAAGCGAATGCTCAAAAATTGGACATGGAAATGGTGGATCGAATTGGATGGGCGGCCATTAATCATATCAATCAATTTGAAAATTTATTGTTGGACAGTGAAAGAACTAGAAGAGGAAAACGAATGATAATGGAATATGAGCGAACTTTGACGGATCTTGATGAAGAAAAGAAACAACAGGAAAAATTGAAAAAGGTTAGTTTATTTTCTTTGGGAGTTAGGAAAAATTAAAAAATGTCTTTGAACTTTTTAATTCAAATGATATCTAGAAATTTTGAATTATCTGAACAATATTGATTTTCGAAACATTTCGAAATGTTTCGAAAATCACTTTTTGGGAGATGTGAGTCTTGATTTGACTTTTGAACGCATTTCAGTGTTCAGAAATGTCATTTCAAGCTCTTTCAATGCATTTAAAATACAAATCAAGCCTCAAAATTGAATAGATGATTTTCGAAAAGTTTCGAAACATTTCGAAAATCAAAAATTTGCTTTTGAAGTCTTGATTTGTTTTTTAGACCCACTGAAAGAGCTTGGGATGTCATTTCTAAACACTAAAATACGGGTTAGTGTCCAGAAATTCTATTTGGTCATTTTCGAAACATTTCGAAAATGACCACGTGTTTTAGTGTTTAGCATCACGGCATCTTATCCTTATTATTTCTCTACGTTTTTTCAGAAAATATTGGGAAAATGGTGCTGACAAGAAGCAGATCGAGAGCAACAGAAGTCGAAGCAACATCAGAAAGCCGTGCAAGTCGAAGCCGCGCAAAATCCATGACCAAGGCACAATTAACGACGAGGAAGAGAACGAAAAGTATTGCGCCAGCTCCACAGAAACGTTAGAAGGTGAATTTTAACAAATCAATTTCAAGCTTCATAAAAATAATTCATCTGAAACTCACAATCAGTTTGAAAAATTCAATGAGCTTTCGCCATTTTCATAGACTTTAGAAAAAATCAGTTTGATTTGTAACTAAATTGAATTTTGAAACCAAATTTTATAAGGAAATAAATTTAAATTTGAATTCCAGGTTGCCTCGACTTCTCCACCAGTTATTCCGGCTCAAGTTCGTCCACAACATTTGACAAAATGAAGAACGAGATCCAAAACACCGGGGGCTTCAACTCGACCAGCTTTGAAACAATTAACTGCTCCAAGATCAAACGCAGGAAAATCGGTCAGCTTCCAGTGAAATTAGGATCGGATGAAAATTCAAATGCGATGGTCAGTTTAGTTTTCATTTCTATATTTTTGTGGAAAATTAGAAGTTCTGAAAATATTTCCGGCTTGTCAGAGAAAAATCAATTGAAAATTTATGGTTTCAAAAAATTTGATAATTATAATAACTTATTTGTTGATTTTCGAAATGTTTCGAATATTTTCGAAATGTTTCGAAAATTACCACTTTCATTTTTGGGAAGATGTGAGTCTTGATTTGTCTTTTAGACCCACTGAAAGAGCTTGAGATGTCATTTCTAAACACTAAAATACGTGTTAGTGTCCAGAAATTCTATTTGGTCATTTTCGAAACATTTCGAAAATGACCACGTGTTTTAGTGTTTAGAAATGACATTCCAAGCTTATTCAATGAGTCTAAAAAACAAATCACGACTTCAGAATCAAATTGTTGATTTTCGAAACTTTTCGAAAAGTTTCGAAACATTTAAAATTTCAGGCCCCAACCGAATATTTTGTCGAATGATGATAGTTTGCAAAGAATTACGCGATCGAGATCCAAAAGCGTGATTCCATCAGGACTTCTTTCAACTCCAAAAACAGCTCAAGCAGCACCAGGAAAAACGAATGATGGTTCTTCTCAGAGATTCAAAAAATCCATATCCAGAATTGTCGTTCAGCCACCTGGAGAAGCAAGAAAATTGGAACAGTTGCGAAAAGAAGTGGTCAGTTTTTTTGTGAACAATATTTCTCTTTTGAAAACTTTTCCTGAATTTCTGTTACTCAAAAATTGTTAGGTCAAAGAGTAAATATAAAAATATCAAAAAAAATTTCAAAATCAAATTACAATTTTTTTCAGGACAATCTCAACAAAAAGAGATATAATGTTGGAACGAAAGAATGGATCAATAAGTTCAAAAAAGTTATGCCACTATTCCTGGATCCAACTAAAAATGAAGTTGAGTATGTGAAGCTCGAGAAAATATTGATAAGAAAAGGAGGATCGGAAACATATGTATGATGAGATCTACATAGTCAAGGAGAAAACTGGTTCGGGAATCGAAATTCCCGATTCCACATGTGGGATTTGCGTTACCACACAAGAAACTGAGAGTATGAAATTGGGAGATTTTGCAAAGGAGATGATGAAGAAAAAGGGTCGACCTTGAATGCAATCAGTCTAGAAATCACGAATTTGCCACAGTACGTTTTTATTTTCAATCAAAAATGCTTCTGAAGCCTTCTGAAACCTTCTGAAGCCTTTTGAAGCCTTCTGAAGCCTCTGAAGCTATTTGAAGCTTTCGGAACCCTTTCGAATCACAAAAAATGCTTCTGGAAGACTTCCGGCGAACTCTGAAGCCTCTGAAGCCTCCAAAATCCTTCTCAAGCAGAAAAAATGTTTTTGAAAAATAAATCAGATTTCAAAAACAAAAGAGAATTCAAAAAAAATTTTACAGGCTAAATTCAAAGTTCGAGCAACGAAAAATAGTAAGACAGATGTCAATGACTCAAAAATTGATCGACATTGGCCAACTTGCAAAAAATCTTCATCCGACTGTTAGAAACTACTTGTTGGCAAATTCTTACACGAATTCACATTTCGATTTTGGTGGAAGCAATGTCTTCTACGCACATCGTTGCCGGCAAAAAAGTCTTCCTTGCCGCACGACCAGAGGTTGGATTCATTCAGTGTTCACGCCAGAGGGTATAACGTTTTCGGCGGTAATTATCTATCGCTTAACAAAATCAATATCCATCTTCGGTTAGTTTTTTCAACGCCAATTTTGGGGTATTTTTTCAAGCTCTCTACATAGATTTATTTCTTGATAGAAGTTTTTAATGAGGAAATTTCTGGAATTTAAGCTAGGGGTTCACCTAAGCCTCCTGGAAAAACTCAACCTGATTTTCAAGAACTTCTAGAAATTTTTACACTGATTTTCGAATTTTAAGATTTTTCATTTCAAGTTAGCATAACCTCTAGAAAAAATCCAGGGGTTCACGAAATAAAGTTGATCTTCTAGAATTGTTCTAAAAGATCTAGGTAGTTTTACCAGATTTTCAAATATTAGCCATAATATATTTTTTTCAAATACATATTTTCAGAATCCACGAAATCAAACAAGAATTGATCCAAAAACAAGACATCGATTTGTATGTGACTTTTACGAATTTCGAGCTAATTCAACTTTGTGTTGCCAAAATTGGTTGAAGCGAATGCTCAAAAAATTGGACATGGAAATGGTGGATCGAATTGGATGGGCGGCCATTAATCATATCAAAACAGTGAGTTGGTTTTGGGGCTCAAAAATATTCCTTATGTCTAGAACTTGTCCCGGCACTTCTGAAAACCGTTCAGGGCTCGGGAGATTTCTAGAAATTCTAGAATTTTTTCCAGACTTTCTAAACACTCTGAGCACATTTAGAATTTCTTTCTGAAGAGTTCAGGGGGGCTCGTAAGAACCTCAAGACGTGTGTGTGCTGAAGCCTGTAAAAACTTCAAGATCCAGTCTTCTGAGGCTTTCTGGGCTTCTAATAACCTAGATCGTCGAATATTTTTTTTTCCTGTTCGTCCTCGGAAATCCGTCGCCGTGGAAAATCTTGTGTCCCATCTGCATCATCCGAATAAGCTCTCACTTCTGAATCATCGTATCTTTGTTGTCCCTTTTGGAATTCTCTCTTTTTTTTGTAGAACCTGTTGATCATTTCTCCTAAATTTTTGTATAATTTTTACATCTTGTTTACTAAGGCCCTAGGTATTTTATTTATCTTTCAATTTTCCAAGCCCCCATTTTTTTAATAACATCCACACTTTTTATAATAATCTGAAGAAAATTCAGAGCTTATTTCGAAGGTAATCAATATCTCTTTAACTTTTCAATTGTTTTACAATTGTATCATTTTTTTACTGGTTTACCGGTTTTTATAAGGTCTACCGGTGAAATGTTAAATTTTATTTGTTTTTTTATGTTCTATGCTATAAATGAACCCTTTGTTTTTCGAACAAGTTTTTGTTTTGTTAAAAAATTAATTTCTAAATCTGAAATTTCGTGCTGAAAATCATTCAAGCCTTTCGAAGGAACATATATTTTCCCAAAAAAAAAATCATTTGCAGTTTTTGAATCAGGAAAATCAAAAAATTTTCTGGCGCCAAAAAATAATTATTTTATTTTTATCAAAAGCTTATGAAAAATTAACATTTTGCACAGTTATTGGATTTTTAAAACCAGATAGAATTTGCTTGATCTTCTCCTGGTAAAAATATCCAACCCCAGCCGCAGCAATCAGGAGAATCAGGAAAATGTAGATGAATCTGTGGGAGCTTGATGATGATTCCAGATTTTCAATAGGAGAAGGAGAGGGTTTTCTTGATGTTGGCGAAGTGGTTGTAGATGTTGTGGATGTTGTAGAATATAGGGGTTCTGAAGATCAGGCTGTTCACAAAAATGAAAATATTCATCTAACTTACTAGCTGTGACTTTGAGCTTATAAGCTCGATCATCTTCCTTTCTGGCATCATTACTTAAATATATATATATATAAGTACCTGACTTCCACTCTCAAACGTTACTCCCGAAAGTTTCCCAAAATGTCCAGTGAAGTTTCTGATCATATATTTTCGCAGGGAAGTTGAAGGTTTATTGATTTATGGGGGTGGATTGGAAAATTGATCTGGCAATCTTCTTCAACAGGTAAATCATATGTTGTTCCATGATCCAGAACTTGACCAATATGACAATATCTAATGGGTTCTAGAAATAAAAGTAGGAGAAAAAGATGCATAACTATACTGATGATATGAAAATTGTTTATTTTTTTCAGGAAAATTTGTTTGAATCACAAAAAAAATATGTAAACAAAACAAATAAATAATCAAGTTATATAATTAGTTTTTTTTATAAAAAATAAATTTCGATTCAACATATCTTCGGATTCCTCCACCTGGAAGAGGCTCTTCTATAATGGGCCTATGCAGAATAATATTTTGTATAAAAAAACATTTTTTTCCTATGCAGAAAAACGTCGAAAAAACAAAATATACAGTTTATTATTTTGAGTAGAGACAATGTGAAATTGAGAGAGTGCAGACAGTTTTCTGTATTTTTTGTGCGAAAAATCAATTTGTCTGTCTGCACTCTCTCAATTTCACATTGACTCTACTCAAAAATAGTAAACTGTCTATTTTGTTTTTTCGACGTTTTTCTGCATAGGAAAAAATGTTTTTTTATTACAAAATATCATTCTGCATAGGCCCATAAGGTTCTCACGATTTTTTTTTAATTTTCGCAAATTGTATAAATTTTGGAGAACAATAAACTGTGAGACTTTGAAAGTTTTTTTTAAAAGTATAGCTTAAGCCTAGGGAGAAGCCTCCTCTTTGGGATCCCCTTTAAGTCTGAGCAAAAAAAAGTTATGCTCATTTGAAAAAGCATGTACAATCCTCAAAGAATTTTTTTGTGGAAGCTTTTCAAGAACAAGTTTAGATATTTCAAAGTTAAAACAGTGAAACACTGTGTAAAATGGATTGACAGTTCAGATGTCCATTAGTTTGGAGCTGTGTTTCTCTCGCAATTCCAATTTTTATGAAAATTTGTCTTTTTTCACATCAACTTCATTATTATTTTTTTTATTATTTTTTTTGAATTTCTCGCAATTAACTATGCAATCAAGTGTGAGACTAAATAGAAAAATAATATAAAACATCTAGAATTCTCATAGCATTAGTCAAAATGAAACTTATGAAAGTTTTCCTATTTTCATTCGCATTTGTCTTTCTCACAACTTCTGGAATAGTTAGAAGCGGTCAGAAGTACTGTCCAAAAGGACACTACGAGTACGACGATACGACGTATGAAAAAGGCCCTGGTAACATATATTATGCTAAAGTTAATGCCAGATTTGTACCGAATAAGAATTGACGAAAATTTAAAAATCATGTGATTAATAATCATTTGTTGAATAAATAATATGTATAATTTATTTCACAATATTCACAATCAAAAATCAAGACAAAAATAGTCCAATTATTATTTCTTGGCTTCAATTTTATCAGAAAAATTACATATCGAACCAGTGATTTGGAAGAGCAAAGTATACTTGTTATCAAAAATTGTTTTTTGTTCAATTATGAAATATTTTTCAGTTTTATCTAAAAGAACGCGCCAGAAAATCAATAAGAATTCATTAACAGAAAAAAAAATCATTGTCTGATACACTTATTTTGTTGTCGAATACAATTTTCCAAAAAATTTGGTTTCTCAACATTTGGAAGGTTGATTATCCAACCTGTCAGAACTTCACAAATCACTTCATCAATTTTTTGATCACTTCTTATTCTTGGCATGAGTTCTTCAAACTCCTCTAATATTTCTTTGCAAGCCGTTTTTCTTTCTTCAAAATATTTATCAGCATTTTGAAATTCGAGCATTTTTTCGAGAAGAAACACAATTTCACTTGCCAATGGGTAAAATGCGAACTGTTGCGATTTTTCCAGAATTTCTTGAGATTTTCTAGCACACTTTTTCATATTTTCTAGAATTCTTGAGTAATTCGACAAATCTACATCTTTTTTCAATGCTTCCAATCTCACATTTTTCTCGACTTCATTTTGAATCGATAAATTGTGGATTCTTTGCTCAAGTTCAACTAACTTCTCATCAATTTCATGGAATTCCTCAATTTTCTCTCTTTCCATGGATTCTAGACTTATCAAAGTGCGTTTTCTTAAGCGCAATCGTTTCTCTTGCATGGCATTCGCAAAGTTTTCTGTAACTCTTTTCGACCGATTCAAGCTGCAAAATATATTTTTCTATTCAGAATTTTTTTTTTGATTCCGCAAAACTCACCGAGTCATCTAATACCTTTTCCGCACAGTTCATCATATTTAATGTTTCTGCATTCAACGCTTTGACGTTTTCTCTGAAAAAAATGAAAAACATTATTTGGTGTTTTTAAAGGTAGGGTTTAAGATTTCAAGCCTAATCCGCTTCAAGAACATTTTTCAAGGTCTGACAAACTTATTCAAAATTTTCTCCGAAGACTCTTCCACTCTTTGAACGGAAACTCTGAATTCATTCATTTTTCCTGTCAAGACTCGCACCAATTTTATCCTCTACAAAAAATTGCTTTCTTTTTGTTTTGAACAAAAACGTTACTTACCGGATTTTTAAATGGACCAGAAAAGAGAAATGACATTTTATGATAAGACACTCAGTTTATATGTATTTTGGTTTTCATGGGCGAAGATAATTTCTAAAATGAGAAATAGAGAGTGCTAAAGAACTTGACACGCTGATGACAATACATTGGGCAAACTAGCTCCCAAAATTATTGTCATGCTCATCCCGATTACGTGAATTCGAAGATTCATACAAAAAGATTTTTCGAAAACATTTAGAATATGCAAGTTTATTTACGTTCTTAGCAACCCTATGCTATCAGGTTTTCATGAAAATAATTTATGAAGATTGTTTGACCGAAATCGTGATCAACGGATCGGAAACTACTAGAAAACATACATTTCATTGAAAATTCGAAATATTCAAATCAAAAAAGTCTCCGAACAATCAAAAATTAATACAAAAATAGTCCAATTATTTTTTCTTGGCTACAATTTTATCAGAAAAATAACATTTCGAACTCGTGATTTGAAAGGGCAAAGTATACTTGTTATCGAAAATTGTTTTTTGTTCAATGATGAAATATTTTTCAGCTTTAAGAATAATCTAAAAGCATGCGCTAAAAGAAAATTAATAAAAATTCATTAATAGAAAAAAAAATCATTGTCTGTCACACCTATTTTGTTGTCGAATACAATTTTCCAAAAAAAATATATGTAGTTTGATAAAAAATAACAGTGTTAAAAAAAAAGAAATTTTGATTTTCGTTGAAAAAATTTAAAAAAAAAATGAAAATTCAAGTTTTTCGTTCAAAAAATGACTCGTGGCAAAATCAGGAACGGTTTCTAATTTTGCCATGACGTCATCGAACAATTTTTCAAAAAAAAATTTCTTGTTTTTTTTAACAGTGTTAAAAAAAATCTTTAACAGTGTTAAAAAAAAAAGAAATTTTGATTTTCGTTGAAAAAATTTTAAAAAAAATGAAATTCAAGTTTTTCGTTCAAAAAATGACTCGTGGCAAAATCAGGAACGGTTTCTAATTTTGCCATGACGTCATCGAACAATTTTTCAAATAAAAAAATTCCTTGTTTTTTTTAACAGTGTTAAAAAAAAAGGAAATTTTGATTTTCGTTGAAAAAATTTAAAAAAAAAATGAAAATTCAAGTTTTTCGTTCAAAAAATGACTCGTGGCAAAAAGTTTTCCGAATTTCGGTTTTTTTCACAGAAAATTCCATTGTGCAATTTTCCGGAAAATGATTTTTAATAGTAAATAAATTGAGTTTTCATGCAGAAAATGAGCCCAAAAGGGCTCCAAAATAATAAATCAAAATGTTGAAAAATAATTAATTTTTTTTGTCTCCTGCGACAAAAATTATTTTATATGCTAGAAACTAGGTTTTTAGGAAGCGGAAGACTTTATTGAAAAATATGATTTTCAACATTCACATGGAAATAATAAGGAGAGTAAAAAGAAAAGAAAGACACCTGGGAATTTGAATAGAATAACCGTACATAGATTAAAAAAAAACATAAAAATGAAGCATGAAAGTGTGTAGGCCAAATTTGAGAGTTCAAACTCGGATCAGTTGACTACAAAAATTGAGGAAAAATCTCATAGTTTGCCTAGAAAAATTTTTTAAAAGAAGAACCTACATATAAAAATGTGGGGATAAAAATACGATGAATAGAAGGTCGTGTAAATATTTTCAGGTTGATGGAATTCAAGCGATGCGTGAATCCAAAATTTTGAGACAATGACTAAACTACAAAAATGGACACGTGAAAAAATTAAAAATAGAGCAAATCGATTGTGGCGGATGGTGAGAAATGCGCAAAATCGAAACATATTCATGAAGTTGACGATATTTTTCACGAAGATTTGAGAGACAGTCTGAAATTGTTTTTGTAAACATTTTTTTTCCAAAAATAAAACACAAAACTTACTTGAACTTATTTTTTATCGATTGTAACATGCACCTTTAAATCTCCATCGATTACGAAACGTGGATCACGCATCTCAGCAAATTGCAATGCCAAAGCCATTTCTTCAATTTTTTCATCCGAGTATTTTTCTTCGAAAAACGAAAGTTCACCACCATTTGGGAGATTTGGATGTTTGAATCTAGAAATGATAATAATTTGAGGGTTTTTGAAAAACGAACTGAAAACGTTTTTTAGGTTTTCAAGAGCTGAAGAAACGTTTCTTTCTATAATTGAATTGATTTTGCATCAACAAATTTGTACAAACATTTTTGATTTTTCAAAATTAATAAAGTCTCTAACTCACGTGACATCAATTTTAGTCAATTTCAAATCTCCATCGACAATCGAGAGGCTTCTAAGCAGAATGATATCCAGACATATAAGCAACGCTGAATATGTCAATCTACCACTGTGAACTGATCGTTTTATTTGATAACTGGCTCGGTGTCTCGATTTACTGTCATTTGTTTGAATCTCAATCTCATCCATACAATTCTCCAAGTACACATTGGCATTTTCTGGTAGCAATTCCGCATACTTGGCTGACGAGTTCATTATTGATTAATTATACCTGTAAAATATTTGCATTAATCAGATTGTTGATGTTAGAGAAAGAGCAAAAATTGAAGAAAAGTTGTTTTGCCAAAAAAATCGTAGAAAAAAAAATAAAAACAAAGACAACACAACAGAAAAAAACAGTGGATGTAAAGGGGCTATGTGTCTGTCTGTCTGTCTGCGCTCTCTCCAATACACACACACTCTCTCGCCTGTTCGTTTTTTTTTTTTGGTTGTGCGGGAAAAGAGGAGAGAAACAGTTTTTTGTTTTATTTTTTGAGAGAACTGAACAAAATCAAAATAAAATTCGAAAATTATGGAATATTGAGTTCTCATAGAGAAAATGAACATGAAAAATATGAGCAAATTCTCTGAAATTATTACTGAAAACAATTTTGAAAGCTTTTTCGGAAAAATTTTCGAAATTTGTCCAAAATCACTAAGAATTTCTCCGAAAAATTAACAAAATCCATCTGAAAACATCGTTTCTAATCATTCCCAACCAATTTCCTTCAAAAAAAATTTAAATAATTTTTTTTTCAAATTTTTCCCCCAATCCAAGATAAATTTTTTTGCTTTTTCAACGAAAATGTCTAAAATCCCTTAAACTCAACCATTTTCAAAGATCTTTTTTTGGAAAAAATTCAGAATTTTCTGGAATAGAGATTTGAAAAACAAAAAAAGTCTTTGGGGTACATTTTTATTCTGGGAAAAATTAAGAAAACTATTTTTATAAAAAATGCAATAATTCTCGGACCAAGTGGATCAATCGCGTGAAAAAAAGCAAATTTTCTAAAGTGCATGTGCAAATCTGAGAAGGATTAGAGCGTTTTAGCCAAAGCTTAAAAAAGGGCGGAGCACATTTTCTGCTTCAAAATCTTCATTTCTTGAGGTGAAGCTGTTGTTTTGTTGTTTTTTGGGAAATATTTTGAGGTGAGTTTTGAATAATATTTGATTTTGTAAAATATTTTTCTATTGAGCGCATTTGCTCTTTTTGGTGTTCAATTTTTCACTACGGCTTTTGTTAAATGAGAAATTGTGTCATATAGAACGAAAATGGCAAGAAACCAGTTCAAAAAATCAGCCATTCGAAAATTCTGGCAAGAAGGAGCAGGCGGGTAGCGTCTACATGTTCATATTGAGGGTCGCAGGTTCGAGGCCGCCTCGAGACTAATTATTTTTTAACAAGAATAGGACAGAAATAAAAAAAAATGAAAAAAAGTCTTGAGACGGATTCGAACCCGCGACCTTAAAATTGAAGATCTAGCCTCTTACACCACACTATTCGAAATGTTCAATGACTAGAGATAACGTGAAATTGAGAGAGCGTAGACAGAAAAATAAATTATTTTGTCTGTGCTCTATCAATTTCACGTTGTCTCTACCCAAAAAAACTTATCATCAGCGCCTCGAGTTTCTATAAGTCTATATTTCTGATTTAAATCCCTCAAACCCAAAGCCGCTTAAAAGCATCCCAAATTTTTGCAGAAAATGTCATCGCCATTCTTCACAGTTGGTTCAAAAATCTTCAGCAAACTTTGGGGAAACATCTACCTTGCTGAAATCCGAAAAGTCAACAATGACAATCCAAATGATCCCATCTACACAATCCACTATTTAACATGGGATGAAGAACTTGATGAAACAGTGAAGCACAGTGAAAGTGATCGAAAAATAATTGCGTCAAGATTAGATGTGATACGTGAAGCACATCAATTAGTCATGCAATGTTGTATAACAAAAGATAGCCGGCCTGAGCAGAAAGCAATGTGGTCAGCGATTAATATGAGACCTATTCCGAAAGAAGTTTTTTTACTCGCTTTGAGACAGAATGTTGAAAAGATCAGGTGAACATATGGATGGATGAAAAAAAAAATGCTATTCAGGCCTGTGCCGGAAAACGGAAAGTCGAAAAAATTTCCGGATTTTTTGAACCGGAAAATTTCTCAAAGTCTGAAATTTCAATTTCCAGCCTTAAGTTGACACTAAAACTCATTTTTATCTACAATTCTTCTTTTCACAGGTAATTTAGTAACTATTTGAGACGATTTACGTTCAAAAAATAGTAAATTTTGAAAAAAATTTCAAAAATGTCATTTTTTCTATCATAACTCAGAGAAATGGGCTGGAGAACCGGCGGAGAAAACGACCTGTCGGCGAACTTTCGGATAACCGGCGGACAACAGTTTCGACGAAATAGTGTTGGTCAGACATTCCGGCGGTTGTCCGAAAGTTCTCCGACAGGTCGTTTTCTCCGCCGGTTCTCCAGCCCATTTCTCTGAGTAAACTGAGAAAATTTCCCAAAAAAATTGATTTTTCCTTGAAAAAAATTGGAAAATCCGGAAATTCGGAAAATTCAGAAAATTTCCGACACAGGCCTGATGCTAATCAATATTTTTGTCCATTTTATTTGATTTTTGATTTTCAATGAACTTTTTGATACAAATTTCAGATCTACTAATTTCAGATTAGAAAAAAATTGTCAGATTTGGGTTTATTTCAGACTGGAGTGTTTTGCTGAAAATTTTTGCAGTAATTTTCCAAGAGAAAATCTTTTTTTTTGGATTCTGATTTATGTACACTTTCTCAAAAAAAAATCCAAAAACTTTTTTGCTCATTAAAGGAACCTACAGTAATTTTCATCAGGTCTCGCAACGAAATTTGAGTGGGAACAAGTTAATCAATCGCATTGTTAGTTGAATTCAAAATATAAGGTTGTTATTTTCTTTAAGCCAAAATCTACAAATGCGACAAGTTGAAATTGAAATTCTTTTTATTCCAACGTTTCGACGTATAACGTCATCATCAGGGATAATACTGAAAAAATAAAATGGGTTATTTACAATATATAAGTTACAAATTTTTTGAAATAAACTTAAAAAACCAAAAAAATCTCGAAAAAACCAACAAAAAATAAAATAAACCTGCTAAAGTGCGGATAGGCGGAATGTTGTTAGTACTTTAGGAGAATTTTGATTTATTTTTTATTGTGAAATTGAAATTGAAATGAATTTAGATGAGAATTTGTGTTTTTTAGATGTTAGTTGGAAAGAATTTGGTATTTGGATTGTTCCAAGCCTTGTGATCATATCCGAGAGTTCCTCTTTATTGTTTAATGAAGGATTGTGATGTTTTATCAAAACCCCTTCTCTGATCTTCCGAATATTAGTATTGCGTTCGACTTCCAGAATATCAACATCAATCACCAAAGCCTCTCCACCATGTTTTTCCTTAGAATGTTTTGCCCAAACACTCGAACTATAAGACTTAGTCATAGGTTTATTGCAGGCACGTCTGTGTTCCGCAAACCTAGACTCAAAAGGTCGGCCTGTTTCTCCAATATAAAATTCCCCGCAGTCACATGTGATTTTATAAATTACCTATAAGTCATTGTGATGAAAAAACAATTGAAAAAACGCAACAGGTTTTAATTGCACATAGGGATGCTATTAAAAACCAAAGCCAACCAATAGCTGCAATCATATCGCCTGCAAATTATATTCATGAGCTATTGAGAAAAGAAGTTCAAGAACTATTCGGTGGGTTAATTTCAGATCAAGATCTTTTATAAAAGATCCCTCAAATTCTCTAAATCATCATTCTTAAACCTTTGATCACACAAGGTCAAAAGGATGGTCACAAGGAAGATCGATTGCAAAATATTGTGTAGTTATGTTGACAAAAAATACCACCGTTTGATAAAAAGTCAGGTTTTTTACAATGAGAAATAATCTCAAGGACATCTCAAACAATAAATAAAATACAAATTTATAGGTGAAAAAAATTTAATTTACTGATTGTGAAACATCTTTTGATCCCAGAAAAAGTTCCGAAAGGTTCATTTTGTAATAAAAAACACAAAAAATCATATTTTTCCTCTGCATAAAAACATCAGGGCTGATTCACGAACGATAAAAATGTTTTTTTTAACATCAAAAGATAAATTCACGAAAAGTCGAAAAATGTCGAAAAAACATTGTAGGTCAAAAATTAGTTTTTTCGAGTTTTTCATCCAAAAATGATGACAAATCGATTTTTTCAAGCTTCTGGAGTAATTTCTGAATGAAATTGACCTTGGAATTCACTTTCCAGAAGGTTTTGCTGATTCTTCGTAAAATAAAAAATTTGAATTTCGAAAAAAATCATAAAATAAAGCAAAATAGGGTTCTCGAAGTTTATTTTCATCAGAAATTACTCCAGAAGCTTGAAAAATATTGATTTGTCATTATTTTTGGCTGAAAAACTCGAAAAACTAATTTTGATCTACAATGTTTTTTCGACATTTTTTCACTTTTCGTGAATTGATCGTTCAATGTTAAAAAAAAAAACATTTTTAACATTCTTTACGTCAGCCCTTTTTTTCCTCTGCAGAAAAACATCGAGAAACAAGAGACAAAGTGAAATTGAGAGAGTGCAGACAGCAACATTTTTTTTATTTGTGTGTGTTTCTCTCGTAGAAGGACACCCTTTCTAATTACTTAACCGTATAATTACAGATTTTTTTTGCAGCTGATCAAGCACGTATTCAATCAAATTCTACTTCTTCTGATATCCAGAATAAATAAATATTCTCGAATTATTTTGAATATTTTTATTGATTATATGTGGTTTCTATAACCTTACTTTTTCATTTTTCACTCTGTTTATTATTAAAAATACCGTATTTCGAAAAATTATTTCAGATGGAGTGCATTCGGTTCATCATACGTGGGTGCAAACGGTTCATCATCATATGTTGGCGCATCACATGTTGGTGCATCTTGTGCATCACATTTTGCTGCACCCCGTCGAAAAGAGATGATAATTCAGAAGATCCCATAATCGAAGCTGAACGAGCAGCTGAACGAGCTGAAAGACTTCGAAAACTTGAAGAAGAATCACATAGAAGAGAGACGGAGAGAGAGTAAGAATCGCAAAAAAATAATCAGATTATTTCTAAAGTTTTTGCAGGGAAAGAAAAAAGGAACATGAAGAAGTTATGCGGAAAATGGAAGAGGCTCAAAGAGAGCATGAAGAAGAATTTCAACAAAATTTAGCCCGGATGGAAAAAGAAAATGCGTTGAGAAACAATGAGCAAGAACGAGAACTGAAAAATCAATTGGAGGAGATGGAAAATGAGTCGGCCAAAAAAATGAGAGATAAAGAAGAGGTTGGTGAAATATAAGGGTTCGTTATTTTTTTAAGGGTCCCAAAAAAAATGAGGGTCCGTTATTTTTTCATACATAGGTCTGATTTTTTTTTTGATTTTTGGAGGAAAAAATGTGGTTTTTTTTTAATTTTCAATTGTTTTGTTGTATTTTTCTTGATTTTTCGACGATTCTTTGTATTTTCGGGGGTTTACTAAGCCTAAGCCTAATTCTGAAGTTGAAAAACCGAAAATAGAGTTCATAATTTCTCTATTATTTTAGGGTTAGGCTTAGTAAACCCCTAGAAACATACTGACTGGCTAAAAAAATGTAAAAAAATTACAAAAAATCACCAAAAATAAATAATTGAAATTAGAAAAATACTTTTTTTTCAAAAAAACATTTTTTTTTGATGGACCCTTGAACAAAATTACGGACCCTTATATTTCCATGGGACCCTTGAACAAAGTTACGGACCCCTATATTTTTTACGGACCCTTATATTGCGATAGAGCCGAAAAATTTTTTCTTACAGTCATTCAACCAACAAATAAATAAAGTTCAAGCACAATATGACTCTGAAATTGCAGAAAATCGCGAACAAACCAAAAGGTATAGTATATTTTTCAAGTGGATTCCGGTGAACTATTTTATTTCAGTTTGATAATGAAAATTCAAGAGGAATCGAATAGAAAAAGTGAAGAATCACAATTGCGAACGCAAAAAATTGAGGAAGAAACAAGTGAATTTTTAAGGTGATTAGACAGATTAATTAATGAGCTTTATCATTTATCATTTTGAAGATTGGGTGAGAAAAGAAGATTAGAGAAGGAGAAAGAAATCGAAGAGCTTCGTCAGAAAACACAAATCGAAATGGAAAAATCCAGAAAAATGTGGGAGGAACGAAAACGACAATTGGATGAGCAAATGAGATTCATTGAAATGATGATGGCGCGAAAATTGTGGAGCTTGAAATTGGAGAGTTATTTCACAAATCGTCTGAATTTTTTGAGAACTTCGAATCGGGAAGTTACAAGAAACTATACGCTGCTGGTGCAAGTTGTGGGTGAAACAAAGTTTGACTCTATTCCAATATAAGGGTCCCATAAGGGTCCATAATTTCGTTCGAGGGTCCATCAAAGAAATTTTTTTTTGAAAAAAAAAGTATTTTTTTCTAATTTCATTTATTTATTTTTGATGATTTTTTGTAATTTTTTCACATTTTTTAGCCAGTATTTTTCTAGGGGGTTTACTAAGCCTAAGCCTAAAATAATAGAAAAATATTGAATCCTCTGGTAACTCTATTTTCGGCATTTCAGCTTCAGAATTAGGCTTAGGCTCAGTAATCCCCCTTATTTTTTTGGGACCCTTAAAAAAAATAACGGACCCTTATACTGAGATAGAGCCCAAAGTTTTTGTTGGAATTTTTGGATAATTGAATTTTCCAGTTACTCATCGCTAAACGAAGAATTGCAGAAGGAAATGATGTGTCTGATGAATTTATCTATCCAAAAATTCAAATTTTACAAAAATCTTTGAAATCTGAAAAAGAGCTGATGATGAACGAGTCCCAAAGTTTATTGAAAATTTTAGAAAATGGACAATGGCTATTCTTAACACCCGTGGAACATGCAGTAGATAGTGTAGCTGTATCTTGTGAGAATTTTGAGCTTATAACTTCAAGTATTGTGAGTTAATTAATTAATTAATTATCCAATTATCTAGTGATTTCAGAACAAGTCCAACTATTCAAACTCGATTGATTCGCTGAAAAATGCTCATATTGATCTTTGCTCGAGAATTGAGGCGATTTCCACATTCTCACAAATCAAAGAGAACTATCAGAATTTCAATTATCATCCGACTAACCATGATATGATTGAAGATGAGCCAAGTTGTGTGCAAATTGAGGAAATCGACTAATTTTTTATTGTTTTTTTTTTGTTTTAAGGTGGAGTCTGACATAAATATCGATTAATTTGAATAAACTTCAATTCAAATTTTGGTCTCCTGATAAAAAAGCCATTTTACACGATTTTTCACGGTTTTTTCGATCTTTGAAATGAAAACTAAGAAGCTTCTCCTTAAAGGAATTTATTAATGATTTAAGAAACTGTAAGAGAGTTCTTATAAGAAAAAATGTCATGTCTTTTTTTCATTTTGAGGTTTCAAAAATGATTTTTTTCCTGATAAGTTTTACAGTAATCCAGAAAAATCTAATCATTTTTCATGAGCTTATCTTCTCAGAAAACTTATCAGGAACATAAATCTTCGAACTCGTGATTTGGTATTCTTGTTATCAAAAAAATTGATTTTTTGTTTTTATGAAATATTTTTCAGCTTAAAAAAAAAAAGATTGTGCCAAATATCACAAAAAATTATTCGAACTTTACAGTTTTTTAATTAATGTTAAGCTTCCAGCTTCCAGAAAAAATCCATCGAGGAAAGAACATGCTCTTTCAAATGAGCCCTACTTATTCTTTGCTCAGACTCCACCTTTAATACTTTTTCAGATTTTTTTCCAGAATGAGAATTTTGTATTGAACTCGCAAACTTTATTGATATGATTATTTTATGAAAAAAATTTATAAAAGATCCCTAGAATTCTAAAATATTATGTAGTTATGTTGACAAACCGTTTGATAAAAAAATTCAGGTTTTTAAAGTGAGAAATAAATAATCTCAAGGATTTTCTTATCAAAAAAAAAAAATGATGCAACATCAATTTTTCATTTCGTTTTATCTCAAACAATAAACAAAATACAAATGTATAGGTGAAAAAAATGAATTTACTGATTGTGAAAAATCTTTTGCTCCCAGAAAAAGTTATAAAAAGATTCATTTTGTAATAAAAAAATCACAAAAAATCATAATTTTTCCTATGCAGAAAAACATTGAAAACAAAAAATACAAAAAAACTAATTTTGCTGTCTGCACTCTCTTAATTGCACGTTGTCTCTCTCAAAAACTGTAAATTTTGTTTTTCGACGTTTTTATGCATAGAAAAAATCAAGATTCTTTGTATGAAAATTGCAAAACCCATTAAATTTTTATTGATTTCTTCAACATTTATAGAATTTCATTCGATTTCTTCAATTTTAACTCTACTTTCATGGAAGGAAAAATCTTCATATTTCAAATATTTCATAGCATTTCCTCCTTCATATTGATAATAAGATCTCTTCAATTGTTCAAATGTTGGAATAGCTTCAATTATTGGGTCAATTGAACACGAGTATAGATCGGTTCAACATTTATCAACTGAAATAATGTTAGCTATACAGTGGCGTGCATTAGTGATGCATATTTGTGTTTTTTGGGTGTAGGAAGGGTGAAAATAGTCAGAATGGGGTGAAATTTGGCAAGAATACGTAAATCAGTCCTAAAAATTATCTAAAATCGAAATATGACTGATTTTGATATTTTGCCACGTGGAAGTTATATGACGTGCAAAATGATGAAAATCGCATTTTTCTCAATTTTTGCAAAACCAACTCCAATTTCTTTTTTTGTTCAATTTTTGTTAGTTTTCGAGTTAGACACTATATTTTAGCTCAGTTCAGTTATTTTGGTCCAACAAACCAAGTGTTTTGATAGAAAATGAGATCTATAGTAACCTCCTGAAATGTATACCTTCACTGAAGCATGCCATCGTTTTTGACCATGGCTGAAAGGGTGAAAAATATGTGGTTTGATTGATATTATGGACTCAAATTTTGTCAAACATCATCAAAAACATGTTTTGAAAGTTTGTCCTGACATGGAACTACCAATTCAGAATTATGCTGGGACAAATGAAAAATCTTGATTTTCAACTTTCGGAATAAATCGAAGTTCATGATTGATTTTTCTTATTAAGAGGGTTTTTAACGGTATTTTTCTGCGAATTCTACTCGATGGACCACTGTGCATCAAAATCAATCCCGATCAACCGATCTATCCGTGAAAAATATCATTTTATTGAATGGTTTTCAACGGTTTTATGGAAATCTCAATATGAACATTTTGTCTGAATATTACTGCGGGCATAATTTTTTTTGTTATCATCCCAAATTGGCTCAAATATGTTCAAAAATCGTTTTGAAAGCTTTTTTCATGATTTCCTTGGGTTTTCTATTTAAATTTTTCGAAAAACAGTGTTTTAGTAACGCCTGGTTTTCATTCGACCACGTTAATTGAGCGTTATCGATTGGTAGCATTACCAAATTATGAGATGAGTTGGAAACTGATAATAATCTATGATAACTTTGATTCAGATATATCAAAGGAACATATTCAGGTCATTAAAACCCACTTTCAAGCTTCTCTCAATAAGGTATGCATGAAAATTGAGCAGTTTGTTAGACAGAAATTTTAACATTTTTTACATATCCTCTAATAAATTGGAACAAGTTGATCAATTTTCATATGAAACTTTTCAAATAAGTTTTTGATGATGTTTGACAACATTAGAGTCCATAATATCAATCAAACCACATATTTTTCACCCTTTCAGCCATGGTCAAAAACGATGGCATGCTTCAGTGAAGGTATACATTTCAGGAGGTTACTATAGATCTCATTTTCTATCAAAACACTTGGTTTGTTGGACCAAAATAACTGAACTGAGCTAAAATATAGTGTCTAACTCGAAAACTAACAAAAATTGAACAAAAAAAAGAAATTGGAGTTGGTTTTGCAAAAATTGAGAAAAATTCGATTTTCATCATTTTGCACGTCATATAACTTCCACGTGGCAAAATATCAAAATCAGTCATATTTCGATTTTAGATAATTTTTAGGACTGATTTACGTATTCTTGCCAAATTTCACCCCATTCTGACTATTTTCACCCTTCCTACACCCAAAAAACACAAATATGCATCACTAATGCACGCCACTGTAAGTCATTGTGATGAAAAAACAATTGAAAAAACGCAACAGGTTTTAATTGCACATAGAGATGCTATTAAAAACCAAAGCCAACCAATAGCTGCAATCATATCGCCTGCAAATTATATTCATGAGCTATTGAGAAAAGAAGTTCAAGAACTATTCGGTGGGTTAATTTCAGATCAAGATCTTTTATAAAAGATCCCTCAAATTCTCTAAATCATCATTCTTAAACCTTTGATCACACAAGGTCAAAAGGATGGTCACAAGGAAGATCGATTGCAAAATATTGTGTAGTTATGTTGACAAAAAATACCACCGTTTGATAAAAAGTCAGGTTTTTTACAATGAGAAATAATCTCAAGGACATCTCAAACAATAAATAAAATACAAATTTATAGGTGAAAAAATTTAATTTACTGATTGTGAAAAATCTTTTGATCCCAGAAAAAGTTCCGAAAGGTTCATTTTGTAATAAAAAACACAAAAAATCATATTTTTCCTCTGCATAAAAACATCAGGGCTGATTCACGAACGATAAAAATGTTTTTTTTAACATCAAAAGATAAATTCACGAAAAGTCGAAAAATGTCGAAAAAACATTGTAGGTCAAAATTAGTTTTTTCGAGTTTTTCATGTAAAAATGATGACAAATCGATTTTTTCAAGCTTCTAAGTAATTTCTGAATGAAATTGACCTTGGAATTCACTTTCCAGAAGGTTTTGCTGATTCTTCGTAAAATAAAAAATTTGAATTTCGAAAAAAATCATAAAATAAAGCAAAATAGGGTTCTCGAAGCTTATTTTCATCAGAAATTACTCCAGAAGCTTGAAAAATATTGATTTGTCATTATTTTTGGCTGAAAAACTCGAAAAACTAATTTTGATCTACAATGTTTTTTCGACATTTTTTCACTTTTCGTGAATTGATCGTTCAATGTTAAAAAAAACATTTTTAACATTCTTTACGTCAGCCCTTTTTTTCCTCTGCAGAAAAACATCGAGAAACAAGAGACAAAGTGAAATTGAGAGAGTGCAGACAGCAACATTTTTTTTATTTGTGTGTGTTTCTCTCGTAGAAGGACACCCCTTCTAATTACTTAACCGTATAATTACAGATTTGTTTTGCAGCTGATCAAGCACGTATTCAATCAAATTCTACTGCTTCTGATATCCAGAATAAATAAATATTTTCGAATTATTTTGAATATTTTTATTGATTATATGTGGTTTCTATAACCTTACTTTTTCATTTTTCACTCTGTTTATTATTAAAAATACCGTATTTCGAAAAATTATTTCAGATGGAGTGCATTCGGTTCATCATACGTGGGTGCAAACGGTTCATCATCATATGTTGGCGCATCACATGTTGGTGCATCTTGTGCATCACATTTTGCTGCACCCCGTCGAAAAGAGATGATAATTCAGAAGATCCCATCATCGAAGCTGAACGAGCAGCTGAACGAGCTGAAAGACTTCGAAAACTTGAAGAAGAATCACATAGAAGAGAGACGGAGAGAGAGTAAGAATCGCAAAAAAATAATCAGATTATTTCTAAAGTTTTTGCAGGGAAAGAAAAAAGGAACATGAAGAAGTTATGCGGAAAATGGAAGAGGCTCAAAGAGAGCATGAAGAAGAATTTCAACAAAATTTAGCCCGGATGGAAAAAGAAAATGCGTTGAGAAACAATGAGCAAGAACGAGAACTGAAAAATCAATTAGAGGAGATGGAAAAATGAGTCGGCCAAAAAAATGAGAGATAAAGAAGAGGTTGGTGAAATATAAGGGTCCCAAAATAATATAAGGGTTCGTTATTTTTTTAAGGGTCCCAAAAAAATGAGGGTCCGTTATTTTTTCATACATAGGTCTGATTTTTTTTTTGATTTTTGGAGGAAAAAATTTGGTTTTTTTTTTTAATTTTCAATTGTTTTGTTGTATTTTTCTTGATTTTTCGACGATTCTTTGTATTTTCGGGGGGTTTACTAAGCCTAAGCCTAATTCTGAAGCTGAAAAACCGAAAATAGAGTTCAAAATTTCTCTATTATTTTAGGCTTAGGCTTAGTAAACCCCTAGAAACATACTGACTGGCTAAAAAAATGTAAAAAAAATTACAAAAAAATCACCAAAAATAAATAATTGAAATTAGAAAAAATACTTTTTTTTCAAAAAAACATTTTTTTTTTGATGGACCCTTGAACAAAATTACGACCCCTATATTTTTTACGGACCCTTATATTGCGATAGAGCCGAAAAATGTTTTCTTACAGTCATTCAACCAACAAATAAATAAAGTTCAAGCACAATATGACTCTGAAATTGCAGAAAATCGCGAACAAACCAAAAGGTATAGTATATTTTTCAAGTGGATTCCGGTGAACTATTTTATTTCAGTTTGATAATGAAAATTCAAGAGGAATCGAATAGAAAAAGTGAAGAATCACAATTGCGAACGCAAAAAATTGAGGAAGAAACAAGTGAATTTTTAAGGTGATTAGACAGATTAATTAATAAGCTTTATCATTTATCATTTTGAAGATTGGGTGAGAAAAGAAGATTAGAGAGGGAGAAAGAAATTGAAGAGCTTCGTCAGAAAACACAAATCGAAATGGAAAAATCCAGAAAAATGTGGGAGGAACGAAAACGACAATTGGATGAGCAAATGAGATTCATTGAAATGATGATGGCGCGAAAATTGTGGAGCTTGAAATTGGAGAGTTATTTCACAAATCGTCTGAATTTTTTGAGAACTTCGAATCGGGAAGTTACAAGAAACTATACGCTGCTGGTGCAAGTTGTGGGTGAAACAAAGTTTGACTCTATTTCAATATAAGGGTCCCATGTCCATCAAAAAAATTTTTTTGAAAAAAAAAGTATTTTTTTCTAATTTCATTTATTTATTTTTGGTGATTTTTTGTAATTTTTTCACATTTTTTAGCCAGTATTTTTCTAGGGGGTTTACTAAGCCTAAGCCTAAAATAATAGAAAAATATTGAATCCTCTGGTAACTCTATTTTCGGCATTTCAGCTTCAGAATTAGGCTTAGGCTCAGTAATCCCCCCTTATTTTTTTTGGGACCCTTAAAAAAAATAACGGACCCTTATACTGAGATAGAGCCCAAAGTTTTTTTGTTGGAATTTTTGGATAATTGAATTTTCCAGTTACTCATCGCTAAACGAAGAATTGCAGAAGGAAATGATGTGTCTGATGAATTTATCTATCCAAAAATTCAAATTTTACAAAAATCTTTGAAATCTGAAAAAGAGCTGATGATGAACGAGTCCCAAAGTTTATTGAAAATTTTAGAAAATGGACAATGGCTATTCTTAACACCCGTGGAACATGCAGTACATAGTGTAGCTGTATCTTGTGAGAATTTTGAGCTTATAACTTCAAGTATTGTGAGTTAATTAATTAATCAATTATCCAATTATCTAGTGATTTCAGAACAAGTCCAACTATTCAAACTCGATTGATTCGCTGAAAAATGCTCATATTGATCTTTGCTCGAGAATTGAGGCGATTTCCACATTCTCACAAATCAAAGAGAACTATCAGAATTTCAATTATCATCCGACTAACCATGATATGATTGAAGATGAGCCAAGTTGTGTGCAAATTGAGGAAATCGACTAATTTTTATTGTTTTTTTTTTGTTTTAAGGTGGAGTCTGACATAAATATCGATTAATTTGAATAAACTTCAATTCAAATTTTGGTCTCCTGATAAAAAAAGCCATTTTACACGATTTTTCACGGTTTTTTCGATCTTTGAAATGAAAACTAAGAAGCTTCTCCTTAAAGGAATTTATTAATGATTTAAGAAACTGTAAGAGAGTTCTTATAAGAAAAAAAATGTCATGTCTTTTTTTCATTTTGAGGTTTCAAAAATGATTTTTTTCCTGATAAGTTTTACAGTAATCCAGAAAAAAATCTAATCATTTTTCATGAGCTTATCTTCTCAGAAAACTTATCAGGAACATAAATCTTCGAACTCGTGATTTGGTATTCTTGTTATCAAAAAAATTGATTTTTGGTTTTATGAAATATTTTTCAGCTTAAAAAAAAGATTGTGCCAAATATCACAAAAAATTATTCGAACTTTACAGTTTTTCAATTAATGTTAAGCTTCCAGCTTCCAGAAAAAATCCATCGAGGAAAGAACATGCTCTTTCAAATGAGCCCTACTTATTCTTTGCTCAGACTCCACCTTTAATACTTTTTCAGATTTTTTTCCAGAATGAGAATTTTGTATTGAACTCGCAAACTTTATTGATATGATTATTTTATGAAAAAAAATTTATAAAAGATCCCTAGAATTCTAAAATATTATGTAGTTATGTTGACAAACCGTTTGATAAAAAAATTCAGGTTTTTTAAAGTGAGAAATAAATAATCTCAAGGATTTTCTTATCAAAAAAAAATGATGCAACATCAATTTTTCATTTCGTTTTATCTCAAACAATAAACAAAATACAAATGTATAGGTGAAAAAAAATGAATTTACTGATTGTGAAAAATCTTTTGCTCCCAGAAAAAGTTATAAAAGATTAATTTTGTAATAAAAAAATCACAAAAAATCATAATTTTTCCTATGCAGAAAAACATTGAAAACAAAAAATACAAAAAAACTAATTTTGCTGTCTGCACTCTCTTAATTGCACGTTGTCTCTCTCAAAAACTGTAAATTTTGTTTTTCGACGTTTTTATGCATAGAAAAAATCAAGATTCTTTGTATGAAAATTGCAAAACCCATTAAATTTTTATTGATTTCTTCAACATTTATAGAATTTCATTCTCAGATTTCTTCGGAAATTTTAACTCTACTTTCATGGAAGGAAAAATCTTCATATTTCAAATATTTCATAGCATTTCCTCCTTCATATTGATAATTGAAGATCTCTTCAATTGTTCAATATGTTGGAATATGCTCAATTTTTTGACAAAAATTGAAGAATGTGCAACTCTCTCATGAAAGTAGAGTTAAACTTTCCGACAAATCTGAGATTTTCTGTAACAGTATTTTTATTGAAAAATGTTGCATTGGAATTAGAAAACCCCAAAAACCCACAATTTTTGACAAATTTTCAATATAAAAATGGCAAGATTTGTTAACTTCCTCGATTGAATACATCACAGAAGATAAAAATAACCAATTCCTCTCTGCCCGGAGTAATTGAATATTTTTTAACTCATTCTCCATTAGTCCATTTTCAGATTCAAAAGATTTTTGAAGAATTTTTTTTTCAATTCTCAACTAAAGAAAATAAGTTTTTGCGGAAGAAAATCAGAAATTCTACTCACAATTGTGCGAAAAACTTTATAATTTCGAACAACTTCTCTATTTGATGTTTTCAAAAAGTTTAACCAATTTGTGAATAAATTTTCCAATTGCATTGTCCACATTTTTTCAATAACTAATTCTCTCATACAATTCATCTGTTCATCCAATTGTTTTCTTCGTTTCTCCGACAAAATTCTCAATTTTCCAAGTTCAGCTTCTGTTTCTAGTCGCGATTTTTCAAGCTTTTCTTCATTTTTAATTCTTTCCTCATTAGCCAATCTAAAAATTGATACTGTTTTTTCGAAATGTGAGGAAGCTTCCAGAAAAAAAATTAACTTTGAAAATTCCAGCATCGCCATTCGACATTTACTTTGTTGTTCAAGTTCAGAAAGTTTCGATTTTTCCTGATTTTTCGATACAAAAAATCGAATATAACAAACACTCGGTTGAAAACCAATTGAAAAAAAAAAGGAATCTCGATCAATTAAAAACAATTCTTCATTGATTAGGACTATTTACTTCGAACTTATTTACTGTAAAAATGTATTATCACAAAAAAAACTAATCATTCTCAATTTGACCACAATTTTGCAAATTTTCTATAGCTTGATGAATTGAGTGAAGATTTAGCGAAAACTATTCAAACAACGACTGAGAAATCGATTGAAAATGAAAGAAAACAACTTGAACAAAGAAAAAAATTTCAATTGGAGAAAAATAATATGATGATAGAAAGTTGGTGAATACATACATATTTCAAAACCATTTTGAAAATGCTGATTTATAGCTGAAGAACTCGCAAGTGTCTCTCAAAACCGTGCTGCAATTTTGGAACGAGTGAATCTTGAAGGAAAATGCTTAATGGTTTCTGCATTCGAAAATGAGCAAAAACAAAATGCTCAACGCTGTAATCTTGTATCGATTCGTCGAAAGTTTGAGGGTATTAGGAAAAATGTTAGCAAACTTTTTTACAGTTTTGACTTTCCCATTCGAGCTAACAATGAGACTGATTTTCAAAACGCGGTTTTTATAATGCAGGTGAGGAAAATATTCACGAGGGTACTGTTTTTGAAATTTTGTCCATAGACAGCTTTTGGGGTAATAAGAGCACCATAAAAATTTTAGTCTCCCAATGTACCTCTGAGCCAAGTTCTGGGCTCTCAAAAGTTCAAAAATTGGCTCATAAAAGTCATCATAGCTCCATTTCAAAATTTTTTTTTGGAGAAATAAAGTTTCAGATATTGATCAGCATAGTCGATTTACTAAAAGTATTTTGAAGTTTTTTTTTAAATTTTTGGTCTGGAAATTCATGAAATTTCATATGTGCCCTGCTCATTTTTTTTCCAAAATCAAAAATTTTTCTGAAAATTTGATTTATTGATGGTTTGTGGGTAAATCGACCACGCTGATCATCATCTGCTACTCAGTTTTTCATAAAATTGATCGAGAATTGAGTTATGATGTGTTTTATTAGCCAATTTTGACAATTTTTGAACTTTTGAGAGCCCAGAACTTGGCCTAGAGGTCTATCAAGATTTAAAGTGTTGGGCGAAAAAAGTTTCCTTAATATTCGCTTCGATTTACAGCTAAGCATTAACAATATAAAAAAAGAGATAAATGGGACCAGAGAGTATATATCACTTGCGCAACAAGATGCAATAAGTAGATCAAAAGCAAATGAAGCAAAGAATTGTATCGTAGAAATTGAGGAAATCTTAATGCTATTTGGAGAATCAATAAAAAATAAAGAGGTAACAAATTTTGCACTTCTCAACAATATTTCCAAAAAAAATGGATTTTTCAGGAAACTTAAAATTGAAACATCAACAAATATGATGATTCAATTGAAACGATTGACAAATGAAACAACAAAACTGGGTCAAATCATTCAATCGATTCCTGAAGCAACAAATGATAACAATTTCATGAATGCTGCAATTCAAGCAGCTAAAAATATCATTGCAGAGTCAAATGCAAGTGAATCAAGTCCACAGAAGATTCGAGAATCTGAAGACATTTCGAGAAATTTGGATGAAAATTGATTATTTTGATGTTAGAAAAATCATTATTTTTTGGAAAAAAAAACATAGCCTCTTAGATCATGTATTTCATATATTCACATGCAAATATTTTATTTTTCCCAATATAAAAATGTTGCACAGATTTTTCACAAAAATGTTGCACAGGTCTTTCATTTGGCCTTTTTCATATGTTATACTGTTTGACAACAATTTTATGAGGAAAATCAAATTCCGGACTCGTGATTTTTAAGAAAGCAATTGTCTTGTTATCAAAATAATTTTTGAAAAATTATGAAATATTTTTCAGGTTAAAAATTCCCGATACAATTATTTTTTGTCGAATACAATTTTCAATTTTTTTCACTTTTCTGCTACGAAATGTTTTAAAATGAAAATTATACCAAAAATATATGTAGTTTGATAAAAATTTTAAAGTACACTGAATTAAAAAAATATTCTCACGACCTGTTCACAAGCTGCACTTTTATTATCGGAACATTTTTTTTTCTCAAATACAACTAGAAAATAACCTTTTGCACGTACAAGGAACAAATCGTAAATTTTCATTCAAATTTTTTGAATTTTATCAGTGAATTTAAAAAAAAAATTTGGAATCTTTATGATGAATGAAAAAAGTATAAAAATGTGGGGACACAATCACAAGGATATATTGAAGATTACAATTGATGCTCCCATGGGATATTAACAGTTCGGGCAATTAATTTTATTGGAAACAATAGGATTTTCCATATAATTTTCCATACAAACCTAACACAATCACCACGATCCTCGTTGCCGATTGTGTCGGAATAAATACCTTATTAATTCTATGATACCATATACCAAGACAGCCAATATCAAGCTGTTGAAAATCGTAGATTCTCCTTCGATCATTCGATTCATGGATTTCAAAAATGATTCTATTAATCTCTTACCATGCTAAAAAACATCCAGAGTGAAAATTTCTCTTTTCAAAAACAAACCTTGTGATGAAGTGAATCCAATTCAGCATCATTTGTTTGCATTGATATGGAAATTGAAAAAAAGAAAATAATATATTCAAAAAATAAAAAAAAATCGGGCAATCAGAACAATTTATATGTACATTTTATCATTAATTATTGATTGAAAAAGATAATTTTATTTGAAAAACGAAATATTTCACAATATTCACAATCAAAAAACACACAAAATCGCTTTCCAAACTCGTGATTTGTAAGAACAACATTTTTTGAAATCTACCTTTTTAATAAAATTCTGATTGGATGGTGTCTCGATGGAAGCTGGATTTTTCAATGGGGTCACTCCTGTTTTTATTTTTTGGATGTCGAAATTTTGGACATTTTTGATTTTTTTCCTTTTTTTCCGAAAATCATTGTTGTGAACAACCACTGAAAAACCAGAAAAAAAAAATCAAAAAATAAAAATGTCGTGCAAAAAAAGTTTAAAAAAACAACGATACTCCGCGTGCGCGTTGTTTAGCGTGTTTGTTTTGTTGTTTGTTTCGCAGGGTAGACGAGAGAGTGTGGGAAATAGAGAGAGGGTTAGAGAGAGAGAGAGAGAGAGATGTGTTTTATTTGGAAAGCATTTATTGATTGAACGTTTTTTTTTCGAACCAAATCATTTTTTCTGTTTTTTTTAGCGCAGAAAGGTACATTTTTTAATTTTCTTATTTTTTTTCAGAGACAATCGTCACAGAATGCAGGCGTTTCGTCAAATCCACAATTGTTCACATTTTCTGATGTGAGTTTAAGAATAGGCGAAGATTTTGAGACAAAGAATGTAGAAGTTTCAGGCTTCCGAGATGTTTCGTTTGGACAGGAGATCAACAACTTTTCACGGAACGGGCCAATCAAGTTAGTTTATTTTGAAGTTTGGGGGGGGGGAACAAAACTAACAGGTGAGATTTGAGGTTCATTAAAAAATGTTGGGTAAAGTTTTTTATTCATAATTACTAAAGAAAGTTCTTTATAAATTACTATGTTTAAATGATTAGATGAAGCTTTTCATTATACTTGAAGCTATAGGATCAGCTTCCAGATTTTAATGAAAAACAAAGTATGAAATTTTTCATAATGTTGACATTTTCAAGCATTCTGTTTAGATTCACTTCAATGTCATCTTCTTCTAGTGAACTCTAAAAAAAATGTTTGTGTTTTATTTTGAAAAAAATATGACTTACCTGTTTGTTTTCCATTTTTTTAAGAAAAAAATGAACGAGAAAAGAGAAATGAAATTTTGTGATAAGACTCTCTCTTTTTTATAGGAGGCGATTTTTATGCTGAGAATAAATTTCAAATTTTTTAATGAAAAAAATTGAATCCTGAGAAACCCTATGCTATCAAATTTGCCAGAAATGCATTTTTGAAGCTAGTTTTCAGCTCCCAAATCATATTCGAATTTTTCCACGGTATAGGAGTTATGTTCTGAAAATTCAGACAGCGGAAAACAAAATTTTATTTAATTCAAAATTGAAAATTTTCAAAACAAAAAATTTCATTCATTCAATAGCTTTGATTTGTTTTCGAATACGATTCTCCAAACAATTAGTTTTAACAACATTCGGAAGAATCGCAATTAAATCAATCGATTTTTTAATATTTTTTGCAACTGCCTCAACCATTTTCCCCATCACTTCCGATTCTTTATAATCTATCGATAAAACTTGAAGTTTCCCTTCAATGTCACCCAATTCCTCCTCGATTTTCTTACAAATCCTCTTCCTTTGTCCAAAATAATCATCCGCATTTCTAAATTCATCAATTCGCTGAAGCAAAACACTCATTTCACTTGAAAATGTATGCATTAACTTCAAAGATGTGGCTTTTCTAGCAGTTCCCAAATGCTCTTCCATTTTCCCAGCCAATGTTTTGAGCTCCTCAAAATGCCGTGAATAATTGGATAGATTTACATCCTTTCTCAAAAGCTCTAATCGTAATTGCTGCTCCAAAGCACTTTTGATCTTGAATCCATGAATTTTCTCATCCACTTTCATATTTTTCTCCTGAATTTTTTGAATTTTTTGAATTTTTTCTTTTCCCATCCTCTCTAATTCTTTTGAATAATCATTTTTGAGTTCAATGATCTCGTTGGCATTTTTTCTGAGGAGTTGGGCTAACTCATTTTCTCGAAGGCTTATCTGTAGAGAAATTTTTTTTGCCTGAAATTTTTAAAAAACCAACCTGCTGATTAAGTGATTTCAATTCAGCTTCGTATTTTTGCATTTGGAATCGGGAAATCTGAAAAAAAAATTTTTTTTTGAAAAAAAAAACGAAAAAAGTAATAAACATTTTTGAGGAAGAGCAATTTTCTGATAAAAAATCGGGAAATGGGAACATTTAATGTTTTATCACTAATTATCGATTGAAGAAGAAAATTTATATTTTTCAGAATTCAAAAATTAGGATTTTTCTAAATTTCCAAGGAAAAACTAAAATATGAAGTTTCTAGGTCTTTTTTTTTTGCTCACAATTAGACTCCACTTTTAATTTAAAAAAAAGTTCCGCGTGTGATTTTTGAAATGTGGTAAAAAAATGATTCGACTTTTCTGATATGTACAAGTTTCTTCAAAAAATTAAACTGAAAATAAAATTTTGAAAAAAAGTCCAAGTCCAAGTAAACAAAATTCGATGTATTATCAATAATTTTTCTCTCCTTATCAAAAAATTGAAGGTTATCATGAGAAATTTTTCTCAAACGCAACTAGAAAATGAATTTTGAACGTACAAGGACCAAATCATTTTTTTTTCTAAAATTTTGAGCCCACATTCAATTTTAAGAGATTTTCAGCTGAAAATTTGTTTTAGGTGTGAAAAATAACGTAAAATTGATTATTGCTTCAATATCTTGAAAATAATGTTTTTCAGAAAAAAATTGGTTTCAAAAATTTCTAGAGATTTTCAGCTGAAAACTTGTTTTTGGGGTTTTGAGTGTGAAAAATGAAAAAAAAACTCAAAGAAAAATGACTCTGAATGTTGACAAAGCCGTGAGAAAAGGAACTTTTTACTCAACATCCGTGTAAAAATAATATTATTGGCTCATAAATATTTTGACCTCAATGAGCAAAAAAAAACTTGAAGTGTTGAGTTTTCAAACTCAAACTTCAAACCATTTTTTCCTGAGATTTTTCCTGTAAAATAATTAATTCATTTATTTATTCATCAAACACAAAAAAAGTATACTGGTGGCCCTAAAGAGGGCCGTTGGGTTCGGTTAAGGGGTGGCCCTAAAGAGGGCCGTTGGGTTCGGAAAAATTTGGGCGATTAGAGCCAGATAATTTCTGGCTCTTTCTCGCCCCAGAAGATGACACTATCGTCGCTGTCGCTGCTTGAGCTTGTTGATGTCGAGCTCGTGGAACTTGAGCTCGAGCTGGAGCTGCTTGAGCTGCTCGAACTGCTCGAACATCTGCTCCTTTCAGTATCGGAACTCAAAATTATTGTTCCATCTTCATCAGATTCTGTTTCATATTCTGAATCTGAATCCGATTTCGACGAATTTCGGCGATTCTTGCGTTTCTTCAGAAATTTACGAGATTTCTTGACGTTTCGCTTGATGAAACGATTCCGAATTTTCGAGATTGTCCAACGGTGAATACGATGTTCCCATAAAGCAACAAGAATCGGATCTTGTTGTGGTTTTCGCGTAATATTCACGCGAGTTGAAATTCTTCTAACAAGATATGAACGCAGAACCAACATTGCAAATAATTGAGTTCTCTGAATGATATTGTGGTTTTTAAGTGATGAAAATAAGAAAAAAACGAATAACAAAACGATCAAGAAACTAGAAAAATGACGTGCATGAAAATTGGTGAAAATCAGACGGAAACACACAATTCGTAGTCAAAATGAACCGAGTTTGTGGAGAACCAATACACAAGCGTTGCGAACAGGCCTGTGCCGGAAAATCAAAACCCGGAAAACGGAAAGTCGGAAAATTTCCGGATTTTTTGAACCGGAAATCCGGAAAATTCGGAAAATTTTTCAAAGTCTGAAATTTCGATTTCCAGCCTTAAGTTGGCACTAAAACTTATTTTTTATCTACAATTCTTCTATTCAGAGGTAATTTAGTAACTATTTGAGACGTGTTACGTTCAAAAAATAGTAAAATTTGAAAAATTGAAAAAAAAAATTTCCGAAAATTTCATTTTTTCTATCATAAACTGAGAAAATTTTCCAAAATTTAGGCAATTTTGAAAATATTACTACTAGAGATCATTTCCGGATTTTCCAAGCACATTTTCCGGAAAACCGGAAAATTGATTTTTCCGTGAAAAAACCGGAAAATCCGGAAATTCGGAAAATTCGGAAAATTTCCGGCACAGGCCTGGTTGCGAATATCGAAAACTGAGTACTTGAGGAACGAAAATGCATGAAAACTGGTGGAAATCAACTGGAAAAGTAAGGAAAAGCTTACTTTTTGGAAGAAAAATGAACCGATAATGAGGAAAACCAATACACAAGCGTTGCGAATATCGAAAACTGAGTATTTGAGGAACGAAAATGCATGAAAACCGGTGAAAATCAACTGGAAAAGTAAGGAAAAGCTTACTTTTTGGAAGAAAAAATGAACCGATAATGAGGAAAACCAATACACAAACGTTGCTCGAAAACTGAGTATTTGAGGAACGAAATTGCACAAAAAACAGTGGAAATCAACCGAAAACACACTTTGCGTTGTTCAAAATGAACTGAGTATGTGGAAAACGAATACACAAGCGTTGTTGTCATTTTCTTGAAAAAAAGAAAAAAAATAAAAAAATGTCGCAGGGAGCAGGGGTCGAACCCCACAGCGTTGCCTCAAGGAGCTATCCGCTAACCTGCTGCGCTTTGCTTGATGTTTTGTAAGCGGCTGAAATTTCGAAGACAATAAAACTGGTCTCAAATTTTGGAGCTCAATTTCTTGTGCTCAGAGTGCTCTTCCGCAGTGGAATTTTTTATATGTTTTTTCACACTGCACAATTTCTTTTGCAAAAATTTTGGGACACTTTCTCGCGAACGGTATTTTTATTAGTTTTTTACCATTCTCTCAACACTTTCCCAACTGAATTAATTAAAGCTAAAACGCATTTTAGTGTCCAGAAATGCTATTTCAAGACCTTCTAATCAGCCTAAAAAACAAATCAAGCCTCCCATCTCCTAAAAAACGAAATTAGTGATTTTCGAAACATTTCGAAGAGTTTCGAAAAGTTTCGAAAATCAATAATCTGATTTCGAAAGCTTGATTAGTCTTTTAGACTGATGAAAGATCTTGAAATGACATTTCTAAACACTAAAACACGTTTTAAAGACAAATCAAGACTCATATCTCCCCAAAAATGAAAATGATGATTTTCGAAAATATTCGAAGAGTTTCGAAAAGTTTCGAAAATCAACAACTTGAATTTGAAGTTGTGATTTGTATTTTAGACTCATTGAAAGAGCTTGGAATGACATTTCTAAACACTAAAACATGTTTTGGAGAAAAATCAAGACTCACAATTTCCCAAAAATGAAATTAGTGATTTTCGAAACATTTCGAAAAGTTTCGAATAATTTCGAAAATATTCGAAATATTTCGAAAATCAAAATTGTTCAGAGAATTCAAAATATCTAAATTCCCCGCCAATTTTCTACACATGTCAATGAAATCTTGTCAAACACATTCGAATTCAAACAATTTTCACTGGTTTTTGCGCAAATACATTTGAATTTTCGTATAAAACTGAATGACTTTTTCTCAAAAATTTCTGATTTTTTCTCTCATTTGAAGCTTCTCAAACAACAAGTTTGATTTCGAAATCATTTGACAAAAGTTCAAAGACATGTTACAATTTTTCCTAACCCCCAAAGAAAATAAACTAACCTTGGACTCCTTTGATGGCGGGGCGGATGTCTTCTTTGGTGGCATCACAAATCACAATTGGAGCACAAAATACGGCGGTGAAGACGAACACGGAGCTGCAAAACAATCATTAAATTACAAATTCATAAAAGAAACAACGAAAAGCAGAAGAAGAAGCAAAAAAAAACCAACAAAAATGAGAAAAAATGAGCGAAAATGAAAAAATGAAGTGATTTTAGGAGAGAGAAAAATAATTTGTAGGGGAGTGGGCGTGGCTTGGGTCTCGAGTGGAAGACCGCAGCGGCGGCAATTCAAATCGGGAGAGAGCGGCGGCGATTTGAATTTTGTTTTTTTGGATGAAGAGAGGAAAGATATGTGAAGGATTCAGAAGGCCCATGGGGGGAATCAGAAGGCCTATGGGGGATTCAGAAGGCCTATGGGGGATTCAGAAGGGCTATGGGGGATTCAGAAGGCCTATGGGGGATTCAGAAGGGCTATGGGGGATTCAGAAGGGCTATGGGGGATTCAGAAGGGCTATGGGGGATTCAGAAGGCCTATGGAGGATTCAGAAGGCCTATGTGGGATTCAGAAGGCCTATGGGGGATTCAGAAGGCCTATGGGGGATTCAGAAGGCCTATGGGAGGATTCAGAAAGCCTATGAGGGATTCAAAAGGCCTATGGGGGATTCAGAAGGCCTATGTGGGGATTCAGAAGGCCTATGGGGGATTCAGAAAATCTATTTTCCCTTATGATTTTTTGAAAATATCAAGCAGTCAAAATATTTATTTTTAAAAAAAATGGGAATTTGATATGTTAAGTTCATTAAATTTAAAAAATGTAGTATATCACAAATTTTACAAGCTTAGAAAGTTAAATATGCATTAGGTTAGGGTATTTCAGTATGTTCTTTAAAAAATTAATGTTTACGATACCACCTGAAACACGACAGTAATCTAGAAATTCCAGAAGTTCGTGACTGATTGGCATTGCTCTCAACTTCTGGCGGAGCAACTGGCTCCACGGCATTTCTGTTTTTTCTAACCTCCAAATTGATCGTTTCGAAATATGACTTGATCAAAGAACTGTAATTGAAAAATCTATTGATTAAAAATATTGATTTTTCTCACCTTCTAACTTCAAAATCTTCATTTTCATTTGAAGGGATATTCAGTTCAAATTTTTTGAGTGTTCCATTCTGAAATTTCAATTTTTCATAGTCCGTCAGTTTTTAAACCAACCTTAAAATAATTTGCAATGAGAGGAACACTATTGATATCACAACGAATTCGAATATTACTTATTCTTGTATTGATTTCCAGTAACTTTCTGAGCTGCTCTTCTTCTAGAAGACCCCGCGATTTAAAATAATATACATTGTCAATTCTACTGAATGAGTGAACTTCAAAATATCTAACATCAACCAAAATTAATTCAGCTTTTCGTTGAATTAATTCAAAAATTTCATCTGTAATTTTATGAAGACGAAAGTAGATTCCGGCGATTTTCAGATTAATAGAATTCATTCGCTCTATGAACTGATTTTGAAAATCTTCCACGCTGACAAATTTTATTGGTTCCTCGAGTTTGTCTAACTTTATTGTTTCAAATTTTAATGTGTGACGATTTTGGACCTGATATATGAACTCGATCTGAAATTAGTTCATGTTGAAAAAGGCGTAATAATAAATTTTACGTTATTTTTCACACTTGAAAACCCCAAAAACAAGTGTTCAGCTGAAAATTTCTTGAAATTTTTGAAATTAATTTTTTTCTGAAAAAAAAATCATAAGGGGGGACCCTTTTGTCAAAAAAAATTATTTTTCAGATAATGAAAAAAAATCAATTTCATGTTATTTTTCACACTTAAAAACTCCGAAAACAAGTTTTCAGCTGAAAATCTCTTGAAATTTTTTGAGATCAATTTTTTTTCTCAAAAAAAAAATCATAAGGGGGGACCCTTTTGTCAGAAAAAAATATTGTTAAAAATATTGAAGCAATTATTGATTTCAAGTTATTTTTCACACTTGAAAACCCCAAAAACAAGTTTTCAGCTGAAAATATCTTGAAATTTTTGAAACCAATTTTTTTCTGAAAAAAAAATCATAAGGGAGGACCCTTTTGTCAAAAAAATTATTTTCAAGATATTGAAGCAATTATTGATTTTAGGTTATGTTTCACACTTGAAAACCCCAAAAACAAGTTTTCAGCTGAAAATCTCTTGAAATTAATTTTTTTCTAGAAAAATCATAAGGGGGGACCCTTTTGTCAGAAAAAATTATTTTTCAGACAATGAAGTAATAATAAATTTTACGTTATTTTTCACACTTGAAAACACCAAAAACAAGTTTTCAGCTGAAAATCTCGTGAAATTTTTGAAACCAATTTTTTTTCTGAAAAAAAAATCATAAGGGGGGACCCTATTGTCAAAAAAATTATTTTTCAGATAATGAAAAAAAAATTAATTTCACGTTATTTTTCACACTTGAAAACCCCAAAACCAGATTTTCAGCTGAAAATCTCTAGAAATTTTAGAAATTTTTGAAACCAATTTTTCTTCTGAAAAAAAATCATAAGGGGGGACCCTTTTGTCAAAAAAATTATTTTCAAAATATTGGAGCAATTATTGATTTCATGTTATTTTTCACACTTGAAAACCCCCAAAAAGAAGTTTTCAGCTGAAAATCTCTTGAAATTTTTCAAACTCACAATATTATCCTTTTGTCTGATGTGTAAATAATAATTTCTTCTCTGCAAGCAATTTTTATTTCTATCAACAAATTGTCTCAAAACTTTGCAAGTATCTCCCAGATTTTGAACATCATCGTAAGGAATCTGAAAAGAAATTCAAAATTTATAATTTTTTCAAAGAAGAAGAAGACGGAGAAGAAACTTACATATGTCAATAGTTTTCTAGCCACCACGACAGGAATTTTTTCAAAAAATTGGAACGGTTCGGGCTCGGGCTCGGGCTCAGGCTCTGGTTCGGCTTCAAGTTCAGATTGATGCTCTGGTTCAGCTGTAGGTTCAACTCCAGGTTCAGTTTTACCACCAGGTTCGGCTACATCTCTAGCTCTACCTTCAACTTCAGCGGTAGCTCCACCTTCAACTCCAGCCACAAATTCAGCTTCAACTCCACCTTTCTTAAACATCCGAAACAATTTAGATAAACGCATTTCTAATATTCAAAAATACTAAAATGAATAGGTAAAAATAATTAGAGGATAAATAAAATTGTTGGAGAGTTTCTCTAAGTCTCTTGGAAACACATGTTCTCTAATTTGTAGGAGGTTTGGAATTTTTTCACCCCATTGATTGAAAATTTGTAATAAAATAATTATAACCTTTTTTTGGGAGAGAAAAATAAAAGTATTCTTGAAGGGTGATAGGGTAATTCTTTGATTTTTGAACTCTGAAAAATGTCTGAAATTTTTCCAAAATTCAGACGTCACCACATTGTTTCTATTCAATTGTTTTTATTCAAACAAAAAATCTATTGTTTTCAAAATTTTATAAAAAGCTGAAGTTTGAAATGATTTCAACAAAAAATTATGAAATTCATCTTTTTCTTTCTTATTCTCATTGTTTTCTTGAGCTCACTGGCAGAATCTCGAGCTCTGGATGTTTTGAATGGAACTCCATTGCCAACAGATTTCAGCGGATCAGATGGAGATCTTAAGGAAGGTGGCAGAAGATACCCAGATCCAGATTTTCCAAAGGGAACTCCATTGCCAACAGATGCCATCGGTGCAAAAATTGAATAAATTTTTCTGGTTTTTTGGGTTTCAATAATGAAATTTTCATATTAAAGTTCAGAACTGAGATTTGATTTTTAAATTAAAATCGAAAAATTGTACGATTATTGATCTAGAAATATTTAAAATTATTTTCAACATAACTTCAATCTCACGAGATTGCTCATGTTAGAGGAAGAACCCATTTAATATGAGCAACATAACTAGAATTAGCTGTAAAGTCAAAAATCATGATAGAAAAAATTTTTTTGGAGTTTGATTCGCAGGTGTTTTTTTCCTACTGTATTATGTATATGCCATTTCCTCAATTCTGCGCAGGTGAAAATCTGAAATGTTTCGAACAAAAATAATTTAATTTTTTTGCAGGTGATTTTTTTGAATGTTTGAACTATTGCCAAGGTGAAAATTAGAATTTTTCAAAGTTTGATCATATAAGAAAAATATTTCCGAATAAAACCAGCCAATCATAGTTTGAGGCTCCGCCCCTTTTTTAAAAAACGCCAATTTTTTCTGTAAATTTATCAAATTCAAAACATTTTCACTTCTCAACTTTTATTATATAAAAAAAAACAACAAGAAGAGGTTACATAAAAAACGAGGTGTTCAAAAAAAATGAAAAGTATCAAAATCCATTCCAGGAAAGTTTCCAAATATCTCTGAATACATCGAGATTATTTGAGATGAGTCTAAGCATAGCTCTGACGATTCCAGGTCCAGTCATATTTCGAATATCTTGGGCTTCCTCTGGTAGAACACTGATTCGGTCGGTGAATATGGCGAAGTCAAGAGCATCGTCGAAAACTTCTTCAAAGAATCTTTGGGAGAACATGCAGACATCGTGGAGGAATATCAAATCCAAATCTCTTTCTCGATCTTCTTCCTTCAAATATGTTTCGATGTGTGTAGAATTTTCGATATCAGAGCAGTTTTGTCCATTGATCAAGTTTCCCATACACAAATACATTGTCAAAAATTGTGGATCCTGTTTGCAAACATCCGGAGCAACGTTGTAAAAATCTTGAGAATCGTTCTTGAAGTGTTTGGCAAGATCTGGAGATACATTTTGTGCATCTACTTGCAGGATGGCGAAAATTAGAGCAACGGTTAGAAGTAGATGGAGTAGATGAGCCATTTTTCTCTTGAGAAAAAGAGGGATGCGAATGAGCGGAAGTGGGGGCTTATGTAGGGGTTTTTTAGCTCCGCCTCCAGGGTTTTGCAGATGTTTAGTATAGCTGAAGTCAAAAATCAAACAACAGAGAAATCAAACATCTTCTGAATAACGAAGAACTTTTTTTCCAGTTTTTGAATAACTGGAAGGCAATTTAAGGAATTTTACAAAGAATGAGCAATCAATTATTTTTGAATTTTAAAAATAAAAATGAAATCTGATTTTCATTTTCAACCAGAGAATGTTTTGTGTTTTCGTTTTTTTTAATCAATTTAAATTGAAACTCATTTTGACAAATTTTCCAAAAAAAATTCAGAATTTACAAAGAAAAACAGCTTCAAATTACTACTATACATATGGAATTTCAAGTCATTTTACACGGTGTTTTTTTGAGTTTTGAAATTTTTGAAAAGCTTCTAGAGAAAACCTCAAAGGTTTTGTACCAATTAGAACTTTTTTCTCCGACTCTATTTTTAAATTATTTTTAAAAATATTTATAGAATCTTATTAATTTTATATACATTCAGCACCACTTTAAGAGCATATTTTATCTGGAAAATTAAAGGTTATTTTTTCTAGAATATATGAAAACATAATGCAAACAATTGTGTGCTAATTTCTATTTCTATTTTTATTCTTTTCACTCCCAACAAAAATCTATGTATAAATAAAATTATATTACGCTCGTTTTCCTCGTATTTTCTATACATAGTTTCCAAACTTCCTTGTTAGCTTGAACTATGGCTTAAACTACATACGCGTTCTATTTGACCAAAACATAGATTAATCCGAAGCAAATCTTATCAAGGATAATCATTTTGTTGTTCGTGGGCATGGATTAATTCACAAGGCCATGGATTGAAGATCTGCTTTTAGATGTTCTGAAAATTACAGTAATCTTGAGATACGTGCTTTTTCAGCTTTATCAAATGTGGATTAAAAATATAAAGATCACGCATGAAATCTCGGTGTTTTCTCAACCAAAATTAATGTTAATCTTATTAGTTTGCAGTTGACAATGTTTGACGTAGATAATCCCATAGAGATTGAAAATCATAACACATTTCGATGTTCTGAAATAGCTTCGAGGGGAACATCCAAATTTTTCTCAAAAATATGTACAAAATGAATGGGAACCAGAAAACAAAGAGAAAGTGCGCTCTAATGATAACAGACATGCGAAAGGACATTTTTGTGATTTTTTTCATCATCTTCCGCTGTTTTTTGCCTTTTCTTTTTTTTTCTTTTTTTTTTATTTGTGAATCAATTCATCTGAAGAAAAAATGATTTTTTTCAGCGTTTCCAATATGCGAATCAGCAACAACGTGGGAAAATTGACAAGCTGGATGAATTTTTTGATTTGGAAAAGTAATAGGTGAGTTAGCTTAACTATTTTGCTTTGAGGTACCTTAAGTGGGAATTTAACAGCCTTGAATGACCTTATGAATTCTCTGATTTTACAATTAGAATGAAATTTGTCTTTTTCAGAATCAACAAAACGCTAGAAAAGAATGCCGAAGTGATTGACAACTATACAAAGGGATTTTGGAAAATGCCATGGAGACATGGAGTTTCTGTGGTTAGTTTTGAAGCCCCAGAAAACAGGATCATAGGGATTTTTTTCAGGGCATGTTGGCTTTGAGGATACGTGATTGCCCCAAGTTTGGGTAATTAACAAGAATCCGGGTGGATCCCGGGAGATAGACAATTGGGGATTTTAAAGTCAGGTAAGATATCAATTTTGAAATTAATTTTCACCATGAATATTTATTTTTTCAGATCTCGAACATGGATTACAAGTTGACTTCAAAAATACAAGCTGGTCCTCGAACCTGGGTAATTGAAAAATTTTCTGAATTATCCTGAATTTTTTTTTCAAATCTCTATTGTTTTCCCTATTTTTTGCATCTATCCCTAAATTATCTTACAATTTGAATTTGAATTTTTTGTTTTTCATAAGTCATTTTGAAAAATGTTTCAATAAAGCTATTTTTCATCAAATCTTTGCTCGATTTCATATTTTTTTCAATTTTTCAGTTTAAGCTTTTGCTTTTTCATCAAAAACATTTATTGTTGATGAAAAATTAGTAGCGGACAAATAGCGGGAAAATTTTAGAAGCTTCAGAAGCTTTCAGAAGATTTTCCAAACTTCCGGAGACTTGTGGAAGCTTCAGAAGCTTTTAGAAGAATTTTGAGGGGTTTCAGAAGGCTTTTGAACAACTCAAAACGCTTTTTGAGGCTTCAGAAGGCTATTTTTAACCAACACTGATTGTGAGGGGTGAATGAAATTCCTGTAAGTTTCCCTGTAAACTCATTTATTCATTCATCAAACACAAAAAAACTATATTGGTGGCCCTAAAGAGGGCCGTTGGGTTTGTTTGGTTTTGGCCCTTAAGAGGGCCGTTGGATATTTCAACACGTTGGCTGGTTTTGTAGATTCTGAAATATATATTTATATTTTTCTTTAAAAAAATTTTGAATTCAGAGCAAACCTTCGTTACATGTATGATTTGAACATATGAATCACTTCTGTAGCAGATTGTTTTCTGATAATAACTCTTTCCAAAATGCTGAACACAAATTACAAATCTCATACACGTTTTTGAGTGTTTCTCCCAATGTTTTTGACAGATTTTGATCTTGCTTGTATTCCCATACAAGTTGAATGTCATCGTCCTCATTTGGATTATGATTTATCAAATCAAATTTGGCATCAAATTTAAATGCTGTATCTAGAATCCAGGTATTCTCCAGACCCTTTTGTCGTTCTTCTCTGAATAATCATACTTTCCAAAATGCTCAAATCTCAATTTTATTCTTAAAATCGATGGTGGGAGTTGGGGCAGAACATTCAAGCATCAGCGGATTGCTTAGCACGTTTCATGGCCAGGGCGAGGTTTGCAGAGAAGATATGACTTTCGTCAACATCGAAGTGGTTTGTCCGCTTTACATATGATGTATTGAATATTTCGATTTTTGGAATGTTCAGTAGCACAGGTAAGTGTGAGTTATGTAAACTCACCTTTTTGGTTTTGGCATTTAGGTTGAGCATGGCTTGAACTGGACTTTTTCTGAAAAATGAATATAATTTTAAATGTTTTTTTTCTTAAGCAATCAAATACAAATGATCAATAATAAAATAAGTAACATGAAAACAAAAAAAAATTAAAAAAAAAACTTTCGCACATAAATTCTTCTGTTCGTTAGTAGTTTCTCGAAAAATTATTTGTGTCACGAAAAGAAATGCATGAAAAACAGAATTCCACAGCTTTCTCGCGGAAGCTTGAGTTTTTTACGGTAAGTATCTATGAAATTGACGAATACCACATGCATATTCGCCCCATGCTACCCATGCATATCCTCGCCCATCCGATCCAAACCATCCCTTTCTCCCTCTCTCTCTCTTTCTCTTCCCTCCCTTCCTCGCTCCCTCGCTCCCTCCCTCCCTCCCTCCCTCCCTCCCTCCCTCCCTCCCTCCCTCCCTCCACCCACCCTCTCTCTCTCTCTCTCACTCTAATACATAAAAATCAACTAACCTTGGGCTTTTTCAGTGTCAACAAAATTGATCAATACTTCGTGTCGGTCTAGTACGTGGGAGTCTTTGCGCACCTGGATCATAATATTTTGTTTGTGGATTTTCAGACATACGTCCTGAAAACGGTCATGTGTTGCTCAATTAATAAAATGTAAAAAGCATACCATAGTAGAGCCCCCATTGCTTTTCCATTCTCCTATAAATGCTCTGATGAGTACAGCCATATTGTTTAATATATATGAAGACGAAGGAAGCATTGGAACTTTCTGAAAATGAATGATAATGGTAAAATAAAAGCTATCACATATTGATTGGAATTCGGACCTATGTTTCTAGTTCCGAGCTGCATGAAGTTGCAAGTTTAAAAATTTAAAAATTCTAATTCGGCTAATGAGAACCAAAAATCTAATAAAAATAAAAAACATCGCACGAGAAGCTCAAACCCACATACTGAATACTACATTTCAATATCTAGAAAATGAAATTTCGCATTCAAGAAATGTTTTCTCAATACCTACTTTCCTTAAAAAATTTTCCTGAATTTTTTTCTTCAAAATTCTACATTTTAGGAAAACTTCAAGTAAGAAATTATGTGATAAATACATGAAAAAAACTATTATCTCAGAATTTAAAAAAAAATTAAGGATTTCAAACTAACATATTGAAAAACAAACGGAAGTAGTAACTAAATTTGAAAATTGAGTATAAAAAGCAATGCGGAGTTTGTAAGTGTAAAAACAACTGATATAACGAGGTCCCATTTAGTTTTGCTAATATTTATTTCATTTTTAGCCCCATTCAGTCGGGTCCCATTCAGAAAACTATTTATTATTTGATGCAGATTTCGAAAAAATTAAAAAAAGGTTTTTTGCAGGTTACCTTATTTTTTTTTAAAAGTATATGAATATCCAAAAAATTGTGATAAAAATTGCCTAGATTTTCAGATTTCAAAAAAAAATCTTCAACTATTCTCAAAATGAAAGTTCAAACTAACCTTTACATTTATCAAAATACCAAATTAAAAAAATAGAGCAAGCAAAGTTATGTGTGTCAAAAAATAATGAGCAGATACAAACAACACATTAGATAGCGTCCTTCCCAAAGGCTCAAACAAGACAATTTCACCTTCCCAAAAAATAACACATTTGGTCGAAGAAGGCGTTAGACGCAGGGATAACAGGCGTTTTTTGTGTGTTACAACGAAACACACATCTCAAACAACTGCTACAGTAGTTTTCGCGCGCTCTTCGGGAAAAGTTTAGGAGAATTTCCCCCCTTTTCTTCATTTTCGGCTGTTTTGTTATAGGAGACAAATCAGCGCGTTTCGTATATTCGAATCTTATCGACAAAATCAACGGAATTCGAAAAGGTAAGTTTTGGAACAGTTTCACACGAACTTTCGGTCTCGACCGCCCTTCTTTTGAGTCACGACTCAACGATTGAGAACTAAATAATTACATTCTGCTTTCAGAATGTCGCGAGAAGAAGAGGACTTGCGCCAGAGAGCGATAAACTCTCATTCGAGACAATCAACACCTTCCTCGCGAGGCTCCAGTGAACAACAACAACAACAACCATCCGCAAGCGGAACTGCGGTTCCAGTGAATCCGGCCCCACAACCGAAGAGAAACTCTACCCAACAAGGTCTAGCGAAAAGTCTAGCGAATTTTTTCGCGTCTCCACAGGGAAGAGAAGTTTTGAGAGCGGCGCAAGCCGAAAGTCCAGAGGGAGGAGCCGATTTCGACGAGGATATTGAGGACGAAGAGGAATATGAGGACTTGGACGAGGAAGAGGATCACGAAGAACCAGGAGGTCCAAGGGATTCTAAAGACGACGAGGCAGCTGCAAAACCATTTCTAGTGGATTCGTTTGATATTAGAAGGAAAGGTTTTGGGAAACAAATCAAATTCAACAACGCAATAACGAAGAAAATGGTCAAATTGATGTTGGAATTCCCCGAAACCGAAGGGAAAATGGAAGAAATTCTGAAAGAATTGCAATCTCGTTCAATGCTTCTTAGATTTTCCGAAGATTGTCCAACACTGATGGAATTGGTGGACGCGAAACAAGAGGTCGATCAAGTGCGAGGTATCGATCCTCTGCTCGCGGATTGCCTTATCATGGCGCGAAAAGAAGAGGCGAAGACAAAAAGACAACAAGCTGCGATGCAACGGCCCTTTCCAAAAAGGGATGGAAATCGCGGCGCAAGATATCCATCCCGAAACTCCGACAGGCCATCCAGCTCGAACCGACCGTCATCAAGCCAAACTCCATACTCAAGACCCGCACCACCAGCAACATACTCAAGAAACTGGACGAGCTCATCAAAGCCAAGCTTCAGAAAATATTGAATTTTCCGCAGGTAAGCCACATTCGAAATGGGAATTTTGGAACACTATTCCAATTTCTCCTCTGGTTTCTCAAACCATACAGTTCGGCTACGAGATCGAGACAACAGAAATTCCAGACCATTCATTCGTCGAAAGAAATCGCTCTTCCACTCTGACTCATCATGCTTTTGTCAATCAAGAAATCGCAAGTCTTCTCAAATCCGGAGCCGTCGTCGAATCCACCGAAGCCTTGCGTCTCAACCCTCTGCATGTGGTGGACAACGGTAAGAAAAAACGACTCATACTAGATCTGTCCGATCTGAACGAGATCGTAGTTCGGGAGCATTTCAGATTCGAGGATTGGAGTCTAGCCAAACTAGTAATACCAAAAGGGGCCTTTTTCACAACTTTTGACTTCAAAAGTGGCTATCACCACATCCTCGTGAACGAAAAGTCCTCACTTTTGTTAGGTTTTCAATGGAACGGGAGGAAATTCAAGTTTCGCGCTCTCCCATTCGGTTTATCCTCCGCTCCCTTTATATTCACGAAACTTTTACGACCCTGGGTCAAAAAATGGAGGGAATTAGGCTTAGGAATAATTCTTTATCTAGACGACGGATTGATTTGGGACACTTCAGCAGAAAAATGTAAGAGGACCAGCGACCTTATCAAAGCCGATTTGATAAACGCGGGTTTCACGTTCGCAGAAGAAAAATGTTCTTGGGTCCCAAAACAATCCGTGACATGGCTAGGTCTCAGAGTAAACTCAGTAAATTTATCACTAGAATTCGCGGAAGACAGGAGGCTCAGAGCGATAGAAAAAATTGAGGAACTCCTGACCATACCCAGACCATCCGTCAAAGAAAGAATGATTTTTACAGGACTCAGAGCGTCAAGCTCACATGTCGTGCACAACAACATCATGAAGAAGACGAAAAGGATCGAATCATCGGTGGCACTGGCGGATCACCTTTACACACGATTCGCATGGTCTTCGGAGGAAAGAGAAGAGGCCGAAGGTTGGTTAGATATGCTCAAATTTCGTCCGCCAATAAACTTCTTCGAAGATTCAGAAGACGTGGGACCCTGTGATTATGTCTTGGAAACGGACGCGTCAGAATGTCTAACAGGGGCAATTCTGAAATCTCACGATTCTGAAGCAGTATCGAGTAGGCCACTTCCTCAAAATCTCAAAGGAGAATCAAGTTGTAGAAGAGAGCTAGAAGCAATTATAGCGGGCTTGCGCGATTTAGTACAGTCTAACGTGAATTCATTGTTGATTAGAAACGACAATCAGGCAGCGATTAGGATTTTGCAAGCCGGTTCTTTGAAAAAAGAACTCCAGAACGCAGCGCTAGAAATTTGGGAATTCTTAGAATCCAGGGGAATACGACACGAGTTTGAATGGATTCCAAGGGAATGGAACAAGGAAGCGGATCTGGCTAGTAGATCTCCGGACCCAGACGCATGGGCAATTAAGGCGAGCACCGCTAGAATAGTTCAAAAATCTTTAGGATTCTGCGACGTAGATCTCTTTGCCACACGCGAAAATCGAAAATGCGAACGATTTTTTTCCAGATTCGGAGAAGACGGAGCAAACGGAGAGAACGGGCTGGCGGCTCCAAGAAGAATTTGGAAATCAAGCAAAATGTGGTTAGTTCCCCCTATCCGCCTGATTCTGCCCACTATTAGAAAGATGGAAAAGTTCAAAGCAACCGGGATCTTGGGAGTCCCCATGTGGCCAAGCCAACTTTATCTAGGAAAACTCAAAGATAAGAACGGGTGGAGAAACGAAGTCAGAAAAGGAATTCGTTTTCCCAAGGGAGCGAGCATTATAGTTCCAGGCGGAATCGGTACAGCTTTCGATAGCGAATTTCTGAAATCTGATTTTGTTTTTCTTCTTCTAGATTTTAGAGAGACAAAAGAACCAAAAGGTTTCTTGCCTTCAGCAAGAAACCCTTGACAATTTCGAAGTTTTTTAATATACTAATGTTATTATGTTGTATTAATTTGTCTCCAGAACAAATAAAGCCTGTTATCCCTAGTAGAAGCTTTCGAAGACTAAATGTGTTTTTGTCGTAGGAACGGAGACAAAAATAACACATTTGGTCGAAGAAGGCGTTAGACGCAGGGATAACAGGCGTTTTTTGTGTGTTACAACGAAACACACATCTCAAACAACTGCTACAGTAGTTTTCGCGCGCTCTTCGGGAAAAGTTTAGGAGAATTTCCCCCCTTTTCTTCATTTTCGGCTGTTTTGTTATAGGAGACAAATCAGCGCGTTTCGTATATTCGAATCTTATCGATCAGCCCTCCCTCCTCCTCCTTTTTTGGCTTTCCAAAAAAGCAAGAATTTTTAATTTCCAGATCCCAGATTCGAGAAAGTCAAGGAGATTTTCAACGGAGATGAAGCCCAAAGACTCGATTTGTGGCAAAACGTGATCAATTGCCTCGAAAAAGACAGGGCGCCAACCACCATCAAAATCTACGAACACACTATGCGATCCTACATTCGATGGAAACAACGATCAACACCTCGAGGAATATTGGGAGAAGACGAGTGTCGGCTTCTCTTTCTGGCCGAGCTCATCAAGAACGAGAAAGCAAAATCCGCAATTTCCGCAAACTGCGCTCTCAACTATTTCATGGGCCCGGTGTCAAAACCGAATCGATCGTTGCTGAATTCGATTATTGAGGCGGCCAAACGATCAAAAAGCCCCACAAAACATCGCGAGAAAGTGGAGCCCGAAGACTACTCCAGCTTCACAAACATCCAGGAATTCGATCGAGATTCATTGCGAGTGGCAGCGTTGGGCATCGTGTTATTCAGGGGTTTGTTACGGATTAGCGAGGCTTTGAATTTGCGGAAGGAGGATGCGGAATGGGAGCGCGGAGAACTGAAGATTTCGATCAGGACCTCGAAAACGGACAAATATCACGAAGGAGCCAAAAGATTGTTGGTTCTGTCATCAGAAGAACAAGCGATTTGGCGCGCCCACTCGAAAAACAGCGACAACACCACAAACCCATACATTTTCCAAAATTGGAATTCGAAGACAACTTCGATGTCTTATAACAACGCCAGGAAAGTGATAAACGACCGTTGGAAAAAGTGCGGAAAAGCAAAAAATTATGGAACTCACGCTTTTCGCGGGGGAGCAGCTTCAGCCGCCATAAACGAAGGAGTTTCAGCCGAGAAGGTCCTCAGCTTTGGAAGATGGAAAACCGAGAAGGCCTTCAGAGCATACGTGAAACCAACCACTAGAATATCAATTCCAAGATCTGCGCCAGCTCAACTTGACAAGCGATCGTAAGTCTTAAAGAATCTATACGAAAACGCGGCTAATTTAGCCAAAAGAATTGTGAAAATTTAATAAATTTTTTCAGATCCATTTCCGCCAACAACGACTGCTGATCCGCTCCCATCATCGTTCTACTCATCTCCGTGTTTGTTTTTCCTCACCTCACACCAACAAGTCGTCGGCCCCAAGCTCCACCGACTGGTCCAGAATAATTTCGTTTTTTGAATGTTCAAATTTTTAGTCAGTTTTGCTAACCGGTAAATTGTTCACGAGCCGCTCGGCTCGTGAAATCTCGTTTAATATACTAATGTTATTATGTTGTATTAATTTGTCTCCAGAACAAATAAAGCCTGTTATCCCTAGTAGAAGCTTTCGAAGACTAAATGTGTTTTTGTCGTAGGAACGGAGACAAAAAAAGTTATTATATGTAATATGTAGGCGGTAGTGCTCTTTTTATCATACTAATCTGTTTTTTTTAGTTTATTGATTTTTGTTTGAAAAAAATTATTTTTCGAATTGTTATAATGAAAAATTCAAAAATCAAAATTTTGCTGCTGAATTTCAATTTTTTATGTCCTCATTTTTTTAATTCTAGAGAAGAAATATTCAAAAATCAATAATTCCACATTATACTGAAAATATTGTCTTCAAACATGCAAACCTTGTAAAACACCGTGAAATCAAACAATTAGCTATAATGTAGCCAGCTACATGCATAAAAGTATGCATGTTTCTCTGCGTCTCTTCCTTCTCTTCAACCAGAAGAAGACACACTAAACACAGTGCATTGCCGGCGTCCTTTTTCGACTTGTTGTCTCGTTGGATTTTCGACGCCAATCTATATTTCTGTGTGTGTGTGTGGATCTGTGGATCGTGGATCGTGGGTGGAAAATCGAATCTTGCCGATTTGGATAGTTGCTGCTGGATTGTTGGTGGATCTTCATTAAGAGGAAGTTGGTGGACTTGTTGGTGAATTTTTGTGTCTGGGCTTGAGGTTAGTTAATTGTTCATGCTAATTTTCGAATATGAAAAAATGTTTTTCAATTTTGTGTTTTTTTCCAGATTCTCAAGAAAATCTCAATACAATCTTCTCGATCTTCCTACTCAATCACTTATTGTATCTCGGCGTGCGAAATTTTCAAAATCCGTGGTGTTGGATTTGTCGGATTGTCGTTGGAGCATTTTCGAGTTTGCTGTGCTGTTCTGATTTTTGAATCTGTTTGAAAATCTGAAAAGGGTGAGTTAATTCTACCAAAACAAAAAAAATCGTAATTTCTTACTCGCTCCTGAAAAAATTTCAAAAGATCATAAAACTTTTGAAATTCCTAAAATGAAATATTTTTTTGCAGAAAATGAGCTCAACAACAACAACTTCGACAGAGTCATGTGAACCGAAATGTCTTGAGACGGAGGAACAAAAAAGAAAGGAATATCTGCGATTTGATTCGCAAGATCCAAGTTCAATACCGGCTGGAAGTTTTGTCATGTACTTGGTGGATGAAAGCCTCGAATTCCCGAAGAACTTGACGCCAGAAGTCAATGCTGAACTTGTCAAGAATCTTACATTGGGATTAATGGAAATGGCAAAACTCTTTGAAGCACCGGTGAGTTGATTTTAAAACCTGAAATGAACAGGATTCAAAATTGAATTACATTTTGCTGGGAAATTTTTCAAGTTCCCCATTTTTTCCAAAAAAAAAATGATTTGTTTTTGAAAATTTTTTTTTTCAGGCTATCCAAATTGGCAAAACCAAAATAATTTGCAATTTGTTAATGACATATGATTATCATGGATATTCGTTGTTGAGTGGATACACAAAAAATCTTTTCACCATGAGCGAACAAATTTCAAAACGGCTTCCGTCATTCAAGTCAGAAGATATCGCTAGGCTCCTACAAAATTACACACCGGTCTTGATTGTTGTCAATTCGGAACCGAGTGCAACGAGATATCGTCGAGCCATTCATATCATGTCGATTGGAGCATCGTCTTCATTTTTCGAGGTTGATTCGGGGAGAGTATGTTTGTTTTTCTTAATTCCGAAAAATCTGAAAAACAAACTATTTTCAGATCACAATATTGGAAAATGTTGACAACACGATGGTGACAAGAATGCCGCAAGATTTGTTGAATGTTCCGCCGGCGATTTTGGAATACCGCATGGAGAATCAACTATATTATAAATTTTTGGTGAGTTTGAACATTTTTATGAGCTCTGAGCTCTATAAAATTCAAAAAATGTTGGCTCATTTTGAGTTTCAAGCTCATGTATTTTAATTTAAGATTACATAAAATATGTATCCGAAAACTCCTCAACTCCTTTGAAAAATAATTTTCAGAGACATCCATATTGCAAGACACAATTCAATCGGATGGGCTTGCTGAAATCGCTTGATATTGTTTCATTTGACACCATTAATCGCGGCGAGGGAATGGGCACAAAAGGACGAGCGGTGGTGAGTTTTTTTTTGACTTGGGATAACTTGAATATTTCCAACATGCACATATTTTTATAGGGCTGATTCACAAGCGAAAAAAATTTTTTTCAACATTTAAAGATCAATCGAAAAAACATTGTTGTTCAAAATTAGTTTTCCAAGTTTTTCAGCCAAAAATGATGACAAATCGATATTTTTCAAGCTTCTGGAGTAATTTCCGATTAAAATAAGCTTTGAGAACCCTATTTTGCTTTATTTTATGAATTTTTTTAACGAAAAATCAGCAAAACCTTCTGGAAAGTGAATTCCAAGGTCAATTTTCATCAGAAATTACTCCAGAACCTTGAAAAATATCGAATTGTCATCATTTTTAGCTGAAAAACTCGAATTTTGATCTACAATGTTTTGACTTTTCGTGAATTGAATTATCAATTTAAAAAAACATTTTTTTGTTCGTGAATCAGACCTTATAAAAATTCAGTTTCAACATTCTAAATTTCGAACTCCATTCAAAAATCAATAATTGTTTTCAGGTGTCAGAAGTCAAAGAATCGATTGCCGGAGAAACTGATTTTTACTTGTCACTCTGAGTTTTTCCAATTTCTTCGTCATTTGCATTCTCTCAATGTTTGGATGTTTCCCCATTGCTTTTTTGATTTTCTCGCCGATTTTTGTGTCCTTTTTTCATATTTTGCTCGGATATTTGTAATGCCCCCTCGATTTTTGACCCTTTCTCCTCTTATTTAATTGTTTTGCTGCGAAATATTGTGACATTCGTATCATAATCACCCTTTGAAAGCTTTTCGGGTCGTTTTTGTGTAAAACGTTTTCCCAATTTTCCCCTGGTCCCATGGAATTGCCGGTTTTATTTTTCCCCATCTTCAATCTATCATCTTCAATTTATGGTCCAATTTTTTCCCACTTGCTAGCCCTATTTTTGTGTGTTTTTTAACACAAAAAATCTTTACTATGTATTTCCCAAGTCAAAATCCGGTGCTCGGAAATTATACCTCTCCTTTCTCCTATTCATAATTTTTTTTAATTCTATTTTTTGGCTTTCACATTCTTTGCCAAGTATTTTGTTGTTTATAGATAAATTCCAGTTTTTTTTCAGAACTAATTTTTTTTTATTTTCAGAAAAAATTACAGGAAAATTATATAATCTACAAGCAAAAAGGATCTGTTGTGAGCAAAAATAATGAGCAGATACACACAACACATTAGATAGCGTCCTTCCCAAAGGCTCAAACATGATCACCTTCCCAAAATATAGTTTTTATACATATGTATTAGGTATATGTAATATGTATGTGCATATGCTCTTTTATGGTCACTTGTTTGATTTTTCGAATTTATTGATTTTTTGCCATTCGAAAATCAGATTTCCAGTATCTTCTACCTGAACAAAAAATGAATTCTGACAACTCAAAACTCCCAATTCAGCCTCTGAAACTCTACCAAATTGTAAGTTTTTTTTCTCGAAATCCATTATTCAATTGATGAAAATTATATTTTGCAGTGCAATCTTCGAATGATTGAACAAATGATAGAAAAAATAAATCAGAGGCCAAAACAAACAGATTTTCAATATTGGATGTTTGGTTATTTTCTTCATTGGATGTCGAAAAAAGCGAATACTCAAGTAAAATTTATATATTAAAATTGATATGAAGAGTTTGAAAATTTCAATGTTTTTTTTCAGGAATCTTATCAATATGTCTGTAAATTGTTCAAAAAACTGTATATATATAAACAGAAGGTTTGGAATAACTATCCAAGGCTTGAAAACGGTAAATTTAAAGCCTTGCATTTGGAGAAGTTTTTCAATGATGATGAAGAAGAAATAGGTTTGTAATTTATACCAGGACTAATATTAGACCCATAAAAATGAATTTCCAGTTTACCTGTATGATGCGCATATAAATGAAGAACAAATAGGTTTGTTTACACATTAAAAACAGAACCATAAAAATAAATTTTTAAATAAATTTCCAGCTCAACTGATTTCTTCAAAAAGAATGACCGATTTCACATTGGAAGATATTATTAAACTTGGCAATTTGATAAATGAATACGATGTTGTAGGAATGAGTTGCCTCGAACCACCATATCCATATATGCCAGGTTTCAAAATAGTGATTGAAAATTTTCCTGGTGAAGTATGTCTCCAAAAAATGACAACAGATTATCAATTTCTGAATGCGGCATCATTGATTCTAGAAGAAAAACTACATGATAAGTATTCAACAATGCTTCATTCAGATGGAGGGATTTGTTCTGGACAAAATCGCCTGCATATGATTTTTCGAACACCAAACGATCAAGCTGTATTCAATCAATTTTTATCGGAGTTTTTTAGCGGTTTGGACCAGGTACACTGTGCTCCAGATTTGTGGCATTATTATACTTGGAGAAACCCCTGTGTGAAAGAAACGTTGTATTATACGCAAATGAATCTTGACGTTCATTTTAAATTAAGATGAAAGCGATTCCACTCTTGAAATTTTTTTAAAAATATTTTTTGCCATTTTTAAAAAGCTTAAACTTATCAAATATTTACATACAAATGGATTACTTATTTTTCTTGTTTTTTTTTCAAATAATCATTTTCATAATAAATAATTTGTTTGAATTGAATTTTTAGAGATTTTTCTCCAGAAAGAATTAGGCTGATTCGATTTTGAACGTTTCGAAAAATCAAGTTTGTTTATGAAAATTGCGAGAAAAAATTGTTTCAGGTATTAATTCTAGGCTGATTTGGACTCAAGAAATACAGCTTTTCCGATCCAGAAATCTAGGCCTATCTAGGCTTGTAAAATCCAACTTTTCCAGCCCCAAAAACCGAATTTCTAAGCTTGAAAATCTAGGCTGATTTGGACTCAAAATTGAGATTTTCAGGCCGAAAAAGCTAGGCTTGTCTCATTTTCTAGCCGAATTTTCTAGCTTGAAAATCTAGGCTCATTTGGACTCAAAAAGAACAGATTTTCAAGACTGAAAAAAATCTGGGATCCTCAGCTCTCCAAAAACTGAACACTGAAGTCTAATTGTATTTGACTTCCTGAATTCAGGCAAAAAAAAAGTTTTTTTCAAATTTGAACTTTGAAATTTTCCGAATTCAATTTCAGCCTAAAAATCCCTATTTCTAATTCTAAGGTAAGTAAGAGTTCTTTCCGAAAAACCAGCCAATCAGAGTTCGAGGCTCCGCCCCTTTTTTCAAGGGCGCTTGTGTTGAGGCCAGTTTTTCTGTAAATTTAGAATATTCAAAACATTTTCACTTCCCAACATTTATTATATCGAAAAACAACAAAAAGAGGTTACATAAAAAACAAAAGAGGTGTGGGAAAAATGGGTGGGAAGTAGAAAAATTGCTCAATTAATTCCAATAAATTTTCCAAACATCTCTGAATGCATTGAGATCAGTTGTGAGAAGTTCCATCATAGCACTGACGATTCCAGAATAAGGGAAATTTCGGATATCTTGAGCTTCCTGTGGTAGTTCACTGATTGGTTCGACGTAGACCGCGTAGTCAAGAGCATCATCGAACATTGCTTTGAAGTTGATTTGAGAGAACATGCAGACATCGTGGAGGAATATCAAATCAAAATCTTTAGTGTTTGCTTCTTCGTTCAAAAATTCTTCAATGTATTTAGAATTTTTGATTTTCGCGCAGTTTTTTCCGTTCGCCAAATTTCCCATACACAAATACATTGTCAAAAATCGAGGGTCCTGTTTGCAAACATCCGGAGCAATGTTGTAAAAGTCTTGAGAATCGTTCTTGAAGTGTTTGGCAAAAACAGGGTTGACACCTTTTACACGATATCTAGCATCGACTTCGAGAATGGCAAAAAGTAGAGCAACGGTTAGAATGAGATGGAGTAGATGAGCCATTTTTCTCTTGAAAAGAAAAAGAGGGATGAAAATGAGTGGAAAAAATGGCTTATGTATGGTTTTTAAGCTCCGCCTATTTTTGAGGCGATTTTTGGTGCAGCTGAAGTCAAAAATCAAAAAATATTAGAATCAAACATCTTCTGAACAACGAGGAACTTTGACCAAGATTCTGAATAATGAGAGGCTATTTCAGAATTCATAAATTTTTCCAGAGCCTTGCGAATTTCTAGATCTTCATGGTGACTTTAAGAGCTCATTCTAGGGGTTTTTTAAAATTCTCCAAGACAAATGTGATGATCAAAATTTCAAAAAAGTAGCTCCAAACTTTTCGAGTACTGTAACTCATTTCAGACAAAATAATTTTCAATTTCTGATTGTACAGCGCTGTTCAGCAAGTTCGTTTACCTAATTTTAAGATACAAACTATCTGAAAATTGTTTTGAAATTTTAGATTTTTACTATCGTAATTTTACTTTTTCAACTTCAAGAGACTGAATTAAATTTTTTTCAAAAATCAATAACAAAGTTTTGAGCTCACCAAATTGGCTTTTCTGAACACAACACTGTGAACTTAGAATTCAGAAATAGTGTCTCTAAAATAAATTACAGAAAATTTAGACTTTGCCACGTCACATCTATGTTTTGGGCAATATTTTTTTGCATCCAAAATATTCTTCAAACTTCCTTGTTCTTTTCCATGGTTTGAACTGCGGCTTAAACTACGCACTCGATTTGACCAAAACATAGATTAATCCGAAGCAAAGCTTATCAAGGATAATAATTTTGTTGTTCGTGGGCATGGATTAATCCACAAGGCCATGGATTGAAGATCTGCTGATTATTTTTGGAGATCACTTTGGAAACTGAAACCATCGGTACCTACAGATTTTGTACAGTACTAACTTCAGATTGAAATTATAAAATTCAAATTTCCGAAAAAACTTGGTAGAAAAACAAGTTGAAGAATATTTTTGAAGGAATACCAAGAATGTTTATTTTTCTTGCTAAACAAAACTTTTAAAGTTATCCTAACTCGAATCAATTGTTCTCTCATCAATATTATGAAAGTTTTTTGAATAAACAAGAAGAATCTTCTGAAATTAACAGTAATCTTGAGATACGTGCTTTTTGATTCTATGGATTAAAAATATAAAGATCACGGTATTCCCTTGACCAAAATAAATGTTAATCTTATTAATTTGGACGTTGCGATCGTTTGACGTAGATAATCCTATAGGGATTGAAAATCATAACACATTTCGATGTTTTGAAATAGCCAGAGATCAGGGATTCGAGGGAAACATCCAAATGTAGAGTTTGGTTTGTTTCAGGAAAAAAACTTTATTTGAAAAATAAAATTTAGCACGGACGAAGTCTCATAAAATGCAAATATAAATGATGTTCATATTTGGAACCTACATCTAAGTTTATGGTTTAGGCTCAAATTTTCAGCAGTAGACTTTGTCTTAAACTCCTTCCCTTCGCATCTTTTTGCTTTCAGATGAACCCATTTCCGCTCAAAAACATACATACACCAAAACAAAATGAATGAGAATCGGAAAATATATATTAGAAGGTGGTGGCGAGTTTCTCTAACTCTCTTAGAAACACCTTCTCTTTGTGAATTTGGTGATTTCTAGGTTATTTTTAAGTGCCCCTGGCTCATTTCAACCTGGTTCGTAGTTCTAGGGATTTTAATTCTAGGAAGATTAGAAATTGGGATGGAAAAAATCATAGGATTCAAAAAAATTATAATGAAGTTTTTTCAGAGCTTTCTAGAATTTTTTCTAAACTACTTTTAAAATTCTGAAATTTTCTGAAAAAAAAAACAATTTGAAAACTAATATATTTTTGTGTCTCTAACTTTTTTGCGCCTACGTCTCTCAATTAAAACCAGGCATGTTCATTTTGCCGGCTACGCCGCCGTTTTGCCGTTTCAAAAACGGCGACAGCAGCCGCTGCCGTTTTGAAAAGAATCAACAAAACAGCATGCCGCAGCTGCCGTGCCGAAACGCCGGCATTGCCGCTCCCATTTTGAAGAAATGTCTCGAAATCATCAAAAAATTTCTCCAAAAACACTATGAAATAATGAAAAAAGATAGCTAGATTTACGCGCACGCGAGACTACTTAAATAAATTGTGTGTGCGACGGTTTTCGGGTTGCGCGCTGTTGTGTCTGTTGTGTGCAGGGGGCGGAGCGACGACCTTCTCCTTCCCATTTTGAAAAACGGCAGCCGGCCGGCATGCCGCGGCTGCTGTTTCTCTGCTGTTTCTTCTTTGCTGCTCGGCCAGCGAAACGGCGAAGCCACGCCCACACGGCTGCCGTGCCGTCCGGCCGGCGGATGAGATGCACATGCCTGATTAAAACACCCTCTCTAATTAAAATCTGCCAACTTCTCGCTGCAACCAAAAAAACTATATATTTCTCTGTGCACCCTCTCCATTCTCCACACTCTCTTCTTTTTTTTTTCTTCCCCCTTTCCACAGAAAATAGAGAAAGTGCGCTCTAATGATAATAAATATGCGAGAGGAAATGTTTGTGATTTTCCTTTTTCTCCAGTCATTTTTTATCGTTTCTTTTCATTTCTCTGTAATTTCGAACAATGTTTTCAGTTATTCCGGTGCTTTGGATGAAAATCAGCAACAGCAACAACCTGTAAAAAAGCGACGAGCTTCCAGAACAGCGGCGGTCATTGAAGAAGCATCCAGAAAAAGCAATGCTTTTTGAGTGTTTTAAAACAGGTAAGATTTTAGCTTAAAAATTTTTTTGAATCAAAGATATTTTTTCAGAGTTTGAAAACCGGCTTTATGCCGGTTCGGAGGATACGTTTAGGCCCCATACTTGGGTAATTAAACGTAACCCGAGTGGATCCCGGGAAAAAGCAGTTGGAAGTTTTAAAATCAGGTAAGATATCAATTTTGAAATTCATTTTCACCATAACGATTCATTTTTTTCAGAGTTTGAAAATCAATTGCATGTTGGCTTGGAGGCATGGACGAAAATCAGCAATAGCGAGGAGTCCGCTGAAGTTTGAAAAGACGCTAATTTTGGTCGAGCAATAGGTGAGTTAGCTTAACTATTTTGCTTTGAGGCACCTTAAGTGGCCTTATGAATTCTCAGATTTTAGAATTGAAATGAAATGTTTTTTTCAGAATCAATAAAACGCTGGAAAAGAATGCCGAGGTTATTGACAACTATACAAAGGGAATTTGGAAAATGCCATGGATCTATTGAGTTACTCTGGTTAGTTTTGAAGCCCCAGAAAACAGGATCATAAAGAGTTTTTTCAGGGCATGTTGGCTTTGAGGATACGTGATTGCCCCAAGTCTGGGTAATTAAACGTAAACCGGGTGGATGCCGTGAAGATGCATGTTGGCTTTTTGAAAACAGGTAAGATAATATTTTTGCATTTCTTGGCAAACTATAACGATTATTTTTTTTCAGAGCTTGAAAATGCTCTTTATGCCGGTTCGGATATCACGTTTTATGTGGGTAAATAACACAAATTGCCCTGCATTTTGACTTTTTGAAAACAGGTAAGTTAATACTTTTCGCATTTTTTGGCAAACTATAACGATTCATTTGTTACAGGACTTCAAAATGGTCTTCATGTTTCCCAGCACCCCTATTTCAACAATTTGATAATATTTAACTGGATCATTTTTTTTTGATATAGTATGGTGATTTTTTTGAATTATTCTGTTATAATCACTTTCCAAGTCTAGTTTTTCTCAATTTGCATTTCTAACTTTTTTATTGTTTATTCTAATTTTTTTCTTATTTTTTCAATAAAATCATTTCACAGCTTAAGGGCATCCGGTCCGCGGCGGACCTGTGACAGACCTGTGAAACACTCGTGGGCAAAACACCTGTGACAGGTCTGAGACGTGTCGATTTTGACCTGTAGCCCCACCTGTGAATGACCCGTAAAAGACCTTTTTTCTAATTTTTGGTTGACCAACTACAATTTTTTGAACAATGTTAGAATCAATAAAAATTTATTAGAAAATTTTTAAAAAAATTAGAAGAACTTATTTTTCATGGTATTTTCGATGCATCTCTTTGATTTGCGGGGAAGTTGGGTGCGGTGGCAGTTGGAGCAGGTTCTATCATTTAATACATTTTGACCAACACAAGACACAGTAAAGGCAATTCCTTGAATCCACAATTCTTGGTGACACCAATCTGTCGCTCATTTCATCGTGAGAGAAGACTGTGTCAGCTGGAAGTTGCTTCTCAATGTGCTCTCAAGCAAAGTCCATCTTTTGGGCAAAGGTTCCTCTGTTGATTTGAATTCCGACTAAATCAGTCTTCTTTTGACGGCGGTTGAGGAACTTCATCTGAAAATAAAAAACCATTAGAATCCGACTTTCTTATTCATGTTAACAAACCTGCGTGTGATCAGTGACATGGATAAACTATGCTTTTGAGCTTGTTGAAGTCGGATTCGATGAGTTTCTTTCCATCTTGATCTTGCCATTCTAACACAGGTGATATCCTTGTTTTTGAGGCAGTCTATAAATTTATATTACGATTACGTAAATTAGTAAATTATAAGTTGTGACGAATTCAAGAATCAAGAAACGACATGTCATTAAAACTTTTTCAACTCTAACAGGGAACTTCCGAGAATAATTCATTAAAATTAGCTAAAATTGAGTGCAACTGCGAAATATATTCGTTGAACTATTTGAAAATTGAAAAAATCAACGAAAATGAAAAATTATATTTCCAGGTCTAAATTCATGTTTTATGAATAAATTTTCAAGTTCTAAAGAAATTAGCTGCTTGATCCTAGGTGGGCAACATGGTTTATACATGTTTCGCAGCTTCAAACACTTAATTTCTCGATAAAACGTGGAAAACACAAAAAAAAACGAAAAAAAAAGAAAAAAAATCAGCGGTGTGCATTTCGTCCGAGAGAAATCCACACACATATCGCTGCAGGACCTTTTCATTTAATTGCATGCGCCTTTAATTTTTTACCCTTTAAAACCATTTTGGTGGAAAATGGTAAACACCATTCGACGCAGAATTTCGAGCTGAACAAAATGATTATAAATTCATCTAGTGTTTTGACCGATTTTCAATTTTTAGGTTTTTGAAGAATTTTATTTTATTTTTTGAACTTCCCTCAGCTACATCACAAAGAGTTTTTGACGCCGCTGAATATTTCTGATCAAAACGTCGACATCCTAAATAATGAGCCGGAAATCGGGAATTTTCGAAAGAAAAAAAATATTTTTGGAAGCCTACAACTTATGCTAGAAAAACTGCTTAGCAGCTCTGAGAATCGGTCAGCAAAAGTAGAAACGGGTTCTTTCTCAGAGTTGAAAACTATCAAGCGATTGATCTCTCTTTGAAAATGTCTCAGTGAACACACTCTTCCCTGTCGCACTGGTCCACTATTCTTCTGATTTTTTCATTTTTTCAGTTATTGGTCAAAAATGAATCAACTTTCCTACAGGTCATTCACAGGTCATTCAAGGGTCATTTCACAATTTATTCTCTCAACTTGAAAAACTACCCACAAAAGACCTGTAGAAGACTTTTAAAAATACTTGTAGAAGACCCGTAAATCACCTGTACAAGGGAAAAACACAAAGTATCTGTAAACGACCTGTGAACCACCTGTGGTTGACCCACGGAAGACTCGTAAAACACCTTTAAATCTTGTCGGTCGGTTACAGGTCTTTCGCGGATCGGACGCCCTTAAGCTGTGTTGTCATTTAAAAAATTGTGAAAATTTTTCAATAAGAGTTGTTATCATCAGCAGAAGTTTCTGCTCTCTGGATCATTTTTCATTAAAAAAAACATTTATTGGTGATAAAGAGGGTCCCACGGATATATAAGGGTCCGAAAAAAAATATAGGGGTTTGACAATTTGTTTGGTCAAAAGTTGTAAATGTCTCGATTTTTCAGCAAAAAAATTGGAGAGAAAAACAGTCGCTATGTTTTCTGAAAGTTTACTAAGCCTAAGCCTAGGCTAATGGAGAATGGAGAAATTTACGTTTGGTTTTGGATGTTGATTTATTAATAATTTTCATTGGAGCTACAGAAAAAGAAAACATGTAAACAAGAAAAAAAAAGTGAAATACATAAAATAATAACAGAATGAAGAGGTATACTGTGAAGACAAAAAAAGAACACGTTAACAATTAGGCTTAGGCTTAGTGAACGCCTAGAAAGATGAATGTTGAATATTAAAGATCTTCTTCATCTGGATTATACATTCTCATCTCATATAAAAGGGCGTTGAGACATTTGCCTTTCCATTTTCGTTTGAATATATACTGGTATATACATATATGTTTGCACCGATGAATGCGGAATTCCATAATATTGTTTGAGAGATGTTTTCAACGCTCGCCAAGTGGATTCAATTGATTGAGTGTGAACTCTGGGGTCGGTGGGGTCCACAAAGTTAACTTTGTGATTGACGAACTTGTGATCATAATCTTCTTGCAGGTTTTTTATTCCTCCATAAGCTCGCCATCCATCAGAGACTATAAGTGTTCCGGGTTCCACGTGTTGTTGAATCAAAGGTAGCAGTGTCGCCGCATCTCTTCTCGGTACTTCCATCATCGCCACATCGTCTGTGCCCCTTTCGATAAGTCCAAAAATCCAAATTTGTCTCCGATTCAGCATTCGTCCTCTGTTGTATTTCGCCCTGTACAGTAGCGACTCGTCAATCTGAAAAAAATGTATTAAACGGAATTTAGTGAATAAGTGTACATCTACAATTTTGCCTTTTCCTCCTTATTTTCGTGTCACCAAATTACGCTCGAAATTCGATTGTGCCAGATCACGGAAATCTTGGAACACATCTGTAATCGTGTTTTTAGATGTCCCAATCTGGCGGCTGACGTCTTCGATTTTCATAACAGGGCTGTGACACCAATATGAGGCCACTTTGAGAATTGTTTCCACTGATGATTTTCTATCCACGAAAAATGAGCCTTCTCTGTAAAAACTGTTTTTTCTTCCAACACATTGACAATTTTTGATTCTGGAATGTATTTTTTTTTGATTTTCCAAAACTTTCTGAAATTTAGAGCAAACCTTATACACATTTTAGTTACAGCAACTTGAAAGATTCACTTCTGTATCAGATTGTTTTCTCTCCAAAAAGCTAACAATGATAATGTTATTCTCTGATATTTTTTGTTTGGATTATTGAAGAGAAACCTCAATACAACGAAAAAACTAGAAAAAAGTCTACTGGTGGATGAAAAAATGATGTCAGAATCAAAAATACAAAATCGCGGATATATTCGATGTTTTATCATGGAAGATCAGGCTTCACAGAACTTGAAATTTGGTCAACTAAAAGACTAATCCTGGTCAATTTTTGATTTTAAGAAAGGTCCATCACATTTCACCGGTCAAAAATGAGTTTTAACATGTGTTTTCATCGAATAGTAGGGAGGGGATATTGTTTTGTTCGCTACTGTATCCTCTATGTTGATATTCGACCCGATAAAAATAATGGGTCACGTTTCCAAAGGCCGATCGTAATTCGAAGATAGCAAGCATCAGGTTTTCCCCAAAGTTTTTCAAATGGAGATCTGAATCATTTCAAATTTCAGAATACAAATAGGGAAAGCAAAACCTTACCATCTACAACTAACTTCATTTTTCTTAGTTGAGTTCGCAAATGTTGATGATTGAAACAATTTTTTTTAAAATAATATTCAATAAACTAACCTTTTGCATGAATAATATCCAATATATATTTGAAGCGAAAGTTCATTGCTTGATTTTTAGAATGATAAAACTCGCCAGTAGGATGTTTTATCTACCCTGTCTTTTATCTACCCCATACGCTGCAAAAATCATTGACTTACCGGAACTCTCCATGAAAAAAAATTATTTTGAAGTTGCTCAACATTAAATTTCTTTTGGGTTAAGAGATGCCAATATCTTCGGATTCCATCAGTTTCGGCATCAATTTTGAATTTTTGTATCAATTTGGATGTTCAAACTTCAATGCTCTTACAACATAAAAAGTGGAAAAATAATCTAGAAGTAAATTTTAACAAAATAATAATTGATCGCTTGGATTTTTTTTCTGGCGAATTATGTTAAGTACGCTGGATATAATTCCCAAGGCTCTGAAAATAGATTCAATTTCACTTTTTTTTAAACAAGCAAGTATTGTGATGAATAAAAAACATTAACAAAACAAAAAAACAAGCAAAAAAACCTCATCCCTTTTTGAGGAAAAAATAGTCCGGCCTCAGATGTAAGGCTTTAGATAACTAAAAACCAGGCTCAGGCTGCGCGGAATTCCGCGGCACCTGACGCAAGCAAAAAATCATAAATTATTTTTTTCACTCAAAATTCAAACTAAATTTTCTAACTATGAGTATGACTATTTGAAACACTGTGATATAATTTACTAAAATTTCAAACTTCAAAAAATCTTGATCTATTTTTCAAATTAAAATTCAAACTAAATTTTTTGATGCAAAAGTTCATTGCTTGATTTCTATGAATTCCAAATTCGCCAGTAGGATGTTTTACCTACCCTGTCTTTTGATACCCTGCTAGAATCATTGACTTACGTGAACTCTCCATGAACAAAAATTTTTTTGAAGTTGCTCAACATTGAATTTCTTTTGGGTTAAGAGATGCCAATATCTTCGGATTTCATCAGTTTCGGCATCAATTTTGAATTTGGTATCAATTTGGATGTTCAAACTTCAATTCTCTTCCACTCTAGACATCAAATTGATTCCTTTTGTTGTTCTTCTTTGAATAATAATTCTTTCCAAAATGCTGAAAATTCCGATTGTATAATGAGTTAGATCTAATTTCAATATTTAAACAAGCAAATTTTGTGATGAATAAAATATGTATAAATTATTTTTTTCATTAAAATTCAAACTAAATTTTGTAACTATGAACATGACTATTTGAAACACTGTGATATAATTTACTAAATTTCCAAATTTCAAAAAATCATAAATTATTTTTTTTCAATAAAATTGAAACTAAAAAAATCAAAATTTCGTAGACTTACTCCATAGAAGCGTTGGCGACCCATCAACTTGAAACGCTCCATCATATTTCTCCAACATAACGGCTATTCTACTGAGTGATCGACGTGTTGACGCGTCGATTCCGTTTCGCCTCGCCAACTCTTAAATATTCATTCTGAAAAAAATTCATTTTTAGTGGCCCAACAAATTTGTGTAAGAGAGAATTTTCAAAATATCAGGAAAATAAACAAGATTTTGTAATCGATTAGTAGAAAAAACTAGAGTGAGGTTTTAAAAATTATAAAAATATAATGAAGATTTTTTATGATGAGCATAAGGGGGCGTGGCGAAGGCGGGTTAAATCTAACACTTTTAGCATTCTGGGAAAAAGTAGATATGGGAAAATGTTTGATGTTTCCGTTGTTTACTTTACAAATCATAACAAACAGCTGTTGTTTTCACCTTTTATGAGAAAAAGTACTTGAAAATAATTCACACATATCAAAGTTTCACACATTTTGGGAAGATTTTTTGAAATATTCTCGCTTGTCAATCGGTTTTCCTCGAATTGTATTTTGAAATTATGTTTTTTATTAAAAATGTTCCCTCTTCAGATTTTTAGACTATTTTTTCTTTCTGCAAATCCACCATTTTATTCAAATCTCGAAAAAAAATTACTAAAAAAATTTATTATTTTTTTTGTTGATCTTTAACAAAAGTTTCCATAATTAGTTGTCACCCTGTACATGACGAGGGTTTTGTTATAAATTGTGTGTATTTGAAAAAATGACTGGGATATCTCAAAATAATTTTTGAAAAGATCAAGTTGTTCTCAAAAACTTTCCGTCAAATATTTTTTGTTTGGGAATAAAGATGTCCCTTCAAATAATTTTTTTCTGAAACCCTAATTTAATTAATTTTCAAATTTCCTCTTTTTGTTTCAATGAATAATTTTGTTCAAATAGAATTCGTAAATTTTTCCAGAGAAATTTTTTTAAAAATCGGAATTTTCCCGAAAAAAAAATTGTTGGGACTTTGAAATCTCTGGCACAAATATGATTTGCAATTAATATAATGTGTGTCAAAAAAAAATGAGCAGATACACTGGCTCAAATCTCACCTGCCCTAAATATAGCTATTATTATGCTCTTATTTCTGTCCTCTTTGGGTTACTTATAAGATTATATTTTATAAAGTTATTGATTTTCTACTGCTTAAAGATCTCAAGTTTCTGGACCTGAACAAAAAATGAATTCTGACAATTCAATTTCCCCAAATCAGCCTCTGAAACTCTACCAAATTGTAAGTTTTTTCTCGAAATCCATTATTTAATGATTGAAAATTTCATTTTTGCAGTGTTACCTTCGAGTGATTGAAAAAATGATAGAAAACATGAACCAGAAGCCAAAACAAACCTATTTTGTCGAAGATTCCCATTCTTCGACTAAATAATTCTTAAATTGTTTTAAGTTTGATCTTTTTTGATATTTTTTTGATTTATCAAATATTTTTAATATATTTCTTATCTTTTTTAATATCCCCAATCTTGTGCCACTCGCCCACACTTTACAGCCCACAGTCTTACAGTTTGTGCAATATAAAAAGCCCTCGATTCCCCACATTTTTATCCTTCATTTTATATTATTTTCCTTATTTTTGCTATTATATTATTGTACCATAAAGCTAATTCATTTATGGTGCATCGACCGGGAAATCGAAAGTTCGACCTATAAATGAACCATGGACTATTCCGAAGATGGAAGCACAGGCACTTTCAATGGCAACCACGAAAACCGAAACAATTGTTCAAGCTTTGCTCAAAGCCAATATGAAAATCCAAAATGTGATATTTTTTGCGACAATGAAGCAGTATTGAAATGGGTTCAAGGACAACCAGGACGAAAAGAAATCGGAACTTTCATATACAACCGATTGAGATCAATGAGATTCGCTGTTTCTCAAATTGAAAGCCGAGAAGTCAAAGTTCAATTTGGTTATGTCAGATCGAAAGAGAATCCAGCAGATCTTGGAACAAGAGGTGTGGACAAATATCCATTCGGAAACTCAATCTGGTGGGATGGTCCGAAATTCTGCCAAGAAGACACCTCAAAATGGGATTCCAAACTGTTCGAAATCAAAGACGAAGGAGGTATCGCACATTTGAATACGGTTTATGAAGTCACGAGTGATGAACAACTGTTCAAATGTGAACGATCAAGCTCCTTGGCCAAATGCAAAAGAATTGCTGCATATGTATTGCGCTTCATATGGAAATCTTCGAAAAATCTACCAGAAACCAGAACCCGACTCAAGAACAATATTATTGAATTTGGCTCAATTTCCGATGGTGGAGAGATTACCGCAGAAGAAATGAAGTCAGCTGAACAATTGCTCATCAAACAACACCAAAAATTAATCAGCGGATCAAAAATGATGAAGTTGAAAGACTTGAATTTGGAAGTGAATGAGCAAGGAATAATCGTGTGCAAAGGACGATTTCAACAAAGTGAGTCGTCAGATGCTGCTAAATTTCCAGTATTGATTGCCGAAAAATCTGAACTAGCTAAACGCATTATACGAGAAGCACATGGAAAATGGCACTCATCAATTGGACACACAATGGCTAATGTTCGCACAAAATATTGGATTCCGAAATTGCGACAACAAGTCAAACATCAAATGGCTCAATGTGTCAAATGTCAAAGATTCAATGGACAACCAATGAAATATCCAAATATGGCAAGTCTTCCAAAATCTCGAGTAATTCAATCAAAACCATTCGAGACAGTGGGAATCGATTATTTTGGACCTATCGACTACAAGACAGACAACGAAACCATCGAAAAAGCATATGGTATCATATTCACATGCTCAACAACTCGATTGATTCATCTTGAAGTCGTCACATCAATGGACACCAGCGCTTTTTTCAATATTGGATGTTTGGTTTTTTTGTTCATTGGATCTCAAAAAATGCGAAAACTCAAGTAAGAAAATTGAAAAGTTTGAAAATTTCAATGTTTTTCAGGAATCTTATCAATATGTCTGTAATTTGTATGAGAAACTAATTCTGTATAAACAGAAGGTCCCGAATAAATTTCCAAAGTTTGAAAATGGTAAATTTAAAGAGATGCATTTGAAAAAGTTTTTCAATGATGAAGGAGAAATAGGTTTGTAATTTACATAAAATTAAAAAAAAATTCAAAAATTCCGTTTCCAGCTCAATCAAAAAGAATGACCGATTTCACATTTGAAGATATAATGAAGCTTGGAAATTTGATCAACAAATCTTCAAAAATCGAATTGAGTTGCATCCAATTATCATTCAGACCGAGTGATGATGATTTATTTCGATTGTCAGATCAAAATATGACAATCAGAAATATTCCCGGTGAAATATGTCCGCAACAAAAAATAACAGATTATCTATTCATGAATGCCACAATATTGATTCTCGAAGAAAAATTACTTGAAAAAGATTTGGAATGGGCTGGTCTCTATGGAGAGATTCCCGCCAGAAAACGTCTACTGAATATACATTGTCGCAACCGACACGATCATCTTTTGATCAAAAATTTTTTATTGAATTTTTTTAGCGAGCACTTCGTCCCGGTGGAATATAGTCTTCCTCACTGCTTTTATTATCATGTGTACACGGGATTTCAGGCTATTCCAGGCAGACGTTCAATGTATTCTAAGGAAATTGATCTTGACTTTTTTGGAGGTGCCAGTGGTTAAAGAGCAAATTCCAGTCAAAATTTCATTTTCCAAATTTTCTCAGCTCTCAAAACTTATATTTTTTAGAAGACACTGTATGAGTGAGAGAGACGCAGAGACAATCCCTGTGTAGCAAGTAGTGAGTGTCTGCGTCTCTCTCTCTCGCGCTGTATTTTCTATTGGGTGGTTTTTTCTCACAACACCTTTTACCATACAAATGTGTCATTTTTGCACCCCTGTTTTTCCGAAAGGCAAAAAAAGGCCAAGTTTTTTGAACATCTGTTTCGCCCCACCCCTTTTTTGCTCACTTTTTTTATTTTTGTTATTTTTTTTTACATACAACATACATATGTTTATGTTGATTTTTTAAAAAATAAATTTTTTTGAATAAGTTTTTAATAAATTTGTCAGATTTTTTATTCTTGGAATGAGAATTAGTCATTTTTGGTGAGAAATGTTTTTTCTTTTTTTTTTCATTTTGAATTAGCTTTTTTTTTGAAAAATAGAAGTTAGGCTTGAAAATCTAGACCTGAAAAATACAGATTTTCAGGCTGAAAAACCTAGGCTTACTAGGACTTGTAGAATCTATGTTTTCAGCCGATAAAAATTCAATTTATCTAGGCTTCGAAAATTTCAAATTTTCAGGCTTGAAGCTAGGATTAGGTAGATCAAAACACATTTTCAAGCCGAAAAAATTTGGCTTATTTGGACTCAATGAATTCAGATTTTTCGGCCGAAAAATCTAGGCTTATTTAGACTCAAAAAACGCAGATTTTTAGGCTCATTCAGGCTTGTAGAATCCAAATGTTCTAGGCCCAAAAATCTAGGCTTCTTCGGGCTCAAAAAAAAAACAATAATTTCGGAAATTGAGTCTAGAGTCATTTCGATTTAAAAAATACAAATTTTGGGCTGAAAATACTATAATTCTGAATTTAAACCCAAAAAAGTTTGCTGAAATTGAACTTTCAAAATTAAATTTCAGCCTAAAATCCCTATTCAAAAATATTCTTATTTTTTTTTCTGAAAATGATTTGCTAGCTCTTTTTTTTATTGGCTCAAGCTTTCCTCTATTCCAAAAATAATCTATAATTTCAGATTCTCCAAAACATGAATCTGGAAATTCTAGAACCACAAGAAGCCCAAGCTCAAGAAAATCCTTTGAAAAACAAAGTTCTAACTTTGAAACAAATTGTGAGTTTTTTTCCTGAATTTTCCTTTTTTTTAAATAAACCCTATTTTTCAGTGCAATTTGAAATTATTTTCAAAAATCTTCGAAAGAATTTATAATATTGATCGAGCTCAAACGCTTGAATATTGGATGCAACGCAATTATATTTGCCATTTAGCAGAAAAAGTTAAAGATGAGGTAAGTCACTTCAAAATTAATTTCTAAAATTCTGAAAAAAAATCGATTTTTTTTCAGAAATCATACAAAGAAATTTGCGAAATGTATGAGGAATTTGTGAAAGATTATCCACATGGAGAAAATGTTGAATATCCGAAGCTTGATTTCGAGAGAAAATTCAACATTCCTGGAATATTTTCGTATATTGATGGGCCTTTGAATTCGGAACAACCGGAAGAAATTTGTGAGTTTTTTTGAATCCTTCTGAAGCCTTCTGAAACTTTCTGAATCCTTCTAAAGCTTTCTGAAGCCTTCTGAACCCTTCTGAAGCTTTATGAATCCTTCCGAAGCCTTTTGAAGCCTTCTGAAACTTTCTAAAGCTTTCTGAAGCCTTCTGAAGCTTTCTGAAACTTTTTAAAGCTTTCTGAAACCTTCTGAAACTTTCTGAAGCCTTTTGAAGCTTTCTGAAGCCCTCTAAAGTTTTCTGAAACTTTTTCAAGCTTTCTGAATCCTTCTGAAACTTTCTGAAACCTTCTGAAGCTTTCTAAAGCCTTCTGAAACTTTCTGAATCCTTCTGAAACTTTCTGAAGCCGTCTGAAACTTTCTGAAGCCTTCTGAAGCCTTCTGAAGCCTTTTGAAGCCTTCTGAAGCCTTCTGAAGCCCTCTGAATCCTTCTGAAGCCTTCTGAAGCTTTCTGAAACTTTCTGAAGCCTTCTGAAACTTTCTGAATCCTTCTGAAGCCTTCTGAATCCTTCTCAATACAAATTTTCCAGCCCAACTTCTTCAATCAACCCTCGGCGGAACAAAGATCACATTAACCCAACTGATCCAATTCGGAAATCTGAAAAACCAACATCTCAACAGAAATCTTGTCAGAATATTAGGATCTGGAGGTTCATATGATTCCTATTTGGCAATCATCGATAACATCCCGGAAGATGAAGAAAATCCACGACAACTTCTAACAGATCGTGAATTTATTTACGGTCTTGTGGATATCGCAAAATTGACTGATCCTGAAATCTCAAATCCAATCAGTGTTTCTCGCAATGAATATTTGAAAAATGCGAGGAATACGAGATTTGCGAGACTGGAAGTTCGGTTTTCAACAAGACACGCCAGAAATCGATTTGTCGCAAATTTTCACGAAACCTTGGCCAAAATTACAGTACCCTCAAATTCGGAGGAGAAAATTGTATGCTGGAAGAAAATGTTGCCACGAGAGAAACGTTGGATGATCACAAAGCATAGAGAGATTCGGAATCGGAGAGAAGATCGAGCTGAAGAACAGCCGGGTTACTGTATTGATATTGAGGATGTTTATGAAAAGTGTTTGCGTTACAAAAGGGATTTGTATTGTTTGAGAGATTTGGAATATGATAATATTGAGCTGGAGAGGCAGAATGATGAATTGTAGATTTTTTTTTGAAATTTTTTTTCTTGATCTCATTTTTTTTTTTTTTTGAAATTTTTTTGGCACAATAAATGATTTTTTTTTATTTTGGAATATCTTTTTATCGGAATTTTGGGAACATTTTCAGGAGTACTGTAGCTCGAGATTTCTGGCATATTTTTATGTATTTTAGAATTGAAAAAAAATATTTTTTTGATTTTTTGTTTTTTTTTTTTTGACAGAATGAATACTGTTAAAATTGAGCGGACTGTAGCCCCCCAGAAAAACGACATGTCTGAAGGAAATTTTACCAATTTGTTGTTTGAGATTCGTAAAAAAATCAGAAAAATTGAATATTCAACAACTTTTTATTTGAAGTTTTCCCAAGATGCAAAATATGTGAAAAAGTTGGTGTATAAAATCTGGATTCTTTCATTTTATCATCAAAAACATTCGAAAAATGAACTTTTCATTTGTATTCTGTTTCTTGGTTATTTTGGCGGCTAATTTCATGTTCGCTGATGCTTATTATCTTAGAATTGGAAAAATGCCAACTAATCAACTTGAAAATAATGTCTAATTAACTAACAATTGTTAATAAACCATTAAGCATTCAAATTTTTCAAATATTTTTTTCGTGGGCCTGATTTTCAGAAAATTCTTCGAACCAATAAATTCAATTGGTAGACGCGGCCGATTTGGAAAATTTCGAAGAAATTGGGCTTTCAGAATCTGAAAACTGGTTTTCAAAATTATAAGTTGATTTTAAGATTTCCAGCTTTTCTGGAATATACCCAATGAACCCTTTGAAGTTATGTTTGTCGATAAAGAGCCATGAAAGAGAAAAGGAAAAATTTGGTTTTTTGGCTTATGCAGGTCATTAGACACAAAACTAACAAAAAATTAAAAATTTCACAAAAATCACATTTTGCCACGTCATAACTGGTCACATGAACATGTTAGGTGAAAAATAAACTACTCCACGTTGTTCAGAAGGTCAAAATTAGTCAGAAACCAAAAATTCAAAAAAAAAATAAAAAAAGTTCTTTTTCCCCGTGGGGATCGAACTTTTTGAGTTTTTGGACAATCGCAGAGTGGGAGACAGATTCTCTAACCACTGCGCCACGAAGGCGCCGAGAGCAGCAGAGTGAATGACCAATATATGGTTGATGTTTTCGGCGTTTTATTCGTGTGATATCATGGTATCTGAAACTTTATTTCTCTTAAAAATTATTTTTAAATGGTGCTTTGATGACTTTTATGAGCCAATTTCAGCAATTTTTGATTTTTTGAGAGCCCAGAACTTGGCTCAGAGGTCCATTGGGTAACTTAAATTTTTAGGGTGTTCTTATGGCCCCAAAAGCTGTCCATGGACCAAATTTCATCATGATTTGAAGTGTTGAGTAAAAAAGATTCCCTTGTTAGCTTTGCGAGTTTTTAGCAAGCATAATGTTTTTTAGCTTACGAAACAAAAAAAGAATGTATTTTTCATTTCTTCGAACAATAACAAATTAAAATTGCATTTTTGTACTCATGCAACTGAGTGACATCACAAGCTTCAAAATACATCAAGAATTTCTCTTTAATATTTTGATATACTTCTTTGAAATCATCACGAGTTGTCAGAATATTCATCGATAAAACGCCATTAGACTTCATGATTTTGCGAAGATTTCTTATAAATTCATAAGATAACAAAGATTTCGGAGGGCAATGAAGATCAATACAAGCATCAGCAAGGATTAGATTTGGTTGATGTGCTTTGTCGATAGATGTTTTCACATAATCCAAGACATTTGTCTCCAAAAACTCATTTTCATCATTGACTTTGAAATCGAACCATTTTCTACCGATTTTTATATTTTGCTTGTTGATTTCGAGCCCGGTGATTGTTATTTTTGGAAAAAGATTTTGCAAAAACATATATGTTCCTCCAGTCGCAACACCATAAATCAATGCATGACCTTCGTGTGGAATAGCTCCAGATTTGAGCAGGATATCTAATGGGATTTGCGAATAAGGCGCCGCCAAACTATGATCAACTTGCCAGTTTGAAGTATCAATATCATTTTCATCAGTTTTCAATATAGAAGAACCTACAAATGATCCGATATATTGATCTTCTTTGGTAACTGCTCGCAAAACATGTTTTTGTGGTTCATCCACCAAAACATCAACAACATAAACACACTCCAAATCGCAAAACTTCTCTAAAATTCTACTTGAACCATTAGCAAAGTTTGCATTTTGCACTTGCATCCAAAAATCTTCGCGTTTCTTTAGGCAATAATATTTGTGCAAACAGAAAAATACAAAAATAGCCAGAAGAATTGAAAGAATTTTTCGAAGTTTTGGAGACATTCGACTGAATATTTTTGTAAATATAAAAAGCATATTTTGTGAAAATGTATATATGAATAATTTTGTCAACATTTTATTGATTTTATTTTTTAGTAGTTGAATTTCGGAACATTTGAAACAGAGAAACAATTCTTTTTTTCTCTAACATGAGCAATGTCTGAAAAAAATTAATTTAACATTTGAGTAGTCCTTTCGATCATTGCTCATGTTAAGTAAAATTACAAAATTCATGTGGGCTGGAATTTTTCAACAGCCGTTTAATTTTCCAAAAAAAAATTAACAATTTCGAAACATTGCTCATGTTAAAAACACAGAAATTAACGCTAAAAATTTCAAGATTCTGAAGATCTAACTTCTGAATCTTCTGCAATTTGAAAAGTGAACAGAAAACGAAAAAAATTTATTCAAATATAATCAATTTTTGTTGCTCTGGTTGTTTGCTCCTTCTTGTGCCCAAGAAATGATTTGCGAAAAAAATTGTGCAAACTGTTTTGCTGGCTCCTCGATGCTCCGAACACCATCAATGTTTTGCGGAAGAACCATACCAGCAATGTATTTTCCCTGATTGAAAGCGCATTTGATGATAAACATCAGCAAAGCTTGCCAATAGAAAATCGAGATTGTGAAGCAGATTTGGAATGTTATGCAGAACAATCTTTCGCCATTGTATCCATATCTGAACAAATCGCCAATTGAACCGACGGTGTAGTAGAACATCAAGATTTCGATGATTTTTTTGTATGAGATGTTGGATTGTTTCTGAAAATATAATTATTGATTCTTTCAGAAGACTTCAGAAGGTTTCAAAGAGCTTTAGGGGGCTTCAGTAGGCTCCAGAAGGCTTCAGTAGGCTTCGGAAGGCTTCAGAGAGCTTCAGAAAGCTCCAGAATGCTCCAGAAGGCTTCAGATTGATTTCAGAGAGCTTCTGAAGGCTTCAGAATGCTTTAGAAGACTTCAGAAGGCTTCGGAAAGCTTCAGAATGCTTCAGAAAGCTTCTCAAGGCTTTTCAAGGCTTCGCAAGGCTTCAGAAGGCTTCAGAAAGCTTAAGAATGCTCCAGAAGGCTTCAGGGTACTTTATAAGAATTCAGAAGGCTTCAAAAGACTTCAGAGAGCTTCAGAAAGCTTCAGAAGGTTTGAGAAAACTTCAAAGGGCTCCAGAAGGCTTCATAAGGGTTTAGGAGGCTTCAGAGGGCTTCAGAGGGCTTCAGAAAACTTCAGAAAACTTCAGAAGGCTTTAGAGGGCTTTCCTAGACTGTCTGAGGCTTTTCAAAGTTTCTCAAGGCTTCTCAGGGCTTCCCAGGGCTTTCCTAGGCTTTTTTAAGCTCATTAGGCTTCTTATTTCAAATTTTAAAGTCTTGAGAAATTTTGAATTCAAATTTTTCCCAAAAAAATCAACTTACACGTTCAGCAGACTGCAAATCAGCAAATTTTCCGAAAAAGTTTTCAAATTTTTGAGACATTTTGAATAAGATAGACGCCACTCACTAGAGAATATTTTTGGGTGAATGAATGAAGGAGAAAAAAATATTGGCGTGGGTGGGTGGGTAACAGGCTTGTTGTGGTGTTATGGGAAGAGCTCACCTTCCCCTTTGCATCAAAAAAAATAATATTGATTTTTTTTGTATTTTGTACATATAAGTGGGGGTCTAGTTACCGTAATATGTGAAAAAAAAGGCAAATTTTACAGAGTACTGTAGCTTCGGTTGATCGGAATTTGTCAAGTTTTCGCGCCATTTTTTGCAGGGTTACGGTAGTTTTTTTATGCGCACAAAAAATTTTCAAGCAAAAAAATATAAGGTGGAAACAGGAGAGGGGGGACTAGGATTTGAAAAACATCGGCCACCATATTTTTTAATCAGAATTATTGCGAAATATTTTTTCTTGGGAGTACTGTAGCTGGTTCGGATTACTGTAATTGAATTTGAGATTTTTCAAGATTACGGTATATTAGGCTACTGTAGCTGAATTTTCAGAGATATTGTAGCTATAAGATTTTGAGGCCAATTTTTATTTTAACAAAATTATTTATTGCAAAAATAATTATTTGAAACGAAAAAATGGGGAAAATGAATATGTGATTTAACAAAAAAATTCGGAAAAAAGGGGGTTCAAGAAATGATTTAGAAGGCGTCGCTGAAGATCAAAAAATATTAAAGATCAAAATTAGACAGAATCAATCGATTGTGAAGTTGTTTCATCATCAGTTTCCTCACAATTTCTCTCGTTTTTCCAAGTTTTGTAAGCAAAAACAGTTTGCTTCACCCACAATGTGATGAAGCCAACACAAAGCGCTTGCACAATGATTATTCCGGTAATTTTTTTCGGCTCCACGTTCAAATTCCAAATATCATCAATATTGTTTTTACCAAGAAAATCGATAAGATATTTTCCCTGATGGTAGAAGATGTTGATGGTATACACGGCCATCAATTGCCACCAATCCCTGTAAACTGCAAATGTGCAGGCGAGTTGGATTGCTGCGAAGAACAATTTTTCCGCGCTGTATCCTTTGAAGAGCAAATTGGCGAACAAAAAGAGAGTGTAAGCTTCCATCAGGTCTTCGATGATTTTCTTGTAAGTGATGACGAATTGTGGCTGTTTCTGGAAAGAGGAATGTTTTCAGAAATATTTTCAGAAGCTTCTAAAGATTCATAAGATCTTCTAGAAGTTTCCAAGATTTTCTAGAGCTCTCTAGGGCTTTCTGAAGTCTCTCAGGCTTCTTGAGAAATTCAAACTCACAAGTTCAGCAGGTTTTGTTTCAGCAACAACTTTTCCAGAAAAGTTTCCAACTTTGATAGTCATTTTTTTTAAGAAAAAATAGAGACGCCACTCACTAGAGAATATTTTTGGGTGAATGAATGAAGAGGGGCGTGGGTGGGTGGGTAGATAACAGCAGCAGGCTTGGTGTGGTGTTCTGGGAAGAGGTCACCCTGTCTTTTGCACAAAAAAAATATTATTGATTTGTTGTAAGTGGGTGATATCTAGAACTACAAATGATGGAATTTTTATTTAAAAAAGAGGAAAATGTGAAATTTGTCTGAAAATTTGACTGAAAATGCACAAATAAATATTCATTCAAAAGTAATATTGAATCCTTTTCCATCATTTTCAGGTTTGTCATCTGTTTTGAAAATCATTTCAGTATATTTAGCTCCTCCAGAAGTTCCTGAAAATCTAGCTGAAATTATGAAGACTATGCTACTTCAATTTTTCCGCATGCACCGGGGCTCGAACCTGCGACCTTCCACCTCCCAAAATTGCCCCAATCTCCCTTGCAGCTCGGGTTCGATCCCCGGTGTCCGTGCAACTTTTTTTTCAAAAATCATTTTTTCCCGCCTAATTTTTCACGCTGAGTTTGAATTTCAGCATGAAACTGGCTGAAAATTGCGCAATTTTTGTCGGAAAAAACCGTGGAGAAATGATTATTCAAAATTTTATTGAAAATCGTGATTTTTTCGTGCAAAAAATATACAGCCAATTTTTTTTCGTAAATTTAAAATTGAATTTTTGCTCACAAACCTAAAGTTCTGAAGGCTATTCTGAATGTGAGATTTTATGGAAATCTTTTCGGATCCAACCTGAACTCCTGAAGATTTTACTGAAGTTCAGAATGTGCTCCTGAAGATCTAACTGAAATTCTGAAGATCAAAAGTTCCAAAAGATCTAACTGGAGTTCTTCAGAAGCACAAGATCTAAGCTGAAGACTATGTTGATGGTCCTGCTTCCAACTTCGAAATAAAACCTCAAAAGGTGTTGCTGAAACTATCCTGAAGATCTCACTCAAATTCAAAAATAAACCAGAAAACGTAAGAATTTATTCACAATTAAATTAAACAGAATCAATAATTTGTGAATTTGTTTCTTCATCAGTTTCCTCTTCATTTCTCTCCTTTTTTCCACTCTTGAAAAGCGAACACAATTATCTTCACGAACGCTGAGAGAAATACATAAATAAACATTTGAAGGATAAGTTCTGCGATGAAATTTGTTGTTCCACTCGTTTTGTGCTCACGAACAACATCACCAAGATTATATTGTTTTAAATAGTAGACGAATTTGAAGATATACAAAACCAACACTTGCCAATAATCCAAATGAACCGCAATTGTGCAGAAAAATTGAAATGCTGTGAAGAACAATTTCTCGCCGTTGAATTCTTTTAGGAACAAATCGCTGATCAAAATTGTAGTGTAATAGATCATGAAGCTTTCGAAGATTCCTTTGTATGAGATTTCGAATCCTCCTGGTTGCTTCTGGAAAGAGAAAAATTGTCAGAAATTTTTTGAGAATATTATTCTGGGGTGATAGAAGTTTCTCCTGATTTATAGCGACTTCTAGAAGTTTCTGAAAAGTTCCAGAAATTCAGAAAGCTTTTCTAGAGCTTCTGATAGATTTCAAAGGTCCTTCAGGGGTTATCTAAGAATCCAAAAGGCTTCTAGAGATTTTTAAAGAGTCTTAGGGTATTTAAAGATTTCTAGAATAATTAGGAGCTTCGTAAAAATTCTTAAGAGGTTCCTTAAGCTATTTAAAACTCCCTAGGGATTATTTAGGCTTCAACAGTCTTTCAAGGCTCTGTTATGGGCTCATGCGGGAAAAAATCGAAAAAACAAAATATAAAGTTTATTTTCTGAGCAGAGACAATGTGAAATTGAGAGAGCGCAGACAAAATAAATGATTTTTCGAACAAAAAATACAAAAAACTGTCTGCAATCTCTCAATTTCACGTTGTCTCTACTCAAAAAAATATTTTTTTTTAAATATGTTTTCAATCCAGAAAAACGTCAAAAAACAAAATATATAGTTTATTTTTCGAGTAGAGACAATGGGAAATTGAGAGAGTGCAGACAGAAAAATTAGTTTTTTTGTATTTTTTGCGAAAAATTAATTCTTCTGTCTGCGCTCTCTCAATTTCACATTGTCTCTAATCAAAATAATAAACTGTTTTTCTGCATAGGAAAAATATGTTTTTCCTCCCAACAATGTAAAAAAATTCAACTTACAGGCTCAACATTTTCAGCAACATTTTCAGCAACTTTTTCAGAAAAATTTCCAACTTTAATAGTCATTTTGCAAGAATAAATAAAATAGACGCCACTCACTAGACAATATTTTTCATGGGTAAATGAAGGGGAAAAAGGGGGAGCTATGGGAAGAGGTCACCTCCCCTTTTACTAGACAATATTATTGATTTTTTTTTGTTTGTTTTAAATAAACATGTGTAAGTCTGGAACACCGTGTATTTTTTTATTGTAAATATTTGAAAAAAAATAGGTTTCAGAAAAGAAAAATGATAAATATTCATTGAAAAATTCAAACACCTTTAAAATTATCACAATTCCAGGAAATTTTAAAGCCTCGTCCATCATTTTCAGATTTTTCATCTGTTTTGAAAATAATTTCAGCATATCTATCTCCCCCATTTTGGCTGTACATTCTATGGTTATAATGATGTTTCTGTAAAAAAATTTTGAGTTGGGCTAACTTCCCATGAAAAAAACTCACACAAGCATGTAAAATATAACTCTCCGCGTTTTTCCCATAAAAATTCACAGTAACAGTTTCATTAATTTGCAAATTTTGAGGAAGATTTTTATACTTGTCCTGGTGAAGTTTGCAATTTGTTCCTACGTCATATTCTTCAAATTTGAATTCGCAGAAGTGATTTTTAGGAGGTCGAATGGTGAATCTGAAAAAAAATAATAATAATAAAAGACTTTTAAAGGGACATGCTGATTACGGTAAGAAAACCTGCAGCTCAAACTCAAGAACAAATAGTTTCAAACATGGATTCCTGTACAGTCAGATCTGCAGGATTTCCCTACCGTACTCTGCATGTGCCTTTAACATACATTTGTTGATAATTTGCCTTATAAGCATTAGGAAATTCCATATTCGTAACAATTCCAGATAATTCATTCGATTCTGAAAATCTGATAACTGTCTCATTCTGCTCAGCAACACTAAAATAAGTTGCATCAAATCCACCCTGGTGTGAACTTCCGTCGCTCGAAAATTCAAACTGCAAATAAAAAATATATTTTCACAAAAAAAATATATTTCAAGGTACATACCGTAACCGATTTCCCGCCATTTGTTAGAATATTATGAGGAAGAGATTTTCCTTCAAGAGTTTTTTCAGATTCCGAAATTTTAAGAGAATCTGAATCGTCTAGCGAGAATTTCTGGAAGATGAAGAGCATTTTTGAAGTGTTTTCTTGACCTGTGCTATCACTGAATTTTGTGGTGCATTTCATATTATCTTCATAATCTTTGGGATAATTTGGACTTGTGATTCGGCCAGATTTGTAAGATTTTGTGTCGATTGAGCGATTGCATTCTAGAAAATGAAAAAAATTGTGTGAAATTTTGAAATTTTGAAAAACTCACTATCAAAAATCTGATAACTGATTATAATTTTCGAATCCTTCGAAGAGCTCACAATATGAATAAAAACAGAATTCGATCTAGCAATATGAATATGTGGATTCTGTTTTCCACACAATTTTGTTATTTTTCGATCATTTTCATGTTGAGCACATCCTGGATGATTACAATTATCGATTAATCCAATATCTCGAATTTCCATACAATCATTGTCTGCCAAATTGAATTCGATGAATGAAATTATGATTGGCTCTGGTTTTGCTCCCTCAATTGTGATTTGACATCTTTTTTGATCAGTGTTATTTGGATTGTGTTCGTAAGTGTAGAATTTTTCTGTTTCGATTGCGATGAAGTTTTCAGGTGGACAGGCGACTGAAAAATACTTTTTAATGGAAAGAGGGTAAAAATTTATACAGTTTTTTTTAGAAAAAATCAAATTTTTTTTCATTTTATTTTTTGAAATACTCATTTTTTTTGAAACTACTGTACATCTGGATTTTCAAGCCATTAAATATTTCACAAAAACTTTTCCGCATGAACCGGGGCTCGAACCTGCGACCTTCCACCTCCCAAAATCGCTCTAATCTCTCTTGCAGCTCAGGTTCAATCCCTGGGGCTCGCGCAATTTTTTTTCAAAAATAATTTTTCACGCTAAGTTTGAAGTTTGAATTTCAGCATGAAACTGGCTGAAAATTGCGCATTTTTTAGCAACCGTATTTTTTTGAACTCGGAGACATTATTATTCGAAATTTCATTGATTTTTTCGTGCAAAAAAATTATTTTTTTTTCGTAAATTCCAAAAATGCTTGCTCAGATTCCTTTTTAATTTTTTTTTCAAAAAAAAAAAAATTATTTTTATATTATACTTTAACTATAAACGAAAATTTAAACTCAAGTTTCAAAAAAAAATCAAAAACTATTTTAGTTTCATTCTGTTCACTACAGTAACCAAAAAATCTGTCGAAAAAATTCTAATATATATTTAATTCTCTAATGTCTCCTCCTTTTCACACTATTTCTCCATTCTTTCACACCTGCAAAGACATAGAAAAAAGGGAAGAAAATTATTTTCAAAAAAATGATTGCGAAATCTCAAAAATTTCACCTGGATGTCTTCTATACGAAATATTGAAACCTTTTTCACTTCCAGCTTCATCCGACACAAAAAATAAAGTAGCAATATTCATCGAACTTTGAATAACTTGACCATTATAAGTTGAATTCTCCGTTTTACAAGAATCAAAAAGAATTGGCTTTGAATAAGAATATCCATCGGAAATCTCCAATCTATCATAACATTCAATATGATAATAAACCATGTGAGGTTGCTCAAGAGACAAATCATCAATTCGCATTTCAATTGTATAACCTTTTTCTGTTTCCAATTCCCAATGACAATGTAGATTATTCAAATATTCACCATTTTTATCCAAAAGTGGACTAATAATTTTCCAATCATCCCGAACTTTTAGTATTTCATTACAACCTTTTCTGGGTGTTGAATAAACTTGGAAATCAAGATCGAATTGTTTTGCAGATTTAAAATTGAAGAGAATATTTGAAGAATTTGATGATATCTGGGTGATTATTTTTTTATTTATTGAGCAATATGATTTTGTTGAATTTGTTGAAAGATCAATGACTTCTAGTTTGTTCTCATCGCAATTTAGTTTCTCATTAGTTTTGAAAGAAAATTCATAATGCATTTCTCGATTTCGATTGGTTGATATATTCCAACTACAGTTTTCACTTGGTGTATATCCATATCTGAAGTTGTTGCCTTTGTGGAGAATTACTGGTCCTCCGCAACCTGAAAAATTAGAAAATCTGAAAATTTTTTTTGGGATCAATTCCGAAAGTGAAACAGTTTTTTTTTGCATTTTGAAGGTTTTGGAAAATTTCAGAAGGCTTCAGAAAATTTACAAATGATTTTGGAAGCTTCTAAAGGCTTCAGAAGAATCTTGGTGGTTTTAGAATTCTTCAGAAGTCTTCAGAAACTTCTTGACGTGTTTAGAACGCTTTGGGATGCTTGAAAAAGCTTCAGAAGAATTCAGAAGCTTCTTGAAGTCTTCAGAAGGCTATTGAATGCTTTTTGGAGGCTCCGGAAAATTTTTTGAGGCTTCAGAAGCGATTCGAATAATTCAGAAGAACTTCTGACAACTTCGAAAGGGCTTGAAAAGATTTGGGAGGTTTTTGGAGACACTAGAAACCATTTTAGGGTTTCAGAAACGTCTCGGTGGTTTTAGAAGGAATTTGAATTTTTCAGAAGACTTCTGGTAACTTTAAAAGGCTTCAGAAGGCTTCAGAAGGCTTTAGCAGATTCTTATAGGCTTCGGGCAGCTTTATAAGGCTTATGGAGGCTTCAGAAGGCTTTTGGGGGCTTCAGAGGACTTCAGAAGGTTTTTGAAGGCTTCAGAAGGCTTAAGAAGGCTTCAGTAGGCTTCAGGAGCCTTTCGAATCTCAAAATGCAGAAAATATTAAAATTCAAAAAAAAATTTTTTGCAACTCACCATATTTTCTATAAGCAATTCTATATCCTCCATGATATTTCTTGCCGTTTTCTGATTTCACCGTAATCAATCTCACACCAACAGATCCTTTTACCCGAATAGTTTGCTCATGTTCAGTGGTCTCTCTTCCACAAATCGTTTGAAATATTTCCCCACTTCCCATTTTCAAAATATCAATTCTATCAACCAAACATTTTCCATTGATATCAATTTCAGGTTCATCAGCTAAGCTCAGATCTTCAAGTATCAATTCAACATCCCAATTATCTTCAGCACTTATAACACTTCCACATTCACTATTTTTATTTGGATAACCTTCCGGGTAATTTGGCGAGTACAGTAATCCTTCATTTTCTGTTAGAATTTCTCCACAAACAGCTTCCCATTTGATTTGAAATCCTGAATCTGTATGTTCCGAATCCGAATAGAAATCAAGAGCGACACGATTTCCAAAATCATAACTAATCGGATCAATTTTACCGCACAATTTTTTTCGTTCCATAATAATTCCAAGACTTCGATAATTTCTTTCATCCATCAAAACATCGTGAATAATTAATCCATCTTTTTCACAATCTGTAGAATTTTCAACATGGAAATATTGCACAGAAAATTTGATATGAAAACCGCGAGGAACTTGGATATCCCACCGACAATTTAGATCATTTGAATATTCTTTTTGGTTTGTTGGAAATGTTATAACTCCCCTCGAATCATGGCTATGAAAACCGCAAGCATTTCCAAATCCAGCATCAAAAAATTCATAAGACAATGTCCAATAGGATTTTCGTACTGATCTGCTTCTCCAAATAATAGTCAAATACCGACTTTTCGATTGAGTTAACCGAAGTTCTTTCTCATTATCATCCACATTTTTTTTATCAGACAAATATTGACAATATGTATGAATTGGTGCTGGTTTATATTGTTTTCCTTCGCTGATCTCCAATTTTTGACGTTCACAACTTTCGTCCTCATTTCTCCAATGAATCATATCAAGTTTGATACGTTGATTTTCTGGCGCCTCAATAACCCAGCGACATCTTGTGTTATTTGAATTCTCGGGATTTGTGATATTCCCAAAATTCGGTTCAGTTATAACACCTCCACATTCATAAAATTCTATACTTATTGAATAATTGTAAGATGCCTTGGGTAGAATATGAATAAGATAAATATAGATTACTTGATTATTGAAAATCAAATCAATTTCTCGATTTTGGCTTGTTCCACCAGCAAAAGTTTTGTCATATGGGAAAGGAGCAGCGGCTGAAAATTTCTGGATTATTTTTTTTTTTTGAATTAAGATAACATTCAGATACCTTTAATAGTGATGTTTTCGCTCCCGGAGAAATTTTGGATTTTGATGCTGATAGAGTTGAAGCCTTCTGGTTTTTTGATTCTCAAATGGCATAACTCTGGAAATATTTATTAGATTTTTGTGCTGAAAAGCTGAACTAACCGTTAAAGAAAATGTCACTTCCAATATCCAACTTTGAACTTCGCATGATAGTTCTTGTGCAATCATCATTTCCAACTAAATCAGCAGGAACATATTGATATTCAATTGTAAATGGTTCAAGGCCTTTCTCAGATTTCAAACTATTTCTATGGAAATTTTCCAAGTTATCATAAATCAGTTTTGATTGCTCGATTAGGGCGGGTTTATATGTAGAATATTTTTTGGTGAAAAATGTTGAGGTGTAGTTTGTGGTGAAAGGATTTACGAGCTGAAATATTGAAGATTTTTTTTTTTGAAATAGGTTTTCCAAATTCAAAATCCTTACCTTCAAATCCGGAAAATATTCCTCTCCATCCTCTCGTTTCGCATAAAAATTATCTTGATTTTCAAATTTCAAACTGAAAATATACACCAATCCCGGTTCAGTTTTAAAATTCCAAACACAGTGTAATTTCTGAAGAATTTTTCCGGATTTTTGTGGGAGTTTTAGAATTCCCTTTTGATCAGTGATCAAATCACTGCCACAAGCTGCGAAAATATTTTTTACTTTTTAAGAAAGAGCTTTCGGAACTCACAAGTTTCACTCATTTTGAATTCAATTTTGAATAATTCCGAGTGGCTCAAAGAGTCGAAGCTCTGGAAAAAAATTGCATAAATTAAAAAAAAAAATTCCAGCCAGGAAAAAAACATACATTTTTCCAATAATTGACAAAAATTTCAGATGATGAACTTCTTTGCCAATGAGTTTCCGGAACTTTTTGACAATCTTTTTCGAAAAATACAGTTTTATTGGATTCAGTAACATCTTCGATGTTGAACACTTGTGAGCCACAATTTTTGGAGCCAAGAGGAATTTCGGATTTACGGATTCTGAAAAAGGAAGTCTTGGAAAAATTAAAAATTTTCTGAAAAAAACCAACCTGAATTCCAACATGTGTGAATTTGGAACTTTAATAACCCATTTGCAATCCATAGTCAGAATTTCTGTAGCTTTCTGACTTAAAACAAAAACATCATTTTTATGATGAATATGATGTGTTCCTCCACATTTAGCAATTTCAACTCTCGCTTCAAATCCCAATAATTCCTTGCCATTTTCTGAATTCGTCCTCAATCGAATAAACATCACATTAGTTGTTGAAAAAACCGAAGACGGTGCTTGATTTCCCTGATATCTTCCAATAAAATGCGATGTTTCTGTTGGACCATCACGAACTTCAATGAAATCTTCAGATTTATTGAATTTCCCAGATGAATCCGAAATATGGAATAATTCAGCGGTGAAAGTTAGCATAACTCGATGATGATGTGGGACTTCAATGATGTAATCACATAAGCTTGAAATTGGAATTTTTCCAGGGAAATTTGGAGAGTGAATTGTTTCATTGGGGGAGAGTTCGGTTAGTCGAATTGGTTCAGATGAGCAATCATTTTGTTTTTCGGATAATTGAATTTTAAAGGATCTTTTAGCTTCGGTGGATTTTGCGGTGTATTCAATTACGAGCCGATTTCCAGAAGTGGTATAATTAAATAATTTGGAGCCACATCTTGCTCCAGTTGAGAGCAGAGTAGAAGACTGCAAAAAAATAAATTTTTTTCAGAAAAAAAGCCCCGGAAACTCACCAATTTCAGATAATTATCCGAAGCACATGGAGATTTTTCAACAAGATCAATTTCCCGAACATCCGCAATAATCGGGCGATTTGAAGGTGTTTCAATAATCCATCGACATTTTTCGATTTCCTTCGGGGGATTTGAGAGTTCATAATGGCGATGTGTGAATTTATAGACATTTTCATTTTCAGAGAGGCAACCTGTAGTGAGAGAAAAATATGCGGATCCTAAAAATAAAAATAAAATTCTCACTCAATTTGTAACTCAGAATAAAATAAGCATCACTACCCGTTACAAAATGAATATAAATTGGTGTGTTTCTTGAAAAAGTGCCATTCAAATCGCTGGGATAGCGAATTTTTTTGATTTCAGATTCTTTGAATTTGTTTTTTGGGCTGGAAATTTTCATTTTCTAGATAAATTCACCCAAAAAACTCACATATCTTGGTCAGTTATAACAACATAATTTCGAATACCGGAATCGTCGCCATAATTCGAAAATTCAAAATTGACATCAAGTGTGGAAAATTCTTCAGGATCAATTCGATATCTACAATGCTTCACAACACCATTCTGATCATCTTCATCTCGAGAATATACAAGATGTTCTAATGACCAATTTGCTTTTAAAATTTCTCCACATTCATAATCAGTTTCAGGATTTTTTCCATCAATCAAAGGATCCCAGTGAATCAAGAATCTATCGTGATATTCCACATGTTCATCAACATTAAATTTCGAAAATTCTTTGATGAATTCTTCATCTTGTGTAATAAATTTGGCATCTTCTTCCAAAACTTCATCATTGTCCGAAACTTCGGAAATTTTGATGTGGGATTTTGGAGAAAGATGGATGTTTTTTGCATTGAATTTGATTGAGGTCTGGAATTTTTTCTAGTTTCATAATTTTTTCACGAGAAAAAATTACCGTATTCTCCCCAGCGTCAACATTATAATTATCAATTGGATTCAACAAATAACCATCTTCAATATCCCGATTTTTATAATCCACATCATTTTTCTTAACAAAATTGATCTTAAAATCGATGTCTCCATCAACACGATCTTTTAGTTGACGATATTTGACTCGAACATATAAAGATTCCGATGTAAATGTTGTCTTGTTGACATTTTCCGGGTCACATTGATGAGATAATAATTTTCCGTAACCATCTCGAATTTCAATAAATGAAGAGGGACAGAAGGCGGTGAATGGTAAATTGTGAGTTCTAAAAAGAACATCTTGGACTTACAATAACTCATGAATCACTCACTCAACAGAAACTGAAACTTTAGATCTTCCATATCCATGTAAAACCCATTGACAATCGAAATCCTTGTCTATCCCCAAATAATTTTGTGGTGGAGCTCGAAGAACTCCAGATTGTTCCATTCGATATCCTCCACATGCTGAATAAAATTTCATTCCTTACATATGTACTTGAGTTCCTCTAACTCACCAATATCTCCTAAACTATAATCAATTGAAATATATTTCTTATCTTCAGCTTCATGTATGATATCGACTCGAATTTCCTGTTCAGCTCGATAGAATTTTTCCGATTCTGGATTGACTGTAAGTGTTTCAATGTATTGATTATCAGCGTAGATTATGAGTTGATCTTCTCCTGGAGAAATGTGACCGAATCGGATGAAACTTCGGATTTGGATGTTGATGTTTCTGGCGTCTGAAAAAAGAGAGTCTAGAGAGCTAGAGAGGCTAGAGATCTAGAGATGTTAGAGAGGCTAGAGAGGCTAGAGAGCCAGAGAGCTTACCTGGATGTGATTTTCTAAACTTCATTGTGCAATTGGATTTCTTTACCAGACTTAGATATGTTCTTTCAGTCGTATTTGTTGCATATAAAACGGCTCCACAAACAGCACGAGCTTTCAAAATGAAGCCAATCTATGGGAAAAATCAATAAGTGGATCAGAATCTCTATACAGACCTAAAAATCAATAAAATAACTCACATCATGTTTAATTTCCAAATATTCATGTTGCAAACCTGGATGTTCACTATATTTAACAATAGATGTATTAGAAAAAACTTGGAAAGTTTCAGGTTTCTCAAGATTCGCACAAAATTCTTTAACTGAATTTGGTTCATCTTGAATCACTTCATAGAAATCCAATCTTGCAAATCGAGTTTGTCTGCATTCCAAATCGGACATTCCTGAGAAATAATATTGAAGTGTGTATTCGATGTGGTAACCGGTTTGAACTGTTAGTTTCCATGTGCAGCTACGTGGTGATCCAGTTGCGATTGGTTTTGGATAATTTGGACTTTTCAATGTGATTTCATTGTCATCAACTGGAAAAAGGGAAGCTAATATGAGCAATGTTTTTTTTAAACTCACGTTGAATATCAGCTCCACAAGTTTGATCATCTTTCCCATCAACAAAATCAACATGAGCTTCAAAAAAGTCCTCATCCTTATTTCCAATATCTTTTTTCAACGCCGATATCAAAATATACAATTCATTCGTATGAGTTTCAAATTTCACCGAATCGTAACTCAAACATATCGATTTTTGGGCGCCATTTTGATCAATAGAATCTCCCATAAACAAGGCAATCCCATCAAAAGTCTCATTCGCTTTCCATTCACATGACGTCATTGATTTTGCGAATGTGAATTTCTCAATATTCAATTGAATTTTCTTGCCAATCGGAGCTTTGATTTTATATCGACACTCGAATCGTTCAACTTCCGGATCAATTGTTTTCAAATTTATTTTGAGTGTTTGTGGGTGATTGATATTTCCAACACAGCCAATCATTTCATACCACATGTGAATTTTGTTGGTGATTCTATACACGGAATATAATTCGAATGTGAGATTATTGTGTTTTGAATGGAGTACTGTAGGAATATCATCATGCATGTAGACGTAGGTTTCCGTGGAATTTTGGATTTTGTCTTGAGCTTTGATTAGAACAGAGCCAAGCTCTTGCTCTTTGATCTGCAAATGTTTTGGGTGATAGTCTCTCTGAAAATTAACTTACCCTAAGTTGACTATGCCACGTAATACTATAAGCATCCAGATCCTGTTCAATAACAAAATCCTCGAACTTCACAATAATCCGATTTCCAGCCGGAGCTCTGATGAACCAACTACAATAAAAATATTCAGAAGAACCTTCAGGATATCCAGGTGTTTGAATATGTCCAGAGAATTCAGTCACCAAAACATCTTCACAAAAAACTTCGAACTCTGCGCTGAATCCGATTGATTCATCGGATAGAATACGGAGATAATTAATCGATAAAATATTGGTTTGAGAGATGATTGGATTTGAGGCATTGTTGTGACCAGCGCAGATTCTTGTGATTTTGTTTTTGTTGAATTCTGATCCATCAAATATCTGAATTTTTTTTGAAAGGTATTTTAATTTTATGAATTATCAGCCTCAACTTACAATCAAAGAATTCCAATCATGCACCTCTTCACAAATATCCTCTCCATAAGGACCTTTTTCCACAGGATAATCTTTAACCCAAAGCTTTACCCTAGTCCCAGGTGGACCTCTAATAATATATTCACAATTATAAGTTCGTTGATCAGCGATTGGATATTGTGGACTTTGAACATGACCCTTCCATCCATCAATAATATTCCCATGACATTTATTATCCGCAATTTCATAACTGATATTGAAAATTGTTCCAGGTTCAGTAGATTTCACCACTAGAAGTAAACGATTTGAATGTGATTGAATTGGTTTGAATTTGAGGATTCCACAATTTTTGTATTGATTATAGATCTTTGGAGAATCTTTAGTTTCCCCATTGTAGATGTCAAGGGATGAAGTTTCACAGGGGATATTCAAGATATTCGAAGTCAATTGAATTGTATATTGATCAGGGACATGTATATTAATCAAACATTCTTCGGTGCCAAATCCATCATTTTCATCAAGAACAATATTCCCAGAAGTTGAAAGGAAGGTGCGATTACAAAGTCCAACATGGCTTATAGATTCATAAGTTGCGTTAAATCCACGAGCAATGTTCATATCCCAATATCTCTCACTGGTTTTCAAAATCATATACAAATTATTCGAAGTGCTCACAATTTCCGGAACCCTTTTTCCACAAAATGTTCCGAGAGATGCACTTTTTTCACTGTCTCCATCAAAGATTTCCAAATAATGGGTTCGACAAAGTGAATGCGAATCTTGGATGTCAAATTGATCGAAAATGAGCTTGATAACAGTGGAATTATGTGTTTGAATACGGTAGATACATGTTGAAGTGTCAGGAATTCGATTTGGCCAATTTGGTGATGTTAAAATACCAGAGGTACTGGTGAAATTCCCACCACAGCCTGCAATTCATAGAAATCGATGCGATGATTTTTTAAAAAAATCAGAAAAAATCTCACCCATATCAATAGTTTTATAAATTATATGAAAAGCCTGTGAATTAGGCCTTCTCATTTTTGCATTTAGCAAAACACTGCCTGTTGAGATTTTTGAAGAGCCAGGAATTGGGCAAAGAATAGGCTGTGCGTTTTTTCCAAGCAATGAAGTTAGTGTGAAAAGGTCATAGTAATTACAATGGTTTTTGGCATCTTGGAAGCTGTAAAATTTGGAAATTGGGGTAAGTTAGGGTGAGTTATCTTTTGAAGTCTCCAAAAGCCTTCTGAAGATTTCAAAAGCCTTCTGAAGATTTCAAAAGCCTTCAAAATCCGTTTTGAACCTTCTGCAGCCTTTTGAAGCCCTTTGGAGCCTTTTAAAGCCTTCTAAAGTCTTCTGAAGTCTTCTGAAGCCCTTTGGAGCCTTCTAAAGCCTTCCCAAGCCTTCTAAAGCCTTCAAAAGCCTCCGAAAGCCCTAAGAAAAAACAACTTACGTTAACACGACATGTTCATGATCCTCTGCTTCAACAAAATAACTACAATTTCCAATCCAATCTGGTCTCAAATAATTGAAAGTCTTGAAAGTTCCATTTCCCCTGAATCGATGTTCACAAATCGATTCAAAATCAATATCAAATCCCAATCCTTCATCCTTATAATCACTAGTGAATTTCAAAGTCAAAACTGAGTTCTCATAAATCTTTTCTTCATTTGAATTTAGAATCATATTTTCATCATATGTTGTACAATCTTCACCGCCACCTTCACAAATCTCCAATTTATCACCAGACAACAGATTGAAGGTGTTGAATTTCAACCTGATTTTCAGATGATTTTCAAAACCAGTATCAATTTGATAAGTGCATTCGGAACCCGCAGGATATTTCCCGCCAAAATGTGGCGATGTTATTTTATTTTTCCAATTCACATTTTTCTCCTTATTTTCATATTTTATTGAACATCCATTTTCAGCATCCACAAATTTATAATTCAAAATAAATCCATTTTTCAAAAATTGTCCAATATTCAAAGTGATTGTTAGAAATGGCCCAGTTGATTTGATAATATCTGGAGATTGGGTAGATTGACAAATACTAGATATTCTAGAGGTTTGTCGGATTGTATACCAATCATAAACAGCAAGTTCATTGCTACAGTCATCATCCGGGTTTGGCAATTTGATATTTGGAATTTCAAGTTGAATAATCTTTGAAAATGGCGCAGTTATAAACCATTCACAAGCAATTATTTCTTCCGAAGCTGGGATCTTTATCATTCCTTCTTTTGTTGTTCGATATCCACATTCTAAAGAAAAACATTGGAGATAAGCTAACTCCAGCTGAAACTCACTTTTCATCACAACCTCCCATTTCATCTCAAACATCCCAGTTGTCCCTTTAAAAACCATAAACGCAGTGTTAGTTGAAAAAACTATTGGCTCATTAATTCGAGGGCTCTGAAAAAAATCTTATGGTTTTTTTTCTGAAATCGAGAAAAAAATCTGGAGACTTACAAAAATGTCATTTCGATTTCCGCAAAATGTTGCGAAACGATGATAATTTATTCCAGGGCCATCGAAAAGCTGAAATTAAAAATCAAATCAGAAGTTTAGAAGTTGAAATGAGAGTTACCTCAAGTTTTGCAGGAGTTGTTGAGCAATTTGTTGGTCCATTGGGGTACGGATTAAAATCATCAAAATCAGTAAAAGTAATTTGAAGAGCTTTGTCAGATGCAAAAGTGATATCAAAATGAAATTTGCAAAAAATGTTTGAAGTATATTCAAAATTCAGAATCCCGCTAGAATCAGTCAAATGTTGATCACAATCTTCTTCTTGTTTCTCACAATATTCTCCATAGAAACCCTTTGGGCAAGCACAATAATATTTTCCGTCTGTATTATGTTTACAAACTGCTTTATTTTGACACTGATCTGAACAATCATCAATCTGGAAAAAAGGATTATTTTGAAAACACTTTCGAAAATTTGTTCACTCACAATTTCACAATGTTTTCCAGAAATACCGCCAAAACAAATACATTGATAGTCTGTGGAGTTTATAGCCTTACATTTACCAAAAACAGTACACGGTTTATTTTGGCAAGGATTCTCTTCAATCTTCACACATTCTTGATAATAATCTCCAGCATAACCATCTGGACAAGAACAGGTAAATCCTAGCTTATCATCTAATGTATCATAACATTCTTGCATTTTTGAACATGGATTTGATGCACATTTATCTGGATTTTCAATACATCCAGTTTTTCCATCTCCTGAAAATCCAGCTGGACAATCTGTGCATTTATAAGATCCTTGTAAATTTATACATTTTGTTTGTTTGTCGCAAATATTTGGGTGATCACATTCATTGATGTCCACACATGAATTTCCGATTTCTGGAAGAAGGTTTAGCTGATCTATTGAATTCGAAAACCTCAAAAACCCACTCTCAAATCCAATCGGACAACCCAAACATTCAAAAGATCCGGGCAAATTCAAACATCGAATTCCAGGATGACATGGATTTGTAGAACATTCATCAATATCCACACAATAAGTATTTTCAATATCTGTAGATGGTTTATAACCAGTGTCACAAATACAATTATATTTCAAATGTGCTGAAAGATCTTCAATACATTTTCCATGTTCTCCACATAATTCACTGTCTTCTGATTGACAAATTGGGCTGATCAAATCACAAGAAGGTCCGTAGAAACCTTTTTGGCATTTGCATCTGGAACAAGATTTTTTGATTATTGAGGCCCTGAACTTCAGGGCCTGAAGTTCCCCAACTCACTCGAAAGTTCCGATCAAATTTCTACAAGTTCCATTATTCGAACATCGATTTACCAAAACTTCACATTCATCAACATCTTTCCGACAATCTTTTCCTTCATAACCATCTGGACAAATACAAAAATAATCCTGATATTGTGAAATACAAGTTCCCCCATTTCTACACGGATGTTCTTCTTCACATAGATCTTTCTCCAAATTTTTCATGATTGATCTAAAAACATTATTCTGAATTTTCAGATTTGCTTTTGATTTTTTCTCCTACTCTATCTGCTCATTGAAACTTTCCAATTGCTCCTTCCGATGTTTACCATCTTCAAGTTGACTATTTTTCCAAGTTTCATAAAGTTTCAATTTTTCAACTTGATCCAAACTCTGAAAAAAATTATGCAACGTTTGAATTTTTCAGGAATATTCTACTCACATGTTTTTTGATTCTTTCCATATTATCTTTGATTTCGTCGTTTTGTTTTTGAGAATCGATTCGAAGTTTTGTTGTTCTTTCAATAGTTTTTTGAACATCGTGTAGATTTTCAATAAATTTCTGATATTCAGCCTGAAAATTTGGATTTAATAGTTTCTGAAAATAGCAAAAAGAAAATTGAGAAAAGAATTTCATCACATTCAAAAAAAAAGGAAGCGCGCAAAATATGTTCGCCCAAGATTGAAAAAAGAACACACATAAAGAGGAGAGCGCAGACATGCAGACAACTAGACCCTGTCCACCTTTCTTCATGTCTGTGCTCTCCCTTTTTTGAGTGTTCTTTTTTTGTGAAACATTTTGCGCTCTTCCTTGTGAGTGAGAATAATGGTGCTGAAACTTTATGAAACAAAATTATTCTAAAAATTTTTTAAAATATTTCTACAGTACTCTTGAGGTGATAAAAAAGTTAACAGATTCAGAAGAGTGGGATTTTTCAGATTTTTTGAGAGTACTGTTTCCATTGCTACAGTACCTACAGTATTCTACAGTACTCCTCCAGACCTCATTCTTACCTCCGATGGAATATCAGTAATATCAAAATCATTCACAAAAATCCTGCCACTTCCACTAGTTCTAAAAGCAATATATCTATCAACATCACCTTCCACCAATATCGAATTATTCACAAATTTTATAGTCGCACTGCAAACATTCACTTCTAGTTAATTAATTTTTTATTTTTGAAAATAAGAACTCACTTTGACGCAAAATTTCCTGGAATAAGGAGAAAAAAAGAAAATAGTAGTAATTTTGGTATCATCAAAAGTATAATGAAAATGATAAATGTGAATGTTTATTGCAATAAATTGTGTGTGTTTATTTTTCAGACAAAAAACTGTCCAAAAGGTCATATTTCAAACGTATAGGCTATTGGCGCTTTTGCTGAAAAAATTGAGCCGAAACGGTGTAGCCGGTAAGTGTCTACATCCATGATATGAAGGTTGAGGGTTCGAGTCCGCCTTGAGAATAGATTTTTTATTTTTTCTGATTTTTTATGTAGAATCTTGAAATATTTTATGTGATCCTTCCGAAATCTGGAAAAATAATTTATGAAATAATCAAAACATAATCGCTGAACATATGACAAAGCATGACGAATTGGAGCGTCATCTCAAAAATTCAATTCATTTTTGTGAAAAAATATTTTTATTACATTGCTTCGAATTGAATCAGTCTTTCTATAAAACAACGATTCTTCTATTAGAAATTTTTCCCATATTTTGTTGCCATGTGGCATTCGGGCCTACTGTAATGAATGCGGAATATGCAGATGTTGTTTTCAAAGGAATTAAAGTGAGTTTTAGTAAATGGGAATGGGTTATTGAAAAATCACTGTTTCTGTGTTGATCGTTGAGTCAATCTGACATGGTGACCCAGGCAGGGGTCAATTTGACAACCAAGTCAAAATGCTAAAAGCCAGAATCCACACTATGCTCACTCTTCACGGACACACCTTATCATACTCTACTCGACACGAATTACAGACTGATAGAACATATGTAGAACATAATCGCCCACACATTTGGAAAAACACCTTGCACAGAACTTTGGGATAGGGCTCACTAAAATCACCACCTCGGAACTCGGCAACCAAAAGTTATTCACAGCCTTCTTGGCTTACTCGGCTCGGAAACCCACCAACCACAGTTACTGTAGTTAATCACAGCCTTTTTGGCTCAATTGGATCGCCACCTTGGAACATTGATAAAGTTATCGTAATTAATCGCCTTCTCGGCTCTCGGATCACAACCATTAATTGTCATTAAATGTTAAAAATTGAATAAATATCACAAATTTTTCTCTTTTTTCTGATAGTTTTATTTTTTCTCACTCACTTTTTCTTTCAACGAAAATTCAACGAAAATCAAAATTTCGGTTTTTGTTGAAAAAATTCAACGACAAAGATGGGTCTATTTAAAAAAAACTTCTTTATTATTCCAAAACTTTTTACATACATATACAACATTCGTATTAATACTGATGAATTGATGTGCTATTCATTGCACAGGCAATTACAGATCAGTTTATTATTAGTCTATTATTGACTTATTTTGAAAATAGGTCGAATATAGGCTAATACGGTACCTATTATTAGTCAAAAATCGATGGAATTTTCTAAATCTAGCCCAAAATTAGCAAAAGCTGCTTTATGATCAATTTGAAAGTGAGAAATAGGAAATTACATCCATCTAACAATTCTAGAGTTCAATCATAGGTCCAGAGATCCCTAAACTTCGGACTCATTTTTGAGTAATAAGTTACTAATAATTACTAATAAGCTTGTTATTACTCAAAAATGAGTCCGAAGTTTAGGGATCTCTGGACCTATGATTGAACTCTAGAATTGTTAGATGGATGTAATTTCCTATTTCTCACAATAGGAGGTACCGTATTAGCCTATATTCGACCTATTTTCAAAATAAGTCAATAATAGACTAATAATAAGCTGATCTGTAATTGCCTGTGTGCAGACGCCCGAGTCTAATAATTTTGTTTTGTTTGGTGTGACAGCCAATTTCTTTGGAGCCCTCGGCTCCTTGAGCTCCAAGGTGTTTTTGGAGTTTTCGAGATGTTGTCTTTAATGGGCTTGAATAGGTCATCATGTACTATATCCAGATTGAACTTCACGTCGTCAAGCTAAAAATTATAAATGTACATATTTTATCAAATATAGATGAATTTAAAAAAAACACACCTCGGAGGTCTGCAATAATTTGTAAAAAAAAATGTTAAAAAACTTACGTTTGGTGTGACAGCCAAATTCTTTGGAGCCCACGGCTCCTTGAGTTGTAAGGTGTTTTTTGGAGTTTGCGATATGTTGTCCTTTATAGGCTTTAGTAGGCCATCATGTACTATATCCAGATTGAACTTGACGTGATGCCAAAACCAGGTGTTCCCTGCGCGCGTGTGTCGCAGGTAGCCTCGAAGGTTATTATTTTCAAGGTGTAACATAATAGGGGCATAGTCCCTATTACGCCTGGTGTTAAAACCATTAGTCTCCAAATGTCTCACGAGATCCATTTGGTCATGAAAATTTCATGATGAAATGAGATATTTTCTTGTGCTTAAATAGTACATTTGCTGTATTAGACCACGCCGATATAATTACTCTGTATTTATGAAAAGATAAAATCCAAAATCACGGTGAGCATTTTTTAGATATATTATGTATATTTCGGTTATTAACTTGTCAGGTAATCTATTTAAAATACTTTTTTGATTGATGATAAAGTAAACTGTGTTTTTTTTTGTTATAAATTGTACGTATTTGAAAAAATGACTGGGCTATCTCAAAAGAATTCAAATTTATTTGAATTCAAATCTGGTTGTCACCTCCGCCACCTTGGTTCAAAACCAAAAAAAAATGATTGATAGATGGCGGTATATTTGATTCTTTGTTTAACAAACGCAATATACAAAAAAAAGAGCCAAGGTGTCAGAATATGGATGTCTGTCTCTCTCACTTTTGCATACTATTTCTTGGAATAGGATAAATGTGATAGGATAAATGATCAGATATTGACAAACTTATGAATTTGACCATGCTAAATTTCAGACTGCAAGAATTACTTTAGTTTAAGGATTACTGTACCTCAAACTGCAAAGACTACGGTAGTCCCAGGGAATATTTTGAGCTGCAAGAGGAAAAAATTCAAAATTTATTTTTTTTTTTGAAATATACATAAAAGAAAAATTGGGAAAAATCGAAAAATGTAGTCTCGAAGCGGGTTCGAACTCGCCACCTTCAAGTTACGGATGTAGGCACTTCGGCACAATTTCAGGGCTCATTTTCTTGGCTCCGCCTGAAGCTTAGGAGCTCATTTTTATAGCATTGTGATCAGCACAGCAATTCCTATAAGACACTTTTTTATAGATCAAATGTCATCGTATTTTTCTGCCCAAGCGCCAAGCGACAAGATAATTCTGAAAGTTTTCTGGTTGCCGCATTCTATTTTTAGAGATAATAAAGCCTTTTAGCTCTCGTACGATATTCTATCAGATTTTTATGAAAACAATTTTCAAAGCGAGTTTTGACCTCCTAAAGTAGCAATTTTTCGAAATTTTCGAACTTTGCCACGTCATAACTCATGTTAGGTGTTGAGTTCTGCAATTTTTGATGGCGGAATCGTGATCAGCGGGTTGAAAACTACTAGAAAACATACATTTTATTAAACATCTAGAGTTGAAATTGAAACAGTTCCCTTGTAACAAGGGAAAGGTGCCATGTGATGTCTCCTAGAGAGACGCAGAGACATGTACACACTCATGCATCCATGTGTCTCTCCCTCTTTCTAGATACATTGATTCTTTATGTTGTCGCCAGAGACATCAGCCCTTTGGCATATTTATGTACAATAAAGATCTTACATGTACAGATGTGTACCTATGAATGGGATTGGGTAATGGTGATGAGTGGGAGCTCATCATTCCATTACACTATCTTCTGATTGCCATCATATCGATAAATGTTTTCTTCTCTCCTCTCACATTCACTGATAAATTTGGAGTGCAAAACCATATCGTGCAAGCAGTATTCATTTTTTCAATGATTATGTTTCTAATATTATTCTTTCCTATTTTGATGGTTGACTGGCAGGTAAATATTTTTTTCTAGAATTTACTAATTATAGTAGTTTATTTTCAGAGTGATGAGCAAGAAATCAATGAGGATGGGGAGATTGCTGAAAATTCTGGAAAGGACGAAAAAAGTGAGTGAATTTTTGAAAATTTATTAAAGAGGCTTCTGATTTCATTATTTTTATTTTTTTTCAAAAAACTGTACATTGTGAAAATTCATCAATAATCTCTCAAATTTTGCCAAATTAAAGTACATTCTATGAATATTTTTGACAAAATAATAGACATTGATGGGAAAGGCTAATAATTTATTGATTTAATTACCACTTTATTGAAAATGTAAATTTTTTATATGAAAAATCTTCACGTGAAATGTACGTTTTTCGGGAGTACCCCCCAAAAAATGTACATTTTATCGGAAAACAAATTCACGCAAAACTGTACATTTTAGTCACATTCCCATTCTTCCTATTAATGTTTATTTAAAATTTGGTTTAGCCTATCCACCTGAAATTCAACAAATTTACGAAAAAATATCAAACCTCACAGATCAACTGAACAAAATCACTAGTAAAATAAGGCAAGTGAAGATGATGAAATAGTTCAAGCAATATCGATTCTCCGATTTCAGGGAGAAAAACAAGAAACACTTGGGAATTTTTTCAACACTGCTGAATGAAATCAATGGAGATGCTGGGCCATCAAATGCGATTGACATGAGCAATGCGGGTGACATTGATCAATTTGAAATGGAGTTGATTGAACGATATGAACATGAGAAAAATTCAATTGATCATGTAAGTTTTTTTTTTTAATCACACATATCAAAACCCTTTTTTCTCAGAAGATAGCAAAAATTTATGAAGAATTATTTGAAAAAATCAAAAATTATAAGGAAGATGAGCTTCGGAAACGAAGACTTCATCAAATAACAACTCAACAAGCGAAATCGGATGCAGTCGAATTGAAGTTCAATCGATTAAATGAATTACAGTGAGTTTCGATGATAGAAAGACTGAAGAAGCAGTTTTTTTTCTAGAAAATTCGAAACAGAAACAATAAGACGATTGAAAATAGAACATGGATTACTCAAAACAATCAAGAGTATTACTGCAAATGAAATGAATCAAAAAACTAGCTTCAAGCGTTCAAAATAATTTTATAAGTGTGATTGGAAATGCAATTGCAATTCTAGCTAAAACTGATGTTTATTTTGATTATGTTCAAGAATCGGAGCATCAAGGAAACATAAAGGTATGGTCACTTGATATTTATTATCAAAGTTTGATTTTTCAGAAGCTATTAAATGATTGGTCTCAATTTGTAATTATAGTTCAAGAAAGAATAAAAGTTGTGCAAAGTGATATTATCAATTATTCATTAGCAAATCAACAACTTCGAGAGAATATTCAAGTATGATTTCAGATTTGAAAAATCAATTCTTTATTTAAATTAAAGGCAGTTGGACAATTAATTGTCTAAAAAACGTGTAAAATTTTATCATTAATAAATTCAGTTCTTTGATCACATTTGAGTGTATTTTTCAGTATACTTTCAAAAAAGATGAATTGGCCTAGAAAATTTTTTTTGATCACAGACCACTGGAAATTGGTCAATTGTTTTTCCTCTATTGTTTATCCTCTATAATGTTTTTCGTTTTTTTGAAGGTTTTTTCAAAAATGTTCTGGTGAAAATCACGTGATTCTGATCTGAAATTCCAAAGTTTCAGAGATCCCATCAAATTCTGCTTTGTCGAAAATCTTGCCAGAAAATTTTTGACAAAACCTTCAAAAAACAAAAAATTTTTAACAACTCAAAGTCTGTTGAGCAATTTACCTAATGTACAAGAAATTGCAAAAGATGTTTCGCGATTTTCCTAAAAAATTACTTTTTTTTATCCAAAAACAGAAATTTCTAATGGGCCTATGCAGAATAATATTTTGTAATAAAAAAACATAAAAAAACATTTTTTTCCTATGCAGAAAAACGTCGAAAAAACAAAATAAAGACAACGTGAAATTGAGAGAGCGCAGACATAAAATGGGTTTTTTGTCTGCACTCTCTCAATTTCACGTTGTCTCTACTCAAAATGATAAACTGTATATTTTGTTTTTTCGACGTTTTTCTGCACAGGAAAAAAATGTTTTTTTATTACAAAATATCATTCTGCATAGGCCCATAAAATTAATGATATTAACTATCCAACTGCCTTTAATACAATTTCAATTGTAGAGATCAATAACTGAAGTAGAAAAGGAATATAGTAATGTCTCCAACTACCCTATTCAAATATTTCTTGCTATCGACCATAAGGATTGGGACAAAGTTCAAAGTTTGCATCAACTATTGATCACTCATAATGAAAAAATGACGAGTTACAAATATAACATGAGCAAGATTATTATTGTGCCGGACAACACTTTGGAATTTCTGGAAGAAATCGAAACAGGTGATTTGGTTTTTCGATTTTCAAACTTCTTAATTTTTAATTACAGAACTACTAGTCGACAATAACGAGCCAACTCTTTATCACGAGTGACAATAGTAGCCGGGTGTATTTTGTATTCGTGTATCAATCCGAAGTTTTGTGAGCATTGGAAGAGATTCGATATGGCCTAGAAAACCAACTATTGCCTCTTTCAATACACAAGATTGAAGCGTTTTTTTCTCTTTCACGGTCTTTTGGTTTTCTCTTCCACCGCTCTCAAAATTTCAGATTGACAATCGTGTTTCGCTAATACGGTGTGTCAAGTTTGTGTGTTTCCTAAAAAATATGAAACACTCTCCAATTGTATGAATCATATTTTATCTGGTTGTTTTTTGATTTAATGTTTTCAACATAATTTTTCCCTTTCCATACTGTGATATTATCCCGAATTTACACTGTGCAATAATATTTTTGTTTTATCTTTTCTTTATAATAAAATTATTCATCTCAGCGCGATTTGTTGAAACACATTTTGTGTAAAAAGTTGAACTTTAGAACAGCTACCCAGTTGGAAATGAGTTTTGAGGTGTATTAACATTTATTTAGTCCTGCCTATACCTCGCCCAGCTTCGTGCAAAAAAATCAAATCGGGACATTTAGAACACTATTCTGTCAATAAAAATCGATCAGAATGTCGGAAATATACAAAACTCTGAATTTCAGACAATTCGAGATCAAAATAAAAAATTACGGGGTAGGCGGCAATTGATCTGGGACATTCTGAACAAAAACCACGGGCGCGCCTAACCGACTGAACTACCACACATTTTGTGGAAGCGGGGTGTGATTTCATTTTTTCTGCATTTTTTGGCAGTGGCTTCAAGTAAAAAAACATTTTTTTTGGAAAAAAAAATATTGGCGCCAAAAAATTCATTTTCAAAATATCTGGGTTATATACATATGAAATAAAATGTTTTTTTTTAAATATTTTTTCTTTGGATTGATTTTTTCTAGTTGCTTCATATTTTGATTCAAGTTCACAAAATTCTTCATACCGATTAAATTGTTGGAATCTGAAAAAAAATAAATTGATTAAATCAACAACTATTTTAATAAAAACAAACGTTTTCAGAAACCATGTTATCAAAACTCGTAAAAACTGGAGAAAATTTGTCCAAACAATCAACAGCAAATTGTTTCTTTGAATCGTCATTTTCTAGTTCATCCTGATAATTTGGAAGTTGTTGAATATCGTTTTGAAGAAGTAAAATATATGCCTTCAAATTATGCATTTCAGAGCTATACGATGAATATTTTGATAAGTTTACAAACATCCGAGAAATAATTAACAACTCATCCGCATCTGTGTATTCCAGTGATTTTTCCAAAGGTTTTTCAGATTTCAAAAATCTGTTTCTCAAGGCAGTTTGATATTTTTCAATTTTCTCGTGATGCTCTATCAATTTTACAAGCAAAACTTTTATTTTCGCCCATTCCTTGTGTTCAATTGCAATTTCGATTCTGAGCGGATAATTTGAGACAGCATTATATTCCTTTTCCAGTTCATCTACTGATTCCTGAAAATGTTTTGTGATAATGAAAAAACCCCCCCCCCCCTACTTACTTGAATATTCTCTCGTAATTCTTGATCTGCGCTTGAACAGTTGATGAGTTTTCTTCGCATTCTTTCCATTTCTTTTTGCAATCTATCTGCAGCTTCTGACCAATCTTTTAACGCTTTCTTAAAATATAACTCTTAATTCTTCATTTAAAATTTTTTATTCTGTTGTACCTTCAATTTGTCCTCTTCAATAGCTCTCATGAATTCAGTGAGTTGATCTAGATTCCAATTCGTTTTTTGAATAGCAGGGATAAGATCATTTTCAAGACTCATAGTTATTTCTTGAGTATTTCGACTTTTCTTTTGTAAAAGCCTGTTTTTGATATCACTATTTAGAATTCTCAATCGTTTTTCGTATTTTTCTCTTAATTGTTCAATACGTTTCTAAAAAAAAGTGTGAATCTTTCTCGTGTATGTCAAAACTGTTTATTCTGTTGTACCTTCAAACCATCTTGATTTTTGTCCTCTTCAATAGCTTCCATGTATTCAGTGAGTTTATCTAGATTCGACTTCGTTTTTTGAATAGCGGGGATAAGATCATTTTCAAGACTCATAGTTATTTCTTGAGTATTTCGACTTTTCTTTTGTAAAAGCCTGTGTTTGATTAGAATTCTCAATTGTTTTTCGCGTTTTTCTCTGTCTTGTTCCATACGTTTCTGAAAAAAGTGTGAATCTTTCTCGTGTATGTCAAAACTGTTACCTCTTGTTCTGTTTTCAATTGTAAACGCATTTTAAATTCTTCATTTAGTTCTTCTTTCTGTAAAAATATATTTCTACAAATTCAGAACGAAAACATACCTCTTCTTCATTGTGATCCGTCTTCTTAAATACGGCTTTCTTCTCAAATAAACAATCGAAATTTTCTCTGTCATTTTCTTCATTGATAATTGAAATTATAATGTCACCAATGGAACCACCTGTAATAATATCGCTACCATTTTGAAAATTTATTCTATAAAATTACAATATCGGGTCTGATCCGCCTCTTGATCACTACAAAAGTGTTCCAAATTACTCTGCAAAATTGTGTTTAGAAATAATTTGATGATTTATTTTCATTCAAAACTTACCGAGTTCTCATTCATTTCTTATATTAACAAGTGGAGAATAAGGAATGATAAGAAATTGAATGTTGTTAAAGCACTCGCTTATGAATGAAAAACTATTGATAAGAAAAAATCAATAAAAATTTTGAATGCTTCATTGAATTTTCGAAAATTTCTAATCTTCCTCTATACCCGCAATGCGTGTGCGTTGCGGTCGCTTTCCAAAAGGAAAGCTTCGATAAACTTTATTTTTTATCAACACAAGAATACCAAAAAAACAAAAAAAGTCAGAAATTTCTTATCAAAATGTCTTATGTGTGTCACAAGATTTTTGGCACAGCAACAGAAATATTTCATTATAAAAATTATTGAATGTGGGTCGACGAAATTGTTGATTTGAAACTGACAAGGGGTTTTTTCTCGTTTTTTTTTGTTTTGAAAAAAGTATTGTGGATTGGCCACATGTTAGAGCGAGTTCAACAAGGATTCACTTATTCTTGTGCAATCAAAATGTTTCACATTTTCTGAAAATATAACTCCGATGGCTGGAATATGGGACTATGATTAAAAGTGTTTATTTTTCAGACAAAAAAAAACTGTCCAAGAGGTCATATTACAAACGTATGGGCGCTTGGGCTGAAAAATACGATGACATTTGATCTACAAAAAAGTGTCCTATAGGAATCGCTGCTCTGATCACAATGCTATAAAAATGAGCTCCTAAGCTTTCAGGCGGAGCCAAGAAAATGAGCCGAAACGGTGTAGCCGGTAAGTGTCTACATCCGTAACTTGAAGGTGGCGAGTTCGAGCCCGCCTCGAGACTAGATTTTTCGATTTTTCCCAAATTGCACAGTGTGCCACTAATCACCTCCAATTTTACTAGACCTCAATTTTTTTGTTGAAAATTCCCAGTAGATCAAAAATATTTCAGATTTCAAAATTTCCCACTTGTATTCCATTATACCCCAGCAATGTGTCATGTTTTTGTCAAGCACAGCAAGTTATGTACACTAACTCAGAGTGTGTGAGAGAGAGAGAGACGCAGAGAAATAGAACACTTTATGTATTTATTTTCGTTGAAATTTCGTAAAACAATAAAGAATATTAAGAAATCTTGCTACAATTCATCTATAAAATGCACTGTTTTTTCATTTCATCATAACAATGCTGAAATTCATTATTTTTCTGATCGCTCTAAATCTCATTTCTGAAATTCAATGCAGAAAGATCACAATCTACAACAAATGTTCAATGACAATTTGGCCCGGTATTCTTGGACCTGGAAATCCAGCTGGAGGTGGATTTGAACTGAAATCTGGAGAATCTCGAGATATCGATGTTGCTGATTCGTGGACAGCTGGTAGAATCTGGGCAAGAACTGGTTGTGATTCAAACTTCAATTGTGAAACCGGATTTTGTAGAAATAGTGAGCAATGTAATGGAGCTGGAGGTGTTCCACCTGTGTCATTAGCTGAATTCACTTTGAATGGTTGGGCTGGTCAAGATTTTTATGATGTTTCCTTGGTGGATGGATATAATCTTCCAGTTATGATTCTACCTTATGGTGGTGGTCTGAATAAAAAATCAATATTTAATGGAGGTTGCAAACGAGCAGGAGGCTGTTTCAAAGATCTCAATAAAATCTGCCCACCTGAACTTGCCATCAAAGGAAAGACCGGGCAAATTGTTGCCTGCAAATCTGGTTGCCTTGGATACAATACTGATCAAGAATGTTGTCGTGGAGCATTTGGGACTGCAGATAAATGCCATCGTAGTCGAACTGCTCAAATGTTCAAAGATGCTTGTCCAACTGCTTATTCATATGCATATGATGATAAGACTTCTACTTTTACTTGTCCAAAGGGAACAAATTATGTTGTTCAGTTTTGTTGATATTTTTTCGAAATAAATTTTTTTGATCTGAAGTTTAGGAGCTCATTTTTATAGCATTGTTATCAGCGCAGTGATGACAATTTTGTGTAGATCAAATATCACCGCATTTTTCAGCGCCCATAGTCTATACGTTTGAAATATGACCTCTTGGACAGTTTTTTTGTCTGAAAAATAAACAATTTCATTGCAATAAACATTCACATTTATCATTTTCATTATACTTTTGATGATACCAAAATTACTACTATTTTCTGTTTTTCTCCTTATTCCAGGAAATTTTGCGTCAAAGTGAGTTCCTATTTTCAAATAAATGAATAAAAAATGAATTTTTGCAGTGCGACTATAAAATTTGTGAATAATTCGATATTGGTGGAAGGTGATGTTGATAGATATATTGCTTTTAGAACTAGTGGAAGTGGAAGGATTTTTGTGAATGATTTTGATATTACTGATATTCCATCGGAGGTAAGAATGGGGTCTGGAGGGGTACTGTAGCAATGGAAACTGTAGAACTTTCCGTATACCTCTTCTCAAACTATATTAGGACAGTACTATCAAAAAATCTTTAAAAAATCCCACTTTTTTGATCACCTCATTGTCAGGAGTACTGTAGAAATACTATTTAAAATGTTTTCTATAAAGTTTTAGCACCATTATTCTCACTCACAAGGAAGAGCGCACTATTTATTACCAAGAAAAAAGAACACACAAAAAACAAGAGAGCGCAGACAAGGAAAAAAAACAGTGTGCAGAGTCTAACTGTCTGCGCGCTCCTCTTTTTGTGTGTTCTTTTTTCAACCTCGGGTCAGCGTTTCTTGCGCTTCCTTTTTTTCTTTTCAATTTCGCGAGTTTTCTTTTTGCTATTTTCAGAAACTATTCCAAATTTTCAGGCTGAATATCAAAAATTCATTGAAACTCTTCACGATGTTCAAAGAACTATTGAAAGAACAACAAAACTTCGAATTGATTCTCAAAAACAAAACGATGAAATCAAAGATAATATGGAAAGAATCAAAAAACATGTGAGTAAAATATTCCTTAAAAATTCAAACTTTGCATAATTTTTTTCAGAGTTTGGATCAAGTTGAAAAATTGAAACATTATGAAACTTGGAAAAATAGTCAAATTGAAGATGGCAAACATCGGAAGGAACAATTGGAAAGTTTCAATGATCAGATAGAGTAGGAGACAAAATCAATCCGAAAATTCAGAATATTTTTTTCAGCTCAATTGTGAAGAATTTGGAGAAAGATCTATGTGAAGAAGAACATCCGTGTAGAAATGGAGGAACTTGTATTCCACAATATCAGGATTATTTTTGCATATGTCCAGATGGTTATGAAGGAAAAGATTGTCGGAAAGATGTTGATGAATGTGAAGTTTTGGTAAATCGATGTTCGAATAATGGAACTTGCAGGAATTTGATCGGAACTTTTGAGTGAGTTGGGGTATTTCAGGCCCTGAACTCTAGACCCTGAAGATCATGAAAACATCTTGTTCCAGATGCAAATGCCAAAAAGGTTTCTACGGACCTTCTTGTGATTTGATCAGCCCAATTTGTCAATCAGAAGACAGTGAATTATGTGGAGAACATGGAAAATGTATTGAAGATCTTTCAGCACATTTGAAATATAATTGTATTTGTGACACTGGTTATAAACCATCTACAGATATTGAAAATATTTATTGTGTGGATATTGATGAATGTTCTACAAATCCATGTCATCCTGGAATTCGATGTTTGAATTTGCCAGGATCTTTTGAATGTTTGGGTTGTCCGATTGGATATGAGAGTGGGTTTTTTTTTTAGGTTTTCGAAGCCATTTAATTTCAATTTTTCCAGAGATCGGAAATTCATGTGTGGACATCAATGAATGTGATCACCCAAATATTTGCGACAAACAAACCAAATGTATAAATTTACAAGGATCTTATAAATGCACAGATTGTCCAGCTGGATTTTCAGGAGATGGAAAAACTGGATGTATTGATAATCCAGATAAATGTGCATCAAATCCATGTTCAAAAATGCAAACATGTCATAATACATTTGATAATCAACTAGGATTTATTTGTTATTGTCCAGATGGTTATGCTGGAGATTATTATCAAGAATGTGTGAAGATCGAAGAGAATCCTTGCCAAAATAAACCGTGTACTGTTTTTGGTAAATGCAAGGCTATAAATTCCACGGACTATCAATGTATTTGTTTTGGCGGTATTTCTGGAAAACATTGTGAAATTGTGAGTGAAAAATTTTCGAAAGTGATTTCAAAATAATCCTTTTTTTCAGATCGATGATTGTTCAGATCAGTGTCAAAATAAAGCAGTTTGTAAACATAATACAGATGGAAAATATTATTGTGCTTGCCCCAAGGGTTTCTATGGAGAATATTGTGAGAAACAAGAAGAAGATTGTGATCGACATCTGACGGATTCCAGCGGAATTCTGAATTTTGAATATACTTCAAACATTTTTTGCAAATTTCATTTTGATATCACTTTTGCTTCGGATAAAGCTCTTCAAATCACTTTCACTGATTTCGATGATTTTAATCCAAACCCCAATGGACCAACAAATTGCTCAACAACCCCTTCAAAACTTGAGGTAACTCTCATTTCAACTTCTGAACTTCTGATTTTATTTTTAATTTCAGCTTTTCGATGGCCCTGGAATAAATTATCATCGCTTCGCAACATTTTGCGGTAATCGAAATGACTTTTTTGTAAGTCTCCAGATTTTTTTTTTGGATTTCAGAAAAAAACTAAAAAATTTCAGAGCCCTGGAATTAATGAGCCAATGGTTTTCTCAACTAACACTGCCTTTATGGTTTTTAAAGGGACAACTGGGATGTTTGAGATGAAATGGGAGGTTGTGACGAAAAGTGAGTGTCAGTCGGAGTTAGCTTATCTCCATTTTTTTCTCTCTAGAATGTGGATATCGAACATCGAAAGAAGGAATGATAAAGATCCCAGCTTCAGAAGAAATGATTGCTTGTGAATGGTTCATAACAGCACCATTTTCAAAAATTATTCAACTTGAAATTCCAAATATCAAATTGTCATATCGTTCTGAATGTGAAGACAATGAACTTGCTGTTTATGATTGGTATACGATTCGAGGAACCTCTAGAATATCTAGTATTTGTCAATCTACCCAATATCCAGATATTATCAAATCAACTGGACCATTTCTAACAATCACTTTGAATATTGGAAAAGTTTTGACGAATGGATTTATTTTGAATTATAAATTTGTGGATGCTGAAAATGGATGTTCAATAAAATATGAAAATAAAGAGAAAAATGTGAATTGGAAAGATAAAATAACATCGCCACATTTTGGCGGGAAATATCCGGCGGGTTCCGAATGCACTTATCAAATTGATACTGGTTTTGAAAATCATCTGAAGATCAGGTTGAAATTCAACACCTTCAATCTGTTGTCTGGTGATAAATTGGAGATTTGTTCGGCTGAAGATTGCACAACTTATGATGAAAATATGGTTCTGAATACAAATGAAGAGAAGATTTATGAGAACTCAGTTTTGACTTTGAAATTCACTAGTGATTATAAGGATGAAGGATTGGGATTTGATATTGGTTTTGAATCAATTTGTGAACATAGATTCAGGGGAAATGGAACTTTTACGACTTTTAATTATTTGAGACCAGATTGGATTGGAAATTGTAGTTATCTTGTGGAAGCAGAGGATCATGAACATGTTGAGTTAACGTAAGTTGTTTTTCCTAAGTGCTTTTGGAAGCTTTTGAAGGCTTCGGAAGGTAACTCACCCCAATTTCCAAATTTTACAGATTCGAACACGATTCTAAAAATTGTAAAAGCCACGACTATTTTACAATGACTGCATTGCTAACGAGAGACGAATATGATTTTTCTTGCCCATTTCCTGGAACTTCAAGAATATCAACAGGCAGTGTTTTGCTGAATGGAATAATGAGAAAGCTCAATTCACAGGGCTTTATTGTGATTTATAAAACTACTGATATGGGTGCGCCATTTTCTGATTTTTTTAAATCATAGCATCGATTTTAATGAATTTCAGGATGTGGTGGAAATTTCACAAGTACCTCTGGTATTTTAACATCACCAAATTGGCCAGAAGATATGCCTGATGGATCAACATGTATCTACCGTATCCAAACACATAATTCCACTGTTATCAGGCTCAATTTCAATCAATTTGACATTGAAGATTCAGATTTATCGTGCGAAGATCATTATTTACAAATCTTTGATGGTGACAGTGAAAAAAGTGCATCTCTCGGAACATTTTGTGGAAAAAGGGTTCCGGAAATTGTGAGCACTTCGAATAATTTGTATATGATTTTAAAAACAACTGAAGGATATAGAGAATCAAAATCTGGATTTAACGCAACTTACGAATCTGTAAGCCATGTTGGACTTTGTAATCGCACCTTCCTATCAACTTCTGGGAATATTGTTCTTGATGAGAATGATGGATTTGGCACCGAAGAATGTTTGATTAATATACATGTCCCTGATCAATATACAATTCAATTGACTTCGAATAACTTGAATATCCCCTGTGAAACTTCATCGCTTGACATCTACAATGGTGAAACTAAAGATTCTCCAAAGATCTATAATCAATACAAAAATTGTGGAATCCTCAAGTTCAAACCAATTCAATCACATTCAAATCGCTTACTTCTAGTGGTGAAATCTACTGAACCTGGAACAATTTTCAATATCAGTTATGAAATTGCGGATAATAAATGTCATGGAAATATTATTGATGGATGGAAGGGTCATGTTCAAAGTCCACAATATCCAATCGCTGATCAACGAATTTATAATTGTGAATATATTATAAGAGGTCCACCTGGGACTAGGGTAAAGCTATGGGTTAAAGATTATCCTTTGCTGGATATGCGATATGCTGGAGAGATCTGTGAATCGGAACATTGGGATTCTTTACATGTGAGTTCACAAAATTTCAACCCAGTTTTATATGTATGTACATACATAATTCAGATATATGATGGATCCGAATTCAACAAAAACAAAATCACAAAAATCTGCGCTGGTCACAACAATGCTTCAAACCCAATCATCTCCCAAACCAATATTTTATCGATTAATTATCACAGTTTTTCAAGAATTGATTCTATCGGATTCAGCGCGGAATTCGAAGTTTTCTGCAGAGATGTTATGTTGACTGAATTCTCTGGACATATTCAAACTCCTGCGTATCCTGAAGGCATTTCTGAATATATTTATTGTAGTTGGTTTATCAGAGCTCCGCCTGGCAATCGGATTATCGTCAAGTTCGAGGATTTTGTTATTGAACAGGATCCGGAGGCTTATAGTAGGATGTTGCATAGTCAACTTAGGGTAAGTCATATTTTTTAGAAGAGAGGCTAGAAGGCTCAGAAACCAAAAAAAAAATTTTTTTGCAGATCAAAGAGCAAGAGCTGGGCTCTGTTCTAATCAAAGCTCAAGACAAAATCCAAAATTCCACAGAAACCTACGTCTATATGCATGATGATATTCCTACAGTACTCCACTCAAAACACAATAATCTCACATTCGAATTATATTCCGTGTATAGAATAACTAACAAAATTCACATGTGGTATGAAATGATAGGCTGTGTTGGAAACATCAATCATCCTCAAACAATCAAAATAAATTTGAAAACAATTGACCCGGAAGTTGAGCGATTCGAGTGTCGATATAAAATCAAAGCTCCGATTGGCAAGAAAATTCAATTGAATATTGAGAAATTCACATTTGCAAAATCGATGACGTCATGTGAATGGAAAGCGAATGAGACTTTTGATGGGATTGCGTTGTTTATGGGTGATTCTGTTGATCAAAATGGGGCGCAGAAATCCCTTTGTTTTTTGATTCATGATTCAGAGAAAGTTGAATCTCATACGAATGAGATGTATATTTTGATGTCGATGTTGAAGAAGGATATTTCACATAAGGATCAGGACTTTTTTGAAGCTCATGTTGATTTTGTTGATGGGAAAGATGATCAAACTTGTGGAGCTGATATTCAACGTGAGTTAAAAAAAACATTGCTCATATTAGCTTCCCTTTTTCCAGTTGATGACAATGAAATCACATTAAAAAGTCCAAATTATCCAAAACCAATCGCAACTGGATCACCACGTAGCTGCACATGGAAGCTAACAGTTCAAACCGGTTACCACATCGAATACACACTTCAATATTATTTCTCAGGAATGTCCGATTTTCAATGTGAATATTTATCTCATCATGGAAAATTGGAATTCTATGAAATGATCGAAGATAAACCAAATTCGGTTAAAGAATTTTGTAAAAATCTGGAGAAACCGGAAACTTTCCAAGTTTTTTCTAATACATCTATCGTTAAATATAGTGAAAATCCAGTTTTGCCACATCATTATTCGGAAGTTAAACAGGATGTGAGTTATTTTATCGATTTTTTTAGGTCTGATCCACTTATTGATTTTTCTCTCCATAGATTGGCTTCATTTTGAAAGCTCGTGCTGTTTGTGGAGCGGTTTTATATGCAACAAATACGACTCAAAGAACATATCTTAATCTGGTGAAGAAATCCAATTGCACAATGAAGTTTAGAAAATCACATCCAGGTAAGCTCCAAGCCTCTCTAGAATTCTATCTCACTTTTTTTCAGACGCCAGAAACATCAACATCCGAATCCGAAGTTTCATCCGATTCGGTCACATTTCTCCAGGAGAAGATCAACTCAAAATCTACGCTGATAATCAATATATTGAAACACTTACAGTCAATCCAGAATCGGAAAAATTCTATCGAGCTGAACAGGAAATTCGAGTCGATTTCATTCATGAAGCTGAAGATATGAAACATGTTTCAATTGATTATAGTTTAGGAGATATTGGTGAGTTAGAGGAACTCAAGTGCATATGTATAAAATATATTTTATTCTAGAATGTGGAGGATATCGATCGGAACAATCTGGAGTTCTTCGAGCTCCACCACAAAATATTTTGGGAAAAGACAAAGATTTCGATTGTGAATGGAGTTTTATTGGATTTTATACATCTAAAGTTTCAGTTTCTGTTGAGTGAGTTATTCATAAGTTATTGTAAGTCCAAGATTTTCTTTAGAACTCACAATTTACCATTCACCGCCTTCTGTCCCTCTTCATTTATTGAAATTCGAGATGGTTACGGAAAAATATTATCTCATCAATGTGACCCGGAAAATGTCAACAAGACAACTTTTACATCTGAAGTTTTATATGTTCGAGTCAAATATCGTCAAACAAAAGATCGTGTTGATGGAGACATCGATTTTAAGATCAATTTTGTTAAGGAACATGCGGTGGATTATAAATATCGTGATATTGAAGATGGTCATTTGCTCAATCCTATTGCTAATTTTGATGTTGACGCTGGGGAGAATACGGTAATTTTTAGTCTCGTGAAAAAATTATGAAAAAAAAATTCAGACCTCAATCAAATTCAATGCAGAAAACATTCATCTCTCTCCAAAATCCCACATAAAAATTTCCGAAGTTTCCGACAATGATGAAGTTTTGGAAGAAGATGCCAAATTTATTACACAAGATGAAGAATTTATCAAGGAATATTCGAAATTTAATGTTGATCAATTTGTAGAATTCAATGATAGATTCTTCATCCACTGGGATCCTTTAATAAATGGCAAGAATCCTGAAACTGATTATGAGTGTGGAGAGATTCTAAAAGCAACTTGGTCTACACAGCATCTTGAATATACTCGAGATGAAGATGATCAGAATGGTGTTGTGAAGCATTGTAGATATCGAATTGATCCTGAAGAATTTTCCACAATTGATGTCGATTTTGATTTTTCGAATTATGACGAAGATTCTTGTATTCGAAATTATGTTGTTATAACTGACCAAGATATGTGAGTTGTTCAGGTAAATTTATGTATGAAAAATATTATTCTAAATTTTTCCAGCCCGAAAAAGAAGTTCAAAAAATCTGAAACCAAAAAAATTTGCCATCATAGCGATTTGAATGGCACTTTTTCAAGAAACACACCAATTTATATTCATTTTGTCACTGATAGTTATGCTGATGTTATGCTGAATTACAGATTGAGTGAGTCAATTATTTTCTTTTCTGAAAATCTCATATTTTTATTTCAGGTTGCCTCTCTGAAAATGAAAATGTTTATAAATTTACACATCGCCATTATGAATTCTCAAATCCCCCGATGGAAATTGAAAAATGTCGATGGATTATTGAAACACCTTCGAATCGCCCGATTATTGCGGATGTTCGCGAAATTGATCTTGTTGAAAAATCTCCATGTGCTTCGGATAATTATCTGAAATTTGTGAGTTTCCGGGGGATTTTTCTAGAAACATTTATTTGTTTTCTTCCAGTCTTCTACTCTGCTCTCAACTGAAGGAGCAAGATGTGGCTCCAAATTATTTAATTATACCACTTCTGGAAATCGGCTCGTAATTGAATACACCGCAAAATCTACCGAAGCTAAAAGATCCTTCAAAATTCTATTATCCGAAAAACAAAATGATTGCTCATCTGAACCAATTCGACTAACCGAACTCTTCCCCAATGAAACAATTCACTCTCCAAATTTCCCTGGAAAAATTCCAGTTTCAAGTTTATGCAACTACATTATTGAAGTCCCACATCATCATCGAGTTATGCTAACTTTCACCGCTGAATTATTCCATATTTCGGATTCTTCTGGGAAATTCAACAAATCTGAAGATTTCATTGAAGTTCGTGATGGTCCAACAGAAACATCGCATTTTATTGGAAGATATCAGGGAAATCAAGCACCGTCTTCGGTTTTTTCAACAACTAATGTGATGTTTATTAGATTGAGAACAAATTCAGAAAATGGCAAGGAATTATTGGGATTTGAAGCGAGAGTTGAAATTGCAAAATGTGGAGGAACACATCATATTCATCATAAAAATGATGTTTTTGTCTTAAGTCAAAAAGCTACAGAATTTATGACTATGGATTGTAAATGGGTTATTAAGGTTCCAAATTCACACATGTTGGAATTCAGGTTGGTTTTTTTTCAGGAAATTTTCAATTTTTCCAAGCCTTCCTTTTCCAGAATCCGTAAATCCGAAATCCCTCTTGGCTCCAAAAATTGTGGCTCACAAGTGTTCAACATCGAAGATGTTACTGAATCCAACAAAACTGTATTTTTCGAAAAAGATTGTCAAAAAGTTCCGGAAACTCATTGGCAAAGAAGTTCATCATCCGAAATTTTTGTCAATTATTGGAAAAATGTATGTTTTTTTCCTGGTTGGAATTTTTTTAAATTGTTTTTTTTTCAGGGCTTCGGCTCTTCGAGCCACTCGGAATTATTCAAAATTGAATTCAAAATGAGTGAAACTTGTGAGTTCTCAAAACTTTTTAAAACAAAAAAAAATAATTTTTTTTGCAGCTTGTGGCAGTGATTTGATTACCGATGAAAAGGGAATTCTAAAACTCCCACAAAAATCAGGAAAAATTCTCCGGAAATTACACTGTGTTTGGAATTTCAAAACTTATCCAGGATTGGTGTATATTTTCAGTTTGAAATTTGAAAATCACGATAATTTTTATGCGAAACAAGAGGATGGAGAGGAATATTTTCCGGATTTGAAGGTAAGATTTCTGGATTTTCAAAAAAAAACATTTGAATAATCTGCAATTTTTCAGCTCGTAAATCCTTTCACCACAAATTACACCTCAACATTTTTCACCAAACAATTTTCTACATATAAACCCGCCTTAATCGAGGAATCAAAACTAATTTACGATAACTTGGAAAATTTCCATAGAAATAGTTTGAAATCTGAGCAAGGATATGAACCATTCACAATTGAATATGAATATGTTCCCGCTGATTTAGTTGGGAATGATGATTGCACAAGAACTATCATGCGAAGTTCAAAGTTGGATCTTAGAAGTGTCATTTTCTTTAACGGTTAGATCAGATTTTCAGCACAAAAAATCGATAAATATTTCCAGAGTTATGCCATCTCAGAATCGAAAAACCTGAAGGATACAATTCTGTCGGTATCAAAATCCAAAATTTCTCTGGGAGCGACAACATCATTATCAAAGGTATTAGTTATCCTAACTCAAAAAAAAAAAATAATCCAGAAATTTTCAGCCGCTGCTCCTTTCCCATATGATGAAACCTTTGAGGGTACAAAAATTCAAAATCGAGAAATTGATTTGATTTTTAATAATCAAGTAATCGATATTTATCTTATTCATATTCTACCCAAGGTATCTTCTAATTATTCAATAAGTATAGAATTTTACGAATGTGGAGGTGTTATAACTGAACCGAATTTTGGGAATATCACAAATCCCGAGAATTCAAATAACACAAGATGTCGCTGGGTTATTGAGGCGCCAGAAAATCAACGTGTCAAACTTGATATACTTCATTTGAGCAATCGTGACAGTGGATGTGAACGTCAAAAAATGGAGATTGGCGAGGGAAAACAATATAAATTGGCACCAATTTTTGAGTTTTGTCAATATTTACATGAAAAAGATTCGGTGGATGCTAATGAAAAACAACTTCGGATAATTCAATCGAAGGCGAGATATTTGACGATTATTTGGAGAAGCAGTTCAGTACGAAAATCAGATTGGGCCCTGGCTTATGAATTTATTGATGCTGGAAATGTTTGCGGTTTTCATAGCCATGATTCGAGAGGAGTTATAACATTTCCAACAAACCAAAAAGAATATTCGAATGATATAAATTGTCGGTGGGATATCCAAGTTCCACGCGGTTTTCATATCAAATTTTCTGTGGAATATTTCCATGTTGAAAATTCTACTGAATGTAAAAAAGATGGTTTAACGATTCACGATGTTCAATTAAACACTATACCGTATTCTTCGAGTATGGGAAGTGTTTTAGAAAATCGAACATTGTGTGGTAAAATCAATCCAGTTAGCTATGATTTTGGAAATCGTGTCGCGCTTGATTTCTATTCGGATTCGGAACATACAGATTCAGGATTTCAAATCAAATGGGAAGCTGTTTGTGGAGAAATCTTGACAGCGAATGATGGAATACTGTACTCGCCAAATTACCCAGAATCATATCCAAATAAAAATAGTGAATGTGGACATGTCATAAGTGCTGAAGATAATTGGGATGTTAAATTGATATTTGAAGATATCGATTTGGCTGATGAGCCTGAAATTGATATCAATGGAAAATGTTTGGTTGATAGAATTGATATTGTGAAAATGGGAAGTGGGGAAATATTGCGAACGATTTGTGGAAGAGAGAACACTGAACATGAGGAAAGTATTCGGGTGAAAGGATCTGTTGGTGTGAGATTGATTACGGTGAAATCGGAAAATGACAAGAAACATCATAGAGGATATAAGATTGCTTATAGAAAATATGGTGAGTGAAAATTGAAACCATTTGAAGTCTTCTGGAGCCTTCTGAAGCCTTTTGAAGCCGTTTGAAGTCTTCTGAATCCTTCAAAATCCCTCTGAAGCCTTCTGGAGCCTCCATCAGCCTTCTGAAGCCTTAAAAGGCCTTCTGAATCCTCTAAAAGCCTTTTGAAGCCTTAAAACTCTTTGTGAAGCCAGCTAGAGCTTCCAAGAGTATTCTGAGACTCCTAGACTCATCTGAAGCCTCTATCAGCCTTTTGAAGTCTTCTGAAGCCTTGTGAAGCCTTCAAAGTCCTTCTTCGATGTCCAAAGTAAAAAATATAGCAAAAAATGCGAGAATCGTCCAAAGCTCGCCTTATATTCGAAATACAGAACAGAGAAATAGTGTGTGTATTCGAGAGAGGCAGACAGCTAGACTTTGGACAATATACTTTTGCATTTTTGTTTTATTATTTTTTTTGGACACCGCATTCTGGCTTAACTCTCTTAAATTTTTCTCTCTTAAATCTCTTAAATTTTTCTGAAGCCTTCAAAAGCCTTGTGAAGACAGCTAAAGCCTCTAAAAGTCTTCTGAAGCCCTGATCAGCCTCCTGAAGTTTTCTGAAGTTTCTAAAATTTTTCTGGAGCCTCCAAAAGCCTTGTGAAGCCAGCTAGAGCCTCTTAAAATTTTCTGAAGCTTCTGAAGTCTTCTGAAGCCTTCTGAAGCCTTCAAAAGCCTTCTTCAAACCCTCAAAAATCTTCAGAAGCTTCCAAAAGCCATTTGAAGACTTCTGCAGAAGAACATATGTACAAAAAAATTCCTAATTTTTCAGGTTGCGGAGAACCAGTTGTACTGAACAAAGGCAACAATTTTAGATACGCATATTATCCAATGACAAAAAATGTTGATGATAATGGAAACTGTATATGGAACATCTCAACACATCCCACTAGAGAACTTCATTACGTAAATTTCTTTGGAGATGACAAACAACCAAACTGCGATGAGAACAAATTCGAAGTCACTGATGTTTCAACAAATTCAACAAAATCATTTTGCGAATCCACAAATGGTATGAAACGATCGAATTCTTCGAACATCATCTTCAATTTGAAATTCACAACACCAATCGATTTTCGTTTCGCAGTTTTTTCAACACCGAAAAAAGGTTGTAATGAAAAACTAAAAGTTCATGATGATTGGAAAACCCTTAGCCCAATCCTGGATAAAAATGGTAATTATTTGAGTAATCTACGTTGCAATTGGCAATTGGAAACTGAAAAAGGTTATACAATTGAGATTCGTATCAATTCTATTGATATATTAGAAGACTATATGGTTCGTTATGGTTGTTTGGAGAACTTAGAGATTTATGATGGTACTCCTGGTTCAAAACCAATTCTTTTTGATTCGTGTCAAGGGGATAATGCAACTGGTCGAGTTATTCAAAGTTCGAGGGATATTGCTAGTTTGTATTTTTACTCCAGTGATATTGCAAAGGGTAAAGGTTTCGATGTTTCGTATAGAAGACGGCCAGGTAAGATTGTTTTCGTTAGAGAGGCTTCACGGTCATTCAATTTTTCCAGTCGCTTGTTCACCTGAAAACTTCATCGCAATCGAAACAGAAAAGTTCTATACCTTCGAACACAATCCAAATAAAACTGCACAAGAAAAATGTCAAATCACAATTGAGGGAGCAAAACCAGAGCCAATTATTATCAGATTTATTGAACTTAATTTGGCAGACAATGATTGTATGGAAATTCGAGATATTGGATCAATCGATAATTGTGCTCATCCAGGATGTGCTCAACATGAAAATGATCGAAAAATTACAAAATTGTGTGGAAAACAGAATCCACATGTTCATATTGCTAGGTCGAATTCTGTTTTTATTCATATTGTGAGCTCTTCGAAAGATTCGAAAATTATTATCAGTTATCAGATTTTTGATAGTGAGTTTTTTTTTTTAATTTCAAAATTTCACACAAAATTTTTCATTTTCCAGAATGCAATCGCTCAATCGACACCAAATCTTACAAATCTGGCCGAATCACAAGTCCAAATTATCCCAAAGATTATGAAGATAATATGAAATGCACTACAGTATTCAGTGATAGCCGAAGTCAAGAAAACACTTCAAAAATGCTCTTCATCTTCCAAAAATTCTCGCTAGATGATTCGGATTCACTCAAAATTTCGGAATCTGAAAAAATTCTTGAAGGAAAATCTCTTCCTCATAATATTCTAACAAATGGCGGGAAATCGGTTACGGTATGTACCTTGAAATTGTTTTTTTGGTGAAAATATATATTTTTTTATTTGCAGTTTGAATTTTCGAGTGACAAAAATTCACATAACGGTGGATTTGATGCAACTTATTTCAGTGTTGCTGAGCAGAATGAGACAGTTATCAGATTTTCAGAATCGAATGAATTATCTGGAATTATTACCAATATGGAATTTCCTAATGCTTATAAGGCAAATTATAAACAAATGTATGTTAAAGGGACATGTGGAGTACGGTATTTCTCAAATTTTGTTTTTCAGATTCACCATTCGGCCTCCTCAAAATCACGATTGTGTATTTGTATACGACGAACGTGATGTAGGAAAATCTTGTAGACTTCACGAAACTCGAAATCGTGATTTTTCCAAAAATGTTCAACAAAATGAAACGGTTACTGTCACATTTTATGGGCAAACCCAGGAAAAAGATGTTTTGCATTCTTGTGTGAGTTTTTTTATGTCCAGAGTTAGCGCATCTTCAAAAATTTTTTCCAGAGCAATCATTATTTCAATCGCTTGAACAGACAATCTGGAGGAGATCGATATGCTGAAATTGTTTTCAAAACCGATGGCGACACTAAAAATGATGGAAGAGGATTCAAAATTTCATGGGCTTGCGATAATTATAGAGGTGTTTGAACTATTATATTGGAATTTTTAATGAACATTTATTCGTAGTATGGAAAAGTTGTTAGTTGTCACTTTTGCGTTCTTCCCGTCTGTTGAACCGCGACAAATCCTCAAAAATTTCAGATTAAAACTTCAAGAAATATATTATTTTTCAAAATATATTGACCAACCTTTCCGCTTCATTTCCTCCATAAACATGGCAATTTCCCTAACATCAAACGTGTTGTCTTTTTTGAGAGATGGAAAATCTGTATAATCTACTAAGCGCAAGAAACTTCTGAAGTGAGCGCATACCCTTTTGTACTGTTCTTGTGTCTTTGAGTTAAACGTAACTCTATTGAGAGCATTACGAAAAAACCAAGCAGTGAGTGTTGGTAGTCCTGGTTCCTTCAATTTTCGCCTCATAAATATATCCGTTAGTTGAGCCATCATTTTTACGTTACACTGAAAATTTTAAAAAATTTGATTTCATTTCGATATTTTGCAGAGAAAAAACTTACTAGCTGTTGCAATGTGCAAGGTTCACAAGGCTCCATTTTTGAATTGGTTTTGACTGAAAAATATATATTCACAAGGAAAAGGTTCACAAAATCACAAAAATAATTGGGAAATGAATAAGAAAGTAATCGATGCGCTTTTTTTGTGTTTTGGGGGAGGGATCAGCATTGTCTGGCCTTTGGGAAAACACGCAAACGCAGAAATATTCTTTTGATTTCTCATTTCACACAATCGAGGTTTTGAATAAACGGTATGTTGAGAAAATGAAAATACTGATAAATCTGTAGTAATTTATGAGTTCTAATTGATAAATATATATAAATTTGAGTTCGGAATTTGTCAAATTCGTTTTCGTGATAAACATAATCATAATCTACATATTCTAATGATGTTTCATTCATCACAAAAACCAAAAATGATTATAAAAAATGATTATTTTTTTCAACTATAAACACAAATTTCCACTCAAAATTCAAAAAATATGAAAAACTACAGTAACCAATACAATTAATGAATATGTTTTCTTCCCTTTCAAAAATATCTCTAATTCTCTGATGTCTCCTCATTCTCACACTATTTCTCCATTGTTTCACACCTGCAAAGACATAGAAAAAGGGAAGAAAAATATTTTTGAAAAAATTATTGCGAAATCGAAGAATTTTTTGGCTCTTTTTGGAAATGGAAGATCTCTCCATTATAAGGACATTGTTCGCGAGCTGAAAAATGTGAATATTTTCAAAATGTATTTCAATCTTCACTAACCTGAAGATATTTTTATATTTTTCAAACTTTTCTAAAAAATCTTTCGGATTTCGGAAGGCCCTATCAGATTTTCATGAAAATAATTTTGAAATTTTTGAACTTTTACAGCTAATTTTTTTCTGACAATGATTAAAACATTCCATTTTTCAAAAATAATTTCATTCAGAGCATGTTTCTTGAATGTTTTCCCAACAAAAAAATTTATTGCTCATAATAATAACAAGAAATAAATAAAATTTGTATAGAATTAAGTGCGTTGAATATAAAACGCAAGAGTGGTTAGATGTTTTGGCAGTTCTTCCCGTTTGTTATACACGACGAACCCTGAAAAAAATTAAATTAAAACTTCAATTCCAAAAAAAAGTTCAAAATGTATCAAAAATCGTCAAATTTTTTAGAAAATCCGAAAATCAGACCAACCTTTTTGATTCATTTCCCTCATAAACATGGCCATTTCTCTAACATCAAATGTGTTGTCTTCTCTGATAGATGGAAAATCTGTATAGTCTATTTCGCGCAAGAAACTTTTGTACCATTCGCATAAGAATCCGTAATTTTCTCGTGTCTTTGCGTTAAACGTGAGCTTATGTACAGTTTCACAAACAAACAATGTCTCGCGAGTTGGAAGTTCTGGTTCCATCAATACTCGCCTCAAATATACATCCACTAGTTGAAACATCATTTTTGCGTTACACTGAAAATTAAAAAAAAATTGATTTGATTTCGAAAAAAAACTTACTATGATTTGCAATGGCAGAGCTTCTTTTGACTCCATTTTTGAATTTGAAGAAGGGGAAAAGCTGAAAAATTATAAAAATCAATAATAAGAGGTTGAAAAATGAGAAGGTGTATAATTACTGCGAGTGGGTGGAAGGGATTAGTATTGCACGGCCTCTGAGAATGTACCTACATAAAAATCTCACAGTTTTATCATCCATATTATTTTTTGCTGAAAAATAGAATGATTCACAATTTCAAACAATTTCAATGTCTCTAGTCGTCTGATGTCTCCTCCTTTTCACACTATTTCTCCATTATTTCAGACTCGCAAAGACATGGAAAAAGGGGAGAAAATTATTTTTGAAAAGATGATCGAATAATTTTGGCTCTGCTTGGAAAAAGAGGATTTTTCAGAAAATGAAGGGTTTTTAGAAAACAGGAAACTTTTCACAGGGACTTTAAGGTAAAAAAAATAAACAAAAATAAAAGGGGAAATTGAGATATGAGAGAGAGATTGTGTAAGAAGTAGAGAGAGAAAAGAAAGAGAGAGAGGAGGGTAAACAACAGGCAGGTGGAGTGTCGTAGTAATTTTATTTTTTTTTTTTGAAATTTTTCAAAAAATAGGATTGCGAAATGGAAGAATTTTGATCGAGAATATACATTTGTTCAAAATGTAAAAAAACAAAAATTGAGCAAATCTTCTTTGAAAACGGTTTTTTACATTTGATAATTCATATAAAAAAAGCCAAAAAAATATCAAAAACTATTCTATTTTCGATATTCTCACTACAGTAACCAATACAATTAATGCATCTGTTCTCACATTCAGAGATCCGCTGGCCAGCTCGCCACCAGGTGGGGAGGCTGGCTGACCTGGAAACGTGGCCAGGCTCTGGCTAAGTCAAGCCCACATGGCTACCATGAATTTTCATGAAAATGTATGAAAAACTGGTGAAATGAGGTATTTTCGAAGAAATTGGCTCATTTTCTGTTTTTTCTCAGCACGAAACCTTAGGAATTGAAAAAAACAGTGGAAAATGCAGTGTTTTGAGTACAAACCGGCGTTTTGCCAGCTTTCCAGGATTTTTCAAACACACAGGCCACATCGCTGGAAACCTCAAGGCGACCTGGTGTCCATGCGGTTTTCAGGTGGCCGCAACGATCTGGTGGCGAGCTGGCCAGCGAATCTCTGAGTTTTCTGCCTTTTCAAAAATATCTCTAATTCTCTAATGTCTCCTCATTTTCACACTATTTCTCCATTGTTTCACACCTGCAAAGACATAGAAAAAGGGGAAGAAAAATATTTTTTGAAAATAGGATTGCGAAATCGAAAAATTTTGGCTCTTTTTGAATATAAAGGGTTTTTTTGAGGCTAGAGGAGCACAGACCAAAAAATAATTTGGAAAAAAAAATATTTCAATTATCATGAAGCACGTCCCAGATCATAGTGAATAAAACAGTTTATACTCTTGATTTACAGGCGAACTTAGGGTAAGACATTGTTCGAGAGCTGAAAACATGTCACTATTTTTCCTACATATTAAAATCTTCACTAACCTGAAAATGCTTTTATATTTTTCAATCGATTTTTCATCTCCAATTTCTAAAATTTGCTTTTGTGAATCAAGAATTTGTTGATTTTCATCATTCAATTTCCCAAGACTTTCCACAATTTCCAGATATTTTTGTTTAGTTATTTGTTTCGAATTTAGAAATGCAAATGCATCAGTCAACCTTGATTCTTTATATTCATCGGATTCATCGATACTTGTTGGTGGATCAATTTCATAATTCACTCTAAATATCCCATTTCCTTCTGGATTTATTCTTGCGCTTTTGATAATAAATGCAGTTGAATTTCTCAAAAGCTCACGTAACTTCAAAAATAAATGAAATAAATTTAGAAAAACTATAAGAGAAAATTTTTGTTTTGACCAAAAACTAATTGTAAATACTAGAAATAGGGAAAAAGCTGAAAAATTATAAAAATCAAAAATAATAATTTAATAAGAGGTGGAGAAATGAGAAGGTCTATAATTACTCTTTTTGTTTTTGCGAGCTGATGAACGGGATTCACGGACCGACGAACTGTACGCCCCGCCCCCTAAAAAAAATGTGTGCCAGGATTGCACGCGCCACACAAAATTTTTTAAATTTTTTACTTTCTTTTTTTCGTTTTGTTTTTGTTTTCTTCACTTGTTTTTTTGCCCTAATTATGTTACATTTCACTCGAAGACTGTTAGGCTAGTATCGGAGGATGTTATTGCATCCGAATAATATTGATTTTTGTCTGAAAATAGCGCATAAATTGAAAATCGAAGCACTTTTCTGTGAAACTGATGAGTGAGGTCAGAAAATTTCTATTTTCCTGACTCGTACTTCACAATTTTCGATGAAACTTTGTAAATAGCTTGAGCATACCATTATCAAACTAGTTATGTTTCGTTTTTTGGGAAATTTCGCTGTTGAAATGAAAAATTTTGGTTTTTGATGATTTTGGAGGAAAAAATCGTGGAAAAGCAGAAATTTTCTATTTTCCTGACTCGTACTTCATAATTTTCGATGAAACTTTGTAAATAGCTTGAACATAGCATTATCGAACTAGTTATGTTTCGTTTATTGGGAAATTTCGCTGTTGAAATGAAAAAATTTGGTTTTTGATGAGTTTTGACGCGAAAATCGTGTGAAAGCAGAAATTTTCTATTTCCTTAACTCGTACTTCACAATTTTCGATGAAACTTTGTATTTAGCATTAATAGAGCCTGATTAAACTAGTTATGTTTCGTTTTTTCGAAAATGTTCACTTCCGACGTTGAAATTTCGATTTTTGTTGATTTCAGAGGTGGAAACCTGGTGAAAACAGAAATTTTCTATTTCCTTGACTCGTACTTCACAATTTTCGATGAAACTTTGTATTTAGCATTAATAAAGCCTTTTCTAACTAATTATGTTTCGATTCTATGCATTTTCTACCCTTGAGTTATGAAATTTGGGATTTTGATAATTTTTGAAGAAAAAACCTGAAATTTTCTTTTTTTTCATTCATTTCCTCCAATTTTCGATGGAATTTTTGAAATTTTGTCAACTATATCTTCTTTTAGATGGTTATGACTCAATTTTCTGAAAATTTCCACGATGGACAAGGAGAAAGTTTTATTATGTCTTGTGGAAGTAAAATATGTAGAAGTTTGAAAACATCTGATTTTTTTTCTTAGCTTTTCATAATGATTTGGAAATAGCCTGATATAATCAATATCAAATTAGTTATGTTTCGATTATTTACAGTTATTACTTATAAGTTGAAAAATCTTGAAATATATCTTTATCTTTTGCATGAGAATGTATTTCAACATATTTTTATAGGACATTATTTCACCGGAGAACCTGACAACCACCGCTATTTGCGACAATCGGCTGTCTCAGACCATCATCGGATGAAAATTTTTCAATAAATATTTAATAAAATCTATTATGCTTCTCAATAAATGTTCATGTTTTTGAAAAATCTACTTTGTCGTATACTTTCTCAATTAACAGTCTTGAAAAGGTTTAGGAAATTCTCCAGATTATGTTTTCGACAAATCAGGTATGTTTTCAAAAAATATATGTCAGAAAAAACATATTTTTATTTATGTCAAATATGAATTTTAAAATTTTCATCAGCCATGCGCGCAACAAAAAAAATGAAAAAACTGTTCGGCAGTAGCGGGGTTCGAACCAGCAACTATGGTTTAGAAGGCGCACGCTCTCCCTACTGAGCTATTGCCTTCTGGCAAGTGCGGCTCGCTTTTTTTCGGACCCGACCCCCCATCGACCAAGAAAAGTGGGAGGAGCGTACAGTTCGTCGGTCCGTGGGATTAGCATGGCTTGGCCTTTGGAAAAAATGCAGGTGCAGAACTATTCTTATTTAAGATTAGAAAGGATTTGTTTTAGAAGATTTGAAAAATCTAAACAGTTCAGAAAAAATCTAACCCAAAATTAACAACAAAAAACTGATTTATGATCACTTTGAAAATAGTTCGAGAAATTTCATAAAATTTATAGGTGAAACTTATTCAGGACGGTTAAGAAAATAAAAAAAATCAAACAGTTCTCTTATAAACTAAATTAAGTTGATCTGTACTTGGCTTCGTCGTAGTATGGATAAGTGGTTAGATGTTCTGGCAGTTCTTCCCGTCTGTTAACCACGAGAAATCCTCAAAAATTCAGATTAAAACTTTAAGAAAATCTGAATTGACCAACCTTTCCGCTTCATTTCCTCCATAAACATGGCAATTTCCCTAACATCAAAAGTGTTGTCTTTTTTAAGAGATGGAAAATCTGTATAATCTATTTCGCGTAACAAACTTCTGTAGTAATCGCATAACACTTTGTGGTGTTCTTGTGTCTTTAAAAAAGCTGAAAGTAACATTACAGCAGCGAACAAAACAATATCCCCTCCCTACATATGGTAAAGCTCGTTTCTGACCAGTAAAATGTGATGGACCTTTCTCAAAATTAAAAATTTTTGGTCCACTAAAGAACTAATCCGGGTCAACTTTTGATTTTGAGAAAGGTCCATCACATTTTACTGGTCAGAAACGAGTTTTTTAAAAACATGTGTTTGTTTTCACCTGAAAATAGGGAGGGGATATTGTTTTGTTCGCTGCTGTATATACAATTTGACAAAAAAACAATGCATTGAGTGTTGGTAGTTCTGGTTCCTTCAATACTCGTCTCAAATATATATCCGTTAGTTGACCCATCACTTTTCGGTTACACTGAAAATTTTAAAAAATTTTATTTCATTTCGATAATTTTGCAGAGAAAAAACATACTAGAATTTGCAATGTCAAAGGTTCACGTGGCACCATTTTTGATCTAAACTAGGAAAAATGCTGACAAAATTTAAAAAAAATCGATAGCACAAAAATTAATGTGTGCCTAATGAGAAGGTGTATAATTATTGCACATTATTTTTGAGCAGGGGAAGAGATTAGTATCGTTCAGCCTTTGGGAAAATACGCACCTGCAAAAAAATTCTTATGATTTTTCAGGATTTGTTTCGAGAAGATTTGAAATGTGAATTTTTTATTTTTCAAGTTGGTAAAATATTTTTTCAAAAAAAAAAAGTTCATATGATTTGCAAGTTTTTTATGTCTGAAAATATCAAAATACATAAACAAAATGTTCATGATAAATTATATTGCATTTTGTGCAAAAATGAGAGCACCTAATGTGTTTCTCCTAATAATATTGATCATTATTTTGAGACCAGTTTTCTTAACGATCACTTTTTTGGATTTGATTGAAACGTGAGTTATCGAAAATTTTCCAAAAATTTTTTTTTTCAAAAATTCTTTCCCGCCCAAATCAAAATTTTGATTTGGGCGGGAATTGAAAATTTCCAAAAAAGAAATTTTTTTTCAAAAATTCTTTTTTTTTCAAAGGAACATAGATGTGAATGTGGACCCATGTGAAGATTTCTATCGACATGCTTGTTCAAAAAATGAACAAGCAAATCTTACAATAAATAATTTATTCGAAACAACGTATGAAGTAGAAATTGATTATTTGTATCATAATTATTCATCTTACTTGAACTCATTTCTCAATTATAAAACTATGGAAAATATTTCAAGTTTAGATTTAATTGTAGAAGATTTCAAAAACAGGTATATTTTTTTTGTTGATTTTGCTCATCTTATATGATGTATGTAACTATAATTATAGCTGCGAAACAAGAAATCAAACTACAATGATATATTTTTTGGAACAACTTCAAGAAGCTTTTCAAATTCCGAGTTTTCACTTTAAAAAATCCCGTTTGCAATTTTTAAACTTGCAATTTGATGCTGATTGTGAACGATCTTCCAAAATTTTGAGACAGAAAATCAAAGAAGAGTGGAAACTTGTGATTGAAGTTTTTTCGAAATATGTCAAAAAGTTACACGACAATATTCATGCAATCAGATGGATTGAACGGAATAATGAAACAGTCAAACTGTTGCTTGGAATTGCTATTATAGTGAAACAGGAAATATTGAAACAGATACCTGAAACAAAATGGATAAATGCAAGTGGAACAGAAACTATTATCACAAATATTATGAATCAAGTCAACATTTTCGAGGTGTCAATTAGTGAAATTGATGATCATATAAATAAATTAAACATAGCGATAGGTACTATTTCAAGATGTGCATCGTGAGTTATATCAATTTTTAGCCAAAGTAATCGTTGTCTGGAAAATTTGTGATTATTTTTCTTTAGTTAACGCCAAAAAACTAATTAGCAAGGGAACCTTTTTTACTCAACACTTCAAAAGTAAATCAATAAAAAATATTTATTCGAAAAATTATGAAGTTTTTTTATTTTTCGGCTGAAAATTCATGAAAATTCATATGTGCCCCTGCTCATTCATTTTTCCAAAATCAAAAATTTTTCCGAAAATTTATTTTATTCGTTCATTTTGGCTAAATCGACTACCCTGATCAACATCCGCTACTCAGTTTTTCATAAAAATGATCGAGAATTGAGTTATGACGTGTTTTATGAGCCAATTTTGGCAATTTTTGAACTTTTGAGAGCCCAGAACTTGGCTCAGAGGTACATTTGGAGACTAATTTTTTTTCTTTTTTGCCATGAAAAATCATCAAAAAATTTAAAAAAAAAATTTTTCTCGTTTTTTTAACAGTGTTAAAAAACAAAAAAATACATGTTTCCATACCAAAATTTCTGTTTGAAGACGGTCATGTCTTCAAACGAAAATTTTATTTTTTTAAATTTTTTCAACGAAAATCAAAATTTCGGTTTTTGTTGAATTTTTTGAAATTTCTGACAAAAATACCCGCCCGAATGAAAATTTCGATTTGAGCGGGTAGCTGACAAAAATTCAAACATTTTGATTTTCGTGTATACAGTCAACAAAAAAAGTAACAGATTTGGAATAATCCAAAAATGTAAAAATGAAGTCGATGAGTTGGGACCTAAATGACACTTCCTCTCAGGCTTAGGCTTAGTAAATCACCTAGAAGTAACAATAAAGTCGGGAAAATGTTCTGTCAATTTTTCTGTTTTTAACAGTGTTAAAAATTCTGATTACCTTAGGCTTAGGCTTAGGCTTAGCTGATTAAATTAGCTGATTGATTGATTTTTAGGGTGTTCTTATGGCCCCTAAAGCTGTCTCTGGACGAAATTTCATCAAGATTTGAAGTGTTGAGTAAAAAAGGTTCCCTTGTAAATTAAATTACTCTATTCACGGTACAAAACTTGTTTTTTTTTTCAACCAGAGAATACAAATTCGCCTCACTCAAATTTTTGTGTTATTTGAAAATCGAAACTGATGCAAAAATCGATTTGAGTAAAATGAATGCTTACAATATACATCCACATATTTTTTATCTAAATGGACTTTTGATAAAAACAAGAACTGAAGAAAATGATGGTTTTTTGGTTGGTTGTAAAATTTAATGTTTTTTTTTTTCAATCTTTTTTTTCAAGATTGGTGGCTCAGCTTGGGTGGTGGCTCACGAAATTGCACATTCTATCATCAAACACAATGTTGATTTTCCATTCATTCCATACTTTCCAAAAGATTTGAAAACTTGTGTTCAAAATCAATTCGAATCGACTTGCAGATATTTCAAAGAAGTATGTAAATTTTTTTTATTTTTTGAAAATATTAAAAAAAACACCAATTTCAATTCAGGATAGCTGTGAAACAAGAGATGAACAATTTGAAGAAAATGGATCTGATATATTTGCAACACATTTGGCATTTGATGTCTTCAGATTTTATGCAGAAGAAATTTATGATGTTAGTTTATGATTTGGGGGGCTTTTTAGGCTTTAGGCCCAGAGATTTTCAATGAGACATATATTGTTTTGGCCAGTTTTTCACGCTGAGAATTGCCCTGTTTTCAGTTTTTGCTGAACAACTCTTTAATGAGCCGAAAAAGGAGCCAAAAGTTGAGAAAATTGCGTTTTTGAGAGCCCATTACTCATGTTAGAGATGATTTTATCAAAAACAAAGTACAGGGTGATCTTCAGGAGAGATGATTTACCAAAGTCAAAAATTCTGAATGTCAGACATATTTCAGGAAATCATGGAAGGTTCGAGATACAAATTAACACACGGTCAATCGTTTTTCTATTCACTGGCTAGCCAGTTTTGTTCAGTTGAGTCAATTCCTTTTGTTTTTTATATGATACTTTTTTTTCCAGAGAGCTAATAGTGCTTCTTCCTCTGAATCCACACATCACGCTTTTAATGCAAGAGTAAATGCAGCGAGTGCTCAAATTCCAGAGTTCCAGCAATTTTTTGGTTGTCATCCTGGTACTAAAATGATGAAGTCTAGAACTGTAAGTTTAACATAAATTTTAAAATTTTGAAACTTTTTTTTGCAGGAGCAGTGTCATATTATTGGAAAGAAATCAAAGTATTATTAATAGATTTTTGATTTTTGATCATGTATTTTTGAAAAAAAACTTGCTTACTTATTAAAATCTTCTTCAACTTAGTCAGAGGCTTCGTGGGTGGTCTTGATGCAATTTTTGAAATTCAGTTGTTCTTGGTTAACTTGGAAATCTAAAAAGTCTAACTTTTCTGAAACATGTTCCGTTACAGAGAAATCGACAGGAACAAAGGTTCGAAATTTTTTCTGATTTCGCAACAAAAAATTTTTTGCTTATAATACATAATAACAAAAAAGAAATAAAATTCGTATGGAATTAAGTGAGTTCACGAAAACACGCAAAAGTGGTTAGATGGTTTGGTAGTTCTTCCCGTCTGTTATACACGACAAACCCTGGAAAAAATTATTAGATATTATGGGTATCAAAAATCGCCAAATTTTTCAGAGAATCCGAAAATCAGACCAACCTTTCCGCTTCATTTCATTCATGAACATGGCAATTTCCCTAACATCAAATGTGATGTCTTTTTTAAGAGATGGAAAATCTGTATAACCTATTTCGAACAAGAAACGTGTGTAGTGAGCGCATAGCCTTTTGTACTGTTCTTGTGTCTTTGAGTTAAATGAAAGCTTATTTACAGCTCCAGAAAAAAACACTGCCTCGCGTGTTGGTAGTTTTGGTTCCGTCATTACTCGCCTCAAATATATATCCGATAGCTGAGACATCACTTTTACGTTACACTGAAAATTTTAAAAAATTTGATTTCATTTCGATACTTTTTCAGAAAAAAAACTTACTAGCATTTGCAATGACAGAGGTTCACGCGGCTCCATTTTTGAATTTTTTTCGACTGAAAAAAAAATAAATATAAAAAGATGGAAACGCTGAAAAAATTACAAAAATCAATAATTTTAATCATTTTTTTAATAATAAAATAATTCTAGTTTTCTTCTGGAAATTTATATTCCATTGGAAAAATGTCTGTAATTCTCTGATGTCTCCTCCCTTTCACACTATTTCTCCATTGTTAGTAACAATTTGTTACACGCCTGCAAAGACATGGAAAAAGGGGAGGAGGAAATTATTTTTGAAAAGATGATTGCGAAATCGAAAAAATAAAAAAATAAAAATATAAAAATAAAAATAAAAGGGAAAATTGAGACATCGTGTAAGAAGTAGAGAGAAAAGAAAGAGAGAGAGGATGATAAACAACAGGCAGGTGTAGTGTCGTAGTGATTTTTTTTATTTTTTGAAATTTTTCAGAAATATATACAAAATCTTCTTTGAAAACATTTCACATTAAACAATTCATATCAAATAAAAGCCAAAAAATTCTCCTAACATTTTGAAAAATCTCACAATTTTAAAAATATATGAATTCGTAATAGTTCGATATTGAAAATAAGTGAATTGGGAGCAAAATTTGAATAAAAAATGAATTAGATCATTTGGCAGTTCCTGTTGACTTTTTCTTTTCATACACGAGAAATCCTGAAAAAAATTTTTCAGAATTTTTCTAACAAAAAAATATTTTGACCAACCTCTTCGATTCATTTCAACCATAAACATGAATATTTGTTTCATATCAAACATGTTGTTTGCTTTAACAAGGAATGGTTTTCAATGTTCCCCCAAGGAAAAAATCGAGAGTATGTGGAATGTTGAGGGTTCCCGTGGGTAAGAAAAACCCTAACGGGAATAAGGAGAAAAATGCCTTATTCTCGAGAAAAAATGAATTTTAGGTCGATTTTTACACCATTTTTTGATTTTTAGAGCATCTGTAACTCGATTTTGAATCTATTTCATGAACTTTTTGAGTCGTGGAAGTTGTTCAGAATGGTCGATTACGTGTTTGTGAAACTTTTTATCAAAAAATTAGACTTTTTTTGAAATTTGGTTTTTTTAGTCGGGGTTTTTCTGATCAAATGGTCACCAAAAAACACAAAAAATAATTTTTTCCATTTTCAAATGAACGGAACTTGAAAAATTTATGACGGTCAACAGACGTAATTTGGTCCGTAGAATCCAAAAATCATAATCTCGATTCACACAAACTTCTCCTTCACAACGAAAACGTTGATTTTCTATGAATTTTTCAAACTGGATTTTTGATTTAGTGGACTTTTGGGACCAAAATTATTTTATTCCTAATTTTAGTCGAAGTAATACTAAAGTACGCCGTTTGCGCTACAAATGGATTTTTAGACTGACATTTTTCATCAATTTTGAAAAGTTTCGATTTTTCTAAAAAAATTTCATCGCAAAAATCAATAACACCAAAATTTTCTAAAACAAGGCATTTTTCTCCTTATTCCCGTTAGGGTTTTTCTTACCCATGGGAACCCTCAACATTCCACATACTCTCGATTTTTTCCTTGGGGGAACATTGAAAACCTTTCCTTGTAAGAGATGGAAAATCTTTATAACAATCTGATTCGACCAAGAAACGTCTATACGATTTGCATAAGAATCCGTGGTAGGCTTTCTGAAAATTATCGTCTTTAGTTGTCTGATGTCTTCTTATTTTCACACTATTTTCTTATTTTTGCACACCTGCAAAGACATGGAAAAAGGGAAAAAAATTATTTCCAAAAAGAAGATTGCGAAATCAAAGGTTTTCTCAAGATAATCTTTTCATTTTTGAGTTCAAAACCAATTTTTTGTTGTTGATATTACCTGTGTCTTTGATAGAATTGAAACCATTTCTACTAATCTAGGTGGCATAAATACAGATCTATTCATTCGTTCCTCTCCTATTCGTCTCCAATATATATCCATAAGTTGGAACATCACTTTTCTGTTACACTAAATATTAAATGTTTTGTCTATTTTGATGCTCTTGCAGAGAAAAACTTACTATTATTTGCAGGGTCAGAGGTTCACGAGGCTCCATTTTTGAATTTGTTTTGACTGAAAAATGAATATTAAAAAGTGATTCACTAGAGAAAAGGCTGACAAAATTACAAAAATCAATAATTTTTATCATAACTATTTTTTTAAACAATACATACACACACGTTTTTCCCATGCAATGAAGAGTCATGGTAAGAAGTGACAACGGTGTTTGCGGACTTGTGTTTGCACACATTTTGTTCTCACACATCTCTCGCACTCTCTCGTTTGCCGCGCTCTCTATTTTTCATTTTGAAAAAAAAAGAGATACGGTATCAAAGGCGCATGTTTTTTTAATTTCGATTGGTCTCGCAGCGGAGGCTAACTTTCTTCCCAGGACCCCTAAAAATTCCAAATAAAGTCATTCGCACAGATCTCGATACGCTGATTTTCGCTATGTTTTTTGTTTTTGATGAAGTGGGGGTAATTACACCGCTAGGCGTTGCACCGTTTTTGTCGGATGCGCGATGAAAATTGCACAACTTTCTTCTTTTTCAAACGTGTGTGCATAAAATAATTCTAGTTTTATTCTGGAAATTTATATTCTATTGAAAAAATGTCTCTAGTCGTCTAATGTCTCCTCCTTTTCACACTATTTCTCCATTATTTCACACCTGCAAAGACATAGAAAAAGGGGAGAAAATTATTTTTGAAAAGAGGATTGCTAAATCGAAAAATTTTGGCTTTTTTTGGAAATGGAGGATTTTTTTTAGAAAAAAAGGATTTTAGAAAAACAGGAAACTTTTCACAAGGGCTTTGAAGTTAAAAAAAAGTGAGAAAATTTGAAACAAGTCTTTCAATAACATAAGGTTCATTTCGGACAATTTTATCAAATTCTTCTGGATTTGGAGCGAACTTGGGGTAAGACATTGTTCGAGAGCTAAAAGTGATGCCTTTTTTGCTAAGCTTAACCTATCCTAGGCGCATAGGAATATAAAAATGAAAATAAAAGGGAAAATTGAGACATCGTGTAAGAAATAGAGAGAGAAAAGAAAGAGAGAGAGGATGATAAACAACAGGCAGGTGTAGTGTCGTAGTACTTTTATTCATATCAAATAAAAACAAAAAATTCTCCTAACATTTTGAAAAATCTTACAATTTTAAAAATATATGAATTCGTAATAGTTCGATATTGAAAATAAGTGAATTGAGAGCAAAATTTGAATAAAAAGTGAATTAGATCATTTGGCAGTTGTTCCTGTTCACGTTTCCTTTTCATACACGAGAAATCCTGAAAAAAAATGTTTTTTCAGAATTTTTCTAACAAAAAAATATTTTGACCAACCTCTTCGATTCATTTCAATCATAAACATGGCTATTTCCCGAACATCAAACGTATTGTCTTTTCGAAGAGTTGGAGAATCTCCATAAAAATCTGATCGTATCAAGAAATCTCTATACATTTGGCATAACATTTCATATCCTTCCTGTTTCTTTGAGTTACACGTTTTATATACAGCTTCACAAAAAAATAATTCCGAGAGTTTTGGTGGTACTTCCTTCAATAATCGTCTCAAACTTACAGGGTGACACATAATTATTGTCGCCACTTTGAACCTCTGTAGGTAGAGCAAGATTTCGAATTTTAACAATGTTACAGTCGAAAACTTTCGAAAACATGATTACTGACAGATTTTCAAAACTATACAGACAACATAATTTTTTCCCACCCACCACCTTCACCAACCCCAAAAACTTTGCGTTTTGTGATTTTAAGCCTCTTTTTACTCTTTCCAAGTTCCAGAAATGTATCAGACTGAACATATGTTTTTGGAAATTATGTTTTAATACATTTTTTGATGTCCTGAACAAGATATAATAGCATATCTTGCAAGAGTTTACCGCTTCTCACTTATTTCAGGGCTCCAAAGTCAAGCGTCTTTTCCGAAATTTCAAAAAAAAAATCGAGAAAAATCAAGAAAAACAGCAAAATCCATTCTGAGATCGAGTATGAGTTTTTGAGTGGAACTTTTTGTGAACATGCCTATTCTATGCACTAAAACAAAGTATTTTGAGATCTGAAACCCAACTCGAATCTGACTTGGAGTTAGCAAAACTCCCAAAACCATGAATTTTGAGCGTCTTCTACAATGAAGGTCCCTATTTTTTTCTGATAATTTCCAGCTTTGGTATTGTGCAAAAACCCATTTCAGGGACCGAATTTAGGATATAAACACTTTTGGGCATAGTCAGTATTCACCATTCTCATAAAATTTACACCTAAAGTCCCAAAAACGAATTTTCTTCTGAAAAATTATTTTTGGAAATCTATCTCTACTTTACCGCTGTTACTATAATCCAGTAGAGCTAATATGATCAAAATAGAATACAAAAGTTTCATTATATAACCTTTAAGATTAAATTTATCTAAATCAAACTTTATCTAATTTCGTTTTGAAAATGTAGAACTCAGGTGAACGAGTTCAACTCACGCGACAATAATTATGGGTCACCCTGTATATCCATTAGTTGAAACATCACTTTTGCGTTACACTGAAAATTAAATTTTGATTTCATAACGATACTTTTGCAGAGAAAAAACTTACTAGCATTTGCAACGTGCAAGGTTCGCGTGGCTCCATTTTTGAATTTGTTTTGACTGAAAAATGGGAAAAGGTTGACAAAATTACAAAAATCAATAATTTTTATCATAAATATTTTTTTTACAATAAAATAATTCTAGTTTTCTTCTGGAAACTTATATTCCATTGAAAAATGTCTCTAGTCGTCTAATGTCTCCTCTCTTTTCACACTATTTCTCCATTGTTTCACACCTGCAAAGACATGGAAAAAGGGGAGAAAATTATTTTTGAAAAGATGATTGCGAAATCGAAAAATTTTGAATCTGTTTGGAAATGGAGGATTTTTTTTAGAAAAACAGGAAACTTTTCATAGGGTCTTTAAAGTTTAAAAAAACCGAGAAAGCTTAAAAGAAGTTTTTCAATAACATAAAACTTAATGAAACAGTTTATTTTTTGCAGTTTTATCGGATTTATTTCGCTTTCGAGGCAAACTTAGGATAAGACATTGTTCGAGAGCTGAAAAATGTGATTATTTTCACTACATAAAAAAATATCTTTACTAACCTGAAAATATTTTCATATTTTTCAATCGATTTTTCATCTCCAATTGCTAAAATTTGCATTTGTGCATCGAGAATTTGTTGATTTTCATCATTCAATTCTCCAAGACTTTCCACAATTTCCAAATATCTTTGTTTATTTATCTGTTTCGAAGTTAGAAGTGCAAATGCATCAGTCAACCTTGATTCTTTATATTCATCTGATTCATCGATACTTTTTGGTGGATTAATTTCATAATTCACTCTGAATATCCCATTTCCTCCTGGATTTATTCTCGCGCTTTTGATAATAAATGCAGTTGAATTTCTCAAAAGCCAAACAAGTTTCAATTTTTTATTCGAATCCGAATTCATATACCAAACTGGAATATCCCATTGATATCCCCAAATTGGAATCGGCACCTGTTCATCTATACTTCTCAAAATTCCATTATCAAATCTGCTTTGCGATAAAATATTATGTGTTTCATTAAAACTCTTGACAGTTATGTATAAGTGGATGTCCAACTTGTTCAAGCCATGGTCTCAAGAAATCAGCAACTGATGATGGCCCATTTTTCCATGGCATTTTAAAATAACTGAAAAATTCTGATGAATTTGCAGTTGAATATGATTGTCCTTTCAAATATTGTCTGATTGATTCATCGAATTTTGAATGTCCAATAACATTTCGAAACATATTCAATATTATTCCTCCTTTGTGATAAGTTGTGGTTGCAAATGCTGCGTGGTCGAGAAATTGTAAATTTTCAATTTGTTTGATTGTTGGTTTTTCGTCAGCTTTTTTCGCATGAAGATGATAACTCAAATAACGGGCCACCTCGGCAGATGTTGTCTTTTTATAATCAATTTTCCCATTGGTGATATTATGCACTCCTAAAAACTCGTAGAAAGTAGAAAATCCCTCATTCAACCATAAATCACTCCACCAATCCATAGTCACCAAGTTTCCAAACCATTGATGTGCAATTTCGTGTGCAATTGTCTCTATTGATAAATATTGACCATAAAGCGAATAATATTGGAACGTGATTAATCCCCAATTTTCCATTGCACCATGTGCGTAGTATTTGAATCCAATTAAATCGATCTTTGAGATTGGAAATTTAATTCCAAGCAAAGTTTCGAAGTAATCAAAACTTTTAACTGCCGCATCAAGTGCTTCATCAGTATTATTAACTTCTTCAGGTGGGAAATGCAAACGAACCTGAAAACTTTGTTCAAAAAATCTTGATTAGTAAAATACTCACTTGTAGCCCAGATTTCGTTTCAGCAGTTCTGTATTCATAAGCTGATATAACAAAAGCTAATAAATACGATGACATTTTTGGAGTTTTCTCAAAAACAGTTCCAGTGAAATTCTTGAAAAGTTCTGAATCACGGTTCTTCAAAATTTGAGCCCTAGGTGCATTTGAAATTGCGTTTGTTCCATCTGGATGAATAATTGTTACTTCCCAAGTTGCCTGAACTCTCACTATCATTTTTTTCGATTTCAAACACTCACTTTCAAACTTGGTTCATCGAAACATGGAATCGCTGATCTTGCATAATATGCTTCAAATTGTGTCACCGCAGCTAATTTTGTATCTCCATTTTGATCTTCGTATGGAGAAGTGTAGAATCCCTTTGGCAAATCATTAAATTCCGACCAAAACTTCAAAATCAATGACGCATTTCCGGGTGCAATTGTTGCATTAAAATGTATTTCAATTTGTTGGAATTCATCACTTTCTGTTATTTTTTCGATAGTGAATAAATCAAATTTTCCATCTTGCTGAAAATTTTCATTAATTTCCCATTTATTTTTGAGGGAATATCAAACCTACATTGTTACTTCTCAAATATCCCTTTTCGATAATAACAGAATTTTTGGCATGTAATCTGATAACTTTCGTAGCTTTTGTGATGTCCAAATCAATATCAATTTCTCCTCCAAATGTCATGTTTTTTCCATCATCCGGTTGTGGAATATATCCATATCCTGGCAAATATGTGATAAGTTTGAGCGCAAAATTTGTTGGTTTAATGTGGTTTGGTAATCGTGGAAGTTCACCGAAAACCAATGGTATTGAGAAGAGAATTGACAATGAAATAATCATTATTTTTTGTTATTTCTTCAGAGTTGCTGGTTTTTTATAACGTTTCGAAGACAATAGGTTTTGTTAAATTTTTTTCCAAACATTATACTGAATTTGAATAGAATGGCTGATGAAATTGAATACAATCCAAACTAGAACAAAAAAATTTCCATCTTCTGGATTACTGTAACTTTTAAAAGAATAATTTTTTTTGTTTGTGTTTCAAAAACTTTTTTGCTGAAAAAAACCATTTCAGCTTTGAAAAATGCAAGCAAGAAATGCTTTTTTTTAGAAAATCAACAATTTGAATTTCACAATCAAGTAACAGTTGTTTTACCAATTCGAAGCGATTTCAAATACTGAGGCTCAAGAGATGAAAATTCATTTCTATTCAAAATTATTGATGATTTCCAGGCCATACTTGAACCAGTCGCTTTGAGGACCCATGAGTTAACCCCCCTTCCAGGCTAAATTTTCGAAAAGTTGACCACGTAACCCTATTTTTGCTGGTTTTTGCAACCTAAAAGCATAAAATACCCAAAAATTTTCAAATGTTAACCCCCGCCCCTACCTTCAAAAATGCACCTCAAGTTAACCCTGGATAATTTGTGAACATATATTATTTCACGTTTTATATTTCTTCACGTTTTCTCACGTCAATTTTTTCTAAACTTTTCTAAACAAGTTTCTAGGTCATTTGTGATGATATATTTCTTCACTTTTTTTTTTTCACGTTTTTTCACGTCAATTTTTTCTAAACTTTTTTAAACAAGTTTCTAGGTCATTTGTGATGATATATTTCTTCACTTTTTTTTCACGTTTTTTCACGTCAATTTTTTCTAAACTTTTCTAAAAAAGTTTCTAGGTCATTTGTGATGATATATTTCTTCACGTTTTTTCACGTCAATTTTTTCTAAATTTTTCTAAACAAGTTTCTATATTTCTTCACGTTTCTGAATAATCCTCCATTTCCAAACAGAACCAAAATTCTTCGATTTCGCAATCATCTTTTTCAAAAATATTTTTCTTCCCCTTTTTCTATGTCTTTGCAGGTGTGAAACAAAGGAGAAATAGTGTGAGAAGAGAGGAGACATCAGAGAATTAGAGATATTTTCAAACAGAAATGGAATTTAAATTTTCTGAAGTTTATTTTTTATTAGTAAAAACAAAAATAGATATGTTTGAATAAACTGTGAGATCTTTGGGAAGGGAGAAGGTAGAAAAATCGAAAAATAGGAAAAAAAGTTATCAAGATTGTAGTTTGGCACATTTCGGATCCACTTCATCTTGCTGGTCAAGCAATTTTCGCTTAGTTCCAGAAGGTTCTGAAAAAATGGAGAATTGTTATTTAAAAAAAAATCAATAACTTGGGAACAGGTGAAACATAATTCATGAAATTTAGTTGATCAGAATCGCAAAATTTTTTAGAATTTTTCAAAAAATCTCAATTTTTCCCCAACAAACCTTTATCCTTCTCTTCTTTTTCCCGTTTTTCCTTTTCCAAATTATTCAGATTCTCAATAAAAATTGCAAATTCTCGAACATCCGGAAACTTGTGATGTTTCAAAAAACGGGAACCCTTCAAAACTATTTTTGAATCTATATTTGTGTCGAATAAATCCATAGTCACCGCAAGCACCAAGGTACATAAGCTGGAAAATGTTAGCATTGCTCATGTTAAACCAATTTTTAATGAAAACTCACATCTTGTGACAATCGTCGGGATAGAAAAACTATTATTCTACGTATACATTCATACTCGATTTTTTTGTAGTTTTTTTGTAAATGTACTTCCATAATTTGTTGCATCACTTTTAGTTGGCACTGAAAAAATTATATGTTTTATATCTGTGAAAAATTGAAATTAGAGACAATGTGAAATTGAGAGAGTCTAGAGAAAATTGTTTTTTTTTGTCTAGAATCTCTAAATTTTACATTGTCCCTAATTGAAATAATCATCTAAAAAATTTAAAAAAAAAATGAAAAAAACCAACCATTTCTTTTAATGTCATAGGGTTTCTCGTGTTCATGTTTGGGTTTTTTTTCGACACCTGAAAAATTTTTTAAATTAAAATTTTAACAAAAAAAATAAAAAATATTATTTTCAAGAAAATCAATAACTTGGGAAGATTTGGAACCATAATTTTCTGGACAAAAACAAAATATTTTCATAGGAAAAATACAAAAAATCAATAATCGTACTTATACTAACATAAATATTTACTCATAATCTGAGCTTGTTGAAAATAAAAATAAAAATGAAATTTTGCTCACACCCTTTTATAATTAATTACTACTTATAAGTCTTTGTGGGATTAAAATTTAAAATTTTCATTTCTAATTAAAAATTCACCTTCCTATGTTAGCCTAAATTCAGAGTAAAAATGAAATAAAAAAAATTTTTTTATTCGGAAAAAATGCATTTTCCATTGGTTACGAAATAATATGAAGAGAGAAAAGAGAGGAAAAAATTTGAGAGAATTTTTTTTTGTAAATTCAAATTCTCACTCCAATTTTCTAAAATTCGGAAAATTTGGCGCAAATCTATGTGTTTGCGTCATTTTTCTTTAATTTCAGAGGGAAAATTTCGAAATTTCAAAAAAAAAAACTCCATTTTGACCACAAAGAGCAATAAAAAATGTATAGAAAAATAAATTTTTCTTGTTTTTTTTTTGCATCTCTTTGTTCTATATGAATACTAGATTTATGCAAAAAAATGAAAAAAAAAACATCTGAAAATTTCAGACAAAAATGAAAGATCTTTAAAAGTGCACATTAAAAAAAACAATTATTGTCTACGTAACTTATTAATTGGTACACATAAATCTTCCATCTTTCTCTAATCCTCCTCTTCTCATCATTGTATCCTAGCATCTCTCGTCTTGCTCCCTGCCATTTTTTGTCTACTCACTGTTTTTCTCTAACTCTCTTCATACTCCCACTATCTCTCGCTTTGGTCCCTGCTACTGCACTGTTTTTCTCTAATCCTCCTCTTTTTATCGTAGCATCCTGAAATCTCTCGTTTTGGTCCCTGCCATTAGGTAAATAGTGTTGAGAGATGGTTTTTTTTGTACTTTTTTTTTCAAAAAAAAGTTTTTTGATTTTTTTTCTTGAGGATTTCGGATAATTTTTGTATTTTTCTTATGAAAATATATACTTTGTATTTGTCCAAAAATTACGGTTCAAAATCTAGAAAATTCCTGAAATTCATTAAATTTTAATCCAGAGTTATTGATTTTCTTAAAAATAATATTTTGTATTTTCTGCTAAATTTTTAATAAGAAATTTCAGATTTAAAAAAAAACCCAAACATGAATTGCACGAGAAACCCTATGAAATTGAAGTAAATGGTTAGTTTTTTTATTTTTTTTTAAATTTTATAGATTAGGGACAATGTAAAATTGAGAGATTCTAGACAAAAAAAAAAACAATTTTCTCTAGACTCTCTCAATTTCACATTGTCTCTAATCAAAAAAAGATATAATATTTTCTAAATTTTGTGGATTTAAAATTTTCACAGATAAAAAAAATTATAATTAAAAATATTGGCTTTAAAGGAACATGCCTCATCAATTTTCGGTTCTTTTTCTTTTTGTGATCAAGTTTAATATGAGCAATGCTAATATTTTCCAGCTTGTATAACTTGGTGCTTGCGGAGACTATGGATTTATTCGACACAAATTGAGATTCCGAAATTATTTTGAAGATTTCCCGATTTTGAAACATCACAAGTTTCCTGATGTTCGAGAATTCGCCATTTTTTTGCCCTAGAATCTGAAAAATTTGGAAAAAGCGAAGAGGAAAAAGAAGACAAGTAGAAAGGTTTGTCGGGGCAAAATAGAGATGAATTTTTTTGAAATTTGAAATTTTCGCGCCAAAAATTTTCACTTTTTTTCAACACACAACATTTATTTCAAATATAAAAAAATCGAACAAAAACATTACATAATAAAAAAATCGATAAAAATTTCATAGTTAACAAAATTTTGGATCTTTGAAGTTGACAATGAATATGAGATCTGAAAAAAAATTATTTTTTCTGAGAAAAAAATTTAAAGGTACAGTATACCTAAAAAAACCTACCGTACTTCACGCTTCATCCTCCGACATATCTTCAATTTCCATTGGACCAGTCGGCATTTTGTTCCAATTTTCAATGTCCCAGGTTACTGTAGATGGGAGTACTGTACTCAAAGGTGCCGGGTTTCTTATGATCGGAGGAAAATCCAGTGCAGAATACATTCTGGGGCGTTTCGAATTATCATTCTTTACGTCAGCTGGTAATAAATTCGATTTGATAGGGCTTTGGATTACTGTAGGTCGGGGTACTGTAGATGAATCTACAGGATTTTCGTTTGGATCATTCAAATGCCAATTGTCAGCATTCCGAATTACTGTAGCTCGGGGTACTGTAGATGTGGGTACTGTAGAATACATATTTGAGAAATCAAATTGCATTGGATTATTTGAATTCCAATTTTCAGCATTCCGAATTACTGTAGGTCGGGGTACTGTAGATGTGGGTACTGTAGAATACATATTTGCGAAATCAATATACATTGGATTATTTGAATTCCAATTCTGAGCATTCCGAATTACTGTAGGTCGGGGTACTGTAGGTACTGTAGCTAGAGGAAAGCCGAGTGTAGGATACATTTGTGAGAGATCAAAACCAGCTGAATTCCAATTCGAAAATACTGTAGAAAATGGTACTGTAGGTACTGTAGGCATGGGTACTGTAGGATATTGATATGGAGGATAGTACATTGTTGGAAAAGCGAATGGATTCCAAATGTAAGGGTTCCAAAATGGTACTGTAGAAAAAGGTACGGTAGGCAAAGGTACTGTAGACAAAGGTACTGTAGATAAAGTTGGCTCGAGATCGAAATTGTAAGGTCTCCAGATTTTCTGTAGTACTGTAGCTGGAGGTACGGTAGCTGAGGGTACTGTAGGTGTTGGAGAAAGTTTCACCAAATTCGGAGTTGAGCTAGAAACTTCCGATTCATTGTCTGATATATCTTCAACTTTTATATCAGGTGAGGATACTGTAGGTGAGGATACTGTAGGTGAGGATACGGTAGTTGTGGCTCTTGTAGTTAGGGAAAGGCAAAGTATTCGTTCGAAATTTTGTTCAACTTCAACTTCTGTTGAATCAGAACGTTGAAAATGGAAATTCAAAAACTGGTTGGATGTTGGATCGAAGATTTCCAAATCATCTTGAACTTCGGTTTTCAGTGCATCTGGGAGTACTGTAGATGAAAGTACTGTAGATGAAGATACTGTAGAAATATTCTCCTGATTGAGAGGTTCAACCTTAACAATTTCCGAGGTTGAGGAAGGTTCTATGACTTCTAGATCAACAGGTACTGTAGTTGGGGGTACTGTAGATCTAGATCTCCTTGCTCTTTTACGTGGCACAATTTCTTGATAATCCTCTGGAGCAAGTTCATAATAGGTCGTGGATGAAAAATATTTTGAACAATTTTTCACCAAGTACCACATGAATTTTTTGACCACGCCCTTGATGTCAAAATCCACGATTCGATTTTTGATAAAATGCTCCAGACAACGAATCAATGGCACGATACCGTAGTATTCTGATGGTTTGAACTCGTCTCCGGGATTTATTGATTTTTTTTCAATGATGAATTGGTCGAGTTGAAAATATTCGAATTCGGAGATTAGAAGCGCTCTGGAAAATGGGAGAAGTTATCCTAACTTTTGTGCAAAAAAAAAATGTTGATATTGTGTAGTTCTCTCGGACTACTCTCGTTCTCTGACCAATTCTCGTCGTCTAGCTTCTAACTTTATAAGGTGGTTGAATTGGAGTTAACATGAGCAATCTTTTTTTTCAGTATGACTAGGCTTGTTTGGTGTCTAAATACGTGGAATTTCAAGCCTAGACTAATATGAGCAATATAAAATTTTTGCAGCCCTAGGCTTAGCCTTAATATGAGCAATCATTAGCTTTTTGGTTTCAAAAAATCTACAGTATGACTAGGCTTGTTTGGTGTCAAAAAAGGTGGAATTTCGGGCCTAGACTAATATGAGCAATGTACTTTTTTGGAACCCTAGGCTCAGCCTTAATATGAGCAATCATTTGCTCATTTTTTTTAAATTTTAGTGTCGAAAAATTTACAGTACCCTAGGCTTGTTTAGTGTCAGAAAACGTGGAATTTCAAGGCTAGACTAACATGAGCAATATACTTTTTTTAGAACATTAGGCTTAACCTTAATATGAGCAATCATTTTCTCATTTTTGTTTAATTTTGGTGTCAGAAAATCTACAGTATGACTAGGCTTGTTTGGTGTCAAAAAACGTGAAATTTCAAGCCTAGACTAACATGAGCAATGTACAATTTTCAAAATCCTAGGCTTAGCCTTAATATGAGCAATCATTTGCTCTTTTTTTTCATTTTGGCTCCAAATTTTGATCTACAGTATGACTAGGCTTGTTTGGTGTCAAAATACGTGGAATTTCAGGCCTAGACTAATATGAGCAATGTACTTTTTTGGAACCCTAGGCTCAACCTTAATATGAGCAATCATTTTCTCATTTTTGTTTCATTTTGACGTTAGAAAATCTACAGTAACCTTAGGCTTGTTTGGTGTCGAAAAATGTGAAATTTCAAGCCTAGGCTAAAATGAGCAATGTGAAATTTTTTTCAAGAAAAAAACTCACCTATGCTGCATATTGAACATGTCAATCAATCGAACCCAGAAAAAATTTCTGAATTTCTCACGGTCCAGATAAAAATCGCTTTTCTCTGGCATGTTACCAAGTGATTCTTCAAACTGAAAAAAATTTTTGAATTTTTTTTTTTTCAAAAAAAAATCTGAAACTCACATCTTTAATTATTTGAACTACTGTAATCTCAGCTGGAAGAATTGGCAGATATTTTTGTCTGATCTTTTCCGAACTCATTTTCAGAACCTCTTTGAGTTTCACTGGCATCGTCAAAAACCCCGATTCCTCCTCATTTTCACTAAAATATTCCTCACATTCAGAATCGGATGCATACTGTAGATTCCTTGGAATACCCCAGGATACTGTAGTAGGTGTTTCAGAATCTCTGGATCTTTTTCGAGGAGCAACATCTATATAATCTTCTGGAGAAAGTTCATAATAATCAGTGCCATAATAAAATTTGATTAGATTTTTTCTCAAAAATGACATGAGATCTTTGAACATCATATAGAATTCAAAATTCAATTTTCGATCTTTGAAATAATGCTCCAAACATCGAATCAGTGGGGCAATACCGTAGTATTCTGATGGCTTGAAATTATCGATTGATTTTTCAAATTGGTCTAGTTGATGATATTCGAATTCTGATATCAATTGCTTTCTGGAAAAATGATTTTGAGATAATTTTTTGGCGCCAAAATCTACAGTAGGCTTGTTTGGTGTCAAAAAATGTGGAATTTTAGATGCTGTAAGCCTAGACTAACATGAGCAATATTCATATTTTAAAAATTCTAGGCTCAACCTTAACATGAGCAATCATTTGCTCATTTTTTTTTGATTTTGGCTTTGAAAAATCTAAAGTTATCCTAGGCTTGTTTGGTGTCAAAAAGCGTGGAATTTCAGGTACAGTAAGCCCAGGTCTTAACATGAGCAATATAAAATTTTCGGAACCTTAGGCTTAGCCTTAATATGAGCAATCATTTTATCATTTTTTCATTTAGGCTTTGAAAAATCTACAGTACCATAGGCTTGTTTGGTGTCAAAAAATGTGGAATTTCAAGTACCATAAGCGCAGACTAACATGAGCAATTCACTATTTTTTTGAATCTTGGGGTTAGCCATAAAATGAGCAATCACTCAATTTATTTTTGCTCACCTCAAGATCTTGTTAAAAATTCCAATAAAAACACGATTCAAAAAATTATCCCTGATTATTGATTCAAAGATGACGGGTCGATTATCGATTGAATTTTCGAACTGTAAAATTTTTTTCTGCATTTTTTTGAACTCAAAAAAGTTACCGTAACTCACCTCTTTGATAATTTCAGCAACTGTAAATTTTGCTGGAAGCTTTGGTAGATATTTGTGTCTGATCATTTCCGAATTCTTCTTCAGAACTTCGACGAGAGCCTCTGATAATTGCAATTCTCTTTCTCGGAATACTGTAGGTGCCCAGGGTACTTTAGGTGGATCGACACCCCAGATTTCCTCCCGACTTCTTCGAGAACTTCCAGGAGCAGAAGGTTTTGATGGTTGATGTTGAATCTGCTGATCTCTTGAATCTGTTCCAGCACAACCATCCATCAAATACCTCGCTTCAGCAATTGGATTCATGTTTGATTTAATAAATTTACGCGAACTCTCACTGTGCTTCACTTTTTCCGGATAGCGACTATATTTTCCGACATATCTGATTGTGTAGATCGGATCTGCTGGATTTTTTCTGACATTGACTTTGACAATTTGAGCTAGGAACATTTCACCGCGACGTTTGCTGAAGATTTTTGTGCCCGCTTTGTAGTGCGGGGCCATTTTCTGAAGAAAATTAATTTTGAAATCGAAAAATGGAAAATGTTTGATGATAATTCAGGCTGATTTTGACTCTAGACTCTCTAGAAAATTCTAGAAAAAAACGTCAGCAAAAAAAATCTCAAAATAATTTTTATCATCATGAAATGAATCATCGAAAAAAAAAAACGAGAGAGTGAGAAAATATGAGAGACGGAAAAGAAATCCTAAAATTAGCAATAGAGCGCACTTTCTTTCTCTAATTCAATTTTGTTTTTTTTTTTTCGAAAAAAATTTTGAGGAAAAGAAAAATGACTGAAAAAATGGAAAATCTTAAAAAATTAGCAATAGAGCGCACTTTCTTTCTCTAATTCAATTTTGTTTTTTTTTTCGAAAAAATTTTGAGGAAAAGAAAAATGACTGAAAAAATGGAAAATCCTAAAATTAGCAATGGAGCGCACTTTCTTTCTCTAATTCAATTTTGTTTTTCTTTGGAATCTTGGCACCAAAATCCCCGTTAAGCTACAGTAACCCATAAAAGATGCATTAGCCAAAAATTCTAAAATAAAATGAACAAAATAATGGGGCTGCAAAATGTGAAAGCTAATTTTCAAAGTCATGTTTTTTGACGGAGAGAGTGTGAAAATGTGAGAGACGGAAAAGAAAAATTTAGAGAATCCTAAAATTAACAATAGAGCGCACTTTCTAGATTTATATTAATTTTTCTGGCCGCGAAACAGCAAAGTATGAAAATATGAAAATTTCAAAAAAAATTTTAAGTCAGCTAAAAATCTCAAAATAATTTTTATCATCACAAAATGAATCATCGAAAAAAAAAACGAGAGAGTGATAAATTTGAGAGAGGGAAAAGAAAAATGAAAACATAGAAAATTCTAAAATTACCAATAGAGCGCACTTTCTTTCTCTAATTCAATTTTGCTTTTTTTTCGAAAAATTTTTTGAGGAAAAGAAAAAAGTCTGAAAATATAGAACATCTTTAAAAATTAGCAATAGAGCGCACTTTCTTTCTCTAATTCAATTTTGTTTTTTTTTTCGAAAAATTTTTGAGGAAAAGAAAAAAGTCTGAAATTAGCAATAGAGCGCACTTTCTCTAATTCAATTTTGTTTTGTTTTTTTTTTTGAAAAAAATTTTTGAGGAAGAAAAAAATTAATGAAAAAATGGAAAATCCTAAAATTAGCAATAGAGCGCACTTTCTTTCTCTAATTCAATTTTGTTTTTTTTTTTAATTTCGAATTTTCTGGCACCAAAATCCCCCGTTAAGCTACAGTAACCCATAAAAGATGCATTAGCCAAAATTCTAAAATAAAATGAACAAAATAATGGCTGGCTGCAAAATGTAAAAGCTAATTTTCAAAGTCTTGTTTTTTTTAACGAGAGAGTGTGAAGATGTGAGAGACGGAAAAGAAAAATTAGAAAATCCTAAAATTAGCATTAGAGCGCACTTTCTAGATTTATATTCATTTTTTCTGGCTGCGAAACAGAAAAGTATGAAAATAGGAAAATTTCAAAAAAAAAATTTAAGTCAGCTAAAAATCTCAAAATAATTTTTATCATCACAAAATGAATCATCGAAAAAAAAAACGAGAGAGTGATGCATTTGAGAGAGGGAAAAGAAATGCTGAAAAACATAGAAAATTCTAAAATTAGCAATAGAGCGCAGTTTCTCTAACATATTTTTTTTTTTGAAATTTTTTTGCCACACAGCTACAGTAACCCTGCTCAAATTTTTTTTTTCAAAATGAAAAAAAGAAGAAAAATATACTTTATATATTTCGAAAAGAAGCTTATCCTCAAAAAATCCACTCAAAAATAATCCAAAATTTGGCTAATAATCTCTTGTTGTCCGCGTCTCTAGAGATTTATTTTTAGCTAGAATTTTAAATTTTTGCGTGGTAACCGAGATTTTTAATTAATTTCTAAAATTTTTAATTAAAAAAAGATTTTCTTTTTTCCAAGAAAACTTTTAATGAGATCAAAAACTCAAAAAAAAATCCAGAAAAAAAAAATTATTTTTATAAAAAAAATAAAAAATAAAGAAAAATAGAGATGTGGGCAAAATGAACGCATTGCCCTTTTTTTATCTGCCGGCTATTTTTCTCTGCACTCTCTCCATTTTTTTTATGCTCCGAAATATCTCTCGCCTTTGTCCCTGCCGTGTTTTTTTTCAATATGAGTAATTGTGAGGCGAGGAGATTTTTTAGAAGGTTTTTTTTGGAGCATGAAAAGTCTGAAAGGTTTTAGAAAGCTTGAGAAGGCTTTTGGAGGCTTCAGAAGGCTATTGGAGGTTTCAGAAGGATTTTGGAGGCTTCAGAAGGGTTCTGGAGGCTTCAGAAGGCTTTTGGAGGCTTCAGAAGAATTCTGGAGATTTTAGAGACCTTCAGAAAAATTCTGGAAGCTTTAGAAGGCTTCAGAAGGCTTCAGAAGGATTTTGGGGGCTTCAGAGGTCTTCAGAAGGCTTCATAAGGCTCTAGGAGGCTTCAGAAGGCTTTTGGAGGCTTCAGAAAAATTCCAGAAAGTCTGGAACGGTTTTCAGAATATTTTTGAAGTCCGAAAAAATTTTTGGAAATCCTGGAAGAAATCTAGAAGGTCCCTTAGAGCCTGCAAAAATCTGTGAAGCCTATATTTTTGCAGAAAATAAATATTTTCTAGACAAAAAATTGAACTTTTTCAAAAAAAAATTTATGAAAAAATTTTTTGAATCAGTTCCGATTGATTTATTTGCCAATTTTGAAGAAATGAAGAGTACTGTAGTCTAGATACAGTACTATGAATCTGAAAAAAAAGGAATTTTGAAAATCAAAATAAACTTCAAAATTGACTTACTATGGAAAATTTGACCGTGTACATATCGCGGAATGTGCTGCAGTTATGACTTCTCTAAAAAAATTTAGTTTTCACATGAGCAATGATTTAATGACTTACAAAAACATCAAATGACTTTAACCATATGTGAGCATGTGAACACTGAATATTTTTGTATTTGGAAGATTGGAACCAAGAGTACTGTAGTGTAGATACAGTAAGATGAATCTGAAAATTATGAAAAATAGAAATTAACTCGGAAAAATTGACTTACTAGGACTTAATTTTCATATTGAAATTTTGGGTTGTTTCCGATTTGAAAAATGTTTTGGAACGGAGAATGTGATTTTTCCATTTTGGATTTGCAATTTTTAAGAAGAGTACTGTAGTATAGATACAGTTATAATTCTCTGGAAATAATGCATTTTTTTTCAAATAAAAAGAACTCAAAAATTGACTTACTATAAAAATTTTCATTTAGTCCTCTATTGTTTTGATTCTTTGGGTATTTCAAGTCTGGAAAATTTACATTTTTCAAAGTTGAAAAATAATTTAAAATTTTGAACTCACTTTAACTTTTTTTGAAGATTTATAAAACTATTTTTTGAAAAACAATCAAGTCAAAAACGCTTTCGTAATCTGGGATACCAATGTTGATTATTGATTGGAGAGTACTGTAGTGTCGATACAGTGAATCTGAAATAAAAAATTTTTTTGAATAAAAATGAACTGGCGCAAAAAAGCGAGCAAAGGTGTAACATTTGATAAAAGGCACAATATTTAATATCAAAAAGGGTACTGTATTGTTGTAATAATGTAAAAATATTGGTGTGAAATAAAATTGTCAACATTGATTTTCTTATTCAGAAAATTTCAAATTTTTTTCTTATAGATCAAAAATGTTTTTTTTTTCAATTTTGCTTTGAATTTTGTCTCTGTCAAAAAAAATTGCTTACCTTTTTCAAAATATTTTTTTTTCGCGTCGTGGCGTAACATATCTAAAGCTCGAATTTTGTCTTGGCTGATTTGAGAGTACTGTAGTCTAGATACAGTATATAAGTCTGAAAATATTTTCATTTTTTTTAATAAAAAAAAAACTCAAAAAAATTGACCTGCTATGATAATTTTGAACGTGATTTTCTCTAATGGTATGAGTGATTTTTCTATTTCCACGAAGATATTATTGATATTGTCCTGGAAGATTTTTTGCTAAATTAATAAAATTTAGTCAGTTTTCCAAAAAAAAAATTTGAAAATCGTTTTTTGCTTACGAAATCTTTCAATTGGTCTAAACCGCTTCAATAAATTCGGGCCATCAGAATGTGAAAATGATCCAATTGAAATTGAAATTGTTGATTTTGAGGGAAGAGTACTGTAGTCTAGATACAGTAATGAACATCTGAAAATATGTTAGGTCTGAAATTTTCATAAAATTTTCTCACCTTTTTTTAAAAATATTTTTTTTGTAGTTTTCCAAAAGTAAGAAAATGGATGCTCACAAAAACAGTAAATGTTTTTTTTATGAAGTCTAGCTGATGAAGAAGGCACAGAAAATATGTGGATTCTCGAATGTTTGTAGCAATAGTACTGTAGTTTAAATACAGTAATAATTCTCTGAAATGCTGTAATTTTTGGTTCTAATTTTGAGAAAAAATAAACTCACTTGAAACGTTTTCAATTTTTATAAAGAAGTAATCGAAAAATCAGCTTTCGAAATTTTTTTTGGGAAAATAGTTGATATAAGATTACTGTAGTTCAGATACAGTAACTTCCTTCTTTTTCATTATTCAAACAAATATTCACGAAAATATTTTTATTCATTTTTGGTTCACCTGAAAAATCATAATTTTTGTTGACACACAGAATTCTAAACTGAAAAAAGCTCACCATTTTCAGAGATTTCCAGATTTTCATCTTCACCAAAAAATATTCCAAAAAAAAAACCCAGACATCCTAAAAAAATAAACATTGTTTATGCAAAAAAAGAAGAAAAACACATCTGGTTGACCTAACTCCGCCTTCTAAAAATATGCATACTCACAAAAAAATAAACAAAAAAAATCATTCTGCTAACTAAAAAATAAAATAGTTATCCAACAAAAAAAGAAAAAAAAATCGAATTTATTGATTTTTCTGGGGCGCCGTTCTTGGCGTCCTTCCCCTTTTTTTCTTCGAGAAGTTTCTTTTCCAATCGAAACTCGTTTTTTTTCTGACTACTGTAGCTCCTTTGACACTTTTCCCTCACATTTTTTTTGTTCCTAAATTTTTTATTTTTTGCTTATTCTTGGCTCATGTTTGAGTACTGTAGCTCCTTTTTCTAATATGTTTTTGTATATTTTTCTCATTGCTAATTTCCATATTTTCAGAATGTAGAAAGTTCCTCAAACTGTGATACTGTATCTACACTACAGTAATCTTACTGATCAAAATTTTGAAAACCGTTTCCCATTACACAAACACTGTTCATGCACATATGAAAAGATAAAGGTTGGCTTTTTTTTCTTTTTTTCTGGAAAAAAATAATCTTTCAGACTCTCATAGTTTCACCAAAATTGGAGCAACATTAAACTACTGTATCTAAACTACAGTACTATGGATTATCAGAATTAAAATGAATTCAAAAAAATCTCGGAACTGATAGAAACACGCATTATATGCTCAGCTATTACGAATCTTTCATCAAGGTTAGTTTTTCAATAGAATTTTAATTAAGAAATACCTTTTTTACAGATCAGTATACTGTATTTAAACTACAGTACTCTAGACCAACCCTCAATCGAACAAGCAAGATGATAAGAACTCATTCGGAGTGATAGATTTTATGAAATTCATAAAACACTTTGATCAATATTCCGAAACAACAGAACAATGGAAATCATGAAGGTGTGTTTTTTTTGCTGAGATTTTCAGAGTTTCCGAAAATATATTCACAATCAGAGGGAAATTTTTTATATTTTTGAAATATTCAATTTAGCCTTTTCATGAAATGTTTCCAGAATAAACCAATTTCAATACTGTATTTAAACTACAGTAATCAGAAGAAATCAAGAACCACACTTTATTTGCATACAACATATGTATGCGAACTCGATTCGAAAACATTTTACTGAAAAAGTTCACGGAGGTTAGTTTTTCAATTGAAAATACTTAGTTAATTAACCAATTATTGCAGATCAAATTACTGTATCTAAACTACAGTACTCTAGACCAACCCTGAATCAAACAAGCAAGATGATGGATTTCATAAAACACTTTGATCAATATGCCGAGGCCAATAAAGAGAATATATGCAATGGAAAAAAATAGAAATATTTCGAAGTAGGTTTTTTTTTCAAAATTTTCTAGGTTCTGAAGTCTCACACTGATAATCAAGTTTCTAGATAACAATACTGATTCACTTCAAAATTGGAGAAAAAAATTTCAATAACAATAAGGTTAGTTTTTTCCCAGCAATTTCGATTTTTCCAAAATTCAAAAATCAAACCTTCTTCAGAACTGTCAATTTCAATACTGTATTTAAACTACAGTAATAAACCAATCAAATTTTTAATAAATGGATTTATTCATTAATGAAAACATGTTAGTTTACCAAAACCTGACATTAGATTTGCTAAAACAAATTATTTTTCTAGGGAGCTGTTCACAAACATAGACAGGAAGAAAATTGAATGTTAGAACTTCTTTGGATACAAAACCTATGATGGTTTCAAAATTTCTTCTGAAAAAAGTTCACCAAGGTTAGTTTTTGAATTAAAAAATAATTGATTTGAACTATCCAATTCTTGCAGATCATGTTACTGTATCTAAACTACAGTACTTGCAATTGATGAGAAGAACAGAACAATGAAGTTCAATTCGACACAAATTCAAGATTCCAATTGGAAAATCAAACAGGATTAGAAAAAAAAATGGAAAAATACTTCAAGGTTGGTTTAACATTTTTCTAGTTTCTGAATAAAATTGTGTAGTCTCACATTGATTATCAAGTCTCTAGATTACAGTATTCATCAACCAATTTTTTCAAAAATTCAATCTTTTTCAGAATTATCAATTTGGATACTGTATCTAAACTACAGTAATCGCACAAATCATCAAGACAAATCAGTAAGTTTCCCGAAATCTGAAATCAGATTTTTTTTTTGAAAACAACTTTTTTTTCAGGAAGAAGAGCGCAGTTGTTGATATTGCCCATTGACCAAGACGAGAACTGGCCCGAAGAAAAAATATAGTATCATTTCCATATGCATAAGTGGGAACTATCTCTGAAAAAAAGTATAGCAAAGGTTAGTTTTTCAATTGAAAAATAATTAATTTGAACTATCCAAATTTGCAGATCAAATTACTGTATCTAAACTACAGTACTTGCAATGGATGAAGCAACAGCAAACAATCGAAATAATGAAGTTCAATTCCACACAGATATTTCGAGCTTTTAATCGAAGAAATGAACAATCCGCTCGCTTATGTACGAAAACGATTCACTGCTATTTGATAAAAATGAAATTTGAAATTACCTGTGAAGAAAGAAAGCGTGGATTCAAGGTTGGTATTTTTTTTCCAAATCTCAGGGATTCCATTAAAAATTTCCAACATTTTTCCGAGAACTACTGTAGATTCGCACCTTTTAATTTATTCAGAAATAAGATTTTCCTGGTCAAATTATTCAATTTCAAAACTTCAAAAAACATTTTTTTTTCAGAATGTACCATTTTCATTACTGTATCTAAACTACAGTACTCTTCACTTATTCGATTCACATGGAGTATGGGGTTATTTTGCAGTGAGATCTTGAGAAGAAGACGAAGCAGAAATCGAAAACATTGAAGATCCTAAAAAATTTTGGAAAAATTCTAACATAAAATTTATTCAAGTGAGTTCAAGTTTTCGATTCTTGGGTCGGGTCCAATTTGAAACTTTTCCATTTTATCAAATCTCATTCCTTTAAAATATTATTTTTCAGTATATTCCGAAAAAAATAATCCAAGAAGGATGCCAACTTTATTACTGTATTTAAACTACAGTACTCTTCACTCATCAATTATCCAACTTCAATTGCTCCAGAGTTTTAAAGCATTATCCATTTTTTTCAATTTGGAATAAAAATTATTTGATCTGCATATTATTGATTTTTTGTGGGAAGCTTTGTTGATTGATTTATGACTATGCTAACAAAAGAAAATGTGAAAATCGTAAATTTTCTGCGCGAAAAAGTTTTGTGCAAACGAATTTGTTGTTTTTCTAGGGACTTCTCTTTACAGCTACCTTTTGATGAAAAAATCGAAATGATCTAGAAATAAAATTTGAAAAATTTGCATTCACCGGGGTTCGAACTTGTGTGTAGGATAACATGTGGAAATTTGAAAAATACGGAAAAAAAAACAAAATTTCCAATTTCAGAGTTCACCAACAGAAAATGTCTTCACTCATCAATTATTTAGAAAAAAATCAAAAATTTTACAAAAATCACGTTTTGCCACGTCATAACTCGTCACATGGGCATGTTAGGTAAAAAATAAACTACTCCACGTTGTTCAGGAGGTCAAAATTAGTCAGAAACCAAAAATGCAAAAAAAAAAATATAAAAAGTTCTTTTTTCCCGTGGGGATCGAACTTTTTGATTTTTCGGACAATCGCAGAGTGGGAGACAGATTCTCTAACCACTGCGCCACGAAGGCGCCAAGAGCAGCTGAATGAATGACTAATATATGGTTGATGTTTTCGGTGTTTTATTCAACTGGATGTCTATTTTTGAAGTGAAATACATTTCAGATAGATTTTTACACGCTGAAAACGTGTCTGTCGTCAGATTTTGTTCTAACTGCAAGAGAAAAAAGTTATGGGGGTTTGAAGATGATTTTTCTTCATTTGAAAAAAGACTAGTGAGTTTTCTGTGTGAAAATTATTTTTTCTTGAAAAAAGTTTGCAGGAAAATTTGAAAAAAAGTGGAGTGTTTTTGAGTGATTTTCAAAAAATGAATTTTTGTTCAAAATGAATTTTGAAAATACTTTTTCATATTGAAATTAAAGAAAAGAAGAACCAAAATGTTGATTTTTTTTTAATTTAAAAATTAAAGAAAATTATAAATTTTACTGCTCTTCAATTTTTTGTACTCAAACAACAAAAAATCCAACGTTCTGAAATTTTTCAACAATTTATTTAATGCTAAAAAACACAGTTAAGTTGATTGAGTTTCATTTGAAGCAAGAATCGGTACTGTAGTTAAGAATCTGAAAAGAAATGATTTTTGAAATCAGAAAATTTCTTTTATAAAATAACTCACCGTGAAAAATATGCCTAGCTCCGACACTGCATTTTCGTTGGAAGAATATTTTTTCGAAAATTTGAAACACGAGTACTGTAGTGTAGATACAGTAGTAAAAATCTGGAAACCAATAAATAGGACTGGAAAATGAAAATGAACTCGAAAAATTGACTTACTGTGACAATTTTTTGAACTTATGGAAATTTGCACATGCGGGTTAGATGTTCAATATATTCTCTGATGTTTGAAGCAAAAGTACTGTAGTTCAAATACAGTTCTGAAATTCAATGATTTTGGATTTTAATTTGGTTCAAAGATAAATTTACATGAAACTTTTTTTTCTAAGATTTATGAAATGCTTTTTGCAAAATATGGTCAGATGTTGATGTAGATTTGCGTGTGCCAATGATGATTATTAATTGAAGAGTACTGTAGTTTAGATACAGTAATGATAATCTGAAATGCAGTGATTTTGGATGATGTAGATTTGCGTGTGCCAATGATGATTATTAATTGAAGAGTACTGTAGTTTAGATACAGTAATGATAATCTGAAATGCAGTGATTTTGGAGTTTAATTTTGAAAAAATAAGCTTACTTGAAAATGTTTAAATTTTTCATAAAAAAATTATTGAAAAGTGATTTATGATTTGAGTTTTCTTCCCCTTCAAAATCCAGACAATTCTTCACTTTTTGTTCACCTGAAAAATCATAATTTTCTTTTGATTAACTGTAAAAAACTCACCATTTTCAGAAATTTCCAGATTTCCAGCTTCACCAGAAATATTCCCAAAACAACCCAGACATTCTGAAAATCAAACAATGTTTATGGAAAAAAACAGCGAAAAAAAAAGAAGAAAAACACATGTGGTTGACCTCACTTCGCCCTTTGAAAAAAACAAACAAAAATATTTTTCTCTTGGTTAAAAGTAAAATAGTTATCCGACAAAAAAAACAAATTTTTTTGTTCGAGAATTTTTCTCATTTTCCAATCGACACCTGTCGCGGAAGCAAGAACTTCAGTTATCTGTTTACAGGTCTTGGCGCGAAAAATAATATCGAAATTGAAAAAAAAAAGAACAACCAAAATGTTAGGAAAAATTTTGTATTTTTTTCCTCTCAAATTTTTTTGTACTCAAAAAAATCCAACGTTATGAAATTTTCCAATAATTTTTTTATTTAATGCTAAAAAATAATAACAATTAAGGGTCGATTCAATTTGAAGCAATAGAGAGTACTGTAGTTAAGATACAGTAGATTGGATCTGAAAAAAAATGATTTTTGAAATCAGAAATATTTTTCACTTACATTGGAAATAATTGGGTATATGGCTATCTCCAACACGGCATTTTCTAACCAAGGAATATTTTTTCGAAAATTTGAACCACGATTACTGTAGTGTAGATACAGTAGTATGAATCTGAAAAACTGGAAAATAAAAATGAACTCGAAAAATTGACCTACTGTGATAATTTTTTGAACTTTTGGAAGTTGGCACATGCGGCTCTGGTTTTGAAGTATATGTTCTTGAATGTTTGGAGCAAGAGTACTGTAGTTTAAATACAGTAATATGAATCTGAAAAAAATTATTTTTATTGAACTCGAAAAAATAAAAACTCACTTATAATTTTTTTCAATTTTTCACAAAAAAGATATTGTATTCGAGAGTACTGTAGTTTAAATACAGTAGTTTTCTTCCTATTCAAAATCCAGTGTTCACCTGAAAAATTATAATTTTATTTTGATTAACTAAAAAAGCTCACCATTTTCAGAATTTTCCAAAATTTCCAGCTTCACCAGAAATATTCCCAAAAAGAACCCGGACATTCTGAAAAACAAACGTTGTTTATGAAAAAAACGGCGAAAAAAAGAAGAAAAACACATGTGGTTGACCTCACTTCGCCCTTTGAAAAAAATAAACAACAAAAATATTTTTCTCTTGGTTAAAAGTGAAATGTTATTTAACAAAAAAAAAAGAAAAGACAAATTCGGAGGGTGCCGTCTTTGGCGTCTTTTCCCCTGTTTTTGTTGGAAAAATATTTTGATTGGCATGGTTTTTATGAGCGGAAAATGATTTGATCAACATTTTTGGTTCCTTATGCATCAGAAAAAATTGTTTATTCAAAGTGCTTCGTCATCAATTTTTTTCTAACATTTCTCACGAACATGAAATAACTCAAATTCAATGTAATATTGATTATAAATGTTTTCACTGATAAATTTTAACTTGAAGATTACTTCTCTCAAAAAAAAATAAAATAAAACTCACCAAGATCTTCATTTCTTTTTTCTTCCAGCTGCAATATTTTCAGCAAAATGTTTTTCAAACAATATTTTATAAGACAAACAGCTGTTGATCCTTTTTTTCAGAGTGAAAAAAAATGTATGGAGAAAATATGTATTTATATTCAGCAAAAAATGTATAACGCAAATACAGATGATAGCGAATTTCAAAGTTTTCCAAAATTTTTCTTAACCCATACTTTTTTCATGGAATTTTTGCAAAGCATCGTTGAGTGCCCTTCTCTCTTCTTCTAACTTTCGCAAACGAGCAGTGCCACACCAATACTCATTGGAATTTTCAGATTCAGAATCACTTTTCCCAATCAATTTTGCATCAGCAAAATCACACAAGAACAATGCCATAGCAATACAAATAATCTGAAAGAATAAGAACAAAATGAAAACAAAAAAAAAAGATCACACTCACCAGAAGCTTCATTTTCTTCAACTGAAATGTTTAGATTATTTTTTCAAAATTTATATATGCCGCAAATGACATGACGATGATATTGATGACAAATGATTGAATCATTTTTAGAGTTTCGCAATTTTTCAGTGGGACAGAATTTTTGTTCAAACTCTCTTTCAACTGAACATTTAGGGTTCGAAAAATCACAACTGACTTTTCTTTTTCAAATTTTTGTGACTTAAGAGAACTGATAACAAGTTGTAATTCTAATAAATAAATCTCAGGTTTTGAATTTTTCTGTAATTATTGAAAATTTCGTGACGTGTTCAATTGCAGTTCGGAATCTAAAATGGGAAAATCGACCCAAGACAGTTTCCCTTTTTCAGAAAAAAATGTTTCATTCTTGGACCGGACGCTTCACCGGGGTAAAATAATTTTTTTAAATTTACATTTAGTATTTTGGTTCATGATAAATGAGAATTTTTATTTGAATTCTGATGGTTTTTATGGGTGGAAAATAACAATTTTAGCTTCTTCTTATGCTTAAGAAAACTAAGAAAGGGCTTAGAGAGTTTAAGGAATTTTTCAAAGATTTTTAAATTTTAATTCAAATTTTAAATCTTAAAAGACTTTAGAGTTTCAAGTTATAACTGAATTTTTCAAGTTTTTTTTTTAAATTCAAATAAATAATTCATTTTTTCATGAAAATTCAGAAGCTCAGAAAAAGTTACAGAAAAATTCTACTCCACCTCAAATTCTGAAAACTACAGATCAATGCTCAAAAAAATTCCGAAATAATTTGATCAATATTTTCAGATTCTTCTGATGCTTTAAGAGACTTAGAGAGGGCTTAGAGAGTTTAAGGAATTTTTGAATGATTTTTAAATTTTAACTACTTGAATTTTAAATCTTAAAAGACTTTAGAGTTTCAAGTTATGATTGAATTTTCCAATTTTTTTAAATTCAAATAAATAATTCATTTTTTCATGAAAATTCAGATTTTGAAATTTCTCTATCTAAAAATTCTACTCCACTTCAAATTCTGAAAATTACAGATCAAAACAACAATGCTCTAAAAAATTCCAAAATACAAATCATCATTTTTTTGAAAATCTTCCAAATATGCATACCCTAGCTGAGGCTACACTATAGCCATGGGGAACATAAAAAAGTATGCACACACACATTGTATATGCGCACTGTTTTTCTTATCCCCCCTTTTTTGTTGCATGTCTATTTTTTATTGATTTTCTTTGAAGGTTTCTGGACCAAAAGTTTATGAAGTTGGCCTTTTGTTTCTAATTTTTTTTTTGAAAATTTAAATTTTTGGAGCTTGAAATTTTTGGATTCTCAGAGGTTGTGCCTTCTACTTTTCTGAACTCTCTGAAGAGCCAAAAATTTAGAATTTTCTGAAATTTGCGGTTTTGAGAGCCGATAACTCATGTTAGAGAAGATTTTCTGAAAAACTGAATGCACGACGTTTTTCAGGAGTGTCGATTTACCAACTTCACAAATTTTTGGTTAGAAAATCGGTAATTTTTTAGAAAAAAATTGTGACTTACAGAAAATAGTCTCATGGATTGCAAATTCAAATTTTTTTTTAAAAATGGTCAAAACTTATAAGTTCAGTAAATTGTAAACAAGATTTTCAGAAAATTCTCAACTTTTTGCCTATTTTTCAGTGAATATGCAAGAAAATGAAGAGGAAACATGGAAGTGCGCCCTATTGATAATACCCTCCTGTCTGGCACTCTCGCACATGTGTGTATGTGTGTGTGTTTTACAACTCAGTGCGCATTGTCTTTCTTGTCCTGCCTTTTGGTCGCGCGTCTGTTTTTTATTGATTTTCTTTGAAAGTTTCTGGACCAAAAGTTTATGAAATTGACCCTTTTTTTTTGAAAATTGACATTTTTTGAGCTTATTCTTTATTTTAACGAAATGAAACGTTTTTACAGACTTGGTGTAGTTTTGGCTGCTGTGGTTTTGGTTCAAGTGACTCAGTCTTGGATCGTCAATTCGCTCACATTTTCTTGCTGAACTTCTTGCTGAACTGTTTCAATTTCGCTCACAGTCAATCAATTCGCATCACTCTTCTCGAAATCTTCTCGATCCCTGCTCAATTCATCGGATTCCGGTTCACGTGACTCAGTCTTGGATCGACAATTCTCTCACACTCATCGATTCATTATTTTGCGTTTGTCTTGAAATTGCTCAAGATCCTCAGGCTTGGCTTGTCATTTTCTCACTCTTATCAAGGCATCAATTTGCATCACACTTCTCGAAATCTTCTCAACCCCTGCTCTATTCATACCGATTCTCTCGATTTATTTATTGATCCAAATTTGTTTGATAAAATGAATCATCGCGAAACCATGCCGATATTGAATGTTAATGAGATTGTGTATATTATTTGGCAGTATTTGAATTCAAACGGTGAGAGCTTTCGTTTTTTTTCGCGGAAACTTTGAACAAAAATTAGCAAAAATAATCCTCTAAAAATTTTTTTTCTGAAATTTGCGATTCAAAGGTGGAGTCTGAGCAGAAAATAAGTTATGCTCATATCCACCTCAAGTTTCTCCAAAAAAATATTATCAAAAAAATATTCCAAATTACTATGAATAATTATAAGTAATTCAGGTTATCGAGGAATCGCAAAACAATTATGGAGAACCGCTGACATGTCTCTAATTTACAATAAAAATGCCAACCTTATCCCAAACTCCGCGCTACGAACATTATTGTCAAGAGCTATTGATGGGATGAAGAGAAATGATTTGGATCGATTATCACTTTTTGGCGCGGTCAAACGAATCCATCATGGATGCCACGAAAAGGAGGGTTATTATGTGGATAATGGAAAGGAACTGGATCAACTTAATTTTGAAGCGGAAGAAAATTTGGATGATATGGGAATTGACGAAGAGGAAGAGGGAGACGAAGAAGAAGAGGAAGACGAAGACGAAGAGGAAGACGAAGAACAAGGCTCAGATATGGATGTGGATGATGATGAAATGGACGGTGATATATTTGTTGTTCAACAAATGCATCCACGTGCACAAGAAAATCCACCAATACTTCCACCCTCCAAATTATCAGTGTATGAGTTGGAAGCGGTTCGCTGTAAATTCAATCCGGTATCGAATGTTCTGGCCACAACATCTTCAAATGTAGATGTGACATTGCATGAACTTGAAGGGACACAAGCAGTAAAATCGATTACTTTGACGCTTACCAGTGGAGCTCAACAGGATGTATCGTTGATGGTTAGTTTATTTACATATATCATGCATCGGAAAAGGATTGATTGATCTAGAATTTTTGTCAGGCATCTGAATTTGCCGAAGATTTTCAATCATTTGCAGTTTTTCACGCTGGAAAAGTTTCTGATTTCAGTTTTTGGCTGAACGACTCTCTGAAGAGCACAAAAATGAGTTGCGTTTTTGAGAGCCATTACTCATGTTAGAGAAGATTTGATCAAAAACGATTTTCCAAAAATTCTCAACTTTTGGCTCATTTTTGTGCTCTTCAGAGAGTCGTTGAGCAGATTTTAAAAAATCTACTGTATTTTCCGGAGAAAAAAACAAAGATATAAAATTTGTCGTCAAATTGAAAAAAGTATTTTTATTTCAGCGAGTCACGTCTTTTAATTGGAATAATTTCGGCACAAGTTTCGTATCAACATATACAAGTGGTGTTTGTAGGGTGTGGTCCTCAACAGGAAACATCGAGAAAAGGATCGACGCACACTCAGGCCCATGTAATATCGCGAAGTTCAATGAGAATGGTGAATTGTTAGCCACTGGTGGACAGGATGGAAAAGTAGTGATATGGAATGCGAATGGAAGTGTGAATTCGACTTATTCGGCTCACAGAGGTTCAATTGCTGACGTGGTTTGGATAAGCGATTATGAATTTGCGACTTGCGCTTCCGATGAAGTCATCCACATTTTCCACATTGGAAATCTGCAACCGATTCGATCGTATTTTGGACATAACTCGGCTGTTGTTGCGATCAAATTTGACAAAAATGCAAATCAGTTGGCCAGTCTCGACGAGAATAACTGCATCAAAATTTGGGCAAAAAATGCGGAGAATCCACAGTTCACCATAAGAAAAGATCAACCAATTCTTGCGTTTGGCTGGAACCCAAGGGGACGGTTTATTGCATGGTTAGTTTTTTTTTTTAAATTTTGTTATGGACCTAGAGATTTTCCATAAGAAATGTACCAGGCCTGTGCCGGAAATTTTCCGATTTTCCGGTTTTTTCAAAGAAAAAAAAACTGTACAAATGATTTTTTTTCAGCACTGCAAATCGAGTCGTCGAGTTATATGACACGAGATCGGGGGAGATCATTGGAAAAATGTTGGGACATCTTTCCAAAGTTAGATGTCTCGCATTTTCCCCCAATGGTTTATACTTGGCCAGTGGCGACAATAATGGAAACATTCTTGTTTGGGATCTAACGGTAAGTTGTTTCAAATATGTTTCGAAAAACAATACACTATTTTTCAGACACTCGAAATCGTTGTGAAGTATGGTCATGGGAATAATGGCGGTGTCTCGGATGTTGACTGGAACACCCAAGGAACGGTTATCGCGGCCACAACTTCGAAAGGAAAATTGATTTTGGGAGATGTTGAGACATTTGTGTGATGAATTTGCGCCTGGTTCTTCAACTTCTCACTTCATCAGTTTTTTATCGATCTTCTTCCACGATTTTTGATGATTCTTCATCTTTTTATTGTCAATTTTGCGGGTATACTATTGCATTTTATTGTTGTGATTTCTGGCAATATTATTTATTTTCGTATGACCCCCCTCCCCCACTTTTATCTGATGTTTTTTCTGAATTGCGCGCAAATTATTATAGTCAAATTGTATTTTGTGATCTGATTGTAAATACCAGCAATACATATTTGTCATATCTTCCCCCCCCCCCTCCAATTCACCATATCAGCGCGCTTTCCCATTACTTATCTCAAACATGATGTGATTGAGCCCATTTTCCTTCTAGTCATTCTCAAATTATTCGCCTCTTCCCCCGATTTTTTATTCAAAAAACTGCATTTATTTGTGAATTTCATTGGTTTCCATCTCGAAATCGTGAGCGATTAATTATTGTAAAATATTATTGTAAAACATTGCTCGAACAGATCCCCATTTTGTTTTGAATACGGGAAATATTTATTTCTTGTATTTTTCTTCTTCTTCCCGTCCTCCTGGTGACAAATTTCTTCTAGGTTCTCAATGTTCACTTTTTTGTATAATTTGCTCGCTTCTTCCCTCAATTTTTTTGTGAGGTTAACAAAATGTTAGCGATATTTTTTTGCAGTATATCAACGTGTTGTTTTGTGAATTTTCTTCTTATTCTCATTCGCCATCTCATTTTCAATTGTCGGTTTTTATTACTGGTTTCAGATTGTCCGGTGTTATGAATACATAAAGTGTGAATTCTTTTGAGCCAAGTTTTAAAGAATTATTAACAATTAGAGTTCAAAAAATTTAGGAAAATGTTTCAATTGATGTTTTTTGTTTTTCTTTTTGCAATGATGTTTTTTCTTTAGAAAAAGAATTGATATGAAACAAAGAACGGGAGTTTAATGAATTTGAAATTTGAGTTAAAAAAATAAAGATGAGTTCAAATAAATTTGAACAGTCTACCTTTTTAATAAAAATTTGAAAAAACTCGGGCCGATTTTTTTTTTTGAAAAAACTCGGGCCGATTAATTTTTGAAAAAACTCGGGCCGATTTTTTTTTTTGAAAAACTCGGGCCGATTTTTTGAAAAACTCGGGCCGATTTTTTTTTGAAAAAACTCGGGCCGATTAATTTTTGAAAAAACTCGGGCCGATTAATTTTTGAAAAAACTGGGGCCAATTAATTTTTGAAAAAACTCGGGCCGATTTTTTTTTTTGAAAAAACTCGGATCGATTAATTTTTGAAAAAACTCAGGCCGATTTTTTTTTTGAAAAAACTCGGACCGATTAATTTTTGAAAAAACTCGGGCCGATTTTTTTTTTGAAAAAACTCGGGTTTTGAAAAAAGGTTATCCCATTAATTTTTGAAAAAACTCGGGCCCATTAATTTTTGAAAAAACTGGGGCCAATTTTTTTTTTTGAAAAAACTCGGGTCGATTAATTTTTGAAAAAACTCGGGCCGATTAATTTTTGAAAAAACTCGGGCCGATTAATTACTGAAAAAACTCGGGCCGATTAATTTTTGAAAAAAACTCGGCCCGAGTTAAAATCGGATTCAATAATTTTTTAAAAAACAGTTTGATGAAGTCATCCATGGCAAAATTAGGAAGCCTTCATGATTTAGCCACGAGTCATTTTTTGATTTAAAAAAAACTAGGAATTTTTCATGAATTTGTTTTTCTGTTTTTAACTGGGAAAAAAGTGAAAAAAGGATTATAAATTTTGAAATTAACAACCAATGAACTGAATTTTGAAGAATTTCTAGAGACGAATTCGAAAAATTGGAGCATTTTGAAGCATGATGCCTTGAGCACACAAGATCACAAAAAAACGTGAATTCGAAACTACTGCCCAGTGGAACTCAAAAATCATCGCCGATCATCGTTCGCTTCCGCAAGCATCCTATTTTCAGATTATTTTTCTTTGGCTTTGAAATAAATGTTTTTTTTTTTCATAAAAACCAATTTGTCCGAAAATCAACTTTTTTTGAGACTAAATATTTCATCAAGTTTGGTTTCACATTTTTTTTGAACTATTTTCTAGTTCCTGAAAAATTTGTAGAAGTCTTCAAGGGTTTAGAAAGCTTAAGGAATTTTTGAATGCTTTAAGATTTTAGAGTTTCAAGTTACAATTGAATTTTTTGTGTTTTTTTTTCATTTGAATAAATAATTCATTTTTTTCATGAAAATTCAGAAGCTCCGATTTGATTTTGAAAAATCCTAATTTTGAGAAGTTACAGAAAAATTCTACTCCACTTCAAATTCTGAAAATGCTCCAAAAAATCAATCATTCCAAAATACAAATCATCATATTTTTTTGGAAATCTTCCAAGAGTCTACAGGGTGACCCAAAAAAACTGAAACAAACTTGGCTCAATAAAACCTATTCCCCAATTTTTAAACTGAACATTCTGATCATGAATTATACATTCCAATACCATTAGCTAAATAACTGTTAAATTTGTTTTGGAAATTCACGTGTTTCACGTGATCCGCACTAGGGTGAAGAGTAAAATTGAAAACGTTGTTTGGACGCAACTCTTCAGAAATTGCAAACTTTGAGTTTCAGTGTCTCTAACTATCTTCGGAGCTCTCAGATCTCTTATATGTTTTATGAATCAAATAAAGCAACTCTAGAGGAGCATTTTTCACTATACTTTTCTTAACTTTCGTTTCGAATTACATATTTTACGAGTGGTTTTGTGAAACCGGTCGAATTTTTCTGTTTTCATGAAAGTTTTGTCTCTGACTGGCACCAAAACCAAAACTTCGACTATTCATCTTCCATCTTTGAACAAGAAAAAAGGATTCGATAACACTTGGAAGAGATTATAGTTTGACAATGGAAGATAATGAAAAAGGTATGACTCATTACTACTGTAGTTTTTCCTCATTTACTTTCAGAACCATCTGGTATTCCACGTCTTCCATCAGATTTGCCAGAAAAAGAAAAAACAACAAGCAAACGAAAATCATATTTGAATTTGATACCAAATTTGAATGCGATAAATCCATTTTCAAAAGAAAATGAATTCAAAAAAACAATCAAAAAGAAGTTTTATTCAAGAAGAGGAAGTGTGCCATATTAATTGATTTTTGAACATGAAACTATAATTTCTCAGGAACAAATTTAATTCCCGGATGACAATATCTCATATAACAATACGTGTTAAAATTGTATATAAATTTTTTGTAATAAATTATTTTATATTTGAATAGTTCTTTCAACAATTGAACTAATTTTTGGTGTAGATTTTTTAAAAAATTCAAGAATTTCTCGAACTTTTTCCATAAAATGGCTATTACTTGCAATCATAACAATTGTTGAAACCATTGAATGAGTTGATATTAAAATCATTGTATCAGTTGCTAATTCTGAAAAATTTTGAGGATCAGAATAAAAAAAAATATTTTTAATAGATAGATAACATAAATACCTTGATATTCAACATAATTATTCAAAATTACTGTAAAAATAATAATAAGTGGAATACCAACACAACTGAAGGGAATAAAGCATTGTAAAACAAGAGTAATTAGAGCAGTTTTGTGAAGTTTGAAAGTCGAAGCAGACATGAATTTACGCATTTTTTGAAGGATGTAAATTGTATGACCAGTGAGGAAAATACCGAATCTGAATGGAAAAATAAAAAGCTTTGGATCAATGTGAAAGAAATTTGAGAATTTTACAACAGAGTCCTAATAAAAAATATAAAAATTCAAGTAGCTAACGTTTGAATTTACACTCCAAGAGCTCTTTTTTCTTTCAAAAAACTCCTACATTGCAAATATGCAAATAAACAAAGGAGGTAGCATTCCAGCAATAATTAGCCATAAATTATTTTCATATTCATACACAATTGATCCAGGAATATCCAAAATATGTAAACATTTTGGAAATTTTTGGAGAAGAATCAAATATTGTTGATGTTTTGAAAGAGTTCCATTGTGAAAACAACCAGCAACTAAAAATGGAAAACAATGAGCCAGAAAATTCATAAAATAATTGATTGATTTTGGAACTTTTAGTCTGGGTGATAAATCAGATGCAGCATCATTTCGAAATTGAAAACAACTGATAAGTGCTGGAAGTTCGAAACAGAAAAAGAAGAAATAAAATAGTGTGCTCAATTCTGGTGGGAAAAGATTGACTGTAATTGAAGATGAATCAAATCCGCCAAGCATTGGAAAATAATAATAACCTGGAGCAATAAGTGACATATACACTTCAACACACATTGTTGTTATAAGAAAATATAATTGACATAAACGATATTTTGATTTATTTATTTTTGAATGTTGAATTATCAAATATATTCCAAATCCATTTATTGCCATCGATAAAACTGCAATCGAATGGAGGATTACTGTATAATAAATTGGTGGAGATCTCGGACAAATTAGTTCCATTATTTTCAAATGAAATTTCTAGAACTTTGTAAAAACGTAAAATCCCACTGATTTCTTAAAATAAATTTCACCTGTTTGTTGAAGAAAATTTCACCTGTTTGTTGAAGAAAATTTCACCTGTTTGTTCGAGAAATCACATGAAATCGAAAAAATTAAAAAAAAAAGAAATAGAAAAGAAAAACCGTATTTTATTATAAGTGTTTGTGAAGCCGATTTCTTTATAATGCTTCCGAAAACATCTGAATCATGCAAAAATAAGTGTTTTTGTTTCAGAAGCTGCTGAGTTTTGATTGGAGTTTGGATGGCGATCGATTTGTGACCGGCTACAGTGATGGACGCGTTTGTCTCTGGTCCAATTCACAAGGTGCGCAGCATCGATTGAATCATACAAATGGACCAGTTAATGTTGTCAAAATCTGTCCGAATTCTGATTATATCATCACAGGCGGAAATGATAGATCCATAAATGTTTGGAATATGGATGGCACAATCAACACTTCATTCAAATCGCATGACGCGACCATCAATGATTTGGAATGGATATCTGGAGAAGAGTTCGCTTCTGGTGGCAATGATGAGAATATCCATATTTACAAAATCGGAGTTCCAGAACCAATTAGAATCATTTCTGGTCACAGTGGATCGATCTTGTCGATAAAATATGACCGAAACTCTAATCAGTTGGCCAGTTTGGCAGAAGATGAAACACTTCGAACCTGGTCAGTATTTGGCGCAACACAACGTTACGGATTCAAAATTGCACCACAATCCGCCTGCTTCTCCTGGAATCCGAAGGGATTTTTCTTGGCGTAGTTAGTTTATTCAATGGAATTTTATGGGTTAATTTTTTCTTTGACTTTTTTTCAGCGCTTCTCAACAAGCCGTCAAGTACTTTGACACAAACAGCGGAGATTTTGAGTGCGAATTGAAGGGACATCATGCTGTTGTTAGAAGCCTCGCGTTCTCTCCGGATGGTGCATTTTTGGCAACAGGCGATGCACGTGGAACGATTTTCGTTTGGTGTTTGAGGGTAAGTTTTTTTTGCGATTTATCTGCAAAAAATACATTGTTTTTCAGACTTTCGAAATTGTTGTCGGTTTTCAACGTGAAATCCAACCTGCTATTGGTGCGATCACCAAAATTGATTGGAACTTCGATGGCACAATCATCGCTGCGACAACTTCTACTGGCTTATCTATTCTCCTTGATGTCTCGAACTTTGTTGGAAACATGATGCTTCATTGATTCAATTCTCGTAGAAAATCAACCATCAATTCATATTTGTCAAATTTGCCAGCCGTGCTTATTCCATCAATTATCATACTTTTATCCATATGCTCCGATTCTTCTCAAAATTGCTTTTAGTTGTGAATTTTGTTGGATTGGATCGAAATTGTGAGCAATTAGTATTGTAGAATAACAGTGCTCAAACTCATTTGCATATTTATTTGTAGTCTTTTCTTCTTCCCGTTCCCCTGGCGACAAATTTCTTTTAGGTTCTCAAAATTCACCTTTTTTGTATAATTTGATTGTTCTTCCCCCAAGTTTCCCTGATGATTAGCGCTTTATTTTTGCAATATCTCAAAATAGTGTTTTGAGATTGAACCAGCTTATTATTATTATCAAATTTTTTGCTTCTTCCCCCAATTTCCCGTGCCATTTACAAAATATTTGGCGCTTTATTTTTGCAATATCTCGACGTATTGTTTTGTAGTTAGGCGCATTTTCATCCTCATTCCCATTCTTCTTTTCCATTTAATTCTCATTCGCCATCTTAAATTCAATTCTTTTTTTTTTCTGGTGAATTTTGACGGTTTTACATAAAGTGCGATTTTTTGAGCCAAGTTTTGAAAAAGTTTCAATTTTAGAGTTCAAAATTTGGAAAGATGTTTAAATTGAAGTTTTCTGTTTTTCTTTTTGCAATGATGTTTTTTCTTTAGAAAAAATTGATATGAAACAGAGATCGGGATTTTCATCAATTTGAATTTTGCTCTCTTAACCAGGTAATTTGACTAATCAACTATTGTTTCTCAAAAAAAAGCACAATGAAAAATCAAATGATTTTGCTGAATTTGTGAACTGTCTGCGTCTCTCTTTGTGATAGCATTTTTTACATCTATTTTTTAGAACTCGTCTTGTTTTTCTATTAACTTTAATGTTTTTCAATTATTTTATCAAGTTTGGTTTTCCAATCGACATAATTTTTACATTTTTGGATTATTCCAAATCTGTTACTTTTTATTTTGTAACTAATCGACTTACAATTTTTAAAAAAACTTATTGAATCTCTTTTTTTATTTGCATAATTATAGACATGACCGCCTCCAAACAGAAATTTCGGTTTGGAGACATGACTTTTTCTCAATAATTTCATTTTTGGATGAAATTCTGAATTTTCTTTTCTTGTTTTTTTTTTCTGAGAAGCTTTGATGATTGACTTATGACTATGCTAACAAGAGAGTAGAGTTATAATAAATCGTAAATTTTCTGCGCGCGAAAAAAAATGTGTTGAGGGATTTTTGTGGGAGGAAGCTTTTTTTTAATTAAAAAAAAATCAGATTTTTGGCTCATGCTCAGGACCACAAAATTTTTATTTTTGAAAAAAGAGCCCCTGCAAATATCACACAAACAATTGAATAAAAGCTTTGACTAAACAGCATCAAATCTAAAAAGTGCATATCCTCCTGTAATATTAGCATTCGGTTTTGCAAAATTTTTCTGCATGTTTCCTTGATCATTTGTGTCAAAAACCAACATTCCCTTCTCGTCAAAAATTGCATTTGTCACATTGCGTTTTGGCATTTTATCAGGAAAAATTCCATTTTTCAAATACATGTTGATAAATTGTTCTTTGTTGTATCTCACATAATCTATAATTGCATAAAATTCCGGATCAATAATTGTGTAGTTTTTTGCTTTCAAATGATCCCAGGCATTTGAAAGGAACTTTTCTGTTTCGGAATATGGATCTAAATTTGAAGACAGTGCAATAGCAAAGATTGAGAGAATAATGAAAGCAAAACGCATTTTTGGTGGGAAAATATTCTGATTGATATGGTTTTTATGGGCGAAAAATGATTTGATCAACGATTTTGGTTGCGAAATATTTTTGATCTACTTTTTACATAGAAAATTAGTTCCAATCAATATTTTTTTTTCGAAAAAACTCTTCAATTCATAAATACAAATAGTAAATTCAAACACGAACAATCAAAAGTTTGAAAAAATCAATCAATAAAATCGTAATCACAGAAAATAAGAGTGTTTTTTCCATGTTTAATTATTCCAGGTTCTGTTTCACCATGTCCAAACCATTTGTGCGATAATTCAATCAATTTAGCACAAACTGATTCTGGGCAAATCTTGAGATTCAGCAGTTTTGAAGAATCAGAAGGTCTCTGAAAAATGTTTATATAAAAAATAATTGAATTTTTAAAATTCGCAAAAAGCAGAAACCCAACAAACCTGAGTTTTCAGGAACAGTTCGATTCCCTCATAATCTTCCTCGTCAAAATCGCGTTCAATCTTATAACAACTATCAATATGTACGTGAGCGGCCATCTGAGTTTTTTCCAAAATTGTAGACATCATCGATTTTTTGTAAAATGGGATGTTTCCATTTAAGCCCAAATAAAGCATATCTCCTCTCTCTGAATTGAATTTGAGACTCTGCACAATTTTTTCGAGCTCCTCCAATGTCAGATTCACATCACTACAATAAAATCTTGCAAAGTTTTGCATATTTCGAAGTTTGCAGCAAAAATTCTCCAGGCGTCTTTCTCGAACAATTGGGTCGATAGTGTTTAAAATATGCGCGATTGTTAAATCTTGAACATTTTCCAAAAAATCTGTTAAATCCAAGGATGATTCGAGAATTGTTGAATTCTCATATGTTAACCAAATTGGTCGATACCAATTGAGTTGACGAATTCCGGTTATTGGAAAAACAGCAAAATCTTCTGGGGGGTATTTCACTGGATCGCGCTTGTATTTCGGAATGTAGTCATTCATAACTTCAATGTTGTTATTTTTTATTCCAAAGTGAAGAACGGGAATAACATTGGAGTCAACCAAACTGAAAAAAAAACATTTTTTTTATTTAAGGTTGAGCTTGGAAGTAAGTTTTCCTAAAATTCAGAACTTGTGTTAACTCTATAGGAATAAGAAGCTTTCAATTTTCCTTCTTTTTACTAACCTTTCTGTTCTATCAAGTGAGTCTAGAAATTCTTGAATTTGTTTTGAAACACTTCGCAATCTGACAATATCGATTGATTCCAAATAAGTGTAAATCTTCTCAAGGATTTCAAGCGGAATATCGGTTATTGTTGTCTGAAAAATCAGAAATGCAAATTTGATTCAAAATTATACAAAACTCACAGATGTTTTGTTTTCACAATCAGTAGTAGAAATATCCATTTTTGGTACTTCGATCTGAATTTCTGAAAAAAATGGTACGGTGGATGAGAGAGGATGAGAAATTGGAGACGCAGAGAAATAAAAACACATCTGGTTGACCTAACTCCGCCTTCTAAAATATGCATACTCACAAAAAAATAAACAAAAAAAAGCATTATCTATTTTCTACTAACTAAAAAGTAAAATAGTTATCCAACAAAAAAAAAGCGAAAAAAAAAATCAAATTTATTGATTTTTCTGTGGCGCCGTTCTTGGCGTCCTTCCCCCTTTTTTTCTTCGAGAAGTTTCTTTTTCCAATCGAAACTCGTTTCTTTTCTGACTACTGTAGCTCCTTTAGCACTAAATTTCATCACTTTTTTTTGGTCCTAAATTTTTCTATTTTTTTTCTAGATTTTTGCAGTATTCAGATATAATTTTTAATTAGATTTTTAAGGCCTACTTAAGGCCCCTTCTGACTACTGTAGTTCCTTTGATCAATTTTTCCTCTTGCTAAATTATTTTAATTCTTTCAGAATGGGAAATTTGGAGTACTGTATCTAGACTACAGTAATAAATATTTTTCAATGAAAAATTCATCAAGGTTGGTTTTCTCTATCGATTTTTAATTCGAAATATTATCCCTAAATTTTTCCAGATTGAAGTACTGTATTCAAATTACAGTATTCTTGTTGACCGATCGTTGAATCAGTTCATAAACATGAGGAAAAATGATTAAGGTTGGTTTTTTTTCATTAAAGAATACTGTAGGTACAGTAGTTCAGATTTTTCAACATCAAACTACTGTATCTAGATTACAGTAATCCGAACATTTTTCAGACTCCAATCAGCGTGGAAAATTAGGCGCATATATTGATTATTTTTAAAAATTTTCAAAAATTTTGTCAAGGTCAGTTTTGTAAAACAAATAAAATCTGTACTGTTAGTTCCAATTTTTGCAGATCAAACTACTGTATCTATACTACAGTACTCTGGATTATCAAAATTGAAAAAAATATTCAAAAGTGTGAGAAGTACCCAGTTCGAAAAATTGAAACAGAAATCTTTCAAAAATGAATTCAGGTTAATTTTTTTTCAATTTTCTATAATTTTGAAACTCAATTTTGAATTTTTTTTCAGAACTAGATTTTTTTCAGATCTTGAAAATTCCAATCAAAAATGACATGATGTAAAGGTACTGTATCTAAACTACAGTAATCATCCAATCAATGTTTATTGCACAACTTTTTGTTTGTGAGAAGTTCGGAAAAGATAAAACCAGTTTGGCAAAAGAAAAAATTACCAAAAATGGATTCAGGTTAGTTTTTTTGGAAACCGTTAATTTTTTGGATAACATTCATAAATTTTAATTTTTGCAGATCAAACAACTGTATTTAAACTACAGTACTCAATGGTCAATTGTGAAGTTCTCCGAAAAAGTTGTCCGCTGCTTGCCCAATTTTTTGAAATGAAATATTTTTAATCTACATACTTTGTACATGAGGAGCTATTTCGGAACTTCCGATCAATATTTTCTGAACTGGAAAAATGGGAAAAAATTTGGTGAGAAACTTGATTCATGACTTTTCAAACAAAAGAAAAGTTGAGAATCGTAAATTTTTTGCGCGCCAAACTTTGTGCACAAAAAATTTGTTGCTCATTTTATAGGAACTACACCTGGAACCTTAGGCACGAAAAATTTGGTATAAAATTTTTATAATCTTCATTTTAAAAATCCATAAAAATTTAGACAAAATCAAAAAAAAGTTCTTTAATTATCCACGGAGATAAAGAATGTTTTGTCCATGTTCAATCATTCCAGGTCTTGCTTCACCATGTCCAAACCATTTGTGCGATAATTCGATCAATTTTTCACAAACTGATTCTGGGCATGGCCCGACACTCAATTCTAACCTTTTTTCGGGATTGGGACTCTGAAAAAAAAAATCAAATTTGAATTTTTGAAATCCGCGCAATGCAGAATATCCCACTTTCTCACCCTAGCAAACCTGAATTTTCATGAACCATTCGATTCCCTCATAATCTTCCTCATCAAAATCTCGTTCAATATGACGATTGGTGCTAATACGTACTACACGGGCTATCTGTGTTTTATCCAATATAATTGACATCATCGATTTTTTGTAAAATGGTATATTTCCATTCAAAGTTATATTAATCACACCGGGATCAATCATATCGTCAGTTGGATTGAATCTAAAACTCTTCACAATTTTTTCGAGTTCCTCAAATGTCAGATTCTCATCACTACAATGAAATGTTGCCAAGCTTTGCATTTTTCGAAGTTTGACGCAAATATTCTTCAGTCGATTTTTTCGAACAATCGGGTCGGTAGAATGTATGATATCGACGAGTGCTAAATCTTGAACATCTTCCAAAAAATCTTTTAAATTCAAAGAGGATTCGAGAATTGTTGAATCCTCATAGTGTAGCCAGATTGGTCGATACCAATTGAGTTGACGAAGTCCGGTGATTGGAAAAAAATTGAGGATTTCTGGAGGGTATTTCTCTGGATCGTCCACGTATCTCGGGATTTCTTTATTCTTAATTTCAATGTTGTTGTTTTTTATGGCAAAGTGAAGAACGGAATTAAGTTCGGAGTTATTCAAACTGAAAAAAAAAACAACATTTTTTAAAATTAAATGTGGAGCTTGGAAGTTTTCCTGAAATTCAGAGACCAATTTCAAATTCAAAAAATTGATCACTGACCTTTCTGTTTGATCAATCATGTCTAGATTTTCTTGAATCGATTTTGAAACACTTCGCAATCTGACAATATCGATTGATTCCAAATATTTTTGAATCTTTTCAAGTACATCAATCGGAACATCGCTTAGTGTTGGCTGAAAAATCATACATAGAAAAAATTGATTCACAATCTGAAATGAAAAAAAACTCACAGAATTTTCGTTTTCGGGAGTAGGCATGTTTTTGGTGCACAAAAGTTAATAAAATAAAATGGTGGTGTGGCGTGGGGTGATAGATAGAGAGAGAGAGAGAGTTTAGAGACGCAGAGAAAGTGTTTTCTGGGAAATTACAATGAGCGAAAGGGCCTTGTCTTTTGGTAGATCAAATTTTTGACAAGAATATTGGAAGAATTTGCAGTACTGTAGACCACGATTATTGATTTTTTTTTCATGAACTATATTTGATTTTGAAAAAAAATCTTTATTTAACAAAGTTAAAATAATTTGGACAATAAATTCAAATAAGGTTATTCAAGTAAAAAAAAACTTTATATAATTTCAAAAATTGTCTACCTACGGAAATTTACAGTGTTTTGTCCATTTTTAATAACTCCAGGCCTTGTTTCACCATGTCCAAACCATTTGTGTGATAATTCAACCAATTTATCACAAACTGATTTTGGGCAAACAAAATTCAGTTTTCTTTTGGAACCAGGGATCTGAAAACAAAAAAATGTGGCAAGTTTGAATTCTTGAAATTCGCCAGCAAAAAAAAAACCAATTTTTAAAAAATCACAACAAACCTCAGTTTTCATAAACAATTCGATTCCCTCATATTCATCCTCGTCAAAATCGCGTTCAATCTCATGACTACTATCAATACATACATCACAGCCCATTCGAATATTCTTCAAAAGTTGAGACATTATCGATTTTTTGTAAAACGGAATATTTCCATTTAAAGTCAACCAAATCGGATCATCTTCAATTGGATTGAACCTGAGATTCTGAACAATTTTTTGAGCTCTTTTTCTGTCAGATTCTCATCACCACAATAGAAGGTTCCCATATTTTGCATATTTCGAAGCTTGACGCAAAAATTCTCCAATCTTTTTTTTCGAACAATTGGATCGGTTGTGTTTATGATGTTGATGATCAATAAATCTTGAACATCTTCCAAAAAATCTGTTAAATCCAAGGATGATTCGAGAATTGTTGAATTCTCATAGTGTAGCCAGATTGGTCGATACCAATTGAGTTGACGAATTCCGGTGATTGGAAAAAATTGAAGATCTTCTGGAGGGTATTTCACTGGATTGTTCTGGTATTTCGGGATTGCTTCATTATGAATTTCAATGTCGTTATCTCTTATTGCAAAGTGAAGAACGTGACTAATATCGGAGCCCATCAAACTGAAAAAAAAAACAACAATATTTTTTAAAATTAAATGTGGAGCTTGGAAATAATTTTTTAACTGACCTTTCTGTTTGATCAATCATGTCTAGATTTTCTTGAATCGATTTCGAAACACTTCGCAATCTGACAATATCAATTGATTCCAAATATGTTTGAATCTTCTCAACTACATCAATCGGAACATCAGATAGTGTTGGCTGAAATTTTTTTTTTCAATTCATAATTAAAATTGAACTTACAGAATGTTCGTTTTCACAATCAATGGTAGAAATATCCATGTCAGACATGTTTTTTTTGGTGCGCAAAACTCAAAAACAAAAATAAATGGTGGTGTGGCGTGGGGTGAGAGAGAGAGAGAGATTGGAGACGCAGAGAAATATTGCAGGTGTTTTTTGGGAGAGCACAATAAGCAAAAAGGGGCCTTGTCTTTTGCCAAAAACTAGATGATGATGATAAAAATCTACAGTACTATCTACAGTACACGGCGCAAATATTAGAGGAAAATGCAGTACTGTAGACCACGATTATTGATTTATTTTCATGAACTATATTTGATTTTGAAAAAAAACCTTTATTTAATAAAGTTCAAATAATTTGGACAATAAATTCAAATAAAACAATTCGAGTAGAAAAAAAAACAAAAATGTTTTTTTTTATTTCAAAAATTTAATTACCTTTCGAAAGTAAGAGTGTTTTGTCCATGTTCAATTATTCCAGGTTCTGTTTCACCATGTCCAAACCATTTGTGCGATAATTCAATCAATTTATCACAAATTGATTCTGGACATGTTCCGAGACTCAATTCTAAGCGTTTTTCGGGATCGGGACTCTGAAAATGTATCAAATTTGAAATTTTGAAATCCGGAAGATCCCACTTTCTCAATTTAAAAACCATAACAAACCTGAATTTTCATGAACCATTCGATTCCCTCATAATCTTCCTCATCAAAATCGCGTTCAATATCACTATTGGTACCAACACGTACTAAAAGGGCCATCTTTGTTTTAGCCAATATAAGTGACAATATCGATTTTTTGTAAAATGGTATATTTCCATTAAAAGTTATATAAATCATATCGGAATCAATCATAACGTCACTTGGAACGAGTCTGAAACTCTTAATAATTTTTTCGAGTTCCTCAAATGTCAGATTCTCATCACCACAATGAAAGCTTGACAAGTTGATCATTTTTCGAAGATTGGCGCAAAAATTCTTCAGTCGTTTTTTTCGAACAATCGGATCTGTAGAATGTAGGATATTAACGATGGCTAAATCTTGAACATCTTCTAAAAAATCTTCCAAATCCAAGGATGATTCGAGAATTGTTGAATACGCATATGTTAACCACATTGGTCGATACCAATTGAGTTGGCGAATTCCGGTGATTGGAAAAACAGCAAGAGATTCTGGCGGGTATTTCACTGGATCGCTCATGTATCTCGGGATTTCTTTATTGCTAATGTGAATGTTGTTTTTTTCTATTTTTAAGTAAACAACGGAATTAATTTCGGAGTACAACAAACTGAAAAAAATGTTTTTTATGGAATGGAGATACCCATTTGATTTAGGATTTTTTTGCCTCCAAACAAGACCAAAATATATTTGAGAGAAGATACTGTGTGAGTGAAAGAGACGCAGACACAAACAGTGTGTGACAAGCAGGGAATGTCTGCGTCTCTTTCTCCTTCACTGTATTGCAAATTTTTTCCAACTACAGTAGTTCTTGGGCTAAACTTTTTGGGAAACAAGATAATTTTTGATACATTTTTCGCAATTTCACTGTTTTTCCCATAAGGCAATCAAATTTGCTCTATTGCACAAAACATTTAGTTGTGTGTACTTCTCGCGGAATTCACTATGTTTAGGTTTGTTTATAGCGCAAAAACGGGTCCTTTGGACCAATTTGAAATCCAGACTGACCTTTCTGTTTGATCAAGCGAGTCTAGATTTTCTTGAATTTGTTTCGAAACACCTCGCAATCTGACAATATCAATTGATTCCAAATATGTTTGAATCTTCTCAAGGATTTCGATCGGAACATCAGATAGTGATGTCTGAAAATCCGAATTTTTTTAAAATTCATAATTAAAATTGAACTTACAGAATGCTCGTTTTCACAATCAATAGTAGAAATATCCATGTCAGACATGTTTTTTTTGGTGCGCAAAAATTAGAAAACAAAAAAAAATAAATGGTGGTGTGGCGTGGGGTGAGAGAGAGAGAGAGATTGGAGACGCAGAGAAATATTGCAGGTGTGGTTTTGGGAGAGCACAATGAGCAAATTTAAGGATTTTTTTTATGAACAACATTTATGAAACGTCTATTGAACAAGTTCAAATTTGAAAAGTGTATATCCCCCTCTGATATTTGCATTTGGTTTAGCAGTATTTCTCATAACAAGTTCTGTCTGTATATCAAAAACCAGCATTCCTTTCGCGTCGAAAATCGCATGTGTCACATTGAGTTCTGGCACTTTATCAGGATATTGCTCGTGAATCTCAAACGTTTTGATATAGTTTTCTTTGTTGTAGATTGTACCATTGATGTTTACAACGAGTTCCGGATCAATAATTGTGTAGTTTTTCGCTTTCAAATGCTCCCAGGCAATTGGAATGAACCTTTTCGCCTCGGAATATGGATCTAATTTTGAAGATAGTGCGATAGCAAATGTTGAGAGGACAATGAAAGCAAAACGCATTTTTGTTTGAAAAATATTCTGATTGATATGGTTTTTATGAGCGAAAAATGTTTTGATTTGATCAGAAAATTTTGGTTCCTCTTACATTAATTCCTAACACCTAATCTTTTGGAAATTTGATATATTGAAAAAAATGTCTCTAATTCTCTGATGTCTCCTCTCTTCTCACACTATTTCTCCATTGTTTCACAGCTGCAAAGACATGGAAAAAGGGGAAGAAAATTATTTTTGAAAAAATAGGATTGCGAAATCGAAGAATTTTGGCTCTCTTTGGAAATGAGAGATTTTTCAGAAGAAAAAAATTTAATTTTCTAGGCATATAACTAGAGATAACTAAATTTCAAGAAGTTCAAATTTCGAAAAAATAATTTCCAGAATTTCCAATAAAATTTTTCTATTTTACAATCACAATGAGTTAAAATGAAAATGCAGCAAAAAATTTGAAATTTCTAAAAAATAAAATTTCAGCCAAAAAATTCAGAAGCTTTTTCAAGGACTCACGCTTTCAAACCTTGTATGACAAGTAGCCGCGCCTTGAGATCTTCTATAACAAGTAGCCGCGGCTATAGACCAATGTGATAAGGAGCCACACCTTGAGAACTTCTATAACAAGGTGCCGAGCCTAGAGACTAATCTGGCGAGCAATACCGCTCACATGCCTATTATTTTTGAGTATAGACAACGTGAAATTGAGAGAGTGCAGACAGAAAGATTTTTGTACAAAAAATTAATTTTTCTGTCTGCACTCTCATTTCACATTGTCTCTACTCAAAAAATAATAAACTGTACATTTTGTTTTTCGACTTTTTTATCGGAAAAATTATGATTTTTTAAATTTTTTATTACCAAATAGTAATCTGAATAGGTCCATAATTATTTTTTTTCAAATTTGTCTGTAATTTTCAAGCTTCTCATACTTGGGTTCTTGTATATTTCTAAACTAAAATTGATTTTCCAAAAAAAAAATCTCCCCATAAAAATTATTCATCAACAAATCCAAGTAACACAGGGAAAACATTGGACACCAGGACCACCATAAGAACAGTCAAGACTATCATTATAATCATCATCTTTAACATCTGACACAGTTTCAGCATTTTTTGATCCCAAAATTGGTTTGGCAGAATTTTGAAGACATAAAATCGTGAGAATGAGAATAGGGAAGAATTTCATTTTATTGAATTTTTGAATTCCAAGTCTACATTTTATTTTTATATACAAAAAAAATTTGAGTGGGCTGGATTCTTGTGACATAAAAGTATCAATTACAGAAATGTTTATGAAACTTTTCAGGCTGACAAAAAATTAAATTTTAAATTTTTTCTGAAAAAAAATTTGGAGATCAATTCACAGAAATGGAAGGGGAAGAAGAAGATATGTGATCTGGAAATTATCGATTTTTTTCGGAATTTCAAAATGAACTTACTTTTTCACACAGTTTAGATATTTTATTGATTTTTACGCGGTTCAGCTTCACCTTCAGTGGGATCCTGAAAAAATTCAAAATTTTCAAAAAATTTTCTCACCGAAAAAAAAACTCACAGTTTGAACAGAATTGTTGACGAAAGTCGGTGGGACCTAAAAAGCAACAAAAAAATTTTGAAAAAAAAAAAAAATTTTGAAACTCACCGGGTTCCGCGGAGCTCTAGGTGGTGGAGTGTAGTAATCTTGAATTGGTCTGGGCTCAGCTAGAGCCAGGTTTACTGAAATTCTTGGGAGCATTGGTTGTGGTGGTGGCTGAAAATGGGAATTTTTAGAGAGGCTAGAGAGCCTAGAGAGGCTAGAGAGCCTAGAGAGGCTAGAGAGGCTAGAGAGGCTAGAGAGTCTAGAGAGCCTAGAGAGCCTAGACAGGCTAGACAGGCTAGAGAGCCTATCAAAGTTCAAAAAAACTTACTCGATAAAATCGATCCCTTCCAGTTGAAGATAAATGTCTCATAAAATCGGCATTTCCTGGGCGAGAATCTATATCAATCTGAAAAATCCGATTTTTGTTGTCCAAAATCTGAAAAAAAAAACTCACAATTTCTGGATTATCATATGGAGTCACATCTCTGGGAGCATTTCGGAAATACTGAAAGAAAAAAAGTTGGCGCTATGAGAACCTGCACATCTAACTTACCGGATATCGGACAGGTTCAGGATTCGGCGTTCTTCTTATTCGTGGATCTCTTGGAGTTGGTCGAAATGGCGATGGTGTTACTTCGAGTGGAACAATACGATCTTCTCGAATAGGGGGTTCAGGAATATACTGGAAAAAATTTTATTTGTCTGGGCTCTCTTCATTTTATCTTGTCTCTAATTTATTAGAAAATCATTATGATTAGAGACAATGAGAAGTTGAGAGAGTCTAGACAAAAATTAAAATTCTGTTTTTCTCTAGACTCTCTCAATTTTCTGTTGTCTCTAATCAAAATATTATTTTTATTGATTTCTTGAAAAATTGAGAGAAACAAAAATTTTGTTAGGAAATTAGGAAATTTTTTTGTCTGGGCTCTCTTCATTTCATATTGTCTCTAATTTATCAATATTTCCTTATGCAGAATTTTTTTGATTAGAGACAGCGTGAAATTGAGAGAGTCTAGACAAAAATTAAAATTCTGTTTTTCTCTAGACTCTCTCGATTTTTGTTGTCTCTAATCAAAATATTATTATGAGCAGATTTGTCGAAATTTTTCAATTAACAAACAAAATTAAAATTTTCTCGGGGGAAAAAATTTTTTTTATTGATTTTTGCGCAGAAGATTTAGAAAAGAAAATTTAGATTTTCGAATTCCGAAATTCAGTAAATTTCTCGGCTTATAAAAAACCCTCAAGGCGTGGCGCCTTGACACATAAAAAGCCCTCAAGGCGTGGCTCCTTGATTTTTTTTCATGAAGCCCCAAACTCCCCCCATGAAAACTCACTTCATTTTCCTCTCTAACCGGCCAATCGATAATCTCAAAATCCGAAAGTGAGCTCGCTTCGGAACTTGAATTCACAGACATTTCCCGGGTTCTGAAAAAAATCAATATTTTTAAATTGAATTATTTCGATTTTCTGAAAAATACACAAAACAAAATCAAAAATATTTTTTTATCGAAAAAAAAGACGCCACAAAAAATGAGCCTCCCAAAATATGCCAGCCTTTAGAATGCCCTGCGCATTTCTTGTTGGGCGAGAGATAGTGAGAGAGGAGGAGGGGTTAGAGAAAGAGAGGAAAAATGTGTTTTTTTTTTTTTTTGGTTGTCGGGGTTTTGAGAGAATATATGGGGATTAGATTAAAATTTTATGAATTCAAGATTTTTTATCAGAATTTTTTCATTGAAAAGTACATTTTGAATTTTAAATTGAAAATTTTATTGAAATTTTTTGAAAATCAAAAAATCATTTTTTTTGTCTCTTCTAATTAAAAAAATCTATGAGACAGAAAAAAATTATTTTTAATTAATGAAAATTTTTTAATTAAAAAACCAGGTCTACATAAATAAACTTATGATTTTCAAAAATTCCACAAAACCTGAAAAATTTGCTGTTCCTTGTAATTCTTGCTATTTTTCTAAAGGCTAATCAAGTATTTTCAAGAATTTATTCTGATATTGTTCTGGCTCCAATTCTAACTGATACTCCAATAGAATTTCCTGATTTCAATTTTTCTAATTGGCGGGAATTAATTTGTTGGTAGATAAAAATTGTTGTATTATTTTTAATGGGTAAATAAATGTTTTCCAGATGTTTTTTTCAAAAAATTAGAATTTTCTTCACAAAAAATGTGATGTCAAACTTGAATAAAATCTATTGTTTCATTCAAAATTCCAATATCATATGATTTTGTTTCGAAAAACGAAATTAAATTTTTTGTTCAATATAACAATAGATTCTTTTCAAAAATTCCAAAAAACGTTCAAATCTACAGTATATAAACAAACTTAAAATATTTCTTTTTCAAAATCATTCATCAAAATGAAATTCTTCACTATTCTCGTTCTTGCGGTTTTGTGCCTTCAAGCTTCTGCAAAAGTGATTCCTTCGATTCCAGAAGCTACTGACATTTCACAAGTATTGTCGGGGCCACAAATTGAAGATAATGTGCCAGAAGATATTTTGGCTGTGGAGAATGTTGCTAACATGTTCATACCTTGTACTGTGAGGATCTTTGGAACATGTGTTATTCCATGAGGATAATTCGTTGTGTTAATCGCAATAAATGATTTTATTTCATGTTTGCCTGTTCAGAAGTGTTTTCCAGAAAAAATATCTCGAAAAATGAATCCAAAAGTTCCAGAAGTTCAAATTCAGAAACCGAAAATTGATAATTTTCTTTTTTGTCTCTGAAGTTGCTTCTAATCTAGATCCATACGAAGAAACAATCAAGTTCCGTTTGAATATCTGGGATCATGTGAAGAACAAAAATTTCTCAATGCGAATTTTTTTTGAATTCTAAACAATGTGGCTCATAATAAAGAGCACGTTATAAAACAGCTTTTGGAAAGAGGACTTCCTGATGAAATGGAAGAATGGAATGTGACGAATGCAATGTTCGATGTGAATGGGTTTCTAATAATTGATGAATTTACACATGGACATCCAATTAAAATGATTGCAAAACGGAATAATAGTGTTAAAGGTGGTTTTACTCTATTAAGATATGATGATTTATATTAAAAATTAATTTTGATCAATAAAATGATTTTTATTTTATGAAACTTTTTTGTAACTTTTGGAGTTTGACTAGAAATTAAAAATATTTCTTATTGAAAAAAAAACGCCAGAAAATATGTCAGCCTTTAGAATGCCCTGCGCATTTCTGGTTGGGCGAGAGATAGTGAGAGAAGAGGAGGGGTTAGAGAAAGAGAGAAAGAAAATGTGTTTTTTTCTTTTGGTTTTGCGGGATTTTGAGAATATATAGGGATTAGATTAAAAGTTTTGATTTTGTGTGGGAAAATCGACAGAAATTATTTAACTAAAAATTCTTCTTCTTGAAATTTTTCTCTCAAAAAATCAGAATTTTCAGAAACATTTCTCTAAATATTTCAGAAAAAATGCGATGTCAAACTTGAATAGAATCTATTGTTTCATTCAAAATTCCAAAATCATATGATTTTGTTTCGAAGAACAAAATTAAATGTTTTGTTCAATATAACAATAGATTCTTTTCAAAAATTCCAAGGAACGTTCAAAACTACAATATATAAACAAACTTCAAATGTTTCTAGTTCAAAATCATTCATCAAAATGAAATTCTTCACTATTCTCGTTCTTGCGGTTTTGTGTCTTCAAGCTTCTGCAAAAGTGATTCCTTCGATTCCAGAAGCTACTGACATTTCACAAGTATTGTCGGGACCACAAATTGCAGATAATGTGCCAGAAGATGTTTTGGCTGTGGGAAATGTTGCTAACATGATCAGATCTTGTACGGTGGAGATCTTTGGAAAGTGTGTTATTCCCTGATTCTGAAAGTAATTCGTTGTGTTAATCGCAATAAATGATTTTATTTCATGTTTGCCTGTTCAGAAGTGTTTTCCAGAAAAAATATCTCGAAATATGAATCCAAAAATTCCAGAAGTTCAAATTCAGAAACCGTATTTGAATTTTCTCCAGAAATCTATAAAACAACTTTGACCCTGCTGAAAAACGCTGTGAAATCAAAACTCAAAAAACATTGTATCTAAAACTAATTACAGTACTCCAAAATCAGTAAGGTTACCTTGTTTCCCACCCCCAAAACATAGGGGTAATTAAGAAAATGTGCTCTACCGTATTTTTCGCAAATCTTCAGTTATGATTCGAATGAAAAAATCAATAAAAGATCAAGATCAAACTACAGAATCGGAAACACCAAACTACGAAATAATTGAACTACAAAAATCATTTGAAACGGAAGAATTGCGATTTTCAGATATTTTGAAACGCTCTGAAATCTTTGAAGAAAATCATGAAAGTCCTGTTGAAATTACATTGATGATGGAAACATTTGAGAATTCTTTGGAGAAAGTTCCGAAATTTGATTTCAAGGAAAAATCTGGATCTCCAAAATCTGATGTGATTTTGAACATCGATGGTGTCAAATTGTATGCGAATAAAATATTGTTGGCGATTCATTCAAAAGTTTTTGATAGTATGTTTTACTCAGAATTTGTGGAGAAAAATCAAACGGAAATTATTTTGGAAGATGATGATCCTGAAGATTTCATAGAAATTTTGAAGTTAATTTATCCATCTGCGGGTTCAACAATTATACAAGAGTCAAATGTTGAAGGAATTTATAAATTGGCTGACAAATATTTCATGACTCATGTTATGTTTCAATGCGAACATTTTATGGAGACATCCAAAGATTATTCTGTTAGAGATTGGTTGGTTGCGGAAAAATATGATGTTCCAGAATTGATGGTAAGATTTTCAGCTGAGACAAGAAGAAAATCAATAATTTGACATTTTTCAGAAGAAATCAAAACCAACGTTCGTGCGACAGTTAGCGGAATCAATTGATTTTTAATGAATCGAAAAAAAAATTTCAAAACCTCATGATCTCTCTGATCTCTAATTTTCTGCGCTCTCTCAATTTCACATTGTCTCTACTCAAGAATAATAAACTGTATATTTTTTTTCGACGGTAACAAAATATTATTTTGCAAAATTTCAGAAAACTCTAGGCGCGGCTACTTGCTGTGAGGGTTACTACTCGCCAGATTGGTCTCAAGGCGCGGCTCCTTGCCACATTGGTCTCTAGGCGCGGCTACTTGTCATACAAGGTCTCAAGGCGTGACTCCTTCCAAAATGCTTTTGAATTTGAATGGAAATATCCCTAATTTTTCCAATTTTTGTTTGTATTTGAGTTTACTGTCCAATAAATTATGCATTTATGAAATAATAATTATTTTGATAAAAATTTAAAAAAAATGAACCCATAAAGTCGATTTTGCATTCACTGGCAAAGAGAGTTACCGTGACTTGGAATATCTGAAATTTTTTGAATTTTTTTCGTTGTTACATTTTTTTTTGAAAATATGAATATGAGAAAAAACACTTACTTTGTCCACTCATGTCGAGAACATTGCACGACTGCAATTGGTTGCTGGAAATGGGTATTGTGATTGGGGTTTTGTCTGAAAATAGGTTTGTTTTCAGCTTTCTTTAGAAATCGTGAAAATAACTTCGCATTTTTAATCTTCTCTCCATATTCAAAAAACCCACGTGAACTTGTTTCTTGAATCAAGTGAAACAACACATTGTAATTAATTTTCTGTCTGAAAATAGGTTGGTTTCAGTTTTTTTTAGAAATCGTCACAATAAAAAAAACCCACAGGCTAATGTTATCCGCGTTGTTTGAATGGCTCTGTAAAATTATTTTTATTTTTTGATTTTTTTTTAAATTTCTGATTATCATCGTGAAACTACTTTATTTTTCAGAAACTAGTGAATTTTAAAAAATAAAACCAACCTCGAAATATTTTTTTCGACAAAAGTACTGTAGTCTAGATACAGTAATTCGATCTGCAAAATTGAATTTTTTTGTATTTCTATGAAATTACGTGAAAAGCGAAAAAAAAAAAGAATTCAGTGAAAAAAATTATTCACATTGATTTTATATAAAACATTCATACAATGATGTTTTGTTGTGATTACACATATTTTTCAAATATTTTTTGAAATGAATCATTTTTGCAAAATATGTTTTCAAAGTGCTGAAATTTCACACCAAATTTTATGCGCTAAAAATTTCACGTAAAGTGCACCAAAATGTTTTTGCGATTCGGAAGATCAAAAATATTTTTTATTTCAAAAAATTGGTTAAAAAACAGTTTGAAAGATAAAAAACAATAAAGTTGAGCTCTTTTATTTTGTTGTGTCAACAACAGTTTATATTAAACTTTTATTGAATCTGATGCGTTGTAATCGTACAGTTGAATTCAAATTAATTGAGAAAATTGATAAATAATCAACATTATGTGACTTCTAGTTGCGGCTACTTGCGGTGATGGGTCTGTGAACGTGACTGCTAGCCAGAAAGAAAAAAAGTAGGATTATCCCTGGCAATAGGACAAGGAGCGCCCTTTGCTTATTGTGCTCTCCCACCTGAAATATTTCTTTCATTCCGAAATACGATCGCGATCCAGTCAAATACCCTCCAGACGATCTTGCTGTTTTTCCAATCACCGGAATTCGTCAACTCAATTGGTATCGACCAATTTGGTTAACATATGAGAATTCAATAATTCTCGAATCATCCTTGGATTTGACTGAATTTTTGGAAAACGTCAATGATTTAACGATCAAAAATATCCTAAACTCTACCGACCCAATTGTTCGAGAAAGAAGGTTGGAGAATTTTTTGCGTCAAACTTCGAAATATGCAAAATATAATAAACTTCTATTGCGGTGATGAAAATCTGACAGAGGAAGAGCTCGAAAAAATTGTTCAGAGTCTCAATTTCAATTCAGAGAAAGCAGATGTTATATGTTTGACTTTGAATGGAAATGTTCCATTTTACAAAAAATCAATAATGTCAACTATATTGGAAAAAACTCAAATGGCCCGTATAGTTTATATTGATGGCAATTATTATGATGAACGTGATTTCGATGAGGCTGATTATGAGGGAATTGAACTATTCTTGAAAGCTGGGGTTTGTAATAATTTCAAATTTGAAACATTTTTCTATACATTTTTTTTGCAGAGCTCTAATCCTAGAAGAAGGATAAGATTGAGTCTCGAAACATCTCGAGATTTTTGTGATAAATTGGTTGAATTATCGCACAAATGGTTTGGACATGGTGAAACAAGTCCTTATGCTATTCGAAATGGAGAAAACATTCTAATTTTCCGGGAGTATATTTATTGATTATTTTTTTTCAAAATTTTGTTTGTTTGTGTTTGAGTTTACTGTCAGAATTATTATTTTTTATAAAACTTTTACAACAAAATTTGGTATATCCCAAGGTCTATAATTGATTGCCAGAGTGTCAAAACATGGTTTCTAACCTGAAAATGCAAAATGTCAAAAATAAAAGTTGTTAGAAAAACGGGTTACGCTGTTTTCGAACTTGAAGATATTTTTCGCGTTGTTTGAAAAGCAACTGAAATTCTGAGATATGAAATTCCAAGTGATAGATTGGTTCTGTAAAATTCATTTTATTTAAATTACAAATGAGCTCATGTCAGAAAAATACAAATTTGAGCTTTTTTTAAGAATATTATTTCTGCCTTTAAAAAGTATCAGGAAACAATTTTGATCTTAAAGAATACTGTAATCTACATAGAAACCTATATATTTTTATCTATATATTTCAGAAACTAGTGAACTTTGAAAAATAAAAAACCAACCTCGAAGTATTTGTGATAAAAGTACTGTAGTTTAGATACAGTAATTCGATCTGCAAAATTGAAATTTTTTTGTATTTTTTTTAAATGAAATTATGTGAGAAGCGAAAAAGAAAAAATTCACATTGATTTTATAAAAAACATTCATACAATTATGTTTTGTTGTGATTACACATATTTTTCAAATATTTTTTTGAGATGAATCATTTTTGCAAAATATTTTTTCAAATTGCTAAAATTTCACACTAAATTTAATTCACCAAAAATTTCACGTAAAGTCCCCGAGCAACAAATTTTTTGTCCACCAAAATTTTTCCCATTTTTTCGAGTTCAAAATTATTGATCGGAGGTTCCGATTCGAATTATGTACAAATTAGATCAAAAATATTTTATTTCAAAAAATTCCATTTGTGGTAGACAACTTTTTATTGAGTACTGTAGTGTAGATACAGTAATTCGATCTGCAAAAACTGAATTTTTTGAATTTCAATTATTTTGTTTGAAAAACTGACCATGATGAAGATTCAGCCTGGGAAAAACACATAAAGTGTGGCGTTGAATTTCTTTTCACAATTTCCTTCATGGATCCCTGCCTAATTTCGCTTGTGAAAAATGTGATGTGAAAAATGTGATTACTGTAGTTTAAATACAGTACTTCTACATCAAGTTTCTTTTGATTGAAATCTTTGAGATCTGAATAATATAGTTTTGAAATGAAAAAATTTGGAGAAAACTCAAAATTTCGGGTTACCTTTCGCGAAAAATTCGGTAAAATATTGATAAGATGTTTATTTTTGCTTTTCTGCGATGATACTGAAAAAAAACTTTGTTCTGATCAAAAATTCAATATAAAAAAAATTGAAAAAAACTCACATGACAGAATCGTCTTTGAAAGGTAGATTTGTTATTTGTTTGATATATGATTACTGTAGTGTAGATACAGTACTCCAAATATCCTTCATTCTGAAAAAAACATAGAAAAATTTAGGAACAGAAGAAATATGAGGAATAAGAGTGCTAAAGGAGCTACAGTAGTCAGAAAACGGGTGTCGATTGGAAAAAGAAACTTCTCGAAGAAAAAAAGGGGGAAGGACGCCAAGAACGGCGCCCCAGAAAAATCAATAAATTCGATTTTTTTCTATTTTTTTGTTGGATGGACTATTTTACTTTTTAGTTAGCAGAAAATGATTTTTTTGTGAGTATGCATATTTTAGAAGGTGGAGTTAGGTCAACCAGATGTGTTTTTCTTTTTTTTTTTTTTCGCCATTTTTTAGCCCTAAAGACAATATTTCTCCTTGTCTCCAATTTCTCACCCTCTCTCATCCTCTCTCACCCCACGTACCATTTTTTTTTCAGAAATTCAGATTGGAGTACCAAAAAATGTCTGAAATGGATATTTCTACAATTGATTGTGAGAACAAAAAAACTGTCAGTTTTATTTTATTTTGAATCAAAAAAAAAATTCAGATTTTTCAGACAACAATAACCGATATTCCGCTTGAAATCCTTGAGAAAATTTACACATATTTGGAATCAATCGATATTGTCAGATTTCGAAGTGTTTCGAAACAAATTCAAGAATTTCTAGACTCCCTTGATAAAACAGAAAGGTCAGTAAACAAATCTTCTTATTCCTATCGAGTTAGAAAAAGTTCTGAATTTCAGGAAAACTTATTTTCAACCTTCAATAAAAAAATGTGTTTTTTTTTCAGTTTGAATGACTCCAATGTTATTTCCGTTGGTCTATTTGGTATAAAAAATAACAACATTGAAGTTATGAATGACTACATTCCGAAATACAAGCGCGATCCAGTGAAATACCCTCCAAAAGCTTTTGCCATTTTTCCAATCACCGGAATTCGTCAACTCAATTGGTATCGACCAATTTGGTTAACATATGAGAATTCAACAATTCTCGAATCATCCTTGGATTTAACAGATTTTTTGGAAAATGTTCAATTATTAACGATCAACAATATCCTAAACACCACCGACCCAATTGTTCGAGAAAGAAGATTGGAGAATTTTTGCGTCAAACTTCAAAATATGCTAAATATGGGAACCTTCTATTGCGATGATGAGAATCTGACAGAGGAAGAGCTCGTTAAAATTATTCAGAGTCTCAAATACAATCCAACTTTCAATTGGCGTGGTCCCGATTCGATCTGGTTGACTTTGAATGGAAATATCCCATTTTACAAAAAATCGATATTGTCAACAATTTTGCATAAGACACAAAAATTCGGTTATGTATACATTGATAGTGATCATGCGATTGATCGAGATTTTGACGAGGCTGATTATGAGGGAATCGAAATGTTCTTGAAAACTAAGGTTTGTTGGGTTTGCGAATTTTAAAATTCAACTATTTTTTTAATACATTTTTTCAGAGACCTGGTTCTGATTGTACAAAAGTGCTGAATCTCAAGATGTGCCCAGAATCAGTTTGTGATAAATTGATTGAATTATCACACAAATGGTTTGGACATGGTGAAACAGAACCTGGAATAATTAAAAATGGACAAAACACTCTAATTTTCTGTGATAACGATGATTGATTGAATTTTTAAAAATTTTTATTGTTTGTGTTTGAATTTATCTATGCATTTAAAAAATAAAAATTTTTTTGATAAAAGTTAAAAAAATGAACCCACGAGAGTTGATTTAGCTTCAAATGGCAAAGAGAGAGTCACAGTTACCGGGACTTGGAAGCTCTAAATTTTTTAAAATTTTTCTGTTATTACATTTTTTTTCAACTTTGAAAAAATGAGTATGAGAAAAAAACGCTTACACTGTCAATTGAGTTTCTCGATTCTCAACTTTTCTTTTGTTTGAAAAGTCATAAATCAATCAACAAAGTTTGTCACCAAATTTTTCCCATTTTTTTGAGTTCAAAAAATTGTGTACTTTTCCGCACATTTTGGTTTTGTCACTCAAAACAAAACTGGCGCGCTATTTTAGCGGCGGTGCGCGTGCATTTCCCGCGTGTGGATAAGTATTTCTCGCGTGTGGTGTGGTCGCCATGTAAAATAAATATAATTTAATATTTATTAGAATGATGATAGAATGATAGTTGGAGAATGACTTATATACTGGTTATAACAAAACAAAATCATATTAAAACAAAACATTATTGTCATGAATATGTCACATGATATTAAAAAGGCAGATTACTGTAGTGTAGATACTGTATTCTTTCCAGTTTTATGAACTTTCTATATTCTGAAAAAATGTAAATTTATAATAAGAAAACAAAAAAAAGAACCTGAAAAACTCAAAAAAAAATATAGAAAACCTTAGGAGCAGAGAAATTGTGAGAAGATTGGATGCTAAAATAGCTACAGTAGTCAGAAAGAAATAAACGGGTGTCGATTGAAAAAAATAAAAAAGTAAACAAAAAAAAGAACAGCGCTTCAAAAATCAATAAATTTGATTCATTCTTCTTTTTTGTTGTATAACACTTAATCAACAAAAAAAAATTGTTCATCAAAAAAGAAACAGAACTTATTGATAAAATGGCAGAATGGAAAGTGATGAATGAAAATTTCGATGTGAAAATTCCTAAAATCAAAGACCCTTCTGGAACACGCTGTAAATCTGAAATCAAAAAAATTGTCTCTGAAACTAAATGTAAGTAATTACAGTACTTGAAAGGTGTGACTTTAGAATTTTTATAATGAGAAAAGCTCTAAAGTCACCAAGGGCCAGAAATTGTTCAGAAAAATAGAATACCAGCATTTGTAGCCCCTTATTCCCCACCCCTAAACAAATAAGGGTAATCAAGAAAATATGCTCTATCGGTATTTCCGGAAAGGGACGCTACTCATGTTCCCACCACACACCACATGCTTTTTTTTGGTTTTGAGCAAAATTTATTTCAAGTTGTTTTCAGTGTTCAAAATGAGTTACGAAACGTTTACCACAACAATGCATCTGAGATGGCTCGACACAATTTTACCAAAAAGAATTTGTTCGTGGGAATTTGCAGATTCGGAATGGTGGGTCATTTTCAGACTTTAAAAAAATTCTAGAAAAAGTTTCCTAGATCTTCTAGATTTATTCCGGCCTTCTAGAAATTCAAGATGTATTTCTAGACATTTTTTATTGAGCAGCTGAAAATTTCAGAAAGAGTTTTGGAAACTTTTTTTCCAAAATGTCTACTATGATTTCTAGAGAATATTTCTGAAAATTTTTCCTAGGCTTTTCAGAGTATTTTCCGGTTTCAGAATAACAATAAAAAACGTTTTTTTTTTCAAAACAAATTTTCTAGATTTTCTAGAGTCCAAATTTTTCCAGGCTTCTAAAATACATTTTTGAATGTTCTGAAAAAAAAATTTCAGGATAATGATCTTGAACTTCGACAAATTCACTGATGATCCACGAAGCACTCTTAACTTGCAAATTGTTCGCAACGAAAACTGTTTATCATGGAATCGCAAATCTTCAGTTATGATTCGAGTGAAAAAATTAATACGAGATCAAACTACATATACATCAAGCCACAAAATCATTGAACTACAAAAACCATTTGAATCAACAGAATTGCGTTTTTCAAAAATTTTGAAACGCTCTGAAATAGTTGAAGAAAATGATGAATATCCTGTCGAAATCACATTAATTATGGAAAAATTTGAGAATTCTTTAGAGAAAGTTCCGAAATTTGATTTCAAAGAAAGTTCTGGATCTCCAAAATCTGATGTTATTTTGAACATCGATGGAGTCAAAATATACGCGAATAAAACATTGTTGGCAATTCATTCAAAGGTTTTTGATAGTATGTTTTTCTCAGAATTTGTTGAGAAAAATCAAACGGAAATTATTTTGGAAGATGATGATCCTGATGATTTCATGGAACTTTTGAAGCTAATCTATCCTTCTGCTGGTTCAACTATTATAAATGATTCAAATGTGGATGGAATTTATAAATTGGCTGACAAATATTTTATGACTCATGTTATGTTTCAATGCGAACATTTTATGGAGACATCTAAAGATTATTCGGTTAGAGATTGGTTGGTTGCGGAAAAATATGATGTTCCAGAATTGATGGTAAGATTTTCATAGCCTCTCTAGCTTCTTTGGATTTTTTCAGAAAAAATCGAAACCAACGTTCGTGCGACAGCTAGCGGAATCATTTGATTTTTAATGAACCGACATGAATCTCATTTTATTTTTTTTAATTTTTCGAATTTTGATGAATTACTCTGATTTTACTTATAATAAAACATGTTTGTGAATGTATATGATTTATCGATTTGACATCTGACAGATGCTTTGTAGAAACAATTTTAAAATTTCAGAGAAATCTTGTGCTCTCCCAAAAACCACCTGAAATATTTTGTCATAAAACAAAGATTCTCACAAAAAAAGTCCGATTTTTTTCAAAATTAAAAAGTTAATAACAGATAGAAAATAGTTTGTCAAAGTAAAAAAATCGTGGTCAGTATTTCGGCATCAAATTCTTTGCCAAAAGACAACGTTCCTTTTTGCTCAATGTGCTCTCCCAAAAACCCACCTGTAATATTTCTCTGCGTCTCCAATCTCTCTCTCTCTCACCCCACGCCAAGCCAATTCATTTTGTTTTTTTTTTGCGCACCAAAAAATGTCGGGCATGGATATTGATTGTGAAAACAAAACATCTGTGAGTTTTATTTTATTTTAAATTAAATTTGTATTTCTGATTTTGTAGACAACAATAACTGATATTCCAATTGAGATTGTTGAGCAGATTCACACATATCTGAAGTCGAATGATATTGTCAGATTGCGTGGTGTTTCAAATTCATTTCAAGAGTTTGTTGACTCGCTGGATAGAACAGAGAGGTACGGTTTTTGCGGGAAAATTCGAGATAATTGATTTTTTTTGCAGTTTGAATAACTCCCGCGTTAATCAAATTCTTCATTTAACAATAAGAAATAACACAATTCAAGTTATGAATGAAGACACCCCGAAATACCAGAATGATCCAGTCAAATACCCCCCAGAAGATTTCCAATTTCTTCCAATCACCGGAATTCGTCAACTCAATTGGTATCGACCAATCTGGTTAGAATATGAGAGTTCAACAATTCTCGAATCATCCTTGGATGTAACAGATTTTTTGGAAAAAACTCAAGATTTATTGATCCTCAATGTCCTAAACACTACCGATCCAATTGTTCGAGAAAAAAGATTGGAGAATTTTTTGCGTCAAGCTTCGAAATATGCAAAATATGGGAGCCTTCTATTGTGGCGATGAGAATCTGACAGAGGAAGAGCTCGTTAAAATTATTCAGAGTCTCAAATACAATCCAACTTTTGGTATGCGTGATTCCGATTCGGTCTATTTGACTTTGAATGGAAATATCTCATTTTACAAAAAATCGATATTGTCAACAATTTTGCATAAGACACAAAAATTCGGTTATGTATATATTGATAGTGATCGTGAGATTGAACGCGATTTTGATGAGGATGATTATGAGGGAATCGAAATGTTCTTGAAAACTAAGGTTAGTTATGATTTTAAATTGCATTTTTCAGAAATTTAAATTTGAAATTTTTTTTCAGAACTCCAATCCTAGAAAAATAATGACATTGAATTTCGGAACATGCCCAGAATCAGTTTGTGATAAATTGATTGAATTATTGCACAAATGGTTTGGACATGGTGAAACAGAACCTGGAGAGATTAGAAATGGACAAAACATTCTAGTTTTCTATGATTACGATTTGGATGATTGATTTTTTCAAATGTTTATTGTTTGTGTTTGAATTTACTGTCCAAATTATTGTGAATTCATTGAATAAATATTTTTTTTTCAAAAAATCTTGAACCTGAATTATCCTTAAAAAAATCTGAAGGCTTTTCATAAAGCTTTCTGAAACCTACCCAAGTCTCAACAATTTTCAAATAAGCTCCCCTTCCTCAAAAATTCCTTATAAAATGAGCAACACATGTTTTTCGTGCGCGAAAAAAATTTACGATTCTCAACTCTGTTTCTTTGTTACCATAGTCATAAATCAATCAACAATACTTCCCACAAAAAGTTTTCCGATTTTCTTTCGAAATAAAAAAAATCAATATTATGTAGATCAAATAACTTTTATTCCAAATAATTTTTTTAAAGAAAAATAATTCTGCTTAAAAAATCCGGTCTTTTGTCAACTTTGATTTGGACTCATCCAAAAAAATCCAAATAAAATTTTAACTTGGAGTGCAATTCTGGCAATCTTTTGACAAGTTGAAATTGTTCATTTTCGAAGTCGGATTCTCGTGTTTTATCACTTTTTTCTCCAAATTTTGTGTCAATCAAAAGTACTGTAGTTTAGATACAGTATCTCAATCTGGAAAATTGGTGTTTTTTTAAATTAATTAATTTTCAATTAAAAAATCTTACCTTGTCTAACTTTTTTTCAGAGAAATCTCGTCGAATAGATCTTGTAGTAGTATTGAATTTGGCTCATTCTGAAAAATTTGAATGTGAAAGGCATTTGAAAAAATTCCAATTTTGCTCTTAATTTCAAATGTCAGACGAAATTTTAAGTAAAAAATATTTTAAAAAAAACGAAAAAACTGACTTGTTATAAGTGGTTGATCCTCTGATGATACCTATCTTCTCACAAGTTTCGGATTTTTTTGAGTTTTGATAATCTAGAGTACTGTAGTCTAGATACAGTAATTTGATCTGTAAAAATCGGAATTTTTGAAACTATAGAAATTTTGGAAAAACTGACCTGAATTCATTTTTGATATCCCAATCTTGTAGAAGTTCGCACTGGGTACTTTTTACATATTTGAGCAGGTTTTTAGCAATTTTTGATGATCCATGAGTACTGTAGTCTAGATACAGTAATACGATCTGCAAAGTTGGAATTTTGAATTAATTTTTAAAATTTGTTTTTAAAAACTAACTTTGGTGAGATTTTTTTCAGCGACATCGACGTTCTGCACGTTCGCATACCGATTTTTGATATCTAGAAAAAAATTTTCTGGTGCATTTTGTAGTTCTTTGTATTACACGTTATATTTTTGTAAAAAAAAATCTAACCTGAATTCATTTTTTGTAATTCTTTGTTCGTCTCAAACTGGCCATCTTCTGACTTTGGTATATTTTTTTTTCAAATCCATAAATGTGTAGATACAGTAATTTGATCTGCAAAATTGGGATTTCTAAATTTAAGAAATAATTATTTCATTGTTAAAATTTTACCTGAATTGATTTTTTGCTTTTCTAATGGTGGTGCATCTGCCAAAGTAGATTTTTTCCACAAAATCTATCAGTCCAAGCTTATTTTTGTCATTTTGATTGTTCGATTGAGTCTTGATCCATAGTACTGTAGTTTAGATACAGTAGTTTGATGTTGTTCCAATTTTGATGAGAAAATCTGAAAATACAGTACCTACAATAATTTCTGGAAAAAAAACCAACCTCTATTCTATTTTTCTTGATAAAATATTGATCACTGTATGTAATATAGATACAGTACTCCAAATACACGCTACATTCTGAAAAAATAGAAAATTTTTAGGAACAGAAAAATGTGAGGAAAAGGAGTGCTAAAGGAGCTACAGTAGTCAGAAAAAAACGGGTGTCGACTGGAAAAAGAAACTTCTCGAAGAAAAAAAGGGGGAAGGACGCCAAGAACGGCGCCCCGAAAAAATCAATAAATTCGATTTTTTTTAATATTTTTTTTTGTTGGATAACTATTTTACTTTTTAGTTAGCAAAAAAAAGATAATGATTTTTTTGTTTATTTTTTGTGAGTATGCATATTTTAGAAGGCGGAGTTGGGTCAACCAGATGTGTTTTTCTTTTTTTTTGCGGTTTTTTTGCATAAACAATGTTTATTTTTTAGGATGTCTGGGTGTTATTTGGAATAATTCAAGTGAAGCTGGAAATCTGGGAATTTCTGAAAATGGTGAGCTTTTTTAGTATAGATTACTGTAGATCAACAAAAAATATGATTTTTCAGGTAAACAAAAAATGGATCAAAATATATTTGTGAAGAAAAAAACTACTGTATCTAAACTACAGTACTCTCCACCCAATTATCATTGTTTGTACTTCACCAAATGTGTGACAAAGAAGGAAGCCAAAAATATTTGATTCAAGATTATTTCACGAGACATCAAAAAATTATTCAAGTAATTTTATCTTCAAATTCTTCAAGTAAGTTTATCTTCAAAAATAATTTTTTTTCAATTTTCAAATTTCAAAAAATTCTTTTTTTTCAGAACGGATACACCCATAAAAATGAAAGAAAAGAAGGACAAAATGAAAATTTATCTAGTAAGTCGAATTTCTCAGCTTCCTTCCAATTTTTTGAAATGAATCATATATTTTCAGATTTCAATTACTGTATTTAAACTACAGTACTCAAAAATCCACATTTGTTTATGCCTTAACCATCAACTCGAATTCACGAGAAAGCAAAAAATGTTTTTGTGAGAACCGATTTCACATCAAGTTCTAAAATACAGTCCAGGTGAGCAGAATATAGCTTTCACAGCTTGAGAAATAATTTTGTAGATCTTTTTTCAGGACCAATGTAAATGAAAAATTGGAAACTTCACGTCAATGCCAACAAATTCAAAATTTGTCACAGTAAGTCAATTTTTCCAAGTTCATTTTCATTTTCGAATATCATCCTATTTTCAGATTCATTTTACTGTATCTAGACTACAGTACTCTTGCTTCAAAATTAACAACTTAAACATTTTTCATGATTGACTTTGGAATTTGATTTATACCTGCACAACATTTACAGCTTGCAAAAAGTTGCAAAAAAATAAAAAGGTAAAAAATTTTTATGAAAAATTTGAGACCTAGGATTTTGTGGTAGTGAAATATATGTACATGAGGTTTAAAAGTATCCAAAAAAAACTTCATCAGTAGGAAAATATTGTCAGAAATAATTTGAATACAAAAATTTATCACATTATTACAAAATACAGTAGCCCTTTATATTTTGTGTTAATTCATATTTCTCCTAGTGAATCATTATTTTCAGTGTATTTTTATAGTGTCGAAGAATCGTGTAAGATGCCGGACGCATCGATAGAACATCTTTACGCCAAAATGAAACAATGGGCAATATCCGCGAAAGAGAAACCAAAAGATCCAGAAAAGTCGGTGAAGAAGTATCAAAAAAAGAGCTACCAACGAAAAAATTGAAACAAAACTCGCAACATTATCAAAGACACCGGGGACAAGAAGAATGCACACTTTTTTACTGTATCTACACTACAGTATTCGATCATTTTCACATTTTGATGACCCGACTTTATTGAAGCAGTTTAGACCAAATGAAAGATTCCAGTAAGTGAGAAACAATTTTCAAATTTTTATTCAAAATTTCACAAAATTTTCAAAAATCTTTCAGGACAATATCAATATCTTCGTGGTAATAGCAAAATAACCCAAAAACATCAGAGAACATCAGAATCAAAATTATCATAGTAGGTCAATTTTTTCAGTTTTTTTATAAAATGAAATTATTTTCAGACGTTTTTTACTGTATCTACACTACAGTACTCTTCTTCAAAATTGCTTCGAACTTGACGAACCAACGAATCAGAACTGATCCAAGGGTTTTTATCAATGCTGTATGATCCATAATCGAATAAATAGTTTTGTTGAAAAAGTTGTTGTCTTGAAAATATTCATTTTCTGCAAAAATTTAGGCTTACAGATTTTTTCAGCCTCCAAGAAAAGCCTGAAAAATTTTTAGATCTTCCAGAATGCTTCGGGGCTTCGGAAAAAATCTTTCGGCGTTCTAGAAAATTTATCTGGGTTTCTGAAAGTTCAAAAAAGCTTCCAGGCCTTCTGAAAATTTCCCGAGATTTCAGAAGTTGTTGAATACAGATGAATACGAAACTAGCTGATGAGTACGAGTTGTTTCATGGTTTTTGTGAGAAATGTTATAAAAATTTGAAATATTTTGAATAAACATTTTTTTCCGAAACCAAAAATGTTGATCAAATCATTTTCCGTTCATAAAAACCATATCAATCAAAATATTTTTCAAACAAAAATGCGTTTTTCTTTCATTATTCTCTCAATATTTGCTATTGCACTGTCTTCAAATTTAGATCCATATTCCGAGACAAATAAGTTTCTTTTAAGTTACTGGGAGCACATGAAAGCCAAAAACTACACAATTATCGATCCGGAATTTTTTGGAATTGTGGATAATGTAACATACAACAAAGAAGAATTCATCAAAAAGAGCAAAGGTTATAAATTCCCTGATAAAATGCCACAAGTCAATGTGACAAATGCAATTTTCGACATGGAGGGTATGTTGATAGGAGATATAGATCAATATGGTCATACCTCAAAATTCACTGCGAAACCGAATGCTAATATTAAAGGAGGCTATACATTTTTCAAAGTGAAGAAATGAAGACTCATTCAATAAAATATTGTTTATGTGATGTTATTCGGGACTTTTTTTAAATGAAAATCTGCTAAATTTTGAAAACTTTTGAAAAACAACAGAATTTCTCTCATTCAAAAATTGTGGTCCTGAGCATGAGCCAAAAATCTGATATCCAGAAGTGTGATGAACTTTTTTTAATTTCAATTTGAAAAAGCTTCCTTCCACAAAAATCCCTCAAAACATAAGAAACACATTTTTTTTCGCGCGCGCAGAAAATTTACGACTTACAACTCTACTCTTTTGTTAGCATAGTCATAAATCAAAAGCTTCTCACAAAAAAATTTCCGATTTTTTTTTCAAAATAAAAAAAATCAATAGATCAAATGATTTTTATTCCAAACAATCCGAAATTCTACAATACCTCTCATAGTTTTTTCTGCTTTAAGTAATTAGATTTTAAGAGAGGTTTTTTGTAAGAAGGGAAATTTTAGAATAAGGAGCTGCGCAAGCAAAAAAAAAGTTTTTCTGAAAACTTGTGTAATGATAGCCCCATGGGTGGGCATCAATTTGCGCACAATATTATTGCTCAAAACCGCTTCACCATTGTGGTGTGACGGGTGAAAGCTGTAAGAGCGGTCATAGGAACTTTGCTCTCAGTTGATATTTTTTGATGATCTCAACGCCAAAGTACTTCTTTTGGCCTAAAAATGATTTTTCAAGTTTACCGCATAAAAATTGCACCATTTCTAATGGTGCAATAACACCATGTTGGTGAAAAACACCAATATTTGCCTTTGGCGTCAATTTCCGCACTCTCGCACTGGTTTTAAACGCTTCCTCGTCATTTTTTACATACCCTACATAATTTTCAGAAAAATAAACGGGACCCCTTTTTGGCAATTCCACCCCAAAGTTGGTCACCCAAGGTGTGCACCACAGCATTTTTTCTCAAAATCACCCAAATTTTTGATTTTTTTGTTTAAAAATGTTATTTTATGGTTCAAAGTTACTTTTATGTGAAAATTAGGAAGTTTTCGGGACGAAAACGTGTTATTTCACGCATTTCACGTGAAAACTCACGTGAATTTTTTTTCGAAAATTAAGTTTAAAAACGTGTTTTCTGGGGTTTTTGACTTTGCTAATCAACCTGGTATCATTTATTTTTCTTGAAAATTTCATATTTAGCTATTTTCAGATATGTCATAAAAATGAACTCTAAAAAGTGAAACTTCCAGAGTGTTGTCAAACTCATTGAATTTAGAAATTTCGAGAAAAATAAATGATACCACGTTGATCAGCATAGTCAAAAACCCCAGAAAACACGTTTTTAAACTTGATTTTCGAAAAAAAAATTCACGTGAGTTTTCACGTGAAATGCGTGAAATAACACGTTTTCGCCCCGAAAACTTCCTAATTTTCACATAAAAGTAACTTTGAACCATAAAATAACATTTTTAAACAAAAAAATCAAAAATTTGGGTGATTTTGAGAAAAAATGCTGTGGTGCACACCTTGGGTGACCAACTTTGGGGTGGAATTGCCAAAAAGGGGTCCCGTTTATTTTTCTGAAAATTATGTAGGGTATGTAAAAAATGACGAGGAAGCGTTTAAAACCAGTGCGAGAGTGCGGAAATTGACGCCAAAGGCAAATATTGGTGTTTTTCACCAACATGGTGTTATTGCACCATTAGAAATGGTGCAATTTTTATGCGGTAAACTTGAAAAATCATTTTTAGGCCAAAAGAAGTACTTTGGCGTTGAGATCATCAAAAAATATCAACTGAGAGCAAAAGTTCCTATGACCGCTCTTACAGCTTTCACCCGTCACACCACAATGGTGAAGCGGTTTTGAGCAATAATATTGTGCGCAAATTGATGCCCACCCATGGGGCTATCATTACACAAGTTTTCAGAAAAACTTTTTTTTTGCTTGCGCAGGCTGTTTTCCGGTATTACAAAAAACGTCTCTTAAAAAAATCGAAAATTCCAGGTGTTTCGCAATGTTTCTCAAGAACGTGAGAAAAACACATGAAGTGTGGCTCAGGATGTTCAATTATTCTGTCCATGAATCCTTGTCCGAAAATTTCGGAAAATTTGTTGACGTGTTCATATCTTGTTGGAATCGGAATTTTGTAAATTAATGGATCGAATTTTACATCGCAAATCCGGCAAATATTTTCATCAGTCGAATTTGCAGAGAAATCAGTTGATCCATCTACCTGAAAACTCTGCATTTTTTTTTTTTGAAAAATCATACCATCTGTGGATCATTTTCATGAATTTTCCCGAGTTTTTTCCCCAGTTTTTCAGAAAAAAACACTCACTTTTTTGAATTCTCGAAGCTCTCTCTCTTGCTTCATTCTCTTCTCTTCCAGTCATCCGAATCGGAAAACAATCTGCTGATCTATATTTGGGAGCTCCTTCAAAATGTGTTCTGCAAATATGACCAAAATACATATTCTGTTCCATTCCCACAATCTTCATAGTTTCGGCAAATTTTTCTCCAAGAATATCTATCCATATTTGTCTCAATGTGGGATTTTTTGGTATTTTAGTCATAGATTTTTTGTTAAGTGATTTTAAACAATATCGACATCTTCCAGTTGGCATTTCAAGTTGTTTGTCTCTGAAAAATTTCAAATCAGCAAATGTGAGAAAAATGCAGTGCAAGGGGACAAAAAAAAATAAAATTCGTTTGAAAAAAGAAACTTCTCGAAGAAAAAAAGGGGGAAGGACGCCAAGAACGGCGCCCCCAGAAAAATCAATAAATTCGATTTTTTTCTATTTTTTATGTTGGATAACTATTTTACTTTTAAGTTAGCAGAAAAGAGATAATGATATTTTTGTTTATTTTTTTGTGAGTATGCACATTTTCAGAAGGCGGAGTTAGGTCAACCAGATGTGTTTTTTCTTCTTTTTTTGCGGATTTTTTTCGCATCAACAAAGTATATTTTTTAGGATGTCTGGGTGTTTTTCGGAATAATTAAAGTGAAGCTGGAAATTTGGGAATTTCGGAAAATTGGGAGTTTTTTTGTTGAAATTACTGTGGATCAACAAAAAAAAACCTGGATTTTGAAAAGAAAAAAATGGAAAACTACTGTATCTAAACCTCAGTACTTTTCAATCGAAACGCACAATTTTAAAAACTGATTTGTATGAATCATAGTTTTTTTTGTGTGAGAAATGTTATAAAAAATTTGATGACGAAATATTTTGAATAAACATTTTTTTCCGAAACCAAAAATTTTGATCAAATCATTTTCCGCCTATAAAAACCATATCAATCAGAATATTTTTCCAACAAAAATGCGTTTTGCTCTCATTATTCTCTCAATATTTGCTATTGCATTGTCTACAAATTTAGATCCATATTCTGAGACGAATAAGTTTCTTTTAAGTATCTGGGAGCACACGAAAGCCAAAAACTACACAATTATCGATCCGGAATTTTTTGGAATTGTGGATAATGTGACCTACAACAAAGAAGAATTTATCAAAAACATTGTGAATCCCGGACCTGATGAAGAATTACCAAAACTCAATGTGACAAATGCAACTTTTGACGCAAAAGGAATGTTGGTATTTGATTTAATTTATAGTCACATCGAAAAATTCACTGCGAAACCGAATGCTAATATTAAAGGGGGCTATACATTATTAAAATTGAAGATTTGAAGGTTCATTCAATAAAATATTGTTTATGTGATGTTTGTCGGGACTCGTTTTTCAAAAACAGTAACCTTGTGGTCCCAAATTCAAGCAAAACAATTTCATGAATCGAAATATCTATTTAAAAGGAGCAATATGAAAATAAGCTAAATTTCGAAAACTTAAAAAAAAACAGAATTTTTCTCATTCAACGTCCTATAAAAAAAATTTTTGCGCAAAAAATTGACCAACAGTAAGCTATAAAAATATCCAAAAAATGTCCAAGAAAATGTAGCGAATAAATATTTTTATGAAAAAAATTAGGGAAATAATTGAGTTTTTGAAAAATCTCCAAGATTTTATGAAATTCTTTCGGGCTTGAAATATTTTCAGAAGTTTTTTTTTGGTTTTCTAGAACTCAGAAAAATTTCCGAGACCTCCTAGAATTCTTCTGGGCTCCAAACAATGTATAAAAATCCCCCAGGCCTTGCAGAATTAGTATGAATCATAGTTTTTTTGTGAGAAATGTTATAAAAATTTGATGACGAAATATTTTGAATAAACATTTTTTTCCGGAACCAAATATGTTGTTCAAATCATTTTCCGCCTATAAAAACTATGTCAATCAGAATATTTCTCCCAACAAAAATGCGTTTTGCTTTCATTATTCTCTCAATATTTGCTATTGCACTATCTTCAAATTTAGATCCATATTCCGAAACAGAAAAGTTTCTTTTAAGTTACTGGGATCATTTGAAAGCTAAAAACTACACAATTATCGATCCGGAATTTGTTGGATTTGTGGATAATGTGACCTACAACAAAGAAGAATTAATCAAAAAAATCGGGAATCCCGGAAAAATGCCTGATGATGAAATACCAAAACTCAATGTGACAAATGCAATTTTCGACGCGAAGGGAATTTTGAAATTTAATATAAAAAATTATGGTCACATCTCAAAATTCACTGCGAAACCGAATGCTAATATTAAAGGGGGCTATGCACTTTTCAAATTAGAGACTCGAAGACGCATTCAATAAAATATTGTTTATGTGATGTATGATAATTCTCTGATTCTTCAAAATATGAAATAAAAATGTGATTGATAAATAAGTTTTTTTTTTTAAAATCTCTTTATTCAGAAAAAGTTCAGAGTTTGAGCATATTTGGGTCCAAGGTGTTACGCAATTGCATTATCTTTGCTATATTTCCCTTCAACTTTATTTTTCCTTGCTTAAAAGCCTCATCTGCTTTCAATTGTCCTGTGGCAATTGACACGACATCCGAATCATTTATATTGATTTCGATGTCAACGACACGAGATTTATCGTCTCCGATGTATGGATTATCAGACTGAAAACATTTGAAAAATATTTTGAAATACTATTTTTTTTTCTCCAAACTAACTTTAGCAACAATGGTCCATGTTTTAACAGTTCCATTAGGTCCAGCAACATTGATTCTGAATGATGTTCCGACTTTTCTCACCAAATCTTTGTCGGTTCGAATGATTTCTTTGATTTTGTTGAAAACAACATCGGATTTGAAGGACATTTTGAGAAAACTGAAATATATATATTTAAGTCACAGAACTTTGTGTGAAAAATGAAGAACCAAATTGTCAAAGTTAGAGCAGGAAACCAAACTTTTATAGCTGGAATAGAACCGCATGCTGTTTGTTTGTTTGTATTGCAACATCAAATTAATCACAAGACACTGAATGTGAGCAATTTTAAAAATTTGTAGATTAGCCTAGTTTAAATGAGTTCAACTACAAATTCTGTCTTTTTCTCAGTGTCTCTCTCGATTTACCCTGTGGGAAACTAGAGAATTAAACAAATAAAAGCAGTTTTTTTGAACACTTTTTTCGAACATTCGTTTTGTTTCAAACTACATACACAAATTGACTTATCAGATGTTACAATGTAAATACAGGAAAAACAAACTGAAATTAGCAGGCGGTTAAGTTTAAATACAAACAAACAAAAAGTAATTCCAGCTATAAAAGTTGGATTCCTCGCTTTGTTACAGAATTTCAGTTCTTCATCATGTATGTTCGTGAAGCTCGAATCGTTTTGGAAAACCACACTGGTAGTTATTTCAAGTTTCAAGTTCTTCATCAATACACGGGAAAAGACACGGATGATTCCGGTTGGATCAAATTCGCTCCTGGAGATTCGAAACAAGTTTTTGCACGCGTTGTATATCACACTGGATTTATGACAACTGGTGTTGATAATTGGATTATTCATGGAAAACAACTGAACAAAGTTAAAGGCAAGTTTTGATAAATGAAAGCTGATGTGAAATCCAAAATGATTTTTTAGGCACTGTCCCAAGTCTTCAAATTGATGGACAAGCTTTCATTGAGGGTCTTTCATATAGAAGTTATCATGGTTTTGGAGCCGAATGGAAGAAACACATGTTAACTGCTGAAGATGATGGTAAAACCACTGTGATTAAAGTTTATCAATCTACTATTGATTTCATATCTCCAAGCGGCAAATCTTCCACTCGATTTGATACTATTGGTGATACAGTTGGAAGAATTATGTAAACATACACATGATTAACGAATAGATGTAAATTTAGAATTGTTATATGTTTTTTTTCAAAAAGCTGGGAATTTTCTCAAAAAAAATCAATGAAGTTTAAGATAGGATAATTCCAGTTTTAAAAAAACTCGTGTTAGAGAAGCGTACATGAAACAAAATAAAAAGGTTCAGTTTTCAGCAGGGGTGGGGAACCTGGCCTCATGTTGGCTTTGGTGGTAAGAACATACAGCTAACGTGAGAAAAAAAAAGAAGATTTCTTTTAAAAAAGTTACGCCTGGGAATACAAATTGTGAAGTTTAATAGATTACTAGAAGGGCTTCGCTGGCTAACGCCATCTACAGTAGTTTGACTTACTTTTTCTGATTAATTTTCCGGTTAAAAAATATTAATGAAGTTTAAGATAGGATAATTCCATTTTTAAAATATCTCGTGTTCGAGAAACGTAAATGAAACAAAATAAATATGTTCACAGGTTCTTTTTTAGTTGAGAAAACACGTCGAGAAAAAAGGAGATCACATTTTTATTTATTTTTGATGCAGACTAGGCGAAACAGAAAATCCTCAAAAATTCTAAATTTTAAAGAAAATCCTATTTTTCGCAGCTAAGCTGACGTGAGAAAAAAAAGAAGATTTCTTTTCAAAAAAGTTACGCCTGGTAATACAAATTGTGAAGTTTAATAGATTATAAAACAAAAAAAAAATAAATACAAAACAAACTGGAAATCGCGTGCATAAAACTATGAAAAAATTAATCTACCTATGAAATATTTCATAGTTTATTTTTCAATAAAATCTGGAAGCTGATCCTATAGCTTCAATTGTAATTCAAAGCTTCATCTAATCATTTTACCGAAGTTTTAACAATCAATAGTAATTATGAATTAAAAACTTTACCCAATATTTTTCAAATCTCACCTGTTAGTTTTGTCCCCCCCCCCCCAAACCTCAAAATAAACTAACTTGATTTGCCCGTTCCGTGAAAAGTTGTTGATCTCCTGTCCAAACGAAATATCTTCTTGTTCGGAAGCCTGAAACTTGTACATTCTTTTTCTCAAAATCTTCGCCTATTCTTAAACTTACATCAGAAAATGAAAATTGTGGATTTGACAAAACTCCTGCATTCTGTGACGATTTTCAGAGCTGAAAAAAAAAGGAAAAATTTTTAAAAATGTACCTTTCTGCGCTGAAAAAAAAAACAGAAAAAAATGATTCAGTTCGAAAAAAAACGTTCAATCAATAATTTGTTCTCAAACAAATAAAACACATCTCTCTCTCTCTCTCTCTCTCTCTAACCCTCTCTCTATTCCCCACACTCTCTCGTCTACCCTGCAAAAAACAACAAAACAAACACGCTAAACAACGCGCACGCGGGGTATCGTTGTTTTTTTTTTTTTGCACGACGTTTTTATTTTTTTATTTTTTCTGGTTTTTCAGTGGTTTTTTCAGCGCAGAAAGGTACATTTTTTAATTTTCTTATGTTTTTCAGAGACAATCGTCACAGAATGCAGGGGTTTCTTCAAATCCACAGTTGTCATTTTCTGATGTAAGTTTAGGAATAGGCGAAGATTTTGAGAAAATGAATTTAGAAGTTTCAGGCTTCCGAAGAAGAAGATGTTCGGTTTGGACAGGAAATTCAAAGAAATCAACAACTTCTCACGGAACGGGCAAGTCAAGTTAGTTTATTTTGAGGTTTGGGGGGCAATCATTTCAAAAATGAAAACAGGGGGACTTATCTAATGGGCCTATGCAGAATAATATTTTGTAGTAATATGTTCATAGATGACCTAGAAACAAGTTCAAAAAGTTTAGAAAAATTTTTAAAAAAACTTTAGAAAACTTTTACGTGAAGAAACGTGAAGGGATCAGAAAATTGTTAAAACCTTCGAAAATTCTCCTGGGCTCCAAACAAAGTATAATAATCATCCAGGCCTTCAGAATCTTCAAAGGTTTCAAAAGCCTTCTGAAGCTTCAATCATCAGTTGAAATAGTATTTTCACAATTCATTTTGGACTGTTTTTCAATGAAAAATTCAAGATCAAACTTGATTTTTCTCAAATTGTCCTTTTCAAAAATCCACATTCTGCAAACTTTTCCAAGAAAATATAATTATCACACAGAAGTTCACTTTTCTCAAATAAAAATCATCTTTAAACCTCCATAACTTTTTTCTTCCGCAAATAGGACAAAATCTGACGACAGACACGTTTTCAGCGTATGAAAATCTATCTGAAATGATATATTTCATTTCAAAAATAGACATCCAGTTCAACCGTGATATCACATGAATAAAACGCCGAAAACATCAACCATATATTGGTCATTCACTCTGCTGCTCTCGGCGCCTTCGTGGCGCAGTGGTTAGAGAATCTGTCTCCCACTCTGCGATTGTCCGAAAAATCAAAAAGTTCGATCCCCACGGGAAAAAAGAACTTTTTATATTTTTTTTGCATTTTTGGTTTCTGACTAATTTTGACCTCCTGAACAACGTGGAGTAGTTTATTTTTTCCTCACATGTCTATGTGACGAAATATGACGTGGCAAGATGTGATTTTTATTTTTTTCGTTATTTTTTATCAAAAACGTAGCTGTGAAAAGTTCTTCCATTCTAAATCCCTAAAAAACCACCATTTTTCTGCACAAAATTTTTTCGCGAAGAAAATTTACGATCCTCAACTTTTCTTTGTTAAAAAAGTCATAAATCAATCAACAAAGCTTCCCACAAAAAATTGTCCGATTTTTTTCGAAATAAAAAAAATCAATAATATGTAAATCAAATAATTTTTATTCCAAATTGAAATAAATGGATATTGCTTTAAAACATCTTGATTAACATGAGCAATTCAAGTTTGATAATTGATGAGTGAAGAGTACTGTAGTTTAAATACAGTAAAATGATCTGCAAATTTGGATAGTTCAAATTAATTATTAAATTGAAAAACTAACCTTGGTATACCATTTTTCAGAGAAAAATCCCACTAATACTATATTTTTTCTTTGGGCCAATTCTCGTCTTGATCAACGGGCAATATCAACAACTGTGCTCTTCTCCCTGAAAAAATGTTGTTTTCAGAAAAAAATCTGATTTCAGATTTTGGGAAACTTACTATTTTGTTTTGATGAATTGTGCGAGTACTGTAGTTTAGATACAGTATCCAAATTGATAATTCTGAAAAAGGGTTTGACTTGAATCTAGAAATTTGATAATCAGTGTGAGACCACACAATTTTATTCAGAAACTAGAAAATTTTAAACCAACCTTGAATTATTTTCCATTTTCTCTAATGTTTATATTTTCTTTTTTCTTCCTCGCTATTTTTCAATTCCATTTTTCAGCTTGTGACAAAAGTACTGTAGTTTAGATACAGTAATTTGATCTGCAAATTTGGATAGTACAAATTAATTATTTTTTAATTTAAAACTAACCTTGATAAACTTTTTTTCAGAAGAAATTCTGATACCATCATAGGTTTTGTATCCAAAGAAGTTGTTACATTTTATTTTCTTTAAGTTTGATGTCCTAAATTAAGTTTGTTTAACTAAATCTATGCAATTTCAGGTTTTAGTACACTTACGATATTGATTTTGCGATGAAATGAACCAAAAAGTTCTTCGGTCACCCTGTATTCATCCATTTTTTTTTTGAAAGTTTGATTGTGCAATTACTGTAGTTTAGATACAGGATTGAAATTGGATCATTCTGAAAAATATGTTTTTATGAACATTCTGGGTTTTTTTTGAATTTTTGAAGAAAAAACCAACCTTTGTCTTCGCGCACAATGACAACCTGTAAAAATGGGATTTTTTTAAAATAAATTTGAATTTTATTGAAAAAAAAAACTAACCTTGGTGAGATATTTCTGAATTTCGTTTCAATTTTGATAATCAAGAGTACTGTAGTTTAGATACAGTAATTTGATCTGCAAGTTTGGATTTTTCGAATCAATTTTTTCAATTAAAAAACTAACCTTAGCCATTTTTCAAAGCATGAACTCGTGTCATTTGTTTTGCATTTTTTTTTTCAATTTTTCTTCATCTTCTTTTTGAATTCATGAGTACTGTAGTTTAGATACAGTAGTTCAATTCTATTCCATTTTGATGAGCTTTCTACATTCTGAAAATATGAAAATTTAGAAAAAGAAGCTACAGTACTCAAGAAGGAGCATAAAATAAGCCTAACACTTTTTAATTTTAGCTTTTATCCTAAAAATGATCCTCAATTCCTGAAAAAACCAAAAAAAATGAAAAGAAAATAATTTAGGAACGAAAAAATATGAGGAATAAGAGTGCTAAAGGAGCTACAGTAGTCTGAAAAAAACGAGTTTCGATTGGAAAAAGAAACTTCTCGAAGAAAAAAAGGGGGAAGGACGCCAAGAACGGCGCCCCCAAAAAAATCAATAAATTTGATTTTTTTTTCCTATTTTTTGTTGAATGGACTATTTTACTTTTTAGTTAGCAGAAATGATTTTTTTTGTTTATTTTTTTGTGAGTATGCATATTTTAGAAGGCGGAGTTGGGTCAACCAGATGTTTTTTTCTTCTTTTTTTGCATAAACAATGTTTATTTTTTAGGATGTCTGGGTGTTATTTGGAATAATTCAAGTGAAGCTGGAAATCTGGAAATTTCTGAAAATGGTGAGCTTTTTTAGTAAAGATAACTGTATATCAACAAGAAAATATGATTTTTCAGGTTATCCAAAAATGGATCAACATATATTTGTGAAGAAAAAACTACTGTATCTAAACTACAGTACTCTTCAATCAATAATCATCATTGGTACCCGAAAATATGGAACAACATACAACTAGATATTTCGCAAAATCGAATTTTTGGATGTTCTCAATAAAGTTTAAAGTAAGTTTATCTTTAAAACCAAATTGAAGTCCAAAAATCACTGCATTTCAGAACATAATTACTGTACCTAAACTACAGTACTCACGCTCATCAACTACAAATTTCAATTTTCAATTTGAAAGGCACGATGTTCCTGTAGGTTCATATTTTTTTTTCAGTTTCAAATTTCAAAAAATTAATTTTTTCAGAACGGATATACCCATAAAAATGACAATGGAGGAAGACAAAATGAAAATTTATCTAGTAAGTCGAAATTTTAAGCTTGTTTCTATTTTCAAAATGAATTTTTTTCAGTTACTGTATCTAAACTACAGTACTCATTAATTATCCCTCTTCAAAACTCAAATCGGAAAAAACTATGTCGTGAAAACCAAACAATACAAGGTGAGCTGGAAAATTGATTTTTTTTTTAATATAACTTTTTTCCAGAAGAACGCTCACTTTGGGATCAACAAAACTCACAACAAAATTCCACGGATTTTCATATAGACTTCAGCAGGAATAAATTTTTTTTTGAAAATATTGATTTTTTTCAAAGTTTTCAGAATTGTTTTCAAGCCTCCAAAAATCCCTCATGTTAAAAGAAAATGTTTATATTTCAAGAATTTGTACTAAAAATTAAAATCTAGAAATTGGCGCATTTTTTCCAATAATATGGCATTGCTCATTTTTAGCCAACATCATTTTACTGTTGTCTGGACAATTGAAAGCTTCTTTGAAATCTGCATTTTGTGACATGATACTATTGATTCGAACTACATTTGCGTGATGTTCCAAATCTTGTGTCACAGATGGAACTTTCTGAAAAAAAAAATTTTTAAGACGAGAGATTTCTCCGGGTTCAAAGAGTTTTAGGGCTTCAGACACATCATGTCAAACAGCAATGTGATGGTGACGCAGAGAAATTCTCTAATTTAAAAAGAGACCGACTGCCACGTAGTTCACGTTTTTATTAAAAATAATTATCATCTTTTTTTTCAATGCAAAAAATTAGATTTTTATGTGAAAATTTGGAATAATCCAAAAATGTAAAAAAAAAATCGGCCCGAGATTTAAAAAAAAAAAAGTTACAGATTTGGAATAATCCAAAAATGTAGAAAAAAATCGGCCCGAGATTTTTCAAAAAAAAATCGACCCGAGATTTTCCAAAAAAAAGTTACAGATTTGGAATAATCCAAAAATGTAGAAAAAAATCGGCCCGAGATTTTTCAAAAAAAAATCGACCCGAGATTTTCAAAAAAAAAAGTTACAGATTTGGAATAATCCAAAAATGTAAAAAAAAATCGGCCCGAGATTTTTCAAAAAAAAATCGACCCGAGATTTTCCAAAAAAAAGTTACAGATTTGGAATAATCCAAAAATGTAAAAAAAAATCGGCCCGAGATTTTTCAAAAAAAAAAATCGACCCGAGATTTTCCAAAAAAAGTTACAGATTTGGAATAATCCAAAAATGTAAAAAAAAATCGGCCCGAGATTTTTCAAAAAAAAAATCGACCCGAGATTTTCCAAAAAAAAGTTACAGATTTGGAATAATCCAAAAATGTAAAAAAAAATCGGCCCGAGATTTTTCAAAAAAAAAATCGACCCGAGATTTTCCAAAAAAAAGTTACAGATTTGGAATAATCCAAAAATGTAAAAAAAAATCGGCCCGAGATTTTTCAAAAAAAAAAATCGACCCGAGATTTTCCAAAAAAAAAGTTACAGATTTGGAATAATCCAAAAATGTAAAAAAATCGGCCCGAGATTTTTCAAAAAAATCGGCCCGATATTTTTCAAAAAAAAGTTACAGATTTGGAATAATCCAAAAATGTAAAAAAAAATCGGCCCGAGATTTTTCAAAAAAAAATCGACCCGAGATTTTCCAAAAAAAAAGTTACAGATTTGGAATAATCCAAAAATGTAAAAAAAAATCGGCCCGAGATTTTTCAAAAAAATCGGCCCGATATTTTTCAAAAAAAAGTTACAGATTTGGAATAATCCAAAAATGTAAAAAAAAATCGGCCCGAGATTTTTCAAAAAAAATCGGCCCGATATTTTTCAAAAAAGTTACAGATTTGGAATAATCCAAAAATGTAAAAAAAAATCGGCCCGAGATTTTTCAAAAAAATCGGCCCGATATTTTTCAAAAAAAAAAATTACAGATTTGGAATAATCCAAAAATGTAAAAAAAAATCGGCCCGAGATTTTTCAAAAAAAAATCGACCCGAGATTTTCCAAAAAAAGTTACAGATTTGGAATAATCCAAAAATGTAAAAAAATCGGCCCGAGATTTTTCAAAAAAAAATCGACCCGAGATTTTCCAAAAAAAAGTTACAGATTTGGAATAATCCAAAAATGTAAAAAAAAATCGGCCCGAGATTTTTCAAAAAAATCGGCCCGATATTTTTCAAAAAAAATAATTACAGATTTGGAATAATCCAAAAATGTAAAAAAAAATCGGCCCGAGATTTTTCAAAAAAAAATCGACCCGAGATTTTCCAAAAAAAAAGTTACAGATTTGGAATAATCCAAAAATGTAAAAAAAAATCGGCCCGAGATTTTTCAAAAAAAAATCGACCCGAGATTTTCCAAAAAAAAAGTTACAGATTTGGAATAATCCAAAAATGTAAAAAAAAATCGGCCCGAGATTTTTCAAAAAAATCGGCCCGATATTTTTCAAAAAAAAGTTACAGATTTGGAATAATCCAAAAATGTAAAAAAAAATCGGCCCGAGATTTTTCAAAAAAAATCGGCCCGATATTTTTCAAAAAAAAAAGTTACAGATTTGGAATAATCCAAAAATGTAAAAAAAAATCGGCCCGAGATTTTTCAAAAAAAAAATCGACCCGAGATTTTCCAAAAAAAAGTTACAGATTTGGAATAATCCAAAAATGTAAAAAAAAATTGGCCCGATATTTTTCAAAAAAAAAAGTTACAGATTTGGAATAATCCAAAAATGTAAAAAAAAATCGGCCCGATATTTTTCAAAAAAAAGTTACAGATTTGGAATAATCCAAAAATGTAAAAAAAAATTGGCCCGATATTTTTCAAAAAAAAAAAAGTTACAGATTTGGAATAATCCAAAAATGTAAAAAAATCGGCCGAGATTTTTCAAAAAAAAAATCGGCCCGAGATTTTCCAAAAAAAAAAGTTACAGATTTGGAATAATCCAAAAATGTAAAAAATTGGCCCGATATTTTTCAAAAAAAAAATCGACCCGAGATTTTCCAAAAAAAGTTACAGATTTGGAATAATCCAAAAATGTAAAAAAAAATCGGCCCGAGATTTTTCAAAAAATCGGCCCGATATTTTTCAAAAAAAAGTTACAGATTTGGAATAATCCAAAAATGTAAAAAAAAATCGGCCCGAGATTTTTCAAAAAAAAAATCGACCCGAGATTTTCCAAAAAAAAGTTACAGATTTGGAATAATCCAAAAATGTAGAAAAAAATCGGCCCGAGATTTTTCAAAAAAAAAAGTTACAGATTTGGAATAATCCAAAAATGTAAAAAAAATCGGCCCGAGATTTTTCAAAAAAAAAGTTACAGATTTGGAATAATCCAAAAATGTAAAAAAAAATTGGCCCGATATTTTTCAAAAAAAAAAGTTACAGATTTGGAATAATCCAAAAATGTAAAAAAAATCGGCCCGAGATTTTTCAAAAAAAAAAAGTTACAGATTTGGAATAATCCAAAAATGTAAAAAAAAATTGGCCCGATATTTTTCAAAAAAAAAAGTTACAGATTTGGAATAATCCAAAAATGTAAAAAAAAATCGGCCCGATATTTTTCAAAAAAAAAAGTTACAGATTTGGAATAATCCAAAAATGTAAAAAAAAATTGGCCCGATATTTTTCAAAAAAAAAAGTTACAGATTTGGAATAATCCAAAAATGTAAAAAAAATCGGCCCGAGATTTTTCAAAAAAAAAAAAAATCGGCCCGAGATTTTCCAAAAAAAGTTACAGATTTGGAATAATCCAAAAATGTAAAAAAAAATCGGCCCGATATTTTTCAAAAAAAAAAGTTACAGATTTGGAATAATCCAAAAATGTAAAAAAAAATTGGCCCGATATTTTTCAAAAAAAAAAAGTTACAGATTTGGAATAATCCAAAAATGTAAAAAAAAATCGGCCCGATATTTTTCAAAAAAAAAAGTTACAGATTTGGAATAATCCAAAAATGTAAAAAAAAATTGGCCCGATATTTTTCAAAAAAAAAAGTTACAGATTTGGAATAATCCAAAAATGTAAAAAAAATCGGCCCGAGATTTTTCAAAAAAAAAAAATCGGCCCGAGATTTTCCAAAAAAAAAAGTTACAGATTTGGAATAATCTAAAAATGTAAAAAAAATCGGCCCGAGATTTTCCAAAAAAAATCGGCCCGAGATTTTCCAAAAAATCGGCCCGAGATTTTTCAAAAAAAAGTTACAGATTTGGAATAATCCAAAAATGTAAAAAAAATCGGCCCGAGATTTTCCAAAAAAAACCGGCCCAAGATTTTTCAAAAAAAAAAGTTACAGATTTGGAATAATCCAAAAATGTAAAAAAAAACGGCCCGAGATTTTCCAAAAAAAAATCGGCCCGAGATTTTCCAAAAAATCGGCCCGAGATTTTCCAAAAAAAAATCGGCCCGAGATTTTTCAAAAAAAAAACCGGCCCAAGATTTTTCAAAAAAAGTTACAGATTTGGAATAATCCAAAAATGTAAAAAAAATCGGCCCGAGATTTTCTAAAAAAAAAAGTTACAGATTTGGAATAATCCAAAAATGTAAAAAAATCGGCCCGAGATTTTTCAAAAAAAAAATCGACCCGAGATTTTCCAAAAAAAAGTTACAGATTTGGAATAATCCAAAAATGTAAAAAAAAATTGGCCCGATATTTTTCAAAAAAAAGTTACAGATTTGGAATAATCCAAAAATGTAAAAAAATCGGCCCGATATTTTTCAAAAAAAAAGTTACAGATTTGGAATAATCCAAAAATGTAAAAAATTGGCCCGATATTTTTCAAAAAAAAAAGTTACAGATTTGGAATAATCCAAAAATGTAAAAAAAATCGGCCCGAGATTTTTCAAAAAAAAAAAAAATCGGCCCGAGATTTTCCAAAAAAAAAGTTACAGATTTGGAATAATCCAAAAATGTAAAAAAAAATTGGCCCGATATTTTTCAAAAAAAAATCGACCCGAGATTTTCCAAAAAAAAAGTTACAGATTTGGAATAATCCAAAAAATGTAAAAAAAAATCGGCCCGAGATTTTTCAAAAAAAATCGGCCCGATATTTTTCAAAAAAAAGTTACAGATTTGGAATAATCCAAAAAATGTAAAAAAAAATCGGCCCGAGATTTTTCAAAAAAAAAATCGACCCGAGATTTTCCAAAAAAAAGTTACAGATTTGGAATAATCCAAAAATGTAGAAAAAAATCGGCCCGAGATTTTTCAAAAAAAGTTACAGATTTGGAATAATCCAAAAATGTAAAAAAAAATTGGCCCGATATTTTTCAAAAAAAAAAAAGTTACAGATTTGGAATAATCCAAAAATGTAAAAAAATCGGCCCGAGATTTTTCAAAAAAAAGTTACAGATTTGGAATAATCCAAAAATGTAAAAAAAAATTGGCCCGATATTTTTTCAAAAAAAAGTTACAGATTTGGAATAATCCAAAAATGTAAAAAAAAAATCGGCCCGATATTTTTCAAAAAAGTTACAGATTTGGAATAATCCAAAAATGTAAAAAAAAATTGGCCCGATATTTTTCAAAAAAAAAAGTTACAGATTTGGAATAATCCAAAAATGTAAAAAAAATCGGCCCGAGATTTTTCAAAAAAAAAAAAATCGGCCCGAGATTTTCCAAAAAAAAAAGTTACAGATTTGGAATAATCCAAAAATGTAAAAAAAAATCGGCCCGATATTTTTCAAAAAAAAAAGTTACAGATTTGGAATAATCCAAAAATGTAAAAAAAAATTGGCCCGATATTTTTCAAAAAAAAAAAGTTACAGATTTGGAATAATCCAAAAATGTAAAAAAAAATCGGCCCGATATTTTTCAAAAAAAAGTTACAGATTTGGAATAATCCAAAAATGTAAAAAAAATTGGCCCGATATTTTTCAAAAAAAAAGTTACAGATTTGGAATAATCCAAAAATGTAAAAAAAATCGGCCCGAGATTTTTCAAAAAAAAATCGGCCCGAGATTTTCCAAAAAAAAAAGTTACAGATTTGGAATAATCTAAAAATGTAAAAAAAATCGGCCCGAGATTTTCCAAAAAAAATCGGCCCGAGATTTTCCAAAAAAAATCGGCCCGAGATTTTTCAAAAAAAAAGTTACAGATTTGGAATAATCCAAAAATGTAAAAAAATCGGCCCGAGATTTTCCAAAAAAAACCGGCCCAAGATTTTTCAAAAAAAAGTTACAGATTTGGAATAATCCAAAAATGTAAAAAAAAACGGCCCGAGATTTTCCAAAAAAAAATCGGCCCGAGATTTTCCAAAAAAAAATCGGCCCGAGATTTTCCAAAAAAAAATCGGCCCGAGATTTTTCAAAAAAAAAAACCGGCCCAAGATTTTTCAAAAAAAAAGTTACAGATTTGGAATAATCCAAAAATGTAAAAAAAATCGGCCCGAGATTTTCTAAAAAAAAAAGTTACAGATTTGGAATAATCCAAAAATGTAAAAAAAAATCGGCCCGAGATTTTCCAAAAAAAAAAAGCTCACTCTCGCCAATTGCCAATTTTCATTGGGCTGACATGTTGTGTCCGAAGGCTTCTTAGGACTTCAGAAAACTTCAGAAGGCTTCAGAAAACGTCAGAAAGCTTCAGAAGGCTTCAGAAGGCTTTAGAAGGCTTCTGAAAACTTCAGAATGATTCAGAAGGCTTCAGAGAGCTTTCAGAAAGTTTCAGAAAACTTCAGAAAGCTTCAGAAGGCTTCTAATGTAAGGCTTCTTCTTACCTCACAAAATACTGTAGCAGATGCCATAAAAGCGAGTTGTGCATTTGTAATATTTTTCGTTGTTCCTTCTACCAAATTCTGTAAAAAAAAAACATATCTTTGGATTACTGTAAATAGCTACAAAAACTCACATTTTTATCCGCGCCAAAATGTGAATTCAATAATTTCGAAATCATAAAAGATGCGAATAAATCGGCTCCATTATCATCATATCTCGAATAAATCGTGTCACATTTTCCTTCTTGAAAATATTCGCAAGATTTTTCAAATTGATTTTGAACACATTTTGTTGTCTCATTTGAATAATACGGTATGAAATCTTGATTTTTTGAAATTATCAAAGAATGTCCGATTTCATGAGCAATTACTTTAGCGACAGATCCAATCTGTGAATAAAATTGATTTTTGAAAAAAAATGTAAAATGGTAACTCACATAAAATGAAGGAAGATTGATTTGTGAAAGCAAAACGACAATATTCGAAAAAAACAATCCTGGATGACTATTCATCGCTTGAAATCCAGCATTCCACATTGTCACGGGACTTTGAGTTATTGAAAACACCGTTATATAACATAATGGTGAAAATAACTTTGGAAGTTCACTTTCCTTCATACATTCGTTGTATTTCTTGATGAAATCGTCGAAATATTCGATAATTTTATCTCTGAACTTATCCGGATTCGAAATATGAAGTTGTTCAAAATATGGTACGAAGATGTTTGTTATATTCATTCGATTTACCCATGGTGTATCCTATAAAAAATTTTATCGATTTTTTTCAAGGCTCTCTAGGCTCTCTAGCCTATCTAGGCTCTCTAGCCTCTCTAGGCTCTCTAGCCTCTCTAGCCTCTCTTCTCTAGCCCATTGCTCATGTTAACCACTAACCGCTAGAAGTTTTGAAGAAATCTCAATAATTTCTTTAGAAGTCTCATTAAACTTCCGATACAAATCTCGATGTTGATCAAACCATTCATAACTCCACAAAACTGAAGGAGCATCCATGAATTTTAAGATTTTTTTGTTGATACTCTGGAAAATCGATCGATAACCCAACAAATACAGTAGTATTTTCACTTACTTCAGGTAACCCCAACACATTGTACGTTGCAATTAAAGAATTCTTCACAAAATCTAAAGCTTGATCACAATTATCGAATTCAGATATTTGAGAGACACAAAAGAATGACGTGCATGGCGTGCCGAAAAATTTTTCCAATTTATCTAGATAGCCTTTGAACTCGGTTCGATTTGTTTCACAAGCGTTATTCAAATTTGATAATATGGTTTCTGTATAGTTGTCGATGATATTGGGGCTGGATTTATTGAGAAAATATGGGATTACGTCACGCTATAATATTTTTTAAATAGTTTTTTTTCTGAAAAATATGTACTTACAACTAATGTTTGATATTTTGGATCAAATGTTTTTTGGTAATTCTTTGACAAATCAGATCTGTGTTCATCTGCCAAAATTTTCATCAAATAAGGTTTATCATCCATCGGACAGACATGCCGAAAAAAGTTATCACACGGACCAATTTCCTCACTCAATCCGCTGAAAAAATGAGCCTTTTGAGCATGGCATTTCAAGCGGAACACTAACTTTTCAATCATTTTCAGATATCTGTTAACATATGAACTTGAACAACATGATATCAGGGAAAATAGCAGTGAAATATGGAAATTGAAATTGAAATTGACTAGCATTTTTAGAAGATGAAATTTTGATTTGAGCGTAGGTATTTATACAGAATAATTTCTATGGAAAGATGATTCATGGATGAATACAATTTTTGGAATTTTTTTTCTTTTTTGCAACGTTTTTTTGTTTAGAATTTTCGTACAGTATAATTGTGTAGTTGAGAACAATTGAAAAACCACGTTGCAAATTCTCTAAATTTTGCGGAGAACTATCTTGTTCTAAAAAATTCAAAAAAAATATCACGTGAAAAAAACTCCCAAATTCCATATGAAATTCATGATGGTCAAAAAATCTACAAAAAATTTCTCAATGAAAAAAATGAGAAGCACAAAATCACAGGTTTCCTTGTCAGAAATCACATCTGAATAAAATGCAACAAAAAGAGATTGCTGTAACACATCAACCTCTTTTGCATTTATTCTTCATTTTTATTTTTTTTTAATTGTAGACTACCACATACATTAATTTCAAACACTCTTTTTCCGCTCTTATATTTTTCAAATGATTACCACTTTCCTACAATGCATATTGCTATGTTTTGCATGCAAAAATGGGCGGGGCTTATTTTATGCATGCAGAAAAGTCGGTTTAATTACCCAAGTTTGAGGTAAGGGCGCGCGATTGTGATTTTTAACTGTTTATTTTTTAATTATTGCATAGTTATAAGGGTATAAAATTGAATTTGAAAAAAAAATTTGGAATAATTATTTTTTTTAGGAATTTCTTAGGCCTATACAGAATAATATTTTGTAATTAAAAAAAAACATATTTTTCCTATGCAGAAAAACGTCAAAAAAACAAAATATACAGTTTATTATTTTGAGTAGAGACAATATTGAATTTTTTCAAAGTTTCCATAACTGTTTTCAAGGCTCCAAAAATCCCTCATGTTAAAAGAAAATGTTTTATTTCAAGCATTTGTACTAAAAATTAAAATCTAGAAATTGGCGCATCTTTTCCAATAATATGGCATTGCTCATTTTTAGCCAACATCATTTTACTGTTGTCTGGACAATTGAAAGCTTCTTTGAAATCTGCATTTTGTGACATGATACTATTGATTCGAACTACATTTGCGTGATGTTCCAAATCTTGTGTTACAGATGGAACTTTCTGGAATAAATTTTCTTATGATTCTAAGGCTTCTTGAACGGAATCTTCTTACCTCACAAAGTACTGTAGCAGATGCCATAAAAGCGAGTTGTGCATTTGTGATATTTTTCGTTGTTCCTTCGACCAAATTCTGTGAAAAAATATATCTTTGGATTACTGTAAATAGCTACAAAAACGCACATTTTTATCCGCGCCAAAATGTGAATTCAACAATTCGGAAATGATAAAAGAAGCGAATAAATCAGCTCCATTATCATCATATCTCGAATAAATTGTGTCACATTTTCCTTCTTGAAAATATTCGCAAGATTTTTCAAATTGATTTTGAACACATTTTGTTGTTTCATTTGAATAATACGGTATGAAATCTTGATTTTTTGAAATTATCAGAGAATGTCCGATTTCATGCGCAACTACTTTACCGACAGATCCAATCTGAAAATAAAAGTGATTTTTTAATAATCAGAAGCTTCAGTATCCCCAAAGATGGTCTAACTTTTCATATTTAAAATGCATTGATTTTTAATCTAGTAATTTATAAAAATTGGAGCAGAATCTTCTAATTATCGAACTACAGTAACCTAAAATAACTCACATAAAACGAAGGAAGATTAATTTGTGAAAGCAAAACCACAATATTCGAAAAAACCATTCCTGGATGCATATTCAATGCTTGAAATCCAGCATTCCAAGTGATCCAAAGATCTAAAGTTTCAACTTCCCGAAGCACATTTGCATAACACAAAGCTGAAAATATTTCTGGAAATGCATTGTCCTCCATACATTTATCGTATTTTCCAATAAAACCATCCAAATATTTGATAATATTATCTCGAAACAATTCAGGTTTGTAGATATGAAGTTGTTCGAAATATGGAACAAAGATGTTGGTGAGGTTCAAGCGATTTACCCATGGTGTATCCTGGAATTATTTTTTTTTTCTGAATATTCAAAATATTTCTCAGGACTTCTAGAATTGTTCCAAGTTTTTGAAAATTTAAGATTCTTTCCAAGCTTCTGAAAACTCACCTCAAGAAGTTTCGAAGAAATTTCAATTATTTCTTGAGCAGTCTCATTAAACTTCTGATAAGAACCGCGATGTTCATCATACCATTCATAATTCCTCAAAACTTGATGGGCAAGTATGAATTCTCTGATTTTTTTCTCAACTAAACCCGCAAATTCATCACTAGGGTAGATACCAGAAAACGCATTCTTCACAAAATCCAAAGCTCGATCACAATCTTCTATTTCAGATATTTGAGAAACACACGTGCTTCCAATACATGGCTTGTCCCAAAAATTCTCCAGTTTTTTGAGATAACTGTTGAATTCAGCTCGATTTGTTTCACAAATTGTTTTCAAATTTGACGAAATTATATTTGTGAAGTTGTTTGAGACTTGGAACTTTGCAGTTAAAAAATGTTTTCGAACATCACTCTGCAATATTAAGCTGAGTTAGTCTGTAACTTTGGTTTTTTGTAACAAACCCACATTTATTTTCATATATTTTGGCTCATACGTTTTTGTGTAATTCAATAAATCCGAAATGTATTCATCTGTCAAAACTTTCATCAAATAAGGTTTATCATCCATCGGACAGACATGTCGAAAAAAGTTATCACATGGACCAATTTCCTCACTCAACCCGCTGAAAAATAAGATTTTTGAGGCCATTTCTAAACTGCCGGAAACTAACTTCTCAATCATTTTCAGATATCGATTAACATATGAACTTGAACAACATGATATCAGGAAAAATAGAAATGCAATATGAAAATAAAAATTGACCTGCATTTTTTGAAGATGAAATTTGTGATTTGAGCGTAGGTATTTATACAGAATAATTTCTAGAGAAAGATGATTCATGGATGAATACAATTTTTGGAATTTTTTTTCTTTTTTGCAACGTTTTTTTGTTTAGAATTTTCGTACAGTACAATTGTGTAGTTTTTGATTTTTTATATGAGAACAATTGCAAAATTTCCAAACTTCGCAGAGAATTTCGAATAACACTATCTTGATCCTAGGCACCCCTGTTTGTCAGAAAAAAATCTGCGAAAAAATGAAAATTTGAAATTTGGAAGCTCACATAGCAAAAAAAATTGAGAGACACAAAATGAAAAATTTACAAAAACTCGAGTTGAAAAGGTTTCCTCTAAAAAAATTTTCCCATTAATTTTAAGAAATTACCCAAAAAATTGTTCCAAAAAGTTTCACGTCAAAATTTTTTTTTTCAAATTCAATTCTATACACTTCTAACTATGCATTAATTAAAAAATAAACAGTTAAAAATCACAAATGCGCGCCCTTACCTCAAACTTGGGTAATTGAACCGACTTCTCTGCATGCATAAAATAAGCCCCGCCCATTTTTGCATGCAAAACATAGCAATATGCATTGTAGGAAAGTGGTAATCATTTGAAAAATATAAGAGCGGAAAAAGAGTTTTTGAATTGATACATATGGTAGTCCACAATTAAAAAAAAATATAAAAATGAAGAATAAATGCAAAAGAGGTTGCTGTGTTACAGTAATCTTTTTGCTCCAAAAAAAAATCTGAATTATTCAACATCAACATTTATTTGAATAAAAAATTCAAAAAATTACAAGTCACTACCACATGGGAGAATAAATCTCTCTTTCAGGATTTTCAGATTTTGGAGTCGTCGGTCTGACACTTTGTGCAAACAGGAAGCGATCTATGAAATCCTCGTTGATTGTGTTCGCGTCTGGAAATCTTTCAGCATATTCTGGATATTCTCTCCAGCCTTCATCCAATTTCAGTTTGAATTGAAGACCCATATCTTTCACGGCTTCTTGTCTGAAAAATTCCAGAATCATTAAGAAAATTCAAATTTCAGAAAAGTTACCGTACTTTTTAGGTTCTTCGGAAGCCACAGCATGAAAAATCGCAAGGATTGTTAGCAAAAACATTGGCCAAATCATTTTTGAAACTGGAAACTTGAACTGTAATTGCAAAATGTTTGGCTGAAATTTGAGAGCAATTACAAAAAATATAGTGCGTCAGAAGTTGTGAGGTGGGGGAGCCTTGAGAAGCCTTGGGAAGCCTTGGGAAGCCTTGGGAAGCCTTGAGAAGCCTTGGGAAGCCTTGAGAAGCCTTGGGAAGCCTTGGGAAGCCTTGGGAAGCCTTGGGAAGCCTTGAGAAGCCTTGGGAAGCCTTGAGAAGCCTTGAGAAGCCTTGGGAAGCCTTGAGAAGCCTTGGGAAGCCTTGGGAAGCCTTGGGAACCCTTGTGAACTCCCATGAAGCCTGAGAAGCTTCAGAAAAAAAAGAGCTGTCTGAAAAAAGGGTGAGCAAAAATAAGAATGAAATAAATAAAATTCGTATTTTTTAATTTTGGACCTTTTTTGTCTTGCCAGAAAAGAAGATTTGATTTTTTTTCGGGAAAATGTCACCGGGAAATTGATGGACCTTTTGATTTGAAATTGAAAAAATACATAAATTTTCAGCCCACGTGTCTGGCTCACAAATTCGTCATGCTGATTTTTTTCGAAAAAAAAATTGAAAATTGATTTAGGTCCAAGAAGCCTGAGAAACTTCCTAAAGCCTTCTGAAGCCTTTTGGAGCCTTCTAAAGCCCTCTGAATCCTTCTGAAGCCTAAAAGAAAAAAATATATCAAGTCTAAAAAATCAAGAAAAAATTACGATGTCGCGTCGAATTTTCTCACAATCAGGGCTGATATGATATAAAAACTCATGCTGAAAAAAAGTTTACCTGAAATTTTCAGAGCTATTTTTTCTGTAATTCGGATGTTGTTGATAATAATTCCTTTCAGACCTTTCGAGTACTGTAATTTTTTCCAGAGAAAATTTTTTCGAATTCTGATTTCATAGCTTTGTTCAGCAGATCGATTTTACATACTCCAGAATCCGAAAGATTTATTTTTAGAGCTCTTCTCCAAGGCTCTTCACTATTTCTGAAATTCTCCAAAGATCCAGGAAATTCTTGAAATTCTTAAAATTCTGCTTTCTTCTGTTATAAAAATTCCCGAATCCCTTTCTAGAGAGATTGAAAACAAAGAGCGTGACGAATTCCAAAAATCCGTGGGCTGAAAATTTATGTGTATTGTTTTTTTTCAATTTTCAATTTTTCAAATCAAAAAGGACCATCAATTTTGCTGGGGCAAGACAATGGGGTTCAAAATTAAAATGCAAATTTTGTGTTTTCAGCCAACCCACAAATTCATTTTCATAAATTTTCACCGGCTCTAAAATTTTTCACACTTCTCAAGGCCCACCTATTTTCTGACGCACATTTTTTCAGTGCTCTCAAATTTCAATTACAGTTTTTCAGTTTTTCCAGCCTCTCAAAATGACTTGGTCAACATTTTTGCTAACATTCCTTCTTGTTTCAACTGTGCTCTCACGAACCCTCAAAAGGTACAGTATTTTTTCAGATTTTTTTTTCAAATTGAATTGAATTTGTTTTCAGAGATCCAGAATCATGGGTTCAAAACTGGAGAGCAGAAGAATCTGCTGAAGAACAACTTCCAGAAATTCAGAATCTGGAGGGCGATCTCTTCAAGCGCTTCAAATTGGCAGAACAAAATGTGGAGCCAACACCTGCAAGTTCTACAAAAAAGGAGAAATATGGTCCCATTTGGTGAAAAAAAATGATTTTTCTTTGAAATTATTATTCAATTTTGTATTTTTGTGTTTCTTGGATGATAATTTCAATAAATGTTGAGCAATATTTCTGTGTACAGTAATCCTTGAAATTAAAAATATTTTTAAAAATTCAATTTCATTACCTCAGTTTTTCTACTTCAAATTAATTTTTATCTTTTCACTGATTTTTTTTTTCGAAAATTTCAGATTTTAGAATTCAAATTTTTTTTCACTTGAAAATAAACTGTTCCAATGTGAAATTGAAATTTTCAGGAAAATACTGAAATTTTTTTCTAAAAATTAATTTTGCTTGAGAAAATTCATTTTTCAAGTTTGAAAAACTTTTTCAAAGTTTAATAATCCGAAATTTCAATAAACCTTTTTTTCCGCCTGAACCCCAAAGAAAATTGTTTTTTCAAAGAATTTTTCCAACCTTCAAGTCATTTTTCACTTTTTCACAAACATCCCTCAAACTCTATCATTTTTCAAAATCTTTTTTCCCGAAAAAAATCCCAAATCCTCTAGAATAATCATTCCAATTCAAAAAATTTCAAAAACCCTTTGCCAATCACCAAAAAACTATAATTATAGGTTTTTTCCTTGATTTTCCTTTCCCCGTAAATCGACAAGGAGACGAAAAAAACACCGTGTGTTTTTGAGAGAGTGCAAGACAGCGTGAGAGAAGATAGGGCGAGTTTGGCTGTTTGGCTTGTTTCTGTCCCTGCGATGATTATTTCTTCTCTCGCTGTCTGCACTCTCTCAAAGAGACACTCTATTTCTCTCGTCTCCTATTGTCGATTTACGAGAAGTAGGAAATCAAGGGAAAAACCAATAGTTATTGTTTTTTGGTGCTTGGCGAAGGGTTTTTGAGATTTTTCTTTTTGATTTCTCTATTCTAGGGAATTTTGAATTTTTTCCAGAAAAGATTTTTGAAATTGGTGGGGTTTGAGGGATTTTAGCATTTTTTTGTGAAAAGCGAAAAATGTCTTGAAGGAATTTTTGAAAAAAATTTTTTTTCTGATTTTCTGGATAGTTTGACATTGGAAATGAATAGGATAGGAGTTTTGGGTTGGATTTCTTTAGAGTTAGCTAAAATAGCTTTTGAGAACCTTTTTTTTAAAGAAATTGTAGGGATTCTTAAAAATTTTCTTGGTATTTTAGATGTTTTCAGGATCTTGGTCGGATTTTCAAGAGAATTTTCAGAAGGAACTGAATTTTAAGCTCCGCTTTTTTTTTGAAAAAGCTAGATTTTTTGAAGTGAGAAGTGATCTGAAAATTAGGAATTTCAGAAAATTATTTCCCTGAAATTTTTCAGTTTTGATAATTTTAATGATTTTTTCAGACTTGAAAAGATTTTACTGAAACTTTAAGCTTAAAATTAAATCAAAATTTGAAAATTATGATGTCATATTTCCTTTTCACAATTAATTGTTGTATTACTCAAACTTTCACGTTCTCACACTTTTCTCTTTTTCTCTGGCACTCTCTCAAAAATCCCTCATCTCTCTCTCTCTCTTCCTCTTCTTTGTTTATTTTTCGAGAACTTTTTTGTCATTTCTTTTTTTAGTGTGATTCATAAAGCTTTAGAAGGCTTCGAAAAATTCTCAAAATTTTCCAGAATTTTCTCAGCTTCTCATTGTTTCCCTAAGGTTGCTATGGATATTTCTAAATAAACATTTTTTTTTAAAAGAAGTTTTAGTATGTTGTGCTTCATAAATTTTGATTTTTAATTCAAATTTCCTGTTTGTTTTCAGAAGAAAATCTTTTTTTTCCATTTTTTAATAATTTTTTTGATCCAGAAGCCTTCTGAAGCCTTCTGAAGCCCTCTAAAGCCCTCTGAAGCCTTCTGAAGCCTTCCGAAGCCTTCTGGAGCTTTTAAAACCCCTCTGAAGCCTCCAAAAACCTTTTGAAGCCTTCTGAAGCCTTCTGGAGCCTCCAAAAGCACTATTAAGCTTTCTGAAGCTTTTTGAAACCTTCTGAAGCCTTATGATGCTTCCAAAAGCCCTCTCAAGCCTACTGAAGCCTTCCGAAGCCTCCAAAAGCCTTCTGAAGTCCTCTCGAGCCTTCTGAAGTCTTCAAAATTCTTCTGAAGCTTCCAAAAGCCCCCTAAAGCCTTTTTTAGCCTTCTCCAGCCCTCCGAAGCCTTCTGAAGCTTTTTGAAACCTTCTGAACCCTTATGAAGCTTTCTGAAGTTCTCTGAAGCCTTGCGAAGCCTCCAAAAGGTCTCTCAAGCCTTCTAAAGCCCCCAAAAGCCCTCTCAAGCCTTCTGAAACTTTCCAAAGCCCTCTGAAGTTCTCTGAAGTCTTCTGAAGCCTCCAAAAATGTTCCCCCATCTCCCCTTCTTTTCTTGTTCCACTATCAAAAAAGCCTTTTATGACTCAAAAAACAAATAAAAAAATTCGTGTTTGTTTTCCTCCTATTTCGTCAAAAAATGTCAAAAACTGATATAAATTTAGAATTTTCCTATGCAAATATCTCATTTTCCCCTTTCCTTTTTTCTTTTTTCTTTTCTTGGCTGCCAAAAATGCGCCAAGCCACCAAAAATTGACGCATTTTGGGTGCAACTTGTTATGAATAACCTTTTTTCGCGTCTTTTTCTTTTTTTTTAGAAAAAATATATGAAATTATCGATTTTTCCAGGGGAAAAATGGACATTGTTGAGGACGATTCGGTGCAGAATAATAATGTGAGTCGTTTTTTTGTGGCTGTGAAAAAAAAGAAATTTTTTTTTTGATAAGAAACATTACAATTTTTGTTCGTTTCTTTCTCTCATTCTCTGCTTCGGGAAGAAGAAAATTTCTTGATTTTTTTTTATTTTCGAAAAAAAATTTTGATTCAAAATTGAAATGGAAATGAATGAGTTTCATAGGAGTTATAAGGTTGGTTTTTGAATTTTACAAATTTAATTGAAAAAAAAAATCTATTTTGAACTCATTTTTGAGCTTAGATTCCCGGGGATTTTTGAAAAATTTCATAATTTTTTAAGAATTTTAAAATTTTTCAAAAGATTCAGGAGGCTTCCCAAGGCTTCCCAAGGCTTCCCAAGGCTCCCCAAGGCTTCCCAAGGCTTCTCAAGGCTTCCCAAAGCTTCCCAAGGCTTCCCAAGGCTTCCCATAACTTCCCAAGGCTTCTCAAAACTTCCCGAAGCTTCCCAAGGCTTCCCAAGGCTTCCCAAGGCTTCCCAAGGCTTCCCAAGGCTTCCCAAGGCTTCCCAAAGCTTCCCAAGGCTTCCCAAGGCTTCCCAAGGCTTCCCAAGGCTTCCCAAGGCTTCTTTTTTTTCCAGAAATGTGCACACGTCGAGAAAAAGACTGAAAAAGAGCTGAAATTTATTGGCGAGCCGATTTCCAACACATCAATCGATTTGAAGTGAGTTATTTTGGGTGGGAATTTGAAAATTTGAACTTTTGTACCCTTTTTTTCTTATCAATAAATTTTATTAAAAATAGAAAAGTTTTGAAAATTGAAAAATTCAAGCCAAAATTTCATATTTCATCATTTTTTGTAAACAAATTGCAATTATCGATTTTTTTCGGAAATAAAAAAGCTATAGTGAATTTTTGCGAAATAACCAGAAGATTATTGATTTTCAGATGTTTTTCTGAAAAAATAATTTCAGCCTAATTCAAAGCTGAAAATTGGAATGTTAAGATTTTCTGAAATTCAAGAATTTCAGGGTTTTTTGCTGAAAAAAAAACAATTTTTATAAAAGATTTTCCAGAATTAAAAAAAAGCCCAACTCATATTCTTTTTTAAATGTTTTTCTGAAAAATAATTTCAGCCTAATTCAGTACTAGAAATAAGAATGTTAAGAAATCCAAAAATTGAAGAATTTCAGGCTTTTTTGCTGAAAAATCTATAATTTTAAGATTTTCGGAAATTCCAGCTTAGCTTAGCTCATATACTTTTTTAAAAAATATTTTTCTAAAAAATAATTTCAGCCTAATTCAGTGCTGAAAATTCGAATGTTAAGATTTTCTGAAATACAAGAACTTCAAGTTTTTTTGCTGAAAAAGTTAGAATTTTAAGATTTCCTGAAATTCAAGCCTAGTCTAGCTCATATACTTTTTTTAAAAAATGTTTTTCTGAAAAATAATTTCAGCCTGATTCAATACTAGAAATCAGAAATTTTAGGATTTCAGAAAATTCAAGAATTTCAGGCTTTTTTGCTGAAAAAAAAACAATTTTTTTCAGAGATTTTCCAGAATTAAAGCCTAGCTAAGCCTAAGGCTTAATTAGGATTCTAGGCTTAAGCCCTAAGTCTAGGCTTAGGCCCTAAGCCTAGAATCCTAATTAAGCCTAAGCCTAGAATCCTAATTAAGTCTAATCCTAGAACTTTTGCTAAGCCTAAGCCTAGACTTCAGCCTGATTCTAACCCCCAAAAATCCCAATTTTTTCCAGAAAAGTGTCGAAGAAGCTGGGCTTCCAAGTTAGCCTATCTCTCGTTTTCTTCTTCGTCGAACTCATCGTTGGAATTTTGTGCAAATCAGTTGCTCTTGTCGCTGATAGTTATCATATGATTAGTGACGTCACCGCTTTGGTTGTTGCGTTTGCCTGTTTGAGAGTGGGTTTTTTTTCTCTAGAACTTACCATAACTCCTCTTAAAATCCTTGCAGCTCGCCAACAAAACCACCAAATCCAACACGTACGGTCTCGTCAGAATGGAAGCCGTCGGCGGTCTTTTCAACGGCCTCTTCCTCTTCACGGTGTGTCTTTCGATTTTCCAAGAAGCCGCTCAACGGCTCATCAATCCGAGCACAATTAAAGAGCCCGAATTTGTGATGGCTGTTGGTGTCATCGGATTAGTGATCAATATTGTTGGATTGTTTTTGATGCACGGTGAACACGGACATTCACATGGTGGAGGTGGACATGGACATAGTCATGGTGGAGCTGCGAAGAAAAATGGGGCCACTAAAAATCATGGGCATAGTCATGAGAAGGCTAAAGATGCGGAACCACTTATGATGATTGAAGAAGTTCGGGAGAAAAGGTTGAATTCGGGGATTTCGCTGGAAAAAGTTACACCGTATAATGTGAGTTTTTTAAGGGGATTCTTAAATTAAAATTGAATTTTTTGGTGACTGTAAAAAAATTGATGAAAATGCCAATGAATTGGACCTGTTCCAATTCATTGCCTCAAAGTTTTATCGATTTTTTGAAAAAAAGTTCTGACTGGATTCTGTTGATTTCAGTCAGTTGATTTTCAAGCTACAGTAATCCGGAGAATATTTCGCCAAAAATCGGATAGGTTTTGAACTACAGTAACCAAAAACATCCAGATGAAATTTGAGATACAGTAATCTTGAGAAAATAGGGACTAAAAGATCTAGATGAATTTTGAGCTACAGTAATCCGAGAAAAAAGTTTCGTAAATAACCAGGTCAATTTAGAACTACAGTAATCCAGAAAAAATAGGGTCCAAAACATTAGATGAATTTTAAGCTACAGTAATATAGATTTTTCATCTACAGTAATCCGAGAAAATCTGGCGCTGAAAACTTGTGATTTTTCAGCTACAGTAACCTAACAAAAATTGTTAAAAATCACCTGGTCAATTTTGAACTACAGTAATCTAGAAAAAATGGAGGCCAAAATATCCAGATGAATTTTGAGCTACAGTATGAATTTTGAGCTATTTTGAATGAATGAATTTTGAGCTATTTTGAGCTACAGTAACATCTAGATGATTTTCAAGCTACAGTAATCTAAAAAAAAATTCAAAAAACAACGAGGTCAATTTTGAACTACAGTACGCTAGAAAAAATAGGGGCTAAAACATCTAGATGAATTTTGAGATACAGTAATCCAAAAACATTTTGAAGCCGAAAACTTGATGGTTTTAGGGATACAGTAATTCGAAACATCTCGATGAATTTTGAGCTACAGTAATCCGAGAAAAATCTTCTCCAGGTGTATTCAGAGAACTACAGTAATCTAGAAGAATTAGAGATAAAAAAATCTAACATGCATTTTGTGCATTTTGAGCTACAGTACTCCAAAACAATCCCAAAAAAAATCAATAATCTCCAAATTTCTGCAGGGAATAACAAAACAATTGCTCGATTCAATGTCAACAATCGATTCCGGCTCAGAACACGACGAAACCGACGAAACAACCAAAAAATCAAAAAAATCCAAAAAAACCAAAAATGTAAATATCATGGGCGTCTATCTTCATCTACTTTCTGATGCAATTGGTTCAGTCATAGTTATCCTAACTTCAATAGTCGTCATTTTCTTCAAAGACTGGAGATTTACACCGTATTTGGACCCGGTTTTAAGCATGTGCCTGGCTTCTATGATGAGTGTCACTTCAATTCAACTTATCGTAAATGCCAGTTATATTTTGCTCAGAAAAAGTCCACGTGGTTTCAATGTGGAGAAGTTGCAAGCTGATGTTAAAAAGGTGAGGATTTTTGGAGACCTCCCACGAAGAAAACCCCAAATTCCTTTTCCAGATAAACGGAGTTGTGACTGTAAACGACGTCAAAGCTTGGCCCTTAACTGGATCTCGAATTGTTGCAAGTGTTCGTGTTCTCGTGTGCAATCCGATTATTTATCCGTCGGTTTCGAAGAAAATCAAAATTCTGTTCCATGACAATGGTTGCCATTCGGTGTCGATTGAACCGACTTTTGAGGTATGGCTACTTGAGAACAAGGTTTTCTAGGCTATACTTCTTGACATAGAAGCTCTGTAGGCGCGAACTCTTGACAAAGATGCTCTCAAGGCGCTGCTACTTGAGAGCTACGTTTTCTAGGCGCTGCTACTTGTCATAGCAGCTCTCAAATTGCTAACTCTTGACGAAGATGCTCTCAAGGCGCGGCTACTTGAAAGCTACGTTTTCTGGACTCTGCTACTTGACATAGGAGTCCTTAAGGCGCGGATCCTTGTCAGAGTGATTCTCTCGGCGCGGCTACTGGTCATCGCAACTCCTTAATCGCGAACTCTTGACAACAATGTTCTCAAAGCGCGGCTACTTGAGAGCTACATTTTCTAGGTTTTACTGCTTGACATAGATGCTCTCAAGGCGCGGATCCTTGCAAGAGTGGTGTTCTAGGCGGGGCTGCTTGATGACGAATCTTTCCAGGCGCCACACCTAGCCGAAATCCTTCCCAAATTCAAAAAATCTCCTAAAAACCTAAAAACCTCTCATTTTTTCCAGGAAGAATGTATGCAAAAAATCAACGAATCAACATAAATCTGGTCATATTTCATTTGTATTTTCTCTACAATTTTAATGCATTTTTTTTATTTTGAATCCAAATACTTATTATTCTCTTAATACAATACCTGTGATACCAAAAAACAATACTTTAAAAATTCCTTAATAAATTTTTTTTTCTGAAATTTGATTTTTTTTGAATTTTTTAAGTGAGTTTTTTAATGCGTTTTTTTATTCGCTGAAAATACTTGTCTAGGGATTTTGTGGCTCAGAAAATTTGAAACAAACAGGCCAAATCTAGGCTCATTTAGGCTCAAAAAATCTAGAATTTCAGGCCAAATCTAGGCTCATTTAGGCTCAAAATATCCAGAATTTCTGGGCCGAAAACTAGGCTCAAAAAATCCAGAAATCTAGACCGAAAACTAGGCTTATCTAGACTCTAAAAATTCAGAATTTTCAGGCCAAAAATTTAGGCTTAATCAGGCTCAAAAAATCCAGAATTCCAGACCGAAAATCTAGGCTCACCTAGGCTCAAAAAAATCCAAATTTCCAGATCTAGTCAAAAATGGAAGAGAACATATCAATATCCCTAAACACCGAAGAAATAATCGAAGAAGAAGATCCAACATCAGTGATTGCTCAGCTTAGACGAATTCAGGAACTCAACAAAGATGGCGATTTTTTGAAAAAAGAGGATTTGGATTATATCAAAAATTATGATCGCAAAGTTTATGGCCGAAAATTCTCGTCAGATGAAGAGGATTATTATCCGAAGAAAAAATATGAAGAAGTTGAAGTTGAAGAGGATTCAGATGAATTTTATTATGATTCTGAAACTGGAGAATATTTCGAAGTTGATGATGATCTTGAAGATCAAGATCAAGATCAAGATCAGGAGGAAGATCCGGAAAAACTGGTTGAAGATTATTATGATGAAGAAGAGGAGATTCTGAAGAGTCAAGATCCACCTTCGGCGTTGGATAAATTTAAATCGAAATCGAATTCGGGCGAATCGAAGGTTCATGATTTTATTGATGTGGATTTTCCGATTTTGATGAGTATGACTAGAGTTTGGTTTGAGGAGGGGAGGAAGTGAGTTTTTTATTTTTGGGAGGGGAAATTTTGAACGTGTTATGATTTTGGTGGCCTTGAAACCCACATTCTTGCTTCTGGTGGCCTAGGAATCCAAATATCTCTCAAAAACTCTTCCAGGTGGCCTAGAAACCCAAATTCTCGCTTCTGATGGCCTAGGAATCCAAATATTATTCAAAAACTTTTCCTTTTGGCCTAGAAATCAGTATTCATGTTTCTGATGGCCTAGAAATCCAAATATTGTTTGAAAACTCTTCCAGATGGCTTAGAAACCCAAATTCTCGCTTCTGGTGGCCTAGAAATCCAAATTTTATCCAAAAACTCTTCCAGAACCTAAATTCTTGTTTCTAATAGCCTAGGAATCCAAATTTTATCCAAAACCTCTTCCAGATAACCTAGAAACCCAAATTCTTGTTTCTGATGGCCTAGGAATCCAAATTTTATCCAAAACCTCTTCCAGATAACCTAGAAACCCAAATTCTTGTTTCTGATGGCCTAGGAATCCAAATTTCATCCAAAAACTCTTCCAGATGACCCAGGAATCCAAATTTTATCCAAAACCTCTCCCAGATGACCTAGAAACCCGAATTCTTGTTTCTGATGGCCTAGAAACCCAAATTCCCAAGCCTAGGTTCATTTAGGCTCAAAAGAATCCAAATTTTCAACCTACCATTCTCAATCTGTGTAGTTCTCTCGGAAAACTTATTTTTTTTCCAGAATCGGAACTCTTCCCCTTGTCGCAATTGCTGATCAATTAGATGTGCCTGAAACTTGCTCAATTGGCTCATGGAGAGAAGTGGCGAATTATTTCAAAATTTCACCGCAACTTTTTCTTGTAAGTTAGAATTTTTTGGAATTTCAGGCTCAGAATCTAGGCTGATTTAGATTCAAAAAATCCGGAATTTCAGGTCCAGAATCTAGGCTTTTTTAGGCTTAAAAAATCGATGAATACAGCCTGAAAATCTAGACTTATTTAGGCTCAAGTCATCCAGAATTTCAGGCTCGAACTCCAGGCTTTTCTAGACCCAAAAAATCCGGAATTTCAGGGTTAAAAATTCGAAGTTTCAAGCCAAAAATCTGGACCTATTCAGGCTCAGAATCTAGGCTTATTTAGGCTCAATATATCCAGGCTTTTCTAGACTTAAAAAAATCGATAATTTCAGCCTGAAAATTTAGGCTTATTTAGGCTCAAAATAACCAGAATTTTAAGCTCAGAATCTAGGCTTTTCTAGACTTAAAAATCGATAATTTCAGCTTGAAAATCTAGGCTTACCTAGACTCAAAAATCGATAATTTCAGCCTGAAAGTTTAGGCTTATTTAGGCTCAAAATAACCAGAATTTTAAGCTCAGAATCTAGGCTTTTCTAGACTTAAAAAATCGATAATTTCAGCTTGAAAATCTAGACTTATTTAGGCTCAAAATATCCAGAATTTCAGGTTCGAACTCTAGGCTTTTCTAGACCGTAAAAAATCGATAATTTCAGCCTAAAAATCTAGGCTTTTCTAGACCGTAAAAAACGATAATTTCAGCCTGAAAACTAGGCTTATTTAGGCTTAATTTATCCAGGCTTTTCTAGACTTAAAAAATCGTTTATTTCAGTCTGAAAATCTAGGCTAATTAGACTCAAAAAATCCAGAATTTCAAGCTGAAAACTAGGCTTTTCTAGACTCAAAATAACCAGAATTTCAGGTTCGAACTCTTGACTTTTCTAGACTCAAAAATCGATAATTCCAGCCTGAAAATCTTGCCTTTTTTAGATTCGAAAATCGATAATTTCAGGCTCACAATCTAGGCTTTTAGCCCAAAAAATCCGGAATTTCAGACTCAAACTCTAGGCTTTTCTAGATTCAAAAATCGATAATTTCAGGCTCACAATCTAGACCTATTTAGATTTATAATATCCAGAATGTCAGGCTGAAAACTAGGCTTCTCAGACCTTCTCACCCCAATATCGATTTTTTCCAGAATCTCGAAGCCAACTCCGAAACAGCTTGCCTCGATCTTTTGGAGCATTTACGAGAAGAAAAAGCTCAAAAATTGGTATATTCACTAGAAAGTATTAGAAGATTAGATGTCTTAGCTTTCCTGAAAATTTTCCGAAATCAACGACAAAATAATGAGATCTTCAATCTGGAAGCAATGTCTCGAACAAACTCAATGCATTCTGGAATTGGTTTCAGCCAAATGAGCACCGGAAGAATTGGCGATTCTGAAATTATTGCAGCAGCTCCTGTGCAAAGTCCGATGGTGATCAAGAAAAATGGGAAGATTCTCGCAGGTCCCCCAATAATTTTGATAAATCATGCGGAAAAAACGGCACTGGAATTGAAAAATTATCGATGGCTGGTGAAGAATTTGAAAAGTAATTTGAAGAATTTCCATTTTCAAATTGTTGACATCGCTGAACTTATGGATGATTTTTCGCAAATTTTGGAGATTTATCAAAATTCGACGCATGTGCTCATTTGTTATAACAAAACCTATTTGAATATGTTGAATGAGGATGAGGAGATTTGGAAGTTTCGAAAGTTTGTGCATCAGCAGACACAATCGGAGTTTTTTAGTCAGGGAATGAAGAATTTGAGATGTAGGAGTGTTTTAATGCCGGTGAGTTTGGGTTTTTGGGCTTCAGAAGGCTTCAGAAGGCTTCAGAAGGCTTTAGAGGGCCCTAGAAGGCTTTTCAGGGCTTCAGAATGCTTCAGAAGGCCTCCAAAGGCTTCAGAAGGCTTCAGAAAGCCTCAGAATGCTTTAGAGGGCTTCAGAAGGCTCCAAAAGGCTTTAGAGGACTTCAGAAGGCTACAGAAGGCTTCCCAAGGCTTCCAAAGGCTTCAGAAGGCTTCCCTAGGCTTCAGAAGGCTTCAGAAGGCTCCAGAAAAGTGAAATGCACTTTTGTTTTTTTTTTTTCACACAACATGATTGAAATTTGTGTGTTGAACTTTCAGAAATGTGCTCTCTAGAGAATATCTGTCAGATTTTTTCCCTCTTCTGATTTTTTTTCAGATTGCACTTTAAGTTTTAATTTCAGGCTTAAAAATTTGAGAAAATTATATGTCTGGAAAATTATTTTATGACGTAGATTATTTTTTGAGAGCGAAAATCTCTGGAGATTTTTTGTCTGATTTTATTTTTGGAATTTTTTTCAGAAAAATTATTTGAAGAAGCCTAAGAAGCCTTCTAAGCCCCTTCTGAAGCTCTCTGGAGCTTTCTGAAAATTTCAGCAGCTCTCTGAAGCCTTCTGAAGCCTTCTGAAGCCCTTTAAAGCCTTCTAAAGCCCTCTAAAGCTTTCTGAAGCCTTCTGGGGCTTTCTGAAAATTTCAGAAGCTCTCTGAAGCCCTCTAAAGCCTTCTGAAGCCTTCTGAAGCCCTTTAAAGCTTTCTGAAGCCTTCTGAAGCCTATAAATGTGATAAGGATCCGCCCCTAGACAACTTCAGAGCTTTCATGCCAAGCATCCTTGAGATCTATTCTGGCAAGGAACCGCGCCTAGAGAACTCAAACGTCAAGTAACCGCGCCTAGAAAGCCAAAAATTCCCAGAAATTCTTCCAAACTCCCCAATTTTTCAATATATTTTTATTCCAGGGTCTCACCACATCCGAATCAACAGGCTGGGCTCCAGTCACCCACCAATACGCTTTCCCTTCAGATCTCCAAGGACTTCTAAATCGAATTATTGATTCGAAAAATACAATATGAACTTATTCTATGTCATTTTATTTTTCTTTTTTCTGTGTTCGTTAGACACAACAAGTTGAAACAGCGAGAGAGAAAGAGAGTCTAGACAGCTAGAGAAAAATGAGAGAGTGAAGAGAGAGCAGAGAGAAAAAATGCCGATTTATTTTTTTTGTGTTGTGTCTGTCTAGCATTTTTCTTGGGTTGCGTTGGGTTATAATTACGAGTGTCTAGGACCTTTTGACTTAGCGAAACTTGGCTTTTTATATGGGTGGTCCTGGGATTTTTTTTTTATATTTCTGAATTTTTGAACAGTTTTTTTCTCGGAAAACTACGATTCTGTTGACTATTTTTCACTGTTTTTTGAAAAAATGTTCCCTGGAATTTTCTAATTTTTGCTCCAGTTCTTGTGCTTTTTAAGTTTCTGTAAGTATATTTTTCAATTTTTTATTTTCTAGAAAATATTTTCAGAACCACCTTGGTTTTTTTTCTTGTGATTTTCAATTTTTATATTTTTCTGAGGCCTTCCGAAGCCTTTTGAATCCTCTTCTAGCCTTCTGAAGCCTTCTGAGCCCTTCTGAAGCCTTCTAAAGATTTCTGAAGCCCACTAGATGTTTCTGGAGCCTTCTAAAGCCTTTCTGAAGCTTTCTGAATCCTATTCTAGCCTTCTGAAGCTCTATAGAAATTTCTGAAGCTTTCTGAAGCTCTCTGAAGCCTTCTGAAGCTTTCCGAAGCCCTCTAGAGATCTCTGAACCTTTCTGAAGCCTTCTGATGCTTTATTCTACCTTCTGAAGCCTTCTAGAGATTTCCGAAGCCTTCTGAAGCCTTCTGAAGTCTCTCAAAGCCCTCTAGGGCCTTCCAGAAGCCCTCTGCAGCCCTCCAAAGCTCTCTAAGGCCTGAAACCTTCATAACGTGTTTTTTGTGATATCTTATCAAAAATAATGTGTGCTCCAAATTATTTGCTCCATTTTTTTTTTTTAGAAAAATCATGGGACCACCATGTTTTTTCTTCTCCAATCAAAAAAAGCGGTCTAAATTTATTGCATTTTTTTCCGAATACTATAATTTTCCTAGATTTTCTTTTTCTCACAATCAGGTTTTAATCTGAAAGAGCACTACTCCTATTTTTCAAACAAGGGTAGTCATTTTTGGCGCGAAAAACGCGATAAATTTTGAACTACAGTATCTTTGAGAACCCTGAAATTTACCAATTTTTTCAATTTTTCGCCACGTCATTTTCCCCCGCTGACTCAGGATTTTCTTATCAATATTTTCTCTTCTAGCTGTCAAATTTCTGCCCAAAAATGTTCTTTTTTGAAGTGTCAATCGTCCTTCAGTCAAAAAAAATGATAAAAATCGAATTATTTCAGAAGGTTAGAGAGTTAGAGAGCCTAGAGAGGCTAGAGAGCCTAGAGAAAATTCTCAGCCATCTGCTCTTTTTTTTTCATCCTGATGAAACATGACAAAAATAACATCTGGTGAGAAAAAATCCGCTTAATTTCCATGGAAACTGAAAAATTGATACAATTTCAATTTCAATTTCAATTTCACACATTTTCCCATAATTTTTCCCTATAATTTTTTCGTATTTTTGGAATATAGATAGAATATCAAATTTCAAAAGGTATAGGTTTTGTTTATATTTATTGAATTATTTTTTTTGGAAACGAATATTTATAAACAGAGAGAGAGAGAGAGATTACTGTATTTTTTCACGATTTCTCACGTAGAAAAAGGCTCTTGAAGGCTTTAGAAGACTTCAAGAGATTCCAGAAGGATTCAGAAAGCTTCAAAAGGCTTCAGAAGACTCCAAGAGATTCCAGAAGGCTTCAGAATCCCCTTTTTCCATTCTCGTTCCCGAAGATCAAATTAAAGTTTAACAAATTCTGAATCAGTGGATTTTCAGATGTTAAAATTCAGAAATTTTAAATTGATAACATTTTTCATCGGGATTTGGGCTGAAAATTAGACTTCTAGGGGTTTCAGAAGGCTTCCGATGGCTTCAGAAAGCTTCAGGAGGTTTCAGAAAAACTCAGAAGGCTTTAGGAGGCTTTTGAAGGCTTCAGAGGGCTTTAGGAGGCTTTTGAAGGTTTCAGCGGGCTTCAGAAGACTTCAGAAGGTTTCAGAAGGCTTCTGAAGAATCCAGAAGGCCTCAGAAGGCTTCAGAAGGCTTCAAAAGGCTTCAAAAGGCTTCAGGAGCCTTCAGAAGACCCCTTTTCATTCCGCTTCCCCAAGACCAAAAAATCAAAAAAAAGGTAGAATAAATTACAGCCATACGGTACTGCCCATATTTTTTTGTCTGTTCTGGCGTCCCCATAACTTTCCCCAATTTTTGTTTGTCTTCTTCTTCTCATTTTACTGATAACATATTATTTTTATTATTTTTCATTCCCCGTTTGCTATCAAACCCTTTTTTCTTTTTTCAGGGTACACTAAACAAAATAATATTATGCGTCTAGTTTTCGTCCTATTCTTGCTGACCACTTTTCTCATTTTGGGTACTGTAGATACGGCTGGCAAAAAGCAGAAGAAGAATCAGAAACCGACGCCGGAGCCAGTGAGTTTTTTTGTTTCTGACATAAAAAATTATTGATTTTTTTTGCAGATTTCTTCTGAAGGTGAAGAAGATGAAGATGCGATTCCTGAGAAAACATTGGATGAAATTAATGAGGGACATATAGGCAAATATGATGTGGGTTTTGGGGATTTCGGGGGCCTGGGGGCTGGAGGGGGCTTTAGGAGGCTCCGGAAGACGTCAGAAGGCTTCCGAAGGCTTCAGAAAGCTTCAGAAAGCTTCAGAAGGCTTTAAAAGGCTTCGAAGGCTTCACGAGGCTTCAGAAGACTTCAGAAGGCTTCAGAAGCTCTATGAAACTCTCAGAAACTTTCCTGAGCTTTAGCTTAAAATCCTCGAATTAAAAATCAAATTTGTATTGAAATCTAAAATTGTGAATGTGACTATGATTTGGGGTACTGTAGAGAAAGGAAAACCATGTGGAATTAAAAAAAAAAAAAAAAAACACTGAATTTCTAATTGATACTTATTTTTGAGGTGAACATTTTTTGGCCAAAAAAATTTTGAGATTCTGTATTTTTGGAAAATTTAAAGGAGCCTACAGTAATCCACAAACTTTTGAAGAAACATACAATCTACAGTAACCCCCGCAAAGTTAAAGGAGCATAGGGTATCTAGGGTAATGTATTCAGGTTTTTCGGAAATTCTGAAAATCCACTTGGCAATTACAGCCACCAGAAGGCTTGAGAGGGCTTCGAAGGGCTTTAGGAAGCTTGAGAAGGCTTTAGAGGGCTTCAGAAGGCTTCAGAACGTTTCAGAAGGCTTCAGAAGGCTTCAGAAAAACTATATTTTTCAGAAAAAACCCAAAAAACCCAGTGAAAACGGAGACGATGATGATGAGCGAATGCTTGAAGCTTGTAGCGGTGAATCTGATCAATTATGCGTTTGTGATGTGGACACTATTGATTGTAGAAATGTGAGTTTTTTCTACAGTAGTCCTGGACAGTTTAAAGGAACATAATAAAACGTTTAAAGGAACATAATGAAAATTTTCACTTTTCTAGTTAGATCTGCAGGTGTACCTTTAAACTTGATATTTTTAAGCCAGAAGAATGTTCAATTGCCTGATAACCAAAAGGCTGTGACGTAATACAAAAAATAATTGGAAATTTCCGGAAATTTTCTGATTTGGCCAAAAACATTTTTTTTTCAGGTCGATTTCGGTCAAGCTAATTATGCCCTTCAAACTGCGAATCTGAAAATAATGCAAAAAGATTTCAAGCCACTGATTGCTGATTTTTCCGACAATAGAATTGGTACAAAACTTCATGTTGATGAAATTCTGCCGGGATCTGAAAAATATGTCAGTGAGCTGAAATTCAGTATTAATGCGATTATCACTATTGATCCGAATGCTTTTGTGAAATTCACCAATTTGAGCAAATTATATTTGGATCATAATAGTATTAAGAATTTGAAACCGTGAGTTTTTTGCTTTCTGAAGTCTTCTGAAAACTTCTGGAGCTTTCTGAAGCCTTTTGAAGCCCGCAGAAGCTTTTTAAAGGCTTCCAAAGCTCTCTAAAGCCTTCTGAATCGTTCTGAAGCCTTCTGAAGCTTACTGAAAACTTCTGGAATCTTGTGAAGCCTCCTGAAGCCTTCTGAAGCCTTCCGAAGCCTTCTGAAGTGTTCTGAAGCCTTCTGAATCCTTCTGGAGCCTTCCAAAGCTCTCGTAAGCTTTCTGAATCCTCCTGGAGCCTTCTGGAGCCTTCTGGAGCCTTCTGAATATTTCTGGAGCTCCCTGAAGCGTTATGTAGCCTTCCGAAGCCTTCTGAAGCCTTCTGAATTCTTCTGAAGCCCTTCTGAATCCTTCTGAAGCTTTCTGAAGCCTTCTGAATCTTTCTGAAGTTTTCTGAAGCCTTCTGAAGCCTAACAATAAAATCAATAAAAAAATAATTTTTTTTCCAGAGAATGGTTCGCTCCACTCAGCAAAACTCTTCACAAACTCGACCTCAGCAACAATCAATTCACCGATATTCCAGACGGAATGTTTGAAAGTCTGAAAAATTTGCGCGTCTTGAATTTGGACAATAATCCATTGAAATTGAGAAAAGAAATGTTCCGTGGATTGGAGAATTTGGAAGAATTGAGTTTGGATGGATGTCGCATCACTGATTTGCCTGGTGATATTTTCGAATATATGCCGTGAGTTTTTGGAAATGGGACTTTTTTTATAGAATTTGTTATTGCTCATGTTAAAAAAATCATCCGATTTTTTTGAATCTAAATATAAAGGTTATATAATTTTTTAGTTGAAAAATTCCGATCTTTCGAATCTAAATATGATATTGCTCAGGTTATATAATTTTAGTTTAAACTTGAAAGTTCCGATCTTTTGAATCTAAATATGATATTGCTCAGGTTATGTGATTTTTTAGTTGAACAATTCCGATCTGTTGAATCTAATTATAGGATTGCTCAGGTTATATAATTTGTTTGTTGTCGAGAAGTTTCCAATCTTTTGAATCTAAATATAGTATTGCTCAGGTTATATGATTTTTTAGTTGAACAATTCCGATCTGTTGAATCTAATTATAGGATTGCTCAGGTTATATAATTTTTTAATCAAAAGTGTTCCATGTTTTAAATTAAATCTAGCATTGCTCAGGTTATATAATTTTTTGTTGTTGAGAAGTTTCCGATTTTTCAATCTAAATATAGGATTGCTCAGATTATGAAAAAAAACACAATACAAAATAGTTTAAAGGAACATGTAGTGCAAAAAATGAACTTAGGTTAGATCTGCAGGTTTACTACAGTAATTTTGTAGCTTAACAGAATTTTTTTTGGCTGAAAATTGCAGAATTTTTTCCAGAAACCTCAAAGGTGTCTCTATCGCCTACAACAAGTTCACCGAACTTCCCAGAGCTCTCTCAAACATCAAAAACCTCGCATCCTTGGATATTTCTGGAACTGCAATTGCTGAAATTCACGACAACGCCTTCGGAACCATCAAAAGCCTCGAAGAAATCTACATGGAAAAAATGACATTCCTCACCGTAATCCGCGATTGTGCCTTCTGTGGATTAGTGAATCTCAAAAAGGTTTTAGCTGACAACAATACAAAACTCGTCGAGTTTCATCCAAATGCTTTTGGATTTATTGAAAGTGAGCCTGGAATGAAGGTGACACGATTGGAAGAATTGGATATTAGAGATTGTAATATTAGTGAGATGAGCCAACATACGATGGATTTTTCGACGCTGAAAATCTTCAAGTATGGTGGAAATCCGTGGAATTGCACGTGTGATTTGCAATTTATGATTGGCGAGGATCAAGTTGGTGGAGATTATGATCATGTTTTTGCAAAGTGAGTTTAGAGTGAGCTTCAGAAGTCATCAGGAGGCATCCGAAGTCTTCAGAAGGCTTCAGGAGGCTTAAGTAGCCTTTCAGAAGGTCTGAGGAGACTTCAGAAGGCTTCAGGAGGCTTCAGAAGGCTTCAGAAGGCTTCAGAAATCTTCAGAAGGCTTCAGGAGGCTTAAGTAGCCTTTCAGAAGGTCTGAGGAGACTTCAGAAGGCTTCAGGAGGCTTCAGAAGGCTTCAGAAGGCTTCAGAAATCTTCAGAATGCTTCAGAAGGCTCCAGAAGGCTTCAGAAGACTCGAGAGGGCTTCAGAAGGCTTCAGGAAACTTCCAAAGGCTTCAGAAGGCTTCAAAAGGCTTTTTGAGATTTCAGAAGACTTCAGAAGATATTTTTGAATACAAAATGTAATTTTTCAATATTTTTAATAACATGAGCAATGCTTGATTTTTTTCTTTTCCAGAAAATACGAAATTTTCCAGAAAATTAAATCAAAAAATAAATTTAACTGGAATTTTGATAAAGTTTTTCAGGACTACTGTAACTTTGACTATAAAAATTCGACAAATGATCTAACAATTTCAGAATTAGATTTTCAACAAAACTTATTTTTCTGCAAGATTCTTCAGCTTCTGAGAGCCTAATGTCCAGTACTTTCAAAATGAATTCTCGAATTTTTTGAATAACATGAGCAATTAGTGATTTTTAATTTTTCCAGAAAATACGAAATTTTTCAGGATTACTGTAATTCAAACATTTATTTTTAGATTTTTAGATTTTCAGAAAAAAAATTTCATTTTTTTTTTGTACACGATGTTCTAGCTTCTGAGAGCCTCCAGAGCCTTAAGACCCTAAAGAGCCTGGAGAGTTAGCGAAACTCAAAAAATCCAAATTTTCCAGATGCGCTTATCCAAAAGAACTCAAAGGCAAAACCCTCTACTCCCTCAAAAAATACCAAGTCTGCGAAGAAACCCGTCAAGCTCACAAAACCTCCAGAATCCTGATCATTTTCGTCCTCTTCCTTCTCGTCATTTTCGTTTCACTCGGATGTTTTTTGTTGGTCTCAACTGGAAAATTGTCGGATATGTTGAGAAAAGTTCAAGTTCCAGAAGTTTCCTATTCGAATTTGACCGATCGATGTGAGGAGAATATTATTATGGATGACGATTTTCAAGCTAGACCGGCTCAAGTTTAGATTTGAGTGCGACTTAGCCGAACTTTTTTTTAGGGGATTTTTTATTCGAAAATGATCAGATTTGCTAGAAATTCGAAATTTTTTTTCCAGCCTATATTTTCAGCAAAATCTGAAATGTTCAATACTCATGTTTGAGCTCATTTTGAAGCTCTTGAATTTCTCTGCAAAACGAGTCCAAACATGGTTTTCGAAATTTTCAGATTTTGACTGAAAATCATGGCTGAAAACTCGGACCTTTTCTCTTCAAGAGCTTATGTTTCAGCCTAGATTTTCAGCAAAACTTGAGATTTTCAATAATCATGTTTGGGCTCATTTTGGAGCCCTTGAAATTTTCTATAAAATGAGCTCACATATTATTTTTGAAATTTCTAGATTTTGGCTGAAAATCAGGGCTAAAACCTCGGACTTTTTCTCCTCAAGAGCCTATGTTTCAGCCTAGGTTTTCAGCAAAATCTGAAATTTTCGATAATCATGTTTGGGCTCATTTTGTGGAGAATTTCAAGGGCTATAAATAGAGCTCAAGCTTAATTATTGAAATTTTCAGATTTTAGCTGAAAATCAGGGCTTAAAATTCGAACTCTCTGAATTTTTCGAATGAAAATTTCCCTCACCATTTTTTCTACTTAACTTAACCTAACTTAATTTTTTGTATGTGTTCAAACAGGGTATTTTACATATTCACATGTTTCCAAATTGTATTTTTATTTTTCTGCAAGTATTTTTTTTTCTAGTTACATGTATACATTTTCATTGTAATCTGTCATTTTTTGCCATAAAATTCATTTTTTTTTTAAACTTTTTTTGTCCCATTTTTTTTTTGAAGCGTAAATATTTGCTCATATGATTTTCTAGTTAATCGATTGACAAAGTGTGCCTGGAAAATTCTATGGGAAAATTATTCTTTGGATTTTTTTTGATTTTTATTTCGGATTTTCAGCCAAATCTGAAATTTTTTAAAATTAATGTTTGGGCTCATTTTGTAGATAATTTCAAGAGCTTCAAAATGAGCTCAAACGCGATTTTTGAAAATTTCAGAGGCTTTCAGAAAATCACGGTTGAAATTCAAAAAATTTCAAAATTTCAAAATTCATGTTTAGGCTCATTTTGCAGAGAATTTCAAGAGCTTCAAAATGAGCCTAAACATGATTTTTGGAAATTTCAGATTTTGACTGAAAACCTTGGCTAAAACCTGAGCTCTCGGGAATTTTGAAGAGCTAAATTTCAGCCAAGAATTTCAGCCAAAACTAGAATTTTCAGAAATCATGCTTGGGCTCATTTTGTAGAGAATTTCAAGAACTTCAAAATGAGCTCAAACATGAATTCTGAAAATTTCAATCTTGGGCTGAAAACCTTGGCTAAAACCTGGGCTCTCGGGAATTTTGAAAACCTAAATTTCAGCCCCGGATTTTCAGCCAAATCTGATTTTTTTCCAGATTATGTTTAGACTCATTTTGTAGAGAATTTCAAGAGCTTCCAAATGAGCTCAATCATGAATTCTGAAAATTTCAGATTTTGACTGAAAATCCAAGCTGAAACCAGTTTTAATTCTCAAAAATCAATAATTTTGTACGATTTTTGCGCGTTTTCAAAAAATTAAACGTAAATACCCACCACACGAAAAAATAATTCCATAATTATTTGAATTTTTTTGCCCGCCTGTTTTTTTTCGAGCGAGCGAAAACCAGTTTTTCTTTGTGTTGGGGGATGATTCATTTTTTTCATTTTTACCAAAAAAAAAAATTGAACCGTTTTCAAAAATTTTTGTTTTTTTTCAATCAAATATTTCACTTATGTTAGGGTTAAACATTTTTTTTTCTCTAAATCTCTTCTCTCTCAAATTTCTATAGAAAATTAAGATTTATTGATTTTTTATCATTTTCTAATTGTTTTTGTTTCATTTCATCAAGAAAATTTCTCAAAAAAACCGATTTTTGACCTTGAAAAGTACCTTAGAAAATGCTAATTTTCACCGTTATTTTTCCTATATATTTGCATTTAAAAAGAAAAACCTTTAGACTTCTCACAAGTTCACATGTACCTTTAAAGTCCAAAAAATAATCGTGTCCTTCTGTATTTCCCCACTCCATTTTTTATATCTATTGATCTATCTCGTACCCAAGAAATCAGATAAATTCCGAAAATTCTCAATGTTTTTCGTTCTACATACAGAATTTTGTTGATTTTTGAAACTGAAGACGATTTATTGATTTTTTTTTGTTTTATCATGATTTTTCATTTTTCGTAATGTTACAAAGTAATTTGTTAGCGTTGTGATTTTTCTAGGTGTCCTTACTTGACTTAGAAGTTTTCTAGGCGCGGTCCCTTGTCCAATTGGTTCTCTAGACGCGACTCCTTGTCATTCAAGTTTTCTAGACGTGGCTCCTTGCCATTCAAGCTTTCTAGGCGCGGCTTCTTGTCATTCAAGCTCTCTAGGCGCGGCTTCTTGTCATAGGGTTTCTATAGACACGACTGCTTATCATGTATGTGCTCTCTAGGCGCGGCTCCTTGCCAATATAATTCTCAAGACGCGGTCCCTTGTCATAATTGCTCTCTAGGCGCGGTCCCTTGGAAGGCTTCAATGAATTTTTGATTCCAGAACTATAAAATTATTTGTGCTTTCAAAACTTATAATTTTCTATTTTTTTATAATTTATAGGTTTAACTTTATTTTCAGAAAAGCACATGAAACTTTATTTTTTTTTTTTTTTTTGGAAAAATGGAAAAATAATTAGAAAAAAATTTCGAAAAAGTAAAAATTTATCTAGATTTTTTTGAACTGGAAAATCTGTGTTTTCAAATTTCATTCAAAATTTTTTTTAGATTTTGAAAACGTGGTTTCTGCTTTCACATTTAACATAGCCTAACTTATAATTTTCTATATGATAATTTTTTCTTGGAAATTGAAGGTTTTGTTAAAGTTCTTACAGTAAACTTGACATTTTCATCTTGATAATAATTTCAGATTTAGAAAAAAATTGAAGCTTCTGTCTTCTGCCAAGTAGCCACGCCTAGAGATTAGTTGTAACAAGGAGCCACGCCTAGAGACTAGCTGTGACAAGGAGCCACTCCTTGAGAGCCACTACGACAAGGATCTGCACCTAGAGACTCACTACGTCAAATAGCCGCGCCTAGAGAACCACTATGCTAAGAGGCCGCGCCTAGAGACTCATTACGACAAGTAGCCACCCCTTGAGAACCACTACTGAAATTATCTAGCCCCAACTCTATCTAGCCCCCCTCCAGAATTTTCCGAAATTTTCTTATCTAACTCTCTAACTCTCTGCGTCTCTCACTCTCTCACTCTCTCTGTCTTTCTACAACACAAAATATTTCAATAAACATTCGCATTTTCCAAAAAAAACTGTTTATTTTTTCTAAAACCATTTTAACAAACTCTATATTGTAAACAAAAAAATCGTTTTTTTCCAGTTCAAAAATCCTCTGCGTCTCTAACCCTCTCTTCTCGTCTGGAGCTCTCTTTTCCTTTATTTTTTTTAAACATTTCTGTAGTATAAAGATATAGAAATAGAAAGAGAGATAGAGATAGAGTGAGAGTGAGAGGGTGTTAGAGACGCAGAGAGAAAACAGTGCATTTCTAAAATAAAACATACATATAACGGTGGGGGGAGGCTTTGGACATAGGTGAACAAATATTTGACCAAATTTTTCTCGGGGTGTCTCTCTATCTTTTTCTTTTTATGCCTTCTTCTTCTTCTTTTTTTGTTGTTGCTGTGGGAGAATTTCTATTTTAAACGTACTTTTGTGACTTTTATTGTTTCAATTTTTGTGATAAAAATTTTGATTTTTTAAGATTTGGAGTGATTTTATGGTTTAGAGCACAAAATTTTAATCTTCAAATTTTTGAGCTGAAAAAAATGCTTTTTTTTCTAGATATTTTTTGTGCTGAAATTTTCAAGCTGAAAAAATTGGATTCTAAAGATTTGGAGCATTTTTTATGGTTTAGAGCACAAAATTTTGATCTAGAAATTTTTAAGCTGAAAATATCGGATTCTGAAGTTTCAGAGCATTTTTAAAGTTTAGAGCACAAAATTTTGATCTAGAAATTTTTTTACTGAAAAAATTGATTTTCAGAGGTTTTTTGATCCAGAAACTTAAGTGCTGAAAATATTGATTTTTGAAGATTCGGAGTATTTTTAACAAGTTTAGAGCTCAAAATTTTTATCTTTAAATTTTTGAGCTGAAAAAATTGATTTTCAGAGATTTCGAGCATTTTGAATGTTTACAGCACAAAATTTTGATTTATGAACTTTTTTCTAAAAATTATCCCTTTTTCTAGATATTTTTTTAATGCTGAAAATCCTGATTTTCAGAATTTTCACAATCATGTTTAGGCTCATTTTGGAGCTCTTGAAATTTTCCACAAAATGAGCCCAAACACGATTTTCGAAAATTCTAGATTTTGGCTGAAAATCAGGGCTAAAAACTCGGACTTTTTCTCCTCAAGAGACTATGTTTCAGCATAGATTCTCAGCAAAATCTGAAATTTTCAATAATCATGTTTGGGTTCATTTTAGAGCTCTTGAAATTCTCCACAAAATGAGCTCACACACGATTTTCGAAAATTCTAGATTTTGGCTGGAAATTCGAATTTTTTCTCTTCAAGAGCCAAATCAATAAATTTTCTCATTTCCTTTTTTGTGTCTGCAAAAATGTTGTAATCTGATATTTTTTTTCCAAAAAGCGACTCGTGTGAACTTTCCATTTTACGCTCATTTCCTTTCTTTTTATTCCCAAACATTTTTTTTTTGTCCCAAAAAAAATTTATTGATTTTTTCTCTGTTGTTTCAAGCTTGGGAAAAATAATTTTTTTTTTCAAGACATGTGACTGCTGAAAAATTGTCAGGTGAAATTTGCTTTGTTGCTAGGAGATTGGCTCGCGCGCGAGCTCTGTGAGCACCGCAAAAAGAAAATTTTTGAGCACTTTGTCTGGGAGAATTTTTTTTAGTATTTCTAAAATTTCATAAGGGTCCCCCCTTATGTAAAAAAAAAATTTTTTTTGATCTACCTTTTCCCGCTTTTCAAAAAATAATAAAAAAGTGGAGCAATTAAAAATTGGGTGGGGTGTGCTCTTCATAAACCACAATTTTTATCTTGTAATAAAAAATCTTGACTAAAAATTGAGTCATCATATGTTCTCTAACCTCTCTAGCCTCTCTAGCCTCTCTAGCCTCCCTAGCCTCTCTAGCCTCTCTAGGCTCTCTAGTCTCTCTAACCTCCTATATTAATTTCTAATCCTATAATTAATGAACAATTAAAGGATCATGTCTTTTTTTTCGCTGTTTCCGTACAGAAATTTGTATATTTTTCCATTATTTACTATATTTTATATATGTGGGAACCGTTTTTTTGTGAAAAAAAAATTTTCGATTTCATTTTTTATTATTTTCTGCCGTCTCAATGCGAAAATGACGTGGCGGAAATATATTTTTTCGTCGTTTTCTTATCGAAAAAATAATTTTTGAATCAAATATTGTGTCTCTCATATCATTTATTTCGTATTTTTGTCACACTTTTAGAATTTTAGATAAAAGAGTTCAAATTAGCATTTAGATGATGTAATTTGCCGGACGCATGACAAGTAGCCGCGCCTAGAGAATCATTATGACAAGGAGCTGCGACTAGAGATCCACTATGAGAAGTGGCCGCGCCTAGAGATTCACTACGACAAGGAGCCACGCCTAGAGATTCACTATGTCAAGGAGCCGCGCCTAGAGATTCACTATGACAAGTAGCCGCGCCTAGAGATTTACTATGACGAGGAGCCTCGCCTAGAGATTCACTATGACAAGGAGCCGCGCCTAGAGATTCACTATGACAAGAAGCCGCGCCTAGAGATTCACTATGACAAAAAAAAGCTGAACTAGATTTTTCTAGATTCAGACTAGACTTTTTCTCACTGTTGCCTAGACTTTCTGTGAATCTCAAATGTCTGGAGAACTGGTTAGCGTCTATTTTCACACTCTGCGTCTCTCACCTCTAGTTTTTCTAGTTTCTCTCTTATTTTATGTTTCTCTTGTTTTCAACCCGACTCTCGCCGTCTGACTCTAACCTCTCTTTTTTTCCTCTGCTTCTCTGGTATCTCTTGGCTCTTTATGCTCTCTAGGCTCTCTAGGCTCTCTAGGCTCTTTGAACACTCTAGGCTCTCTAGGCTCTCTAGGCTCTAGGCTCTCTAGGCACTCTAGGCTCTCTAGGCTCTCTAGGCTCTCTAGGCTCTCTAGGTTCTCTAGGCTCTCTAGGCTCTCTAGCTTCTCTATAGGCTCTCTAGGCTCTCTAGGCTCTCTAGGCTCTCTAGGATCTCTAGGCTCTCTAGGCTCTCTAGCTTCTCTATAGGCTCTCTAGGCTCTCTAGCTTCTCTATAGGCTCTCTAGGCTCTCTAGGCTCTCTAGGCTCTCTAGGCTCTCTAGCTTCTCTAGCCTCTCTCTAACCCCCTATTTCCTGACTCTCGCCGTCTGCCTCTAACCCCTCTGCTCCCAAACCGGAAAACGATAACCTGTGCACTATTTTTTGGCCATTGACGTAATAAAACAAAATAGAATATTATTTTTTCTTCAAAAAACTGTTGATTATCTTTTCTCGTTCGTTATCACCCAAACTTTGACTTGATTTTGATTTTGATTTCGATTTTCTGTGCTCCAAAATGCTCCAAAATTATTTTTGAGCTTTGCAGGTTCTTCTTCCTAACAAAAAAAAAACATCGGTGGTGATGAATGTTCTGCAATTGAGTCCGGAGCGAAGTGGAATTGTGCAATTTCCCATGGAATATCTCTACAACAACAATCAAAATCAGCAAAAGTTAGCCATTTTCTTTAACATGAGCAATCCAAAAAAAAATTTGCAGTTTTTCCAGCTCGCCACCCGATTCAGTTTCATCGGAAAATTCGGATACACCACAGCAAAAAATGGTGGAATCTGTGTATTTGAACACTTGGGAGGGGACTGGTGAATTTCCGGATTGTGGAGATGTTAAAGATGTTTTGGTTTTTGATGAGAATCCGGTTCCAGAAGATGTTAAAGAGGTTGGTTAGAGAACAAGAGAGAGGCTAGAGAGGCTAGAGAGGCTAGAGAGGCTAGAGAGGCTAGAGATGCTAGAGAGGCTAGAGAGGTTAGAGAGGCTAGAGAGGCTAGAGAGGCTAGAGAGGCTAGAGAGGCTAGAGAGGCTAGAGAGGCTAGAGAGGCTAGAGAGGCTAGAGAGGCTAGAGAGGCTAGAGAGGCTAGAGAGGCTAGAGAGCCTAGAGAGCCTAGAGAGGCTAGAAAAAATATGTAGGTTAGAGACGGAGAGTGTTAAAAATTTTCTGAATTTTTTCAAGAGGTGTGTGTGGTTTCTTCATAACTAGGAGAAAGATTACCAGGGTCGGATTTCCCGCCAATTCTTTATGGTTACTGTAGCTTGAGATTTATCGTGAGTCTTGTTCTTAATTTCAAAAATTTCTCAAGCGCAAACTCCTGAAACCTTCTGAAGCCTTCTGAATCGTTCAAAAGTCTTCTGAAGTCTCCTGAAGTTTTCTGAAGCCTTCTGAAGATTTCATAAGCTTTCTGAAGCTTCCTGAAGCCTTCTGAAGCCTCCTGAAGTTTTCTGAAGCTTCCTGAAGTTTTCTGAAGCCTCCTGAAGCATTCTGAAGCCTCTAGAAGTCTGAATTGATTTTTTTATCCCAAAATTCCGATAAAAAATGTTATAAATTTGAAATTCCTAATCAAAACATCTGAAAATCCACTGATTCAAAATTTTTGAAATCTAAATTTGATCTCCGGGAACGGGAATGGAAAACTCACCTGAAATCTCTTCAACGATTTTCCCGCCAATTTTTCGCGGTTACTGTAGCTTGAGATTTATCTCTTGTTCTTAATTTTGAAAATTTCTCAAGCGCAAAATCACATGACGTCATTTTGTGTCAAAACACAATTTATGTGTTTTCATTTTCCGATTCTTTTTTTTTTCTGACTGTCTGACCTCGAGAAAAACAATAGTTTCGTACATTGTAATTAAAATATTGATTTTTTTTTTCGATATCTCTGGGTTTGTGTACTTTTTCCGAGAATGATTTTAAAAAGGGACCAATTAATTTTTGAGCTACAGTAACCTGACATAATTAAATTCATTTTGAGCTACAGTATCTCTGATCAATTTTGACCATTTTTCCGAGACCAAAACTAGAGTCTAGTTTTTAAACCCCCCAAACTAGAGTCTAGTTTTGTCGTCTAAAACACACGTCATTTTGCTAGCTAGACATACAAACACAACTTTTTGCAGGTTGTCGCTTTTCATCATCTACCAAGAAATGTTTGTCCAACGATTTGTGCGGTTTGCGGCGATCGTGCCACTGGATATCACTATGAGGTTAGAGAGTCAGAGGGTTAGAGACGTTAGATAGTTAGAGAGTTTGGGAAGCCCTTGGGAAGCCTTGGGAAGCCTTGGGAAGCCTTGGGAAGCCTTAGGAAGCCTTGGGAAGCCTTGGGAAGCCTTGGGAACCCTTGGAAAGCCTTGAGAATCCCAGTTCTTGAATTTTTATAGTTTCGAAAGTCTGATTGAGATGTTTTTCCATGAAATTCATACAAATTTCTTCTCATTTTTCAATAATTTATTTTGTTTCGCATATCAAATTTCTCCATAAGTGTTGTAGGTCTTTTGAACTTTTTTTTTTCGAATTTTTGAAAATTTTAAGGCTCAAAATTTTAAATCAAATTTTTTTCAGAAAAAATTTAAAAAGCTAAAGTTTGTTTTTCGGATCTCTGACAAACTTTTTTTTTCAAAAGTACATGTAAACAACTTTTTTCGTGAGAGTATGATTTGGTGAAAAAAAAAAGTTGTGAACAACTTTTTTTTTTCGCAAAGCTGTTGATGTATTGGATGACAGATAAATAGCGAATTTGAAAAATGAGATAATTTTTCTGAGCTTTTTGAACTTTCAACAAAATTTTCGAAATTTCAAAAATAGAACTACAAAATACACATTGAAATTTGATATCCGCAACAAAATAAATTTTTGAAAAATGAGAAGAAATTTGTATCAATTTTTTATATATGTAAAAACATCTCAAGTAGACTTTGGAAAGGCTTCAGAAGGCTTCGGGATTTTCAGAAGGCTTCAGTAGGCTTCCCAAGGCTTTCCAAGGCTTCCCAAGGCTTTCCAAGGCTTCTCAAGGCTTCCCAAGGCTTCCCAAGTCCAAACAAGAGGATTACTGTAGTCTATATTTTTTTTTCAGGTTCCATCATGTAATGGCTGTAAAACCTTCTTCCGGCGTACTGTACTTTCCCAAAGAAAATATGATTGCATTAGAGGTGGAAAATGTTTCAATGTTCTTCCTAAAGGTGAGAATTTCAGCCAGAAAATTTTCAGCCCAAATCATTTTTTTCCAGAAAAACGCTGCTCTTGTCGCTCTTGCCGATTTCAAAAATGTGTCGAAGTTGGAATGAATCCTTTTGGTAATGTTTTTGTGCTCAGCGAGCCAGATTTTTTCGTCTAACAATAATTTTTTTGCAGCTATTCAAACGAATGATTCATTAGACGGAAATTCGTTGGTAAATAAAATTGCTGGAAAACGGAAAGGTGCAGCTGATTTGGAAATTTTTGCGTCGACTTCTAAAGTGAGGGATTTTTTTTTGAATAGTAGCAGCGCCTAGGGAATATTTGTGACAAGCAGCCATGCCTTGAGAGCATATATTTCAAGAGTTTGAGCCTTGAAAGCTTCTGTGAGAAGCAGCGGCGCCTAGAGAATATTTGTGACAAGGAGTCGTGCCTTGAGAGCATATATTTCAAGAGTTCAAGCCGTGAGAGCTTCTGTGAGACGTAGCCGCGCCTAGAGAATATTTATGACAAGTAGTCGCGCCTAGAGAACATCTGTAACAAGTACCCGCTTCTTGAGATTTCCTATGAAAAGTAGCCGCGCCTAGAAATCCACTCTGGCAAGGAGCCGCGCCTAGAAATTCACTATGACAAGGAGCCGCGTCTAGAGATTCCCTATGACAAGAAGCCGCCCCTAGAGATTCACTAGGACAAGGAGCCGCGCTTAGAAATCCACTCTGCCAAGGAGCCGCGCCTAGAGAACATTTATGACAAGTAGCCGCGCCTAGAGACATGCAAATTTTCTAATTTTCACATTTTCCAGGCCCTAATCCCATCCGAAATCATCTCAATCGACCAATCAATCGATAAATTAATCGACAGTCTGATCTACCTCGAAATCAAAGTCGAAGACTTCCGAAAATGCTCATTCAACCCACCAAAAGAGCAATTTGCAAAACTCAACAAATTGCTCGATTCACATTCATTGATCGGTTTGGCTGATCGATGTGGGGTAGGTTTTTCTTGGGGGCGAGTTAGAGGAACTTGAGCTTGATCTGAAATTAAAATTTTCAGCCAATGCCAAACTGGCCTCTTCGACAAATATCTCCGGAAGAATGGTCAACTTTTCGTCAAAATGGTCACGTTGAACCAATCTCCATGGAGCGCAAAAACTGGTTTTGCTACGATATTTTGACCTCTGTTGAATACGCCAAAACCTTTATGTTTATGCATAAAATTGATAAAAATGATCAGGTAAGATTTCTAGTTAGGATAACTTTTTCAATAAGATAAATTTCCAGATCCGATTGCTGAAATCCGTAGTGTTAAGTGTTATGCATTTGAATCAGAGTTATTATAGTTATGAGAATAAATATTCGGTGATTTTACATCCAGATGGAACGACGCCACCTCCACCAAAACATTTGTGAGTTTCACGGGCTGTCCAGGACTTTTCAGAAGGCCAGAGGGCTTCAGAAGGCTTTAGTGGGCTTCAGAAGGCTGTAGTAGGCTTCTGAAGGCTTTTGTAGGCTTCTGAAGGCTGTAGTAGGCTTCTGAAGGCTGTAGTGGGCTTCTAAAGGCCTTAGTAGGCTTCTGAAGGCTGTAGTAGGCTTCAAAATGCTTTATGAAGAAAAAATTTTGCCTCGGGTGAGGATTGAACCCCTGACCTTCTGCACCGAAAAAATTGATATTTTCACGCTGAAAATGATGATGGCATTGCTCATTTTAAGCACAAAATTTTGTTTTGGAAATATTGAATGTTCTAGTCAGAAGGTCCTGGATCGATTCCCGGTACCTCCTAACAAATTTTTGTTTTCAAAAATTTTTCTTGATCAAATTTCGCGCTGAAAATGATGGTATTGCTCATTTTCAGAATTTCCATCATTTTCAGCACACAATTTTGTTTTGGAAATATTTATTGTTCTAGTCAGAAGGTCCTGGATCGATTCCCGGTACCTCCTAACAATTTTTGGTTTCAAAAAAATTTGAAAAAAATTGTTTTTTATTTTCAAAAATTTTTCTGGATCAAATTTTCACGCTGAAAATGATGTTATTGCTCATTTTAAGCATTTCCATGATTTTCAGCACAAAATTTTGCTCTGAAAACATTGATTGTTCTAGTCAGAAGGTTCTGGATCGATCCCCGGTACCTCCTAACAATTTTTGGTTTCAAAAATTTTTCTTGATCAATTTTTCGCGCTGAAAATGATGGAATTGCTCATTTTAAGCATTTCCATCTTTTTCAGCACAAAATTTTACTCTGAAAACATTGATTGTTCTAGTCAGAAGGTCCTGGATCGATTCCCGGTACCTCCTAATAATTTTTTGTTTTCAAACATTTTTCTTGATCAATTTTTTGCGCTGAAAATGATGGTATTGCTCATTTTCAGCACAAAAGTTTTCTCTGAAAACATTGATTGTTCTAGTCAGAAGGTCCTGGATCGATTCCCGGTACCTCGTAACAATTTTTTTGTTTCAAAAAAATTTGAAAAAAAATTTTTTTTTTTTTCAAAATGTTTTCTTGATCAATTTTTCACGCTGAAAATGTTGGTATTGCTCATTTTAAGAATTTCCATCTGAAAATGATGCACAAAATTTTGCTCTGAAAACATTGATTGTTCTAGTCAAAAGGTCCTGGATCGATTCCCGGTACCTCCTAACAATTTTTGGTTTCAAAAAAAATTGAAAAAAAACATTTTTTTGTTTTCAAAAAAATTTCTTGATCGATTTTTCACGCTGAAAATGATGGAATTGCTCATTTTAAGAATTTCCATCATTTTCAGCACAAAATTTTGCTCTGAAAATATTGATTGTTCTAGTCAGAAGGTCCTGGATCGATTCCCTGTACCTCCTAACAATTTTTCGGTTTCAAAAATTGTTCTTGATCAATTTTTCACGCTGAAAATGATGGTATTGCTCATTTTAAGCACAAAATTAATTTTCCAGAGCAAAATGTCATCCAACCAATGATTTTCGGGCAAGTATGAATGCATCGCTGTTATCGCTGATGAGAGAAAAATTGGACAAAAAAGAATATGTGCTGTTCAAAGCGATCACTCTTTGTAATGCTTGTGAGTTTTTTATCGGACCGTTTGGGCTTCTATTAGGCTTTTTAAGGCTTCCCAAGGCTTCCCAAGGCTTCCTAAGGGTTCCCAAGGTTTCCCAAGGGTTCCCAAGGCTTCCCAAGGGTTCCCAAGGGTTCCCAAGGGTTCCCAAGCCTCAAAAAATTTCAAAAAATCTATATTTTCAGCCGTTCCTGGACTCTCCGACAGATGCCGGGAAATTGTCTCGAAAGAAAAAGAAAAGTACACAAATGCTCTTCTCAAATATTGTCTAGCAAATCGTGGACCAAATGGTCCCGCACATTTCGCAGCATGTCTAGCATTATCAACCGGTTTGGAAACTCATCAAAAAAATCAGAAAGATTTTCATGTCTTGATGACTCTGGTCAAAGAACAGGAACGTGCCAAAAATGATTTTCCACCTCCACTTCCACATGAACTTGTTGTTGATGTTATGGAAGAGGTCGTTGAAGCCTAATGTAGGCCTGAGGCCTCAGGATTAGGCTTCGGGCCTGGAATTTTTGTGTTGTATTTGGGATGGTTTTTTCTCTAGACCTCAACCACAGTTTTTTTTGTTATAATTTTTTTTTTGACATTTTTTTTCATTGAACGATCTCCGAACTTCTCCAAATATATATACATATACATATGATTTTTTTTCTTCTGTGAATATTTTTTATTGATTTTTTTATACATATATATAAATACAATAAAGTTATTATTTTTCAGAAAAAATAAAAAATCACACAAGTAAAGGGGTTCGAACTGGCGACCTTCTGATTGAAATCCCAATTTTGAGAACTTGTCCAAATGTTTCAGCTTTACAGGAAAAAAATTATGGAAATGCTTAAAATGAGCAATGCCATCATTTTTAGCGTGAAAAATTGATCAAGAAACATTTTTGAAACCAAAAAATGTTTTTTTCTAATTTTTTTGAAATCAAAAAATTGTTAGGAGGTACCGGGAGTCGATCCAGGACCTTCTGACTAGTTTTCAGAGTCATCAATGTTTTCAGAGCAAAATTTTGTGCTGAAAATGATGTAAATGCTTAAAATGAGCAATGCCATCATTTTCATCGTGAAAAATTGATCAAGAAAATTTAAAAAAAAAAAGTTTTTTTCTAATATTTTTGAAAACCAAAAAATTGTTAGGAGGTACCGGGAATCGATCCAGGACCTTCTGACTAGAACAATCAATGTTTTCAGAGCAAAATTTTGTGCTGAAAATGATGGAAATGCTTAAAATGAGCAATACCATCATTTTCAGCGTGAAAAATTGATCAAGAAAATTTTTGAAACCAAAAAATTTTTTTTTCTAATTTTTTTGAAAACCAAAAAATTGTTAGGAGGTACCGGGAATCGATCCAGGACCTTCTGACTAGAACAATCAATGTTTTCAGAGCAAAATTTTGTGCTGAAAATGATGGAAATGCTTAAAATGAGCAATACCATCATTTTCAGCGTGAAAAATTGATCAAGAAAAATTTTTGAAATCAAAAAATTGTTAGGAGGTACCGGGAATCGATCCAGGACCTTCTGACTAGAACAATCAATGTTTTCAGAGCAAAATTCTGTGCCAACTCTAATAGAAAATCGTTGTTCCGAAAGCTCTCTCAACTATTTTGAGCACTAAAATGCTCCAAAGTTAAAATTAATTAGTCTAATTAGTCTAATTAACAAGGTTTCATCAAAAATTTCCCATCTTTTGTTAGAAAAAAAATTTCCAAAGCATATTCAATTCTAAAAAAAAGTTCATATTACTTGCAATGAATAGGAAACGAAGCTAATTAGGAAGAAAAAAAGTTCAGAAAAAAATCTATTATAAAGTGACACATTTTTTTTTGAATACATTCCAAAAATAACTTTATTTTTTTTTTTATAATCCTATACATATATTTTTTTTGTTTAGAAATCTTTCAGCTTCCAGAAAATCTGAATTTGATTCTGAAAATAAATCTTTTCAAACAAAAACTATAAATTTTGAAAGAGAATGAAAGGCGGTGAGAAAACCTTGAAATTAAAATTAAAATTAATTTTTTGAGGCGCCGAAAAAAATTTTTTTTTGAAAGAAAGAAATTGGATTTTTGACGGATTTACATATTTTTGATATACAAGCTAGTTTTTTTCATTTTTTTTATTTTTTGAAAAATTTTGAGCATTTTGAGAGTGCATTTTTATGTTAGAATAAAATAATGTGGTGAAAATTTTCACTCAAAAATTTTTTTTTTGGCATTTTTAGCAAGCTCAAAAAAATTTTTTTTTGAAAATAATTTTTTTGATCCCAGATTTTTTTTTTCAATTTTTAGCAAGCTCAAAAAAATTTTTTTTTGAAAATAAATTTTTTTTGAAAATAATTTTTTTTGATCCCAGATTTTTTTTTCAATTTTTAGCAAGCTCAAAAAAATTTTTTTTGAAAAAAAAATTTTTTTTTTTTGATCCCAGATTTTTTTTCCTAATCCTCATTAGCATTATTAAAAAGTATGTGTGTTCCAGCAAACACTTTTTTTTCCAAATCAATAATTTGAGCACACCGTGTGCTCCTCATCTTCTCTGCCCTAACCTAATCTGGCTAGAGTTTCAGCCCTGAATTAAAATGTAGTGCTCACGAATTTTGTATTCCTCACCATAGCAACACAAAGCGCATGATAACCCTAGAATTATTATTCTTTTTCAGCTTCTGTTTCAGTTTCAGTTTTATTTCATTTCATTTTATTCTCTTAAAATTTTCGAAAAAATTATTTTTTTTTAATTTTTTAAAAATTCTCAGGATTTTGTTGATTTTCTATTCTAGACTAGACTTTCTTACTGTAGACTAGAATTTTTTTCGAAAAAAAAAACAGATTTTAAAATTTTCTGTCTTCATTTTATTTTTCAATTAGTTCCAGCTACTCTGCGTCTATGACATCACTTTTTCTCTAACTGTCTGAACCCTCTCTCACTAAACCCTCTTCATTTTGAGCTATTTGACTCTCGCCGTCTGACTCTAACCTCTCTCCTAATTATGAAGAAACCACACACACACCTCTTGAAAAAATTTCAGAAATTTTTTTAACACTCTCCGTCTCTAACCTTCATATTTTTTCTTGACTGCAGCTCATCATCTGAGATTGCTCTAGGCTCTCTAGGCTCTCTAGCGTCTCTAGCCTCTCTAGGCTCTCTAGCCTCTCTAGGCTCTCTAGGCTCTCTAGGCTCTCTAGGATATCTAGGCTCTCTAGGCTCTCTAGGCTCTCTAGGCTCTCTAGGCTCTCTAGGCTCTCTAGGCTCTCTATGCTCTCTAGCCTCTCTAGCCTCTCTAGCCTCTCTAGCCTCTCTAGCCTCTCTCAATTTCCAGCTCCAGACAAAAATGGTGGTCACAACTAGAGGCCGAAAATCTCGCGTCCAAAAATACTTGAAAACATTGTGCTTTGCGTCCCGATTCATTGGAAAAGCTGAAAAAACACGCTTCAAAAATATGAAAAATGTAGGTTTTTGGGAATTTTTTTCAGCATCTGTAAATTTTTATGTAATTTTTTTGCAGTTCAAAAAACTTCCGATCGATATTCGAAAGATTATTGTTGACAAAATGACAGTGAATGAGAGGTAGGGATTTTCAGAAACCCCAGGGGATTTTCTGAATTTTCCAGAAGCCTTCAAAAAATATTTTTCCAGATGCCGATTCGCAAAATGCTCCAAACCCTGCAACAAACTCGCCCAACTCTCCAAAAACTTCATGTACGGCTTGAAATTCATCTCCCAAGCCCCATTCAAATTCACAATTCAAGTAAATCACAACAAACCAAAAATTCCAAGCGATTTCGACAAAATTATTGAAATTGAGAGAAAAAATGGGAAAAAACTGATTACTTTGTGAGTTTTTATACTTATTTTATTAATTTTTTTTCAAAAAATTTCAGCCGAGCAATGTGGAAAAAACCGTATAGCAGAGAATTGCCTGGACCCTTGTATACAATTTTCGAAGACGCTTGTAAATTCTTTGAAAATCTTGTCAATGAAAATCGACATTCTCTGAAAACTTTGGAACTTACGGGAACTTCTTTGAAAAATGCCACTTTCAATTTTCAAAAGACACCACTTTTGAGAGAATTGTATATGGATCGACTTTTGCCGGATGTTGTGAAATCAAGTTGCAACACTCAATTGAAATTATTTCAATGCAAAGGGAGGTATACAGATGAGCCGGAGCAATGTTTTGGAAAGGTGAGAGTCAAGAAGCCGCTCCTTGAGAGCTGTCATGTCAAGGAGAGACGCCTTGAGAGCTTCTAGGTCAAGAAAAGACGCCTTGAGAGCCTCTTTGTCAAGGAGAGGGGCCTTGAGAGCTTTTCTGTCAAGAAGAGAGGCCTTGAGAGCCTCTCTGTCAAGGAGAGGCGCCTTTAGGGCTTCTCTGTCAAGGAGAGGCGCCTTGAGAGCTTCTCGGTCAAGGAGAGGTTTCTTGAGAGTCTCTCTGTTAAGGACAGAAGCCTTGAGAACCTTCATGTCAAGGACAGAAGCTTTGAGAGCCTGTCTGTCAAGGATCCTCTCCTTGAGAACCTCTCTGTCAAGGAGAGGGGTTTTGAGAGCCTCTCTGTCACGGAGAAGCGCCTTGAGAGCATTCCTGTCAAGGACAGAGGCTACTTTAGAGCTTCAATGTCAAAGAGAAGCGCTTTGAGAGCCTTCATGTCAAGGAGAGGCGCCTTGAGAGCCTCTCTCTCAAGGAGAGGCGCCTTGAGAGCTTCTCTGCCAAGTAGAGGAGCCTTGTGATCCTGAATGTCAAGGAGAGGCGTCTTGTGATCCTGAATGTCAAGGAGAGGGACCTTGAGAGCTTCTCTCTCAAAGACAGAAGCCTAAAGAGCTTCTCTGTCAAGGAGACGCTCCTCAAGATCCTCTTTGTCAAGGACAGAAGCCTTGAGATTTTCTCTGTCAAGGAGAGACGCCTTGAGAGCTTCTATGTCAAGGGCCGAAGCCTTGAGGGCTTCTCTGTCAAGGACAGAAGCCTTGAGAGCCTTTCTGTCAAGGAGAGACGCCTTAAGAGCTTCTCTGTCAAGGACAGAAGCCTTGAGAGCCTCTCTGTCAAGGAAACACGCCTTGAGAGCCTCTCTGTCAAGGAGAGACGCCTTGAGAGCTTCTATGTCAAGGAGAGGCGCCTTGAGAGCCTCTATGCCAAGGAGAGGTGCCTTGAGAGCCTCTCCTTTACATCACAAGGCGCGGATCCTTGACCAAAGTCACTACAAGGCTCGGATCCTTCACAGGAAGGCTCACAAGGCTCGGCTCCTTAACAAAAATTCTTTCCAGCTCGCCGAACTCGACACAGTTCTCAACACACCTTCCGTCTGTTTCACACTTGAACAAGCCAAAAGATTGGAGGCGAACCGAGGTGTAATGTCGATCAAAAATTGGACCGCTCAAGATTTGTTCGATTTCATTCGATTCTGGCAAAATGGACATGATCAAGAAGTTCGAGCGTTTCATTTTTATTCGAGAACAAATGTGGATGTGTTTGATCAGGAATTGTTGAAGTTGTTGAATGTTGAGTTTGATGATCCGTTTGAGTGAGTTTGGAGGTTTTTGGAGGCTTCAGAAGGCTTCGGAAGGCTTTTGGAAGCTTCAGAAGGCTTCAGATGACTTCTGAAGGCTTCAGAAAACTTCCGAAAACTTCTGGAAGCTTTAAAAGGCTTCAGAAGACTTCGGAAGGTTTCAGGAGACTTCAGAAGGCTTCAGAAGCCTTTGGGGGGTTTCAGAAGACTTCTGGAAGCTTTAGAAGGCTTCAGAAGGCTTCAGAAGGCTTCTAGGAACCCTAAAAACCTTCAAGATTCTAAAAAATCTCTAAAATCCCCCAATTTTCAGCGAGTTGATCCGAGTCTACGACAAAAGTGCCGAAGGAAAATCGGCAAAACTGGTCTTCATGGAAAATGCCATCTTCTTTGGCTATCCCTTCGAAGCATATCATCGTGATCTCAAAGTTGTTCCAAAAGATTCTCCATTTGAAGCGGATGCTGTCAGTATTATCTGAATTTTCAGACAAATTTCAGCATGTTTTTTTTTTCAGTTTTAATTTATTAAGAAATCTCTGTTCCGAATAGTTTTAATTTATTAAGAAATAATTATTTCTCATATTTTTTATCGATTTTTTCCAGCAATATTTTTTGTACTGATTTATTTTTTGTGGGACTGTTTTTCAATAAATTAATTTATGGGGAGCACTAGAGATTCTGCAGGTTTTCTCTACCGTATTCCTATTCAGCATGTCCCTTTAAACCACATTTTTCTCTGTTTTTCTGCTCCGATCCCCCTGGTAACCGCAGAATCAATATCATCAAGACACATCTGCTCTTATCAAAGAAAAGAGCACCGCAAGCTCCGCCCACAATGCTCTAACTAACAATTTTTCCTCATTTATTTATTGTCATGACTAAATCTACATTTTAGTACTTTTTTTTGAAAATATTTTTAATAAGGTAAATTTGTTTTTTTTCAATTTTCTTAAACAATTTTTTTATTTATTTTTTCAGGATTGAAATCTTCATCGCAAGTTTTGGAATGGGTTAGCCCTTGAGTAAGATTTTAATTCATCAATCGATATTTTAATTAAATTATTGATTTTTTCAGCCATATTTGTCGTCAGAACTGGTCCATTTACTTTGATAAATAAACATTTTAAATTATATTTTTTTTCTGTGTTTTGTTTTTTTTTTTCAGAAAAAATTTACAAGGCCCGCAGATTTTTTAATAACAATTTTTGGACTCTTTCGAATGCTCACAGTAAGCAGAATGCATTGAAGTTGAAATTTCCAAATTTCAAATTTCGAATAATTTTTTACACGCATTTCTTTATCAAGAGCACCTAGAGAGTATAGAAAATGAGAGAGTGGCTAGAGAAAAAGAGAAGGCAGTTGCAAAGCATCATGTTTCATAGTACTATGTATTGATTTTCCTGGGCTCTTTTGAAAATGAGCCCTGGACGCTCCGCCCATTTTACCCTGCTCGAAAATTTTGGGATTTTTTCCTTTAGTTCAACTACATCTAAACTGTAGTAATCTATTTTATTTAAATTTTTTTTCAATGGACTTGAGGTAGAGTTTTTTTAATTAGAGTTAGAAAAATTAGAAATTTAGAATTTTGACCTACAAATTGTAGCTCAAAATCTGAAAAATTTTCACAACCACCCTGGCTAAATTCCAATTTCCCTTCAGAAACCAACAAAACAGCGTGGTACATTGAGATCGAAAAAAATGCCCAGCAAGAAGAAATCGGATGTTCCTCATTGTTTTTCCGCAGAATCCAACTGTATTACATTCAAATTCAGAAAGAGCGATGATTTCGAGCAACAAGAGAAATAAAGAATTCCATTTTTTAAAAAGATTTGTATTTTTTTTCTCTTTTCAGGAAAAGTTACAGCAACTCCTCAAGCAAGAGAAGAGAGAGTGTGTGGAAATGAGAGAGTGTTTAGAGAAGGAGAGAGAGCCGACCCTGTGCCTTGTGCCAGGTGTGATTTTGAAACAAGAGCTGGCTCGCAGGGACTTGATTCTTTTCTCTAACCGCGCTCTCTCCATTTTTCATACTCTCTAGCTCTCTAGCCCTCTTTGGATTATTTTTGCAGCTCAAAAATAAAAGTATCAGTGTACATATCGATTTTCAAAATTTAAATTTCAGTGGGAATTTTGGCCATGAAACAGTTCAAGCTCCCATAGAAAATCGCATGAAAAATCCTATGAAAAATAAAAAAAACACAATTTTTCAAAAAATGTTAAATTGTTAAATCTGGGTGACCAGGAGAAATATTAAATCTGGGTGACCAGGAGAAATATTGTTAAATCTGGGTGACCAGGAGAAATACAGGAAAATTATGTTTAAAGGGACATGTTGAATATGATTACGGTAGAGAAAACCTGCAGATCTAACTCAAGAAGAAATTGGACAGAACTACAAATGCTTCAGGCTTCAGGCTTCAGCTTGAGCTTCAGGTTGAGGCTTCCGAAGGCTTAAGAGGACTTCAGGAGGCATCCGAATCCTTTTGAAGGGTTAGAATGACTTCAGGAAGTTTCAGGAGGCTTCAGAAGACTTCAGAACTCCATGAAACAACTTCAAAAATCCTAAATCCTTTTCAACAGCCCCTAGAGCCTCTCTTCAAGAATAGTGAATGTGAATTTTTTACGAATTTTTAAAATTTTCAGATTTTCAGAATACATTTTTCTTCTATTTTCACTGTATTCTTGAAAATTCAACTTTTCCTAAACCCTTTTCAAAAAAAAAATCAATTTCAGAATTTCAAACAATGATAATTCAGATTCCAAAAAAATGTATAAAAACAGAAAATTCCCCAATAAAATTGCTTTCTTCATTTTTCAGAATTTCTTTTCTCCAACCATCAAAAAAAATTGCGAGTTGATGTTTGCTATTTTCATCAGAGACCAACAAAACATGACTATGTACATACATATCTAACAAGATTATGTATTTTTTGTTCGGAAATTTTTTCATTTTTGACATTTCACCTATTTTTTTTCAGATACTTTGGGCTTCGGGGGGCTTCGGGGGGAGGGGGCTTCATGGGGCTTCAGGAGGCTTCAGAAGGCTTCAGAAGGCTTCAAGGGGCTTCAGAAGACTTCAGAGTTCAATTTCAAAATGTTGAAAATTCTGAATTTTTGATGTTGATGTTTCATTGGAGCCTTAAAATTCATGAGCAGAGTTCAAATTTAGCTTCAATAATTTTTTTTTCGCTTTTTTCTTTTTTTTCAGAATAATTTCACATAATTCATTTTTTTTCTAAATTTTCTAGGGCTACTGTAATTTAAGATTTGAAAAATTTGAAAATCTACGAAAATTTTTCTAGGCTTACTGTAATTAATTAAATAATCAATCTGAAAATTCTGGATTTTATAGGTCAAAAAAGGTTTTTTTTTGCTTCCAAAAAAATGATCTATGACGAAAATATCTCTCTCTTCCGATCAGACATTTTTTTCTGTCCAAAACAACACGAAAAAAAATGCTTTGGTAGATCAGAACACCAAAGTACAGATACAAAACAAGGTGATATCATTTCATCAATTTCACAATTTAGAACTTCTTCGCTGAATGATCATTCTGTTCACAAACAAGAAGAAAAATCGTATTTTTTTTTATTTCTCTCACAAACTTTTTTTGAGCAAATAGAAAAACGAGGCAGACGGTTTTTTTTTGTTGAAAAAGTGTTTTTTACTTTTTTGATTTTGCAATAAATTTTTGAAATTTTGTCTGTACTCTCTTCATTTTACATTGTCTTCAATTAATCGATTCTAGATTTTGTTAGAAAATTATTCAGAAACTTTTGAATTTTTGAAAAAACACATTTTTTCTTAAAATTTCTAGAATTTTACAGTCAATCTTCTGAAGCCTTTTGAAGCCTTTTGAAGCCTTCTGAAGCTTCCTAAGGCATTCTGAAACTATTTAGAGTTCACTAAATCTCCCCAAAGCCCTCTAAAAGCTACATAAGGCCTTAAAACCCTTGAAAATTTTTTCCAAATTCAAAATTTTCAGAAATTTTTTTTTTCAAAATTCGATTTCAACAATGTTTTGTTCTGTTCTGAAGTTCTGAAGTTCACAAGTTCTGGAAAAAAATCTGATTATTAGATACTTAAAAAAAATGAGAGACTATGTAAAATGAAGAGAATCCAGACAAAACTAGTTCACAATGTAGTTCTGTAAAACATTGTTGGGCTTTCTGAAGCCTTCTGAAGCCCTCTGAAGTCTCCTAAAGCCTTATGAAGCCCTTTGAGCTCTCTAAAATCTTCTGAAGCCCCAAAAAGTCATTTTAAGCCTTTTAGAACCTTCTAAAGCCTTCAGAAGCCTTATATCCTGTCAAAAATTTCTGAAAACCAACCAGAAACATTGTAAGTCAATAGAAATTTCGAAAAAAACACAAGAAAAGTGTCCTTCATCAGAAAAAAAAATTAAAATAAAAAAAAAAGTATTTTTCCCAAAAACCCGCCAAAACAAAAAAACAGTCCAAAACAAAAAAAAACAAACACCTTCCTCTTTTTTTCCCGCAAACAAGAAAAAACAAGTACATAGCGAGTGAGAGAGAGAAAATAGTGTGTGTTTTGAGGAGAGTGCGCAGAGAAGCAGAGATAACCTGTGGGACATACTAGAAAAAGGGAGGGGGGACACCTTTGTGCATGTGTGTGTGTGTTTTTTTTTTTTGATTTTTTTTTTGAAAAACTGTTGGGATTTTCTGTTTTTTATTATTGTTAGGTGTAAGATTTTGTGCGAATCTTTTTTTTAAATTTATTTCTTTGTAAAAAATTTTAATTCAGAAAGTTTTGATAAAAAAATTTCAGAATCAAATTTTTTAATTTTTTTTCGCAAAAAAGCTTTCTGAAGCCTCCTGAAGCTATCTAAAGCCTTCTGAAGCCTTCTGAAGCCCCCTAAGCCCCCTAAATCCCCGTAAAAACACCCTAATTCATTTAGAGTTATAGTTAGTTAGTTATATTGTCTATTGTTATCATTTGATAACAATTATAATAAAGGTTCTTCACTTTTTTTGTGTTGATAATAAACATCACTTCCAATTGTACTCCACTTTTTTTCCTGCTGGCTGCACTTTTTTTGCCAGAAAAATTTAATATTATTATTTATGACTATTATTGAAAAGTCATAGGTTAGATTGATATTTTTCAGGCTGAAAAAAATAATAAAACATTTTTTGATGCTGATCTTTATGTGTGAACACATCAACATCTGTAACACAAGTTTTTTTTTCTGCTTCTCTAATTCTGATTGGGTTTTTTTAGGAGTGTCTAGGATTTTTAGACTGATTTTGAATATTCAGAAGGCTTTAGGGGATTTTAAGGGGCTTCAGAAAGTTTTTTTTTCAGAAATTCTCTGTGTAGTTTGGTTTATCATTTTTTTCTCTGTGAAACTTTTTTAAAAAAAATTCGATTTCACTTATTTTTGCCGCCAATTTTTTATCAATCAAAACGTTTAAGCCTAAACTTTTTTTGCGATACAAAATTTTAAATATATCTAGTTTGATCTCCAATTTTTAAATTTTCAAATATATGTAGTTTGGTCTCTTCAATTTTTAAGTTTTCAAATATATCTAGTTTGATCTCCAATTTTTAAATTTTCAAATATATGTAGTTTGGTCTCAAATTTTTAAATGTATCTAGTTTGATCTTCAATTTTTAAATTTTTAAATTTTCAAATATTCAATTTGCTCTTTATTTGGTCTCCTGTAATCCAAAATAGGTTTGAAATATGAAAAATATATCAAAAAATTAATCCGTATAGTATTTTTATCAGGGGAATTTTGAGTTTTTTTGTGGGTTTTCAAAATTCTGAAAAATCTTCTAGATCATCTAGAAAATTTTCCAAGCTTCTAGAAAAAATCTGAAAATTTTTCTGTACCTTCTAACTCTATTCCAGATCTCCTTTCCAAACCTTTTTTTTTCAGAAATGGATGAAATTTTGAACACAACGGGTCCACCAGTTAGTGTAATTGTTCCCAATAGTTATGTCGTTATTCCATCGATTTTTTTCTGGATTATGATTCCTGTTATTATTCATGACATCAAAACGAGCCGACTTCAACCGCTACCCTGGAGTGCTTTGATGAGTTTGAAATGGGTTAGTTTTTCAAGGCTTCCCAAGGCTTCCCAAGGCTTCCCAAGGCTTCCCAAGGCTTCCCAAAGCTTCCCAAGGCTTCCCAAGGCTTCCCAAGGCTTCCCAAGGCTTCCAAGTCCAAAATACCAAAAGGGTGTTTCGCAACAATTTTTTGATATTTGTCTAGTGTCTGTTTACACAGACACAAAACACATTTGGCAAATTTGTGTGATTGACTTTCCGGTGATGATAAGAACACGATTTTGGTGTTTTTTTTTGTGGCTTCTGATGTGTGAAAGTAGAATACATATAAAATCGTGATTCTTTTGATGGAAAGATCAAATTTGACACATGGGAATTTTTGTGAAAAATTGTAGATTGACAGTTTTTCTGTTGAAATTTGGAAATTCAAGATTTTGAAGTTGAAAAGATTTCATCTAATTATTTTTTGAAGCTTAAGAAGCCTAAGAGAAGCCTAAGAAGCCTAAGAGAAGCCTTAGAAGCCTAAAAAGCCTAAGGAGCCTAAAAAGTTTTTCACAAGATTCTCAGACGAAAAATAAAAAAGATAAGGCGCACAAAAAGCAGAAAAACGATCAGAAAATTTATGTGAAAAAAACTGTTCACTTTAAAGGTACAAGCGGATTACGGTAGAAAAATTTGCAGATCTAACTTGAGAAAATTTAACTTTGGAAGCCTTCGGAAGCCTTTGGAAGCCTTTGAAAGCCTTCGGAAGCCTTCAGAAACCTTAAGAAGCTTTCTGAAGCCCGCAAAAGCCTCCAAAAGCCCTCGGTAGCCTTCGGAAGCCCTCGGAAGCCTTCGGAAGCCTTCGGAAGCCTTCGGAAGCCTTCGGAAGCCTTCAGAAGCCTTCAAAAGCCTTCGGAAGCCTTCAGAAGCCTTCGGAAGCCTACAAAGCCCGGCCTAATCCATATTTTTTGCAGTTCGTCGCCTCACTTCTAATAATCGACAGATTCTTCGTATTCCTCCTAGCCCTCTGGGAATCTGTCATCGAACATGAAGCAGTCGAACCCGAATTATTCATCTTCCCATTTTTTCACACCTTCACCCTCCTGGCACTTTTAATCGCCACCAATGAAACTAGAAGAGCTGGTGTACATTCATCTGGAACACTTTTTTGCATTTGGATGATGTTTGCTGTTTTTGCGATGCCAGAGTTTTATCAATGGATGGTTACTGGAAGTCAACCAGAGGTTGGTGTCAAATTACAGGGGGACAGTTTTTTGAAAAAATAAACAATTAATTCTTTTTCCTGAATCAGAAAGTTTTTGATGATTTTTGGATTCCTAGATTTCCGAAAGCTTTGAGAATCCTTGGAAGCTTCGCGGAAGCCTCCGGAAGCTCAAGGTAGCTTGCGGAAACCTCCGGATGCTAAACAAAGTTTGCGGAAGCCTCCGGAAGCTAAACGAAGCTTGCGGAAACCTTTCGAAAGCCTGAAAGCCTTTAAAAGCCTCCGGAAACCTATGATTCTGTCAAACATTTTTAAAAACCACCTTTTCGTGACAGGTGGCTATAGAGAAAAATATAGCCACCCGTCACGAAATTTAAAAAAAAAACCCGCCAAAAAACAGTTCAAACCTGAAAAAAAGGACACTTTCCTCTTTTTTCCCGCAAACAAGAAAAAACAACTAGCGAGAGAGTGTGTGTTTTGAGGAGAGTGCGCAGAGAAGCAGAGATAACCTGCGGGACATACTAGAAAAACGGGGGACACTTTTCTTGTGCATGTGTGTGTGTGTTTTTTTTTTTGATATTTTTTTTTTAAATTTACTTATTTTTTGGGATTTTGTGGTTTTTATTAGGTGTAAGATTTTGTGCAAATCTTTTTTTGAATATTTTTTTTACTTGAATCTCATTAGAATCTTTGTTTTTATCAAAATTTGTTTTCATATCTAAATTTTTTTCATTCAGAAAGTTTTTTAAAAACATTTCCTTTTTTTCAATTTTTTCTTTCGAAACTTTTTTAACCCTCAAAAGTCTTCTTAAACTTTTTAAAGCCTCCTGAAGCCTTCTAAATTTTTCTGAAGCCTCCTGAAGCCTCCTGAAGCCTTCTGAAGCTTCCCAAATGTTTCTGAATCCTTCTGAAGCTCCTCAAAGGCTTCTGGAGCTTTCTAAATCTTTCTGAGACCCTCTGATGAATTCTGAAGTCTTCTGGAACCCTCAAAAGCTTTCTTGAACTTTTTGAAGCTTCCTGAAGCCTTCTGAAGCCTTCTGAAGCTTTCTGAATTCTTCTAAAACATTCCTAAACTTTCTAAATTTTTCTGAATCTTTCTGAAGCCTTCCGAAGCCTTCTGAAGCCTTCTGAAGCTTCCCAAAGGCTTCTGAAGCTTCCCAAAGGCTTCTGAAGCTTCTTGAACCCTTTTGAATCTTTATGAAGCCTTCCGAAGCCTTCTAAAGCCTTCTGGAGCATTCTCAATGGCTTCTGAAGTCATCCGAACCTTCCCAAAAGTTTCTCAAAGTTTACTAAAGCCGTCTGAAACTCCCCGAAAGCTTCTGAAGCCTTCTGAAGCCCCCCAAAGGCTCTTGAAGCTTTCCAAAACATATTAAATTCTTCTGAAGCCTTCTAAAGCCTCCCCTAAAATTCACCAACCCCAATTTTTCCAGCTCGTCGCAAGAATCGATTTTTTCCGCTACGTGGCCTATTTGACATATTTCCCATTAGTCGTCGCCGAATTCTTTCTTCATTTCGTATCTGACCCATTTCCAATGCCATCAACATATCAAACCATAAATTGTCCAGAAGAAAATGCAAATTTCATCAGTCGTCAACTTCTCCTCTGGCTCAGCAATATGATAAGTGTGGGCTCGAAAAAACCGCTCACCGAAGAAGATATTTATGAATTGGATAGTCAAATGAATCAGAAATATTTGAAAGAAAAATGGAATGAAGAATGGGAAAAGCAAAAAATATCGGCGGCATCGAAAAATCTGAAAATTTCCCAACAAAATTCCAAAAAACGCGATGAGAAATCGCCACTTTTGGGCAATTTTTCGAATTATGGAGCTGTTGATCAGGAAAATATTAATGTGAAAATTGTGGAGCCGAGTATTATTTGGAGTTTGTGGAACTTGTTGAGATGGGAATTGATGGGTGGATTTATTATCAAGTTTATGTCGGATTTGTTGAATTTTGCTAATCCGATTTTGTTGAAGTGAGTGCATTTTTTGGGGGCATTGCTCATATTAATCCGAACTTTCTGGAAAAATTCCTAGACATCGGGAAATTGGAGCATTGCTCATATTAAACCCCACTTTATGGAAAAATTCCTAAAAATTGAAAAAAATTAGAGCATTGCTCATATTAATCTTGAACTTTTGAAAATTATCCAAATTGCTAGTAATAAGAGCATTGCTCATATTAATCTTGAAATTTAGAAAAACATCCAAATTTCTAATTATAAGAGCATTGCTCATATTAATCTTGAAATTCAAAAAATATCCATATTTCTATATATTAGAGCATTGCTCATATTATTCTTAAAATCCCAAAAACATCCAATTTTTTTAATTATTAGAGCATTGCTCATATTAAAATCCAACTTTATAGAAATATTCCTCGAAGTTGGGAAAATGAAGCATTGCTCATATTAATCTCGAAATTCAGAAAACATCCAGATTTCTAATTATTATAACATTGCTCATGCTAAACCCAATTTTTTAGAAACTTTCCGAAAAGTTGGGAAAATGGAGCATTGCTCATATTAATCTCGAAATTTAGAAAAACATCAAAATTTCTAATTATTATAGCATTGCTCATATTAACCTTGAAATTCTAAAAAACATTCAAATTGCTAATTATTAGAGCATTGCTCATTTTAATCAAAAAATCTTTGGGTAGTTTCTGGAAATCGGAAAACCTGAGCATTGCTCATATTAATCTTGAAATTAAAAAAAACCTCCAAATTACTAATTATCAGAGCATTGCTCATATTAATCTTGAAATCCCGCAAGAATTCCTGGACATCAAAAAAATCGAGAGCATTGCTCATATTAAACCCAAATTCTTGGGAAATTTCCTAAAAATTGGAAAAATTGAGCATTGCTCATATTAATATTGAAATTAAAAAAATCGAATTTTCTAATTATTAGAGCATTGCTCATATTAATCTTGAAATCCCTAAAGATTTCGTAGACATAAAAAAAACCAGAGAATTGCTCATTTCAACCTAAAAACCATATGGAAAAAAAACATTGCTCATATTAAACAAAACACAATAATTTCAGCTACCTCATAACATTCATCGAAACACCCGATGCTCCTTTAATAACCGGAATCGCCCTAGCAATCGGAATGTTCATAGCTGGCCAACTCAAATCAATATTCATGAACAATTATTTCATCGCAATGACACGAATCGGCTCAAAAATCTCGATAATGTTGAGTTGCGCAGTTTACGACAAGGCTCTTCTACTTTCGAATAGCGCGAGAAAAGATCGAACTGTTGGTGAGATGGTGAATTTGATATCGATTGATGTGGATCGATTCAGGATGATTACGCCGCAACTTCAACAGTATTGGAGCAGTCCGTTTCAGGTTTGTATTTGGGGGTTCTAAAGGCTTCCCAAGGCTTCCCAAGGCTTCCCAAGGCTTCCCAAGGCTTCCCAAGGCTTCCCAAGGCTTCTCAAGGCTTCTCAAGGCTTCCCAAGGCTTCCCAAGGCTTCCCAAGGCTTCCCAAGGCTTCCCAAGGCTTCCCAAGGCTTCCCAAGGCTTCCCAAGGCTTCCCAAGGCTTCCCAAGGCTTCCCAAGGCTTCCCAAGGCTTCCCAAGGCTTCCCAAGGCTTCCCAAGGCTTCTGAAGGCTTTTCAAGGCTTCTCAAGGCTTCTCAAGTTAGATATGCAGGTTTTATCTACCGTACTTGGCCTGTGCCTTTAAATTCTGAACAGTTTAGTGTGCTGTGTTTTTGTGTAGAAATTTTTCATGAGGTTTTCTGGGCTTTTTTTGATGCTGAAATTCAAAAATTTCAGAAATTTCCAGGGAATTTCAGATGAGCCCAGAAATTTCAGCATTTTCAGCACTGAAACATTTTTTTTTCGAAAATTTTTCAATCATCAGAAAATTCTAAATTTAGCACAGGATTCTGAAATTTTTCTGAAATCTAATTCGATTTTCCTGTTTGTCCAAAAATTATCGATTCACTGTATTTCATAAATTTTATTTTCAAAAAAAAAATTAATTTCATAATAATTTGAATTTCAAAAAAACAATACTTTATTCAGATTTATTAAGTGCCAATAATTCCGATTCAGAAAATTCAAATTGAAAAAACGATGCTTGTGGTGAACTTCCTTTAGCAAAATTTAAATCCAAATATTTTTTCCGGTTTTTCGGATGTATGACTTTCATCTTTGTGCTGCCATATCTTGTAGAAACATGATAATTCAAATCTTTTCCGATTAAAACGATTTGCTTCAGAAGTTCCTCTAATTTCTCTTCTGATATATATAAAAGTATGCTTTGAGAATGTGAATCGATTTCTCCATTTATCCAAGCTTCGAAATATCGTCGAAAATCTTGCCAGACCCAATTTTCAGCATTAAAAATAACATCAGCTTTTGTCAAAATTATTTCTTCAACTGTTAATTGACAATTTTCCACACGAATTTCTTGACATCTCGAATAATCTGTTATTGGAGTATGGATAGTGTTGAATTTTCCAGGCATATGTAAACTTTCAATTTTCTTATTTTCAAAATTCACATTCTTCGAAAAATAATTGAAATCCTCTTCATTCTTCAAATAGATTTGGACTAGACTCAAAGAATTCTTCGCATAATCAAACCATCTACAAAAGTTCCAAACTGTAGCTTGCAACGCAGTCATTTTATGATATCTTTTGAAAGCAGGTTCCCCCATGAATCGCTTATTCCATCTCACAAGACATTGTTTGCCTTTTCCTCGTTTTTGAAAAATTCCATGAACACCTTCTGTGTAAAAATTATAAACTGGCATATTGAAGTATCTCGGATCACAACCTTCTGTATAAGCACTTGTGTCAGTTCCCTGAATCCAACTTTTAGCTCATATTTTCCAGCATGCTCGAAGAGTATTATTTGTGTTATAAAGTTTTTGGAAGTTTTCACATCGCGGTTACATTCTCGTGAACATTTTGAGAGTCTTAATCTGTATCCCACATCGAGATATTCGATGATGTTTTGACGAATTTCAAGGGGCAGGTTGAGCCATCCAATTTTTTTCTGGAACAATTAATTTTGTGATAAATGTTTTCTGAACGCTTCTGGAGTCCTAGAAAGCTTTCTGAAGCCTTCTGAAGCCCTATAAAATCTTCTGAAGCTTTCTGAAGCCTTCTGAAGTCCTTTTGAAGTCTTCTGAAGCCCTATGAAGTCGTCTGAAGCCTTCTGAAGCCCTATAAAATCTTCTGAAGCCTTCTGAAGCCCTATGAAGTCTTCTGAAGCCTTCTGAAGCCTTCTGAAGCTTTCTGAAGTCTTCTGAAGCCCTTTAAAATCTTCTGAAGCCTTCTGAAGCCTTCTGAAGCCCCCTAAAGTTTCCGAAGCCCACAAAAGCACATCTGAATTTTTTTTTGGAATTTGAAAATTTCCAGACGCTCTACATGTATTTAGAGAAAGCTTTTTTTTGAATTTTAGAAAAAAATTCCAAGAATTTTCAAATTTCGAAAATTCATGAAAAAAAAATAATTCAAATTTATTTTCAAAAAAAAATAAAAATAATTCTTATAAAATTATGGAAGTTCAGTAAAAAGAACTTTTGAATGCATTATTTTTTCAAATTACTTTAGGCTTCTGAAGACCCCGTAAAGTCTTCTAAAGCCCACAAAAGCAAATCTGATTTTTCTGGGATTTTAAAAATATTCAGATTCTCTCCAAGCCTTTGAAACTTTTTTTTAACTTTACAAATAAAATTCCAAAAGTTTTGAATTTTTAAATATTCCTGCTTGAAAAGATAGAAAAAATATACTTCTGAAGCCCTCTGAAACCTTCTGGAGCCAAATTTAACCCTCTGAAGTCCTTTTGAAGTCTTCTGAAGCCTCCAAAAGCCCTCCAAAGCCCTTTGAAGCCCTCTAGAGCCCCCCTAGAAACCAACCTCATCATAATAATCACCTTGCCTTGATTTCAATATTGATTTCATACTGTACGAAGGAAGAATATCAACATAGCCATTAGACATTTTAATAGGCGCAACAAAACAAAACAAGGTCACCCAACAACAAATACACCTTTTATTAATAAATAATAAATAGGGTGGAGATTATTTTTGAGAGATTGGTGGGTGGTGAGAGGGTGCAAGAGAGAGAGAGAGAGAGAAAAACAAATTATTGATTGTGAGGTGTAAACAAAATTTAATTTTCGAGGTTAAACTACATAAAAATTGAATTAGAGACAACGTGGGATCAAGAGAACACAGACAAAATTTAGTTCCAGATTTTTACAGAATTATGAGAAAAACACTTCTGGAGCTTTCTGAAGCCTTCTGAAGCCTTCTGAAGCCTTCTGAATCCCTCTGAACCCTTCTGAAGCCCTCTGAAGTCCTCCGAGGCCCTCTGAAGTCTTCTGAAGCCTTGTGAAGCCCTCTAAAGCCTTCTGAAGCCTTGTGAAACTTTCCGAAGCCTTCAGAAGCCTTCTAACGCCCTCTGAAGTCTTCTGAAGTCCTCTGAAGCCTTCTGAAGCAGACCTGTGCCGGAAATTTTCTGAATTTTAGGATTTTCCTGGTTTTTCAAAAAAAAAAATCAATTTTCCAGTTTTCCGGAAAATGAAAAAAAATCGAGAAATGAAAAATAAACATTTTTGAATTTTTTTTTTATTTTTCAGAATTGTACGATTTTTTGGAAGTAAAACTTCCCAAATCCAAAAAATTTCCGAAATTGAAAAATTTTCCGGATTTTCCGGTTCAAAAAATAGGGAAATTTGTTCTGAAGCCCTCAGAACCCTGTTCAAGCCTTCTGAAATCTTCTGAAGCCTCCTAAAGCCTTCTGAAGCCTTCTGAAGCCCTCTGAATCCTTCTGAAGCCTTCCGAAGTCTTCTGAAGCCTTTTAGAGCGCTCTGGAGCCTTCTGAAGCCTCCTCAAGTACTTCAAAGCCCCCTGGAGCCTTCTGAAGCCCTTTGAAGCCTTCTTAAGCCCTCTGAAGCCTTCTAAAGCCCTCTGGCGCCCCCAAATCCCTAAAACATTTTTTTCAGATCATTGTTTGTATGATTCTCCTTTGGCAAATCGTCGGAGTAGCAGTCTGGGCTGGAATTGTAGTTATGGTAAGCCCCTTACCCCCAAAAATCTCCAAGCCTTCTTCAAAATTTGCAGATAAGTATAATCCCGATCAATTTCGTCGCCTCAGTTATCACAAAACGATGGCAAATGAGATTAATGAAGTACAAAGATGAGCGGATTCGACTAATTAATGAAACTTTTAATGGAATCAAAGTCGTCAAATTATCCGCCTGGGAAACTGCGATGGAAGAAAGTATTGAGGAAATTCGAAGAAATGAGCTGAGAATGATCAGAAATAGTTCACTTCTCAAAACTTTTGCCGATTGTTTGAATGTGGCGGCGCCGGTTTTTGTGAGTTACAGTTACAGTAACCCTGGTCCCGAAATAAATTTCCCAAATTCATTACAGGTAGCCTTGGCAACATTCACAGTGTTCACACTTATCGATCCGAAAAATGTGCTCACTCCAAACATCGCATTCGTCTCGTTGAGTTTGTTCAACTTGCTCAGAGCTCCACTTATGATGGCTGCTGATTTGATTGCGCAGACTGTGCAACTTGTGGTGTCTAATAAGAGAATTCGAACTTTTCTTTGTGAAAGTGAGATTGATGGGGATGCTGTGAATCGTGAGAATCATGGGGAATGTGAGTTTTGATTTTTTTGGGAAGTGAGATTAAGGAGTGGCGCCTTGAGAGCTGCTAGGTCAAGGAGTCACGCCTTGAGAGGGTTTATGAAAAGCAGCAGCGCCTTGAGTGCTGCTATGTCAAGCAGCTGAGCTTTGAGAGCTGCTATGTCAAGCAGCCGCGTCTAGATATTCACTATGACAAGGAGCCACGCCTTGAGAGCTGCTATGTCGAGGAATTGCACCTTGAGGGTCAATACATCAAGCAGCTTCGCCTAGACATTCACTATGGCAAGAGGTCACGGCTTGAGAGCAACTATGACAAGCTGCCGCTCCTTGAGAGCTGCTATGTCAAGCAGCTGCGTCTTGAGAGCTGCTATGTCAAGCAGCTGCGTCTTGAGAGCTACTATGTCAAGGAGTAGCTCCTAGAGACCAAGATGACAAGGAGTCACGCCTTGAGCGGGTTCATGAGAAGTAGCCGCGACTTTAGAGCTGCTATGTCAAGCAGCTGCGCCTTGAAAGCTGATATGTCAAGCAGCCGCGTCTAGATATTCACTGTGTCAAGTGGCTGCGCCTTGAGAGCTGCCATATCAAGCAGTTGCGCCTTGAGAGCTGCTATGTCAAGCAGCTGTCTCTTGAGAGTTTTTTTTAACAATCAGCTGCGTCTAGAGAGCGACTCAAAGTCTAAGAACCCTAAGAACCCAAAAAAATCAATAATTTTCAGTATACACAAATGCAGTTGAAGTACACTCTGGCTCCTTCAGCTGGGACACCAAAGCACCTCGAACTCTTCACGACATCGACGTGAAAATCGCAACAAATCAACTGATTTCCATCGTCGGATCAGTGGGCTCAGGAAAATCATCATTCCTTCTGTCGATCCTCGGAGAAATGGAAAAATCTGGAGGATATGTCGGAATTCGCGGAACTTGTGCCTATCTATCACAACAACCTTGGATTCTGAATCAAACACTTCGCAAAAATATTCTAATGTTGAATGAGATGAATGATGTGCTTTATAAAAAAGTTGTCGAAAGTTGCGCGCTTCTGGATGATTTCAAACAATTGGCCGATGGTGATGAGACGGAAATTGGTGAAAAAGGCATTAATTTGTCGGGCGGACAAAAATCCAGGATCTCTTTGGCTCGCGCGGTTTATCAGAATCGTGATGTTTATTTGTTGGATGATCCGTTGTCGGCTGTCGATGCTCATGTTGGTAAACATCTTTTTGAAAATGTTATTGGGCCGCATGGAATGTTGGCCAATACTACTAGGTTGGTTTTGGGGGGGGCTTTGGGAGGCTTCAGGGGACTTCAGAAGACTATATGAGGCTTCAGGAGGCTTTAGGAAGCTTAACAGGGCTTAAGGAGGGTTTAGGATGCTTTGACGGGCTTCAGGGGCTTTAGAAGGCTTCAGAATGTTTCAGAAAGCTTAAGAAGGCTCCAGAAGGCTTCAGAAGGCTTCAGGAAGCTGAGAGGGCTTCAGGATGTTTCAGAAGGCTTCAGAATGTTTCAGAAGGCTTCAGAAGGCTCCAGAAGGCTTCAGAAGGCTTCACGAGACTTCAGAAGGCTTCATAGGGGTTCAAATCACTTTTTAGTGCAGCTCTGTAGCTTCCCAGGTCTTTTCTTGATCTTCTTTTTTTCTTGATCTTCTGAACCGTTCAGAATGCGAAAAAAATAGTAAGAGTAATTTTATAAATCTAGAATTCATAAGAAATCTTACATTTAATATGAGCAATTTTTTTGGATTCTGAACTTTCCAGATCCAAAAAACATCTAGAAATATATTTTTCTGGAACTTGAAAAGCAGTGAACAAATATTATCATGAGCAATCTCATGATTTTTCTAGGTGTTCTGAATTTTCCAGATCCAAAAAAAATCTAGAAAAATATTTTTTCTGGAACTTGATTTTAGATTTTAGAAAGATGATCAGTGAACAAATTTTAACATGAGCAATCTGATGATTTTCCCAAAAAGCCTAAGAAGCCTAAGCCTAAGCCTAGATCAAGAGCCCTATCCCAAGCCTGACAAGCCTAAAAAGCCTAGTTCCTTTTTCCAGAATCCTGGTCACCAACTGCACATCCTACCTCCAACAATCCGACAAAATCATCATAATGAAAGACGGTGCAATCACACACTTTGACACCTTTGAAAATCTGAGCGCTGATGAAAATGCACGGCATTATCTTCGAGAAGTCAATGAGCAAGAGGAAAAAGAGAGATTGAGAAAATCGAGAGATTCGAGAGATGAGTCGGAAAGTGAAAAAGAGTTATCGGAAGAAGATGATGATGATAGTAAAAGTTTGATTTCGAGGGTTTCGTCGAGGAGATCTGCGAAGGTGGGCGGGAGATTTTTGGAATTTTGAAATTTAGATTTTTCGCGCCAGAATTTGGAAATTTAGATCTCAAAATTTTGAGCATTAGCGTCGAATTTTAATTTTTAAAATTTCGCCAAAATTTAAAAATTTTCAAGTTTTTTATATTGAAAATAGATTTCTGACGGAAGTTTTTGAAATTTCAAAAATTTTCCTGAATTCAAAATTGATCCGGAAAAAAATCTGAAAAAGCTGAAATTCGAATTGTTGAATTTTTCAAATGAAAAGGTATTTCTGAAATTTTTGAATTTTCAAAAAAAATTTCAAAATTTTTAAGTTTTTCATATTGAAAATAGATTTCTGTCGGAAAATTTTGAAATTTCAAAAATTTTCCTGAATTCAAAATTAATCCGGAAAAAAAATCTGAAAAGGCTGAAAGTGCTCTAGAAACCTGAAATTCAGAAAACTGAACCTGAGAAGCCTAGGAAGTCCAGAAAGCCTTTAAAGCGAGCCTTTGGGAAGCCTTGGGAAGCCTTGGGAAGCCTTGGGAAGCCTTGGGAAGCCTTGGGAAGCCCAGGGAAGTCTTGGGAAGCCTTGGGAAGCCTTGAAAAGCCTTGGGAAGCCCAAAAATTTCGAAACGCAATTTGCAGAGTCGCACCAAACCCACCAAAGCTCCAAACGTCCTCATCACTAAAGAAGAAGCCGCGTCAGGAAAAGTAAAAGCCAGTGTCTACATGCTCTACTTCAAATCAATGGGAATTTTCAAATATGTTTTGCCATATCTGATAGCCGTAGTTTTGAATATGGCACTTGCAATGGGAAGATCTCTCTGGCTCACAGCATGGTCCGACGAAAATATCGATCCAAATCTTGCCGCGAATGTGAACGTCGGTGAAAAACTTGGAGTCTACGCGGCTTTCGGGATCACTGAAGTTATTGCGTTATTCTTCTCATTGGCCCTTTTATTGATTGGCGGTGTTGAGGCGTCGAAAAATTTGCACAGACCTTTACTTCATAATGTGCTCCGCAACCCGTTGAGCTATTTTGATGTGACACCAATCGGACGAATCATTAATCGATTGGCGAAAGATATGGAGGTTGTGGATTTAAGATTGAGTGGAGCGATGCGATTTTTGGTCATCAGTTTCATGAATATGGCACAGACCACGATTATTGTATCGTATTCAACACCGGCTTTTATTTTGGTCATTATTCCGGTTTATATTATTTATTATTTGATTTTGGTGAGATTTTTTGGGGCGTTTTGACTTCTGAAGCCTTCTGAAGCCTTTGGAAGTTCTATAAAGCCCTCTGAAGCCTTCTAAATCCTTTAGAAGCCTTCTGAAGCTTTCTGAAATTTTCCAAAGCCCTCCAAAGCTCTCAGAAGCCGTCTTTAGCCCTCTGAAGCCTTCTGGAACTTTCTGAAGCCCTCTGAAGCCCGCTGAAATTTTTTAAAAAAAAGTTCTGGATAGAAAAATGTATTTTTGATTAGAGACAATGTGATATTGAGAGAGTCTAGACACAAAATTAGTTAGGTTTTTTTTGGTTTTTGAGATATTTGCAACAATTTTTCTGAAGGATTCTCCTGTTTTGGTTTATTTTTTTAAACTAATTGCTCATGTTAGAGGATTGCTCATGTTAGCCTATCCACAGAGGGGTTAAACTTTTTTGAGGATTTTTTTCTTATCAGGGAATGTTTCTCTGGATTTTCAAGATTCTGAGGATTCGCATGTTTAAAATAGGATTTAGAAGGCTTCAGAATTCTTTAGAAGGCTTCAGAATGCTTTGAGAGGCTTCAGGAAGAATCAGAGGGCTTCAGAAGCCTTCAGAATTCTTCAGAAGGCTTCAGAAGGCTTCAGAAGGCTTCAGAGGGCTTCAGAAGGCTTCAGAAGGCCTTCAGACTTTCTAGGCTTCAAAATTAACTTTTTTTTTCAGAAACACTCAATCCGAAGTACCCGTCAACTTCAACGAATCTCCTCTCTAACACGATCTCCAATTTTCTCAAACTTCTCCGAAACTCTTCAAGGAATCTCAACAATTCGAGCATTTCAATGGAACCAAGATTTTATTGAGCGAAACGATAAACATGTTGAGACAAATGTGAAATGTAGTTATTATTCACAAATGGCTAATCGATGGCTATCGATTCGATTGGAACTTTTGGGAAATATTGTCATTTTTTGTGAGTTTATGGGGATTTTTGAAGCTTCTGAAGCCTTCTGAAGCCTTCTGAAGCCCTCTAAAGCCTCTCGAAGCCTTCTGAAGCCCCCTAAACCCCAAAAAATTCATCCAAAGCCTTTTTCAGCCGCTGCAATTTTGGCAATTATGGGGAAAACTTATGGAATGACTGCTGGTATGCTGGGACTTTCAGTTTCCTATTCTTTGAATGTGAGTTTATATTTTTTTGGTTGAAAATCTTGAATCCTAAAATTTCCAATCAGCTATGCCTAGACTCGAATTTTGTCAAGGAGTCAAGCCTTGAGAGCGTATATGAGAAGTAGTCATGCCTCGAGAGACTCTGTGAGAAGTAGTGAAGTCTAGAGGTTTACCATGAGAAGGGTTAGCGCCTTGAAAGCTTCTATGAGAAGTAAAACCGCCTTGAGAGCATTGATGACAAGAAGTCGGGCCTTGAAAACCAATCTGGATAGGAATCACGCCTTGAGTGAGGCTAGGACAAGTAAGAGCGCCTAGAGAGACATTTTGCAAAGGATTCATGCCTTGAGAGAGGCTAAGACAAGTAAGAGCGCCTTGAAAACGTATATCGCAAGTATCCATAGCTTAAGAGTGCTTGTGACAAGCAACCGCTTCTAGAGAACCTTTTCAAGTAGGAGTCACGCCTTGAGAGCGTTGATGACTAGAAGTCGCGCCTTGAGAGACATTTTTCAAAGGATTCACTCCTTGAGAGTGGCTAGGGCAAGGAAGCGCGCCTAGAAACTTACTATGAGAAGCAGTAGAGCCTTAAGAGCGTTAATGACTAGAAGTCGCGCCTAGAAAGATTTTTTGGAAAGGATTCACGCCTTGAGAGAGGCTAACACAAGTAAGCGCGCCTTGAAAGCTTCTTTAAGAAGTAGCCGTGCCTTAAGAGCGTTGATGACTAGAAGTAGCGCCTAGAGCGGCTTTTTGGAAAGGACTCACTCCTTGAGAGAGGCTAAGACAAGTAAGCGCGCCTTGAAAACCACTTCAAGAAGAAGTGAAGCCTAGATATTTATTCTGATAAGAATTAGCGCCTTAAGAACCCTAACAACCCCAAGCCAACCTAAAAAAAATCTCCGAAAAATTTCAGATAACCTTCATGCTAAACATGTTTGTCAGACAAATCAACGAAGTCGAAACCAACATTGTATCCGTCGAAAGAATCGACGAATACACAAAAACCAAAACCGAAGCAGAATGGCGAAACGAAAACTCGAAAAATCTTCCCGAATCCTGGCCAGAATCCGGAAGCCTAAACATCGATGATTATTCGTGTCGATATCGTGAAGAACTAGATCTTGTTCTCAAAAACATCAACATCAATATTCTACCCGGGCAGAAAGTTGGAGTTTGTGGACGAACTGGAGCCGGCAAATCATCGCTGGCTCTGGCACTTTTCCGAATTGTTGAAGCGGCTGATGGCAAAATTGAGCTAGATCAAAGGGATACCGCCAAAGTTGGATTGCATGATTTGAGAGAGAAATTGACGATTATACCACAGGAGAATGTGTTGTTTGCAAATACGTTGCGATTTAATATTGATCCGAAGAATGAGTTTTCTGATCAGGAATTGTGGACAGCGTTGGAGCATTCTTATTTGAAGGAACATGTTTTGACGTTGCCGATGAAGTTGGAAGCGCAGATATCGGAGGGAGGAGAGAATTTTAGGTTGGTCTCACAATCAGGTTTAGTGAAGTTTTAGGCTCGGCTGCTTGCCGAAAAGTAGATTTCAAGGAGCGGCTGATTGCCAGAAAAAACCTCTAGGTGCAGAATCTTAAAATAGAAGCTCTATAGACGTGTCTGCTTGACATATTAGGTTTGTTTGCTCTCTAGACGTCTTTGCTTGATATAGAAGCTCTCTAGGCGCGGCTGCTTCTCATGGGAGCTCTCTGAGCGTGGCTGCTTGCAGAAAGGACTTGAAGGCGTGACTTTTTGCCGGAAGGTAGATTTCTAGGAGTGGCAGCTTGACACTATGTTCTCTAGACGTGATTGCTTGCAATTGGGATTCTTGGGCTCGGCTGCTTGCTAGAGTTAATCTCTAGACGCGGATGCTTGACATAGAAGCTCTCTATTCGCGGCTGCTTGACATAGAAGCCCTCTAGGCTCGGCTGCTTGAAAAATATGCTCTCTAGGCGCGGCTGCTTGACACATACAGGGTGTTTCATAAATAGTGTTACAAGAGTTGTTCATCTTTAGGTCAGTTTTGTGAATGTTGGGTAATTCCAATCGTTTTGGTCGTAAGATCAAAAATGTAGAGTTTTTCTTCCTCTACAAGAGCTGTCTATGTAAATTTGACATTAATGTGTTTTGGACTCTGTTTATGACGTGTAAACAAAAACGAATTTTTGGAAAAATCCTTTTCTGGCACGACGGTCTTTCCAAAAATGAAAAGCCATGAAATCTTTAGTTTTTTTGAGTTTTATGGCTTAATATGATATTTTCTAATGTAAACAATGTTTCTAGTAAAAATTTCACACAACTCCACATATTTATTATTTTTTTTCTTGAACTTAGAAGAAGATCTTCAATTTCGACTGAAACTTCGGATTTTCCCGATTTTTTGACAAAAATATCGTTAAAATCGAGTTTAAATTTTGATGTAATCGGTCAAATCAGTTATTTATAGAAGAAAAAACAATTGTGGTACAGAAATAATAAATATTGAGTGGAAAAAATCATATTTTTCCACAAAAGCTGAAAAACTCAATTTTATTTTTTGAAAGTTTCGAAAAGTAGGTTCACTTTAACCTCCCGGATACGAGGGTACAGTAATGCTATTACTTTGTCCGTTTTAAACTAACGAAATAAACCCGTCAAAAAGGGTTTTCGAAAGTTACTTTCGGGAAAAGACCAATTTCAAAAATAAAGGATCTCATTGAACGAAAAAAATCGTGCGTGCAACAGTGACCCTCCACTGCCACACTTGGGCTGGTGGCAATGGTGTGAATGTTGAAATGAGATGTTATTCATTTTCAAATCTTGTCATACCTACGTTCGGCTAAGTTTGTGTCAAATAATATTGAGTTTTGATCTTTTGCGCTTCCCTAGGTGAGCTGTGCAAGTTGTAACACTATTTATGAAACACCCTGTATGCTCTCTAGGCGTGTCTGCTTGATATATATGGTCTTAAGGAGGAGATCCTTGCCGAAGGTGATCTCTACGGGTGTCTACTTCACAAAGATATCCTGTAGGTGTGACTCTTTGTCAAAGAAGAGCTCTAGGCGCAACCGCTTGCCAGAACGGATCTCTAGGCGCTGCTGCTTGCCATACAAAATCTGAAGGCGTGTTTGCTTGCCAGGAAGGAGCTCTAGGCGCGAATGCTTGCCAGAATAGATCTCTAGTCGCGGCAACTTGATACATATACTCTCTAGGCGTGTCTCCTTGCCACAGTAAATCTCTAGGCGCGACTGCTTGCCAGGAAAAAAACTCTAGGCGCGGCTGCTTGACAAAAAAACCTCTAGGCTCTACTGCTTCTCAAAAACCCTTGATTTTTCAGCGTCGGTCAACGCCAACTCCTCTGCCTAACCCGAGCACTTCTCAAAAAATCCAAAGTGCTCGTTTTGGACGAAGCAACATCAGGAATCGATAATCGAACAGATGCTCTAGTCCAAGCAACAATTCGAAAAGAATTTTCGAAATCCACAATTATCACAATTGCTCATAGGCTTAACACTATTATGGATTACGATAGGTGAGTGAAATTTTTTTTGAGATTTAGAGAAAAACAATTATTTTTTCATTTCAGAATAATTGTGATGGAGAATGGAAAAATTGTTGAAGATGGAATTCCAGCATTGCTACTTAAAGACAAATCTTCCAAATTTTATGGTCTCGCAAAATCTGCAAAAATTGTTTAATTAATTAATTAATTATTTATTAAATTTGAAAAAAAAATCAATCAATAACTTTTTTTCAGTGTTGTTTACAGTGTCCTCTGACAAGGAGCCGCGCCTTGAGAGCAATTATGAGAAGGCGCCGCGCCTAGAGAATCACTCTGACAAGAAGCCACGCCTAGAGATTCACTATGACAAGCGGCCACAGCTTGAGAGCAATTATGAGAAGTAGCCGCGCCTTGAGAACCTCTTTGACAAGGAGCCACGCCTTGAGAGCAATTATGAGAAGTAGCCGCACCTAGAGAATCATTCTGACAAGGAGCCACACCTAGAGAACTACTGTGGCAAGCAGCCAAGCCTTGAGAGCAATTATGAGAAGTAGCCGCACCTCGAGAATCACTCTGACAAGCGGTCGCGCCTGGATAACCACTCTGGCAAGCGGCCGCGCCTTGAGAGCAACAATGAGAAGTATCCGCGCCTAGAGAACCTCTCTGACAAGGAGCCGCGCCTAGAGAACCACTCTGACAAGCAGTCATGCCTAGAGAACTCTAGAATTTCAGATTTTTGCTCTAGAACTTGTCAAATTCAAAGTTTCAGGAACATTTGTTCAAAAAATCGAACAAAATGACATTTTGTGCTGTAAAAAAACCTGACTCTTCAAAAATTTGCTGTAATTTTCAGCCGAAATTTTTCCCCTACCATTTTTCATTTTTCGCATGTATACTAAATCAATTTTCGCCAGCTCCAAGAGCACAAAAATCTCTCAATTTCTGCGTGCGATAATTAATTGTGCTCAAATGAGCCCCGGGGCTCCGTGTGTTGATAAATGCACTTACATTACACTTTCTTCTTGCCCCATTTTCATTTTTCGATGAAAAAAGATACAATTTGTTTCATTTTTCCTTGATTTTCCCCAATTTTTTTCTGTTTTTTTTCAGGAATTTCAGACATTTTTGTGAGATTTTCAGCCATGATTCTGCTATTTTTGATATTTATCCTAACTCCAACAATTTATGGAGCATTGGACACGGCGGCAGTTATAGCCATTCAAACTGAAATTAATAAACATAGCGCGGATATTGAGATGATTTTGGATGTGAGTTTTTTTTGTTGGCTGAAAATTTCAGATTTTTTTTTGGAGAAGCCCATGATTTTTGTGTGTTGAAACATAACAGCTGTCAAGTGTTCGAAAAAAAAAGTGTAAAAAATTGGACATTTTTTTTTGTTTGAAACATTTATAAATAAATTTAGAGATGAGGGAGTTTGAAAGAAAAAATGGAGAAAATTTGGAAAAAAATATATTTCAAAAATATTTTTGAAAAATTGTTTGAAAAAATATTTCAGAAATACTTTTGAAAAATTGTTCGAAAAATTCAAGGAATACTTTTGGGTTAAGAATTTTTAAAAAATTTTCCGGAATCTGAGAGCCTTTTAGTCTCTTAAAATAGGCTTCTTAACATTTCTAGGCTTCTTGGGCCTATAAGGCTTTCTTAAGGCTTCTTAGGCTTTCTTAAGGCTTCTTGGGATCTGTAGGCTTCTTGGGACTTACTGGGCTTTTTAGGCTTATTAGGCTTATGAGGCTTCGTTTTCTTTATTCTTTCTAACATGAGAATAAATTTTTTTGATTTTCAGAAACTTATTGATTTTTGATCTGAAAATTTATTATGCTATTATTTTTCTATTCTGAAGGTGCCCTCTCAAGCCTTTTGAAGCCCTCTAAAGCCTTTAAAGGCCTCCTAAAGCCCAGTAAAGCCCTCTGAAGCCCTCTGAAGCCCTCTAAAGCCTTCCGAAGCCTTCTAAAGTCCTCTGAAGCCCTCTGAAGCCTTCTGAAGCCCTTTGAAGCTTTCTAAGGTCCTTTAAAGCCTTCTAAGGCCCTCTAAAGCCCTCCGAAGACCCCCCAAAGCCTAACCTCATTTTTCCAGCACGTCAAAAACCTCAACGCTCGAGTCAGTGAACTAGGTCGCCCCGGACCACCGGGAACAAATGGCTCCCCGGGTTTCCCCGGAGCCAAAGGTGAAAAAGGAGCAACCGGGCTCGAAGCAATGAACGGGCGAGATGGAATGCAAGGAATCCCAGGAGTCAAAGGAGATATGGGACCAATTGGTCCGACTGGAATGAAAGGCGATAAAGGTTCCACAGGATTTCCCGGGCAGAAAGGAGATGTTGGTGGAAATGGAACGCCCGGTTTGAAGGGTGATACTGGAATCCCGGGAAAAGTCGGAGAGCCCGGATCGAATGGACCACCTGGTTCGAAGGGCGAGAAGGGAATGGAGGGGCTTCCGGGAGTTAATGGAAGTCCGGGAGCTCCAGGATGGCCGGGTGGCAAGGGAGAGGATGGACTTCCAGGGAGACCAGGTGAGGATAGAGAGGCTAGAGAGGCTAGAGAGGCTAGAGAGGCTAGAGAGGCTAGAGAGGCTAGAGAGGCTAGAGAGGCTAGAGAGGCTAGAGAGGTTAGAGAGGCTAGAGAGGTTAGAGAGCCTAGAGAGCCTAGAGAGTCTAGAGAGTCTAGAGAGCATAGAGAGGCTAGAGAAGCTAGAGAGCCTAGAGAGCCTAGAGAGCCTAGAGGCTACAGTAATCTAGTGCTACAGTAATCTTTCTAAGATTTTTTGATTCACAATTTCAACTTTTTTTTTTTCTGGATTTTCAGAATCGCTTTTTAGCTACAGTAATATTCTTAAAAATCTGTGTATCAACTATTACAGTACCCAGCAAAAATTGTGCCAAAAGGTTTCGAAAATGTGTAGATCAATTCTCTGGGTACAGTAATCCTCTACAGTATCCATTCTACAATAATCAACTAATTAACTTAAAATTTGATTCAAGTCTTAAATTTGTAGCTAATCAGTGTTGAAAAAAATCTGTAGATCAATATTTTCCAAGTACAGTAACCCATGGAAAATTGTGCCAAAAAATTCCGAAAATGTGTGGGTCAAAATTATCTAGGTTTAGAAATCATCTACAGTACCCATTCTACAGTAGTTAACTAATTAACTTAAAATTTAATTTATGTAAGTCTTAAATTTGTAGCAAATCAGTTTTGAAAAAAATCTGTAGATCAATATTTTCCAAGTACAGTAACCCAGAAAAAATTGTGTCAAAAAGTTCCGAAATTCTGTAGATCAATATTTTCTGAATCCTCTACAGTACCCATTCTACAGTAGTTAACTTTGAAAAATCTGTAGATCAATATTTTCAGTCGGAAAAAAAGCCCAGAAATCCTTCAAATTTCCAGGCTCTCCCGGATTCCCTGGCAAAAAAGGTGAAAGTGGAAACGGCGGAGTTCCCGGAGTCCCCGGAATGATTGGAGAACGTGGACTTCCTGGCTCACCAGGAATGCAAGGAATGATCGGCCCAATCGGACCACCAGGCCAAATCGGACTTCCCGGACCAAAAGGAGACAACGGACCAGCCGGACTTCCCGGAAGTAAAGGAGAACAGGGAAAAGATGGGATTCCTGGGTTACCAGGGTGGATTGTTAATGATAAGGGTTACTGTATTTTGGCGTTGGGAAATTGTCCACCAGCTTTTACACAAATTGGAGCTTATCAGGTTGGTAGATCAAATTTTTTTTTGAAAAACTTATTTTGAATTTTGAATTTTTAAAGGCACACGTTGATAAATACCGTTTCGGAGACTATATTCTGACAAAAAGTGCTGGAATTGGAGGCGATGAAAGTCAATTCGCTTTAAAGGTTCATGCTTGTTGTCGATGAATAAATGATTTATTGATTTATTGATTTTTGGGGGATATGTACAAAAAAAGATATGTCTGGGTATTTTGGGAGTACTGTAGTTCGAGATAAAATCGATCAATCGAGATGTTGTTGATTTCTGAGTTGATTTATGAGATCAGAAAAACACGAGTACAAAACACTGAAGATCACGCTGAGCAAGGAGATCAGGAGACAGTACATTGATGTTTTGTAGAATATAGCTGGAAGTATAATATGAGCAAGGGTTTTGGGGTAATATGAGCAATGTTTTTGCTTTAACTTTAACTCACGCTCCATTTGAATACACATCGATTTCATCATTGGAACACAAACATCAACATCAGGACCTTGATTCATATTTTCCAAAACAACTACAATTCCTGGACTCAGTAGCCACGAAGCGATGAGAAGTTTGATAATGGCAAAGTACAACATGTTTTTTTTTCGCTGGAAAAAATAATTTTATTTTTACTTTTTTGGGGAGCGAAGAAAACAAAATGACTGACTGAATTAAATTTTTGTCTCCAACCTCCGAAAAAGCTCCGCCCATTTTTGAATACATACAGTATGAAATTGGCGTGGGTAGAAAGTTGCGAGGAGAGAGAGGAGACGCAGAGATGAGGGATCAGATTTTCAAATATTCTGAAAATTTACACAGTAGTTTTTCAGATTGTTGTGGGCTCACTGTAAAATTTTCAGAGTTTTAGACATTACAGAAGCTTGAAGACATATTTTATAGCCAAAAATAAGAAAATAAGAAAAAAGTTTTTTCACTGTAGCTCAAAATTGAACGCCTTTCTTTCCCGCCATTTCCGAGGCAACTGTAGATCAAAATTTATCAAATTTTCGTAGTAATATTTCAAGATTGAAGTGTTCTAGCTTTTCAAAGTAACTGTAGTTTTTTTAGAGTTCTAGACATTTTGATAGCTTGAATAATTAAAAGCCAAAAATCGGCAAGTTTTCAAGACTACTGTAGCTCAAAATGGTCTGGATTTTGGAGAAAATCATTTCGAAACTCAATTTTCTTTAAAGGTTCACGCTTCAAAAGTTCACGATGAAGAAAAAAAAGATTTATTGATTGATTTTGGCGAAACATTTTACATAAAGGGTTGATTTTGTAAGTGTAGAAAATATCATGAAATAAAATTTGAAATTTCAAAAATCACATAAAAATATATTATGCACCTATGCTTATACACCTTCAGATATTGGAAATATAGTTCCATACAATTTTGATCATAGTAAAAATGAAGGCGAATTCCAAATAGATATTTGATAAAAATCCATTCTTCTTTCAAAAATGCAGGTAAAAATAAATACAATCCGATGGCAAGAGTATAGAAGAAAATTGTGGACATGAATCGAATGAAACACATTTCCAAATCTGCAAATAAATTTTTTTTTTGTGAGTTTCAGATTTACATTCTGAAGAACCGGAAAACTCACGCGAAATATCGTCACATTCATCATCAAAGCTGGAATTTATTTTGACCATTTTTTGGTTCATTGCTGCATTCAATGACAAAATAATGATTAAAATGTTGAGAAGAGCACATTTTATTTTCCACATTTTCAGCCGGAGCTCAAAAAATACTGGCTGAATTTTGGAATCTCCGCCCATTTTTGTATAGAATATCAGACTGCCGTGAGTGGAAACAATAGACGAGAGAGAAGAGACGCAGAGATGAAAATGGTATTTTCAGATTTTTCAAATATTCTTTGACGGCTGAAATTTTAGAAGTTTTTCAGATTTTTGTGGGCTTACTGTAGAATTTTCAGAGCTCTAGACATTTTGGAAGCCAAAAATCGGCGAATTTTCAAGATTGCTGTAGCTCAAAATGGCCTATTTTTATGCGAATCATTCCGGATTACTGTAGCTAAGTTTCGAAGATTACTGTAGATCAAAATTAAACACCTTTTCCCGCCATTTTTCTCAATATACTGTAGATCAAAGAATCACAGCTTTGAGGGTTACTGTAACTCAAGATTGTAGTGTGCTTACTGTAAGGTTCCAGATGCTTCAGAGTGGGAGATTTTTGAGTTTCTCAGGATTACTGTATCTCGGGGTACTGTAATTCATTTCAGAGACAATATTTTTGAATTCTGATTTCACAGAATTGTTCAGAATCAGCGCAAAAAAAATTTATTGATTGATTTTGAAAAAAAAATCCGATTTACACATGAAAAATTGGAAAACGAGTAGCTACAATATTTCTTTCCAAGTATATCTCTATACAACTTTCCTCATAGAAGATGCTAATTCGAATTCCATTCAGATCTTTGACAAAAGTTCGAAATATTCCGAAACATCCGGTGAAAAACAAATCCAGAGCGATATACAAGAATATTGTGGTCATGAATAAGATGAGAAATTTTTCCGAGCCTTAAAAATTTATTTTTGTAGGGTTTTTTTTGACAGAGCTCTGGAGTAACTTACTGGAAATTTCTTCAGAATTTTCATTCAAATATATTTTCATCATTTTTTGCTTCATTTCTTCTGCATTCCAGGACAAATAAATAATAAAAATAATGAAAAATGCACATTTTATACTCCACATTTTCAGTCAGAGCAATTTTTCAGACAAAAATAACTGAAATTTGTTGAGCATTCAGAGCTCCGCCCATTTTTTGAATACCGTATCAAATTGCCGTGAGGAGAGATAAGCAGAGGAAAAAAAATTTTATAGCCAAAATTCGGGAAATTTTCAAGTTTTTTGGGGTACTGTATCTCAAAATCAGTGGATTTTTGTGATTTTTTGTTCAGGATTACTGTAGCTCGAACTCAAACTCTTTTTCCCGCCATTTCCGAGGTTATTGTAGATCAAAATTAATCAAATTTTCCCGCCAATTTTTCCTAGCCTCACATAATTTCAAAACTTCTGAAATTTTTATCTGAAACTCCTCGAGACCTGAAAAACATCTCACCAAAATATCGTGTTCTAAAAAATCCATTATCACTAATTTTCCAAAAAATTTCTCTGCGTCTCTCATTTTTACATAATATTTGTATTTGTTTCAATTTTCCCACGAAATATGGAAAAACTTTTTCAAAGTTTTGTTGTTTACAAAAAATACCGTAATTTTTTTTCTCACGCCTAATTCGTTTGTTTTCGAAGAAAAATTGAAAGTTTTTTAATTTTCGGAAAAATTAGCGTGAGATTACAAAACTCAATTTGTCGTGAGAAACATTGAAAAAAAATTGCAAGGAAAAAATAGAGACGCAGAGAAATTTACCCTTCTGAAGCCTTCTGAAGCCCTCTGGAACTTTCTAAAGCCCCCTAGAGCCTTCTGAAGCCTTCTGAAGCCCTCTGAAGCCCTTTAAAGCCTTCTGAAGCCTTCTGAAGCCTTCTGGAGTCTTCGGAAGCCTTCTGAAGGCTTCTGAAGCCTTCTAAAGCCTTCTGAAGCCCTTTAAAGCCTTCTGAAGCCTTTTAAGGCCTTCTGGAGCCTGCTGAAGCGTCATGAAGCCTTCTGAAGCCCTCTGGAACCTTCTAAAGCCTCATAGAGCCTTCTGAAGCCCCCCAAAGCCCCCTGAAGCCCCCTAAAGCCCTTTTTGATATTTTTGTTGATAAAAACTTTGGAGCTGTCACTTTTTTGCCCCATCAAAAATATTAAGCTGATAAGAAACACATTTTCCCTGATAAAAATTTTCATTCTCTATTTTTCCCAAAATTTTTCTTATTAATTACAACATCTAAATTGTTGTACTGTACTTCGAATAATGATATTTTTCTATCAAAAAACCTTCGGTGAGTTTGAAAAAAAAAGAAATTTGGAAAACTATTTTTTCAGCATACACTCTGAACGACATCTTATGGAGAATGAAATTTGTTCGTGAAAATTCAATTTTTCTTCGTGATAATAGAATTTTTTCCGAATATTTGCAACTGAAACATTGTGAGTTTGTGAAGCCCAAGAAGCCTAAAAAGCCTGAAGGCAAGCCCAATTTTTATAACCTTTTCAGATTGTATCTAAACTACAGTACTTCATCAGAAATCTGCAACAGTTTTCATGTTTTTATGAAATATTCAAATCTAAAAATTCTGAATTTTATGAGATTATAATAAATTTGTTTTTGAGTTTATGAAATTAATTTTGTTATTTTCAGAAAAATTTGCAGGTTTTTCATTCATTGAAAATGTTCTCGAAGAAGTACAGTAATCAGAACTACAAAAATCATGGATCAATCGATATTTTCCTGAACAAAAAAAAAGTTTTTCAAAATATTTCTTCAAATTTTACACAAAATTTCTTCTCAGCTTTATTTTTTAAAATAAAAATTTCAAATTTTTTTACAACTATCTTCATTTTCTGAATTTCAATTTTTCAAAATATTTTTCAGGTCTTGAAATTTTACAGGAATATTTTTCAAACCATTTTCTATTGTCCAAAAAAAATTCAACTGTTTCAATATTTATCTTCATAATTTTATATTCAATTTAAAAAATTATTCCATTTTTTGAAAAATTCAGGGCTCGGCTTCAAATATTAATAACTTTTTTCAAAAAATTTTTCAGACTTTCAAATTTCACAGGAATATTTTTCAAACCATTTTTCATTTTCCAAAAAAATTTCAACTTTTTCAATATTTATCTTCATAATTTTTTTTTTAAATTCAAAAAATTATTCCATTTTTCAGAAAATTCAGGGCTCAGCTTCAAATATTGATAACTTTTTTTCAAAATATTTTTCAGACATTGAAACTTTGCACAAAGATTATTCAAATAATTTTCTATTTTCCAAGAAAATTTCAACTTTTTCAATATTTATCTTCATACTCAAAATTCAAATTCAAAAAATTATGCCATTTTTCAGAAAATTGAATGCTCCACTTCAGAAATTGATAACTTTTTTCAAAATATTTTTCAGACCTTGAAATTTCCCACAGATGTTTTTCAAACCTTTTTTCATATTTGATGAAAATTTCAATTTTTTCAATATTTATCTTCATAATTTTATTTTGGATTCAAAAAATTGTTCGATTTTTAGAAAATTCAAGGCTCCACTTCAGAAATTGATAACTTTTTTCATAATATTTTTCAAATCTTGAAATTTTACAGGAATATTTTTCAAACCATTTTTCATCTTTCAAGAAAATTTCAACTTTTTCAACACCTATCTTCATACTCAAAATTCAAATTCAAACCAAAAAATCAAATTTTCTCGCATTTCCATCATTGAAAAAAACCATTTCCCGTGCTCCCCTGATAAGATAAACTATACAAATAAATATTTTCTGATATAATAATACCTTATGTATAATTTCCATGTCTAAAATATCACAAAACCTCGTGATATTCGATGAAAAAACGTTGATTTGCACCGCCTCCTGGGCCATTTCTGAGGGCGTTTTTTATGTTGCCCGGTAACCGCTGCCCATATCCCTAATCAATATCATTCATCTGCTTATTTTCTATAATCTTCATTTTATTCAGTTTAGCTAACTTCATCTATACGGCAGTACTTTGAATATGATTATTCTCAAAAATGTTCCCGATGTAAGTTTAAAGAATTTTTTTTTGAAAAAAAAAGAAAAATATTTTAGGATCACTAAATGTAAGACAATAGCTTCACAAAAATTTGAAAATTTCGATTTACAACATCTAAACTGTTGTACTTACCCTAACTCCAATTATGTAGCTCTGAAAAACTGAAGAAAATTTCGAAAGTAAGTTTCAAAAAATTTCAAAAAAAATCAAAAAAAAAATTGTTTTCCAGAATATCCAATAGAAATGAACGGAAAATGTGTGCATCTATCTAGATTACTGTATCTAAATTACAGTACTATTCAAGAATTATTGATTGATTCAAACACAAACAACATCTACAGGAATCCAGCAGATAAAAAAAAGTGAGAGGGAAATTTTGAAATTTAAATTCAATTAAAATTTTATTTTCAGAATTATTTTCAGTGAATACCCAAAAAAAATGAAACTCGTTGCTCTAATGAGAGATCTATTCCACCAACCAACATCAAAATTCAACCAACTAAACTACAGTATCTAAATTACTGTCCTCTTATCGTTAACTCACTTCAAATATAATATAATTAGAAAGATTTTTTGGATTCGTCGAGATATACACCAGAACTTAGAGCAAGGAAAAGGTGTGTGAAATTTTTATTTAAATTTTTTAAATTAAAATTTCATTTTTTTTTTATTTTCAGATTGTTTGGATTATCCAAAGAGTCCCAAAATGAGCAGAGCAAATGTGTTTAAAAGAAAAAATATCCCAAAGTGAGTAGAACTAAAAACTTCAAAAATAACAATGGATATTTCAGAAATTCTCAGCCCTATGTGCAAAAAATATTTTTTGAAAGCAATGGTCAGTGGGAATTTTTGAAAATTCAAATTCAGTTTCAAAATCCATTTTCAGAACCAAATGAACAATATATTGCAAATTCGCTCTCTCATGAAAAAAAAGTAAATTCCACCAACTAACATCCAAATTCAACCAACTCAAATTCCACATCTAAACTGTGGACATATGTTTCAAAAATTCAAAAATTATCAATTTCCGAATGCTTATTTTCCGATTTGCAACAACTTATACAACAATCCGGACGAAGTTAGTCAAACTTTGAAATCTAGAAAAATCGATAAATATTTCAGAATTGCTCAGAATCAAAAAAAAACAACCACGCTAGCTAAACTCCTCACGTTCAAGAAAAAAAAATATTCCACCAAGAAACATCCAAATTCAACCAACTTAAATCCAGTATCTAAACTACTGGCATCTTATCGTTAACTGACTTTAAATATAATTTTAAAAAATTTTCTGGATCGCATAGTCTGTGTTCTCAGTGATGACAAATGAAAGGTGTGTAAAATTTAAATTTAATTTTGAAAAATCAAATTTCCATTTTCATTTTCAGATTGTTTGGATCGCACAAAGCATGCATAAACAGTGATAACAAGGAAAAGGTGTGTGAAATTTCAATTTAATTTTGAAAATTCAATTTTCAATTTTTATTTTCAGATTGTTTGGATTGCACAAAGCATGCATAAACAGTGATAACAAGGAAAAGGTGTGTAAAAAATCAATTTTGATTTTTAAAATTCAAATTTCCATTTTCATTTTCAGATTGTTTGGATCGCACGATTTGCATCAAGCATGATACCAAGGAAAGGGTGTGTAAAAATTCTATTTTAATTTTAAAAATTCTTGTAGCCTTCTAAAGCCTCCTAAAGCCTATAGGAGCCTATTGAAGCTTCCTAAAGCTTTCTGAAGCCTTCTGAAGCCTTCTAAAGCCTCCTGAAGCCTTCTAAAGCCCTTTAAAGCCTCCTGAAGCCTCCGGAAGCTTTCTGAAGCCTTCTTAAGCCCTTTAAAGCCCTTTAAAGCCCCCCTGAAGCCTCCTAAAGCCTTCTAAAGCCTATTCAAACCCAATTTGATCTTTTGATCTATCTTAACGTTCTAAATATAGCAATTAGTCATCTAAATCTCTTAGGCAGATGTTTTAGTTACCTAGGCAATTAATACTTTTGTAATCCCCCCAAAATCTCACAAGCTTCTTATTTTTGTGATTGTCGTCACCCTGTATATTTCTTTTTTTTTTCAAAGTGTATTGATGAAATTACTATATCTAAACTATAGTAATCTAATTTCTAATTAAAATATTAAAAAAAATTGAAATTGGATCCCTGTACAACAAATTATATTTAGGCAAATAGTGAGTGAATTTATCAAATTTAAAAAATCAATAAACATTTTTCAGATAAAAATTGAAATTGGATAATACCTTTACTACAAGCTCGATCTGAACAAATTTAAGGTGAATTTTTCAAGTTTTACAATTTAAAAAATCAATAAACATTTTTCAGATCCTCCAAAAGAACATCAAGAACTAACCAACTATAATGCTATATCTAAACTATAGCAATATTGATTTTAACTAACTTCTGATAAAAATTGAAATTGGATAATGCGTGTACAACAAATTGTATTTGGCCAAATTGTAAGTAAATTTATCAATTTCAAAAATCAATAAATATTTTTCAGATCCTCCGGAAAAACAGAGCCGCAAGCAAGATGTGGAAACTGATCGCTGAAAATTATAAGGAACTACTTACGTTCAGAGGTAGGAGATCTCAATTTTAGAAAAAAACCTTCATTTTCCCAGAACCTTGCCACCATAACCGAAAGTGACCAAAGGTATATTATGAAAAACATCTGCCAAAATAGGTGAGTGGATTTTCAGCCAGGATCGATTACAGAAAAATCAATAAACATTTTCAGATCCACCGAAAGAACATCAAGAAATAACCAACAATAATTCTATATCTAAACTATAGTCATCCTGATCCACAATTTGAATTTATTGACCAAGAAAGCTGTCGCAGGTAAGAGAAATTATAACAAGCTTCAGAGGTACAAAAAAAATCAATAATTTTTCAGGCGCGATTTACGATGCCTCCGGATGGAGTTATGTATTTAAAGTTTGAGAATTAATAAATTTTTTTTCAAAATTGTTGTTGTGGAATCTTTTCAGATAAAATTTCAGGTTTTCAAGGAAAGAGTGATTTTTGATTAGAGACAATGTGAATTTGAGAGAGACTAGACAATTATTGATTTTCCTATGCCAATGATAATAATGCCCATTTCTACTCCCTGCTCATTTTTTCTTTTTCTCTAGACTCTCTCAAATTTTTCCAGGATACTCACAATTTCTCAAAATTCTGCGTTTTCCAAAATCCCAAAAATGTTCAAAATTTTATTACGGGTAGATCAGGGTTTCAAGAAGCTTTTTGTGAAAACCGGGAAATTTTTGGATTTGATTGAAATGAGATTTTTAATTTTGAAAATACATTTTTTCTACTAGGTCAAAGCAATTATCGAGCAGGTGGCCTCATTTTCTTGCATCATGTCATATTTGCTCTTTCCTGAGAGCAAGCACATTACACTTTTTTTTTCTTATGTGATTTTTTTTCAGAACTACTTCTATACAGTAGTAATTTTTCAAATGAACTGAATTTATTTGGAAAATTTTGGAACTCGTAGCAATCGTCATGAATTATACCAAATTTTTTTTTTGGAAAAGGTTAGTTGAAATTTTTTCTTTAATTTCAGGCACAAAAAAAATTTCAAGTCATTTTTTTTCAGATAACTAAATTTATAGCAAACAAAAATCACCGAAGAAGTTTTACCTGAAATATGCATTAAAAGAATATTTGAAAATGTAAGTTGAAAAATTTTCTTCAAATTTCAGACAAAAATTATTTTTTCAGAATATACTTCATCTAAACTGAAGTCATTTATGTTAGCCTAACTCAATTTATTTTGCAAAAAAACATCGAAGACGTTTTAAATGAAATATGCATTTGAAAATGTGAGTAGATTAATTTTTACTCAAAAAAATTTCTAGTCATTTTTTTCAGATTTCTAAAATACAACTTTTGTAAATCACAAATGGTTCTTGTAAAAATCAATAAATATTTTGTTTTTCAAATTTTGATTTTCCCTTTGTTTTCAGATAAATTTTCAGGCGCTGGATTGAAGATTAGACAAATATTTCTTTCTAATTTCCATCTCATTTATCTTTTGAAAAAAAAATAAAAGAAATTTTGCTGACATTCGGATAATAAATCGATGGTTTTTGAAAATATCTGTTTTCTGATTTTTGATTTTATAAAGAGAAATACAAAGTCAAGGGAAATTTTCAGAATTCAATCAATATTGCTGAAAAAATCTTGAAAAATACATTTTCTAGATAATTTTCAGATTTCTTCAGAACACAAATTTTATTCCAAAAATCTTCTCTGAAAAAAATCCTCTAGGCTCTCTAGCCTCTCTAGGCTCTCTAGGCTCTCTAGGCTCTCTAGGCTCTCTAGCCTCTCTAGGCTCTATAGGCTCTCTAGGCTCTCTAGGCTCTCTAGGCTCTCTAGCCTCTCTAGCCTCTCTAGGCTCTCTAGCCTCTCTAGCCTCTCTAGGCTCTCTAGGCTCTCTAGGCTCTCTAGCCTCTCTAGCCTCTCTCGCCTCTCTAGCCTCTCTAGCCTCTCTAGCCTCTCTAGGCTCTCTAGGCTCTCTAGGCTCTCTAGCCTCTCTAGGCTCTCTAGCCTCCCATGATTAATGAAACTTTTCAGATTCCGATTTTCATCTCTCAATTTTTTTGGATATAATTAATGAGCCCAAAAACTGAAAAACAATTTTTTTGGCTCCCAAAAAAATCAGAATTTCCCACTTTTCCTCATTAATCTTCAGAAAAACGGGGCTGAAACAAAGCAACTGCTCAGCAAAAATTTACTATTTAAAAGTGGCCCGGCGGGTGCACTTTCTTTAGCTTAAGCTTAATCAAAATGAAGCTGCTCTTTTTGTTGCTCATATTATTCTCGACTTGGGTATTTGCTGAAGAAGACACTATTTATCATTTGCAAGATTATGAAGGTCCTGGTGCCGGTCAACATCCATATAAATGTTATATTAGAGCTTATCTCGTTGTGAATGTCTACAATTTTACTGCTCCAAATGAAACAGTTTTGCGTGAAGCGAAGACACTCATTGATGTAAGTTAAAGAGAGAGAGAGAGAGAGAGAGAGAGATCGTAGAGAGGCTAGAGAGCCTAGAGAGGCTAGAGAGGCTAGAGAGGCTAGAGAGGCTAGAGCCTAGAGAGCATGGAGAGCCTAGAGAGCCTAGAGATCCTAGAGAGGCTAGAGATCATAGAGAGGCTAGAGATCCTAGAGATCCTAGAGATCTAGACAGAAAATTGCTTGAAACTGAGGTTAGTGTGGTTAGAGTCAGAGAACCAGAGTCGAGTAATTTATAATATCATAAATAAGAGTCAGAGGTTAGAGACGGAGAGTATTACAATTTTGGCTGAAAAGACAAGGGATTTCCGATTTAGAAATTCAGATCTGATTTTAAAAATTATCAAAAAAAATTTTCAGCCTAAAATTTAATTGAAAATTATCACAAAACTATTTTCTAGTGTTAAAAAATCACAGAAAAATCCTTTTTCTGATAGAAAACTATCAAAAATTCAAGTTACAACAAGTTCATTCGAAAAAAAAAATCCCAAAACCCTCAAAAACAAAAAAAAATAGTCACAGGGACAAAACCAAGCCAAACAACCAAACTCGCCCTATCTTCTCTCTCGCTGTCTCGCACTCTCTCAAAAACACACAGTGTTTTTTTCGTCTCCTTGTCGATTTACGGGGAAAGGAAATCAGAGGTGGAAAACCTAGTTTTTTGGTGTTTGGCGAAGGGGTTTTTGAGATTTTTCTTTTTGAAATCGGGTTTTTAGGGGATGTTGATTTTTTAGAAAAAAAATTGAATTTTCAGAAAAAACAGGTGAACTTTTTGCAGAAAAAAATTCAAAATTTAGTGGAGTTTGAGGGTTTTTTGGTTTTTTTTTTTGTGAAAAAGTGAAAAATTTTTGGATGAAAAAATTGTGAAAATTTTTAAAATTTTTTTTGAGGTTGGAAAGGTTTTTTTTTAGGAAAAATGAAACTTATTTTTGAAAAAAATGATGCAAAAATTTGAAATTAATTCAATTTTTCATACTAGCGAGGTTAGAGAGGCCAGAGACAATGTCTCTCTAGCCTCTCTAGGCTCTCTAGGCTCTCTAGGCTCTCTAGGCTCTCTAGGCTCTCTAGCCTCTCTAGCCTCTCTAACCTATCTTTTTTCAGGATTGTATAGAAGACTTATGAAAAAAATCTTGAAAAATACATTTTCTAGATGATTTTCAGATTTCTTCAGAACACAAATTTTATTACAAAAATCTTCTCTGAAAAAAAACTACTGATTTTCAGATTCGAAAAATTTAGAGATCATTTTTCAGGCTCTAGGCTCTCTAGGCTCTCTAGGCTCTCTAGCCTCTCTAACCTCTCTAGCCTCTCTTTTTTCCAGGATTGTATAGAAGACTTATCACACACCAATTACAAAGTAGCTCAAGTCAAAACTCAACTAGCGCAAAAAATCTTCGACACTTTCAAATTTTCCACAACCATCCACATGCCATGTTATCAAAAATTGCGCAAAATCCCCTATCGACCATGTTATATTGGGCGAAAATATGGAGGTGGAAGTGATTTTTGCAATTTTGTATGGGGTCCAAATGGATGTATCATTGAGGTTTTTGACAAATATTGTGGCCCGGAAGTTGTGGAGGGACTTCGAAAATATCAACCATTTTTGTTCAAAGAAAATTTGATCTGTGTGGATAAATATACTCCAAAAAATTAGTTTTTTAGTTTTTTCTCGACTAGAAAACGTAGAACATGCTTTTTTTTTGATTATTGATTTTTGAGTAAAATAAATGCTTGATTAGAAGTCTTGGGAAGCCTTGGGAAGCCTTGGAGAGCCTTGGAAAGCCTTGGAAAGCTTTGGGAAGCCTTGGGAAGCCTTGGGAAGCCTTGGAAAGCCTTGGAAAGCTTTGGGAAGCCTTGGGAAGCCTTGGGAAGCCTTGGAAAGCCTTGGAAAGCTTTGGGAAGCCTTGGGAAGCCTTGGGAAGCCTTGGAAAGCCTGGGGAAGCCTTGGAAAGCCTTGAGAAGCCTTGGGAAGCATTTAGAGTCCTTGGGAAGCCTTGGGAAGCCTTGGGAAGCTTTGGGAAGCCTTGAGAAGCCTTGGGAAGCCTTGGGAAGCCTTGGGAAGCCTTGGGAAGCCTCGGAAACATTTTTTTTTGAGTTTTGACAGTTATAAAATGCCCACGGAAAATCTGGATTCTGCCAACTCTCTGTTTTTATAACGCAAATGTGAATTGAAACTTTTTATACAAAAATATAATAATCAATCCATCAATTGTCTTTTCTCAAACTCCTCAAAACATTCTTTGTAACTTTCATACCTAAATTCAAGAAATTCGCGTCGTTTAGCTGTTATTTCAAGTCCACAATGTTTTTTCATAATTTTAAACATACATCCATCTTCTCCCAATTGACGCTTGCATATACTGTTCGAGTATCTAGTCGATTTACAACTTTTTACACTCATTTCATCCGACAATAATAATTTTTGTTCACAGCTCGCAAAACGTGCTTCCATTACTGTGTATCCAGCAAGTTTATGAATGAGATAGTCTTCAGATCCACGAATTTTTCGGTTGACTTTTGCCATTTCGTTAATACATTTTCGAATAAGTGGCTTACTTTTCTCAATTAATTTTCCGATATCTTCTTCTGTATAGATAGCATCATATATGACGCCGACCCTATTTTGACACAAACATGGATTTTGATCTAGAGTTTCTCCGTTATAATCCCTAAGTGAAGAAAATTTGGTTGAAAATACAAGACCAGGAATCGAAAATAGTAGGAAGCAAATGACAAGAGCAGGAATCAAAAATAGCAGGGAGAAAGTTAGAATCTTCATCTTAAATTTGGATTGAAATAAATATCTTTCGATCTAGGTGCAGTTTTATACGAAACTTTTTCAGCAACATATGTTGAGAGGTCACATTGTGAAAAATAATCCACTTTATTACGATTTCCTCTGAAAAAAAATTGAGGGATAAGCAAATCTGAAAGGGAGAAAAAATATTTGAAATACATAGCTGGACCTGGAAGCCTACTGAAAGCTTCAGAACTCTTCAGAAGCCTTGAGAAGCCTTGGTGTAATGTCGTTTTTTTCCATTTGACCTCTTGACACATGTTTCTGAAAAAATCGTCTCTCAGCAATCCCAAGATTTTTTATTCAAGATCTATTTTATTGTGAGATGAAGATGAAGCTTCTAGTTTTATCATTCCTCTTTCTATTTTTCAGTCCTGATTTTGTATTTTCTACTGCAATTGGCTCGATTTTGGATTATGAAGGGGACCATCAACAGGCAAATCCAATTGAATGTTTGCTGAAAACCCAAAGGAATTCTAGTATTATTTACACTGAAAAAGAAATTGAAGAATTAAATGTTATTCATAACAAACTTGTGGAGGATTGTATCAGCAAAATTTCAAAAACTAATTCAAAAGTTCATGGATTCGAAAAGGAAATCACTGAAAAAATAGTTCAAGCAATGGAATTGGATATTCGCGTAAACAATTGTCATATTACTTTACTATTGGAAAATGCGGAAGAAGTCAAAAGCTGTGAAAAATCGATGAGACTTTCAGAATCTTTCTGTGATAGTTGGTGGGGCAAAAATGGATGTGTTATAGCTTTGCGGGAGAAATATTGTGGATTGGAGTTGACTGTTGAGCGGCGAGATGTGCTTGGGTTTATTTTGAAGAGGCAAAAAGAATGTATTGATTTGTATTATAATAAAAATTGATGGAATATTGAATAAATTTCTTATTGAATAAATTTTTGACAGAATTTCCCGAGGATTTTGCATTTTTCGTTTTTGGTAAGCCTTGGGAAACCTTGGGAAGCCTTGGAAAGCCTTGGGAAGCCTTGGGAAGCCTTGAGAAGCTTTGGGAAGCCTTGGGAAGCTTTGGGAAGCCTTGGGAAGCCTTGGGAAGCCTTGGGAAGCCTTGGGAAGCCTTGGGAAGCCTTGGTAAGACATTTTCAAATGAGCAAAGCTGAATTTTGTCAACTCTGTTTTTATAACGCAAATATGAATACAAACTTTTTATACAAAAATATAAAAATCAATGCATCAATTGTCTTCTTTCAAACTCCGCAAAACATTCTTTGTAACTTTCATACCTAAATTCAAGAAATTCGCGTCGTTTAGCTGTTATTTCAAGTCCACAATGTTTTTTCATAATTTTAAACATACATCCATCTTCTCCCAATTGACGCTTGCATATACTGTTCGAGTATCTAGTCGATTTACAACTTTTTACACTCATTTCATCCGACAATAATAATTTTTGTTCACAGCTCGCAAAACGTGCTTCCATTACTGTGTATCCAGCAAGTTTATGAATGAGATAGTCTTCAGATCCACGAATTTTTCGGTTGACTTTTGCCATTTCGTTAATACATTTTCGAATAAGTGGCTCACTTTTCTCAATTAATTTTCCGATATCTTCTTCTGTATAGATAGCATCATATATGACGCCGACCCTACGTTGACACAAACATGGATTTTGATCTAAAGTTTCTCCGTTATAATCCCTAAGTGAAGAAAATTTGGTTGAAAATACAAGAGCAGGAATCAAAAATAGTAGGGAGCAAGTTAGAATCTTCATCTTAGATTGAAATATCTATCGATCCAGGTGCAGTTTTATACAAAACTTTTTCAGCAACATATGTTTAGAAGTCACATTGTAAAAAAAAATCCGATTTATTACGATTTCCTCTGAAAAAAACAAGAGGGATAAGCAAATCTGAACGGGAGAAAAAATATTTGAAATACATAGCTGGACCTGGAAGCCTACTGAATCTTAGAAAGCTTCAGAACTCTTCTGAAGCCTTGAGAAACCTTGGTGTAATGTCGTTTTTTTTTCAAGTTGACCTCTTGACACATGTTTCTGAAAAAATTGTCTCTTAGCAATCCCAAGATTTTACATTCAAGATCAATTGAGATGAAGATTCTGACTCTATCATTTCTATTTCTATTTTTCAGTCCTGGTTTTGTATTTTCTACTGAAACTGGCTCGATTTTGGATTATGAAGGGGATCATCAACAGGAAAATCCAATTGAATGTTTGCTGAAAACCCAAAGAAATTCTAGTATTATTTATACTGAAAAAGAAATTGAAGAATTGAATGTGGTTCATGAAAAACTTGTGGAGGATTGTGTGAACAAAATTTCAAAAACTAATTCAAAAGTTCATGGATTTGAAAAGGAAATCACTCAAAAAATAGTTCAAGCAATGGAATTGGATATTCGCGTAAACAATTGTCATATTACTTTACTTTTGGAAAATGCGGAAGAAGTCAAAAGCTGTGAGAAATCGATGAGACTTTCAGAATCTTTTTGTGATAGTTGGTGGGGCAAAAATGGATGTGTTATATCATTGCGGGAGAAATATTGTGGATTGGAGTTGACTGTTGAGCGGCGAGATGTGCTTGGGTTTATTTTGAAGAGGCAAAAAGAATGTATTGATTTGTATTATAATAAAAATTGATGAAATGTCTTATTGAATAAATTTTTGACAGAATTTCTTGAGAGTTTTACATTTTTCGTTATTGGGAAGCCTTTGAAAGCCTTTAGAAGAATTTTTAAGCCTTCGGAAGCCTTGGGAAGCCTTTGAAAGCCTTTAGAAGAATTTTTAAGCCTTCGGAAGCCTTGGGAAGCCTTTTTTTAGGCATCCAAAGGCTAACTTGAATCCAAACAATAACTTGAAATGAAAATATTTATTGAAAACTAAAAATCCAAATCCAACTTCATACAGTAAGAAATCTGCATTATCAAAAAACGAATCGTATCATTTGTAAAATCGATATCACAGTAATCTTTCAGTATTCTTTGAGCACATCCGTTCACATCAAAATTTCCAATACACAAATAGCCAGGGGGTTTTAGACAAGCTTCAACATCATGATTATGATTTCCTTCTAATTTTCTGTTACATTCGGAGAATAAAATTTGGTATTCGATGTTTTGTACAATATTTTCAGAATATTCTTTTTTGTTTTGATGAACAATCGAATTGAGTGTTGAAAATTCTTCAATACAAGGTTCAATAATTTTCCTATTTCTCTCATTCAACAACTTCAGCTCTTCTTTAGAATAGGAAATCTCAAAATTAGGTTCTGCTACCGAATAACAATATTTGCAAATTTCACTGCCAGGTCCAATCATATCAAGATTCTCACTCACATATAGAAATTGTTCGCCAAATACTTGACTTGTGAAAAATAAAAGTACAAAAATGCCAAGCTTCATCTTGAAACTTTGAGAATCTTGTGCTCGAGGAGCACTTTTATAAGAACATTTTTTTCAGTAACATGTGTTGAAGTGTCAAAAATTTCATCACGATTTTTCAAGAGAGAAAATATTTTGTTTGAAAATTCGATCATAGCTCACATTCAGATTCAGATGCATATTTCTGAATAATCTTAAGCTTTTCAGACTTTTATTACTTCCTGAAGCCTTCTGAAGTCGATTTTCAGCCAAAGTTTTCAGCCCAAACACAAATTTTTTTCTCTCAAAAAATGTTGTGCTCTTCAAACAAATCAATCATATTTCAGGATTTTCAGAACCCTTTTTTTCTGTAAAAAAAAGTTCATCATAAGGTTTTAGTTTTGGCTTTGGCTGAAAATTGACTTCAGAAGGCTTCAGGAAGTAATATAAGCCTGAAAAGCTTAAGATTATTCAATGTCAGAAATATGCATCAGAATCTGAGCTATGATCGAATTTTCAAAAAAAAAATTTTTCTCTCGTGAAAAATCATGATAAAATTTTTGACACTTCAACACATGTTACTGAAAAAATGTTCTTATAAAAGTGCTCCTCGAGCACAAGATTCTCAAAGTTTCAAGATGAAGCTTGGCATTTTTGTACTTTTATTTTTCACAACTCAAGTATTCGCCAAACAATTTCTACATGTGAGTGAGAATTATGAAGCGATGGGACCTGGCAGTGAAATTTTCAAATATTGCTATTTGGTAGCAGAACCCAATTTCGAGATTTCCTATACGAAAGACGAGTTGAAGTTGTTGAATGAGAGAAATCGGAAAATTGTGGAACCATGTATTGAAGAATTTTCAAAACTCAATTCGATTGTTCATCGAAACAAAAAAGAATTTATTGAGGGAATTGTGGAAAAAATTGAATATCAAATGTTATTCTCCGAATGTAACAGAAAATTAGAAGCAAATTCTAATCCTGATGTTGAAACTTGTCTAAATCCCGACAACTACGATTTGTGTTTTGAAATTTTTGACGAAAATGGATGTGCTCAAAAAATCCTGAAAGATTATTGTGATATCGATTTTACGGATGATACGATTTTTTATTTGACAAATCAGATTTCTTACTGTATCGACTTGAATTTTTAGTTTTTCGAATGAATATTTTTATTGCAAGTTATTTTTTTTTGTTGAAAATTTAAGGAAGTCTGGGGAAGCCTTTTTAAGCCTTCTGAAGCTGTCTGAAGTCTTCTGAAGCCCTCTGAAGACTTCTAAAGCCTTCTGAAGCTTTTTGAAGATTTCTGAAAATCTCATAAGCCTTCTGAAGCTTTCTGAAGCCTTCTGAAGACCTCTGAAAACCTCTAAAGCCTTCTGAAGCCTTCCGAAGCTCTCACAAGTCTTCTATAGCCTTCTGAAGCCTTCTGAAGCTTCCTGAAGTCAATTTTCAGCCAAGTTTTTCAGCCAAAACACAAATTTATTTCTCTCAAAAATGCTCTCCAAATCATCAATCATTTTTGACGATTTTCAGAACCCTTTTTTCTGTAAAAAAAAGTTCATCATAAGGTTTTTCTCAGTTTCAGCAACACATGTTGCTCAGGTCAGTATAAAAGTCAAGTTGATCCTCATTTTCATCAACTTTCACAATGAAGTTTGTCCTATTTTTCTTGATTTTCACGATTTCAATCTCAAAATCGCTTGAAATTGGCTCACTGGCTGATTATTCTGTAACAAATTCAAAGTTTCCAAATCCCCGAGAATGTTATGAAGAAATTCGGAATGCTTTTGAAGAAGTTGAGAATGATGCAGAATTCGAAAAATTGATGAAAAGTCTGAAATTGATTCTGAAAAAATGTATGACGAAAGCATCGTTGGGAAATCGGCAAGTTCGGCGAGATCAAAAGGAGATAAGTCGAAAAATTTTGGGAGCAATTGAGTTGGAGCAAAACCTAACAATTTGTGATGGCAATTTACATCGAGAAAGGTATTTCGATTTCGAAATTGAGAACTGTCTTCAAAGTCAAGCATCGAAAACTGAAGATTGTAATTATCCGTGGGGAAAAGGTGGATGTGTTATACCGTTGTGGAAGAAATATTGTGGATTTGTGTTTTCAGAGGAAAAGTTGGATTTGCTTTTGTTTTTGGAGAAAGATCAGGCTAAATGTGTTGAGAAGTATCGTTCTATTTTTTGAATTTTGTATTTTTTATGAAATAAATATTTTTTTTTAGCTTTTCAAGGCTTTCCAAGGCTTTCCAAGGCTTCCCAAGGCTTCCCAAGGCTTCCCAAGGCTTCCCAAGGCTTCCCAAGGCTTCCCAAGGCTTCCCAAAGCTTCCCAAGGCTTCCCAAGGCTTCCCAAGACTTCCCAGGGCTTCCCAAGGCTTCCCAAGGCTTCCTAAGGCTTCCCAAGGCTTCCCAAGGGTTCCCAAGGCTTCCCAAGGCTTTCTATAATTTTTTTTCTGAAAAAAAATTGCTCAAGTTCAAAAAATACATGAATTTTTCAACAAAACAACAGTTGGTGTGTGGGCTGAAAAATGCCATTTTTCCGTCAAAAAATCATTTTTTTTGTACTTGTCTGTTTCAGAGTTTGGTTTTTGTTTCAGATATTTTTCGGCTTTTAGCTGTAATAAATCATAAGGGACTGGGAAAAAATGATTTCAAAAATGTGAGTAAAAAATAAGAAAAACAGATTTTTAATTAAACATGTTGGAAATTAAAAATGTTTTTTAAAAATAAATTTTTTCATTAATTTTTTTTAATTTTATCTGGTTATTAAAATTTTTTAAAATTATTTTTGATTTCATTTAATTTTTTTTTCTAAAAATTAGTCATGCTATTTTTTATGAAAATTTAAAATCGGATAAGTTTTATAGAAACTATTTTTCATAAAAAAAAAAAATTCAAATCATCTCTCTCTTTTTTTCTCATTTTCTCTGCGCTCTCTCATGTCTACATATTATTTTTCTGATTTTTTTTGCATATGTTTCTGACGTCATAAAAGAAGTGAACAAAAAAAGCTTTCTGAAGCCTTTGGGAGGCTTCTGAAGGCTTTGGGAGCTTTCTGAATATTTCTCAAGGTTCCTGAAGCATTTTGAAGCCTTCTAGAATTTTCTGAAGCCTTCTAGAGATTTCTGAAGCCTTCTGAATATTGCTAAAGTTTTCTGAAATTTTCTCAAGCCTTCTAGAATTTTCTAAAGCTTTCTGAATATTTCTTAAGGTTTCTAAAGCCTTTTGAAGCCTTCTAGAATTTTCCGAAGCCTTCTGAAACCTTCTCAAGCCTTCTCAAGCCTTCTCAAGCCTTCGCAGTCCTTCAGAAGCCCAACAAGCTTCTTCCTCATGTTCAAAAAAAAGGTGTTACCTTGATTTTTTTCTCGTCGATGAGTAATATTCTACCTTGAACTTCTTCGTTTTGTTCTTTCTTTAATGACTTTTCCAGCCAGCCAATTTAAAGAAAGACAGAAAGTGAGATTTTGAACAAATGACTCATTTTTATTACAAAAAAAAAAAAGACTATTTAGAGAAAAAGAGAAAAAAAGAAGAAGCTGCTATCCATTTTTGTCGATTTTCTCTCAAATCATCTTCTTCTCCTCTATTCTGCGTCATTTTTGTGACTGTGTGTTTGGTTCGAACCGCAAAAGCATGAAAAGAAAGTGAAACAAGCCCTTCTTCTTCCACTTCATCCCCAACATGCATCTTTTTTTCGATGCTTTTCTAATTGCTTCTTCGCTGCATTTGATTTTGCTATTGGATTGCGCAAGAATTCCGAAAGCGTCCAAAAAACAACTTGAACATGTCAAGAAATTGCTGAATGATCAGGTTGAGAGGTGAGCGAATTTTTGGGGAGATTCAGAAATCTTTACGAGGCTTGAGAGCGTCTCTGGAAAATTCAGAACGCTTCTGAACGCTTCTGGTGATTTCTGGTGGCTTCAGAAGGCTTCAGAAGGTTTCGGGGGGATTCAGAAACCTTTAGGAGACTTCAGAAGATCTGAGAGCGTTTTTGGAAAACTCAGAGAGCTTTAGGGGCTTCAGGAGGTTTCAGAAGAATTGTGTTGGCTTCAGAGGCCTTCAGAGAGCTTCAAAGGGTTTCAGAGGGCTTCAGGAAGCTTCAGAGGCCTTTAGAAGACTTCGGAACCCTTCAGGAGACTTCAGAAGACATAAGAGCGCTTCTGAAGAATTCAGAAGGCTTCAGAGGGCTTCAAATGGTTTCAGAGGCCTTCAGAAGACTTTGCAAGGTTTCTAGCGATTTCTGGTGGCTTCAAAAGGCTTAATAAGGCCTGAGAGCGTTTCTGAAGATTTTAGAAGGCTTCAGAGACCTTCAGAAGACTTCAGAAGACTTCAGAAGACTTCTGGTGATTTCTGGTAGCTTCAGAAGACTTCAGGGAACTTCTGAAAGCTTTAAGAGGCTTCAGAAGACTTCAGGAGGCTTTTGAAAGCTTCAGAAAAATTTAGAAAGCTTCATCTTGATTTATAGGAATCTATATAGGATATGAGGACTTTTTTTGAATTTTTTATATGAAAATGTGTATGTTTCTAGTCACAACAATAAAATTTAACACAAAATTTAAAATTTTTTACTGAATATGTGAATGGGCTTTGATAGAACTTTTGGATTTAATTTCAAAAAATTCGGATTTTCGAACCAAAAAAAAAGGGAAAATCAAAATTTCTAATTTCCAGCCACAACAATCAAATTCAAAACGATGGCTTCGACTTATTTCAAACAATGCATCGAGATCCTCATGCAAAATTGCATCACGATGAATTATCAGTGAATAATATTGATGAATATTTTCAAGGTGATATGGATTTATCAGAACAGCAGATCAAAATAATTGAGGATCAATTTGTAGAAGGCAAAAGGGAGAAACGGAAGGTGAGAAGCCTTGAGAAGCCTTGGGAAGCCTTGAGAAGCCCTGAGAAGCCTTGAGAAGCCTTGGGAAGCCTTGGGAAGCCTTGGGAAGCCTTGGGAAGCCTTGAGAAGCCCTGAGAAGCCTTGAGAAGCCTTGGGAAGCCTTGGGAAGCCTTGGGAAGCCTTGGGAAGCCTTGGGAAGCCTTGGGAAGCCTTGGGAAGCCTTGGGAAGCCTTGGGAAGCCTTGGGAAGCCTTGAGAAGCCTTGAGAAGCCATGGGAAGCCTTGGAAAGCCTTGGGAAGCCTTGGGAAGCCTTGGGAAGCCTTGAGAAGCCTTGGGAAGCTTTGGGAAGCCTTGGGAAGCCTTGATAAGCCTATAAATAATTTTCAGATCGGCAAAACTCCGCTCTACAAAAAATGGGATACATCAATCCCCATCAGTTTCGACTTCTCAGACAGTATCCCACCAAAAACCCGCCAAAAAATTCGTGAAGCCATGATTCTATGGCAGCGAAACACTTGCATCAGATTCCAAGAGGGTGGTCCGAATGTGAATCGCCTCGAATTTTTCGATGGTGGCGGGTGTAGTTCGTTTGTGGGAAAGGTTGGCGGAACTCAGGGAATATCGATTAGTACACCGGGTTGTGATGTGGTGGGGATTATTAGTCATGAAATTGGACACAGCTTGGGCATTTTTCATGAGCAAGCTAGACCGGATCAGGTGAGAGAGTTGGAGGGTTAGAGAGGCTAGAGAGGCACCTATTCCAAATTCACTTAACATGAGCAATTACACAGAGAAACTTGCTATAATCTGAGCAATCCTCAGAGAGAAAATAAGTGTTTTCCCAAAAACCCGCCAAAAAACAAAAAAAAGAACACCTTCCTCTTTTTTCCCGCAAACAAGAAAAAACAAGCGAGAGAGAGAGAGAAAATAGTGTGTGTTTTGAGGAGAGTGCGCAGAGAAGCAGAGATAACCTGTGGGACATACTAGAAAACTGGGGGACACTTTTCTTATGCATGTGTGTGTGTGTTTTTTTTTTTTTTTGAAAAATTAACTTATTGTGTATTTTTATTCAGTGTTAGATTTTATGCGATTTTTTTTTCATAGCATTTTTTTTATTCAGAAAGTTCTGATGAAACATTTTCAATCGAATTTTCTGAAAAATTATTTTAAATTTTTTCTTTCTAAAGTTTTTTGAAGCTTTTTCAAGTTGTCCAAATGTTTCTGAAGCGTCTCAAAGGCTTCTGAAACTTTCTGAATCTTACTGAAATTTTCAGAAGCTTTTCAAAGGGCTTCTGAAGCTTTCTGGGGTCATCTAAACCTCTTAAAATGCTTCTGAAACTTCTCAAAGGCTTCTGAAACTTTCAGAAGCCTTCTAAATCTCTCCAATTGTTTCTGAAACTTTCAGAAGCTTTCTAAAGCATTCTGAAGCTTTCTAAAGCATTCTGAAATTTTCAAAAGCTTCTCAAAGGCGTCTGAAGCTTTCTAAAGCTACTCAAAGGCTTCTGAACCTTTCTGAAGCATTTTGAAACTTTCAGAAACTTCTCAAAGACTTCTGAAGCTTCTCAAACGCTTCTGAAACCTTCTGAAGCTTCTCAAAGACTTCTGAAGCCTCTAATTTTTCTAAAACGTTCCTAAGCTTTCTAAATCTTTTCTGAAGCTTTTTAAACCCTAAATTTTTCCGCTAAATCATTTTTTTTTGTTTTTTCATTAGAGACAACGTGAAATTGAGAGAGCGTAGAAAAATTTTCGGTTTTCTGTCTGCGCTCTCTCAATTTCACGTTGTCTCTACTAGGAATAAAACATGTGAAAAATATTCTGTATGTCTGTACTCTCTTAATTCTATGTGGTATTTTTTCTGAAATAATTTCCAAGGTTACTGTATAATTTTTTGCCTTTTAAGTTTGATCTGCAGGTTTTTCTACAGTACTCCCTCAAAAATCAATAATTCCAGGAGCGCCACATCGCCATAAACTACAACAATATTCCACTGGCCCGCTGGAACAATTTCCAAGCTGTAGACGATAATCATGCCGACACTTTTGATCTACCGTATGACACTGGAAGTGTAATGCATTATGGACCATATGGTTTTGCATCGGATCCATATACACCTACGATTCGGACGCTCGAAAAAGCCCAACAGTCTACAATTGGACAAAGAGCTGGGCCGAGTTTTTTGGACTATCAGGCGGTGAGATTTTGAGCAAAAAAATCTGAAAATTTCAGAAATTTCCTAACTAGAAGCTTCAGAATATCTCAAAAATCCAACCAAAATATTTTTTTCCAGATAAACGTGGCCTATGATTGTGTTTCTCGATGTGGCCCCCTGCCATGTTTACGTGGAGGTTATCCAAATCCGAATGATTGTTCGAGTTGTCTCTGTCCAGAAGGTTTATCTGGACAATTTTGTGAGAAGGTTTATCCATCGACTGAGCAATGTGGAGGCACGCTTTTTGTGAGTTTTAAGACTTCTCCGGGCTTCTGAAGGCTTTTAAAGGCTCCTGAAGACTTCTGAAGATTTCTGAAGCTTCTGGAAGCTTTCAGAAGGCTTCTGAAGCTTCTGGAAGCTTTCAGGAGCTTCCTGAACTCTAGTCTTACTGTAGCTTCACAAATTTAATGAGAAGGTTACTGTAACCTAAAAATCCTTTCTGAAACTAGAAACTATGTTAAATGAATTTAGGTACTGTAAAAAACTGTAGCTTCAAAGTACTGTAGGTGATTTTAAATGTAAGCAGAAAAATCTGAAAATCTTATTCAAAATTATCTAGCAGAAATATTGAAGCCAAAAAAAAATTAAAATAAAAACTAGAGTACTGTAGCCTGTTTTTTTTTCCCAAAAAAATCTGAAAATCTGAAATTTACAGATAAATTCAAGCTAGAAATTTTTTTTGGAAAAATCTGAAAATTTTCTAAAAATAAAAATTTTCATAAAAAACATTGAAATCTGCTCTAAAATACTGTAGGACATTTTTTACTAACAAAAATCTGAAAATCTGAAAACTACAGATAAATTCAAACTAGAAACAAATTCTGGAAAATTTCAAAAATTTTCTAAAAATTCGTAGAGCCTTCTCAGGTCTTTTAAAGCCCTCTGAAGCCTTCTGAATCCTTCTGAAGCCCTTTGGAAGCTCCTGAAGCCCCCTGAAGCCTTCTGAAGCCCCTGAAGCCTTCTGAAGCATTTTGAGATCTTCTGAAGCCTTCTGAAACCCTCTGAAGCCTTCTGAAGCATTTTGAGATCTTCTGAAGCTTTCTAATTTCTTCCGAAGCTCATTGGAAGCTCCTGAAGCCTCCTGAAGCCCCCTTAAGCCTCTTGAAGGCTGCTGAAACTTTTTAAAGCCCCACAAGAGCCCTAGAAAGCCCCCCAAACCCCTCAATTTCCAGGCCAACAAAGAAATCAAATACATCTCAAGTCCAAACTACCCCAACGAATTCCCCCTAAACACGGAATGCAATTGGATAATCGTAGCACCAGCAGAAGGTCGTGTATTCATGGAATTCGAAGGAGATTTCGATTTTCTATGCGAAGACACTTGTGATAAAGCCTATGTCGAAGTGAAATATCACAATGACAAGCGATTGACTGGAGCAAGATATTGTTGCTCTCTAACTCCGAGAAATAAATTTATTAGTTTTACTAATGAGATGATTATAATTATGAAAGGATTCAATTATACGAGTATTGGATTTAACGCGAAATATTGGTCGAATTTGGGAGAACCTGAGCCGGAAAGGAAAATCGAGACAACATCTACAAGTTCCACAACTTCTACAACCACAACTACAACTACAGTACTCCCACCAAGACCAATCAAAAAAGTGAAACATTTGGTGAAACCTACCACAAGAGCACCAGTAGCAACAACCACAACTACCGTACCTCCAACTACAGTACCCACAACCACAGAAGCTGCAACTTCTACACCGGCTCCAGTTACTTTGACAACACCTGTAACGCTTTTCCCGACTTTGGCACCTATGTGAGTTTTTTTTGGCTTGGGTTACTGTAGATCGAAAATTTTGATTTTTCTAGATTACTGTAGCTCTGAATTTATGAAAATTGTAGCGCTAAATTTTTCTAGATTACTGTAGATTTTAACGCTAAATTTTTTTTTGGATACTGTAGATCAAATATTGACCCAAATATTTCTAGAATACTGTAGATCAAAATTTATTAGATTTTCCTGGATTACTGTAGATCAAAACTTATTTGATTTTAATGCTAGAATACTGTAGATCAAAATTTTTTGGATTTCGAAGCTAATTCTTCTTGGATTACTGTAGCTTTAAACTCATGAAAATTTTAGCGCTAAATTTTTCTTGGATTACTGTAGCTATAGTTTTGGCCCAAATTTTTCCAGAATACTGTAGATCAAAACTTATTTGATTTTAATGTCAAATTTTTCTTGGATTACTGTAGCTCAAATTTTGGTGCCAAATGTTTTTAGAATTAGAATACTGTAGATCAAAACATTTTCCATTTTAATCCCAAATTTTTCTTGGATACTGTAGCTCAAAATTGGCACGAATTTCATAGAATACTGTAGCTCAAAACTTATTATTAGATTTTCCTGGATTACTGTAGATCAATAACATTTTTTTCAGAATCCCAATCCTCGCATCAACCCAAGCTCCAGATGTAATCAATAGTGTTCTAGGTAAGAACAAAACCTAAAGTACAGTACCTCGAGGTTTAAAGGGACATACTGTATTGGAAAAATCAATGATTTTTTGTCCGAAGAACTTTTTGATTAATTATTTGGCTTTTTGAAAATTATTTTTGAAGTTAGCCTAACTTCATTTTGTTATTCCAGAATGCGGCTGTGGATCATGGTCCGAATGGCAAGGTGAATGCTCACAACAATGCGGAGGCTGCGGTCAACATACACGAACTCGAACCTGCGAAAAAGAGTCGTGTCGAAAAGAGGAAAAACGTCACTGCAATTTTGCCACTTGTCCAGAAGGCACCAATTTTTTGATCAACAATTCCGAATTTCATATTTTGTGGAGAGGTTGCTGTGTGGGACTTTTTAGGTGAGAATTTTTGCTAAAATTCAGCATTGCTCATCTTAAAATTTTTCCAGATCTGGTGACCAATGCACCGCTCTCGAGACAGAACAAAATCCATTTTTCAAAATTATCAATAGTCTTTTGAGTATTCAGGATGCAAAAAATAATTCGACAATGATTGCGAAAAGATTGATGAGAGGTGAACATTAAAAAATGGAAAAAAATTATTGATTTTTTTTGTATGTATGTATGTATATAATTTTTATTTTTTTTTTGTAGAAATGAGAATGAATATTTATTGTTTGAAATTCTTTAAGATTTATTCCCAAATAGAAAAAAATTTAAAAAATCGATCAATATTTGAATTTTTCTATTCCAAATTCAAAAAAAAAATTGAAAAAAAAAAGTTTAAGATGAGCAATGTTTGAAAAATCGTGATTTTTAAAAAAATTATGATAATGTTAATATGAGCAATGCTCGAAAGATTTTCTCAGTTTTCTTCAAAAAATTAAGTTTCTCGTGAAACTTGTGAGTTTAATATGAGCAATGCCTAATCCTATTTTTAGCTGAAAATTGCGAATCTCCAGGTTAATATGAGCAATGTTTGAAATTTCTGGGTTTTTCATAGCATTGCTCATATCAACCAGATTCTTCAAAATATTAGATTAACATGACCAATTGGGTTTTTGGCTTCAAGAATTCTCTCGGTTTTTTTCAAGAAAATTAATTTTTTCATGAAATTTTTAAGATTAATATGAGCAATGCCCAATTTCAAAAATTCAGAAAAATAAATATTTATTGAAAAAAATCAGAAATCCAAAATAATATTATGTATTTTCAAAAAATATATATCTATAAACAGAGAAGTGTCCAAAAATTTGTTTTTAAAGGTGCATAGCAGATTTAAAAATTGTTTTTGGACATATAGAGAAACACAGAAAAAAGTCGGGAAGAAAAAAAAATCAATCAATAAAAATCAATCAATGCTCATCAGAGTTATTGGAATGGATTGAAGAATGGCTTCGAGATGGTGACAAAAGTCCTTGTTCGTCCAAATGTTTTCGGGTCAAGAAGCCGCGAATGTGAGCTTGAATTTTGGTCGCCGCATTTGTGTCCTCCTCTTTCATTTTGTTGACGTGTTTTCGGGTTAAGAAACCGCGGATTTCGGATTGGATTTTGACGGCCGCACGGTCTTCGGGGCTGGTGGTTTCGATGTCGTAGCCGCCGACTGAGTGACGTCTGCAATCATTTTTGGGTGATGGATAGAGGTCGAGCCTAGTGACTACGCCTTGAGAGCTCTAATGACAAGCAGCGCCTAGGGAATAATACTGATAAGGAGAAGAGACTTGAAAACGTAAATTATAAGCAGCCGCCCCTAGAGAATTAATCTGACAAGCAACTGCGCCTTGAAAATCACTCTGGCAAGCAGCTGAGCCTTGAGAGCCCCTATGACAAGTGGTCGCGCCTTGAAAACCACTCTGGCAAGCAAGTGTGCTTTGAGAGCTCCTTCTACAAGCAGCCGCGCCTAGAGAAAAATTCTGGCAAGCAACAGCACCTTGAAAAGCTATCTGTCAAGTAGCCACTCCTTGAGAGCTTTAATGACAAGCACAAGCGGCTTGAGAACGATTCTAGCAAGCATCTGCGGCTAGGGAACAATTCTGGCAAGCAGTTCCGCCTTGAGAGCTTTAATGACAAGTAGCAGCGCCTAGAAAACTCTTATGGCAAGTAGCAGTGGCTTGAGACCGATTCTAGCAAGCATCTGCGCCTAGGGAACAATTCTGGCAAGTCTACGCTCTTTGAAATATTTGATCACAAGTGGCCGCGCCTTGTGAACCACTTTGGAAAGAGAAAAACTCCTTGCAAGCATATACAAAAAGCAGCCGTACCTACAAAACTACTATGACAAGAAGCGACTCCTTGAGAGCGTATATTATGTATAAGAAGTCGCGTCTAGAGAACCATACTGACAAGGAGGAATGTCTGCCAAGCATATATGAGAAGCCTTGAGAGCTCATATGACAAGCAGCCACGCCTAATAAACCTCTCAGGCAAGCAGCTCTACCTTAAGAGCTTGCAGCAATTTTCCAAGTTACCCCAACTCACTTAATATCCTTCTTATTATCAAAAGCATCCATTTTCTCAGTGGATTGAGTTCTCGGCATCACACCATATTTTTCCGGATGAGCCCGAACCAAATGTCCCTTGAAGACGGCCTGAATCTTGGTTGCGGCCTGATCCAACGGACTGGCCGGACGAGAATTGTTTCCATATTTGGTCTCGTCAAATTGACGGTGAACATCGCTTCGGAACATTTCGTATGAAACTGGATCGGAGATTATGTCCACGTTTGGAGTGTCTGTAAAAATCAATAATTTTTGAGCTACAGTAATTTTGAAAAAGTGGCGCGAAAATCTGATAAATGTTTAGATACAGTACTCTTGAAACATACAGTAATCTAAAACTACAGTAGCCCTGAAAATTAGGGCTAAAGTTTGATGAATGTTCAGCTACAGTAATCATGAATTGGATGAGTATGGAGCTACAGTAATCTCGTTAAATTTTTAGCTACAGTACCCATAAAAAATCGAAAAAAAAAAACAATACATTTTGAGCTACAGTAATCCTGAAAATTAGGCTCTAATATCCAAAAATTTTTGAGCCACAGTAATCCTGAGATCTAGAGAAATTCAGAACTACAGTAATCCTAATAATACAGTAATCATGAGCTACAGTAATCCTGAAAATTAAGCTCTAATACCAGAAAATTTTTTGAGCTACAGTAATCCTGAGATCTAGAGAAATTCAGAACTACAGTAATCCTGGAACATACAGTAATCATGAACTACAGTAATCCCGGAAGTGCTCTAAAATACTCAGAAAATGCTCCATCTCCAAAAGCAAGCTCCAATTTATATGCGCAAAATTTTGTGGGCGGAGCTTCCCGCAATTTAATTAGTTTACCAGATTTCACCCTATAATTTACACAAGGGTTACTGTAGTTTTTGATTTCCTGGTGGCCAAATTGTGGGGTTGAAAACATGAAAAATTATAGAGGTACGGTATTTTTCGTATAAAAATTGTAAGTAAAATGGCAACATTTTCGAGAGAAAAACTCTCATGAAGATTATTTTTGGAAAAATTTGCATAAGCTTTTTTTTCACGCCCACGAATAAATTTTTCACTGTTTTGCAAAAATAAAATTATTTTTTTGGATGGTCAAAAATGGACAGGAATTTTGGAAAAAAAATTTTTGGAAAAATATTCTATTAGCCAAATTTTTTTTAGCAAAAATTCTAGAGTCTTCTAGATTTTCGATCAAGTTTTTTTCAATTTCCTAGAAGAATTTAGGCTAACTCACTTTTGCGATGTTTTTGGAGTTGATCGAAAAAGATATAGCCAAAATTGGCGACGTCTTCGGGTTGGGCTCGAAGAGTTTCGCGGGCCAAGGCTTCGAGAAGTGGGCGAAGGCCTTGTGGAACTGTGTAGCGCCCGTCGGACATCTGTGAAAAAAAATCGATAAACATTTTTTGATTGAAAAAAATTGTAGCCAAAAAAATATAAAAATGAAGAGATTAGACAAAAAAAGAGGATTTCACAAATTCTATTTTACAAATAAATTTTTTAAAAAAATTTTGATAAAAGTTTTATCTGGATTTTCTTTGGATATCACATTTTCAAGTAGTTAGAGTAAATATTACGAAACATCTTTACTTTTTCTTTATTTTTGCGTGTCATGAATAATTTGTTTTTTTTCGAAATTACTTTTTTCATATGACATTTTCTTACATTAGAAGAAAAAAAAATTAATTTGTCTGGTCGCAAAATTTTTTGAAACAAAATATTTTTAAATTTTACAGGGGGATCTCAAACTTGAAAAAAAGCTAGAGACTAGAGAAACAGGGAAAAGTTAGAGACGCAGAGAGTCTAGAAAACCTAGAGAGCCTAGAGAGGCTAGAGAGCCTAGAGAGCCTGAAGAGCCTAGAGAGGCTAGAGAGCCTAGAGAGGCTAGAGAGGCTAGAGAGTCTAGAGAGCCTAGAGAGGCTAGAGAAGCTAGAGAGCCTAGAGAGACTAGAGAGGCTAGAGAGCCTAGAGAGCCTAGAGAGCCTAGAGAGCCTAGAGAGCCTAGAGAGCCTAGAGAGCCTAGAGAGCCTAGAGAGCCTAGAGAGCCTAGAGAGCCTAGAGAGCCTAGAGAGCCTAGAGAGCTTAGAGAGCCTAGAGAGGCTAGAGAGGCTAGAGAGGCTAGAGAGGCTAGAGAGGCTAGAGAGGCTAGAGAGCCTGGAGAGGCTAGAGAGGCTAGAGAGGTTAGAGAACCTACAGAGGCTAGAGAGAGGTTTTTGGGTCCAAAAAATTCCAAAAAAAAACGAAAAGAAAGGAAAAAATCAATTTCATTTTTAATAAAGCGAAAAAAAAACAATAAAAAAGGCGAGAATGACAAGAATTGTTTCAGATTATTAGAAAAAAATGAGAAAAAAATCTGACACTAAGGGAAAACGAGAAGTTTTTTGAGGCAATTAGTAGGAAAAAGATCTAAAGAAAAAAAAAATGACAAGAAAAACTATGCTCTAAACTAAAAAAAAAAGAAAAAGAGACACAGAAAATGCTCAAAAACAGATAGGAAAAAAAAACTTTTTTATCTCCTCTCAGGTTTCACAACTCACTATTTTATATATATATTTTATTTATTTGCTGTTTGGTTATCTAAAAAAAACTCTATGTAGTAAGATAAAATAAAAAAAAACAACAAGTAGAGAGAGAGAGAGAGAGAGAGAGGGTTAGAGACGCAGAGAGTGAGAGAAATTTGAGATTGATGTTATTTTAGAAGAAGACGTTAATTGAGCAAAATGAAACTTCCGTAGTCTTACTGTAGGGAGGGTTAGAGATGCAGAGAAACTAGAGGTTCTGAAGGTAAGAGACGCAGAGGAACTAGACAAATAGAGTGAGAGATACTGAAGTGAGGTTAGAGACGCAGAGGGTTAGAGATACTGTGACAGCATTTTTCGAGTTTCATACGAAAAAAAAAATCTATCCAAGACTACACTGTAGTTTTAAAATTCCCCAAAATAGACATTCAAATAAAATCCAACAAAGAGCACATAACGGAACTCGCAAATTTGTTCCCAAACAATTTTTTTCTCGTTTTTTTTTTGAAAAAGGACAATCTTCGATCGGCACATTTATTATTTCAAAGAAAATTTGAAATAAATCTCTTTTTTTCGGAGAAAACGCATGAATTATTAGATTATTCACGCGTTTTTGCATTTTTTCGGGGGAAAATGAAAAGATTTTTGAGGCTAGAGAGGTTAGAGAGGCTAGAGAGGCTAGAGAGGCTAGAGAGCACAGAGAGGTTAGAGAGCCTAGAGAGCCTAGAGAGCCTAAAAAGCCTAGAAGAAATTTTTCGAAATGACATACACACATCAAAAAAAATCTATGTGTACATATTTGAAGCACAAAAAAAAATCTGCCTCTCTAATCTTTCTTCGATTTTTTTTTTTAGTTTTCCCCCCCGTCTTGATGATGTGAAAAGCAAAAAAAAAGAGGCGAAATTGATAGGAGCAGATGAAAAAAAAACGAGCCAAAAACAACAAAATTAAGAGGATTTGAGGAGGAGAAGAATTGGGGCGTCGATAAGAAAAATGAATGCGTCATGAAAAAATTTTGGAGTCAACAACACAAAATTTTTTTTTTGAACTTTTTTATGATGAACTATAAAAAAAGTTTCAATTTTTTTTGTTGATCTCATAAAAAAGAGCATAAAAAGAACTGAAATTTCTGAATTTTTAACATGGCCCCTTTGGAATACTGTAACTAGTTTCAGAAAAAATATTTTGAAATTCTGATTTCACAGCATTTTCCCTGAAGTTGGACAAGAATTTTCAATTTTTCAATAAAAAATTTCGAATCTCAGACACTGCTGAACCACCCTGTAAAATCAGAATTCAAAAATATTGTCTCTCTGGAACGAATTACAGTACCCAAAAAGTACGATTTTTGACAGAAATTTCGAGCAACATTCATTTTCAGAGCTCCTGGAATATTATCCAATCTGTAACAGGCCATATAATGTTGACTGGCCTAAAATCTAGCTGACAAGCCTGAAACATGTCTGAATCTAGGCTTTGAATTTTTAAAAATTAGCTGAACTCACAAGCCTGAATCCTATTTTTTAGAAGCCCAAAATTTTCAGAAGCCTAAATCTAGATTTATGCTTCTGAAAATTATTTTCGACAAGCCTGAAATTAAAGGGGCAGGCCTGGAAACCTTGAGCCCTGCTGAAGCCTTCTGAAGTTTTCTGAATTTTCCTGAAGCCTCCTGAAGCCTTTCAAAACCTTCTGAAGCCTTCTGAACTCTTCTGAAGCCTTCTGAAGCCTTATAAATTTTCCTGAAGCCTTCTGAAGCCTTCTGAATTTTTCTGAAGCCCCTTGAAGCCCTCTGAAATTGCCTAAAGCCTTCTGATCCAAAAAAAAACATTTTTTCCCAAAAAAAGGTCCACTTATGCAACAAACACACAGAAAAGGCCAATTTGATCAATTTCACATCTTTTTTTTTCCTTTTTTTTTCTATTTCTCAGGCTCTTTTTTTCACTCTATTTGCTCTTTTTCAGCTCTTTTTTCTCTCTCGGACACCATGAATTAGTTATGAGAAATGGGAGAATGAAAATGAAAATGAAAATTGTTGGGTGGGTCGAAAATTGAAAAACATATATTTAATTTTTTGGCGCCAAATTTGCATATGTTTTTTTGTCTTGAGAAAAAACGAAGAAAAAATGAGAAAAAAACGAAGAAAAATGGGTTTTTGCACCTGCTTTTGAGAATTTATTGAGCCGAAAATTTAATTTTATAGGGTTTCTTGGCGCCGAAAATTTGGGAATAGGGAATTTTGAAATTGGAAAAGCCTTCTGGAGTCTTCTGAAGCCTTCTGAAGCCTTCTGAAGCCTTCTGAAGCCTTCTGAAGGTTCTGAAGCCTTCCGATGCCTTCTGAAGCCTTCTGAAGTTTTTTGAAGCCTTCTGAAGCCTTCTGAAGCCTCCTCAAACCCTCTGACACATCAGAAAAGTTCAAAACATCAAAAATTTAGTTCTCGGAAGTCCATAATCAGATTAGGAAATCCGCCAGAATTTCAACAGAATTCAAAATTGAATTTCTAATGAGAATCTGAATTTTTCAGAAACAAACAAAAATTTTTCTGAACTTCAAAATAACAAAACTCGAAAATTGTGGATTTTTTTGGAAACCCAATATTTTTTTACGCAATTTTAAAAATTTTTGAAAACAATTTTTAAAATGCACTTTTTTTCAGAGTTCAAAGAGCAGTAGAAAATTCCAGAAAAAAATTTTTTTTTCTGGAGAAAAATCTTACGTCAATAAAAATCACAAGATCTTCCTAGTTAGAGTATATTCATGAGATAAATTGTATACATTTTTTTCAATAGAAATTTTGAATGAAATACTAGGAAACACAATTTTTGTTTAAATCAAGTAGAAACTAAAAAAAAATCTTGTTAAAAAAAATTCTGAAATCTCAAAAAATTCTCAAAATTCCCGAAAAAAAAATATTTTTCAAGTTTCTATATGAAAAAATTGGCAAAATCCCGAACCTTGGTGAGAAAAAGCTTTTATGAAGTTTGAAAAATATGAATGAAATTTCCTGGATTCTAAAATATTTCAGAGTTTTCAGATTCTCGAAACAGATTTTTGACGCATGTTGAATTTCTAGGTTGAAGTTTTTTTTAGCTTCGAAAGACTTCAGAAGGCTTTAAAAAACTCCAGATAGCTTCAGAAGGCTCTAGAAATATTCAGAAACCGTCAGAACCTTTGAGAAGGCTTCAGAAGGCTCCAGAAGGCTTTAAAAGGCTCCAGGAGACTTCAAAGGGCTTCAGAAGGCTTCAGAATTCTTCAGAAGCCTTTAGAAAGATTCAGAAGGCTCCAGAACCCTTCAAAATTCCTCTCAAACATCAGCAAAAAAGTTTGTAACTACATAGTTCATGAAAAAAAAACACATATAAAACAATTTTGTTGCGCTTGTGAGGCTCACCGACGATCGATTTTTCCCTTCTCCTTTTTCTCCTTTTTTGTCGCATTGCTCACAACATGTTAAACGTCTAATTCGCCTCAATTTCCTGCCCGAGAGTCAAGTGAAGCCAGGCAAAATGAAATGAAATAAATTAAGTGAAATGAGCTGGAGACGGCTAGGCAGGCAGAAGAAAATCGGAATATTTTTTTTCGAAGTATGAATTTGAAAATTCTGAAGTCTTCTGAAGCCTTCTGAATTTTTCTAAAGCCTTCTGAAGCCCTCTGAAGCCTTGTGGAGCCTTCTGAAGCCTTCTGAAGCCTTGTGCAACCTTGTGGAGCCTTCTGAAGCCCTCTAAAGCTCTCTGAAGCCTTCTAAGAATTTCCGAAGCCCTCTGAAGCTTTCCGAAATTTTCCGAAGCCCTCTGAAGCCTTCTGAAGCCTTCCGAAGCCTCTCGAAGCCCTCTGAAGCCTTCTGAAGCCTTCTAAAGCCTTATGCAGCCCAAAAAATGCATAAAAATTATACGAAATCGAAAAAAAAGCAGATGTTTTTGATTTTATTTGGCTTCTCCTTAATAGATTCGTCATGGCAACTGAATTTTTGAGATTAGGATTTCTGGCGCCAAAAATATATAAAAATGAAAATCTGGCTCGAAATTCTCAGCTCAAAAAAATTTCAAAAAATAAACATGTGGTCGCAATAAATCTTCTCTCTACTATAAACATTTGGAGAAAAAAAGGAAAAAAAAAAGTTTAAAATAAATATTTTTCTAATAGTTCAAGAGATTCTAGCGCTAAAATTTGAAGCAAAAATATATATTAAAATTGCGGAAAAAATTTTGATTTCGAAAAAAAAATATTTGAAAAATCAAAAATTTTGAAATAAATACAAAAAATCAATCAATAAATATCCAAGCCTCAAAGAAATTCTTCTCTGAAACAAAATCGTTTTTGTTTTACACACAAGAAAAATATCTATTTTCACCGGGAAAAAAGAAAAAAAACCGAGCATTCCATGTTCTTCTGACAGCTGTTCATCCATTTGCAACGTCACAAAATTTTTTTCTGTGAGCTCATAACGTGAGCTCAGAACGAGAAAATTTCTGTTTCAGACATGTTTAAGATAATTGTCAATTTCAGAGTTTTAAAGAGCATCTAGGATTTGTAGATCTGAGATTTCAGGGATTCTAGAAAATTCAGAAAAAAATTTTCAAGAATTTTTAGATTTCTCTGTGGGCTCCTGAAAATATCCTAGGATTTCTAGAATTTTTTTGAGTTTTCTGAAAATTCTTTAAAATTTACCAGGATTTTAAAATTTATATCAGAATCTCTGAAAATTTTCCTAAATTCTTTCAAGCTGAAAACTTTTCAGACTTCTGAAATTTGTCTGAAATCCTTTAGAGCTTCTAGAATCTTTTCAGCTATTTCAAAATTTCAAAAAAAAATTTCTATTTTCCAAGAATTTTTGAATTGTTTCCAGAAAAATTCAGAATCTTGAAAACCTAAACAAAAATTTCTAGAACAATTCTGAAAATCAGGACTTCCAGATTTGTTACAGAATCTCTGAAAATTTTCTAGACCTGCTGAAATTTTTTCAGCTTTTTCAAAAATTCCAGAAAAATTCTTTCCATTCTCCAAGAGCTTTTAATTGTTTCCAGAAAAATTCAGAATCTTAAAAATTCCAGATTTATTTCAGATTCTCTGAAATTTTTCCTAAATTTTTTCATACAGACTTTCAGACAAATGTTGATTCGTTTCATACAAATAAGTTAACTTTGTTTAAAGCTACACAATAAATATTAAAATGAGCAATCATTGAAAAGAACACAGATGATTTTACAACAAAAAATTCCTTACTTAAAAATCTGAAAATTTCAGATGGAAAACGGGATAAAATGACACGGACAGACAGAAAAGGTACAAAAATGAAAAGAAAAAAAATTGGACTAGTTTCCAAAAAAATCAAAAAAAAAGTGATATATAAGAAAATTGTTGGTAACCCGGTATTGTCAACAGTATAAAATATTTGATGAAGAAAAAAAACGTCTAAAAAATAAATCGATAAGTGGGCGTGGCTTAAAATTATAGGGAGGTTTACACAATAATTTCACGCATCACACGTCGACCGTCTTCTTCATCCGAACCGGTCACATTTGGGCTACTATTTTCAGTTTTTTGTTGTTGATCTGAAATTGCAGGCGTCGGGGGGAAAATTTGATTTCCATTTGGCTCCGTCAAATATGGATCATTGGAAATGTCATAGTGTGAATCATCGGCTGGCCAAGTTTCACCGCCAGCGGTTTCGTTACTGGAAGAAAAAAAAAATATTGATTTTTTATGAGCTTCGTGGGTGGTCCAACTCACCTAGAATATGTTTTTTGCTGCTTCATTCGTGTCGAATCCAATGTGAAGACTCCGGAATCAGCTTGACTTCCGTGAACTATCGCATTTTTGGTTTCAGCGGTTGGAAGAGCTGATAATGTTACAGGTCTGGAAAAATCTGGTTTTGGAATTTCAGATGATCTACAGATGTTCAGGATTTTGAAAATTCTGGGTTTTGAAGCTTCAAGATTCTAGAACTTCAGGGTTTCAGAGTTCTCGAGCTTAAAATAGCTTCTAAAAAATATTCCAGATTTTCAGATCCTTAAAAAATTTAGCGCTTGAGAGTTCAGAAACTCGGATTTTCAAAGCTTCAGAATCCTGAAGCTATTCTGAACTTCAGAATCTTAAAGCTCTTCTGAACTTCAGAATCTTGAAGCTGTTCTGAACTTCAGAATCTTAAAGCTTCAAGATTCTAGAACTTCAGAGCATCCGAGATCACAAGCCTTGTAGCTTCTGAAAAATGTTTCAGATTTTCAGATCTTTAGAAAATTCAGAGCTTCAGAGCTCAGAAACCTAGAAATTCGAAGCTTCAGAATCTTAAAAGTTCTTCAGAACTTCAGAATCCTGAAGCTCTTTTGAACTTCAGAATTTTAAAGCTCATCTGAATTTCAGAATTTTGAAGCTCTTCTGAACTTCAGAATCTTAAAGCTTTTCTGAACTTCAGATTCTTAGAGCTTTTCTGAACTTAAGAATCCTAAAGCTCTTCTGAAGTTCAGAATTTTAAAGCTCTTCTAAACTTCCGATCTTAAAGCTTTTCTGAACTTTAGAATCTTGAAGCTTCAAGATTCTAGAACTTCGGAGCTTCAGAGTTCTCGAGCCTTATAGCTTCTGAAAAATATTTCAGATTTTCAGATCTTCAAAAATTCTTCAAAGCTCAGAAACCTAAAAATTCGAAGCTTCAGAATCTCAACGCTCTTCTGAACTTCAGAATCTTAAAGTTCTTCTGAACTTCAGAATCCTAAAGTTTCAAGATTCTAGAGATTCAGAGCCTCAGAATTCACGAGCCTCAAAGCTTCTGAGCTTCTGATTCTCCAGATTTCAGACTTTCAAAAACCTAGAACTTTACGGCGTCAGGACTTCAAAAATCCTGAATTCTGGAGTTTCAGAATATTTGTTTTCAAAATTGAATTACTCAAGATCTTTAGAACTCCAGAAGTCTAGAAATTTGAAGCTTTAGAATCTGAAATCTTCAGAACTTCAGAATCTCAGAGCTTAAGTATCTTAAAGCTTCAAGATTCTAGAACTTCAAAACTTCAGAAATCCAGATTTCCAGAATCTCAGCGCTTCTGATGTTCCAAATTCCCCCCAAAAAAATCAATAAAAACTCACGTCATTTTGAGCGTTGTTTTCGACGGTGCTCGAGTTCGACAACAAACAATGAAAAATACGCAAATCGACAAAATGATGAAAATAATAAACATAATTGGCACAATTGTGGTAGCTTTCCAGGAAATTGATGAGCCGGTTCCTGAAAATCAGCAATTTTTTTTATTGAAGAAAAATAAACAAATTAATTTTCATCGACTTGCAACAACTGTTTCTCAAGGAAAAAGGTAAACTGGGAAAAAATAGGAAAAATTTTCTGGAAGAGTAATTTTTCTACTTGGGTGGTCCTTTTCATAAAAAAAAACAAACTGAAAGTAATTAGGTTGATGGGTTTTTAATGGATTTGGCGCCAAAAATAGCATTTTCAGAGATTTTTCTGAAGATTTTTGGGCCTCTAGAGGTTCCTGGAGCCCCCCAAAGCCTCCCCAAAGCCCCCCAAAGCCCCCTAAAGCCCCCTAAACTCACCAATAACCGGAGAAGTTGGACTACATTGGAAAGTCGAATGAGCCATACAGAATCTAGCCTTGTATTGATTTCCAGACACGATATTTGGAATTGGAGAGGCTGATGAATAACAATCGCTGGCTCGCCACACATTTTCAATGAGAACGTATAACAAGGTGCACGCGTCGACTGGTGGTTTTGGCTGGAATTTCAGAGATTTTTTGAAATTTTATTGATTTTCAGGTTTTTGAAAATTAATTTCTAGAAATTTGAAGGAATTTTTTGTTGATTTTCTGAAGTTCAGACTTCAGAACAAGTTCTCAGGATTTCTGAAGCTGTGCCTGATCTTCGGGATTTGTATATTTCAAAACAAAATCTAGAGATGTTCAAAAGTTCAAAAATTTTGGATTACCGAGCTTCTGAGCTTCAGAAATCTTCAAGACTCTAGAACTTCGAAATATCTGATTTCACGAGCCTTCTGGATCTTGAAATTTCAAGACTCTCTAGAACTTCAACACAAGATCTCAATTTTTTTTAGGATTTTTGAAGTTGTGATTTTTGGAATTTCCAGATTTCAGGTTTCAGAATAAGATCTAGATTTTCTAAGATCTAGAAGTTCTGATTTCACTTTGAAGTTTGAACTTCCCAGGTTTCAAGAATCTCCAGAGAATCACAAAATCTGAAAATTCTAGCTCAAAATTGTCTGGAGCACCAGAATCCTGAACTTTTTCAGAAAAAAATTCGATCAAATTTTTAACTCAGAATCTTGAGATCTTGTGATTCAAAGTTCAGAAGCCTGGAAACCGTACAAATTTTGGATCGAAAATATCAGGCTTCTAGAAAAAATCGATAAAATTTCAGATTTTCAGTAATAAAGTTCAGGAACCATTCAGATGCTTCCAGCTCTCTAGCTATCTAGCTCTCTAGCTCTCTAGCTCTCTAGCTATCTAGCTCTCTAGCTCTCTAGCTATCTAGCTCTCTAGCTCTCTAGCTATCTAGCTCTCTAGCTCTCTAGCTATCTAGCTATCTAGCTATCTAGCTCTCTAGGCTCTCTAGGCTCTCAAGCTCTCTAGCTCTCTAGCTCTCTACCATCTCTAACCCTCTTCCAATCTCTCACCTCAATATCAATAATCTGTTTCTCCGAATTCCACTTCAATTTCGCCGGCGACATCATCGAAACATCCTGCTGAACATCATTCGTCGAAGCCACAATCATCGGCGTATACTCCGAAGCTCCTTTCTCATTAACACTTCGGATTCTGATGTAATAAGTGGACAAGGGAATGAGGCCAGTAAGGTTATAATTGATAGACACAGCGATACTTCCATCATCCTTCGAATCCTCGATCTTAGTGGCATTTCTGATCTCAACAACTTCAGCGAGCGAATCATCAATGGCACCGGTGAACGGGTTGAGTCTACGATATTCAATCGAGAACATTTGCCGGTACCCTCCTCCGAACTTCGGTGTCCATTGCAAAACCAATGAATGCGGAGTCGCGGAAACCTTCTGCAAGTCTTCCGGAACATCCGGAAGTCCAGTGTGCCGTAATTCAATCATAATATTATCGCCACCATTGCCATTTGACGCGCGGCAAATATAATCCGCATAATCATCCGCCTGCACATTTTCAATCTGCAAAATCTGCTCATATTCATCAGGTTTTCCACGAACTGGCAGCATATGCAACGAATATTTTTCATTCTCCTGAATATCAGTGTCCCTGAATACCCAGTGGAATTCCGGCTCCGGACGTGCTGAAACCACGCAGCTTAGCTTAGCCTGCGATCCAAGATCCGCGGCGGCCAGCGATTTTGTAGGGAACTTCTGATTCAGAATTACTGGCGCATGAAGGACCCTGATAATTGTCCAGGTCCCATCTTCTTCTCCATTATCAGCGATACAGGTATAATTTCCCTTATCACTCCACTTCAAGGCGCTCAACATTGTCAGCGAGCTGGCAACATTCTGCGTGCAAAAATCATCTTCCGCGCATCTTGAGGCTCCTTGAGTTGTTGTAACTTCATATCTTTCTGAAGAGCTAATCGGTTTTCCATCTTTATACCAGATGATCTTGGGGACCGGGTAGCCACGAGCTTCACATTCAAGAGTTTTCTTGGATTCACCGGCTGTGAAGACTCGTTCAGTTGTCAGTGGACTTGAGATTCGGGCCGGTTCGACGACGGTGATTTTGATGGTGGCTTCTTTGCCGGCGCCGAGTTCGTTGTAGGGGAGGCAGCGGTATTCGCCGTTGTCGGAGAGTTGAGCGTTTCTGACGAGAAGGGTTTCGCGATCGTGCTCGTTTGAACCGTATTCACCGCCCGATGATGGAGAAGCCCACTGGAAAAAAATATTGATTTTTGGATTGGGGAGGAGGGAGGAGATTCTGAAAAGCTAAAGAAATTTGATTTTTTTTTTTGATTTCTGAACAGAAAATCAATTTTATTCAGATTGAAAAAAAAACGTCGAATTTTTTTGTAAAAAAAAAGATTTTTTTAGTTTTTTTTGCCAGAATTTTTCTATTTGACAGGTTTTTTTTAAGATTTGAATTTTTTTTCAGAAAAAAAAACAGAAATTTTTGGAAAAGGTTCTGAAATTTCTCAAAACTGAAAAATGTTCATTTGAAAAAATAATTTCACGAGAAAATGCTCATTTCTTGAATTTTTAAAGAAATTTTTAATCCAATTTTTTTCAGATCTAGAAAAAAAATTCCAAAAAAAATTCCTTGGCTTTAAAAATCTGAAATTTCAAAAAAACTTAACATTTTTTAGTTGAAGATTTCGAAAATCTAGAACCAAAATTACTAGAATTTTCAAAATTTGAGAAGCTTAAAAGTTCAAGATGTGCTATAAAATCTGAAATTCCAGAATCCTTAGCTCCAGTTCCAGATTTTTGAGCAAAACTGAAACTTTCTGGAGCTCAAAATCTAGAACCAAAAAACTAGAATTTTCAGAATTTGGGAAGCCTGAAAATTCAAGATGTGCTATAAAAATGTCCGGATTCAGAACATCTAGATTTTTCAATTTTTAGAGCAAGGTTTTGTGCTCTCTAACTCTCTAGGCTCTCTAGCCTCTCCAGCTCTCTAGCTCTCTAGGCTCTCTAACAAACCTTATAAGCAGCTCTCGGATTTCCAGGATCTGGTGAATTACACTTCAACTCAATAATATCTCCAACATTAACTTCCATCTTAACCGCTTCAATTTCAGCTTGTCCCGGTTTCCGTTTCACATCCACAAAACTGATCCCGGTTCCGACGCGTTGTTGAGATCCCGAATATCCATAAACATTCAAAAAGTTGGTGGCGATACATGTATAATTTCCCGTCTGCTCTCTGTAATCGGTTCATTTAACATGTAGATTATTGCTCAGATTAAGGGGGGAGAAAATTATACATTTTTGGTATAGGTAATTAGGGTGTAGATGAGAGAAGAGGGTTTTAGAGAAACTAGAGGGTTTTTCAGAAAGTAGAGGGTTTAGGAGAAAATATAGGGTTTCAGAGAGACAATAGGGCTTCAGAAAAAATATAGGATTTTTTGAAAGAAGAGAGGGCTTTGAAGATAGGTAAGGTTTTTTGAGTAACTACAGGGCTTCAAAGAAGTCAGAGGGTTTTTCAGAAACTAGAGGGCTTTAGAGACTACAAGAGAGGGCTTCCAGAAAGAAAAAATGAGCCTAAAAATTAAATTTTATGTGATGAAGTTCAAGATTTGAAAAATATAGATTTAAAATTTTTTCTTTCTTAAAAACCTTCTGAAAATGAATTTTCTCTAAAGCCCTCTACCATCTTTAAAGCTCTATATCATCCCTAAAGCCCTGTATTTTTTAGAAGCCTTTTATTATTACCTCTAAAGCCCTTTAGTGTCTCTAAAGCCCTGTATTCTTTAGAAGCTTTTTTATTATTACCCCTAAAGCCCTTTAGTGTCTCTAAAGCCCTGTAGTGTCTTTAAAGCCCTGTAGTGTCTCTAAAGCCTTCTATCATCCTTAAAGCCCTGTAGTGTCTCTAAAGCCTTGTATTTTCCCCGAAGCCCTTTATCATCCCTTAAGCCCTCTAATTGTCCCTAAAGCCCTTTATCATCCCTAAAGCCCTCGATTAGTCCAAGAGCCCTTTAGTGTCTCTAAAACCCTGTATTCTTCAGAAGCCCTCTATGATCCTTAAAGCCCTTTATCATTCTTGAAGCCCTGTAGTCTCTCTAAAGCCCTGTATTTTCCGTCTAAAAACCAGGAAAATCAAAACCCGGAAAACGGAAAGTCGGAAAATTTCAAGATTATTTGAACCGGAAAATTCGGAAAATTTTAAAAATTTTCTGAAATTTCAAAAATTTTCTGAAATTTCGATTTTCAGCCTCAATTTTTCTATTCACAGGTAATTTAGTAACTATTTGAGATCTAAAAATCGTAAAATTTGAAAAAATTTCCGGAAAATCAATGAAGCCCTCTATTCTCTAAAAACCCTCAATTTTCCCCCCAAAAAAAAAAGAAAAATCCAACCCTCTTCCACCAAAACCCCCTAATTATACTCACCTGGTAATAGATTTAAGGATTAGTGTCGAGCCATCTGTTTTAAATCCATTGGGTCCGATCCATTTCACTTCAGTGATTGGCGGATTCGCGTCGACCAAACATTCAATTTCCACCTTCTCCTTCTCATTTGGACTCACTGAAATTGGCACGGAGATTTGTGGAGCATATTGAACGTTGAGTTTGAGCACATCACTTCCATCTCCCAATTGATTTGTGGCTCGACATTCGAAATCGCCGCTCATCGCTTTATCGGCACGAATCGGCCACACTTGTGCCTGATATCTCTCTCCCGACGACAAATGTTTCCATTCATAACTATGAGCTGGTGGATTGGCGTCAGCTTGACAAGTGAGATTCACCATTTCACCAGCTTCGACTGAAAGATGGGTGACGTTTTCGGCTGGAGATACGTGAACTCGCGGCTTGAATAGGACGTTGAGACGGGGACTGATGACTGATTTTGAATCGTCTTCTGGATTCATTGCCTTGTTGTGGACGGCGCAGGTTAGAGAGAGACCATTGTCGGCGGCTGAGACACGGTAGCTGGAAAAAAAAACATATTGAAAAGCTTCTTGGGTGGTCCTGAAGATTTATCTGGGTGGTCTTTTTTATTGGTTACATTAACTTCTTGGGTGATTCCTAGGGATTTCTTCGTGGGTGGTCCCAGAACAATTATCTTGTTTTTAAGATCAGTCACATTAACTTCTTGGGTGGTCTTCTGATCAATAGTATTTCACTCATTAACTTCGTGGGTGGTCTAAGATTTTCTAAAAAGGTTTTTTTACCCCACCGGATTTTCCACAGCATTTTTTGTTGTGTAAACTTCGTGGGTGGTCTTTTTTTCGAATTTGGTGAGAAGCCTATTTCAATGTTCAATTTTTTGCATTGCTCAGGTTATGTTGCAATTTTTGAAAATTTTCGGATTGCTCATGTTAGGTTTCAATTTTTCTCGAAATTTTTGTTTTTTTTTTTAAATTTTAGGATTGCTCATGTTAGGTTTAAATTTGATTTTGAAATTATTGCATTGGTCTAAAGCCTATTTCAAAGTAATTTTCAGCATTGCTCAGGTTAAGTTTCAATTTTTGAAAATTTTAAGATTGCTCATGTTAGGTTTGAATTTGTAGACATTTTAGGATTGCTCATGTTATTATATTTTTTTCAATTGGAAGGCTAATATGAGCAATGCAGAAAATTCTGAAAATTTGAAACCTAACATGAGCAATGCTAAAAAATCTTCAAATTTAACTTAAAATGAGCAATGCCAGCTTATGAGCTTTCAAAATGCTCCTATTTTGGTCCCAATTTTTTCTGTCCATCCCTGGGTGGTCAAAAAAAAAACCCTGGGTGGTCTCGCAAAGTACTTGAGATGAAATTGGAAACTCTGACACCTACAAACACCAGGTGTTTTTTGTCACTCAAGTATGGGTGGTCCCAGTCACGCTATGTGAATAACCAGGTGGTCCAAACTTCTCCCCAGGGTGGTCCCCCGGAAATTTCTTACTGAATAGCGCTCTCGGCGGCTCCATCCTTCATAAGTGTGTTGAAGATTTTTGCGTCGGCAAATGTTCCATTCGGCAATGTCCACCTGTAATATTTACACATACAATATACAGGGGGTATCAAATTTCAAAAAATAAAATAGAATGCCGTGTGTCCGGGGCGGCTCCGGAAAAGAAAAGAGTTGCGCAACACGGTGTGTCAATCAAAAAAAAAAACACATACGTGAATGTTGGTTCGGGACTACCGCCAATTGACATGCATTTTACGGTAACCGTATCGCCTTCGATTATCGATTCGTCGACAGTTTCGCTGATGATTGGATCGCCGGGTGGAACTGAAAATCAAAATTGATTTGAAAATTCAGAAAGATTTTGGAATTTGGAACATTTTGAAACCTCATAAGCATATTTTAATATAATTTTTAGCATTGCTCAGGTTAAGTTTCATGTTTTTTTTGAAAATTTTTGAAATTTGGAACATTTTGAAACCTCATAAGCCTATTTTTATCGAATTTTCGGCATTGCTCAGATTATGTTTCAATTTTTCTCAAAATGTTTGTTTTTTTTTTTTAGAAAATTTCGCATTGCTCATATTAATTTTAATTTTTAATATAATTTTTAGCATTGCTCAGGTTAAGTTTCATTTTTTTTAATTTAGGGATTGCTTATAGTAATTTTTAATTTGTTTATCACATTAATTAACATGAGCAATTTCAAAAATTCTAAAAAAAAATTTCAATTAAATTTTCAAACTTAAAATGTTTATTAGAAAATTTGAGATTGCTCATATTAGTTTTAATTTCAATTTTGATTTTGAGAATATTGGATTGGTCAGAAGCCAATTTCAATATAATTTTTAGCATTGCTCATGTTAGGTTTCAATTTTTGAAAATTTCAGGATTGCTCATGTTAATCTTCGTTTTCAAGTTTTTTTTTTGAAAATAAAATTTTCTTCCGGAAAAAATTGAAAATTAACATGAGCAATGCCAAAAATCTACAAACCTAAGGTGTTCAAAATTTTAAGGCTAATATGAGCAATGCTCCAAATTCTTCAAATCTAATGTGTTCAACATTTGAAGCCTAATATGAGCAATGCCAAAAAATAAGCTTATGAGGTTTCAAAATGTTCCAATTTTTCAAAATTTTTTTATTTTTCCAAAAATTACTGTACATTCTCTCCTCTCCCATTCTAAAATCCCCACCAATTTTACACACCAATTCAAAATGATTGATTGATGACTCAATTTGATATGTTGCCTTAATTATACATCTCCCTACAGTACTTTTGTCCCAAAAATTCCTGCATGTTTTAGACCACCCAGTAAGCAAACAACGTTGTTTGTTTTTCTCATTGACCTGTGACAAAGGTGGAATTTCTTGATGTGATTTTTCTGAACTTGAATTTAAAAAATTTTCAAAATCCCTCCGAAATAAATTTTTTTCTGAAGCCTTTTGGAAAATGTTGCCAAGCAACTTGAAGAAGGGGGGATTAGATCAGATTACGATTTTTCGGAGGAAATTATGTGTAGATTTTGGACAATTTTTGGCGGGAAACCAAACAACAAAAGAGAAGGAAATGAAGGTGGAACGGAAAGGAAAATTGAAAAAGAGAAACCATTTTTTTGATTTAGAGAAAATTCTGAAGGCTTGGGAGGATTTTCTGAAATTTCTAGAAGCTCGGGAAGACTTTGAAAATTTTTTCTAGATTTTCAGAAGTTCTGGAAGGTCTAGAAAGTTTTTCTGAATTTTCTAGAAGCTTGGGAAGACTTCTGAAGATCTATGAGATTCTTCTGAAGAATCTAGAAGCCTGTGGAAAGCTTTGAAGACTTTTGAACTTTCTGAAAATTCTAGAAGGTTCAGGAGATCTTTCTAAATTTTCTAGAAGGTCTAGAAAATTATCTGAAATTTTTTGAAAATTTAGAAATTCCGGGATGATTTTCAGAATGTTCTAAAATTACATAAAAGCTTCTGAAAGTCTAGGAGATTTTTCTGAATTTTCTAGAAGCTTGGGAAGACTTGGAACATTTTTCTAGATTTTCAAAAGTTCTGGTAAGTCAAGAAAGTTTTGAAGACTTTTGAAAGCTTCGGAAATTTTTTAAAAGCTTTCTCCAAAATCTGAAATAATTCAAAAAGTTTCAGAAGATTTTTCTAGATTTTCAGAAGCCCGGGAAGACTTGGAACATTTTTCTAGATTTTCAGAAGTTCCGGTAAGTTCAGAGGCTTCTGGAAGCCTTGGAAAAATGTTTAAAGATTTCTTTGAAACTTAAGAGAGTCTGAAATAATTCAAAAGGTTTCAGAAGATTTTTCTAGATTTTCTAGAAGCTCAGGAAGACTTCTAGAAGATTCGAAACATTTTTCCAGAGTTCTAGTAATTCTAGAAAAATTTTGGAGACTTTCTACATAAGTTCTAGAAAGTCTAGAATACTTTTCTGAATTTCAAAAATCCCGGAAAAGATTTCTGCCTATAACTACAGTAATATTTTTTCCAAATCTACAGTACTCCAACTCACCCAAAACAACAACAGTGGCAACTTTCGATGAGAACTGCAATCCGGAATCATCATTAGCGATTACGGTACAATGATACGATCCTTCAACAATATCCTTCTGAACATCTTCAATTTTCAGACTATAATTTCCAGTCAACGGATCGCTGATTAGTGCATATTTTTGACTTTTCTTATCGAGAAGTTTGTCATTTTTTGTGATTGTTCTAGAGAAAAAATAAAATTATTGATTGACTCTAGCCGTCTGACTCTCTCACCTAATATGTCCATGACTATATCGAACCCAAGTGACTTCATAATTAGCGCGATCCGAATAGGTGGCAGTCAATTGACACGGTAAAACCGGTCCAGTTTGGCCTTCTCTCACATAATATGGCTCATCTTGCGGCTCAACGGCAAATACGTCGGAAGAAGATCCGTCTGAAATGAGAAAAAACATTTTTGAGATCAAATTTCCGAGTTTGGGTAATCAGATACTTTCATTGTTTTAGGCGAAAAACGGAAATTTGTTTTTTTTTCTAATTAGAACGTTTTTGGCGCGAAAAAAAAACAGATGTGCTTGGGAACTTTGTAACAATACATTTTCTTGCACCTGCTCTTTTTGGCGGGAAAAATTTTGGATTTTTCGCGCCAAAACTATACTCAAAATTTAGCGCTCAATGAAATTTTGAACGAGATTTTTTAAGCTCAAAAAATATAGCCTAACTTCATAGCTCATTGGAATTTTGAACTAGAATTTTTGAGCTCAAAAAATATAGCCTAACTTCAGAGCTCATAATGAATTTGAACTGGATTTTTTGGGATCTGAAAACTCCAGTTTTTTGAGCTCAAAAAATGCTGAAAATCTAGGGATCATCAAAATTTTGAATCCGATTTCTTAAGGCCAAAAATATAGCCTAACTTCAGAGCTCAATAAAATTTTGAACTAGAATTTTCGGCACCTGAAAACTCCAGGGTTTTGAGCTCAAACCATGCTCAAAATCTAGGGATTATCAAAAATTTTGAACCCGATTTTTTAGGTCCAAAAAATTTAGCCTAACTTCAGAGCTCATAATGAATTTGAACTGGATTTTTTGGGATCTGAAAACTCCAGTTTTTTGAGCTCAAAAATGCTGAAAATCTAGGGATCATCAAAATTTTGAATCCGATTTCTTAAGGCCAAAAATATAGCCTAACTTCAGAGCTCAATAAAATTTTGAACTAGAATTTTCGGCACCTGAAAACTCCAGGGTTTTGAGCTCAAACCATGCTCAAAATCTAGGGATTATCAAAAATTTTGAACCCGATTTTTTAGGTCCAAAAAATTTAGCCTAACTTCAGAGCTCATAATGAATTTGAACTGGATTTTTTTGGGATCTGAAAACTCCAGTTTTTTGAGCTCAAAAATGCTGAAAATCTAGGGATCATCAAAATTTTGAATCCGATTTCTTAAGGCCAAAAATATAGCCTAACTTCAGAGCTCAATAAAATTTTGAACTAGAATTTTCGGCACCTGAAAACTCCAGGGTTTTGAGCTCAAACCATGCTCAAAATCTAGGGATTATCAAAAATTTTGAACCCGATTTTTTAGGTCCAAAAAATTTAGCCTAACTTCAGAGCTCTGAATGAATTTTGAACTGGATTTTTTTGGAATCTGGAAATTCCAGAATTTTGAGCTCAAAATTGCTGAAAATCTAGGGATCATCAAAATTTTGAACTAGAATTTTTTCACTCAAAATATAGCCTAACTTCAGAGCTCAATAAAATTTTGAACTAGACTTTTTGAGCTAAAATATAGCCTAACTTCAGAGCTCAATAAAATTTTGAACCCGATTTCTTAAGGCCAAAAATATAGCCTAACTTCAGGGCTCATCAAAAATCATTTTATAATTTTTTTCCCGCCAAAAATGCTCCAAATCAGAAGCTCAGCAAAATCTGTTCCTCAAAATTTTCCCGCCAAATTCAAGTTCCCTCAAATCTCCCTATTTAGCAAAATTCTTCCCCAGTCCTTATGTAATTTGAAAAGCGGGAGGAAGGGATTACTCGGGGAAGAAGCCAAAATCGGCGGGTGATTTTGTGTGGGTAAATAATCGAGAGGAGGCAGAAAAGCATTTCACGCGTTTATGATTTCTATTTGTTTTCGTGATAACGCTCTCAAAACAATTGAACTTCCCAGAACAAATTTTCTAATCAGAGTTAGCCCAACTCACCAGCTAATAGTTGTGCAAAAATTGTGATAAAAATGAATATGAAAATGGCATTTCGCGCCATTTTTCTGCCCGATTCTTCTTGTTTTCAGCCGTTTTTGTCCAATTTTCTAGTTTCTCTGAAAAAAAAAATGAAAATTGAAATAAAAAATATGAGAAATCGGAATTACGCTTGAGAGAATTGCGTTAAAAAGTGCACAAAAAAATCCTGGGTTGAAAATCGATTAAAAAAGGGGCTTAAGGGCCCAGGCTTATTCAGGCTCAAAAACTGGACTCTTTAGGATGTTAAGGCCTGAAATCTAGACTTATTTGGGCCTAAAAATCTCAAATTTTCTAGCTTCCCCCCTGTATAGAAAAAAAACATTTTGAAATATTCATGACATCAAATTCAAAATTCAAAAAAAAAAAAGTTCCTCCGAAAATCAGAATGCGAAAAGAAGAAACGAAATGTGTGTATATAATAAATTTTGTGACAACATACATAAAGCCAGGAGGACAGAAAAAAGTTGTAGATTTACAACACGCTCATAAATCTTGACACCTTTGTTGCCTGGTCCGCGAAAAATTTTGGCGGGGGAAAATAAATTATCATGGTCCCTATCATCATAAAGTCGAGCGACGCAAGTCGCGAGTTTTGTCCGCAAGCTTCCGGAAACGCGGAAAACCTCGCAAGGTCCTTTAGCTGTCTAAAAACATTAGGGGACCCTTAGCTGTCTAAAAACATTAGGGGCCCCTTAGCTGTCTAAAAAGATTAGGGGCCCCTTAGCTGTCTAAAAACCTTAGGGTCCCCTTAGCTTTCTAAAAACATTAGGGACCCTTACCCAAAATTGGGGTAAAATTCCGTAAAATAAGTTGACCCTTCTCTAAATAAGGTGACCCTACCCAAAATTAAGGTAAAATAAGGTGACCCTTCCCAAAAAACCGTGCCAAAATGGTCCCTCCCAAAAACAAATCATCAAAAATGAGGCAAAAAAGTTTTCCCGCCAAAAAACAACAACAACATAGCATAAATAAAAAAAAAGTGAACACACACGAAACCAAAAAAAAAACAAAACAAAGTGGGAGGGAGGAGAGCTAATATAATAATATACAGCGGGAAGCGAATGAGAGAGAGAGAGAGAGAGAGTGCAGAGAAAAAAAGATAGAGAGAGGAGTGCGGTCCATTCCTTTTTTGACCGAAATGTAATTATTTGGGCGTGGCCTACCTGGGGCCGTTCGTTTTTTTTTTTTGGTGGTGGCTAATTTGGTGGCTGGCACACCTGCCGGAGATTTGTGGTGGATAAATTGGTGGAGGAAATGTGAAATGAGGGAAATTGAGAGGTTTTTTGAGGAAAAAAACATTTCTGGGGGAAAAATTGGCTTCCTGGGTGGTAAATCATAAAGTTTTGTCAATAGGAATGCTTCTTGGGTGGTCCCAATAGGTTCAGAGACTTTATAGAATATTTTTGAAGTAAAACTCTTTGGGTGGTCTTTGAGAATACAGAATAGCTTCTTGGGTGGTCCTAAAACATCCCAAGCTTCAAGGAAAAACTATGAATTTTTGATAAAATGAGTTTTAGAAAAATAAGGGTGGTCTTGGGAAAAAACAATATGGGAGGTCCTTAAAATCTGCAGAAAACTAGAGGTTTTTAAAGGATCATACTGATTTTCAGATTAAAAATAATCAAAAAAAAACATTTTTAAAAATTCAAATTTAAAGGAACAACTTTCAAAAAATATGTCAAAAAAAATACCCAAAACAAAAAAAGGGTTTCCTGTCTGTTTGCAAATTTGTGTGTGTGTTTACTTTTACAACGACACTCCACTCCCGCTTGCCCCCTGTTTAGCGTAAAACGAGAATATTTTCATTTTTTTGTTTTTTTTTTCGGGGTTTCGCTGGGTTTTCAGGAGAAAATCAGTGGATTTTGGTCAATAATTGAATTTTCAGATTTTCTACAAGGCTGGAATTATCGCGGAAAATTCGAGAATTATCGAAGAAAGGTATGGAGTTAGCTGAACTTTTTTCAAAGGTACATGAAAAATTTCAAATTTTCTGATTTTCAGCTTGAAATATTGATGGAAAATTGAAATAACGTGGAGGATTTTGGATTTCTCAGGGATTTCGATAGGGATTTGAAAAATAGAAGCGATTGGTGAGTTTTTTGGGAAGGGATTTTTGAAAAATTGAAAAAAGTTAGGCTAACTCATCAATAATAAACTGAAAAAATGATCAAAAATCTTGCCAAAAAAAAGGGGGAAACATGTGAGAGAAGAAGAAGACAAAACAAGTAATCAATTAAAAAAAAACATTTTTTTTATTTTTTCAAAGGTGAAGAAAAAAAGTGTTCTTCTTTCTCCTTCTTTTTCTAATATCTATTTGTTTGTTTGTAACAAATTATTATTTGTACGTATATATAGATTAATATCAACAATATGTTGTTATATTATATTATACATATATAGAAATATATCTTATCCGTTTTCCCCTTTTTTTTCCATCTTCTCAATTTGATTTAATGCGTTTTGCGTTTCGTTTGAAACGGTAAACAATCTCAAAAAAATTCCTATCGAAAATTTAGAGCTTCGGGAAGCCTTCTGAAGCCTTGGGAAGCATTGGGAAGCCTTGGGAAGCCTTGGGAAGCCTTGGGAAGCCTTGGGAAGCCTTGGGAAGCCTTGGGAAGCCTTGGGAAGCCTTGGGAAGCCTTGGAAAGCCCTGGAAAGCCTATTAATTGAAGTCGGAACAAAAAAGTTAGGTGAAGTTGGGTTTTTTCTTTGCAGTTTAGGGTACTGTAGATTAGGTAACTCTAGATTTGATGTAGGGTTACTGTAGGAGATATGACTGAATTCAAAGAGAAAACTTTTTTTTTAGAAAAAAGTTCTGGATAGAAAATAATTCAAACAAAAAATTAAATTTAAATTTGTTGTTCGAATTACTGTAGCTCTAGAATTACGGTAAAACTGGAATTTTTTGAGCAGATATCTGATGTAAATATTATAACACCACGATTGAAATAACAATAGTTTATTGGCTACATTATAAAATAGAAAGAAAGATAAAAAACAATAAAGTTGAGCTCTTTTATAGCGAGCATTGTGGGCGTTGTGTCAACAACAGTTTACATTAAACTGTTATTGAATCTGACGTGTTGTAATCGTACAGTTGAATTCAAATTGATTGAGAAAGTTGATAAATAATCAACATTCCCGCCTCACAAAATTGAATAGTTGGTTGAGTTGATTGAATTGATGTGGTTGAGTTGAGTGGAACCAATACTAGTGATCTGGTTTGCCACTTTGTTGATGTACGACAGGTTCTGTGCGTGACCATATTGTCGTTTGAGGATTTGTGATATTCGTTTCCTTTGATCGGAATACCACTCGATGTGTTCGGCCATAAATCGTTTATGTCCAGATTGCCTACCCAAGTGTAGGACTTTGCATTATGTGCAGTTTTGTTGAGCTGCCACATATCATGAAGTTGATGTTGAGTCAACTCTCCCCACCACAAAGAGAGAAATTGACATTGTTTTACCTCATCCAGATTCGAATTATCTGAACTGAGGGATCTTCTTCGTAGACCAATAACTACATATCGAACTCGACTCGAATCGTTTAGTGACGGCTTGCTTGGTTCATTATTGAGTGAAATATTGAAGCCTCGGTGTTCAATCATTTCCTTGTCTCCTCGATAATGACTTCTCACTCTCCAATCTCGTTTTCATTCGACGTTACTTCTACTCGTTGGTGTTTTTCGTCCTGCCACGCGGGTCTTCTTCTCGAAATCGACCACCAATTCGGTCGATGCACCATGTAATTATTATACACCACGATTGAAATAACAATAGTTTATTGACTACATTATAAAATAGAAAGAAAGATAAAAAACAATAAAGTTGAGCTCTTTTATAGCGAGCATTGTGGGCGTTGTGTCAACAACAGTTTACATTAAACTGTTATTGAATCTGACGTGTTGTAATCGTACAGTTGAATTCAAATTGATTGAGAAAGTTGATAAATAATCAACATCTGAATTAATGGGTTACTGTGATTAAAAATAGGCAAAAATGCCTTCTGAAGCCTTCTAGAGCCTTCTGAAGCCTTGGGAAGCCTTGGTAAGCCTTGGGAAGCTTTCTGAAGCCGTCTGAAGCACTCTGAAGCCTTCTAAAGCCTTTTTAAGCCCTCCAAAGTCTTCTAAAGCCTTTTGAAGCCTTCTGAAACCTTCTGAAGCCTCCAAAAGCCGTCTGAAGCCTTCAAAACCCTCTAAGAACCCTAGAAACCCTCCTAAACACGAAAAAATTCAAAAGGCTAGCCACACAAAAACTGCGCGCCATAAAAAAGTTTATACATTTTTTTGTTGGGCAGCAGTGTGTAGTGTAGTATCCAGTGTCATTTAAAATGTGTTAATCGTCCAGGGCTGCGCCGCCGCGAAAATGGGCGGAGCTCTATAGCAATGGAATTGAAATGAAATGTCTCATGTTGCAACAATGTGAATCCGGGAACCTTCTTTTTGACCGGATTTTCGGGAGGAGTTTGAGGAAAAAGTGGAAAGCCTGGGGGCCTAGGGGTCTGAGAATCTTGAGAAGCCTAGGAAGCCTAGGAAGCCTAAGAAGCCTAATTTCAAGCCCTGAACTTCAAAGCTCTAAAGTTCTGAATATTGATTGATTTTTCAAGTTTAGAGCAAAAAAAATTGAAAATTAGAGCATTTTGAGTCCGAATATGGCTAGTTTTATGTAAAATTAAAGTTTTTAGAATTATCACAAGTCTAAATGTTAAGTTTTATGAATTGTGATTTTTTGAAGTTACTAGAAGTATGAATTTGAAGTTTCCATGAAAAATGTGATTTTCTGAGTTATTATAAGTCTAAATTGGAAGTTTTTATGAAAGTTGGAGCATTTTGAGCCCAAATATGGTTATTTTTATGGAAAATTGAAATTTGCGATTTTTAGAGTTAGCATAACTCAAAATTAGAAGTTTTTTCTGGAAATTAGGTTTTTCTGGAAATTAGAAGTATGAATTTAAAGTTTTTATGAAAATTGGGTCATTTTGGAGTTATCACAAGTCTAAATTTGAAGTTTTCATGAAAAT